ACTCTTCACTCTTCACTCTTCACTCTTCACTCTTCACTCTTCACTCTTCACTCTTCACTCTTCACTCTTCACTCTTCACTCTCACTTTCATTAACTTGATCCGTGACTGACCTAATAGAATCATTCACTAACAGAAATCAAAACAACTCACACAAAAAGTACATACGCACATACCAAATACTGATGGATAAAATTCATCAACACTCCTCGTCCTTGAAACCTCAACATCTCTTTTGACTCTGATATCAGATCCGAGAATCTTGTTGTCGTCTGATCTTAAAGAACCATACACAAAATGTCTCTCTTCTTCTTCTTCTTCTTCTTCTTCTTCTTCTTCTTCTTCTTCTTCACACGAAACAAATCAAACATTTCCTCCACATCCTTCTCTTCCTTGTTGTCGTCCTCCTCTCCCTCCATCTTTTCAACACTCACCCTGATGGTCCTCACGATCCTTGTCGTCCTAACCAATTCAACCATTGCAACATGTCCATCTACACAATCACCATACGCCCCAGGTTGGTAAGTATTTTGTTTTTTTGGGGGGGGATTTCTGAATCTTCCTTTTTACCTGTATAGGTGTACCTGTACAATGGAGGTACTCGAGTACTGACAAGTGTGAAACAAAACCATAACAGCTCAACATGTACGGAATGTTGCATCTTTCAATTCGGTCAAGGTACATGCACCACTTCGGCCTTGTGGGAAGGAATCGTCCGAGACCCGGCATGTAATTCCATTTCCACCAGGGAACAAGTCTTGGGAATTCAATGGAATGACAGTAGTGCCGTGAGTTTCTGTTTCCCCCCCACTCCTTGTCTTTTGCTTTTACTTCCTCACCCCCTTCCCCACCGTGTCTGTGTCTGCATCTGCATCTGTCTCTGTCTTGCGACTGACCAAAATCTCCATCCCTCGTCGTGTTTCCTAGGTCAATCACGTGTGGATTTCTGAGTGTACAGGATCATTCTCAACTTGTACATTGTACAACACCCCGGATTGTAGTGGTGAAACGAAACTCGAGATCGACAATACCGCAAACACCTGTCACGTACCAGGTTGGGACATTTGGAGTTTTGATTGTCAGTTTGGTTGATTTCACCCTCAACAACCCAGGGAGTCATTTGCCATGGGTGATGGGAGATACGGTGCGGTGGCATGATATCCCGGATACCAAGAAACGAAGAGGGAAAGAAAAAACACAAAAGAACATCCGAAACAACCTGGGTTGTTGTGATGAGGGTGGTAATAGTGATACCTCTCAAGTGTATTGTCCATACGGTGATCGATTGAGATTTCTCATTTTCAAGGGTCATGATTCGATATTCAAGAATCGATAATCAATGACCAAATCATGGCAAAACAATATACCTTCTCAACCTTTCCGGTATGGCATCCTTTAACTTCTTGCTCTCCAGCCACTTCCCACTGAACAGACGATCGGCGTACCTGTAGGCGCCATCACAGAGCACCGTGACGACGGTGTGGTTGGGGCCCAGTTTCTCCGCGACCTCTTTGGCCGCCACGACGTTCAAGGCACTGCTCGCCCCGAGGTACAGACCTTCTTCGTCCAGGCACCGATAAACCATCTCGATGGTCTTTTCGTCCGAGATCGTCAAGGCACCGTCGAGTTCGTCGACTTCGGTCTTCAAATTCTCCGTCACCCTCCCTTGCCCGATGCCTTCCGTGATACTCCCTCCCTGCCTCTCCTTCAGCTGCCCGCCCGAGCTGACGTACGAGTACAGGACCGACCCGGGAGGGTCGGCCAGGAAGGACTTGACCTTGCCGCCGCTCACGTCCTTCAGGTACCTCGTGGTTCCGGCCAGGGTCCCCCCCGTGCCCGTGGCGCAGGTGAAGGCGTCGACGCCACCCTCGGTCTGCGCCCAGATCTCCGGGCCCGTGGTCTCGACGTGCGCCCGCCGGTTGGCCACGTTGTCGAACTGGTTCGTCCACACGGCCCCGCGCTCGGGGTCTTCGCCCTGCACCCGCTCGGCGTGCCGCTTGGCCTGCCAGTTGTAGTTTTCCGGGTTCTCCCACGCGACCGCGGGCACGGGGTAGACCTCGGCGCCCAGCAACCTCAGGAGGTCGATCTTGCCCTGGGACTGCGTGTTGGGCATGTAGATGACCAGCCGGTACCCGCGGGCGCGGCAGACGTGGGCGAGCCCGATGCCCGTGTTGCCCGCCGTCCCCTCGACCACGGTGCCCCCCGGCTTGAGTAGGCCTCGCTCCTCGGCGTCCTTGACCACGTACAGAGCCGCCCGGTCCTTGACGCTCCCCCCCGGGTTTTGGAACTCCGCCTTGCCCAGGATGTTACAACCCGTCTGTTCCGAGAGGTGCCGGAGTCGGATGAGGGGTGTGTTGCCGATTGCTATAGAAGACACACAATATCAGCCGTGCACGTCTTCTTCACAAACTGTGAAGTGAAAAGAAAAAGAGCTTCCCGCACCGTGCCACACAGGTACAGAGTAAAATGGTACAACAGTGGTGTGGAAACACGGACTAACCTCCGGTCAACTGGTCCACAACTCCTTGAGCTTGGGATACTCGGATCCCATAGGCATTGGTTGTGGACGCTTCGGTGCTCGCAGCGGAGGCGGCTCGAATTGCGGTCGTCGCGAAGCGCCTTACTGATGGTCTCAAGGCGCTCGCCATGATGGTGTAGAGGAGGAAGAGGACGAGGACGAGGACGACGACGATGTAGAGAACAGATCGAGGGATGTGCTAGGTCTTCGTGGGAATCAGCAACACAGAAAATAACAAGGGCGCAATAAAGCACCTGCTTCTCCGATTTCAAACCAAAGGGAAAAAACGTTCTGCGGAGAGTCATTGGGACAATCATCAGTCGATGGCATCATTTTTGTAGCCGAGGCGGCGACTGTTTATGTAATCCCCGAAACCATCTATAATACGAGTACGAGTACGACTACGAGCCCGAGTACAGTATCAACAAGACTCACTACCTATTACCGCTCAAGATAAAGACGAGAAAGAGAATGATTGATTATCATAAATGTATATTTGACTCATCTGTCCGTTTTCCTATCTCTTTACTTGTCACGTATGAGAAGAAAAGGGAAAGAAGATCCTACTTTCACATATCTTACACCGGAACGACTTATCTCAACTCACCAGCCATGGATAGTCATCGGCCATCAATGAAGAGACTTTTTCAGAAGAAAATGCACTCCCTAAACACACTCGGCACCAGTAAGTTCCCAAAAGAGAAATGCAACTCATCCCTGTCGCTATGCAATCTTTCCCAGAGCTTCACCAAATGTTCAATGAAATAGCAAACTGCTTTGTTCGTGTACCATCGCCAACAAACGAAAAGAAAAGAATCAAAACGCAAATTGAATCGAATATCGAGGGGGAGATTTCACACCGCAGGCCATCTCACCCGAAGCCCTTCGCACCATCTTTCAAACAAGACATCGGCAAGTTGTCTCGTGTGTTCCAATCCACCCACAAGACCGCTCATCATCTCTTGTTCGTTCTCATCCTCTCGCTCCCGCTCTAGTCTTGTGGCATTCTTGAGTGGACTCGGAGGAAGTTCCAACCCTTGACTAGTCTCCCGGCTTTTGGCAGCGACCTGCGCGCTCTGCCGTCGTCGATGACTTTTGAGATGAGGATTATTCTGTGCGAGAACTAACTTTTGTGCCTGTCCTCGCGGGGTCGAGGGCGTCACTTGTCGGCTTTCGTTTGCTTGGATAGCATCGCTCCCTTTTCGAGGTGATGTCTGCAAGACCTGTTTACTGACATTCTCACTGTCCTTTTGTCGGCGGGAACCTGATTCTTGCCGCTGCAATTGCTGTGATTGTGGCTGTGCCTGAGGGAGCAAAGTCTTCAATCCATCGTCCTTGGCCATCCTGTCGATGACACTCCTAATTATGTGGTACATCCCATCTGGATCCAAGCTCTCCAGATCCGAGAATGCTTCGGCAAGTCTGGCGATACCCTCACGTTTGACTTCGTCTGCAGTATCGTTTAGTACCTCCTGGCAACTGATACCGATGGCATTAGCGTAGAGCTTTCGTCCAAGCTGTGCCTCTTTGCTCTGTGCGGCGAGCATGCTAGCATTTGAACAAACTCTCAAGCGTTGCATCGGTTCCTCTTCCCGCTTGTCTTCTCCCAACAAAGAGTTCTGTACGTCCACGTTGAGCAGTATGCCTAGCCCAGGCTTTTTCGACGGCGTCCTAACCACACTAGAGTTGGGATCTTCGTTCTCGTCGCCGTCTTCAGTGCCGTCCTGCACCTCGCTCAAAGAGCTTGGATTCGATGAAACTCTTTTGAATTGTCGGACTGTGCTTGGGGAATTGCCAAAGTTCATGTTCACTCCTAGCGGCGAACGGGTCTGGACTTGGCTGGATAGTCTCTTCTTTGCTGTTCTGCGAGCCATACTGGCTGCGTACTCTGCCGACGTACGTCTCTCTGGTTTAGCACCTGATATTCTGCGCATCGTCAGTTTTGTCGGACTCTGCTGCTCATCAAGTGTCATCTGTTCCACTAATCTCGACGTGCTGTCTCCTGTCGTTCCATCCGGGCTTGTGCTTGAGACTTTACGACGTTTCTGTGTCTGGAAGGGTATTGGACGCCTCGAGTCCACCGTCGGTACTGCCTTGATTGTCTCGAATACCCAGTCATCATCTTCCTTGACACCGCGCAGGTTCTTGAGCGTTTCGGCATAATATTTCAAGCTCCGCTCCCCGCCCTTTTGGGATTCCCAGTCCTGCTTGCGCACAATCAACTCTTGCAGGCCCTCGATCTTGCCAGCACTTCGGATGAATCGATGCTTGAGCAACTCTTTGGCTGTGGGTCGGCGATCGACGTCCTTTGTGAGACAGCATGCAACAAAGTCTCGGAAGTCTTTCGACCATGATCCGCCCTCCAGCCTGGGAGCCGGCTGTTTGGGGATGAGGAACAGGACCTTCATGGGGTGGACGTTGGCGTGCGGCGGTTCTCCATTGGCCAATTCCATGGCGGTAATACCCAGGCTCCACACATCTGCCTTTGCGTCGTGACCTTCTTGCTGTATAACCTCGGGGGCCATCCAGAATGGTGTACCCACGAATGTATTCCGTACGCTCTTGAGACCGACAAGTTGCGCTGCAACACCAAAATCGGCAAGCTTCACACGACCGTCCATACCCAGCAGGACGTTCGCAGCTTTGATATCCCTATGCAGCTTGCCCTCGCTGTGAAGGTAAGCCAACCCAAGCAAGAGCTCGCGGCATATTATGGCGATGTGGTTTTCTGAAAGGCGGTGTGGAGGAGGTTTGAGTAAATCCGCACACGATCCTCCTCCCAGGTACTCCATCACAATCCACAGTGTCTGCCGACGCAGGAAAGCCAGGCGGTATTTTGTGACGTGTGAGCTCGAGCAAGAGGATAGAACGGAGAGTTCGGAAAGAATGTCTGAGAGATCTTCTTCGGACGATTCGAGGTCGACCTGGGGATGATGAGCTCTCGTCGTGAAAGACCGTTGTCAATACATACATGTTTGATAGCTACGATTTCGCCGGTAGCCTTTTCGATGGCCTTGTATACCACACCAAACGAGCCGCTCCCTAACTCTTCCAGCATCTGGAATCTGTCCGCCAATGTTTCCCCATCTGCATCGTCACCTTGGATCTCGAATGGTGCTTGCGATGCAGCAGACCGATGAGGAGCCGCTTCGGAGTAAAGCGATATCATGGTCATTACGTCGGTCGTGTGACTCGTTGCTGAGGCCTTTGTTAGGTAAGATGTGCCGGCTGCGGTGTAGGTCTCCGTCAATTTCTGATGGTGGCTTGTACACCAGGCGAAATTGTTGACCTTCAAGGCCGCGCTGGCCTCTCCTCAGAGAAAGAGCAGTCTTGAAACAGAAACAAATGCGCCGCAGAAAGATGCAAAAAAGCACACGGTGGTGATACATGCATTGGAGTTTGGAGAACGATCGAGACTGGGGGTCTTTGCGCAGGATATGTACGACGTTTCGAGCCCGGCAACTTTGCGGTTGGAGATGAAGCGGAAAGGTAGAGGCTCATGACCCGGTCAGCGTCCTGTGGTACAACCCAGTCAAGAAATTGGGCTTCGGATAGCAAATGCGACAGAGTAAGAGTGCCAGCGGTCCTGTGTTGCCAATGACGACCTAACAACAAAAGGCCTGTTTGGGATTAGTGGCCACTAAGCCACCCGAAAGTTGCAAGCGAGCCGAGGCCTAGTGGCATTAGTGGCCGCTAAAAGGCAGCACTCTAGTCTGGGCCGCTAATGCAGGGGCCACATCGTCGCTTTTCCATCTTTTGTTAAGCTGAACACGGTTACAGTGCAACGAGTTGTCGACGGAGTTGTCCAGATTACGAGGCCTATGGAGTCCTAGTCCGGATATCAGGAACATGTCCCGCCTACTCGCAGCCTGGTGAGCCTGGTGATGGCTTCATCCTGGAACCAATCCACCGGTTTAATGATTGTCAGGGGGTTTGTCGCTGATTTTTCTAGAAGGAACATCCCAAGTCTGGTTGTCATGGAGACCTCGACCCTGGTCCGATCTGCTTACATCCTTCACTCGCTGGGGGCTCTTGATGAAACAAAAGACTCTCGGACACACTGCACACGCACTCAAGAAGCGATATATACTGTAGAAGAGTCCGAGGGTCACACTTGTCATGGCTTTGCCTGCGCATGTGACCATGAGTTGAACCGTAGCCGGGCCATCATGATAGAAAGCATATCAATATCCACGTCAAAATCTCCTAGAGGATAGCCTTGTCACAGGCCTCAAGGTGGTTCGAACTCCATGTCAAATCCGTCACAAATGCGTTTTTGTTTGGGAGGTGATATCACTGCTTCCCACCCACGCAACATGTCATGCCGCAGCAGATCATGCAAGCAATTTACTATTATTGAACCTCCATGAAAATCCGGGGAGTGACATGGTCGAAGCGGCTAGGATAGTGATGAACGCCAGTCACGACACTCGTAGAGGATTTCAGACTTTCGGAATTTACACATCAACTCATTACCGTCCTTACCCATCATATATGTATATCTGCTATAGTTGAATTATATGTGCGGGCTGTCGAGTATGGTACTTCTGGCACCTCGCATCCCGGAATCCGAGGTGCCAGTGGCAGTGGCTGTATCGTCGTGACTCGTGTCCCATTCTCTCATCAAGTCACTGACAGTTCTGGTCAGTTTACTTGGAGTTAGTTTCTCGATTTCCGGCCACGGCAATCCGTCTTCAGTTTTCTTCCCAACCGAAACACGAGCCTTGTCCCGAACGCTGACTGGTGAATCCCATGCATCCCAGGCATCGTCCATTTCGTCTTCATGATCATTGGAGTCTGGGAGAAGACTGGGTGGATTAGATGAATCTGTGCTGCTCTTCTGCTGTATATGACCACTTGATTTATCTGATTTGGCCACCGAATTCGACATCGGTCTTTGTGGGGTGTCTAGGCCAAATTCTCTCCAGAATGATGGCTCCTTTGGCGCCGTCTTTCGAGATTCAGTAGTCGTGGCATCCTTACCGGCTCGCTTTTGATGTGGTCTGACAGGCCGCTGCTGCGCAACCGTCCCATTGATGCCTTCTTCTCCCACGGTAGCTTGTCTGATATCTTCAAGGAATGTCCACAGTCCATCGCGTACTCCATCATACACCTGCTTGCCTTGCTTGACAAGGACGTCCGCAGATGGCACTGAGCGGCGATGGGCTGCTAGCTCTTTATATGTCTTGCCGAATCCAAGCTGTAGAGGTTCGCCGGCAATCAAACTATCTAGGGTTGACATCCTTGACAGTGATGGTTGGACCGCGTGGGCATCGGTAGTGGCTGCGGCTGCGTCGGTGCGGAAGCTGGTCATCTCATCGGGCGACATTATGGTCCTGGCCTGGTTCGGCTTGCTGGATGTCGGACTAAGAAGACTCAACGTTCGAGTATGTCGACCGCCCTCAAAGACTCTCTTAGAACCCTTTCTCGTCAGACCAGTGGTCGGAGTGCCACCATAAGATGGGGAAACGAGTTGATGCCTCTCTACGATGGCGCGCTTCCGTCTGCGTTCTTCATCAACTTCATCTTCGGAGGGTTCTCGCGCTCCTACATCATTCAGAGCAAGCGGCTGTAACTTTTTGACATGTTTCACCTCGTCCCTCTTCTTAGTAGCTTCGTACGCAGCCCATTGTTTCTTTAGCCCAAGAAGGTCTGTCTCTGCCCTTTGCAACTCCTCTTTCAACTCCAGAACCCTTCTTTCCTGGGCGGCAAGCAGTGTCAGGAAGTCTGTGCTTCCTCTTTTATTGACGTCCCGCACATTTTCCTGTAAGTCCGGGCTCTTGAACGGCGCTGCCCGAGGACGAGGAGATGATCTAGCAGAGTCGATGGGGCTCGCAAGGATGCTTGAACCAGCGGTGGGTGATGGAGATACTTGAGCATTTGTAGGCAGGAGAATGGGGAAGTTCAGTGAAAGTCCTTTGGTGTGTCTCTTGGAAATAGTCTCGACTCTTCCGCTCGTTCGTGTTGGACTTGAGGGCGTGGACTCGTCGGGACCCGTATCGACCAGCGACTCTGGCACGGTCATGAGCGACTGCGTCGACATCGGTCTAGATTTGGTGGCCATGTGGATGCAAATCACGACTTCGCGATTAGATTGTAGAGTGACAGGTGATCAGAGCTCAAGATGATGATGTCGAGACATGGATCTTGGAAGGCGAAGACTGGAAATGGTGGCAAAAGCAGGCCGGGTGTTCGAAGATTTCCACCTCTGAATCGACCAGCGCCTACGGAAGACGACGGCTTGGACTTCAAATCATAAAGTCATGATCGTAAAGAGGGCATAGTTATTCGTGAGCGGAAGTGAGAAGGCAATTTACCTGGGGAAGAAGGAGAATGGAATTGGAGATGAATGTGTTGACAGGTGCCAAATTAGGTGACGGGCCCTGGTCCTTGTCCATGCATGCAGCTGCACCACCGGAAACGAAGCCACAGCAGCCCCCGGGCAGTCAATATGGGGCCTGCATGACCATGTTCCTTGTTCGCAGCGAAATCACATCATGGGTACCGATCCTCGTGCTACGTACTCCCTACTCCTATCTCGAATTCATCAAATTTGAGATGGAAACGAAATCCAAGCCATGTCGATGGATACCTGATATGGCCATCAACTGAGTAGAAATAAAGGAAAAGTGTCACTGCTGTGCTCCATTTGTGAGTGTTTAGGTCTACATACCCAGGTCTACATACCCCCTTGGCAAGGGTTGTGTGATATATCGATGTTGTTAACAATGTCTTTCACGCCAATTTTACCGCCCAATGCAGAGCCAAAGAGTAAGGAAAACAAATACAGAAGTTTTCGTTCAAGTCATGATCTCCAATATGCCGTCCAACCAGCCGCGTATTCCAGATCTTTAATTCAGTCTCTTGTCAAATGCATCAACAAACAGGGTATATGGCTTCGATGCTTTCTAAGATAAATCTTCGGCGTCTCTTTTGCCATGGATTTCCTTTTCATGTGGTATATTGATAATGAATATACAAGGAACGATGATTTTCAAAGACAGTCTTCTGGTGTGAACAATCACATAATGATCCAAATACTTCCGCCGACGATGATGGAAACGCCCAGGATCGTCAAAATAGCTGCTCCGGCTTTGTCGGCAGTTGTGATAGGTTTTTGTTTCTGGATTGGTGAGGCGTCCTTGCCGTTGCCAGCATTGGGGTCTTCCTTCGAAGTACCACCCGTCTTGACAGATTTAGGAGCAATTCCCGGATGAATGGTGGTGGCGCCTATTACGCTCAAGGCTTGCATCTACAAATCGTCAGCCATATCTTTTACAAAAATTGCGAGTATCATCTCAAGACGTACCTGTTGGCCGACACCACTTGAACTGTCCCAAGTGGCGTACCACCGACGCCCACACATTCGCCCATTATTTCCTCCGGTACATTGCTGTGCAGCGGCGGCGGCGCTGGCGGTCAGTTTCGGCATGATCATGTCGTGGGTACTGGGTACCAGGAGGGTTGTCACAGCCATCCATCGAGACAGGTATGCTTTGAAACTGCTTTGATCGTTGTTACAATTCGCTGCAGGCTCGCACTGGAATTCTGACATGACGTTGCCACCATATTCTTTAGGAAAGAACAAGACTTCTGCCCCGTTCAGAATACTCATGACTCGTTGCTCCCACGTCGGATCACCATTGGTGTAGTTATACATGTACGCCGCACCCATGAGCATGGTACCATAATTGTACGTCCACGCGTAGTGTGCGACATCTGTGCAATTGTTGTTGGAATCAGTATTGTCCCAGATGTAGAGATTGCCATCCTGTGTTTGGAATAAAGGACTAGATGCCATCCAATCCCACATCTTGACGGCCCAGTCAGCATAAGTTTGATTGCCCGTGTAATATGCCAATCGAGCGGCGATCTGGAAATTCCCTCCGTTCGAGATGGTGTTCTTCAAGTTGTATCCAGGGTTGAACTGGTAGACCTGCCATCGCATTCCGCCACCGCATGTGGTATCGTCCCACAGATCCTGTTGGAAGTTGAAGACGGCCTGAGCCAGAGCAATCCAGGAGGGGATATTACCACCCGCTTCGGGGAAGTTTGCCTCGGCAGCATCCAGAGCAGTAAAGGCCCAAAACGCCTGATCGTCGACACCCATGTTCTTGCTTTGGTTGGGAGGATTGAAGTTTTCATCGGGTCCTATCTGAAAGGCTAAGGCCTGGGATACCACGGGATTGTAGCTGGTGTCGCCCGTGTATTGCCAGTAATTAATTAACGAGCCGAACATGGCGCCTGCTTCCCACCAATAATAACATTCTGTTGATGCACACGGCCCTGGAAGTATGCCAGGTACCTGTCCGGTCTGATTGCCAGAGTAATACGTCATCATATCGTAGGCAAGGGTCGAGGTAACGGACTTGACTGAGTCCAGGCTGCTCACTTCCAGAGTGATTCCATTGACAACAGACAAAAGGCCGACCAGCGGCGTGAGAAGGGAAGATATGCTGGACTTCATGACTCTGGAACCTGGGCGACTGATCGCAACCAAAGGAAATTCACACTGCGGGTGTTTGCATAGGCCACCTAGCGACTGAACAAGTTGCCCCAAGCTCACAATGTCGAGGTATATAGGAAGGACGCCCAAGAGAGCCAAGAGTCGGACTGCCTGAAGAAGTGTTTGGGACTTTCGAGGGCGCGTCAGAGGTTACGAAGCGAGTGACAGGGGGAGGAGCTGAGAGAGAGTCCGCCAACGACTATTCGAGACGATTGCTACTCCGTATTGAGTCCGAAAACGAGAGTGTGGGAGAATCGGCTGCTGCTGCTGTCCGTAGCGAGAGAATACTGAAGGAGAAAAGGATGAAGAGGTTTGCAGGAAGGTTGGTGAAGAAGTGAGTAAGACGTAACAAGCCTGCGGTGCAGAGACCAAGCCCAAGAAAACAAGCGGGCGGGTGGACAAGCACAGAGTCTCCGTACAGTCACCTACAGTACAATAATGGAGGTTGGAGGGAAAGGAAAAAGGGCCTGGACTGGGTGGCCCGGGTGGCATCAGCACCGTTCATTAGGGACTTACAGAGAAGATAGGACACATCAGGACTCGTGGACAGGTGGATGGCAGCAATCTGGGCTGGCTTGGTGATGCTTTACAGACAAGACGAGGCGCCGGCGCAAGCGCGACACCAAAGACAGCGGCCAAGCCTTGGCATTTCTTGGGATGAAACATTGCCCTCTACCCGCTGCGTCGCCCACCAATCGTATGGACCCAGCCCTCATAGAAAAGGCCCGTGTCGTCCGCCTCGAAGCGCAGCAAGATGGCAATGATCCATCTGATTTCCCTACACATGTACGGACTATCTCAGATACAGACGACATGTTAGTATTGAACTCGGTACGGAGGACGGAATACAAAGACTCGATTTGTTGGTTGTACAGAGGATTCATTCCCTGTGTGTCTAAACTCATCGATGCCGCGCATTGAACAGCAAACGTTTCTATGATGCTTCATACATGGATCATTTCGGCTCGTTACATACCTTTGACCATGGAAATATTTGCAATGCTCCGCCTGCGCCTTCGCTAAAATTTATGCAGGCATCTCAATGATACCAAAGTTTGCGTGAAGAAAAAAAAGAGATGCCATCGTCAGTGTTGATTTAGTCCTGGTGATGTAACGGGTTCTCCTCCCGGATTGCGTCCACCTCGTTCGCAAGCTTGAACATGCCTATCCCCAACCCACGTCGAGCACTGGGCACATGTCCATCAGCACCACTGCCAGCTGTGGTATTGGTGTTACCTCGTGGTCGTGGATCAGCTCCATCACGGTCGGCTGAATAATAACCAGAGGTGAGTCCGGTTTCAGGGCGGAACTGACGCCCTTCCATATTGCCATCCACGGCCGACATCGTAGACAGAGCTCCAATAGACGATCTTCTTCGTCGCAGTACCCGCTCGGATTCTTTGGCCTCTTTCTCCTGGAGGCTTTCAGAGGGCAGCAGAATGGCACGGTCCAATTCGTAGGGTAGACCACGGTGTCGTCCTCGAATTTGCATGGCAATAATGACCAACTTTGACAGTGTGTGGAATTGAGATGAGAAAGAAGCATTACTGGTAGGGTAACCCAGAGACAAGCCAACTGTTCCGTATGCTGAGACAATTTCAAACAAGACCGAAAATAAGGTAAACGCATATTCGTTGCTGTTCTGTAACCGGCCTCCCTCCACAATGGCGATGATGAACATACCCAAAAAGATATACCACAGGTCGAACGAAAGCTGCTTTCGCAAGTGGGCTCCAACATAACTGGGCTCTTTGCCATCTTCGTCCTCGTCACCAGAACCATAAATTCCCAAGCTCTTCTCCTCGTAAACGTTCGTTCGACGCATCGAAATGGCGATTGGGAAAACTGAAATGTACATCATAATAAGATAACTAACCTGAATCGCCGGGTGAAGTTCCGCCAGGTTGACGACGGAAAAGCCTGCTGTCCTGGTCGCAGAAGCTTGAAAGAGACCATCGACAAAGCGGATTCCAGGCGGGATCTGCTCAATGATGGGATCGTTTAGATCCAGAATTATGAAGAAGATCAGATCAAGACCATTGAGGATGATCAAGATCGCAAAAAGCCACCATGTTGCGTTTCGCGGGAATAACAGTGTGAAGCACCGACGGGGATGGTCCAGAAGAAATCGCAGTTCCTCCCACAAAGCACAACCAACTGGCACACACTTGGACACAACCCAAATGACGAACCGCAACATGCATGGGAAGCCGGTGTTGCCGATGACGATGAGAAATGTCATCAAAAGCAGCGGGAAAATAGCCTTGCCAAACGATATCATGGAATTGTTGGTGAGGGTGAAGCCCAGATCATTGAATGCAGACCCGGCAGTAAAGATTCCCCACCAGACACGGCCTTGGCCCTGTGAGGTGACTACATGGCCGTACGGTTGTGTATGCAGGATCCACGGAATCAAACAAATGACGCCGAGTATGTGGAAGGAGAAGAAATATACCACCAGGATCAAGGCGAGTGTCTTGAGGGCACGATATTCGATACCGCCGAGCTCTTCCCTCTGTTCCTCAGTCAGGTTGACGAAAAACGAGTTGCGTCCGATGGTCGGCTCCCAGGTCAGGTAGGGTGCTGGCTCCATGGTGCGAGCAGTGTTGCTGCGCTGAAGCGACCGGAATGTCATCGACCTTCCTCTCCTAAGGTTGGACCCAGGTCCGGTGGCAGGATCGTATGCATCTCGCGGCTGCGTGGACTGTCTCGTGTTGAGGCGTGGGAAGGTCGTAACTCGGTCAGTACGCTCGCGAATGAAATTAGGCTCATTGATAGTGATGTGGGTAGGTCCGGCACCCTCGGCACCCTGCGCAAGTTCCGTACTCCGCTTCTGGGTGATCTTGTTGGCTCGTGGGAGGTCATTGTCACTTGTGACCTGACGACGTAACCTGTTGTCAATGCCATCGTTGACATTCTCAGGTTTCCTGCCGAGCTCGAATTCTCGGGGACTGGGGATTCGCAAAGCGGTGGTGTCAGATGGATTGCGCTGATTCTCCAGGAACCGGATGTGCTGTTCCGGACTCAACTGTTGTGGCAGTCGAACATCATCTGTGGACCGGCTCTGCCGGAGGCGCAGTTCGTTGTCTTGGGATGACGATCGTCCAACGTCGTCGCTAGTACAAGGAGAGGTTTTCGAGGGCTCGAGAACTTTCCCGTTGGCCTCGTCTTCTCCTGCAACTTTCTCCAGCGCAGGTGATTCAGGGTGTGCAGTATGTCGTAGGATTTTGATAGCCCGCCCTCTCACACCCACAGGGTCCTTGGCTACTTCAGGATCCTCCTTGATAAAAGTGTTCGTTCTTGATCGAGATTTCGTGCGTCGCAACATTTTGGAAGCATGCACTACATCTTTGAATCTCTTCTCAAACCAATACAAGCGTGCAAAAACAACCGCCGAGTGTATGACAATTGGATTGCAAACCATGGCTCCAAAATAGAAAAGGAACTGTTGCCCTGTATGGACCAAATCCACGTCGATGGTGTTGAGGCCACTTTGTGTGCAGGAGCCGGATGCAAAGAATAGAGCGTTGATGTAGGACATCTCTCCTTGCACATATATAAGAACCGATAACAAAAGTGACATCCCTATCAGGTATAGGTAATGCACTGTAATAAAATTGAGCCTCCTCTTGATAAAGACATCCGGAATGATGTTTCTCTTGCAAAATCCCCATACATCTAAAGCCCATTGAGGGATTTGAAAGGCCATCTTGCCGGGGTAACAAGATTCCTCCAAAGGGGAAGGGACCAAGACAATGTCTTCGTAGGAGGTCAGGGTGAACTCGACGGTCGAGGAAGCTGCGAGTCAAGGGTGCCAGAGCCTATGGAAAGTTGGCCTGCGTGGTCATGGTCAGGTGTCGAAGAAGGGGACTGTGGCCGAGATGGCTGAGAGATGATGGCGGAGGGATGGCATGATCGTGGGTGTTTGTGAGAGCAGTGCTGTATGATCGACGTTCAAAGACGTGGAAGCACAAGAAACAACCGCAGCGAACAACGAAGTAGTATGAGGACAAAAAAGATTGGATGTCGGTAGAATAAACTGCAGGCAATATGGAGCACGAGCTAGAGAGGTGGCGGCGATGAATGACGCCAAGTTTCTACGGTTGGCACTTTGAGCCTACAGTACTTGTAGGGACGCTTAGGTGTCACTGCCGGGCGGTGCAGGGGTCCCTGGGATGCCTGTCACATACTGCACATAAAGCTTGTTAACGCCTACGCCAAGGTTACGCTGCACCTGTAAGCATGCTTACTGAAGCTAGAATGAATCTTGCGGCTAACAATACCTCTTCGGGCTCACTAAGCCGGGAGATGTCCTGTTCTAGCTATCGTGATCCTTCTACAAAATAACAACTCTGAACTTCTCATCTGAATGAAACAATCACTCTAGGTTCCGACGATCTTGAGAGCGGGGTGGTGTTCATGCTGTCACCGCTGACCTCTTGAAAACGCCACTAAACATGCACATACCCAGTACTAAAGAGAAAGCTAACCTTAGTCAGATCTTCCGGCAAATGTTGTTACCATAGGTATGGACTCGCGGAATGTTGTATCCGTACCGCCTGAAACGAGTCGTTTCGGGTGATTTCTCCCTTGGCCTAAACATTGCAGATGAACGTTACACGAGGTACGAGGCAAGATCAAAGACCTTTGCTGAACAGAGATCTACCAATAGCAAATCAACATGACACTCTATCCTGGAGTTGCGGTTATCACTGGTGCCGCAGGAACAGGTACGATGCCCTTCCATCTGGCCTGTCATTCCAGTGTTTAACATCTGTCCTCCTTCAGGTATTGGCGCGGCCACGGCCAAAGCATTTGCAGAAGCCGGGTGCAAGAGGATTGCCATCACTGATCGTAATGTCGAGCTACTCGACGAGACCAAGAGTGCCATCTCCTCTGCATGGCCGGACGTCAGAGTCTACTCTGAACCTGGGGACATTTCCCAAGAAGATTTTGTCAATGCTTTCATGAAACGCGTCGTCGATACCTTTGGTTCCATCGATTATGCAGTCAATTGCGCCGGCGTCCTGGGCCAGAGTTTGAGATCGCACGAGATGGACGCCGCAGAGTTTGATCGCGTCAATTCGGTCAATTATCGTGGCTGTTGGCTCGCGTCCCGTGCAGAATTGAGGCAAATGGTGACACAAGATCTTCTAGCTGGTGATGAAAGCGGCAGAGCGCCGCAAAGAGGTGCTGTTGTCAATATCGCCAGCCAGCTTGGAATCGTCGGCCGGCCCACAGCCCGTAAGTTGCCAGTCAAGGTATTTTTGCATGACTGAAACATGGTGCTCACCCTCGTGGATAGCCCATTATTGTGGAAGCAAAGCCGCTGTCATCTCGATGACACAATGTGACGCGATTGATTACTCCCGAGATCATATTCGTGTCAATTGTGTCTGTCCAGGTGTTATCGAGACGCCTATGACTACGTCCGACCAATTCACCATTGACCGATTGAAGCCCGCAATCAATATTGCACCGATGGGACGAATGGGTCAGCCACAAGAAATCGCGGATGCCGCCTTGTTTCTATGCTCGAACCGAGCAAGCTTCGTCCAAGGGCATGCATTGGTGGTTGACGGCGGCTACATCATCAATTAACACCAACAAGGCTGGCCTCATCCATCTCGCCTCTAGCCACGATTTTTCGAGGTGATAAGAGCACATAAACCAAAATGAAGATCTGACGGTTATTGGAGACTGGTTTTGACTTGTAACACGAAGGATAAGTACGGTATCCTAGATGACGATATCTATAACTTCGATGAGATCGGCTTCATGATGGGCGTTACATCGATAGAGCTAGTCGTTACAGCCTTAGAGATCCGTAATTGACCTAAGTCTATCTAACCAGGCAATCGCGAGTGGGTTATGGTAATTTAGGCAGTTAACGCGCTCGGCTGGATAATCCTATTGTTCATTATCTTCGTAGGCCAATATCATCTTCAAGCCTGGTACGAAGGCGACGATATCCACCGAGACTGGCCTATTTCCCTTAGCGATAATGGGTGGACTACTGATCAGCTCGGTTTCGAATGGCTTAAACACTTCAATCAGCATACAGAGTCAAAAACTAAGGGGGCTTGACGTCTTCTTATTATCGATAGACACGGCAGTCATACTACGCTTTAATTTATTGATTTCTGCAAGGAGCATAATATTATTCCGCTCTGTATACCTTCGCACTCGTCACACCTCCTTTAACCGCTTGATGGTTATTTTGCGCCGTTAAAAAGGGCGTACGGCAAGTAGGTTAAGAGTCTTATGCGAAACTCTATCAACTATATTCACAAAACTCGAGTTCTTACCAGCGTTTTGAGCTGCATTCGATACATCAATGACATCAGACAATATTCGTGGAGCCTTTAGAGGCGCCGGATTAGTTTCATTTAACTCAGAAGCTATCCTTTCAAAGCTCGATATCAAGTTAAGAACCCCGACACCACCTCCCGCCGGAAACTTTCCCTGGGAGTCAAAACCCCCAAGTAATACAGTTGAATTGGCCTCTCAAACAGAGCTTATTCGAAACCGAATACAACGACATCAAAATAGCTCACCAACATCCATCCTTTATTCGCTTAATTAGCTCGCGAAAGGCGCGGAGATTATGATGTATTCAGCTACTTTACTCACTTCTCAAGTCACGTCACTTAAAAAGGCAAATGAAGCAGCCACATAACGAAAACAACGGCGAAAAAAGAGGATTTAGAAGCGAGGGACTCTTACAAAGGAGGAAGGGTCTCAACTTATTGATCAAGCTAATATTGATGCCCAAATTATACAAGAAACGCGTCAATCATGGGTAGGGAGGTTGGACACCGTATAGAAACCTGTCCACTGCGTGAAGTAGATACGATAGAAGTCAGATCCTGAATTTAGAACTAATCACCTAAGGAGTTGTATCGAAATTCGAGAAAACACAGGTAGGAGACTAGGTAATTTTGGTGGGGTGCGCCGTTCGCTTGCCTACAATGCTCGCATGCCGGTTACGTTATTAATTAAACAGACTGTGATTTCTCTTCTACTAGATCCTATCAATACAAAACCTCATGTGAATGATGCAGAACGCATTCTATTAATGGTTAATCCACAGCTAAATGTCTATTGGACACAACCCTCCTGTTTAGGAATTTTAGCATTTGCCGCATTCATTCCTGACTTGACATCGGTGCCTTTGGCATATCGGCGCCCATGGAACTGAGAAGGGCCTATTGTAGTCCCTTCGTTTCCTCACTTGGAGTATTAGTCTAACATCGAAAGCTGATCTCGGAACGCAGCAAGATGTACTGACGAAGTCCGACCATTGAGTCTTTTGGTGTTGAATGTATCCACGAGTTGGCTTTGCTTCTTTCCTATTGCGACCAATGATTTCTTAGCTAGGGAAGGTGAGGAGCGGTATTTACTCCTATACAAAAACAATCTCTGCGATGTCTCAGGACTGGCCATCTCCGACAAAGATATACATGAGCTCTTGGTGCCCTTCGACCTTGTGACAATTTCATTGCATGAGTAATCAATCACAACCATGCAAATACCTCGAGTATCGGAGCACTCGCCGCGGAAGCTGCGTATATGCATACTCGTATGTTGATGAAGTTAACGAGTGGAGAGATTGTCACTTGCATCGCTTTGCTTTGTCAGGCTCAGTGATTGCGGATGAAACGGCATCCACCACCGCATCCATGGACTCTCCGCATCTACCAATGTGGGACCTCATCGGCTCCTAGGACAGTCCGGCGGCTCTGTCTATCACTACCACCATCCAATATACCTTGTTCTTCGTCTGACGGGTAGTCATTTGGCGCATTTGACAGCTTGCTTCTCGGCGTACAGATCAAACAGCCTCTGTCAGACAAGTCTCTCGATGTACCGCTTCGTCCACCAGCTATGGTGCGCTCGTCCGAACAAGCCGGAGTTAAGTTGTCACTAGAGGCACAAGCAGTACAACCATCACCATGTGCTCGCGCGGAGATAGAGCTTGACCGCATTTTGCGTAGAATGAATGACTCCTCATAAGAGGCGTGGTAAGGTAGGCTGCTCACTAGGCCCTGTTCCGAGTATCTTTTGACTTTTCACCTCAACACTCAATTGAATGTCACTCGTGTTGGCCTTCTTGTCACTACCAACATAGAAGCCATCATGTCGATTTTACCTGCAGACTCGTCGTCCTCGACGCTTTCAACTGATGCCAACGAGGCCAATGACGTGGAGAGCCAGAAGGCCCCTTCTCACCAAAAGCTATCCCATTGGCGTATGGTTCTGAGTCCAGCAGGGATTACCGATGATGTCGTCAACTATCAATATAAAGGATCTGGAACGACCGAAGATCCATTTCTGGTCGAATTTATTCCTTTCGACCAGCGAAATCCGATGGAATGGCCCGATTGGAAGAAATGGGCAATTACTCTGACTGTCGCCTTTGCAACTCTAGCAGTCTCTCTGGTCGCCTCTGCCTATTCTGCGGCGATACCACAGATCATGAAGGAGTTCGGCTGTAGCGAGGAAATTGCAACCTTGGGTACATCCTTCTTTGTCTTGGGGTTCTGCTTTGGTCCTACCATTTGGGGACCTCTCTCAGAACTGTACGGACGACAAGTCCTCTTCTTCGGAACATTCGCCATCATTACGGCCTTCAATGGTGCCGCTGTTGGTGCGCATTCTATCGCGACGTTGACAGTCTTCCGCTTCATCGCAGGAACGTTCGGTTCCTCACCGCTGACGAATGCCGGAGGTGTCATAGCAGACATGTTCCCAGCCAGTCAACGTGGTCTGGGATTGACCGTTTTCGCGGCCGCTCCCTTTCTAGGACCCTCTCTTGGCCCGATCGTGGGAGGGTTCATTGCCGAGACTGTTGGTTGGCGCTGGGTTGAAGGCGTCATGGCGTTATACTGTGGCTCCTTTTGGATCATCGCTTCATTCGCGGTTCCTGAGACGTACGCACCTGTAATTCTGGGACGACGAGCCAAAGAACTCAGCAAACGCACTGGCAAGGTCTACGCATCTGTCATCGAACACCGTCAGGGCAAGGTCACACCGGCTGCGGCGTTCCAAAAGGCTCTCGTCCGCCCCTGGGCTCTTTTGTTCCTCGAACCCATTGTCTTGCTCATCTCGGTATGGATGGCTATACTCTACGGGACGTTATTCATGCTCTTCGGTGCATTCCCCATCGTCTTCGCCGAACAACGTGGATGGTCACAGGGGATCAGCGGCCTGGCTTTCCTCGGAATCACATGTGGCCAGATTTGCGGGACAATCTACTGCATCAACGACAACAATCGTTATAAGCGCTTGGAAAAGAAGTATAACGGCGAAGCCCCACCTGAAGTCCGACTGCCTCCCGCTCGAATTGCTGCCGTTGTCATACCGTTGGGAATGTTCATTTTCGCGTGGACAAACTACCCTCATATCCACTGGATAGTGTGCATCATCTTCACGGCTCCGTTTGGCTTTGGCACGGTCCTTGCTTTCCTTGCTGGAATCAACTACCTCATCGATGCTTACACGATCTACGCCGCGAGTGTACTGGCAGCGAGTGCAGTGCTTCGAGCCCTGTTTGCAGCAGTTTTCCCTCTCTTCACGACGTATATGTTCGATAACCTGGGCATCCATCTTGCTAGTACAATCCCTGCGATCCTCGCTGCAGCGTGTACACCTTTTCCGTTCATCTTCTACAAATACGGCAAGTCGATCCGGATGAAGTGTAAATATGCCGCGCACGCCCACGAGGTCATGTCTCAAATCAGGGCGAGGCAAAAGGCCGTCCAGGAGGAGGAGGAGCGTGAAAATGAAGAAGAGAAGTTGGCACAGGATGAAGCCAGAATGAGTTCCGACAAGGCAGCAGGCCAGAAAGCGACATCAATGGACGAGAAGGAGCAAGAGTAGTGCAAGTTTGCAAGCCTTTGATTCTGAGCGGATTTGCATAGCGTTGGGACTGGATATGATTTGTATCCAATTTGGTATCATAAGTCATGACAGCATGTATAGACAAATTAGATTGGATGATTGGTCGATTGGACTGAGTGGAAGTTGGGGACGGATTACGTCTAGATAATGAGTAGGTAGGTAATATGTGACGAGGGAAAAAGTACACACAAATCCGAGATGAATATACGAAATAACCAAATTCATGATACTAATCATGTTGATCCAGACTGTGCTGTGTACCTTGATCTATTCAAAAGTAGGAGGATACTGAGAAAGGTCAGCACTCGTTGACTTTTTGGACTTTTTTTTTCTCTCTCTCTAGATGCTATTTACAGCACGGAGAAAATAACCACCAACTCTATGACTTTCCGAAAGCACGAGAATTTTGATTGTAGATACTCTTGAAAGTTAACATTTTTATAGCTTGACATCACTCAATCCCGCCTCGGCCTCGATGGCCTTCTTGTCGTGCTGCCATATCGGCCAGGGTCCCGAGGGATCGGCCTCGTGGCCGACGTCGCCAACGACGTCCTCGAGGTACCGCAGCACGGCACCGCGCATGTCGATCAGGCGCGCGGTCCGGGCCTGGACGGTGCTTCCTGAGATGTCGTGGACGGCGTTCGGGACGACCATGGAATGAGAGGACGAGGTGGCTCTGCCGTCGCTCCCCGCCTCGATGGCGCCCTTCCAACGAGCGATGAGCTGGTGCTTGTCAATGTACGCGGGCACGGCGCCGTCGCTGCCGGATTCGAGGATCAGCACGCTTTTTGTCTTTTTGTCGCTGTCGCTGCTGTTGGTCGTCAGCAAGCCCCTCGGGTCCGGCGGCGGCGACGGCTGGAAGAAATCGACGGAGCCGATTCGCCCAAAGGTCGTCCGGAGGTGCTCGTCCGACAGGTCGCTGGAAAAGTAGTCGTCGATGGAAGGGCGGGCCGGGGAGTCGGGCGAGGCCAGGCTGAGGAAGCGTGACACGCTGATGGGCGCCGGACCCACAATGTCCTTGGTGACGTGGGTGGGTAGGATCGTGGTGGCGTGTCTGGCGGCAGGAGTCGACGCGCACGTGGCCAGTGCCTCCTCGTAGGATTCCCTGACGTCGGGCTTCTTGTTGATTTCGTCCAGGATGGCTTCACGGTCGGACACCGGCGCCTGCATGATCGCACCTGAGATGACCGAACGTGGCCGCGGCGACGATGAGGAGGACGACGATGGAGATGATGCGGATGCGGATGCAGACGAGGCTGGAGGACTGGTGAGGTAGTGCATCACGTCCTGACATCCCGTAGAGTGGCCCATGATGACCACGGGCGTGGTCGAGGACCGTGTGACGTGCTCACGGATGTAGCTTATCGCGTGGCTGATTTCTTCCACCTACGTAAGTGGAAACAGGGCATGTCAGATCTTCAACAAGGTCTTATCGGTGAAATTTGACATGGGAGTGACTTGGAGGAAAGGATTTTTGCACGGAGAAATTTATATCGGCCGTAATTGACCTCTGCTGGTGCTCTTCTGAGCAAAAGGGAGGTAGGGGACAGTGACATTGAAACAGGAGTGATTGAGGTATTTTACCTACATCGCGATTGAGGTCAAAGATGCCGAAGGCTCTGCCGGCTGACGATAGTTGGACGTGCATCACTCGCCATTTCTGATCCGGTGCGTTTCGAGGAAACAATGTAGCAAGATCGTCGACGTAGCCCGGACTGCGAAAGCTGTCGTACAAGCCACCGATGAATAGGAGGACGTTGGGCGGTTGGGCATCTCTTGTGAGGCCGGCGCCGGAAGGAGTGCGATACAGGTACTCCAGTAACGTCAGGTAGCGCTTTGGAAAGTACTTGTGGAGAATGCACTCCATCCCGACGGTGTCCGTGTCCTTGGAAGGGTGGTGACGGAGGTGTGAGGTGGTATTTTGAGCCGCGAACGAGGGGCAGGCCTACTCCTTCACCAGCTGTGAAGTGAGACGAGACCTTGCAGACACAGGTCTAAGTGTGGTGGTATGATGGTCAAGAGACCCAGAGAGAGCGATCTATCCCCTGAACTATAATCTGACTGAATGGAATGACAGAACTGAGATAGGTTGTCTAGAAATCGAGACCTGGAATGTACAAAGGTGGCATGTGGTCATGGCGGGTGGCAGCCTGTGGCCAATTGAGTTTGACGAGGCTGAGGAAAAAGATTTCATGAGGCTGGACATCACGTGCTTGGACTTTTAGTTTGTTCACACTCTTTGACTTCCAATCTCCTCCAACCCCTTTCAATGTCACGCATCATTTTACTCGTGCTACAACACGACGATGTCTAGTATATGCTTTGAATATTCTTGCTTCTAGACCTTTAGCACGTGGGCAATTTCTTCCCTACTTGGCTGTTGCCCCTGTTCTTTGTTTCGGGAAGTTGCCGTCGAAGGCACGCGCCATAGAGCATAGGCTTTGAAACTCACGCTGCAGCTTGGACCCTTTTCTTACACAGGAGTAGCATGGCTATACATCTGTGCGCCTGAAGCTTCAAACTTTGTGGTTCGGTGGCCTGGCCCGATCCTTGAGATCGTGCAATCACTCATTCGCTTTGATTCTTTGGCCGATACATGCCCTGTAGGGTGCCGACAACTCCTTCGTCGGTCCTCCGGATTTCCAGCTCATTCACTATACGATAATATTGTATCCTGGATGATTTCTATCATGTCGAGGGAAAATTGGAAGGAACAGGTACAGTTCCTTGGGTGTTTCCAAACGACGTCAATGCTTTGACAGTCCCACTTCTGTAATTGGCCTATGCTGTCAGATCCCCCTGTCATTCCTTGAACAGGCTGGTAGCTCGCAACACCGATAGCTCTTCTATGTGCGCGCATCAGAGTGAGTCTGTACATATATAACGCAGTCATCGTCATTACGAAGTCAGTATGGCGATCGTTACCTCATTCCATAATCCATCCCTCGCCCACTATGAAGATCAACACCTCGTGGTCATTGGCGTTCAGCCTTGCCTCGTGGTATTCCTCAGTCGACGCCTTTTGGCGCATGAACTGTGGTATTTCTCAACTTGGTAGAATCGATCCCATCCTCAGTCCCGGCGCTGTTTCCGGCCATACACACGTGTTGTCGGGTGCAATCAGTGAGTCTCATACTATTTTGTTCAAATCACACGACACTGACTGGGTCAAGACGTCAACACAACATCGACCTTCGAATCTCTGTCTCACGCATCTTGTACAACATGTTCAATACAGAAAGATCTGAGTGCCTACTGGACCCCTCTTCTCTACTATCAATACAAGAATGGCTCTTTCATCAACGTTCCCAATGGAGGCACGGTGGTCTACTATCTAGGTCGAGGCGACGACCGTGCCAACATCATCCCTTTCCCAGCAGGCTTTCGCATGATCTCCGGCGACTCCACCGCTCGGTCATACGATAACAAGACCATGACCTACAGCACGACCAACAACCCTGGACGTCCCGTTTCAGACAGAGTCAGCTTTGTGTGTATCGACTACAACAAACCGCAGGAGCAAACGCCTGCATTGAACAACACAAATTGTCCAGATGGTCTTCGTGCTCAGATTCAATTCCAGAGTTGCTGGGACGGTGTCAATCTTTACAAGCCCGATCAGTCCCACGTTGCCTATATGTCTCAGATTGACAATGGCATCTGTCCGCCCACCCACCCAAAGCTATTACCTCATCTCTTCATCGAGATGTACTACTCTCCCAACAATCTTGACACTTCGGATGGTGGTCAATTCGTCTTTGCCAACGGCGATGCCACCGGCTATGGTTTCCATGGTGGTAAGTCTTGCCCACAGACATCTCTTTCGGCCATTTCCAATATCTGACGAGATCACCCCTAGATTTCATGAATGGATGGGATAACCAGACCCTCACTGATGCCGTCGCTCAATGCATCAATGGAAACGCGGATGGCGTCATCGAGGAATGTCCGCCTCTGGCTGCTTCCAATGATGAGTACTACGGAACCAACTGCCCTGAGCGCGCATCGCTTGTCAACGAGCAAGTGAGAGGAGTCCTCCCCAAGCTTCCAGGTTGTAACCCTGTAACATACGGGCCTGCTTCAGCTCCCCAAGGAATATGTTCCACAGAGCCCAGCTTGAACAATCTGCCCGACACTGACGGACAAACAAGAGTTCAACCAGTTTCCAACGTCACCACACTTGCCCTCTCCTCTGGCCAGACTGCCAACTATCAGGGGTGCTACATCGACTCGACCGGAGGAAGAGCTCTCTCCGGCGCAAGCACGTCGAACCAAACCGGCATGAGCACATCTGCCTGCGCCGCCTATTGTTTATACCAAGGATACTCCGTCTTTGGCACAGAATATTCCCAGGAGTGCTACTGTGGACTCTCGGTCCCCGCCACCAAAACCAATCAGACGGATTGTGCGATGGTTTGTTCTGGAAACTCGACCGAATACTGCGGTGGCCCTAACCGCTTGAGCGTCTGGACCGTTACCGGCAATGCTACAACACCGTCGACTCCCACGGGGCCGTCTATCAGTGGTGCAACTTATATCAGCTGCTATTCCGATAATGGCAACACACGGACTTTAGCGACACGAACGACCGATTCCCATATGACTCTCGAGCTTTGTGCCCAGACTGCTCAAAAGGGCAACTACAAGTACTTCGGGACCGAGTATGCTTCCGAATGCTGGCTCGGCAACACCTTGACTTCGTCCGCCGGGTCTATCGGAGAAGGCAAATGCAGTATGCAATGCTCCGGGAACAGCACCGAGATGTGTGGAGGTCCCAACGCCCTGAGCTTGTTCCAGAACAAGAATTTCCAGCAACCTGGAAACCCGGCGATTGTGAACAACTTTGCATTTTCTGGTTGCTACACGGAGGGCACTTCGGGCCGCGCACTCGGCGGTTCCAAGAGCTATTCGACTTCGAACAACAACATGACCGTCGAAATGTGCGTGTCGACCTGCTCATCCAAGGGCTACAGCTACGCCGGGGTTGAGTACAGCAGGGAGTGCTATTGCAACAGCATCGGCGTCACGAATGGAGGCGCCGTCGCGTCCAACCAGGCGGACTGTTCGATGCTCTGCGGCGGCAATCAAACCGAGTACTGTGGCGGGTCAAGCAGAATCTCCGTCTACACCCTCAAGACCAACAACAACTCGTCGGGTGTTTCGACCATCGGCTCACGACAATTGCACAGCAGAGACTTTCTCTCGCGTTGGTTCGGAAGCGAACAATAATCGACGAAGTCGAGGAGTTCAATTAGTATAGAATAGGTTTTTGTGCTGTTGTGGAAGTTTACATGATTTATGAAGCAATGATCCGTAGAATTGCATAGTTTCTCAACAGAAGGAATTTGGCAAGATCTTTGTATTTCTACTACTACAGATGATGCTAACATATATTTGATTCAGTTTCCATTCCGGGCATATTGGACTTTGAGACATGCTACCGGAGTTACAATGTAGCCCCAAACAACCACAAATGTAAAAGAATAATCTCCCGTTTGACAACAAGCAAGAGGTAGCTATCAGGACGTTTTTGACTCACTTCTGGACCTCGGAGTGTTGCTCGGGTGAAATAGCGTGAACATCCGATTCTTGGAGGGTCTGTTGATCTCGAAGGTGATCCTGTCCCTGCCTGATGACGTCGTCGGCTTGCTCCGTGGTCAAGGCCTGTTTGCGTTTGACATAGGTCCTGACGCCAGGAACCTTGAGCAAAAAGGACACAATTTGCTTCTTGAGGGGCAGGGAGCCAGTCTTCTCCTCGTACAAGAGACAGAAGACGCAGAAGACGATGAAGACCCAGTACATGATGTACGAGATGACGGATCCATACGTCGCGGTATTCTGCCACCCGAGAACCGCATTGAACACGTCCCAACCGTTGTCGGTCTCTGGATTGCAACAGTTGACGTGCCAAATTGTTTCCCGGATGTCATAAGATCCGGGTCCGTTTCCTGCCTCGGCGACATCGCTGCCGACTTTTTTGGCAAACACATGGTACTGTAAACTCCAGATGGACTTGGAGAACATGCCTGCGGCGATGAGGTAGAGTATGCTGGTTGCGACGATCAAAAAGATCTGGATCGACAGGATGTTACCACCACGGTAGAGAATCAACCCGACGGCCAGACCAGCCAAGATCCCTGTGATCACAGGAATAGGGAATGCCGTGGCAGGCTGGCCTAGCGAAACTCCGCCAACGAACACCACAGCCTCGACGCCCTCCCGCAAAGTCGTGATAAGCGGTAGGATGAACATGACATAGCGTCTGGACCAGTTGCTGAGGTAGGAGCCAACAGAGTGCTTCTTGTTCTTTTGCTCGACCAGTGCCTGAGCAATCTTCACTCGCCATTTTTCCTGGGTCTTGTTGATACGGAGAAGGGGTAGTCCCATGGCAGTGATGATGATAGCGGCGATGAGATAGAATATACCCTCCCAGAGATCTTCGGATTCAGCCCAGATGTTGTGACCCAAACCGTAGAAAATCCCAATGAAGATACCGCCGATAATCAGGCATATCACGATTCCCAGTATGGACCCCCACCATACTTGCTTGACTAGGCGTTTATATATCTTCTGATCTTGATCCGGCTGCCCGAGGGTTTGTTTGAGAAAGGAGAGAAGGACCGAAATGACAATGACGGCTTCCAGGCATTCTCGAAAAACAATAAAGAAGACCTGGGGAGCGAAGACGTTGACCATGGTGAAAAAAGAGTTGAGCAGTAGGTAGTAGAGAGGCTCTGCGTCGCTGGGAAGATTGCCTCTTTTGAGGATCGTACAGCAAGGGAAGCGGCGAGCCTCCGTACTTGATCAACAATTTATTCCCCTCCAACCTGGTACTCTTCGGCTAGCCGAGCCCAAGCATGCTCTCCGCGGCCAAATGCACCCTGCAAGCAAGGACAATCGGCTAGTCTTGGGGCATTCCGGAAATCGGCCTCGCATGGATGGGACGGTGGACGATACCAACACTGATGTGGAAGTGGGCTCGAAATGAGCTGATTGATACCTCACTTGATGAGACACATGCAGTAAAAAAGGGTGCGGACGGTCAACCAGTCCACAGCGTGTGGCCGATGTCAATGCGCGTGCGGAGACAACAAGCTTCGAGTTTCTCACTTGGCTCTCACAAGCTTTTGCTTGAGCAACCCACAGTCCATGCAATAGCGACACGATAGTGGATATCGACCCTCATCTAGGCCAGCGTAATCAGACCACGTTCGGCATGGACTTGGATGAGCGTGGCATGAGAAACGGCATGAAAGGGACGTTAGGAGATTACCATTATCTAATCGTATCTTTTTGCGCATTAATCTTATCTGATAGCGGTGCGAGGGTTACGTATACTTCGTATTTTTTCTTTTCGCTCGGGCATCCACACCCTCTCTGTGAAGGCTCTACACCACCCGCACTTGCGACCTAGACGCCGCGAGAGATGAACACGGCCTGAGAAAATTTTTGTCAATCTACCGGGATCATGCACGTGTCGCTCTCACACTCGATACGACCTCACAATGCGGCTGTTTCCCTCCGACGTCGGAAGATCGTTGCTGTTCACAGTTGCCCAAAGCTACAACAGTCAAAAAGACTCAGCACACTAAAAACACTAGCCGTCGGCTAACAATTCTGGACCCTTCAAAGCTTTACGATTGGGCCTGAGGAAGCATGTTTTCAGTGGGACCGCAATGGGATGTCAGCCGAAGTCCGACTCGATTGCTCTCTCTGCAGTCCCTGTGATCGAAAATCAGATAATCAGATAATCCTCTGCTCCCCCCTTGAAGGAACGATGGCAGTGTTCACGCTTGTCACATCCTACACAGTCCTTGCCGAGCTCTGTCCTTGCTCTCCCACCTCATTCAGTGCTTCTGGCCCTCCTTGACGGCCTGGAGGTGATTCTTCACCATGATTTGGTTCACTTGGCTGGCTTTGACGCTCGCGGTCTCTCCATGTCTCGCCAAAACGGTCGAATACTGGTTCAATGTGACCTGGGTGATGGCAAACCCTGATGGTTTGTACGAGCGCAAAGTCATTGGCATCAACAATACATGGCCTCTTCCCACCATTGAGGTAGACAAAGGGGACAGGCTTGTAGTCCATGCGCACAATGGGCTTGGGGATAAAGACACCAGCATCCATTTCCATGGGATGTTTCAAAATGGCACCACCGACATGGATGGCGCAAACATGTTGTCCCAATGTCCAATACCCCCTGGATCGACGTTCACCTACAACTTCACCATCAATCAAAATGGAACCTATTGGTATCATTGTCACGTCGACTATTGCTATCCCGATGGCTACCGTCAAGCGTTGATTGTACACGACAAAGACTCATATTTCTATCACAACTACACGGACGAGTTCGTTGTCACGCTCAGTGATTGGTACCATGAACTGGTAGAGGACATCGCGCCCAATTTTTTGTCTCTGTACAACCCGACTGGGGCCGAGCCGATACCAGATTCATTTCTGTTCAACGACACGCTCAACTCAAGTCTCCCTGTTCAGCCCAACACGACATACATGATCCGGCTGATCAACATTGGGGCATTCGTCGGACAATATTTTTATATTGAAGATCACAAACTGCGCATTGTCGAGGTCGACGGCGTCTATGTCGATGCCGCCGAAACGGACACCGTATTCCTAGCTGTGGCTCAACGGTGCTCCGTCTTGGTGACGACAAAACCCACCACGGATAAAAATTATGCCATTGTGACCGTGGCGGACCAAACTCTTCTCGACACGGTTCCCTCGCAGTTGAAACTCAACAACACCAATTGGCTTGAATACAACAGCTCTGCTTCCCACGATCAGGCTGTGGTCACTCTAGACGTTACCGACTCTATACCGGCCTTCGATGATATCGGCCTCGTACCATACGACCGTCAAGAGCTGTTAGGTGAACCTGATCAGCGTATCGAATTGGCAGTTGTCATGGCCGAGCTGGGGAATGGTCTGCCTTATGCGCTGCTCAATGATATCACTTACACGGCACCAAAAGTGCCGGTGCTGTACTCTGTACTGTCGTCCGGAGACCAAGCCGTCAATAGCCAAATCTATGGTGACACCAACGCATTCGTGCTCGGTCATAACGAAGTCATCGAGGTGGTGTTGAACAACAACGACACCGGATCCCATCCTTTCCACCTACACGGTCACAACTTTCAGATAATTGACCGAGCTCCTTCATTTGAGGAGTTTTTCAGCTATAAACCCTTGGCTAATCCCATCCCTTATGATCCGAACAACCATTCCGCCTTCCCTACCTATCCAGTCCGTCGAGATACCATTCTTCTTCCACCGCATGGGAGTCTTGTCTTCCGTTTCGTCGCCGACAATCCTGGGGTCTGGATCTTCCACTGTCACATCGACTGGCACTTGGCTCAAGGTCTGGCATCCGTTTTTATTGAAGCGCCCCGACAGATCCAAGAGCAGCTCACTGTGCCCGAAGACCACTATGCCGCTTGCCGAGCTAAAGGAGTCCCCTACACGGGCAATGCCGCTGGAAACACCGAGGATTTCTTGGATCTGTCGGGCGCTCCTTCGCAACCAGGCGTCATCCCCTATGGAGGCTTCACGGCCAAGGGTATTGTGGCCATGGTGTTCGCCGTCTTGTCCGCAGTACTGGGCATCGCCTCACTAACGGTTTATGGCTTGAGTGATATCAAATTTGCGGCCAACAATAAGCGACAGTTATACTTGACGACGGAAACGAAATATCGCGATGATCCCGTACCAGAGAATGTTATGGTGCCGCCCAAGGTTAATTAGGGGCGTTATCTAGCAAATTGCAGCAACAAGTCATGCATATACTATAGTGTTGACTTTATTATGGGTAGCATGGAATGAAGAAAGACAATCATACGGCCACTTTTGATGATTGAGCACCGGATCCACCATGCTTGGGAAATGGTATGGCGAAATTTCCTACTGCAGATTCAAGTTGTATACATATATATATACCTACATCAGAGATCTAAATATTTATCTGTTGTGATTCTCCTTCATTGCCGGTTCAGGCTTCACGGTAATTCACGTCGCTTAGCCTCTTATATCTAGCGCTCTTCTCCTTGAAATGTTTGCGAAGAGATTCACTCGGGATTTCACTTTCCCTATCAACAAACAAGCCAATACGCTCCGTACCTCTACAATCAAAGGCAGCAGACGAATCTATGGAACCCTGAGTCTTGATGTCTGTTGGAAGGTGAAGTAATTTGCGCTCTTTGGGACTGACTCCAAATGCTCGCTTTGCCGAGCTTTACGGGCACTGCAGGCACACCTCAAGTGTACCAAGTCAGCAAGATACGAATTTCTTTGCATAAAAAATCAATAAGTCTGTAACAACATGATTGAGCTACCCGAAACCAGGATCGCAACGGCACACGTCAACCTCATGACGGACACGGTCATTGCCAATTTGCCGCCCGAAGCGTTGCGTTCCGTCATGCGATCCATCCTCACCACGGATCCCGGATTCACCGGTGCTCTCGAGTGTCACACCCGACGATACCTGCTGAAGACTTCTCCCTCATTCTCCATCGGAGAGCTCTTCACCGGCGACGCGTCCAGCGGGCTTGAAACGACCGTGCAGTTCACCACGACCCAGCAACGCATCCGGGTCATGTTGGGAAGTGGGCTCTGCTTTGAAGGTTTGGGACTTCTAGGTGATATCATTGACAAGTGTCGTGCGCTTCGCCTCGGGGAGCATCCACCAGAGGAGAGGCTCCTGCAATCCCTCGTGTCGGTGGATGGGGATATCGTGCAAGCACTCACGGCCGTCGAAAAGAAACTAACCCTGCCTTCAGGGAGACGAGACTTGGCCGAGGATGAATCAAGGTCGTTGACCCGCCTCGTGCGGTCACTCCTCGAGTGTCGCAAGGGATGGAGGAGCCAAGGACAAAACGAGTTCGTCTTTGAGCGTAGTCTGGGAGCGGTCGCCGATATCACGTCGACAAACCTCGATCTCGAAGACGGTGGTGATCATTCTTCCTCTCTCCCTCGCGGACAAGGTCACGTACCTGCTGTGCCCGCTGTGAATATACCTCCGCCACCAGAGACTTTTGACCTACAAGGAACGTCCTTACCGAGACTCTTTTGCGGGCTTTGGCAATTGTCGAGCCCATCGTGGGGCATCGCGTCCAAGGAACAAATCTCCCGACAGTTCTCGCGCTACTTGAGTAAAGGGTTTGTAGCATACGACATGGCAGATCACTATGGAGACGCAGAGGTTCTTTTCGTACGCTTTGAGAGCTTCTCAACTGCCGTTGAAAAAGACTGTTAATCACTGAACAGGGATCGTTTCGAGCCTCGACAGTACAGGCCGATGCGATATTCGGGGCCACAAAGCTCTGCATCTTTCAACCTACCACTATCACAGAGACACTCTTACGGGACAATGTTACCGAGCGATGTCGTCGAATGAGTTCAAGCACAATCGACCTCTTACAGTTTCATTGGCAATTTGTGAGCACCCTGTGTAGAAATTGGCGTGGGAACACCTTTGCTTACGCACAAATCTCTGCATCACACACACACAGTACGATGATCCTCAGTACATCAAAGCGCTACGTATTCTACAGGCGGATGACCGTATTCGCTTTCTCGGTCTCTGCAACTTTGACACCCTCAGACTCGAAGAGATACTTGGCGCTGGAATCAAGATTGCAACGAACCAAGTTCAGGTATGCACATGTGTTGTTGGCTAAGCCCTCGTGTCGACTAATTACTAAGAGAATCATAGTTTTCATTGGTCGATTCACGTCCAACGATCAAGATGGGACGAGTATGTCAAGAGAACAACGTCAAATTATTAACATACGGGACACTGGTTCGTTCGACATTTGCCTCCGTGGCATTTCCCATGCTCTCATCTAGTCAAAAAGGAGGTGCGCTGACGGTTCGGACATCAGTGCGGCGGTTTCCTAGCGGACAAATGGCTAGGACAACCTGAACCTGAATTATTCTCTGATAGAATGACGCCCAGTCAGAGGAAGGTGAGTGAGCGGTCACGGTATCGATCCACGATATGATGTTGCTTATTGACTGATTTTTGGTTCAAACACAGTACTTTGAGATGATTGTGGCTTGGGGCGGATGGTCTCTCTTCCAACAATTGCTCACCGTTTTGAAGGCCATGGCAGACAAATACCAGGTGGGCATATCGAACGTGGCGACGAGGTGGGTCCTGGATTTTCCGTACGTGGGTGCCGTCATCGTTGGAACGAGGATGGGAGTCAGTGAGCATTCGGACCAAAATCTCGACACTTATGGATGGCACTTGGATGAAGAAGATCAAAAGTCGATCGAGACAATCCTGAGTAAGAGTCGGAGAAAAGAAATATTCAATGTCATAGATGATTGTGGTGGGGAGTATCGTTGATTCTTAAGGGCCCTTTGAAAGCAAGCGTGGCCATTGACGAGATTTTTGGGTGAATATTCTGTCTAGACAGTCCGTATTCCGGACAATAGGGGTAAATCGATCAAGTTCACAAAGGTACAGCGGTCGTCTCGGCATGACTAAACGTCCTAGTTCCTGCCCTCGTAATCTTCAACTGGGATTTGCAATTCGGGTCAGGACAAGCGACGATCGCGTCCGTCGACATCCAGTCGTTGCGATGCGTTGGACGTTGTTTGGCCGGCAAAAGTGGTAGTATCGCAGCTATACATGTGAGAAACGAGTGAGAGGGCTGACCGGATTTGAAGGAAGGACAAGAGAGGTTGGTAGTAAAAAGCAAGGATTAAAAGTCAACTCTCCGTACCCAAGCTGTAAATGCTAAGTCCCTGATCTTTAGGTAGGTACAACATCTCCCCTCGTAGGAAGAAGTGGTCGCCTGCTTTGGCACCGCAGTAGATGGGTTCTCCTGGCGGACATACCACTTCGACACGAAGGTCGTAAAGTTGGAATTGATCGTCTTGTGTGGTCATGATTTGAAACCAGCAATCCCTTATTTCCGTTGGATTGTATTTAGACAACTCCAATGAGGAGGACTCGTATCGCTCTTTAAAGTAGAAGATATTATATTACCGTGAGAGTTGTTCGTCGATTGTGCTCGGAAACAACACCGTCAGAACTTCGGAATAATGTACCTCCGTGGTATTTATCCGCGAAAAAGCGGCGCGAAAAAGTGCTCCAGAATCTGTTGCGAAAACTCCGCGATTTCTCGACATTCCCCGCCTCCACCTTGATTCTCCGAACCAACATCTCGGGAATCCAGCAAGGTTGATCAAATGTAGCAGCTGACTTGTGTAGTCACAAAGAGGGCATCATCATCATCATCGTCATCATCATCAGCATAGACTTTGTTGAAAAAGAAAAATCGGATGTGACTATGGCACAGGACGATGGCGGTCCACAACGAGTCCAGTTCTCTAGCTGCGACGAGTGTAGGAGGTCACGAGTCAGATGCGATGCAGGGAGGATGCGACGAAGCAACAACAGCAACACCGATGACGCGGTCGCTTCAACTCAAAAGTCATGTACGAGATGTCTGAATCGACAGCGAGACTGTACGTTCGAGGTAAGACACACAACTCTGTTGGCTTGAAGCAAGGAGAAGCAAAGGCTACTAGCGTTCGAGGACGAGCTGATGTCGTTTCCACAGTGGCTTAAGCGGAGGGCTTTCACCACTGGCACAACACATTATCGAACCAAAGGTCGAGACCAGTCTAGACAAACAGAGAGCGACAACAATACCTCTGACCCTAAAGAAATCACTCTGGGTCGCTCCATGTCCGAACTGAGTGAACCTCCTGGGTAGGGTCACACTGAAACCATCTGCGCTGAATTTGTTTCTTTGGCTCTGACACATCAATTTCAGGGTGGACTGGACCTGGCCGGCCAGAGATTCTATGCAATCTCAGACAAGCCTTGCCGCGGATGAGCTTGACAACATGACTGACACGCGCTGGCTGCATGCAATCTATGAGACTGTCTTTGAGACTGTCATTGGCTCATGGCTGGGCAAATATAGCAATCCGTTCGCGTAAGTGGCCCCTTGCCGGTTCTCGACGCGCTCCTACCTGACAGCAACCAGATTCGGCGAACATAGTCTCTCCGACATGTGCGTGAGTGTACATCAGCTGTGTCGCCGTCTTGATAAATGGATGGACGAAGATTGGGAGAGCCCTGCGGCCATGCTGGAGCTCGGTCGTTCAGTAGATAGTGCTCGGCGTGAAAGAGATCTTCAGATCGACCAGTGCCTCGATCATGCGATCGAAGCGTTTGCCGCTCGTTGGCTGCCGCTAGTCGCGCAATCGCAAGCGCAGAGACTCGCGTCCGATGAAGTCATCAGGACTCTCTGGCGACGCGCCCACAAAGACATGCTGAGGGTCATCAATCGGCCGTCGTACCGGTCCATGCTGACATTACTGCTGTTTGCTCTGACACCCATTCCGGCCGGCATCTCAGAAGAGGAAGAGCTGGATCGGGTTCCTGGGCAGGTTTGTGTACACGCCGCTCTTCAACAGATTCAAGAGCTGCGTGCTCATCAACGAAGTCTTCGGTTCAACGGCAACCGGATCAACCTCGATATTCCCGCCCGTGCTCCGGGTACAAGTCCCCATTCAATGGCAACCGCGAACTTTATCAACGCCGAGAGCACTGCGTATTGGGCCGCTCTCACCTTCGACACGTCGGCATCCCTGACCTTGAGTTGTAAGCCGTTGCTCTCCTCAGGCTTGTTTGGCTTCGAATCCGAATCATCCTGGCGCTTGGTCCGCACCTGCCTGGAGATATTCCGTGATATGACCAAAGACTGGAACGACTCGGACTTTGAGATGACCGACGAAAAGGCCAATCAAGTCATCGCCGCTGGCGCTGCCTGGAAATTGCTGGTGTGGAAGCTGACAGCCAATATGAAGGAGTCGCTACGAGATGGTCACGACGAAGCAGAGGTTAGCAGGGCTTTCAGTCTCGTTTCGGAAGCCATCGATCAGTTCAACATGACGTACCGTGGCTTATTGGAGGCTTGTCAGAGACGCATCCAGTTCTTCGGACAGGAGACGAAGCTCCGGTGGTGTAAGTGGACGAATGTGGTGCCTTTGTGTGGCCATCCCGCTGACAGCCTCCCAGATGAATTGATGTTGCATTACAATCTGTCCATTCTGATGCTGGTTGATATGATTGCCGCAACCGACCGTCACGACCTCTTGACCAGATTTTCCGCCAAAAGAGTCGATGCTGAGAGCGCGGTGTTGAATAGTTTAATGTTCGGATTGACCAACAGGTACACTGTGCAGATCCAATCGGACGACGCCACGGTCAATTCTAAATTGTCCAATGCCCAAGTACCGACCTTCACGTCGTCACTTGTCGCCATCGACCCCTATGCGCATCATGCCGTTGCTGCGGTGAAGCTAATGCAGAAAGCTATAGACAGGGACTTTGCCGGTGGGAAAATCAGCGCCGATGCGTATCGGAGCTTGCTCTCCACGCTTACGCAGACGCTTGACCAGCTTCCTCAAGGGTCAAAGTCGGTACAAATTATTCGAGCCGATCTTGCCAGGGTGGAAGTTGCCTCGCAACCATTATATGCGATAAACGGAACCTGACACCGGGTTTCCCTGCTTTTAGATATCGGCATTCCCGGCAGTCAAGCCGGGCAAAGAAGCCGAGCCTCCTCGGTGAACGAGGGCGCTTTCCCCGGATTTCAGTCACGGCGAGAGATGGTTCCGGAACCTCCGTAATGGATTCCGAGCACGCATCCGCACTGGAACAAGCCGTGAACCGTTGGGAGCTGGCCATTGCTGTATCTACAAGGACAGCCAAAGCCCAGAGAAGAGATGCCCGCTCTCCGACACTGGGACGAACTCGCATCCGTGGTATGGACATTTTCGCGTACGGCAGCTTACCAAACAAGAGAGTGCAAGAGGATCGGCTTGGTTGCCCCAGGTGTGGGTGAAACCCCAGATTTGATCCGCCCGTCCTTGTAAAATCGTGGCTAATTGGGGGTTATCGGATGCGGATCCATTGACGACCCCCAAATCTGATCACCAGCAAAGTGGTGCACGGGGAAATTATTCACCATTGGCATCATCAGGTGCTTTCGCTCGCCCACGTCCTATCTGGACTTTTCAAAAAGGATCAATGTTCCCAGCTCCCCCGGAAGCGAAACCCATGCAATCGGCAATTCATCATGCGCCCAAAAATGGCAAATCTAGCCGTTGGTTCAGTGGACATCGACTTGCCCTGTCACCAGAGAAGTAATGACGCATGGCGAACATGTCATGATATCAAACCGTCGAGCACTCGCCTTTGGGTTTTTGGCAAACGACCACTTACAAGAGGTGGTGGCTTTCCGCCAAAAGGCTTGGGTCACATTCTTGAAATCCTGATCGTCCTATCCGCCACCAATCAGCTTTCGACAAATCGATACCTTAAACGTCGACTCAGGTCTTGGCTCGGAACCGATGGGCGATTGAGCAACTCCTATCATCATCCAGGTCTTCGAACATGTTGGTACGACGATATTTCACATGTTGGAGGGAAAGTCTAGACCTCGTTGGATTGGTTTCGGATACCCTGATGTACTGTATGGGATCTATCAACACAGGTACACCTGCACGTGTCTCGTCTCGCAGGCCCAGGGAACGACTATGGTTCCGATGAAGCTGCCACGCTTTCGTCACGCTGATCCATTCGGATACACGCTGCTTAGAGAGGCACATTCTTCGAAAGGTGAAGTTACTTTGCAGGTCTTCGATACAATTTCGTTGATGTGTCATCAAAGATACAATCTGTCAGGAGCCATAGACGACGAGTGTCATTCTTGTGACCGAATTCAAAACCGCCGACAACTTCTCTATCATATTGCCAGTCTCAGAGACGAAATCTCCTAAACTTTCCCATCCCGTCTCTCAAGCACGACCCTGTCCAGTTCATTCAACTTGTTCCTCCTCTCTTGTTCAGCTCTCAAAGAGTATATCTGAAGGATGGACTTCTGTCGCCCAAATCAGACAATTCTGCATCTGTCAGGCCATGTGCCTCTCCACTCCTCTCTCTCTTCGCATTGATACGTCCATAGGAGATCCGTAAGACCAGGACGGCGACCAATCCCATCACCACGAAGCCGAGTTCTAGCCCGTGACCGAGCAAAAACTTTGGCTTGTCTTTGGCCCGATAGAAATTACTGGCCATGGCACCGCCGACTATTGACCGTGTTTGTCAGTTTTTTTTTCCACGACGCTCGCGAGTCTGCAAAGCAAGCCGGAGTAACAACTTACGGTTACCGAGTCCGATCTGCATCGCCATACCAGCAGCCCTCTTGTAGCTCCCCGCCAAATTGTTGGCGATCCAAGTGACGTTCTGTGGGAAGGCGGGATAGATACCACAGACCGCGATGAAGATACCCGCGTACACCACGCCCGGTACGCCGCCGACCGCTGAAGCGGCAATCGTCATGACAAAGCCAACCAGGATGACGCACATGGGCACAAAGACGTAGACCCAACGAGCGGCCCCCCGTCTCACGCCTCGGTCGGACAGCCAGCAAAGAACGACGGCGAGAACGGCCGCGGTTATGTATATAGGGATCGTGAGAAGTTGGGCGGTGGTTGACTTGTATCCCAGATCTGCGATGATGGTGGGAAGGAAAAAGGAGATGCCGTACAAGGGACAAACGATACCCCAGTACATGAACAGACTGACATAGAGTTGCCAATCGGAAAGGGCTGTGCGTGGGGGGTTGGTTTCCAATGTCAGCATAATTCTCAGTTTCCCACGCCTTTTGTGGTACGGAACGACGACCGACGATCGACGACGACGACGACGACTTACCTCTAGTGACATACTTCCACTCAAAGTGGTCACTCTCAGCAATGGCTCTTCCACTCTTCTTGCTTCCCTGGTACTTCAACCGGTGCACGACCCAAGCCTTTTCCTCGACGGTCAAGAAGGAGGCCGTGTCTGGGAAATCGTGCAGAAGGAAAAATGCGGCGATTGCGGCCAAGACGGTCACCAGTCCTTCGAGGATAAAGATCCATCTCCAGCCTGCGTAACCTCCGACGCCGTCCATTTTGGAAATTGCGTATGCCTGCGGGTGCGGGAATGAGTACTCACGCGACACCAAAGATGGACGTGGGGGAGGTCCAACTCACCAATAAACCGGAAAAGGCTCCCGCCACGCTTGCAGCACTGAAGAAAAGACCCTGACGGAACGCGAGCTCGTCCGTGCAGTACCACATGGTGAGGTAATAGGCGACACCCGGGTACAGACCTGCCTCGGCCAATCCCAGGAAGATTCGAGCGATCAAGAGACCATGATAGTTTTGGACGCAACCCATGAGTGTCATGACGGTCCTGTACGGTGGTTGTTGTTGCATGTCAGCACGAGTTTTACCAGAGGACCTCTTTTGTCAATGTCAATTCTCGAAACTCACCCCCAAGCCACCATTATAGTGGGCAACCAAACCGACGGTTTGAATCGTTTCAGCAAAAGGTTGCTAGGTATTTCAAAAGCCGAATAACTGAAGAAGAAAACTGTCGCGCACAGGCTGTACTGGGTTCCCGAGAGGTTGAGGTCGTCTTCCATGCCGGCGATTTTGGCGTTTCCGATGTTTCCGCGGTCGAGGAAGGACAGAAGGTACAACAGGGCCAACATGGGGATCAGGCGCAAGTCCATCTTACGGAGTGTCTTGCGTGGATCGACGTCGGTGATGTCGATTCCATCTCCCGTCCAGCTTGGGTCGTGATGTTTGGTATCGGCCTGTTCAAGCTCATGGAAGAGACGACGAAATTAGTTTCTTGTGTGTCTGTTTGAGATGAGAAAAGGAGTAGGAGAAGGGACATACAATGACATGTTCGAGCTTCTCATCATTGTCGACGCCGAGCTTCACCTCTTGATCATGTACATTCATCTTGTCCATGATCACCGCGAGGGGGTCCTTGTGGGCAAAGGAGAAACAAGAAAAAACTATCTCAGGAAGGGGAGAGAGGGAGCGTGAGAGGTACAAAAAGGGTAAATCAGGTAGTAGGAGTCGTAGGAGTTACTTGGTCGCTTTGTTGAATACCGAGGGAGGGGGGGTAGGACGTTGATATTTATATTCTTTTCTTGGTATTCCGCTTTCGAGATACCGAGCAACCTTGTATGGCTGTAATGGGATGGAGTAGTATTCTAGACGAAGCCTTTTTAGCTTTTGGTTTTTTTTTTGGTCTGGGAGAGAAGCACGTTTGATCCGTTGGATTTGATCGTATCATCACATGCTTTATCATAATTGAGATCAAAGGTTCTAAGTCGTGGGGTCCCCGCCAAATCAGGAACCACGATCCGCATGAGGGAGAGAGTTGGAAACACGTTCCAAGGGTCAATCAAGGTTTTGGTGGTTTCCATCGGTTCCGAAGATCCTTGTCTTTTCGTGTGGCAAATGATGTTCTTCTCTTTTATCTCGCTCGCCTCGCTCGGGGGGTTTGAACCACGCTCAAGGAAGCGAGGATAGCGATTGATACTAACGGAGTATGGAGGTCGGTGATCGAATACGGCAAATGACAATGACCAGTAATGAGCGACGGTTTGTTTTCCTTCTACACGAACGATGATAAGTCATTTGATTTGTTTCGTCCAAGGGGGTAGTGGAAATTTGGCAGTTCAACATTTCTACAAAGTATTAATTTCAACAGAAGGGTTCGACTCGCTTAAAAGTCACGCCACCAGTCACGAGTGTTACTACCTACTGGACCATGTACGGAGTACGGAGTACGGAGTATACCTACCTGGTTGTCAAATAAGATGGTGTACTCGTAATAGTAATGACAATGGACCATCCAAAAGTAGCGAGAGACAAAAGGTACGACGAGTATGCGTCTTTGGGTAAAGATCCATCTGGTGTCAATCCTCACCTCAGAGCTGCATAGTTGTAGTCAAGTATCCAAAGATCGAGGGCCGTGTGATATCGAACATTCTTGCGATTCTCGGAAGTAAAAACAACAACGCCACCGAATGAATTTTTGTAGTCGATACCAATACACATTCCAGCAACTAACTTTCCAGGACAAGACACTGGTAAGTCATTCTCATAACCATTCAATGGTTCAAGAAAGCCACCCACTCAAGGCAACCGTCCAAAACCGACCGACCAGATTTGATTTGAGCCACTTCAACCTACTTGACCTTACTCAATCCCGAGGGAATTCTTTGTGCCTTCATAGCGAAGCATTGATCTTTGTGGTCACGGGCTTGACCTCGACCATTAGTTTGCCTATTTCATACGTGTAACACATTAGCAAAAACACGAACTCTTTTTAGGGTCGACAGCAATGGATGGTCCCTATTTTCTCACCTGTATTGATTCCATTGTACAAATCCCTCAACGCCTCCTCAGCCTTGACTAGACCACCCTTGACCACGGTCTCTTTTCTTTTAATCTTACCCTCCGATAACCATTGACTTAGATCTTGAAGAGCTCGTGGATATTCCTTTTCATAATCGAAGACGATGAAACCTTCCATTCTTTGTATTGTCAGTAACCACAACCTTCACAGTCAGAAAGAAAGAAGCACACGTACCGGATCCTCATTGAGATGATCATCAAGTAATTCTGAAAGGAGTCTGTCAGCCACTCGAGTCCTTTTTCAGATTACCAGACTATGACATGTACAAACCTTTGGCCCTTGGGGTTTCGAAGTGTTGTATTGTGATATTCCTGTAAAGTATCTCTCGTCAGTCTGTCTAGAAACCCCCCTCGGAAACAAAGTCGATGTATGAGTATGACATACCACCACACATGACAAATCTAGCATGAGGTTTGGCTCTTCCCAAAGCCATATCGAGAATCTCACCACCGACTATCGAGGACTGTATTAGCGAGAATACAGTACACGTGAACTGAAACAAGGTCAAAAATCTCACCATTGTCAAAGTAAACGTCGATCAGGTTCTGCTGTAGGTCAGCAACACAGTACATCCTCGTATGCACTTGAAGATTTCCAGAAAACTTCTCACCTTGGTTGCGTCTCTGAACTTTTTGGGAAATTCCTTGTCCTTGTAATTCAGAGCCCCGTCAAATCCAAGCTCTTCGATCAACCATCGACACTTGTCTTCGCTACCGGCGATACCCAATACCGTGGCACCTTTCAACTTGGCGATTTGTCCCACCACGCTACCCGTGGCACCTGCGGCACCGGATACGACGACAAAGTCACCTGCCTTGACCTTTCCGACGTCCAAGATACCAAAGTAAGCCGTCAAACCGGTGAGACCTAGATTTTTTTGGGGAGGTCGATCAGTAAAATACGCATAAAACATACACACCACATGAACATGATTCGACATACCAAGTACGCTGAGGGTATCCGTCAAATGGGCGCCTTTCGGTAACGTCGTCTTTTGTAGTTCCTTGGCCTCGCAGACTTTCAATTCCCTCCAACCGACGGTACCCGCCGCGTAACTACCCACGGGAAAGGACGAGTTTCTGCTCTCCTTGACCGTACCGACGGCGTACCCACGCATGACTTCACCGATCCGAACCGGCGGGATGTAAGACCTGGTGTCGTTGAGCCAACCTCTCATGGCGGGGTCGATACTGAGGTAGTTGGTCTCGAACAGGACCTGGCCATCTTTGAGGCCGTCGGCCGACGGGACAGGGTTGTCCGAGACGACTTTGAACGTCTCACCGGCTACGATGTTGTCCTTGGGTCGTTTGGCAAGGACCACAGAGGTGTAAGTTGAAGCCATGGCCCCTGAAAAATTTCTTGATGGCCCGAGAGAATCCGGGGGGGGTTGTAAGCAAGCCCTTTGTTTTGCGAAGGCCGTCGACGACTTTCTCGATGAACCCGGTACCAGTAGAAGTTGAGATTGAATTCGCTAGGTGAAGGGCGAATCAAGTTTGATACTTGGTGATGGAGATTTACAAAGTAAAAACTAGATTCAATGTGATTTACTCCGTATGGTTTTTTTTTTCAAAACATGGGAAATGTTGTAGTCTGATACCACTGTTGACGAGTACATGTGGATTGTCATGGAACCCATTTTTACCTCGGTTGATCTACCAACTACGATACTCAGTGGTACAGAATTAATTACATGTAAGCAATTATTTCTACTGTACGGAGTATGTACCCAGTAGAAATCTTTCAATGACATAAGCAATGACGTTATTGTCAATCTATTCACACAAGTTGCTCTCTGTCGGTGTCCGGCTTCTATATGTCCCTCGAGGATACCTTTACCTCAAGCTGCACGAGTACTTCATCTACTCTTCGAATGGGTCATCGATGCCGGATGGAGAAGAAAAACGGCACAATACCATATACACATAAGCCGAACTCCCGGTTCTAACTACAGTCAAGGCTTCCCGAACTATGGGAGAGCCGATGCCACATAATGCTGCACTGGAACTGTGATACCAACTCGTGAGATCCGACTGAAAACAAGTGAGACGCCTGGACGATCCCATGTTCGGAAAAGAACTTTTTGGGAAATTATTCGATTTGGAATATGATATAATTAGTAGTAATTTCGTAGTGTTACACAAACATTAAAAAAACCTCTCAGGAAGCAAGTAACCTCCTCCCAAATGGTTTGATGCAAAATGCCCAAATGCAACGCTCATGCTGTTTTTTTCCCCCCCTTGTTCCGTAAATGCAGCCTTGAATTCCTCACCCGGGAGTTTCTCAACCGGGTACGCGCATACTGTCGCAGCCCGTCGAATTCAAAAGGTCTTCTGCCGCGTGGGTGTCCGTATCACCACAACATTATACGGCTACCGGCAACAAGTTCACCTTGGAGCACGAACTCGGGTACGGGCCAGCGCCGTAGACGATGTTGTACAACTGAGGGTTTGCCAATGACCAATCGCAAGCTGTAGAACAAAAAATCCCGAGTCAGTTTCCATCATGTTCAATACCTCGCACACATACACCTTGCGTGTATGCACACAAGGAGCGGTTACAAAACTTACCAAGCCATCCATGGGCGGATTGATTGTACTGCAATCCAGATGAGTTGAAGAAGAAACCCTGGTAATCAAGTCTGATTGCGGAGATGCTAATGTCCGCCTCCATCCAGCCTGATATCAACGACAAAGATCAGCACGTGTCATTTTTTCTTCGCCCGCACAAAGAGGAGCGTATAACGGAAACAGAGAATCAATATACTCACGTTCATAAGTGTTGCTGGATGTGAGCGACAGAGGCCATGGGCCGATTTCGTTGTTGGGATAGGTAAAGAGTTGCTGGGTACCGTTGAGATAACCTTCCCAGGCCACGGATTTGTTGGAGGAGAGACCTGCAGCACCTAGACCGGCACCGGTGTGGTAGGAAAAGACCCAGAGGTCGGATTTGTTGGTGCCGCTGTCGATGTGGTCACCGTTGACCACATGGGTCTTGAGGTAGTAGCGGGATGGAGGGGTAGTTGTTGTTTCCCGTGTCTGAAGAAGCGGTGATGCCGACGCCAGGCCGAACACTGAGAGAAGGGTTGTGGTGAGAAGGATAGAGATCTGCATGGTGGGGAGGGATGTGGTGATGGATGTCTATGCTTGTAACTGCGTGCTTTTGATGCCGAAGAAATCGTTTTGGCACACCGAAAGTGAGATGGAGGTATCAGTCTTTGTGTGTCTGTTGGCAATAGCTACAGGACCCAAAAATGTACAAAAGTCTTAAGACTTGAACAGGATGAGAGTGTGTGGCAAGATGGGAAGCAATGAAGAATTCAATGATGGGAGGGTGAGCTTTCTTCTTTATAGCTTCTTATTCTTTTGTCAGGTCACAGAGAGTTCAGGACGATCATACCTGTTCCTGGGCTCGTGTTCTGACATCTGGATCTCGCACGGCGAGGCATTACTTTTTAGGTGGTGATACGAGCGACGCCGGGAAGCCTGGAAAGAGGAACAAATGTGGATAATTCGGGTGCAGGCGAGGGAAAATGTCACTAGAGGAGGCGATGAGGTCGACTGTCTTGGGCCTGTTTGCCCTCTAGTCGAGGCACAGACCAATTGATCACCAGCACATGACCGGCAAGCTGCCTAAGGTTGCAGCTGTCGTCTGTCCTTTCGAGACATTCCTAAGCTGCTTTCTACCTAGGGAATGCATCTTTCTACCCCATACAAGATCCTTACCGAGAGAAGAAGAAAAAGCACGAAAAAGTTACGAAGAGGTAACAGTTTGGCAGAATTGGCAGACCGACTGACGGCTGGGCAATACACACACTCTCACACACTGTACATAAGAACAATAAAAATGAGCGTCAAGAATTGAAGGATGATGAGTGATGGATGGTGGATAGTGAGCTCTACATTGGAATCGTGTCACAAGTAAATCACCAGGGAATGATGATCCCTCGAGTACTCCGTACTTTACTAAGGGAATCTACCTCGTCTGTATGTAGAGTACTCGTAGGAGGTCAGTTAGAGAAGCTCCCCCCGCAGCTGGTACATCTACAGGCTCCGAGGGAAATACCTACCCTACATCATGATCGACAGGAGCTGAGCTCTGTGCTCCAGATGATGGAAGCAATGTACTCTAGTACGAGTAACAAGAAGAATAAAATAGTGAGAGTCGCATGACGATGATGGCGATGATAATAATAATATGGAGCACTCACACTGGCAGTGAAATCATAACCCGAGATCCACGGACACGGGTAGAGGCATCTCTGGGCTCACCAGACTCACCAAACGGCAGCATAAAAGACTGGGGACTCCGGGGTGGATTTCTAGGTACAGTAAGGCATTGCATTTGGCACACGGCACACGGCAGACCCTCTGGTTGCGCCGCTGCAACACTAATAAATCTCAACTTACGGCGCAGTACGTACAGTAGGTTAGGTTCTGTGAAACTAATAATAGATCCTCTCAACGCGGGAAAAATACGAGCTTCAAAGTGGGTTGCATCACGTATTGTACCTATGTACTCCGTACAGTGCGGGATACGGGCGGGTGGTCAGTGACTTGACTTTCCAAGGCTGTGCGGCATTTCGGTAGCATCTTGAACCTCTTGCAGCCTCTTTGTGCATCTTCAGCTTTGCAACCAAGGACTCGGGAACCGCTACTCTGTACATGCACTACGTTACTCTACAGCTTATTCACCCTCTCCAAAGTCCTTTCCATTTCTGTTACTCCAGTACTGATTTCACGACTTGTCGTTGGCGTCAAAAATGTGACCCCAGAATGCTCGGAAGTGATGTTGCTTCCCGAGGTCGGAGATCTCCTCAACTTCCTTGGGCGTGAGGGTAAAGGTGAAAATGCGGAGCATGTCACTGAGTCTCTGTTCCTTGGAGCTGGTGGTGATGGCCACCACATTTTGATCCACGCACCATCGGAGGAGGATCTCCCCCGGGTTGACGGCATACTTCTTCGACAACGAGTCCAGATAACCATCAAGTGGACCGCCCTTTGCCCGAGTCACCGGTGTCTGCGGTGCGTACGCCGACACTTTGATGTCCTTGCTCTTGTGGTATGCGAGCAAGTCTCCGTGCTGAAGGTAAGGATGGAACTCGATTTGGTTGATGGCCGGTCTCACTTTGCAAGTTTCGAGGATGGTATCCAAGTGTTCCTTGAGAAAATTGCTCACCCCAATGCTCTTTGCCTTGCCGGCTGCCGCGACTTGCTCCATCTCAGCCCATGCCTTCTGCAACCGTTGCTTGTCTCCCTTGGCAAAAAAGGGGGAGTGAATGAGGTACAGATCCACGTATTCCAAGCCCATGTTTTTGAGACTGCGGTCGAGAGCCGCCGGAATGTCGTTGATCGAGTCCTTGGAATCATCCACCTTGGTTGTGACAAACAGCTTTTCACGGGGAACCTTGCTGGCCCTAATGGCATCTCCGAGCTCCTCCTCAGTGTTGTACATTTCAGCTCCATCTAGATGAGTATAGCCTACCTTGATGGCTGTCTTGGTGGCATCGATACATGCTTGGTCCTTGGCTCCTGGGGCTTTGTACCAGGCAGTTCCCGTCCCAAAGCCAATCTGACACAGAAATCAGTCCATCGCTTCCTTCAAACATCCATCAAGCACGTGGACAACTCACCATGGGGATTTTATTGCCATCGGGCAAAGTCAGATCGGGCACAGAAAGCTCGAGTTTGGCCATAGTGGTGGAAAATGAATGACGCAAGTGATGTCGGGGTAGAATTGATGCGCGAATGCTCACCGAAGCTGAACGACCAGAGAGGAATGATGGGTGGCAACGTCTCATGTACATACACCAGCGCCCAGTGATTAAATTTCAATATCTCGAGAAAAAAACAGAGAGCGGCGGGTGCGGTCCGTCACTTCATAAGAAAGATAATGATGGTTCAGCGGTTGCTGCATCGCGCAATTCACCCTCAACCACAAGTGGGGGAGTTCGCACTAAGTTAGATCCCGACTGCGCAATCCTCATCCATCAAATTCCTTTAACCCAATGACGTTCGCTGGACATGCGAGACTCGAGACTTTGCTTGTCCAACTATTTCCCACGCTCTGGCCCTGTTCTCGCTCTTTGCAAAATCGTGATACTTCGCAACCCTGTCACGTTGTATACTGACGGCGAGGCGAAATGCAGTAGAAAGGCTCCCTATTATCACTTCGCAATTGGAAACAGCTCGCGACCGGGTCGCCCGTCGTGTGACTAACAGGGAGTCGAGCGTCATGGCTGAAATGTGTTGTCAGTGAGATGATGGTCTGCTTGCTGATGGCCTTGTTCAGAATCTGGTAACCGCGATGGTATGCTGCTCAGCAACAATTTCGCCCCTGACCACTCTTGACCGCATCATTCATCGTAAGGTTGACAGTCTTCGGAGCTTTGCCCTGCATGTCTCGACCACCGCCTGTCCCATACCCTTTGACTCCGCTCCGTCGATCGTTCAGGTCATATTTCCCAGCTTCAATGTTTTGGTATATCCTTTCGGCCACCTCAAGGAATGCTTTTTCCACGCCTTCACCACTTTTTGCGCTCGTCTCGACGTACTTGACGACGTTTTCGCGCCGACACCAATCTTCGGCCTCTTCCCGGCTGACTGCGCGTTTGCTTCCGCCTTCGATGTCGGTGCTTTGTTCAGCCAGATCCAGCTTGTTACCGACTAAGATGACAACAATACCTTCCTCAGCGATTTGTCGCAGGTCGTTGAGCCATGCAGTGACTGATTCGAAACTGCTACGTCGTGTAACATCAAAGACCAGCAGAGCTCCAGATGCGCCCCGAAAATAACTTCTTGTTATGCTCTTGTATGTTTCTTGACCTGCTGTATCCCATAATGAGAGTTTCATCTTCTTCTGCTCCGGTGTTCCATTTGGCCATTGTTGTCCATTAGGCTGGCCAATTCCTAAGGACGTATTTGCTGGGGGACCGACAGGAACTATTCGTGACCCGAATTCGACGCCGATGGTGACATCATGTGAAGCAGAAAACCGACCTTCGCAGAGTCGAATGGTTAGGCTGGATTTGCCGGTACCTAGATAGGTCCATTAGCTTCCAACACAGATATTAAGCATCGGCGCATCATAACCTACCAGAATCACCTATGCAGACAAGTTTGGCGATGTAATTCCAGGGCAGTTTAGGAGCATCAGTTGTGATGTTTGGCATGAGCGCTGTAGTGTAGTATGATGTGATTCAAGCTACCGACCAACTAGGTAGGGTTTTCGATGGCGACAAAGTAGAAAAGAAGCCAGGGGGTCACTTAAGAGTACTTGGGCAAGGGTGTGTTGTATGGAGAGATATGGCGAACCATCTGGTGACGGACTGAGTTGTTAGAGAAATACAAATCGAGTGCAATGACGTCCAAATGACTAGTGATCTATTGGGGATTTGGTGCCTGAACCAACCCTTGTGGATGGGTAAGCATGGTAGGCTCACTAGGCTGCACCATGCCTAATAAGCTTGCCAGCCTTGGGACTATTGGGTGGCTGGCCAAGTCATCACAGGCCACTTGACTTCATGCTTGAACGCCTGGACTGCCGCCACATGTCCAGGTGCTCATTCTGTCCGACCGTGCACCGTGACCATCATCGGTGGCAGCCTTTCGGCCTTTGTCTCAGCATTCTCACCGACCCAACTCGCCGTCACCAGTCCGGACTCAAAGCACCGACAGCATTCACTGCTTCATCTCTACTTATCTCATCAACACAATTGATCTTATTGTTGGCAGCCATCTTCCGCTAGGAGGGACGTCTAAGGCTGCATATATCCGCATTGTAACCTGCTCGATACACAACGCTTATCGCCATCTCTTCGCACCCAATTCACACCGGTGAGAGCTCGCGTGATTACTGCCTGCGGGCAGGATGTTCTCCGAATGTATGACTCGAGGAGAATACCCTCCAGAGAAAACCATGCTGATGAGCTTCTAGACGCCTCCCGCTTCCTGGCTCAGTCACAATCACGTATCAGTTTTGCCCCCGTCGAAGAGCGCCGTTCTCCAGATGATCGATCCCGACGCTCAAATCAGACATGGAGGGCGTCGACGGCATCGAGGACCTCCAATACTCGAGTCCCTAACCCTTATCAGCCTACCGCTTCGCAATTGTCCGCATTCCCTTTCGCATCACGTTTAAATCCTCAACAAGCGCCCCTCTTCTACAGTGCTACCGATGAGTTCCGGGAAGAGAACGACGAAGAAGAGCATGAACGAGACATGGCAGATTTCTACGCACTGCAGAGATCGAGAAGGCAACTCGGAGCCAGTGATCTCCAGGCATCGTCCGATGCGGGAGAAGGAAGTGAAGACAGCATAAACGGAGAAAGCAGCCACAGGGACGACGTGCACGAGCTAGGCATGAGAAGAGGAGGTGGCATTAGGAGTTCATGGCATGGCGGCGTCCGATCGTCTCGACGGAGAGGGCCAGGCCTGGAAGATCTAGCAGAATCAGCAGACTCAGTAGAGTCGGACCCGGCCACTGCAAGTAGGGCCTCACGGACTCGTATGGTTGACGTCGGCTTGGAGGACACCTTGAGAAGTGAATATGACGACGAGCCTCCTGAGGATCTGATGGAGAATCCTCCGTCCGTCCAGCAACTGCGGACACGCAAAGCAGCCTTGCACGATGACTCTGGGCCAGAGTATTCGGATGGGGATGATAGTGACGACGCACCTCGAAAACGACTCCTTGCCGATGAGCAGAGTCGTGCAATCGACGGGCATGGCCAACCTGACGATCTTCAACCACCACCAAATCGGCAACCTAAGCATGATGCCTTTTGGGGACAGATCTATCTCCTGAATCTGGCAGCCATGTTTACTACCTGGTTTCTCATTTTCCTTCACACCGAGTCGCCCAGTAAGAGGCAACCACTTGGCGACACAATATATACAACCTTGCACGGATCATTTTATCTTTTAGCGACTTATACCCTTGTAGCGACCTTCGTTTCACTATTTTGGCTTGCGGCACTCAGGTCGTATGTTCGATATCTTGTCTACGGCATTGTCATTGCCGTGCCAGTCATTCTTTATTCATTCTGGCTCTACCCATTCATCTCCAGCTACCGGGGGGCCTTGCACGGATCAAGTGCTCAGGACACTGTCATGCGATGGTCTTCTCTCGTCCCGGCGGTCATGGCCACGCTATGGATCTTAGCGGTCATACGAGGCAGGCTGGCCATGCAAAAGGCCATCTCAATACTGGAGTTTGCCACCAGGATCCTGGCCGCCAATCCAACCTTGGTCTTGGTAGGGTTTTCGGTTTTGGGATTCATAATCAGCTTTACCTGGCTGTGGCTCTCCATGTTCACCAGGGTCTTCCTGGGTGGCCATCCCTTATCTCGTTCTACGATCAGCAGATTCGTGATCGATACCTCCACATGGTGGGTTGGATTGTACTTCGTTCTAGTCTATCTCTGGACAATCGCCTTTGCTTTTGGCATGCAGCGCACCATCACTTCTGCAACAGTTTCGCAATGGTACTTCCACCGTCTAGCCATTCCAGCACCGACATCTCAAGCCATCGTAAAGGCGGCTTTATTTCATTCGGCGACTACGCTTTTCGGGACAATTTCTCTTTTTACGGGACTGGGACTGTTGGTTAGACTCCCACTGCTTGTCCTACCCCGTCGGATGACAATGCTTCTGGGAGTGGCCATGTACTCCTTCATACCGAGTCCAATTGCTGTGCTGATCAATCCGCTGACTCTCACATACGCGGCCATTCACTCTCAGCCTCTCAGCGTCAGCGCGAGAGGACTTTCTCAGATGCATTTTCTCACACCGAACGATGCCACGACGTCTTTGCATCCCAATACGTTCAATCGGCGTCAACGCTCAGATGGCTGGTCTGCCGATACGACCCCGCTGTTACCCTACCGGTTAGCCAAACTCATACTACATGCGACAAGATTCATCATGTCCCTAGCCTTGGGGTTTGGTGGATGGGTCTCAACTGCGCGGTCTCTACGACTCGAAGGAGCCGGCGCCAAGGGAAGCCTCTATGCATATGTGGTCGGTCTCATAGCCGGAGCCATTGGCTGGGGGATCCTGGGAGCGATGGAGGGCGTGCTCGCGTGCATTGTGGATGCCGTAGTGGTGTGCTGGGGAAGTGAAGTAGGTAGTACTGGCACTGGGGAAGTCAGGTATTGCCGAGAAGCAGGCAATCTTTTCGGTGAGGATGAGGACAGAATCGGACGAGTCAGCCTAGCTTGAAGCTCGTCCGGAATGCGTGCTTCCTCCAGTACCAAGAAGGAGGCCACTTGAGGACGAGAAGGAGATCAATCTGTCGGCGACAGCTCTGATAGCCAGACTAGAGACCAACGGTTGGAGGCTAGAATCGAGTATTATCCCTTGACAAAACCCACCACGTTCATATTTAGATGGAGACTTGTACTTTTCACGTGCCGGCCATTCTTTTTTTGGCCCTTTTGACTATGGATTTTACTAGAGGGCGAACTCTGCTGCGGAGTCCAGTCAACATGTCAGGCCAGGCCAAAAATGTTGTTAATGCGGCCCCTGAATGCTTCCGGGCTGCGCCAAGTGGCCCTTCTTCACCAGGTACTACGGGATCACGAGTAAAGGCCACCATATCCAACCCTTCAAAAGTTGACGCGCATTAAATGCCAGCTTTCACAATTACTTCCCTACAACTCTCCTGATCTTTCTCTATTCTCCTTCTTACCTTGCTTGAAATGTCTTCTTCTTCTTCCCTTCTTTTCATCATCTAATTCTTCTCTGTCTTCACCAGTCTTTGCTTCAGCTTTCTTCCGCCAACGCGCAACGACGCGCAAGGCTCTCCCTGCCTTCATCGATCTTACCCACGGTAGCAAGTCGTCCGGTTACACGACTGCCCGCCATAGAGGGCTCTACTCCTCCTTCGAATTCGTCTACAGGATCGTTCTAGATCCTTCGTCCCTCTCACATCATGGCTGCTGCGGACAGCGGATATACCACTGGCGCAGGGCGAGACGATACTGATCTGCGTCGAAGAAATGTTGCCAGTTATGAGAACGCCAATGGACAACATGTCTACAAGGTGGATGCCGAAGACGTGAAGAAGCTCAAAATACAAAAGGTGCGAAAGATGGCACTTACAAGACACAACCCCTAACAATATTTTCAGAAGTCGGGCATCCTCGAGATCCTCGACGAGTGGGAATTCATCATAGCCCCCATTGTCTTCACTGCGTTTGCCCTCTTTACACGACTATGGAAGATAGGTTTATCTCCTATTGTGACATGGGACGAAGCCCAGTAAGTTGGATGACCATTTGCTACCACACTGCAAGCTAACGTTCGTTGCAGTTTCGGCAAATTTGGATCCCACTACCTCAAGCGAGAGTTTTACTTCGACGTCCATCCACCCCTAGGGAAGATGCTGGTGGGCCTGTCTGGCTACCTGGCTGGATACAACGGTTCATTCGAGTTCAAGTCCGGCGAGACCTATCCGGAAGGCGTTAACTACACCTTCATGCGGATATTCAATGCCCTCTTTGGCGCAGTGACAATTCCCTTGACATATTACACCGCGAGGGAGCTCAACTTTAAGCGTCCGGCTGTCTGGTTGATGACTCTCATGGTCCTTTGCGAGAACTCCTACGCCACCATCTCCAGATTTATTCTCCTCGACTCCATGCTTTTGTGCTTCACCTTCACCACGGTCTTGTGCTGGGCGAGATTCCACCGTCTGCAGCACAAGAGCTTTTCAATCGAATGGTTTGCGTGGCTGTTCCTGACCGGGCTCAGCATTGGGTGTGTGTGCAGTGTCAAATGGGTTGGCTTGTTCGCCACGGCCTTGGTTGGCCTGTACACGGCCGAAGATCTGTGGAACAAGTTTGGTGACCTAAAGATGCCAAAGACCGAGCTAGCAGCCCATGTGGTTGCTCGAGTAGGCGGACTCATCGTCATACCAATGCTGGTCTATATGTTCTCATTCTATCTGCATTTCTTGATCCTAGAGAACTCCGGTCCTGGCGACGCCCAGATGTCGTCACTTTTCCAAGCGAACCTCAGAGGCACCGAAGTTGGCAAGGACTCGCCTCTGGAAATCGCTCTGGGATCAAGGGTTACTATCAAGAACATGGGTTATGGAGGTGGGCTGCTGCACTCCCACGTGCAGACGTATCCCGAAGGCAGTGGTCAACAACAAATTACCTGCTACCATCATAAGGACGCCAACAACGATTGGTTTTTCTATCCCAATCGAAGCCAGCCCGAATTCGATCCGGAAGCGCCTTTAAGTTTCGTTGCCGACAAGCAAGTTGTTCGTCTCGTCCACGCACAAACCGGTCGCAACCTGCATTCGCATTCCGTGGCTGCCCCAGTTACCAAGGCTGACTATGAAGTCTCTTGCTATGGCAATCTGACCGTTGGCGACGAGAAGGACCACTGGAAGGTCGAGGTCGTCAGCGATGCAGCATCCTCCGACAGATCTCGAATTCGAACCCTCACCACGGCATTCCGACTGCGTCACACTGAGTTGGGTTGCTACCTCCGCGCCGGAACAGTCAATCTTCCACAATGGGGTTTCAAGCAAATTGAAACGACATGCGCCAAGAATGCCAGCCCTAGAGATGTATACACGCACTGGAACGTGGAGTCTCATGTTAATGAGCGACGTAAGTTCAGAAACCCCCTTCAATCGTTCTCCCTACTAACGTCCTGCAGTTCCACCTGGCGAAGCCAAGAACTATCGCTCTCCATTCTTCAAGGATTTTATTCACTTGAACGTCGCAATGATGACGTCCAACAACGCTCTTGTGCCTGACCCGGATAAGCAAGACGACTTGGCCTCGCAATTCTGGCAATGGCCTATTCTTCATGTCGGTCTCCGCATGTGTTCATGGGATGATAGCATTACGAAGTACTTCCTTCTCGGCAACCCGCTCGTCTACTGGGGCTCGACCGCATCATTGGGCGTTGCAGGTTTGATTGTCCTGTGGTATTTGATTCGCTGGCAGCGAGGATACGACGAACTTCGCCAGACCGATATCGATCAAATCCACTACTCTGGAATCTACCCTCTGATTGGCTGGTTCTTCCATTATTTACCCTTTGTCATGATGGGACGAGTCACGTATGTCCATCACTACTACCCGGCTCTCTACTTTGCCATTCTCGTGTCGGGTTTCTGCGTCGATTGGATGACGCGACCCCTTAACAAGACTGTGCGCTGGGGTGTTTACTCTATCCTGTACGCTGCAACAATTGGCTTGTTCGTCTTGTTCAGCCCGATCGTTTTCGGTATGCAAGGCCCCAACAAGAATTATGCGTACCTCAGATGGTTCAACAGATGGAGAATCTCGGATGCTTAGAAAAGAATGAGAGCATCTCCACCGTTTGGGGAATATTACAGCCCAAAAAATTTGACACGAGGAGAATCGAGGTGGTGCGATGGATGTGGCCATACAAGCGCCCACAGGGAATTTTCGCTGAAACAGATATAATAACTCTGATCATGAGGCTATGGTACTTTCTGTAAAACAAGACTTGAAGCAATGACATGTAAAAGTTTCTCAATCATTTCGTCTCCTCTGCCCATCTGCCATTTCAGTGATCTAACCATAAACACATGAAAGTTGCTTTGACTTGGCGCACAGGACCTACAGGGGCTACAGATCTATGCCATGCACTTCATGTATGGGTCTATTCGATGCCGCGAACCTGGGAGGTAAGTGATACATGAAGAGCCCTATTCCGAGGACGAGTAACTCGGATAATTGTGGGAACTTTGGATAGAATATCCCGTGTCTTCATCGACGACGGACATTAATTCCTCCTAAACCCGAAATATCACGGAGACTTTCAATGCGTCTTTGCTGCCCACATACAACCATATCGAATGTGTGTGCAAAGTATATAAACCCTCCAGCTGATTCGAAAGACACACAAACAATTGTAAGTCCGGCTTCATTAACCACAAAACAAACCAAGCCTGGCTCTCGGGGAGCATTTCTAGGTATTATCACAGCAAACAACTCCTCCACTACCTAGGTAGCCTCGCCTACCTGCTTTGGCTTCTCCTTCGAACCCTACAAGCTGGAGGGAAAAGGAATCCTTGATCTCAACTACTTCACAATGTCTGACCTCGCAACTACCCTCCGCACCACCGCGGGACGATACATCTCGGCCTTCGAGACCCTGGACGCAGATCTCTTCGCATCTCTCCAGTCGCCAAAGGAGTACAGACACACATTTGGCCCTGCTTCGGTGAATCCACCTGGGCCACAAGACGGTGCACACTTCGCTCAGCATATCAGAGACTTGCAAGGGATCATGAGGGGGTTCCCCGTCTATGCGCAGTCGACATGGGTCAACGAGCCTCAGCGGCAGGTCATCGTCCATGCCACTAGCGAGACTTGGTTCCGGGACGAATATAAGGATTCTGGTGATGCCGAATGGTTGTATCACGGCGAGTACATCTTTTTTTTGGACATGGATGAGACGGGGCAGAAGATCACCAAGGTTTTTGAGTTCTTGGACAGCAAGGGCACGGAAGTGTTGAGAGGGTTGATGAAGCGGGCGAGGGCGAACGAGGCGAAGGCCAAGGGCAGGGAGGTGAGCAAAACGAGTTTCGAGTAGAAGGTATCTCTACCAACTTAGCATTTCCAAAACATCTGCGAGGATACCTTTCTACCAACTTTTCCATGTTGAGAGGGTCACATCATAGACTTTGTACGAAGCCGAAGACCTTTGCCCGATGTACGCCGTGCAACGAAGAGGATTCGCACAAGGCAAGACTTGCGTAGACCCGTACAGATATCCACATAGAGCACTACAACAACGACTGCGAGTATAAGAGCGGAAAAACGCGACGACCAAGCCAATATATCTTGAATAGATTCGCCCCCAAAATAAACGGAAATGATGGAACAGCGAATAGATTGTCCAGTAAAACATGGAAAACTCGTAAAATCAAAAGATTAAATGCGGCTCCATTCGGAAACAGTGACCTTTTGTCAGGTCACTCTGGAGACGTCGTGGTCGTGCCATCGTCAAACGGGCGTCCTGCTTCAGCTGGCTATCCCATTCTGGGCACTGTACCATCGAATGGCATTCTCGCCGGCCTTTACAAAGATTGTTTGGACGTGTGACTAAGATGGAGCCTCATCTATTGGCCCCGGGTGACCGGTATGTCGCGCTCTAGTGCCAGAGTCGTTGGTGTCAGCCGGGGGGAAACCCAGCATTCTCTCCTGTTTCGTACTCGTACAAAGGAGAACGAGAAAAAGCCTCGAGCCTCGGTCACAAGGCTGCCAAGGCGCCAACCCTAGTATATACTAACGTCGTGGCTAGCCCCGTGGATGACCAATGAGCGGAGTCGACGTGCTGAGCGAAAGCGGGATGTTAGCGATGGGCCTGCGCTTCTTTTCTCCCACTAACTTCGGCCAAATTAACTACTAAACCGTCCATCATCTCATTATCCTCGTTACCCTCCGAAACCCTCCCTCCGCGTACCTGGCGATTGCCCGTACACCCGCATAGCCTCCATCATGGCCAGATAGCCAAGTCCGAGACTTTCGCACTCTCCAGAGCGCCCTTGCCATCTTGAATCTCGACCGCCTTGCTCGAAAAACTTACCGTCGCCTCGCCTGGATTTATCGACATGGCCGCTCAACGCTCGTCGTCAGCCGGACACGGCACGGGCGACTATTCCGAGGACCCCAGTTTCGAAACCAACGTAGACGGCAGGATTGAGATGGCACAAGAAGAGATAGACGCCATCATCAGGAACAAGAGGAAGGTCAGGGATCCAAAGGCATGTTATGCGTGTCATCGACGCAAGGTCAAGTGCGATAGGAACCTCCCGTGTGATTCATGCATCAAAAGAGACCACCCCGAGCTGTGTTCGTACGAGCGACCGACCAAGAAGAGGCGGATCGCCTTGCCGGGGTCCATGGGCCATGGCGAAGGTACGCCGTTCGATAATCAGGACCCTGCGCAACAATCGGGGCCCAACGTCACAGTACCCCGCGAGCAGTGGGATCGCATGAATAGAGAAATTCAGAGGCTGCGTAATCGAGTCAAGAGCGAGTCCATGTCCCCCGAAGCGCTTCAAGTCGACCTGGATGACTCGCACGCCGCGGGTTCTCATAGCCGTTCCGAGGAGGCGGAAAGAGAAGGCTATCACGCCCCAAGTAACCAAATGGGCACCATGCATCTGGGCTCTAGATCAGTACTTGCATACATGATGGCTCTGGGCAGGAGTCAGACGACACAAGACACTGCGCGGTCGCTTCTGGAAGAAAACATCTTGCCCAAGCTGGGTCTGGATAATGAGAGCGCCACCTATCCCTTTGTCGATTTATGGAGTACAGCTTCCAGCATGCAAGATGTGAGTGGCTTGTGTAAGGCAATCCCTGATGACGAACTGTGCCGAGAGTAAGCATGATCCGAGCAGACTATGGTGCTGAGTGCGACTAACACGGTCCAGGTTCTTTGTCGGTTATCGAGACGTTTCGGGCACTCTCTATCCCGTCGTGCCTGACGCGGCCAGTTTCGAAGACACGCTGGTGTTTATGCTGTCGAACCGGTCGCGCGCTCTCCGTGATAACCTAGAACTTGATCCGAACAAGCCGTACGGCGTCTCGCTGGCGTGGTTGTCACTTGTTTTTGCAGTATTCGCTTCGGGTGCACAATGTGCAGATAGACCGGCCAAGGAGAGAGAACTCACCTCACAAGTGTACAGTAAGTTGCGTGGTGCAAACTATGATACGATCTTGCTGACTGCTGGTAGTTTGTTGCTCCTATCAAGCTCTGCGCATGGCGAACTTTCTGACCCATCCCTGTCTCGAGACGATCGAAGCATCGCTTATCATTGGCAATGTCTTGTCATATAACATGAATCCGGGTGTGGCATACATCTTCCTAGGAATGACGCTACGCATGTCATTTTCCATTGGGCTACAAATCAATTCCAACCACTTCACCGAGGCTGAGAAGTGGACCCGGCGACGAATTTGGTGGGCACTTGCATGGCAGGACTCGCACTTTGCTGTGAGCTATGACAGACCGACTTCGAGCGTCTTGTGCATTCCGGACATACCATATGGGAAGTTTAGTTCACCAGGAGATCGGAGCTACGCCGAGAGCATGTTTGCGATAATAAGACTCACCCAGCAGATTGTCCGGGAGCGTCTTCTTCATCCCCGGGCTGTGATGACTTGGGAAACGATTCGAAAACATACCGACGAGATTGCAAGCATTGTTGCACAAGGTGCGGCTCACCTCCGCGATCGAAATCAATGTTACAGAATGACGGAACATCTTGAACGTCTGGCTCTCAAACTTCATAGCTCCTACATCGTCAGCGAACTTTGTCGACCTGCCTTGAAAGAGCCAGCTTCAACGGATGCCACCGCGGTGTCTACTCCTATTCAATCTCCTGGTGGGCGACGCAAGGCCTCATCTCAATCTACCCCGAATGCCCCGGCTTTGGATTCGGCTGCACGGGCACAGTTTCGACGTGAATGTGTACAGGCACTGGAGGGAGCTGTTTCCGCATATGTGGAATTACATAATACGAGCAAATTCGCTTCCCGTTCTTGGATCGGTATTCAGCGTGCCATATCGGCAGCTTTCTTGCTAGGCACTCTGCCAGACACAGGACAGGATACTCAACGATTGGCTCTTTTGCGCGAACTTGAAATCGTTGTTGCTCAGCGAACCAGGGAAGAGTCGACATTCGACTTACAACCTCAGGAAAATCTTGGTTCAAGACGTCTGTCGGCGCATTCACAACCGCCGCTGGCGGACTCCCCACACTGGGTTCGCAGTATGGCCAAGTCTCTGAATGCGCTTGGCAAGCTGAACGCCGCCTTGAACGGACCTAAAACTGCGACTGCGAAATACCCAATGCTTTCGACCACTAATGGCATTTCTGGATCGGGAAGCCTCTTCACAAACATGAGCAATAGCACCAGTCCGCCGCAGTTGAATACTCGATATTCGAGCATGTCGTCAAGTTTGAAGCAAGAACCTTACTCGCCCGCTCTGGCGAGTAGTGGACTCATTGGCATCGGCAATGCGAACATGACCATGGGTCCTATTACGCCGGACAGTACGTCGTCGTCCAGTGACTGGAATTTCGGTAATTTACACGAACGAGCGGCCGAATATGTTCAGGCACCTTTGTGGGGAGACGGGGCGGCCATTGGTACTTATTTTGGTGTCGACCCCTGAGCGGTCATCTTGAGTGCAATTCCACCATACATTTATGATAAGGGTCAGTCTTGCTATCAGTGACCAGGATTTGCAAGCCTGGCTCTTACGGTCTGGGTTGTTTACGGATGGGATGATGTTTAAAGCGTTACGAACGTTTCTTCCTTTCTTCCTAGCAGCAACATGATGAAGAGCTTTGTCCCAACGCCATGCCACTACGATGGTGAGGGTTGCTCCCCCAGGATTGCGTACATTATGTACAGCAGTACAGAGTGCGAGAGACTGTGAATACTGTTATTGTGTCTAGGTCAATGATACCCAATCTAGCACGACTTCGGGAGTGATTGTGGTAGGTTGAACTGACCCATTGAAGTTTTCATGTGAATGAAGAATGAACCTATTTTTTTTGAGACCATTTCTTTTCAGTTGTCTGTTCGAGCAGTGCCATTGAATACTTGACCACAGATTAGTTTTGGCATGAATTCAGGAGCGACAAACACATAAACCAACAGATCAAAATGACTATGGTTATTTATGGTTTTTTTCGGACAGGTGAAGACTGAAATTTTGACGGTTGATGGTTCATGACTATGTGTGTATGGTCATGATATGATCATGACTCTGACATGATTTGATTTTGACGCGGTAGGTATTTTCTCACGACCCAAAAATCACATATCTCATCATACCCAAAGCGTTCCCCAACAAGGTGAAGACGGTCCGAGGGGTCGGGTTTTCCAAAATGATTTCGGGGAATCTTTCCTCGACGAAGACGGCGTGCAACAATTCAGGGGTCAAGATGCCTCCCGTCTGGGCCGTGTTCATGACCCCGACGGCCTGAAGGACCCTGACGAACCACAAGTTCAGTGGGAGTCGGGGGGCACCGGAGGCTCGACTCTCCCGGTCACGCCGTTGGAAGGTCCGGGCGAGCGAACGCAGAGTCACGGGTTCGTCATTCCCGCCTGCGTCGTCGATCATTGCCTGTAACATTTCCGGCCTCAAGGTATAATTGTCCCCCTGGTGGAAGTCGAGGCGGGTGAAGGACGAATCGTGCTCGATGACGTTGTGGCGGCGAGTGTCGACCAGGTCGAAAGTGCCGTCGGCCCGGAGGAGGGGAGGGAGGGATGAGACCAGGGAAGCCGCCGCGAGCCAGTCCATGTGAAGGGCCGTCTGCAGGGCGTGTTGGACCTGGGCGAGGGTGATGTTTTGGCCGTCTCTGGGGCTGCAAAACCCTCCGAAAAAAAGAAAGGACAACGAAGTCAGTAACTCGGCAAGAACAAAATTGAAAACCAAAAAGAAAGACACCTGAAATCACTGAAGACGAAACAGGAAACACAGCATCAATTCAAAAAAAAAAAAAGAAATGGAAGATCGAAAGAGAAAAATCGCAAGTGGCTACTACGTACAGGTATCCTTGGTTGGCTAGTGCGTTCAATCCAGGACACGGACCACGATGTTCGATGTCACCCTTTTTGTACGTGTGGTCCTCATTGGAAATGGCGGATGCTGGTGGTTTCTTGTCGGCGTAGCCTCCGGTGAAGAACGTTTTGATGATGTTGGTCAGGGAGAGATACATGGCGAGGGACCTGCTGTATCTTCTGGACAGGCAAGGATCGAATAGAACGGAAGGTCGGGAGCAGTATCGAAAAGTAATTCCCTGTGTCAAAGATGAATCGTTCGAGGCGAGAAGATATTCGGTACACAAGGGAGCGCGAGAGAGAGGGGGAGAGAGCGCATCGAGGTATGTGGAGTATGGAGCGTGGAGAGAAAAAGTCATTTGCACATGTTTACGGAGTACTTACTCCGTGGCTGCTCATCTGCATATTTTTCGGGAGCCTCAGCAGGCATCGGTCCAGCCATCCTGGCGAACCAGCCTGCCTGTCACACCGGTTCAAGCTGATGGTCAGCATTTTCACCCCGAACAGGGGCGCACTTGTGTTACACCAAGCTGAAGTTTTTAGACCCGGGGAATTGCATGCAGCCTTTCTGACCAGGGCACAAACAGGTGGTGGGATTCAAAAGGAGGCGAGCTGAAACGAGCTGATGGACGCTTGCAGGAAGAGCCCTTTACTTACGCCCAAGGCTGAGTCTGACTTGCTTCTGCTAGAACTTACTCCGTTAAGCGAACCAGTCAAGCTCTTCATCACATCTTTGACCAAGGCAGGACTGGTGCTTGGCAAAGGAATTCGTTCGCAGCCTGTAATCAATTTTCCCCAATCTGTCGAGCTTGTTCCGTTGTGTTTGCATAGGCTGGGGTGGTGCAGGGGTTTTTCGTCCTCGTGTGACGCACGGAGTAATGTGTAGAGGGGGGTGATGAGCCTGATGAGTTGCTTGGGTGGGAAATCTGTTGAGACATGGTCAGGAGGCTGGACATATGGAACCGTGTGCTCTTTCTCAACCCTCTTGCCCTTGCTCATCGGACACACAAGTTCATAACCCCCTTGGTTGTCTCCCTTCCATCACTGTAGGGTGGCTTTCTCTGCACAGGGACATCATACTCTTCGGACTCCCCGGACCGCAGCAATGGACACTCACATCAGCCCTAGCTATAAGCCGGGCCTCACTGATCGATTGCTGGTTGGCTTGTTTCACTTGATCAACAAGTTTATTCCGTGGCACAAGTTACCTGCCATCGTCGGTGCTCTGAACCTCGAAGCTTTGCGTGTCGAGCTCCGCGAGTACAACTTGCATGATGGGTACCCGTCCGGTGTCTACCAAGGTAACCAAACCACCGACCCCATGACCGACGAGCGCTTTGAGTACGCTCGCGATTCAGATGGGAAGTTCAACTCGACCGAGATGCCACGAATGGGGTGTGCGTTCCAACGACTTGGGAGAAATTTCCCCCGAGGCTTGACCATCAAACCAACAGAAGAGGAATTGTGGACTCCAAACCCTAGAATGGTGAGTTCGTCCAAAGGGTTGGACCTTTTTTCGTCAGGATATCCAAGCTGACACATCAAATCGATCCAGTTGAGCGATCGTTTGATGGCACGCAAGACGTTCATCCCAGCGACCACTTTGAACTTGCTGGCGGCAGCTTGGATCCAATTTCAAACCCATGACTGGTTCTTTCATGAGAATGTATGCTCGTTCCAGCCAGCACAAATCATAACGTGTTTTTTGTCAGCTGACTCGTAACAGAGCGACGAAGACTTCGACGTCCCTTTGCCTGCAGGAGACAGTTGGCCACATGGCAAATTGGAATTTCCCAAAACCAAGCCGGATGAGATCCTGAGTCAAACAGACACCAGGTGCCCTGGTTACAGGAACGTGAACACGGCGTGGTGGGACAGCTCGCAGATCTACGGGTCCAGTGAAGCCGTGACCAAAACCCTTAGAAACCTGAACAGTGATGGCAAATTGACTCTGACCGAGGAAGGTCGAGTACAATTTCTCCCTCGCGACGCGGACGGTAACCCGTTGACCGGATTCAACAATAACTGGTGGATAGGTATGGAGATGCTGCACACCCTGTTTGCACTGGAGCATAACACTATTTGTGACATGCTGCGTCGGGCGTACCCGTCCTGGACAGGCGATCAGATCTTCGATAAAGCTAGACTGGTTAATTGTGCCCTCATGGCCAAGATCCATACCGTGGAATGGACGCCTGCTATCCTTGCCCATCCCACATTGAAGATTGGCATGAATGCAAACTGGTGGGGCCTAGTCGGCGAGTCCTTGACGAAGATGCTGGGTCGCATCTCAAAGACCAGTGAAGTCATCAGTGGCATTCCAGGCTCAGGAGTAGATCAATTCGGAGTGCCGTACTCTCTGACAGAAGAATTTGTGTCTGTGTACCGAATGCACTCACTTATCCCGGATACGATCGCCTTCTTCAACGCCAAAGACGGTGGACACAAATCGACCATTCCTGTCGAGAACATGCTTTTCAAATACGCCCAGGCGCCACTGGACAGTGGCCTCTCGTTTGCCGACGCTTTCTATTCCTTCGGAATCAACTACCCCGGTGCTATCACGAACTCGAATTATCCGGATTTCTTACGCAACCTGACCACACCAGACGGGATACATCGCGACATGGGCACCGTGGACATTCTGCGCGACCGTGAACGAGGCGTCCCTCGGTATAACCAGTTCCGTCGTTTGTTGCGTATGCCTGCACCCAAGACATTCGAAGAACTTACCGGTGGTAACAAAGTTCTTGCGCAAGATCTCTCGGATGCGTACAATGGAGAAATTGAGCTCGTTGACGCACTCGTCGGATCTCATAGTGAGCCCGTACCTGCAGGCTTTGGGTTCAGTGACACTGCATTCCGCATCTTCATTCTCATGGCCAGTCGACGGCTCAAGAGCGATCGGTTTATTGCTGGACAGTGGAATGCACAGACGTATACAAAGGAAGGTCTAGATTGGGTTCAGAATAGTGGGATGAAGGATGTGTTGTCTAGACACTTCCCAGAGTTGAGAGGTGTGTTGAAAGACAGTAAGAATCCGTTTGCCCCGTGGAGTAAATTGCCCAAGTCGACGGCGTATGATGGCATCGAGACCAATGCTCCAAAGAAGTGAGTGGTCCTGTCTGTAGGCATGGACGAAGATTTGGCCTACCACAATGGATGATGACTTACCATGCGACCGTTGATGATGACCCATGCATTTACCTGTGAGAATCCATCATGCTGCGGTTTTAACTTGTTGCATGCAACTCTTGTCGTCGTGATGTTGAAGGTTAAGAAAATGTGGGATAATGGTACTACTACTCGACCGTATCAAATCCGGTGAACCATTTGAGCTTGACCCGAAAACTCCAAGCTTGGCAGGTTCAAGGCAACGGCTGGGGACGCGGCTCATTCGCGTAGAGACAGTGTCATGTAAAGTAAAGTAGTGCTGCTTTCCTACGGTCATTTACCAAGAACATCTACGATCGCCTTCGATTCCTTTCTGCGCAATAAGCCTGCAAGTAAGAGATCCTTCAGCAGAACGTATTTCTTCCTCACGAGCAACGTAAAGCTTGTTTCAAGATGGCTTCCGGCTACGATCGTGCGCTTTCAGGTAAGTTGTTCATACAGTCAATTGGGGACGCAAGCTAACTTTCTGTAGTCTTCAGGTAATTTGTCTGCTTCTTCGTTCCTACATCAACTGATCGATATAGTCCGGACGGCCATGTTTTTCAGGTCGAATATGCTCTGGAAGCAGTCAAGCGAGGTACATGCGCAGTCGGCGTCAAAGGGAAGGATATTGTAGTGCTGGGATGTGAGAAGAGATCAGCGATGAAGCTTCAAGATACCAGAATCACACCTTCAAAGATTGGTCTCATCGATACCCACGTCTGTCTAGCTTTCGCTGGTCTCAATGCGGACGCCAGAATATTGATCGACAAGGCGCGATTAGAGGCACAATCCCACAGACTGACGGTGGAGGATCCGGTCACGATTGAGTACATCACCAAGTACGTCGCCGGTGTACAGCAAAGATACACTCAGAGCGGCGGTGTGAGACCTTTTGGTATCAGCACATTGATCATCGGCTTCGACAAGGGAGACAAGGAGCCCAAATTATACCAGACTGAGCCTTCTGGCATCTACTCAGCTTGGTCAGTATTTCGGATGGAATGACTTCTGTCATGTACTAATCTGTAGCAGGAAAGCCAATGCCATCGGACGATCGAGCAAGACGGTACGAGAGTTCCTCGAACGAAACCACAAGGACGACATGGACCGAGAAGCCACCATTGCATTGACGGTCAAGTCTCTCCTCGAAGTGGTCCAAACTGGTGCAAAGAATATTGAAATTGCCATCATGGCTCCTGGAAAGACCATTGAAATGTTGCCCTCGGAGCAGATCGAACAATACGTCAAAACGATTGAGGCGGAAAAGCAGGAAGAGCAGGCAAAGAAGAAGCCAGGAAGAGCTGCAGCTTCAGGTCCCGGCACCTCGACTCTACCTACAAGACCAGTTGGTGAGGGTGAGGGTGAAGGCTCAGGGGACACCTGATGATCAGGTCACTTCGTACTTGTCCCTTTGCATGAGCGCCTGGAGTTCTGGTGATAAATGAAAACCAAGAAAGAAGTCTTTGATCATGGCATTTTTGTTTCTGCTTGCCCTACATTTTTAGAACAGCGGGAGAGTTTTTCCTTCTCCATGTGCTGTGCTCTGGGGGCATGAGGCGGAATTGTTCATCATTCATTTCGTCAATGTACCATATCGACATTAACCAAGCTTCTCCGCCGCCTCTCTGACATCGAAGATGGTTCTTTGTTCTGGCTGTCGAACCCGTTCATCCTTGAGCATTCTGAATTCATTAGTCGAGGTCTCTTCGGAGCAACCAATACTAGAAACCACGTACCTTGCATCCATCCTCGTGTCGTCGCTCTCAATTTTAAGTGCTGCCTGGGGCGTTTTGGCGTCTATCACGAAATGATTGTCACAATTCGGACAGTATTCGTCGCTAGTAGGAAGTCAGTATATGCAGATACACAAGATACAGACCTAGCTTATTAATAGCATGGCTCTTGTCTATGTCTGTACTTACCTCTCATCCCAATCCCGGGTGTCTTTTCGAAATGCTTTGCGACACTTTTTGCAAATAAATGTCTATGTGAACTTGGGTATTAGTGCTAGCCTCTTTTCTGCTCAAGATGGGGCGAGACGAAATGAACTTGGAATCGCTCATAGTACCATATCAAAAGTTTGTAAGAGTGGATGAGATTCTTGCTCGGCATGGCATTCTGCACAGTCAAACCATTTTTTGCCTGATCGAGGAGTCAGTGAAAACTGAATGTCAGGAGAAGGGCGAATCTGGATATGGGGAAAAGCACATACAGCATGCACTCCTTATCGAAACTTGGGCATTTAAAATATGTTTACTGATCGAGAGATGGATGTTAGTGCTTCTGCTCCTTTTTATATCCGATCTGTAGAGATGGCGAGCGAGTTTTGACGAGGCTTTTTGTCAGGGGTTGCCGTTCAGAGGGTTGCCTTACCACATAGTGGTGTTGTCTTGGTTTCGAATTCAAAATTTCAATTGACGTGCGAAAGTCGTGGGCACAATGTAGATTCCCAATCCGTAGTTGCTACCAAGAACCCCCCGGTCAGATTATCAGGGATGTTTGTTGTCGTTGTCGACAAATGTTGAAATGATACTCTCCGTACTCCGCTCTACGATGGAAATACGAGTCATGACTTTTGGTCAGGTGACCTCGATTCAAGTCATGAGATTTGAAAGTACGAGTATGAGCAGACATTCAATTCATTCCCTCTCTCAATCTTCGAACGTGCACATACCCTCGCACGAACGCTACCTCTAATACTATGAGTAAATATTGGCTGTGTGCCATGTTGCCATCGACGAGAACACGACCACCTAAGGATATGCCATCAAAAGAGGGAAGCAAATCACCAGAGGTCACCAGTCCTCCTTCCTCTGTTGGGATGTAGCCATTCCATCGCACTCTTGAGGTTGACCCAGCCGAGAAAAGGTCTTGAGAGACCGTATCCCACCTTCTCCTGCATCCACTCGGGCAACTCGCGAACCTTCTCGACCGGATTGATCAAGTACTGATTTTCTTCCTGTCTCAGCCAACCTCTCGTCATGAAGGTGCTGTACACGAGGCGCTCTTCCGGATGAATCTCGCCGTTCTCATCTGGTTGATCTGTCTTATTAGCACTGCCTCCGTGGAAGCAACCACTCAAGACCATGAAACCATCACCAGGTTCGAGTTCGGCATAAAAAGTTTGGCTTTCTTCTGGAGGTCCAGCGGCATAGTCCCACAAATGTGAACCTGGGATGAACCGCGTTGCACCATTACGCTTGGTGGTCTTCTTCCCTGCCACGAAGAACCCGATACCTGCATCACGACCCGTCACGTGTTCTGCCGTTGCAGGTTGATAAACATGATGGATCGCATCATCACGATGTAACGCTTGATCCCGTGCGCCCGGATTGATACTGAAAACAATGGTGTTGTTCAATTGTGGTCGAGATACCGACGCTTCGTTCTTGCCGCCAATCTACTATGGGTCAGTATCGAGGGCAGCCTTCTCGAATATCAACAACATACCCAATTATATTTCAATGTGCTTGATAGCAATGCATCTGTCACCCCTGTCCAGAGTGGATGACCGAAAATGCGATCGGCAAAGGTTCTCGACTTTGTGACAAGTCCAAATGCTCTTCGAGTTTCTGCTGGGAAAAAGTCGCCTACAGGTACATTTGTATCAGGGCAGCTGAGATGCTTGTGATGAGATTTCCAGGAACATTACTAAACATACCATCACCCCAAGCTGTATCCTTTTCTAGCTCCGGCCGAGTATCCCTTTCTATGCGCGCCAACTCATCTTGATCCAGTACGTTGCGAATGACCACTCCGCCAGCAACTCTGATAGCCTCTACCAGATCTTCAACCGTGGCACTCGCGGCATTAAAGATCTTGACCTCGGGTAATGGCGAAGCTGGAGATTTGAGCTCATCATCCATTATGAAGCCATTTGTGCTGTCAATGGCCTTCGCTGCAGGCACGGGGGCTTCGACGGCCGAGGGTGCCATCCTGAAAGTGATCGAGCAACAAACGACGATATGTCCCACAACCACAGTTTTATTGAGAACTTGCAGCAGCAGCTTGATATGATGTAAAATCAAATGATGACATTGTCCTTTAAATATTTCGACACTCGTATATCGAAGGCATAAACCACGTTCCAAAGACTCTTTCAGGGATGTGGAAATCTCTCCTGCCCGATTTGGGTTTGCCGCGCTTCCAGACTGATAGAGTACGTGATCGGCTCCATCAGCATACGAAAGAAGTCTCACGTCTGCTGCGAACTTTATAAACGCAACAATGGATTGAATTAACGCACGGTGCAATGCGACTATTCTGGCAAGAGAGAATCCGGCCAGCGCTTATCATATCCTGTGGATGCGGGGATGAGCAGGCTCATCAATCTAAGCGCCAAGTCGATGTGAGAGGGCAACGCCTTACCCGTACTACTTTTCTTGATAGAGTGGAATCGATCGTCTTGGTCGAAAATGGAAAGAGAGATGCGGGCATTGCGAAACACTAACGACTCATCAGCCTTGCCGGATCGGTTCATCTCTTAAGACTTTAAACATCCTCATTGGGCGTCCAGGACTATAAACATGAGCGAAATATCCTCGAATCACGTCTCATTTCAAGGGTATTCCCTATCTACGAACTTGTCCTGCGGTTGTGTTTGTCCTCGACAATACCACAGGGGAATAGTGTGGGAAATCTCATCCTTGGTGCCTCCTGAGAACTTCGCCCATCCGGCCATATTTTCCGCTCAGACTTTCGAACCATGCGAAGTGCGACGACCAACTTCATTGACTTCCATGGATCCCTTGGCTCCGGCAGAGACAGCTTTCTCGGCAATCAATTCCTTCTCATGTTCTCGTACAATCTGCTCCTCAGCAACCAGCCCCTCGAGCCGTGCCCGATCTTCCCATTTGTGAGGAACAATCACATTCTCTTCCAAGAAGTAGTTGGTTGGCTTCACTTGAGTCCAAATGATGGCCAGCAGGAAGCCCAGACCGACAGCATACAAGGTAAATTGGACGATCAATTGGTCGAGGTAGGAAACGTTCTTGGAGTCTAGCACAAAGGAAATGCACATTCCCAGTGCTGTGGTTCCCTTGAATAGTCTGTACGATTTGGTCAGTTCTTACAGGTTCGGTGTGGACTCGAGGATCTTGCGCTACTTACCCGCTCAGTCGCGAGCAGACCCGTGGGTCATTTGAAAGTGCTCCGAGTGTCCACTGCACGCAGATCTGGTACGTAGCATAGATGATGCCTAGCTCACTCATCAGAAGGAGTCAAACCTATCCGGAATCCAACCATACCTTCTAGCAGATACAGAATGAAGCCAGCCCCAAAGGCACTGTCGGACCAGTCAACACCTGGAGGAGTGTTCTTCTGCCTGTTGACATCGTTCTTGACGATCCATGCTGCCAGGCCCGCGTTCGTGGCAAGGCACAGAGTACCCATGATACAAGTTCCTACCATACCACGAACACGTCGAGATTTGATGCGGTTAGTGTCCATGACGAAGGCCAACATAAGAGGACATGGCATCATGATGAACTGGAAGAGAACATTGTTGAGCGACCGGGTTCTCAGGTTGAAATAGTAAGCGTTGATGCTGGAAAGAAGGGCCTGAGAGTCGTTAGACGTTGTGCCTGTAGAGGTAAGTTGTGCTGCTTACCAAGTTCATTTCGGCCACAAAGATGCCAGGGATCAGCATCAGAATCCGCCAATCTGTGAAGAGGTTGATAAGGCCCCGTATTTCCTCCATGACATTGGGGTCGTTGAAGATGGCAATATGCGTCCCATCATCTCGCACCACTTTCTTTGGATCGATAATGAAAAAGAAGGCGATTAAAATAGCCATGCACATGATCACGATGCTTAACAATGGGCATCAGCACCAAGCCGGCATCGAAGCATGAATCTTACTTACAAGACAGAGTACACTGCGTTCGAGACTCCGGTCGACTCAGTCTGGTGGAAGTTGACTCCGAAGGCGATCAAACTACCAACTGTGCCTCCGAAACTCGTAAAGACCCATTGCCAGGTAATGAACAGTGCTTTCTCATCCTCCTGGGCATATGCAAATTGAATGAAACCGGATGCAGTCCACAGGCAGCCCGCAGTCACCCCAAGAATGGCACCTCCTAGATAAGGAAACCAATTATGGCCTTCACGGTCAAAGTACCAAAGGCCTCCAACGTAAAGCGGATAGCCGACTGCGCCGAACATCATGGTGATTTTGGGACCACAGATATTCAGAATTGCGCCGCCAATCCAACCAAAAAGACAGAACAGACCGTAAAGCACAGCATTGGTGGTTGAAGCAACTGTCTGGGAACTCGGCCTTCCTCCACCGGCACCGAGACCGGTAAGGGCGAGATAGATCCCCGGCAAACAGAAAAGGATGCTGGTCCCATGGTCAATATCCCTCGAAAACACGCGGTTCATCAGGTCGGAACTCACGCTCCCACGACAAAGTTCTGATTGATGGGTCGATTGAGCCGGAACTTGCCCGTTCCCAAGGAGGGTTCCATGAACTTCATGGCTGATATGATGGAGTTATTTGCAAGTTCACAATCCGAAATGATTCAGCGCCTGTTTTAAGCAGGTAGAGAGTGACAAAGGCCAACACGGGAAGAGAGTGATCTTCTCCGGTTTTATACATGTTTTCCATGCCAATGAAGGTTTCTCAGGGTGTCATCTCACGGAGGTTGCGCTCATTGCCGATGCACAAGTCGCAGGCTAATCACCCCGACCAGGTAGGTTATCAAGGAACGCATCCCTGCTGAGCCAATCCGAATAGCTGACGGGCACTGTTATCATGCCTTTTATGTGGGTCCGAGAGATGATCTTTGGCCGTCTAGTGTCCCGTCGACAAGTTGGGGTACAAGAGATCAACACATGTCCAACAGGAGTTCCGAGCATCTGTCCGTCGTCGAGAGACCGCCCTCTCTCTATTCAAGGTAGAAGACGTGAGTTACTAAAGAGGCTGCTGCAATTAGAGCTAGGGTACGATTTAGTGGTCGATGTCGCTGTTCTCAGCTTCCGACACAGAGACCCAGGCACGCGCATCTCGCAATCGACCCTTCACAGCCTTCGGGATAAGAGTGATAACGCTGAGTTCCGAGTTCCGTTGTGCGGGGAGAAAGCTGTCGCTAGCTTTGGTGTTTAGTGAGGCTGGGCAGATGACTGCGTATCACATCGTCTTCTATCGATGCTCGCCTGCAACAATTCCTTGTCTGCGATAGCGAGTCCCGAAGAGCAGCAGGGGTAAGGGCCAATCAGCCCAAGTCTCTAATCTCGCTGGTCGACAATGACACAGCAGTAGAGACTAAGGCGTCAAGAATGCAATAACACATCTCTCTTGCCTATTCAAGCCGTCAGCTCGTACGGCAGTGATGATCGACATCGACGATGTATTTGCCATGCCACACCTTGGGCGTGAGTATCCTTATCTCAGCTCCTGGCATATGCATGTCACGATGATGGTGGTGATGATGATAAGGTATCAAAAGCACTACACGGAGTTGGACCGTGACGCTATACTCCGCATCTACAGCTTCAATCTACCTTGTTAAGGCTGGTGTCCGGCGACCAGGCCCGTTCGCAACCAACCCTCAGACCAAAGTCTGAGAGCACTTACTGTGTCACTTGCTGTTTTGAAGATTAACACCGGCTCTGTGGCGATTGCTGCAGGTTTGACTCGGTACGCGAGGAACAACTCATCCACAGGAGACCGAGCCAGTGCATTCTTACCTTCACAGGGTCATCGGGGTTCTTGTCTTGTCGATAGTAACATCTTTGGAGCATAATCACAATGGTTCTTGCACGTTGGGAAGAGCGGGCGAAAAGCGCCAGGGACTTTCGCGACGAGACTTTGAGCAAAGTCGACCCACCGTTTAACCCTCTCCCCGATCCTCTGCCAGTGTCGTCTCAAGAACTGCCAAAGAAATATCTGAGTCCCAGAGAATATGAGCTTACCCAGAATTATGATGCTATTGAGCTCCTAGAGATGTTGCTTGTTAAGAAAGTCACTTCCGAAGAATTGACTCGAGCATTCCTGCGTCGAGCAGCACTCGCACAGTATGCCGTATGGATTGAAGAGCCTTCTAACTTCGATATTCATGTATACTGAGATACATTGCAGGTCAACTGCGTGACAGAGCTAATGTGGGATGAAGCAATTGAGCGTGCCAAATATCTTGACTCGCTTCCTGAGCCCATCGGGCCGCTTCATGGGCTTCCGATCTCAGTCAGTACGAATCGATGTCTGGAGCGATGCTCCGGGAGCTTCCTCTGATGGCTTGTATTGACTTTTGCAGGTCAAAGAACATCATGGTCTCAAGGGGAAGACCTGTCACGCTTCATATGTCGCCTGGATCGGGGAGGATTCGCTCCCTAGCTCGCTGAATGACTATCTGTACAACGCTGGCTGCGTTTACTATGTTCGGACAACGGGCCCACAGACGCTCATGGCGCTTGAATGCAACAATAACATCTACGGTCGAACGGTTAACCCCTGGAACCGAAATTTGACCTGCGGTGGCAGCAGTGGTGGTGAAGGTGCTCTCGTCGGCTTTAGAGGAAGTGTCTGGGTGAGTAGCCGTGGCATAAGCCAAGTCTATGACAGGCTAACCACATAACAGGGCCTCGGCGGAGACATTGGAGGTTCCGTTCGTGCGCCAGCAAGCGATAACGGTGTATATGGATTTAAACCGACCTCTAGACGACTCTCACTGCAAGGGATGAAAGCCGCCAACAAGGGCAGGGAGTCGGTCATGGCGACATACGGCCCTCTCACTCAATCTCGAGAAACAATCAATCTATTCATGAAAGTCATTCTCGACAATGAACCATGGCGCCATGATCCTTGGCTGACAGTCAAGCCATGGACGCCCGTGACCTTGACAAAGCCGCTCAAGCTAGCCATTGAATGGTCTGATGGGGTTGTCAAGCCACATCCCCCTACAGTGAGAGGAATGAAGATTGTTGCCGACGCCTGCAAGGCCGCGGGCATGGAGGTAGTGGACTGGGAACCGTATCAACATGAAAGAGCTTGGGACATTGTGTCCCGATTGTACTTCCCTGACGGGGGCGAGGACACGCTGGCTCCAATCAAGGATTCCGGAGAGCCCGTTCTTCCCCTCACCAAGTTCATCATCGATGAGCAGCCTCAAGTGAAGAAGCTTGACATTCACCAATATTGGGAGCTCTGTAGCGAGCGAGACGCCTATCGTGAAGAACATGCGGAACATTGGAATAAGACGGCAGAATCTGGTAGGGAAGTGGACGTCATTCTCGCTCCAGTCACACCTGGTGCAGCTCCTCTTCATGACACGGCACGATACTGGCCATACACCAGCCATTGGAACTTGCTGGATTATCCTGCCGTCGTCTTTCCGGTCACTCATGTCGATGTCGAGAAGGACAAGAAGGAAGAAGGATACACCCCGATGAACGAGCAGGACAAGTACAACTACGATTTGTACGAACCAGAGAAGTGGGTCGGAGCCCCTGTCAGCTTGTGCATTGTGGGAAGAAGACAAATGGACGAAAAAGTCATGGCCGCGCTTGAGGCTGTCGAGAAGGCCATGGGCCGGAAGTAGTACAAGCGAGGTGTAACTGGGTACCTGATGTGCTGGCGCTGATATAGTTGATAGTGTATGAGCCTGTGTTGGTATACATCTCTCCGTCGCTTGATATACTGTACTCGTAATCGCACGCGTACTCGTATGGCCTTTAGTTATCGGCACCATTCGGGAAACCTGCCGAGTTCCAGCGACCGATAAGACCCCCGCATCACGTGCCGAGACTCTTATCTGTTTTCCGCGGTTATCAAAAAATGGTCCCAACTGAATGTCCCTCCATCCTTAACATCTCGTTATCATTCCCACTTCTACAAGCTTTTCACACGAGGCATGTCTAAGGTCCAAGGAAAATGTCGGTGACAGTCTGCGCACCATCGCCACCCGGTCCAGTCAGCCAGCGGAGGAATCTGGCCGGCAAAAGGACAAATTCACTGGGATGGGCCAAGACCGATTGTCACACTTGTGCCGAAAAGCAACGCATCTGCGATCGTCGTCGCCCCAAATGCAGCGCTTGTCTCGAAGACGGTGGGATATGCGGCGGCTATATCCAAGCGTTGAATTGGGAGCGAGGGACTCTTCGACTGGGCACATCGAAATTTAAATCAGCCGCTCAGAGAAAGTCCTCGCCCGAAGAAACTTCGCCGACCCCGTCACAGTCCCAGTCTCAGCCGCCATTGCCCCAGCCATCGGCATTCGTCTTTGTCGACCAGACACAGTCGTCAGAGAAGCCGAGGAAGAAGGCGCGCAAGAATTCAAAGTCAAGCATGTCGATCGCGACCCCGCTGGACCGGTCTGCGCGCTCGTCCGTGTCATCGACGTGGAACTCTGTCGGTCCGGCGTCCCCTTCGACACCTTGGTCTCTGACAAAAAGCACGACGCCGCTCTCGACGACATACGAATCGCACTCCGACGCCGTCCTGTCCTTGTCTCCTCGAGTGTCACGGCCACCGGTGGAGGACGCGTTGGCCTTTTTCCACTCCCGCTTTTCCAAAACCACACTCACCTGGGACGTGCCCGTCAACCCGTGGCAAGCGGCGCTTCCTCAGATTCACGACGGTGTGCCCTGCGTGCTCTACGCGGCAATCGCACTCGCCCAACGGCAACAGGCACATTTATGCAACAGAGCCGAGGGCCTCGGCGTACTCAATCTCAAGGCGAAAGCGCTGTCGGTTTTCGCGACTCACCTCAACGACCTCTCCTTCGAATCGGCCATCTCGACGACCCTGTTACTGATAGCCTTGGACTATGCCGAGTCCGGGGTGTCCAACTGGACGATCCACCTCCGCGGGGCTCTCAACGTCCTGGAGTCCAGCGGCGGCATACGGGTGGCCGAGTCACGACAGAACCTCCGAAGCCAGATCGCGATGCTACTGTGGTACGACGTCACCGCGGCCATGCTGTCGCGTTGTCCGCCAATATTCCCCCGGCGGTACCTCGAGTCGTTGATGTCGTGGCAGCGCGAGACGGAATGGAGCATGCTCGGACTCAACGGGCTCCCGGACGGGATGTTTCTCGACATGTACGACCTGGCCATTGCGGCGGCGCACCCCGACGCCATCTCGGCCGAGGCCATCACGGCATTCGAAGTGAGGATACTAGGGGCGTTCCCTGGAGACCGGGAAAACAGACTGCTCGACGCCATGTCACGGGTCTGGAAGCTGGGGTTGTTGCTGTACTGTCAGCGGGTGTTGGTTCCTTTTGTCCGTGACGGTGTCGATTTACCCACGACACGGTCGACGACGGTCGATCCAGAGTCACCATCACCTCCCGCCGCTGTGATGGCGTTTGGTATCGGAGGATCTCGGCAGAGCCCACGACAACTCGCCCTCGAGATTTTGGGGATTGTCGCCGATTTACCTCCAGACAGCAACTTTCAGAAACAATGTTTGCTCCCGATCATACTGGCCTCGGTCGAAGTGCCCAACCCGTATCTACCGTACCGCCGAGTCGCCATCGATTATTGTGTACGGTGGAAGGAGAGGACGGGCATGTGGATCTTCGACTCGGCTTTGGAGTTCATGAGTGGCGTATGGTCGAGGAATGATACGACCAAGAAGGAGAAGATGATGCCAGATGGAAGTGCCGGTGGTGGTGACGATGTTGATGATCATGACGACGATGACATCCGAAACATTGTTATGGGTGAGCATGAAGCAGTTATAAACGTGCCGTGGACCGATGTATACCCAAGGGGACTTGAGTATGGTTTCTTATTCGGTTGACGTTGTTGTTTCTTGTGTCCATGGGAGTAGTTAACTCTTTGTACATGGGGATACATGTATTTTTTTTCGCCCGCCCCTTTGGGGTCTGTTCCATTCAGGTTCGACATATGATTCTGAAACACACCTTTTTCTTTGTATTCCTCAACAATCTTGTCGAAACTTCACCCGTACAAACTGACCGTTACGGGTCGATGCGTTATACTTTTCAAACAAGAGTACGGACACTGTCTCGATTGAAACATGCTTTGAAATAATGATACGATCAAGTACTTTGTTTCATTTTTCTTCTGTTTCTCTTCTCTTTCTTTTTTTGGTCCCTGGATCCGGTTTCGCACAGACTTTTTGGAAGGAGGCCAGACTTTACTGTGTTGTGCTGTGCCGTGATGCGTAAAGTCAACTCCCTACATAGGTACTTGGCTACAGGTTGACATGAATCTAGACCGTTGTTTTGTCATGACAGTAATCTCTGTTGGCGAACTGAGATTTTGAATCTTGAATCTTGAATTGTATATTTTTCCCGGTTGACGGGGAAATCATCACCATTCACTCACTGTATGTAGAAGAACCACTTTTCTCCTTGACCTCAGAGTGGTTGTTTAGCAGTCTTTTTAAACAGGCCCGAAGCTCTGACCAATTTAGTCATTTTTTCCTTTCTCTCTTTTCTTTTCTCCTTCCTTTTTCGCAACTCGTCCCCATGGTGCGTGCGGTACACGTGTCGAGTATTGTACAATAGGTGTTTTACCTAGTTCATGTCAATGTTGTGTGCACGATCCCTCAATTGTCTGGTACACGGACCCCCCGCGTAACTCGGTATTGCACCTACATTGTAATGACGCGTCGTAAAAGGAACATTAACCTAATACTTCCCGTACGCAATGATCAAGTCGTGATGAGAAAAAAAAAAAGTCTTGGATGACAACAACAACAACAATAAACAAACCAAGTTCATGTACCATGTACTACTGTACGGAGTACTTTGTTAATCAATCATCACCAAGTAAGAACCGTACTGTAAACAATGGGACATTATTGTCGAACGTGCCAACGATCCTTCTTGGCCTTTTTTTTTTTGCTTTGCTTTTTGGCACAGACAAGTCCAAGAACAATCTTGTCGGACACGTCGTCCCAAGACCTTTGTAATATTCCGGGAGTAAACACTGATTTTGACGTTTGGTGAGGTCTGGTAACGCGGTTCATTCTCCTCCTACCAATGTTGAGAAACCACAGTACTTTCCGCTAGTACCGATTACAATTGATAGACGGTCAAGAACCAAATGAATCATGTCAAAAATGATACGTATTAGGAATCTCAAAAGCTATGAATGACATAGTGATAGGTAACAATGATTGTTGAGGTGGTCGAATGCTGTGTCTCTCAATGATGCCTCTTGAGAGAACAAGCAAAAGACATGTAGGGAAAAAGCAATCACAAACAATAAACAGTCATCCATAATATCACAGCACTCCCGCTCGCCAGTCCGAATTCCAATCCAGATAAATTCATCCCATGCAACGCCTGCCTTTGAAAAACAAGGCTTTCCAATTGACAATCTGGAAAATTTCCCAGTCCCAAAAACGCTTCTGAAAATGCCATGTACGACAAACAGTGGCGAAGAACGCTAGCAAAGGTCCCTTGAGTATATACCATGTTTTTGTTCCGAGCAATCAGATCAAAGGAAGTCGTGAAAAACCCGAGTCTATATCCATACACAATTCCAATCGCCCATCCCTTCTATCAGCTATCACGTGGCGTATACACGATCCGTATCCCTTCAGATGAGAGATTCACGGATGAATTGACCAACACCTTTGGCCTAACAAATATATTAGTATTCGATCAAAAAGATTAGACGGGATCATCAACTTACCACTGGTGGTTTCATCATGGTGAAATGGTTGCCATTGACGGTGACCATCTTGCAGACTTCGGCGCCCAAGAGCTTGTCCCATCCGTTGGGTCCAAAGTCTGTTCGATTTTCCAAGAGCCATTTCATGCTCTTGGGGTCATCGGCTTGTGGCGGTGGTCTTGGGTCACCAGGCTTGCCACAGACACCATCAGTTGCCCAGATGAGCAGGGTCGGTGGTGCCTTGAAGTCACGGGTCGACTTCAATTCTGGACGGTATGCTGTCAAGGCCTTGATGCTGTACTCGAAATGAGGCAACAACCAATTAGGCGTCTTGCCAGTACCAGTTCCCAATAGACCAATCTCATCGAAGAAGTGGTGAAGACGTGCAGGAAGAGGCTCGAGTCTGATCGGGCAAGGCGAGTCGATCAGAATCAGCTTCTCAACTTGGTAGTTCTTGTCTGGATGGGCCTTCTGGAGGTCCGCGAATTGTCGGGTGACTTCGTACGCGACGACTCCACCAGCAGACCAACCACCCAAGATATATGGCCCAACAGGCTGTCGGCGCATCACTTCTTCCATGTAGAGCTTGGAGACGCCTTCAATGCCACATGTGTAGCTGGTAGGGTCTTTCATGAAAGGACAGTTGAGACCATAGACCGCCAAGTTCTTGCTATCGATGGCCGGGATCGAAACATAAGAAGTGGCAGATCCAGATCCATCAGGGAACAAGAAGAGGTTCTTGGTGGCTGTCTTTGGGTTGCCCTGAAGCAAGACGGAAGTCGCTGGAGGCATCTGAACGACCACCTCAACGGGGGGAGCAGCTGGAGCCACAATGATATTTTGCTTCACCTCTGGCTTAGGGGCTGGAGGAGGGGCAGCCTTCTGCTTCTCAAGGCCAAGTGCTTTTCGCAGATGGCCCAAAGATGGGTTGTCCGCCAGGATGGTTGGGTCGAGATCGATTTCATGATCCTCACGGAGCTTGCCCAACACGGTCAAAGCCATCAGAGAGTCCATACCAAGATTGCTGAGATCAGTAGTCTCAGTAATCTCAGCAAGGTCCATCTCCATTTCCTGGGCGATGACAACCCGAATAGTCTCGATCATGTCACCTCCATCGGCCGATGCAGTCGGTGCCTGAGCAACAGCCTCAACAGCGGCGGACTTGCCGTGCTCGCCTGCTTTGCTGGGGAAGTCCTCAGTGTCAGGAGTAGTGATGCCAGATTCGACGGTGTCATCATCACTCTCAGATCCCGAGTCGGTGGACTCGACAGAGCTTGCATCGCCGCCAGTGGCTGTTTCAGGTGCAGACATGCCACCGAGATGTTTGCGAAGGGCGCCAACAGAGGCATAATCCGTGAACAGAGTGCTTTCAACCTCGAGGTCGAGATCCTCACGGAATTTACCGGAGATGGTCAAAGACATCAAGCTGTCGACACCCATATCGGCCCATTGAATGTCGTCGTTAAGCTCGGATTGATCAACATCGATTTCCTTGGCAATGATGTCGAAAGCGCGGACTGCGATGCTACCTGAGGAAGCCTTGGGGGGTGCAGGAGCCTTGACCTTGGGTGCCTTCACCTTGGGTGTCTTGGCCTTGGGAGTTGGAGCGGCGGCAGGGGAAGGTGCTGCGGCGACTGGAGATGCGGCAGTCTTGGCTGCAGGAGCAGAGGAAGTAGTCTTCCCACCAGCAACAGCCTTGGGCTTGGGCATCATCACGTCCATCAATTTGCGTGGAATGCACTGGAAGCGGACAGCACCAGCAACGCCAATGACTTCCTTGTTCTCATTGAAGACATAGACATCACCGGCCCTCATCTTGCTTCCCGCGACAGGCTGCATCTTCACGTAGGCAAAGTATTGCTTGTCGTGTTTGAGAGGCTCGATGAAGCGAAGGCTAGACCATCCGTGAGAGATGTAGCACTCTTCCATGCGGTTGACAGTGGCGTTGACGGTAAAGCCAGAAAGGTGGCAAGCGCTGTCGATGTGGTAAGGGCTGAAGTAGAAATCACCCTCGTTTGGTCCAGCTCGCAACTTGATGTTGCTGGTTGCTTCGAACTCCAGGCCATCAAAGATCACACTTTGCATGCCTTGGAAGACATCAGAGTAGTCAACCAGTGCTCCGAAGAGCTTGTAGGCCATGGGTCGGCTGACTTTGTCGGCTTCGCCATTCTCCATTTTGTGCTTCAGGAGGTCGATGCGGGACTGGATGAGGTAGGAGGTCTTGTTCCACTCTTCCTTCCATACTGCTGCGTCCTCGAATTGAATGACACACTTGGCATGAACGACATCCTTCTTTCCGTTGTTGGTGGTAACGGCGAAGTCGGCCTTGCGGGCTTTCATGTCAATTGACATGGTCATGCGGACAATTTGAGACTCTGGTTGGTTGATGTTCTTGAGAAGAAGAGGTGCTGGGTTGTCCATCGTACCAATGTTGATATCGACCTTCTCGCCAGGCGACAGGAGTTCGACACCATAGTTGATCAGTGTGTAAGCCATGTCTGCATAGAGCGTCGACGGGCAGAGGCCGCTGCCATTGACCAAGTGGCCAGCGACGACTGGGAACAACTTGGGGTGAGAGAAGTCAGACTCCGCAACGAGCGTGACAGTCTTGCCCTGAACTTCTTCAGAGACGATGCCCTGAACTGATGTCGAGAGATACTTTCGTGCTTTGGCAGGACCTGCCGAACTGACGGTAGCAGGTGCTGGTGCGATGGCCTTGGGGTAGTTACCCTTGTAGAGAAGCCAGTCGCCGGTGTATTGCAGCCAGTAGTTCTTCTCATCGTAGCCATAGAAAGGAACGTCATTCAAGACACGAAGAGACTGGTTTTCCTTGTGGAATCCATCCCAGTTGAGAGCCTTACCAGCCGTGTACAGACCAGCCATGGAAGTAGAGATGATCTTCCACGGGTCCTCATCCCGACGCATGGTGGCCAGGGTTGGGACCGACAAGCACGATTTTATCATGCTTGCGCACAGAGGATGGCCACCGACCTCGAGCCAGAGAGTGGTCTCGCTGATGGTGGCAGTAGACATTCCTGACGAGAGACCACCAACAAAGTCAACAGTCTTGCGGCAATGTCTGCTCAGGTAGAAAGCATCAAAGACACCTCCAACGCTGACAACGTCACTGAGAAGGGGCGATATCACCGGGACGCGAGGTGCGTGGTAGGTGATTGGGGAGGCCAATTTCTCAAAGTCTGCTAGAATTGGGTCCACTTGAGAAGAGTGGAAAGCGAATGGCAACTTTAGTTTCGTGCACTTCTGGCCAGCGTCGGCCAATTTCTGAGCAACAGCGTCAATGTCTGCCATGGTTCCAGAAAGGACAGTGTCGGAAACACCGTTAATGCAAGCAATTTCGATCTTGCCCTGGCTGTTGGCAACAACGTCTTGGAGGCCAGCAACTGGAGATCGGACTGCCAGCATGGCGTGTGTACCGGCAGTGCACTTCTGCTCAAGCAATTGAGCACGCTTGCCGACTAGATAGATGGTGTCGGCGACGGAAAGAACACCTGCAGCTTGAAGAGCAGCATATTCACCAAGTGAGTGGCCGATGACAACGCTAGGGGTGATTCCCCAGGTAGCCCACAGACGAGTCAGCGCCATTTGAACGCAGCACATCCCAAGCTGAACAACGGTGGGAGGAAGGTGTTGGACTTCGGTGGACCCATCAATGAGGGGCATGATGGATGGGAGACCCTGGCGGAGAGCAATCTCATTGAATTCCTCAATGTCTGCGCGGAATTGCTTGGAGGTCTCGAAAAGCTTCTGGCCCATTCCTGAATATTGCGATCCTTGTCCAGTGAAAGCCATGGCGATCTGTGGGGAGGCAAGAGGAATTGGGTTGTGAGTTTGATCAGCAATCGCTTTCAGGGACTGTTGCAATTGGCCAATCGATTGCACTGGGAAGGCGGCACGGTAGTTGTAGTGTGCTCTGCGGGCTGTCAGGGTGTAGGCCAAATCAGAAAGACCAACATTAGGATTGCTGGCAAGATAGGCATCATATCTAGCCAGTGTTTTCTTGAATGCAGCAAGCGATTTAGCAGATACTGTGACGACATGGGTCGAGCGTGGATCTGGTGTAGGCTCCTTTGGAACTTCAGGACCATCCTGCATGAGCATAGCTGTGTTACCACCAGCAGCACTAAAGTTGTTGATAAACACAGTTCGCTTTCCTCCAGCAGGTCGAAGGAATGGTGTGGTCTGGAAAGCGATGTTCACATTTCGCTCCTTCAAGTCAGGTGCAAAATTCACGTTCATCTGCTTTTTGATACCCGTGTGGGGCGGGATTTTGCTCTTCTGGAGCATCATAAGAACCTTGATTAGTGCAGAGACACCCGAGACGGCTTCACCATGACCGATATTAGACTTGACTGCACCGACGTACAGGGGCTGGTCAGGGCGCCTGCGGTTTATGCGAGGAGCAAAGACTGAAGTGACTGACTCCATTTCAATACCATCACCAGCTTGAGTACCCGTGCCGTGCATTTCGACGTAGTTGACATCGTTGCAAGGAACATTGCACTCTTTCAAGACCTTGTCGAACAAGAAAGACTGGTTCTCGGCACAAGGATGTGTGATGGACACGGCCTCAGCAGAGTGGTTGGTGCCAATGCCACGGACGATACCCAAAATCGGGTCCCGATCAGCCAGAGCATCGTCCAGACGCTTCATGATGACAGTAGCAACACCGTCGCCTCTGCAGTAACCATCTGCATCGTTATCCCAGGTTTTGCAAGAACCGGTTCTTGACAAGAAATGGCCTCTGCTTAGACCTGAGAAAATGTCCGAGTTCGTCAGGACATTAGCACCGCCGGTAAAAGCAGTGTCACATTCGTTTGCTCTCAGGGAGGTGATTGCAACGTTGATAGCGGCAAAACTTGAGGAGCAAGCAGTGTCAACCGAGAAACTTGGACCAGAGAACTTAAAAAAGTAGTTGATACGACCAGGACCAAAGGCACGCACACCGCCAGAGATAAAGTATGTATCGATATCCTGGGCTGCATTGACCTCACGCCAATCGTCGGAGGTCTGACCGTAAAAAGTGCCAATTCTGTCGTGCTTGGTGGAAGGGGTTCGGCCAGGAACGATACCTGCCATTTCCATTGCTTCATATCCAGTTGCGAGCATCAGTCTCTGCATGGGATCGGTTTGAGCTGCCTCTCGGGGAGACATGTTGAAGAACCGAGCGTCAAATAGACCGGGCTTCTCAATGAAATTGCCAAATGGTGTATGAGATGTATTCTTCTTCTTCGAAGTGGGGTCTGTGTGAGAATCAACGGGAAACCGATCGGGAGGAACTGGTCGGTGAACATCCAAACCCTTCTCCATGAGTTGCCAGAAGAGCTCGTTGTCTGCAGCATCAGGGAAACGGCCAGAGTAGCCAACAATCGCAATATCAGCTTCCCGCTTTGAGTGCTGGGTACCGGCCGGAGCCACTGTGCTCCAGTGAGACTGGTCTTCAAGTGTCACTTTGGGAGTAGTCGCTTTGAGAGCCGAGACAACACTGCTGGCAAGATTGGTTGGGCCCACAGCGAAAACCTTTGCCTCTGCAGGCTTTCCAGAAGCACAGTACTTCAAGACCTTGTCCCACCTCAGTGGCTCAATCACAACCTCTTTCAGAGCATTTTGCAGAAGCTCGTATCCATTCTGAGCTTCAACCGGTCGGCCTGTCACGCTGGAGCAGACGGGAAATCTCACGGTAGTATTGCCGAAGATGGCCTTGGTCTGTGGTCGCAGGATCTTTTCGATGTCCGACTGTGAGTGAAGGTGTGAGGCGTGGTAAGGTGCATATATTGATACGGGAGCGTTTTTGTGGGTTCTGAAGAATTCGGAGTCCTCGAAAAGGCTCGCCTTGGTGGAAGGAGGGCCGCTGACGGTTACCGAGGTTGCTGAAGATGCACTGATCCATAACCTACTCGTCGGTGGTGTGTTCTTCTCCTTGTGGAACGCGTCCAAAGCCGCCTGAGCAGACTTCTCATCCGCTGCAACAATGGTGGACCATGACCCCGTTTTCGAGTCGCCCTCGATCTGCTCTGCCACTCTTCCAACATGGGCACCCGCTCTGAAGGCAATTCGGACGGACTCGACGGCCAATGGGAGCAATGCTGTTAATGAATCTGCCGAGGCTACGGCTGAAGCTGCAATTAAGCCAGTGCATAGACCGACTAGACGTGCGTCTGCATTATGAGGGATATATGAAGGTGTTCGCTCCTCAAAAGCACTGTCGAGAGAAAGTCAGCCAGTTGAGAAAGCAAAGCAGGGGAAATTTCAGGGGGGACTCGAGGGCTGCATACCCAATGAAATGCGTGAACTGTGAAATACAAACGAGAGCGCTCTCAATGGCGGCATCTTTGGCATCGCCTCTGTAATAACGATCGACTAATTCTTGGATGGTTGAGAAACTAGGAACTGCTTTTGAAGGATGGGATCGGTTCTTGTTTTCGACTCTGACGGCTTCACCAGCTCTTTCTAGGAAGGCCTGTAGAACAACATCGTCCTTTCTAGTGAAGACCTTGGTGAAGAACGACCGACAGTCGGCCGTCTGGTCGCCGAAGACGTAGACCTCCTCCATGATGATGAGGAAAAGGATACGACGAACTTCGAACGAGCGTTTGCTTTAACACGGGAGAGGAAAAGGGACGGGTAGGGAATGCTCAGCTAGTTATCATATAGGAGTTGACGGGGCCCGGATTGAAAATAGATCGATGAGCTGGAGAGGTGAGTGGATGGGAGGAGGAATTGACAGCGCCCCCCCTGGCGACTCCACCGACCGCAGGGCATGCACCTGAGATCTGCGTCGCTGGAAATCAAGAGCATGGCGAAGGCGCCGGCCAGTCCAAACTTGGAGAGGAGCGAGTCGTGCGGTCATTGACCCTGCTCCACCTCGCCAATGCGCGATTGTTTCCTCTCTCTAACCTACTGTGCGCAGACCCAGCAGCTTCGGCGCCCGAATGTGCTAGGGACAGGGGGTTGCCAGATGAGACACCGCCAGTACCGCGTCGTACAGCCCATTACCTTGTAATGATACCTCAGTCTTACCACCTCTAGGCCTCCCATCCCCCCGTTGTCTACGAGTTACGGATATCCGCTCCCTGTGCTGTCATGATGCCAAAAACTCTCAGCCGCACCACATTCGATACCTGCTGTTGGCTGCTCCGTACCAGAGATACGAGGGTGTCGCAGTGACGCTGTTGGAGGAACGTTGGCACGAGCTGCCACTTTGACAATAACCTTGAAGCTAAGCAACCACACTACTATGAAAATGCAGTGCATTGCATTGCATTCTGCTAACGACCCAAGCAGTGCCTCAGCCAGCTATCTCAGACACTGCGCTCGGTCACTGAAACCTAGCCGAGCACTTTTGCTGGCTCTCCCACCCATTACACAACATGTTTGGGTACCTAGGTACAAAGTGACACCACCTCGTGTCTGCGACTCTGATCCTGCCCTACGTTCGCATCCTACGACAACCCACGCGAGAGCACGGAGTAATAAACAATAATTGCTACATAACTTAGTGCCTTGACCGTACGAGCACTCGCAGTGTCACAGACCCTTTTGCGAGCCCGCAGGTCGTTGCCCGGAGCAGCCCCCGGTACACAGTTTTACAGAATTGTAATGACAAACGACCCATGCGCCCAATACACCACAAAACACAATCCTTCGCGCCAATCAGTCGGCTGAGGCTGAAAGACAAACAGCCCTCCCTGGCGGCAAGGAGATTGGCAGTGCTTGTAAGAGGTGGCTTCAATAAAATACAAAGCTAGTTGATGCCCGCAGTACAATCCCTCCAAAAGATGACTGCATGGCGCTGAACATTATTATTTTCTCTTCTGCGGGTTGTTTATCTGGTTGTCACCTGAAATCTCGGATCGATGACCAGTCTGTACAAATATTATTGTGGGCGTGGGATACGTCCATGATGGTCTGACTTTAGAGAGGGCGATGTCATAGACACCAGCATGTCCGCAGCCCGCCCGTTCCTCCACCGTCCCAAACATCAACAACGCAGATATTACGAATACAGTACTTTGTACATACTGTAACTCATGGTACGGAGTACGAGACGCGGACCACGGCGGCCTGATAGACAAACGGCCCTTAGTGTGGCAAATCCAGCAGGATAGGGGATTTGACTTGGTCGTCATTTGTCCATGGTATCCGTACTCCCTGAGAGGTTGTGAAAGCGAGTGCTTCCTAGACCTTGCCCGGCCATCAACCAGCGGTACCCATGCCTGGCGGACTTGGGAACGAATCAGCGACGAACAGATGAATCCGGGTGCAAGGGCAAGGGGGAAAGGGGATCTCTCGCACTGACCAGCATCGCCAGGATGGGTCAAACATGCTTCAGGTTTGTCCCATCTAACTTCCGTTTAGCGTGACACTACTTTCTCAAGCGACCAGGGATCCCGGTCGTATGTCCTATATTTGGCCTCAAGCCCTGAGTCTATGCTGCTTCCGGGTGCCTGGTTGCTCCAAGCCTCCAGCTCTCCTCTCCACTCAACCCGCAACAAAGTCACACCAGCGGTTTGGCAGAGAGTTCCATACCGCCTTCCATCCGGCTTCATCAATGATCCATTGTTCGAATTCACTGCGACTGTGGCTCAGGTATCTTGGATTGTGGTCACGAACTATACGATTGATGTTCCGTCACAGTGGCCCGGGGGCATTGCTGACGCCTCCTGACATAATCGGTGGTATTCATGTGCGCACGACCATTTCTCGAGCAATACATTACTCACAGCATCACGCAAATAGTATCGCAGGTTGCAATTTCCAGGCTGAGCATATCCCTTCCAAGTACTCCGTACGTCCACAATAATCAGCCCAGCATAAGGGGCTTCGACAATTTGACTACACAATTGCATGCAGGAGGAACCTCGTCTGCGATTCAAGATTGAAGGAAACCTTCCCCTGTCGGGAGTAGTCCCTCGTGCGCCATCACAACACTTCACCTCTATCCACACGAAATCCCCCCCATCGACATCCACATATGAACATTTGTTTCTGCCCCTTCGGCCAGTCGTAGCCGGTGAGGAAGGGGCCAGGGTCCTGACGATAGGGCAAGCTCCAAGAGCGGATCACGACTTTTCTGTTTTTTGTCCAGGTAAAGCAATTTCTTCAGCCTTAAAAACACCCGCCGGGCCCAAAGGCTGAATGTGTGGTGGAGTTTTGGTGGCAGAGAACCACCACGAGCCATCGCCAAACATCCCGAACCACCTCTACAATGCGCCTTACCCGATGATGGCTCCAAGCCTACTCCGTAGCACGTTAGATGTAAATCCCTTGGATTTGATAACGCAAAGACCCTGTCGTATGTTTCTCGTCCGAGTCTCGCTTCTCCTATTTTCAATGTGAAGAATTCGCCAACAGGTGAAGCGAGATGGCATGTGATCTTGGCTGCGCACCATCTTATCTGCCCGACCGTGCGGACTCTTGCACGTTCACAAGTGCGAGTAGCATGGCATTGATGGATTTGTAAGGCCTTCTCAAGAGTGGGATACCTTACTTGGAAGGTCGTGAACTTGCTGCTTGACGAGGAGCTACGGACTTTGATGTACATTGATGTCAGCCTCCTCCGTGGTCTTCTTCGTCCGCACGCTTGTCCTAACTGCCTATCTGTTTCGGCTCATTGGTGGTCTGAGACACCTTCGCTTACAATTACAGGAGTAATCGTCCGGAGCCATTCTCTGCTATCAGCCCGCGGATCTCGTCCGTCACCATGGATGGCCGCTTTGGGACAGGCGAAGATTATTATTGTACAATATATCCGCTGTCTTGGCTCGCTTCGTCTCGTCTTCCGACGTCCTACGCCGTTCACGGCGCGCGCCTCGAGATGGGTCAGCACTAATTGTGCGACCTCGTAGCCCTCCGGCCCTGTAAACATCACGACTGGACCGTTCCGTGAGACTCATAACTAATCATTCACATGCAGGGTTTCACTAGCAAGCAATAAGTCGGCCTGTACTTTGGCTACAGGGGGGTCGCTCTGCGAGGTAGGGAGCCCGGATCTTGAGCACCTTTCTGGAAATGTTACCACGCAGACGGCCACAGTTGGTTGCAAACTTGTCAAAAGGGCACAAGACTAAGGATATCATGTCATTCTCGGGACTGGAGATGCCCTCGTACGTGAGCACATCCTGACAACATGATCGAGGTACGATCATTCTCGCCAAGTCCATAGTAATACTGAAGAAGGATCAGGGTATGACCAACTCAACAAGGACCTGCTCCTTCAGCTTGGATGACCTGAGATTCAGAGTGTCCTGGCTGACCATCACCTCGACGCTGACTGTTGTATTTCTCATATGAGAAGCAAGCCGTGTTAGAAACTGTACCATTGCCACCCGGTTGTCTCGCCACTGTGGTTGGACATATTGGTTATGGTGCGAGAGACATCAACACTGGTACTGATTCACAGCATTCCTTCCGGGATGCCTGTTCACGATCGTCATGCCACCATATCAGAATTTCGATTTGTCCCAGAATCCTGGCGTCATGTCAGGTACGACTGGCAGACCGGATCAGAACCTCCGCACTCGGTAGCCTTTCTCCCTCCAGAAATGCGATTTGCCGAGCCAAAAGGTGTCGTGCAGGTTTGAATCAAGACAAGGCTATGATATGTTGTGTTGCCTGATGTCTACGCCCAAGATGTCCATATCTTGCGGTGATGTAGAGCTCAACTTCCAGCCAAGCCACTCCGGCGGCAACAGAAGTGGACAGTGGTTCAATTCTAAACATGACCACAGCATGACCGGTTGGTTTCCTACACAATCTGTCAAGGGACGATAATGACGGTGACATTTACCGGCGGCTTGGGGTTGGGGTTGTACCAGTCGATCTCAGTCGTCATGAAATTTCATACGAGACCTGCAGCTACGAGGCGACGCACGGAAGTGTCATAGAAGCCTTTAGACGCGGCTTCCTCCCGATAGATTGGCCTCGGATGCATCTTTGTGCGACGCCCATGTTGGAGATGCTATAGGGTATGGCAAATGCTTCCGACAACCTATCCAATAGATGATTCATGACGACCTTGGTTGCGACGAGTTCCCAAGAATATTACTGGGATTTGACCGAGGTGTAGCAATACCCACAGTTCCGGAAATACTCTTTAAGGAAAAGTACTCTTTACGCGGTTATACAGAGTACAGTGCGTCTGATCGTCAGTCGCAAGGGTGGCTTGAGGCTGACATACGACGAAAAGGGTGGATGTACTAGGGGTCCATTGGTGTCAAGATCAGGGAATCATCGGATTCAGTGTATGAGTATCCGTACAGGTAATATGGCCAGGAAATCATGGTGCATTGCCGTCCTGAACACGGATAGATGGTGCATATTGTTGACGTAGAGTCTGCGAGTATCTATCCATGGACGTGACTGTGGAACCAATCAGGCCCTTCAAATGCCAGATGATCGGAGTCCGTAGACACATCGCTAGGAATCCGGGAGGTACTGGAGGTCCTACACACACATGCTTCGTCAGGCCTGCCATTCTACGAGTCGTGCACTGCGTTTCGAAACAGTCATGTACTCGAGATGCACCGCTTTGGGTGTGAATCTGGGTGAGGTCGTAGTCTCGACGACGCTCTGTGACTGATGCAAGTACCCTTCATGCAGACTGGGATGGAAGTGCTCCAGACTGTAGCTCGCATGACAAGGTGAAGGGAATTTGGACAAGAATGATGCTTAAGATAGAAGTCGGATCAGCCACAAAAAATGCCACATGGTATTATAGGATTGTAAACGAGCACAACCGTACACTTCACTGGTCAAAGAGTCCGGATGTGTGGATTTAAATACCGAGGCGCAGGCATGGGGAGAAGCCTGTGAGTGGTTGTTGGAGATCCTTCTGTTGCCAGTAAGCGAGGCTTGGGCCGCACAGGCCCCCAAGAAACCCCCCAGGGTGCCCATCAACTCCCCCTCCAATAGGTGCCGAAAAGTGCATTATTACCCGCAAAGCCCCATGAGCCATGCTTGTTTTAGGCCTGGGAGCCACTTGCACTTGGCTGCTCCGGCGCAGTAGGTATAGTACGAGTAAAGGTAGATTGTAACTCGAGTACGCGAGGAGATTCGGTCCAGCAATTCCTGCTTTGCTTCAAACTCACCCAAAGCCTGTTTTTAGTAGAAGACGACAAGAGAGGAACAAGACTTGGCTGGCCTGAGAAGGACGACACCCTGATACCGAGTACAATACAAACAACAGTCGCATGATTTCTCTCTCATTCTCCTCACCGTCCGTGTCCATCTTCCCACATTGATGAATTGGGATCAGAACCCACACGCGAAGCACTCCCCTTTGTTCCACTACGAGAACCACTACAAACCACCAACCTCCTTTTCGATCATTTTCCCCCCTATTCCTACTTCACCCTCAACAAATTTCCTCCTGCATGGGACCGAGGGGCGGTACGGAGTCTTCCTAGCACCTTCACAGAGTAGTCGACTGTCACCATGACAAAGCTGCAGAAGCAGCCTCCACCAGCATACCCTGTCCGCCCAACATCCACGTCCACTACTACCACGTCTACCGCGCATTTGCAGGGAGCCGTACCATACGAGAACTTGCCTCAATCGACGCAACAACCCGTGTCCGTCATGACTGCTGTGACACCTAGTTCTTACAATGATCTGCCTTCCACAAACCCTTTCTCTCCCAACTTCGCTACTCAATCCGCCGCACACGATGCAGACCAACAAGCCCAATTTTCACCCATCTCCCCTTTGATCGAGACACCGACTGTCCAACGACTGTCCCAGGCATCGATCGCTGCTCCCACGCCACAGAGACCAGATGCGATCCAAAGACGCTCCGTAGGCCTACATCGCCTCGATGGCAAGCCCTACCCAGGCTCGACTCCGGCGGAGAAATTTGCAAAGCCTGTCAGGGTGGCCAAGGACATGCACGATGGTGCCCTGCCTCCAGTATACAATCCGCAAGACTCTGATTTGGTGAAATCCGCCGAAGTTGCACAGGATTCGGCGTGCAGGCATTGTGGGAAGAGATGCCCTCAAGGACAGGAATGTTCCCATTGTGGGAAGCGCAAGGCCAGTGTCCCTGCGACAAATTCCACGACACCTCCTGTGAGTCAGCACACGCGCACAACTTCGGAGGGAGTGGACTCTCAGAGATCGCGAATTTCAGAAACCACAACCGCAGGGCCGTCGAGTTCGCCCGGATCCTCTCCAGGGGGTAAAAGGTGCTGCAACAGATGCGGTCGCTACAAACGCCCAGGGTCAATCGATCACACCCCACCGAGCCATGTTCATACTGCCACCCAACCTATGCCCATGGCTAGCCATCCAGCCATGCGCGTTCATCAGGCAGGTTTGTCTATTCGGCCCGGTACGACAGGCCTTCGGACTTCTGTTTACCCTCAAATCGACGTAATTCCACCTTCGACGACAACCTACAAGCCAGCAGTGCAGTTCCCATCGTCTGGCTACGGAGATGAGTCCCCTCTTGTCGAGAGAGCCGTCCAACCCCAAGCCAAGCCATCTCGACATTCGTCTCTCATTCGGTCATTGTCTCGCAGATTGAGCAGGAAGGACAGGAAGAAAGCCACTCCTCCACAATCACCATTGCCGAGTCAACAAGTCGCCACGGGTGGGAACCAGTCTGGTGAGCAAAGTGCGGGACGGTTGATCAACATGATCAGCACTGCGATGCAAGGCCCCCTCGCCGACCGCGACAAGCAGTACTCGCGACTCAAGCCAGGCGAACAGCCTGATCGCCCGACCACACCCTTCTCGTTCGTCGGGGGCAAAGACGAACAAGACGCCTTTGAAATGGTCCACGTTCGGGATCGAGAGTCTCTTTCTGACAGTGACAGTTGGAAAGAGGGTGTGGATGAACAGATCACAATCACAAAACCAGACGGAGATATCATCCCACAAGACACGATCGATGTCATCTCCAGACCCAAGTCGGCCGAACCATTCAGCCAACACTTGGCTGTACCCGATGCCGAAAGACCTCAGATCACAAGATTTAAGAGCCTCAGAAGTGGTGTTTCGAGGATGAATAGCAACATCAGCCGATCAACCAGTTTGAAGAGATTGGGTAGTTTGAAGACGGCTCATCATGCATGGTACAGAGACGATATGGCTATTGAAGGCGCTGCTGGTAGCGAGCATGCGGTTCCTGCTTTTTGATTTTTGATTTTTGTCGATTTAATGTTTAATATTTCACGTATCGGAGTACTCTGGTAGCGCCGGCGAAGATGGGAAGGATTATGATCAATTTACGATACCATTTCATTACTTTTACCTAGCAATTTCATTCCATATTGCATTTCATGTCTAGTATATCACAATACATGGGGGTGAGATGGAGTATGGGTAGCACGTAAATCGCAGCCTGGTGCCTCAGCCTTGTCGCGGCAGTACATGTTGACTGAGGTACTCGTAGCTACTCCACTGCCAAAGGTGATGTCAGTTTGTAGCGTCCTATATCCAACCTCACAATTCCTCCATATTATCTTGATACTCATCCACCCTCTGGGCTCGACACAGTACATTCTCATTTTGCTTCCGCAACTCGGAACTTCAAGCACTAGGTTATTACCTCATTTGTAGCGTTTTCAGCTCAGCGTTCCAGCGGGCGTCACTCTGGCATCCTTTGCACTACAACACGCTCTCCAACGCCTCGAGGCAGAGCGTCAAGCAAGATCCCTGGCCAACATGGGCGACTTACAATTCGCCAAACAATTCCTCACGTCTATAGACAACAAGACCACAAAGTACCAATCGGACCATGTCTTTGATCCCAAAACCTATCAGATGAGAATACCTGTACGCCCTTTTCTTCTCTTGTCGTTCCTGTGGCCGTGCAACAGCACTCTCCCCGTGGCGACGTCGTTGAACGTCGGTTGACATGATCTGTGAACAGTACACCTTGCCCAAACTCTCCAATCCACCGCACCCTCTCCCACCCAAGACGAAACCCGCGCCACCTCCCGCGCCGGGATCCGAGTCCGCCAGACCGACCGTGTCGGTGACCTTGAAGTCGGCACGGAACCCCAACATGACAGTCACGTTGCCGTCCGTGGACCCCGGCACGACCACGATCCAGGGGTTGAAGGAACAGGTCCAGGCGTGCCTGGGCGGGCCGGGTGTGGTGCAGGTGGACAAGATCAAGCTGTTGCAGAACAAGAAACCGATCCCACCTTCGAAGAGGCTCTTGACGGACGCGGTGGAAGAAAGGGACCTCAGAGGACACTTGGAGTTGGGCGTCATGGTCATGGGCGGTGCTCCGGATCCGACACCAGATCAGGTCGCCGCAGCGGTGGCGGCGGTGACCACTAGCAGCACAGGCGGCACGACAGGTGCATCTGTACAAGACACACCCATGGAAGGTGTCGAGTCAACGGCTACGGCAAACACACAGTCAACCTCGGGCGCAGGACCAGAACCAGGAGTTCCTGTACGGCCCGGTGAGGCTAGCGCTGAGAGTGTTCTACAGACCACCGAATTCTGGGATGATCTACAAGGATTTTTGGAACAGAGGATACGCAATCAAAGTGACGCTGAGAGGTTAAGGAGCGTTTTCGAGAGCGCATGGAAAAGTCATAGTTCAAGACCGTAAAATGAGATTATGGTTTGTGTGTTCAGATATCGAAAAGGCGAAAAGGCTTAGAGATGGAGACGGAAATGTTCTCAGTTCTTTATTCTCTTAAGAATCTGATTTCTTCTTTCTTCTATCGACTCCATTCTGTCCGAAAAGGTCAAAGAATTTCAGTTTTCCAGTACGACTACCTGCCTGGGTAACCAACTATTCGTACCCCGACACGATGTATCAGGGGGCGTGGATATGTACAAGATGGGATCACCTTGATAACAGGTGGGAGAATGAAAAACAAAACCAAAATATGTCTTATTCAAGCAACTCCTTCATGTCCCTCGACCTCAAGTAGTCCTCCCAAGTTTCCATGGCCAGGGGAGGTGGATTCTGGAGATGCTTCGGTTCGATCCAATCCTTGACTTCACACATGTATGGGAATTCCGCGAGGAAAGCCGCACCCTCCATGACTTCTTCTCTTATACCTGTTATTCGACACAAGAGTGACACTGAAACTTCCAAAAAGTGTGCTTTCCTGTTTGTTGTCTTTTCCCAAGCCTTCAACCCTGAATCCATGCTCAACCACCAATCCACGGCCAAGAGTCTTGTTCCGGGTTTTTCGTCCTCCACCAAACAACGAACGTAAGGACCCGTCGAGAGGTTAGGGATGAACGCCGGTAAAGTTGTACTCATTCGACCAGGGAGGGTCATCAGGTATTGACACCATCCGCGGCTGCTGCCGCGGCTGCTGCTCTTGTCCTCGTCGTCGGTTTCGGTTTGTTCCAACTTGGCCCTAGGTTTGGGCAACAAGTGTACCAACCAAGGAAATTTCGTAATGACCCAAAGCATCCAAGGTGTCCCAAAAGGTACCTTGTGAGGATACAACAACGTATTGTCACAATAAGCCGAGGCGTAAACGTAACTCGTCCTTTGGTGCAAGTCGGGTAATTCGGAAGTGATGTAAGAAACCACCACGGCCTTTGCTTCAAAGTGATAACAACGAGAGTACTTTCCGTTTGACGCCACCCTCATGGATCCAAAGGCCGAATAGACGTATTTTTCAAGCCCGCGAGTTTGAGACGCGGCAATCGCCGCATTCTTGCCACGTTCAACCTCGGTGTCGTATGCGAGTCGAGATGCTTCGTCGTCGGGTTTCCCAGACTTCAAAGCGGGACGGTAGACGTCCCAAAAATCAGTGTTGACAAAAATCGCATGTGCTCCTGAAAAGGCAGACACCAGGCTAGGCAGGGATGAGAGGTCTGCTTGGATCAATTCGGCTCCCAAGGATGCCAAACCTCTGTTGATTCATGGAAGAGTCGGTAGTCAGTAACCACGTTATCGAGTATGGGGGGGAGGTTGTTCTGATTGGTCTTTTGGACGACGGTTTGATGGAGAGTGTCGTCTCTTTTTATTTGGTTCGTGGGTCGGTCAATCAACGTACCTTGCAGCTTCGGATGATGGGTTGCGAGTGACACATCGAACTCTCCAGCGAGATGATACCGGTGACGACAGAAACGTCCGGGCGACACTACCACCTTGTCGTCCTGTCGCACCTACAACGACAATGATTTTCTTCCGGTCGGCCGATGACATGTCGTCGTTTTTGTTTCTGTTTTTTTTCTCTTCTTGGGTTTGTTTTGGATGTTATAGGGGATAGATGCTCAAATAATAAGATGAGAATAACCTACAGGAGGTAGGGAGTATCTGGGCTCAAAGTGAGATAACGAAAGTCATGGAGGTCGACGAGGGCGCCTCCTCTGGCGACTCATCCTTAAATATATGGACATTGTCCTACCTATACCTTGCCAAAAAGCGACCAGGCCACTCCCCCTGCTCTGCTTACACTTTGAAAACCCTTTTTTGTCCTCATACTTGAGGGTACTCTGGCAATGTCAAGTACAGTAGATGACGGAGTACGAGAAAATATATTGTTCCGAGTCCCTCGTAGTTGATGATCAATTCTGATGTCGAGGTTCCTCCGATTGGTCAAAAGTCGTAAGCAACGGCCCAAGGAATAAAAATAAATGGGACTTTCGTCCTCCGTACAGTCACAGTACATACAAACTACCTCCCGAGGCTTATTCGTTTCGACTTCGAATCATGAGAGAAGGATGGTCACTGCGTTGTGGCCATCTCTTTCTGTTCGTAATGAAGACTTACTCTTGCTCCTCCCTTTCTGTTGTCTCATGTTGAAGTCCGCCGGCTGATTAGATTGGACCGGACATGACCAGCTTACTGTCGTCCTTCAATCACAGTACCGGTGATCCTATCTGATTCGGCTTCGGGATGTTCCGCATCTCTCTGCCCAAAATAAGCAATCTGCCTTGTTGCTGGAAGGATTATTGATCCGCTCGAGAAATGCGTCGCGGTAATCACGACGTCGCGGGAGATGTCGACCTGGTGGTGAGCGACAAGGAAACCCGAAAGCATACAATCACCGAACAACGACGGGAGCAAAATAGGCGAGCGCAGAGGGTATTCCGTAAGTCTTTTATTTCTAGTGGAGACCACCACACACGCTCTCTGGGTATGTTTCTGATTTTGAATCGTCGATTGCAGGAGAACGCCGGAGGGCAAAGAAAGAATACTTGAAATCTAAACCAACTCCCCGACATCTTGCACCGTGTGTACCTGAAGACACCGGCTGCAGGTCCGCAAAGTCTTCGGTGAACCTCGAGACCGAAGAGATACTTCACTGGATCGGACAGACATCCAGCACCAACACCACACCATCCAGCACCTCTAGTCATGTCTTTTCGGATGCGTTGACTCTACAAGACCAACCACACCAACAACGACAGTCATCGGCACATATAGTTCAGGAGACGATATTCACCTTCTCTTCCCCACAGACGTTACTCCCGGCCCATGACTCGCTCATCCCCAAACGACGTTCGCCCACGTCGGAAGTACAGGCTTTCCTTACAGCCACGAACCGGCCCGGTCACACCCTTTGGCCACATGGAGCCCCTCCAACCTTAGCTGCATGTTTGTTCAATGCAGCCGCCATGGGCATCGATATCGACAGGGTCGGAGAACCAAAGTACATGTCACCCTTCTACCGGCCCTCATTCTCAGCAACGCTGTCATCGCCATCGCCGCCAGTCCATCCAACGACGACGACGACGACCACTTCCTCAACCTCGCCGACTATGTATCTTTCACCTGGGCCCCGTTCCCTACGACCGTGTTTCGCCCAAGTGATATTTCCGCACCACGCTTGCCTGGATCTACTGCCTCTACCAAAACTGAGGGAGACGGCTATAATGTTGGTTGTCCGCCGCGCTCAGCAGGATGGACGTTGCGCCATGGACTCGTCATCTGATCACGCTGAGGTTCAGGAGTTGAAAAGGGACGTCTACGTCCGACAGGGTGTCAGGTTCCGTGGCACGGGAGAACTGACGAGAGAGGAGTACGTCTTGCCCGATGATGAAAGTTCACGACACTGTGGCAATCCTTGGGAAGGAGGTAGTTGGGCCGTTTCTCCTTGGTTTGCCGTCAAGTGGAAGCACTTGATAGACCTTTGAGGAATTTTCATTAAGTGGAAATAGCCAAGTCTCCAACTTGGTAGCATTGGGTGTTGTTATGTGCCAACTCAATCCTCGCAAAGGCGCAGGGATAGATCGTTAAATGCACGCCACATATGCGACGGCACGGCGATTTTTGGACCAGTCCGTCATAATCATAAATTATATTGAACCATATGACTCTATTGCGATGTAGAAGGTTGTGAGTTCGGGCAGTCCCTTTCGGTTGACCCTTGATACCAATGACAACACATCTGTACGCACGGCTTCGTTGGAAACCTGGCGATTTTGGAACTGGTTCGGCAGTTTCGATAACGTTCAAACTCTCCACCATCTTTGATGCCATCAGCATAGCCTGCGGTCCGAGGATTGTCTGGCATCAAGTGATTGGATCCAACATATAGGAGCGCCAAGTGCATCGAAAATGAAACGTTAGGCCAGGACGTAAAACATGGACTTGTACAACTGTGCTCGAAAAACAACTCGATTCCGGTGTCGATAAGCGACGAGAGCTTTCGTGGCGATAATGTGGAATTATGTTCTGCTGTTTAGTCATTGCAATCACCCAGAGTCACCGCCCTTGTAGCTGGGAGATATCAAGTGGCCCATATGCATTGATAACTGTCTGCCCTTGAGCACGAAGAAGATGTGGTCTAGAGCTCGTTAGCTTGAAGATTGGCAGTTGGATGATACATCTTACCCCCAGTTATCCAACAGCTACTAAGATCGCTGTCTGCAATTTGACCCGGTTGGGCGATCTTTAGAGTATGGAGTAACGTTGCCACGTCGTCTGTCTTGATGTCTTCTTCCCGTGTAAATTGTGCTTTCCACGAAGCCGGGTCCTCCTCCGAATGGTCAAATACTTCAGGATTGTCGTTCGTCAACGTTTTGGCAGAAACATCTTGGGTCTCGAGGCCAGTCCTGTCGTAACCACGCACGCGACCGGCCCAACTTGCACTCTTGTAACGATCTGGGCGAGATCCTTGTGATTGTCTTGTAACTTCTGGGCCCTGTTCTCGAAATCTTTCGTCTAGGGCCATTCTTGGCGCAACTCTGTGATCGGGAGTGTTTGGGCGAGGTCGCGCTGGTCGTCGGGCACCTTCTGAACGCGCAGTCCTTTCAGCCTCAAGCCGAAGGCGCTTTTCATGGTAATAAATTTCGTCTCGAAGTCGGTGTTTCGCTCTCACGCCCTTCCCCGTAGATCAACGGCATATAGACATCGAAGATACCAAGTAAGCAATATGCTTCATCTTCTTTGCGCGTAGTCCTGCGTGTTCGTGTCCATGACATGCGTGTTTCGAGACTATAACTTGACAAGGCCTGCCCTTTTAGGGCCGCAGTAGGAATGACAGTGATTTCGCGAATCACCGTTGCGAGAGTATACTTGTCACCAAGATAATTTCCCTCCTTATTGAAGAATTCCACATATCGCGGTGCGAGCAGCTCCTGGAGTGTCCAGCCTCTGGTGAATCATCGACTTCTCCGAATAGCGATTTGATCAGTTCCAGATACGTCCGACAAGTAGACGTAGCACTCTTTGGCTTCCTGATACCATCGGAACATTGAGTTGATCGCTTCATGCAACTCTGAGAAGTTCTGTTTGTTGATACAACAGGTATCTACCCAGATATGTTGCAGCCCGTCACTTGTCGCTTGATTTGCACAGAACTGGAGTTTGCGATATCCAGCTTTGGACTTGTAATTGCCAACGTTCTGCGTCAAATCATCATACGTGACCTCAGCCTCTGGTTCTCCCCATGTATGAGAGAGAATGGCATAGGGAGGAACCTTGTAATGATGAAGATCTCCGGTCAGGCTGAACTCGCCCTTCCCGCTGCACTTCAGGAGGCGCATGATCCAAATGTTGCCTGTGATTAGAAGAATGATCTATGTGAGCTGAATTTCGTATGTGAGCGGTATACACGAGATGAACTTGCACGGTACAGGATGATTGTTGATGAACAGCAACATGACACGAGAGATGACATCTTGACATGGTGTAAGAGGTAAAGATGCAGACTGTCGCTTACAATCAGGCTGCATGTGGCTGTGGCTGTGATTGTGAAACGGCTTTGGTTGTTGCCAAACACCTGGAGGGACTTTGGTATTGCAGATGTTAGAGACGAGAATTATATCTGTCAGACAATATATTTTGGGTAGTTAGGAAGGGTGAGTCTTTGGAATTCACGGATGTCGATGTCATTTGAATCACAACAAAGTTCCTCGCTTTCACATTCACTCACTGCATCTCCGGAAACGCGAATTCACGAGACAAAGACAACAACGACGACCATGTCGCGGTAATGACAGACTAACTTATTTCTTAGGCTTCCTGAGGTAAGTCCATACCTTTTCATCAATTCTGGTAAGTCTCCAGACATCTTCTTTAGGTGTGAATCCCTCCACTGACAATCTAAACTCGCAGCCTTTGTTGTTTATTCTCCTCCGTTTCGACAATGTCGACAATGGCAACTTCTCTTGTGCCTTTGTCGGTGAAGTCGACGGCCGAGACGGCTCTCCAAGGCACTCAGAGTGTTGCCTCTGCTCTACGGACCACCCAGCACGTCGTCAGCAATGAGGTCGCAAGCGGGACAAACTATCTCAAGAGAAAGGCGCAAGAAGTACGCATGACACCGACAAAGTCACCTCTCAACTCGACGAGTTTCTCTACACCCCCTCCTTCGCCGGGAAACTTCCGACATCCCAGGCTCACCGAGATCCTCGCACGAGAATCGGCCACGTCCATATCGGAGAGAAGAGTCAAGGGGGCAGCCATCAACGCCGCAGTTCTGCTCTTCTCCCTCGTCTTCAGCGACGCATTCTGTTCATGGTAATAAACTACACACACACACCCCACATGTCCGCGTCTGAAATATCCTCGTGGTCACGTACTAACGTTTCGATCGTAGTGTGACTCGGCTCCTGTCATGGAGCGGGATCGATCCCTCACAAACCCTTTCCACGACGATCGTCCTCGTCCGACTGGTCAGCTTTGCCAACATTGTCCTGTGCCTACAACCTGTCATGCCGTACATTTCGAAAAAGGACCAAATCACAGACATCCCCCTGACGCCGTCTCAGCGCTCTCTCCTGGGCCTCGATCCGTCCGTGCAGCCGACCCCGAGCCCGGCAGGCTCGAGTCTGAGCTACATCACCCCTCCGCGGTATCGACGGTCGTCCGGCTCCTTCACCGGCAGTTCTCCACTGAGCGGACAACAAGGCCTGTCGTCGACGGGTCGTCGAAGCATCTCTGCAAACTACACCTCCTCGCCACTCTCGACCTCCAGACACGCCGTGGGCTTTTCTGGAACCCCCGTGCGCCGCGGTACAGACTTGTCCACGACAGGTTCGGGGTTCTCTCCGTCGCCTGCCGCCACCGCCAGCCCTCTGTTCCACAAATCACTCAACCACTCCTCTTCACAGATTCTTCCGGACGTCGATTTTGGAGTCACCGGGAGATCTTCATTTGGCGGAGCGACAAGCACGGGTTCGGGCCTGGGCCGCTCACAGAGCCTGCGTGAACGACCCAGGAGGGAGAGCCTCGAACCCGGATCTCCCGCGTCTCGGAACAAGAGCCCGCAGATCGTCCCCGGCGTGAACTACAAGTGGTTGTATGACAAGGGCAGAGGCTTACCGAAGAGTGAATCTTATGGATTCTGATGACGTTGTTCCCCGTTCACTTCTTGCGTGGCATGCTCATGATTTCAATTTTCTTTTTGGATCACAGGCTTCTTCTTGGTCACGGAGCAACAACAAAGATACATGCACGGCGTGTTGGGGGTTTCAGTGATTCACAAAAATGAACAAAACTTGAATCACAGTTAGAGGCGCGAGTCTAGCTGTTCCTGTTTTGCCGGTTCCTATCCTCGACGGCATACATGACAGCAGGAATCAAAAACAATAGATACCCCCCCAAGTTACTCCGTATCAAAGACTTCAAAACTGTATGACAATTATATCGTGTCACATTGGAGGCTGGTCGGTTTCCATTGTGGCTAACAGAAGAAGAAGAAATACTAGTTGAACCAAATTCCACAAGAACTCAAGGATCGACGTGCGTGATGAACGTTTTTTGAAAAAAATATCTATCGTAGGATCCCGTGATATCTGATGCATCGCTCAAGAAACCAAATTGAAAGCCAAGAATGGGAGGCGGGATGCCTCAGCTTCTCTCTCACCGTCTCCATCACATTAAGGACGACTCACCCGTCCAGGAGTCGACTCTTTCAAGGAGAACTGCCAGGGGATATTACCTTTCTAACCTGCACGAAAACCCCGTGAGCGCCATTTCCTTAGACCTCTCTCGTCCGCAAGCCTTGTCCTCCAGTGTTTCCATTTGATCCTTGAGAACTCACGCTCCTCCCGGCGGCACCGACGCGTCCTACAAGTCCACCGAGGTTCAACCCTTGCACACCCTGGACAAGTCGCGACCCTACAGCATCGACTGCCCCTCTGGGTTGTGACAGACTAGGGCCTTCTCGACGACCCTCAGTCGCGACCTGGAAGAGCTTGACATGCGTCCCGTTCCACACACCTACTGGAGCAGCTACGGCCCCTGCTCCGGTCAGAGTCGCTGCCGTCGAAGATGCGGGAGTGATCATCATCTCTGCCGTGAATATCAAGCTCCATAAAACGCTCATATACCAGCCCAAGGACAGTGGCGACCACTCGAACAAATGCACCCGGATCGGACTCGGGGAAGCCAGGATGGCAGAGATTGCTGGATGATTGGCTGTGTTTGGAATTTGAGCTCGGAACTCAGTAATAGATGGCTCATCGTTGGCAAGGCTCTGCCGACGAGAGGAAGGGGCGGAGTTTGAGCTTCTGTGTGAGGGATCGCTCGAGCTATCGGGATTTGGGCGGGCTCGGTCCGAAGAGACCGAAGGATGTGTCGAAAGGACTTTGATGACGGTCAACAAAGTATGTAGTGGCAGATCAGCAAGCCAACTCTCTAGCCACTCAGCGTTCGGTGTGAAAGAGCCACGGCCACCAGTATAACTTGAAGAGCCAGAAAGACTGGTGGTGCTGTTCTGCCGGGAGAAAGTCAATGCCCCAGCAGGCATCTTGCCCCGAGCTTTCTCAGACATGCCTGATAGTTGAACCGGGACATGATCATCAACCGCCGACGAAGAAGCTATGGAAGGTGTTCGAGATGTGCGCACCGATTGTGTGGATTGCGAAGGAGTTGGAGCGTCTTCATTGTCAGACTCGTCAGAATCACCAATCGCAAAAGTCCCATCCACTCCGGGCTCCGTACGTGGCGATATGGGATCCTCACGAGTTGGAGTATGCATATCCGTCAAGGTTGAAGATCTCGAGAGGTTGTTGCTGACGTCTGTGAGTGCACTTTCTTTTCGTCTCTGAGCCGCCAGCTCGATCTCTGCTTGACCTCCTTCAAGAGTGAATGCACGTAGACCTTCAATCCTCTTTCTCGATCGCCACACAGCATATATCAGATTCGAACTGGACGTATATTGATGCTCGATCATCGTTGAGATGGCTTCCAGTAGAGCCTGGAGTAAGGTGTGGTTACTCTCATTCGCTAGAACAAAGCTAGGTGTGGACATTGAAGAGAGCAACTGCAGAAGTCTACTGCTTGCAGCCAGTGACAAATTCTGGACGTAGGCGGCCATGTTGTTAATTATGGCCAACAGCGCTGGATATATTGCTTCCAATTTCCCCTTACTGGTGGTGATCAAGGTGTGTATGGATATGATCAGGAAGTCAGCATAGCTGCCTCGGAAATTGGACAGTCGTATCGAGGCAGGCAAGGAGTCTTGTCCTTCGAACTTCTTGTTAAGATTGTTGCCAAAAGGTGACTCCACACTCATGGTCTGTAAGACAAATACACACATCCGTACAATGCCTTGCTTCGAAGCGTCGGTCTTATATTCGAGAGCGTAGAAGAGCATCAGAATGATAAAGTCATGGGCCCGATTGGATTCGATGATGAAGGCGCGGAATCTTTTGTTGCACTGAAGAGCTTCCCAGAACAGCATTATCATCTCTGGAGCCCATTTGACTGATTTCTGGCTACCAGGCAAATAGGAGGAGGTGGCTTCCATTGGCTGGCTCAAGACTCGCGTCATGCCGTCGGCAAGGAATTGGAAATCTTCTGGTCTGTGCAGACGACCCAAGTAATGACGGTAGAAGTTCTTTGGTGCTGTTGAACTTCCACCCTCAGGGACAGGGTAGAGAAGGAGAACAAGGAGGAATTGTAGACTGTAAATGACAAGGGTCTGTTTCGAGTCTCGGCGGACTACATGATCGTAGGGAAGCCGCCAGGAACTGGTATTTGATTTGATCGTAGTATTGATGAGGGAGCACAGAACAGACAAGACGATCTGCTTGTCTGGACAAGTTGCGATGTATGTGATGGCTTTGACGCCTTGAACGGGAAGCGTACCGGATGGCATGTACATGGCTTTGCTGGTAAGCGTCAATAGCAGACGTAGCACCTCACATCTGTTGCTCTCGAGCTCTTTGTTGGTCGGGATGGATGTTTTACAACCGACACCACTCTGCCATATGGCGTATGTGACCTTGCTCTTAGCCTGAGGTAGGTGAGGTATTGTAAAACCCGCATAGAAGAGGAGGTCAATCAAGGTATCAATCAACTCTTCAGCAAGCGGCTTGGCTTCTTCGAACTCCTGCTCTTCGCCGTCCTGTTCTTCAATGTCGCCACGCTGGTTGTCATCGAATAGTATCTCGCCAGCCACTTGCGCCTTCCGCGTCCGACGGCGGCGCATGCCCCAAAAGAACCTCTCTTCCCATTCTGCCAGTGGCTCCGCCTCGTATACGTAGGGTAATAGTCTAGTTAGAACTCGTATGCAATTTAGGGCATCTCGTTCCGGCGCGAGGTCGGGATCTGGAAACGAGGGATGGTTCTTCAGCACATTGAGGCGGGATGTCACCGCCAGAATCAGGGTCTCGAGGTTCTCAAGGGCTGAGTCTCGGGCTCTGCGGATGTCGCTATGTGAGAAGAGACTGAATACATCCTCGACCGACTCTGGTAATTCCCAGAACTAGATTCGTCAGTAAGCTTTCTCTTGCACCATGTAGGCAACCTACTCCTGTCCAATATGGATCATTGGCGGGGATGTTCCTCTCTTCGGAGAGTTTGAAGATCCCCTGCTTGAACACGAGCTTGGACTCTGAGGCACCCATACTGGAAAGCGGGCATTGCACGCAGTACTAAGGAAGGACTAGCAGCCACGAAGACCAGTAGCTTCGTGGTGCATTCTGAATCCGGTGAACGAGAGTGAGGTGTTTCAATGGTCGGTTGTGTTACCAGGCGACGCTTAGAACTGACAGTGACAGTGACTGCGCCTTCGTTGCCAAGTGGAGAATGAAATGACCGATGAATGAATTCGAGGCCAATTCGTCATATTTACATGTGGCTCGCTTCACCATGAATTTGCATTGGATCGTCCGCACATCAAAGTCTTCTATATTAAGTATTGTCTGAACATGTAGTATACCTTTTGAAGGTAAGTTACGGAGTATATATTGTGAAGGACAGACACAGAGGATCAGACAGCCACCAAATGACGTATTACATTTGTCCACCGGCATCATGGCCACCAAGAATACGGCCTAGACATTCCCGGTGTCTTTTTCTGTTGAAGACTCGTCGCTCACCAGCTCCTCCCGTGTTTCCTTGTCTGCTCTGTGTTTGGTAAGAGCCGGGAAAAATATGCCAGGATAAATGAACGTCTGAAGCAACGTTGCAAGACCAACCATGCTAACGCAAATGTCAGAGAGAGGCCAAAACGAGGTATATCAAGAACACCTACCAGCTTTCAGCGCCTATGAAGAGTGCTTGGTTCTGCATAATCGGGTTCCTCCAGCCTGAATAACATATGTCAATCACTATGACAACTTCATCTGATCTTTCTACTCACCATTGGCCATTTCCGCGACACGGTAGACGCAACGGACGAATATCACGAGGAATGAAACCGTGATGGACACGAGAAACACTCGAAACTTTATATCTCGCAAAAGACCTTCGGCGGACGGAGACAGTGGCGTGGCTGATCGGAAACGACGGATCGTGTAGTCGGTGGTTGCTGCAGCAAAAAGAAGAAGCGTCAAGACCTGCCAGGCAATACCGGAGATCATTAGTCGGTCCCCAACGTCGCGGAAACTTTCGTCGTCGCCAGCCGAGCCTGCAATTCCTCCTCCAGCTGCTTGAAGGGCTGTCTGTTGTCAGAGAGAGCACATTGACACAAACCGGAGAATAGCATGAGCTTTATACACAGCCCAGACAGTCCGATGGAATGACATACTAAGTGCAGCAATATCTGCCGAGATGAAGGCCCAAGTATACCATTTCGGTCGGATCCTTGACCATTCTCTTCCAAACTGCAAGACAAGATGTTTGAGGATCAGATAGAGCGCAGCTGAGTTGAGGGCTGGCGAGAATGTGAGGCAGCATATTTGTATCTGAAATCCGATCGTGTCGAAAGGATTATTGTGCATGAGGCATCTGCCTATATAGCCAATGCAGGAGGACAAGCAGGCCAGGCACATTGCAAGCATGTAGCTCCAGGAGCGATATCGCCAGCCAAGGATGAAGTTGATGATGAAGCAGGTGCCGAAGAGTGCGGCAAAGAAAGCATTGCTGGCGAGTATGGGATAGTAGCCGTAGATCGAGGCTTTGACTGGACACGCTTCGGAAACAGAGTCACAATCAAGTGGATTGACATGATATGGGTTGACAGCCATTTCGTTGCCGCAGGTTCCTCTGGCGAGTGCAATGCTGGAAATGGTACAAATAGGTTGAGCTCTCGTTCTCCTTTGGATCTGTGGATTGTGTTGCAGAGAGCAGGCTGCAACCAAGAAGGGGGAGAAGAAGGAAACATATAGGAGACACTGATCAAACCGTATAAAACCCACCTGGCTCTAAGCAACAAGCACAGCAACCCGTCATCAAATCAACATAAGACAATGGATAGCCCCGTCGCCAAGCACACGCAGAGAGAGAACTCACGAGTACGATACGTTGGAACTGATCCATCCGCAGCAACACTCGATATTGGCAGCTCGCGCAAAAGGACATTTTGGGAATAGAAGGTGGAATTGTCCAAGCAAGACAGCTTTGGTATCGACCCAACGTCATGACTTAAAAGCGGCTCGCAAGCTGTGGTCGGGCTTGGTGAAACGTGGGAGACTCAACCATTCTTGCCCCGTGCTCCAAGGCAGAATGAAAAGGAAAAGGTTTTCAGTGGACGTGCAGGCGGGAGATGGCACATACTGAAACTCGATGGAGAGAAAGTTCGATATAATACCGGCATCATCGAAGGACATAAAGAGTAGTTCTATGAAAGTAGCCTTGCGCAGCCAAAGGAGGCCAGGTCGCGCTAGTCCCAATCGAGGCTCCTGCGCGAGCCATACGGCCGCAAGACGCCATTGGCCTCGCAGTACCTACTCGTATCACTTGGGATTGTCTTGCGAGTAAATCACCAATTCATCGAATGAGGGCCGGAGGAGGAAGGTTGTTCTTGGGTTCCTGTTTATTAGCACTCGGAAGTGTTTTGGCTTGTGCTAGAGAGTTGCCAGCGCTTGCATCTCGCATGCTCAGAAATCAACTCCGACAGCCGGTTCGGAACAACATTTCTGCGGGCGTCGAACCATTGCTCGACCTCAGTTGCTCCGTGGAAGCGGCTCCGACGCGGTTCCTGGCAACCAGATTTACCAGGGGATCAACCACAGGTTGTGTTACTTAGGTACGAGCATTATATGATTTTGTACCCCGTACGGAGTAAACAACTAATCAACAAATCGAATCTGACGGGGTACCCCATGAGTAAGCGGAATATATGCTTCAAACCGAGTACCTTCGTACGCGTACGGTGAAGCAAGCTGTGAGCCGTAGCGATTGTACCTCGGCTCATGCCTGACAATGGTCGCTTGCAACACTGCGGCCGTTGTGCACAAGAAACACCTCGGGTCAATCTGTAATGCAATACCTCCGTGTGACTTTTGGTTATTATATTGTCATTTCTAGGAGCCGACCGTACATGGCATCTTTGTGATCTTTTCCTTTATATCCACTGTCACTGCCGCCGTCGTTCGATTTTACTCAGTTCCGCTAGACTTTTGCGCCGTGCCAGTTCGCTAGAAGTGTTACAGAGAGAGAGAGACCCGACCGTGTCAACCCTGCGCAGGCACAACCATGCCCTTCAACACTGAACTCACCCGCCGCCTCGGCATCAAAGGTAAGCGACTTGGACCCCCTCATCACGGCCATTTTCCTCTGACATGGTTTCCTCCACAGTGCCGGTCGTGCAAGGTGGTATGCAATGGGTCGGATACGCCGAGATGGCCGCTGCGGTGTCCAACGCAGGCGGACTGGGAATTGTAAGTGACAACGACCGACACCGGGACATGAATCCGTTCTCAGCCCTTGACTAACGGCTTCGTTGTAAACAGCTCACCGCCCTCACCCAACCCACCCCCGAAGACCTACGCAAGGAGATCCGACGATGCAGAGCCATGACCAAGAACCCTTTTGGCGTCAACATCACCCTCCTCCCGACCATGAACGCCCCTCCCTACGGTGAATACGCGCAGGTCTGCATAGACGAAGGGATCAAGGTGGTGGAAACCGCGGGAAACTCCCCCGGGCCCGTCATCAAACTCCTCAAGTCCGCGGGGATCATCATCCTCCACAAGTGCACCACGATCCGCCACGCCCAGTCGGCCGTCAAGTTGGGTGTCGACTTCCTGTCCATCGACGGTTTCGAGTGCGCCGGCCACGTGGGCGAGTCGGACATCACCAACTTCATCCTCCTCTCGAGGGCCCGCCAGACCCTCAAGGTCCCCTTTATCGCGTCCGGTGGCTTCGCCGACGGCCAAGGGTTGGCGGCCGCGCTCGCCCTCGGCGCCGAGGGCATCAACATGGGGACGCGGTTCATGTGCACCGCCGAGGCTCCGATCCACAACAACATCAAGCAGGCCATCGTCGACGCTTCGGAGCACGACACCGAGCTCGTCCTGCGCCGCTGGACAAACACCTCCCGCCTGTTCAAGAACAAGGTCGCCTCCGAGGCCGTGAGGATCGAAAAGACCAGCCCCACGGGCAAGTTCGAGGAGGTCGCCCCTTTCGTGTCGGGCAAGAGGGGCCGCGAGGTCTTCATCAACGGCGACAAGGACTTTGGCGTCTGGACCGCCGGCCAGGTCATCGGCTTGATCCACGACATCCCCACCTGCGAGCAGCTGCTGAGGAGGATCGAGAACGAGGCCATCGAGGCCGCCGAGAGGATCCAAAAGACATATCAGCCTCAGAGTAAGCTTTGAAAGAAGTCATCGACAAATGGATAGGAGAATACAGCATAAATAGAGTTGGAGAGTAGATGTATCCTCTTTTTGACCTTGTCTTTTGGCCTAGATGTACCGAGTAGCTCAAGAAAGATCAAAGAAACACTGTTTAAAATTCTCGATGAAACTGAAATTGTAAACACAATTGAAGAATCTTGCAACGAGAGGGCGGTTCCAACATCTAGGCATCGTCTCAAATATTTGTTGGCAATATTGGTTGACTGTACATTTTTAGTTTTTTATGTTGACCAAGGCGAATCATTGCCGCCATGGCACTCCTAATGACATCTTTGACGCCTCGAATCTTTCCCAAATCGCTATACACAAGGCAGGTCGAGCTATTCTATAAAGCTCACGTTTACCATTTGAACCAGAGAGAAGGCACCTCTTTCTCTTCCGTCGCTCTTTGTGGCCTTCCGTTTTGTCCAGCCATTCTGAAACTCGGCTGGCTGTTGTCAGGCCACATGCTTCCACATCCTCGTTGTAGCTGTACCACTTACACCTAGCCGTAGGAGACTCTCGCATCTGGCTCGCCTGGTGCAAGATAGTTTGTGTGAGGGTCGCCACTTTCCTTGGCCGCAGAGCAGCGGGCCATGGTAGGCGAGCTACAAGCATTCTTGTTAGCAAATGACATAATCGGAGAAAAAGGGGGCTAGTGTCATACCTTCTTGAAATAACATCAGTCTGGTAGAAGTCCTTGATGGGGTTCTTCAATGGCTCATTGGTTGCCTTGGCTCCTTTGTGTGCATCCACAAGCTGAACCTTGCTCAGACTTGAAAGAGCACTCTCCTCAACGTGATCATATCGCCGGAGGGTTGGGCTGACCTCCTCCATGCGGTCTCTCAATACTTCTAGGTCATCATAAGGTAAGGGTACTCCTAAAAATTCTGAGGCGGCACGAATGATCTTCCAGTCAGTTCTTGCGGCACCAGGCAATGAAACAGCGGTGCGAGTAATTTGTACTCGTCCTTCTGTGTTGACATAGGTGCCGGACTTCTCGGTATATGCTGCTGCGGGTAGAATGACATCAGCGAGCTGAGCGCCAGTCTCGCCGTGGTGACCTTGATACACAACAAAGGCATCCTTGGGAATGTCTGCCTGGGAGATCTCATCCGCACCCAGCAGCCAAACCATCTTCGCTTTAGTCTCGGCAACCTTCTTTGACGGCGTGACGAAGCCAACTTCGTATGCACCGGCTCTGGAAGCTGCACGCTGGAGGACGTTGTAGCCTTGCCACTCAGGAGTGTTGAAGTTGGCTTGGTGCTTCTCGACAAAAGCTCCCACGGTCTCGAAGATGGAAGCAGCATCGGCATGTTCCGCAACGGCGCTACCAAGAATGATCATGGGCTTCTTAGCAGAAGCCAACTTCTTGCCAAAATCTCCTGAAAAAGCCTTCTTCACAGCAGCTGCGTCCTGGCCGAGGTTGTTGTACTGGAAGGTACTCTTGAAGTCTTCGCCAATAAAGCCGATATCAATCGGTGAGCGCATCCATTGCTTTCGAATTCTGGCGTTCAACACAGCTGCCTCCCATCTTGGGTTGCTGCCGATGATAAGCATGCAGTCTGCGTCTTCGACACCAAAGATCTTAGAGTTGAAGAGGTAATTGGCTCGAACATCGACTCCGTGTGCGACTGGTTCGTTACCACGAGGTTGATCAAGAGCGAGGTTTTCTGAGTTCAGTCTGTTGGCAAGATCCTTCATAGCAACCAGCGATTCGACCTCCATGAGATGTCCGGCGATTGCCTTGAATTCGTTCTCCGCAGGTTTGAGCTTGAGGTAAGCATTGCCGATTTCGGTCAAAGCTTGTTCCCATGTGGCTGGCTGGAACTGGCCGTCTTTTCTGATGAGTGGTGTTGTTAATCTTTGCGTCTTCAACCCATCCAATGCGAATCGCTGCTTATCATCAATCCATTCTTCGTTGATGTCGTCGTTCAATCTGGGTAGGATTCTCTTGACCTCTAGACCTCTTGCATCCACTCTGATGTTCGAACCCATGGCATTCAGAACGTCAATGGACTCGAATTTGGTGAGCTCCCACGGTCTGAAGCTAAAAGCGCCAGGCTTGGGTAGCAGGGCACCAACGGGGCAAAGATCCGCCACGTTACCTGACAACTCTGTATCCAGATTTCTTTCGAGGTATGTACCGATTTCTAAGCCGTTGCCTCTTCCTGTAGATCCCAATTCTGGCGCTCCAGCAATTTCATTGGCGAATCGGACACATCTCGTGCAGTGGATGCATCTGTTCATCGAAGTCTTGATCAAAGGTCCAATATTTTTATCCTCCACCGCACGCTTGCCAGTAATTTCGTGGAAACGGCCTCGGTCTGCACCATATCTCATGGACTGATCTTGTAAATCACACTGGCCACCTTGGTCGCAGATGGGACAATCTAGTGGATGGTTGGCGAGGAGGAATTCCATTATACCTTCTCTTGCTTTGTGTGTCATGGGTGAATTTGTTTTGACAACCATACCAGGCTGGACGGGCCATGCGCAGGATGCCACCGGTTTAGGAACACGTTCGACTTCGACAAGGCACATACGACAGTTACCGGCGATGAGGAGTTTTCTGTAACCAATTTGTCAACACGTAGGATACCCGGTCATCGACTGAACCATACTCATGATAGCAGAATCTGGGGATCGTGACACCAGCCTTCTCACAAGCTTGGATCAAAGCTGACCCAGCTTCTATTGACACTTTCTTTCCATCTATTGTGAGTTCGACCTCGGCTGGTCGTCTTGCTGAGGACGCAAATGATCGTGTTGCAGAGGACGACAAGGGCCTCCGGGAGCGCGCAGCGGCGCGAAGAAGCTGAGACCGCATATTGACTTGGAAAGCTGGTCTCAGCTATAGATATGGAATGTCGTTGAGGGAGGAGTGGCGTCGACGAGGAGCTCTTGAACTGGAGAGCGCAGCTTTAATGACATTCGGATCATTGGCACGTAAAGGAATCTCTGTGATTTCTGATTGGCTGTGTGAAGACTTGGCACGATTGGGCGCTGGCTGAGACTACCAGCAAGGTGCTATCCATGGGCCAAGTCTCACACGCAGTCCGGTGCTACGAGTACAGCTTCAGTCTTTGATCATAGCGCTCTTGCCGACAACTTCTGCTGGATCCCACGATGATGCTGATGAGCACCCTAAATGCAAGACCTCTCTCGAAGCCCACAACACAAGTTCGCACATTGCACGCCATACGACTGGTCCCTGCCTAGAAGCCAATACCACCCATCAATAAGGTGATCTAGGACCTGTGAGGCTCAAACATTCTGATAATGACTACCAGATGCGCGTCACGCTATCAGCATGTCCTTTCGATAAGTCTTGGGCTTTGAAAAGATGTCTATGCGGGCCATGCAGGACCTCTCGACCTTCTCCAGTCAATCACATTCTCAGCCTTACCAGCACGATTCAGAGCTGCAGCAATCTCGTCTACTAGGCCGATCATCTGAGACTTTTGAAAGTGATATTACTGGCTGCCAATGCATGTTGTTATTTCTTTTGGCGCCACCTTCACTTTGTGGTTGATTATATCGCGTTCGATTGCCCGTTCTTCAAGCCACTATGCAAGCTAGCATTTGACCACCACCACCATCATGGCTTCGCGTTGCTGCTGGTCACGGGCACCCGCTGCATATGCCTCTCCACCCGACAAGCTCGCGTACAATGGACATTCTGTAAGTCGTGAAAAAAAGACCTATTTCGCTGACAGCTCGTGAAGTAGGCGATGTTGGATCGTGGACACCAGAGACAAGAATCCTTTTTTGCCACAAGCCTAATGTTCGGAGAGAGATGACCTAGAGCTGGAACGCAAAAAGTCACCTCTCAAAGGTATGTTTGACACCGAGAAGGGCCTTGTCTCAGCCAGCTTCGAGCGCTACTGCCTTACCTTGATGATTCGTACAAGTTCCTCCAAGGCATCGTCGCTGTATGCCCGCGGATATGCAGGGATATTTGGTCGTTCCAAAACTTCGGCGTCGTGTTGTCAGGCCAGGCTTCCGCCTTTTGCATTGCAACTAGAAGCTAGCCTTCCATGACCCGATCACTGCCTCCACGAATTTCTAGGCTATCTAGTCAAGCTTGCGCCACCATCTCTGCGGCTGACTACTAACAAGGATCGTGCTCCTCCCAACTCCTTCGCTGGTGAATCTTGTCACAAGGGCAGTTACCACCAATACCTTGTACCATCCCTCACTAAAAGTGGCTCGCAATCAGTCTCGCGAAAGGAGTGGTCTGATTTGCCTGCTATGAGGCATCTTACTGTAGTGCCAACTATGAAGCCTTACCACTACCACACTTCGGTGCCACAGCCATGAATTCGAGATTCAGCCTCAGGCGAACCTCCTCAATAACGATAATCCACACCACCATCTTGGATCCTTGGGTTGATTTTACTTGTTGGCCGCGGACCAGCATCCAATACACCCTGGAGACCTGGATGTACTTTGGTTTTAGTATGATCCCTTGGTATGGTTTCTTCTCTGACTGCAAAAGGACCCAACAAATTCAACCTCCACAGTTCGGCTGTGTATTCCCTTCAGTATTCTCCTGAATTCGACAACGCCTCCACGGGAGGGGCGTAACATAGCCGCAGAGACTATGAGAGACTATATGCCCTTCTCCAAGGCGAACTTGCGCCAAGGGCCAATATGTTTCTCTATGGTGTGATGGACTTGAAACATATTTCAGCCGTACCTCTCCCTTCATAAATGTCTTCATTGCGGCAAAGAAGCTGTCCATTTTCCCACCCTTTTGCTTACAATCGAACTTCCAAGATGGCTGAGAAATTCAAGGTCGGCGAGAATTATGCTCTCATAGGCACATATGAGTATGACATGCTTGACGAAGACCAAATTCGTCTGTTGAGGCTCTTTCCCGAGACTAGCCACGGCGGCACCAAGTCACCACTTCAGGGTGAATTACAAACCTATCGATTGACAATTCCTGTCATCGAGGCCGCCAAGCAGGAAAATGATGTCGATAACGGATGGGGCTTGGAGGATGCTAAAGTCATCGATGAAGCGCCAGAGTATGATGCACTTTCTTATACCTGGGAAAATGTTTCGTACAGGAACGAAGATGAAGTGGAGGATTCTTTGGAGAAGAAGACGAAAACCACAGAGGTAATCAATATCGTCGAAAACGAACAATCTAAAGGCACCATTGTCATCGGCCCCAACCTCGCAAGTGCACTCAGGAGATTCCGGAAAGAGATCGATCCAGAATATCCATTGTGGCTGTGGATTGATTCTATCTGTATAACACAGAACAGCCCTCGCCATAACACGGAGAAAAGTGGACAGATCCAAAAAATGGCCGACATCTACCAGGAAGCCACGAAAGTCCGTGTCTGGCTGGGCGAAGAAGACGAGGATAGCAACAAAGCATGCAACTTTATCAAAGAAATCTTGAGTTTCAGGAAGTTCAATGAACTATGTCGATCGGCCGAGTTTGCCACAAAATGGAACGCGTTTAGGAACCTCATGCAAAGACCGTGGTTCAAACGTCGGTGGATCGTCCAGGAGGTGGCTTTCGCACAGCAAGCAGAAGTATATTGCGGTCGCGACAAACTATCCTGGGATGAACTTGCAAGTGCCATGTCATTGTTTGCCACAAAAGGACATGAACTGCGTAAGATTTTCCAAAAGTCCGAGAAGTACTGTTATAATGCGGATCATCTGGGTGAAATCGATGCATACGGTGCGAAGACTCTGGTAGACACCATCGAATCCATGTTCCGAAAGTCCGAGGATGGATATATCATGGAGAATTTGCTCTCGCTTGAGGCGGTTCTCACAAACTTGGCCGCCTTTGATGCACAACGGCCTCATGACTATATCTACGCGGTCATGCGCTTATCAAACGATGCAATTCCTGTATCGGAGCTCAGTGCTCGGTCTCCTGTCTGCTCGCCCAAATTGCCCACAGAAGGGTTTGCACGACATTTAGGAAAACAATCTGGTCAACTGTCCAAGACACCTTTCAGCTCTGACGGACATTACCATCATTCCCCAGAACGCATCAATCATTCCCCTGCCGTTCCGACTGTCAACATACCTCATACACCGGATATGAACCCCAATTGGGACGACCTACGTGGAGACCACTCTCGTGGGAGGCCCAGGAGTAGAACTCCTCCCCACGCAAAGCTCCTAGGGGTGGAGCCACATCGTAGAACAAGGTCGCGTTCGCGTGAGCCTTCACGGGCCGCAGCGAGGAAAGATGCTGAAAGAGGCTTTCGGATTCCGCCAAAGAACTTTGTCGTCAATTATGAACGAAGCCTCTTTAGCCTTTGCGTTGAGGTCATGAATTTTATCGTGTCAAGAACAAAGTCGATTGATATGATCTGCAAACCATGGGTGCCGAATCTGAGCGGCGATCAAAGTTTCTTCTCGGCAATCCACGAGATCCATGAGCACGATACTGTCACCATGCCCTCATGGATTGCTTCCCTCGACAAGAGAGCATTTTCCTGGAATCCGACGGACAACGGGTACAGCTACAGCAGGATTGCCGCAGATCCACTCGTCGGCACCCAGTTAAATGGAATGAAGCCGTACAGCGCATCTGGCATTGTGCCAGTTCCAAACGAATACCTTCCATGTGCTGGGTCCAGCAAGCTGGTCGATGGAAGAATACTGAAGGCCCATGGATTTGTGCTTGATACCATTGATAAACATGGGTCGCCTGCGCACAATGCTGTGATCCCATCCAAGTGGCTTGAGATTGTGGACTGGAAGGAAGCAAAGCGACCTTCTCCCGAGATGAGTGCTCCACCTGAGGCTTTTTGGCGAACTCTGGTTGCCAACAGAGCATCATCGGACAGTCCGAAGCCTCCAGAAGGCCATTGGCGGTTCGCGACTCGGTGGATCTTCACTAGAAGACCCAAAGACGGCAACCTGGACACGGGTGCTTTATTGAGAGACATCTCTGGTAATGTCGCCACCCCAATCGTTCCGTTCTTGCATCGTCTGCGAGCTGTGATCTGGAATCGGTCACTGATCAAAACCAAGGGGCCGGACCCGCAATCTCTTGGATTTCTTGGACTCGCTCCTCCCGATTCCGAGGCCGGCGATATCGTATGTATACTTGAGGGTTGCAGCGTACCGGTTGTCCTGCGACGCAAAACACGAACCCCACACGCCTCGTTGCCCAAAGTCTCCAAGCGTGGAGGGCGTACAAGAGGCTCCCTGCCTCCAGGTGGTGGCGGTATCAAGCCCAACATGCAAAATACATCGGCCACAATGGCGAGTCAAGACGTTGGTGGCGGCGGCCTCCATGGAAGTCAAGACTCCGAGACACAGCGAGAGCAAATCGAGTACTCGTTCATTGGAGAATGCTATATCCATGGCATGATGGACGGCGAAGCATTTGATGTGCAAAAGAGATTTAAACTTGCGAGCAAAGAGTTCCGTATCGGATGTGTGGCCACGGAATGTAATTGTGACAAGTGTGATCCGACGAAGTCTCGCAAGTCTTCGTAGTTTGTTATTGTTGGCATAAAATTCTGTGTAGTGTGCTGTTGGCGGTTTTGAAGGATTGTTTTTCTTGGTAGTCTTACGGGGGAATTTGATGGAATTTATGAGCCATGAAACCAGCTATCTTACATGTAGTATGGAGGTATTCGTATTTCATACTGATTAATGATTTGACAAGTCTGCTTTTGATTTTTCAACAACTTCCAATCTCAAACTATAGACGTGTATCTCCTCTCCAGAGATTGAGACTCGATCGGGCGGTAACGACGCAGAAACAGTCATGGTCCTGTTGGTGTCAATGGTGACGTCCACTTTGTTGGTGAGATCGTGGATCGAGGGCACCTGGAGTTCCACGTCGGCCCAGTCGACAGAGTCGGCCTGGTGTCGGCCGTCGAAGAGCATCGGGCCCAAGAAGATCATCGGGCGCGAGAGTACTTCGTACACGAAGATTTTGCATTTGGGTGGTGTCATGCGGTAATCGCACAAGACACAAAGTGGGATAGAATTCCTGTAGTCGCCGCCATAGTCGGTGTCATCGTCATCGTCATCGTCATCGTCATCGTCATCGTCATCGTCATCGTCATCGTCATCATCACTGTCGTCGTGATAATCGTGATTGTTATTGTTATTGTTATTGTCGTGGTCATTGTTGATGTGAGGGTGCCAAAGAATATAAACTCCCAGAATCATAGGATACATTGCACTTTCCCGGCCGTTTTCACTCGAATAGATTTCGGGCTTGAGGAAGATGCGTTCATTGTAGGTCCACAGCGTTTCTGGGATGGCAGTGAGCATACGAAAACTGGACTGTCGCTTTGGATCCGGGTCTAGGCTCAGCGTTGGATTGCGAGGGACGTGAATGGTACTCTGGCGAAAAGCGTGGAACGTAGGACTGTCGAATTGTTTCGGGGCCGTGGAGACGACTAGATTGCGGATCGAAAGTGTCGGGAGGGACGCACATTCCAATGGTGACAGGAAGGCCAAAGATGGAGCTGAAGGGTCGCGGTGGTAGATGGTCGGCGTCTGTTTGCGAAGGTAGATTCCCGTGGCGAGGCGGGATGTCCATGAGCTGGTCTGTAGGCCAACCAGCAGGATGTATTGTGACGACTTGAGGACTCGTATGTCGACCGTGCCGGAAAACAACAGACCTGCGTTGGTCACTGAGAAACTGACTTCTTCCTTGGATAGCCAGTCTATGACCGTCGTGTTGGCGAAACATGATGGTGTAGGCGCAAAGATACTCAAGCCTGGGATTGTGTGTCCGTCGACATGGGCCTGTCGAGAACTAAGGGCGAGAGCTGTATTGTGGGGGAGTGGGAGAGTAGTTTTCGTAGTTGATGCCCCTGACTTCTTCTCCTTCTCATTCTCCCATGCAAAAATGGTAAAATCGTTACTCTGCCTCACAATCTCTTCTTGAAGACGACGGAACGCCTTCATTCCTTCTCCGTATAGCAGGGGCATGTTCACATCGAACAGACCCAATAGGCAATACGCCATATCCTCGGTCCGCGTGGTGATGCGGTGAGCGGCCCACGACATGCGTACGGCAATTGAACATTCCGAGATGGGAAAAGTTTGAGACAGTACGCTCTTGGGGATGCTTGTGATTCGAGAGATGACGTCGCCGAACGTGCTGCGCGTACCGATGGACGTCCAAGTTGAGTCGTAAAAGGTGAGCTGCCTTGGGGCCAGGAGTTCCTGGAGCGTCCAGCCACGTGTGAACCAACGACAGTTAGGGAGAGCGTCAGTCACCTGTGTTGTGGTTGAGAGAGTGTCGTTGCCACCGTTGTCTTTTCGAATCATGTCAGGAGTGGTGGCGGCCGCGGTATCACCACACGGGTATAAGTCCTCGAGATAAACGTGACATGTCGTGGAGTTTGCATACCATGCGTACATGGAATTGATACTCTCACTCAACTCTGCCGAGCTCGATTTGTCGATACAGCATGTGTCTATCCATGCGTAATCAAGGCCGTCTTGACGTGCGAGGCGGCACGTCTGTTTCAATTTCGCGTAGCCTTTCTTCGCCGGAGATGAGAGGCTGCCACCGCCAACACTGGTTATATCTTGGTAGGTAACTTCTTCAGAGGTCCAGGTGTGAGAGAGAATAGCGTATGGTGGGGCCGTCTCGGTGAAGAATTCTTCGAGAGTGAGCGTTTTGGTATTGATTAGTTTCATTGAGGATTCATATTCTTTTGGATAGGCCTAGAAGTCTACGTGACAAGCGACTGGGATGGGATGTTGGTGACCACGAGGCTGACGAGGCTCGACAAGGTACGATCTTGGCGGGGCGATGCTTGTTAGCGCTTCAATAAACAACCAAGTCCTTCCCGAGATTCACGTCCCTAGTCATATATCATATACCAAAGCATGTTCCTTCATACGCAAAAGCGGAGTGAGTTTCCTTCTGGGATCTGTGTCACCAAGAGTGAATTTCAATCGACTTGATCCTGCGATGCCGCAGCCAAACCGTTTTGGTGGAAATCAGCCGGCAACTTCTTCAGCTGATGTTGCGCGTGACGATTCCCCAGAGCTAGACTCCACGCGCGAGCAAGGCAGTGGTGGAATGAGCACGAATCCGAGAAAACGCAGATACATCAGCAATGCCTTTACTACAAGGAAGCGAGCTGCCATGGCTTGCGATTTCTGCCGCCTGCGGAAAACCAAATGTGACAACGCACGACCAAAATGTGGCAATTGTCGACACCACAATGCAACGTGTGTCTATACTGAGAACACAGAAGCCTCTGCACCCGAAGATGATGCGAATACCAATGTCATGCATCGCCTCGACGAGATCAAGTATCTTTTGCAACAAGTGCAAGCTCAAACTACGCCAAAGGTCCACTATACCACAGCTGCGGGACAGTTCCCCTTGATTGATCGTGCCCCATCCATTTCAGAATCTGCTCCCGAGCGAGAAGCGCCTGTGGACGACAGTTGGCAAAGTGGCGAGAGCTTCCATGCCGTCAATCCTTATGATTCCCCTTATCGAGCCGCGCGTTGCGAAGCGGTTGTCCGGTGGCCTATTTTCAGAGACTGGCTGTCGGAGAAAGAGTGCAGACTCGAGTCATTCTTGCACGAGGCCGAAATCCTGTTTCCGGATGGTGTTGGTGGAGAACAACCACTCCCAGCCAACCTTGCCAGAGGGGATATAAGGGGGCCTCCCGGACCCGTCATAGATGAGGACGATTGTGTTCCATTGTGTAAAAGGTTTCTCAGTCATGTACATTTCAGAAATCCGATATTGGAGCCGAGGCAATTGATATCGTATGCGAAAGAGGTTTCACAACATGGTATGGGCTGGGATGGCCGTTCGTGTCTCGTGGTATGTTCATGAATGCTCATGTTGAGACGTCTGGACTTACTTGTCACAGCTAGTAATTTCGGCCATCTCCTGCATTCTTTTAACCAACGAGCTTCCCCCGGAGCCCGACTTAGATCCATCTATACACGCCCCTCCACTCTCCAGTCATATCCATGCAGATCCTGGTGGTGTTGCTGAAGCATTTGCTCAAGCAGCTAAGAAGAGGTTAGGTCTTCTTGGTATGTCTATGATAGATATCCAATGCTTGTTCTTCATGTCCATCTATGAGAAGCTACGTATACGACCTCTACAGTCCTGGTTCTGCCTCCAACAAGCATGCTCCAGACTCAAAAGCCACCTCATGAGCCGAAGTGGATTTTCAAGCTCAATGGATGCAGAAAAGCGTGAGCAACATCAGATCGAGCAAAGGGTCTTCTGGTCATGTGTCCGCTCGGAAACGTGAGTCATGACTGAGCCCTTTCATCCTGCCCCTTACAGAAATCAATGTCAAGTCTTCTGTTCCGCTCTGGTGCTACTTTTGCTAATTGGATCTACAGTGAACTCCTTCCAGATTTATGTCTCCCATCGAGCGGCCTTGACGCTTTCCAATACCCTGAGTTTCCCTCACCTCCCTCAGCCACGAATAATGAGCATTTTGAGGAGTGCTCGGAGAGCAGCGATAGCGGTTATGTCCCACCAAACTCTCAAGCACAATCCTGGCTGTTCTTCCTCGCCGAAATCTCGCTCCGTCGTACCATTAACGCACATTTGCGCCTCCTCTATGGCAGATCAGAGTCGTACTGGCTGTCTCATCTGCCATTGCTCCTAAGACACCATGCCCAGTGCGAGGAACAAATCAGCCTGTGGTACTCTCACCTGCCCTCGAAGTTGCAATTTTCCGACAGCGCACCGCAGCCTCAGAGTCTATCATATTACCTCGAAAGCCGCTTCCAGGATTGGCGTGAGCACATCCTCCGGCCATTGCTATATTGTGCCCTTCATCATAGCAGGCAGAAAAATTGGCCTCACCAGTTTCATCCTGTCGCTGCTGGCGAGCCTTCCCCTTCAACCTCCACTGTGTCCATGTCTATGCAAACGGCTGTACTTTCACCGACTGGCACTGGCAATCTGAATTCGAACGCGACACTTTATCCACAGGTGTTGCATCTAGCACAGATGCACATCGATCTGTGTGCCAGCCTCATACCTCACTCGTTCGAACATGGCCGATACGGTGGAGTGTGGCAACTCTGTCGACGGACATTCATTTGCGGGATGGCGTTACTCGCATCTGTTATCTCGGAGGACCTTCAAAGCCCCAACGACTGGGTAGATCTGTGCAGAACAGCCATCAGGTATCTGACTCACTGGGGCGCCGAAGCACGGTCGGTCGAAGCAATGCGTCTTGTGCTGGAGAAATTGTTTGACAGAGTGTTACGAAACTCGCAAGGACAGCCAAGCTTATGAGTAGTAAACACCTCAAGACAATTTGGTAAGCCATCGATCAAGGTCTCGTCCGAAACACAATATCACGAATAAGCTTGTTAATCCTATTCATTTGCGCCACAGGGTACACAGATACGTGAGAATGGGCCAGTGGGTACTTTCTTCGTTGATCAGGATTCGCCTGGTATTGAATTGGAAACTAGAGAAGATTTGCATCTCCGTCAAACGATCTTGGCCAACGCCAATGTTGTGAGTGTCTGTCAGAAGAATATCAAAGGTCATCACGTCCGCAGTCAAATTGCCATTCATTTTAAACGAATTCAACATCTCCCGCCGTCTTACTATGAGGCTCGGGATCGATCATGCCGGTTTCAGCATGATACACCTCCCAATGGGTGATCAGTCTATCCAATACTTCAGGCTCGCTGTCCGCCAGATCAACCATCTCGCCGGGATCCTTGTCGAGATTGTATAGCTCCCACTTATCCTTACCTCGTGGACTGGCCATGAAGAGCGCTTTCCACGGCCCCTGACGGATGGCTCGGAATCCGAACAACTCCCAGCCGGTGATGTTGTGTTGTTCGTCATGGAATGAAGGTGCCCTCCCCGAGAGGTGCGGAAGCCAACTCGAACCACGGATGGGGACAATGCTACGGTTTCGAAATGGCTTGGACGGTGAAGGTACGGGTACATTTGCAATGTCCAAGATTGTAGGCAGAATGTCCATGACGGTCGCGAACGAGTCAGTGTGCACCCCTTGTGCAGATGCGTCACCGGTCTTGTGATTTTGTACTTCTTGGCCGCTTCCGAAAGCAGGAGGATAACGCACGATGCAGGGACAGCGGATGCCGCCTTCGGTGACCCAGGTTTTGAATCCACGCGAGGGAGCCATCGAGGCCGTGGCCCAGGCTGGACCATACCAGACATATGAATTGGCATTGCCGATGTTGTCGAGGCTGTTGTCGTAGTATTTGTCGATAATGGCACCTACGTTGGATGACCCGCCCATGATGGGCATGGCTTCGAGGAGAGCCCCTTCGGCGCCGTTGTCAGACATGAAGAGAATGAATGTGTTGTCCAGTTCGCCCGACTCTTCAAGATGATCCAAGACTTCGCCGATACTCTGGTCTATCATGTCGACCATTGCGGCGAAGACCTCCATTTTCCGGGCCGACTCGGCTCGCTGCACCTCGCTCATAGTCTCCCACTCTTCCGGGCCATGACACATCGGTGCCGCTTCCACCTCGGGAGATATGAGACCTAGGTCAATGAGCCGTTGCAACCTCTTTGACCTCAACGCGGCCGGCCCGTCGTCGTAGAGTCCCTTGTACCTGGCAATCATCGATTGAGGAGCTTGTAACGGCCAGTGTGGAGCGGTGAATGCCAAATACGCGAAGAAAGGCTTGGACGCGTCGCGACTCGCCAACTGCTTGACCATCTCTTTGCCGTACGAGGTTGTGGAATAAAAGTCTTCAGGAATATCGGTGATTCGATTAATGAAACTGGAATCTCGCATCCAAAACTGCCCACCGTTGATCGCAGTGAATATCGAGTGTGACGGATCTTCCAACTGTGGTTCATAGTTGAAGTGATTGTGGCAGCCGGACAGGAAGACAAAGCTCTTGTCAAAACCGCGAGAACATGGAGCAGTCTCTTTTGTCAAGCCTAGATGCCTTTAAGTGTGATCACACAAGTCAATCCCAAAGCCATTGCAGGAGAAAAACACCTGGGGCCTTTTACGCACCATTTTCCTGTCATCATTGTCTCATAACCTGAATCTTGAAGGATCTCCGAAAGAGCGGCCACTCGAAAGTTCAAGTATCCTTCATATCCCGGTTGACCCTTGGCATTTGCGGGCATATGTTCTGCCATCTGTCCAAGTCCCGCTATGTGGTTGTCCGTCCCAGAGAACAACATCGACCGGGTAGGCGAACATGCAGATGCTGTGTGGAAGTTTGTGAGTCGCACTCCTGAGCTTGCCAGGTGATTCAGCGCTGGGGTGTGAATCTCGGACCCAAAAGGTTCAGTATCACTGTAACCCAAGTCGTCGGCAACTATGACCAGGAAATTCGGTCGTTTTGGCTCGACAAAGGAGCCCATCTTGATGTTGAATGTGAGGCGATCCTCGCAGGACAGACGATGCAAAAATTATACGGCAATGCTTGAGCAATGACAGGCACACAAATGTTTCAACTCTGTCTCGTCAGAGGTCTCCTTGACGGTGCCAGGCCAGGTTTTAAAAGGAGAACAGCAAACCTCGAGGAGGAGGAGGACAGGGTGAAGGAAGACAAACCATGGTCGATAGTCAAGACGGAATAGATGTCCCATAGCCGATGGAGTGGTGGTTTCCCCGGAGTCCTTACATGGAATTACGGCTCGCTTCGTCTCATCTGCTGCAGCTCCCACACGCGTCTCCGCCGCCACCCTTAACGGTAGACACGAGGAGGGTCCCGATGTCCTGCTTGAGTTTAGCGGCAACCGGCGACGGGGAAGAACGGGGAAGAGGTATTTGTGGCTTTTGGGCCAAGCCTCGATTTCTCCTCTACCACCTCCTCGTCCGACATAGACGGCCACACTATGGCAGTATAGTGATCCTTTACCCCATGCTTTCAAGTTCTATGTCAGCAAAATCCCAACCGCACAAGTCCTGTTTGTCGCCTCTTCGACAACGCAAAGCCACTGCCAACAGCAAACGACTTTCCCCGTCTTGCCCCGGTCTTCCCCGTCCAACATCTTCCCCGGTGCTGATGGACCTTCGCCCCACGTTCTCCGGAAAAGGACTCTAGACCTCGTGGAGTGGGCGGGGGATATTCCTGGATAGACTCAGTCTATTCGATTATCGCAACTATATAGATCGATGTTCTCATCACAACCGCCACCCTGAGAGCTTGCTCTATCAATCTCCCATCGACATTGTGTCAAACGAGAGTCAATCGAGCATCATGTCCACCTCACCACCCTCCACCGAAGAATTCCACACTCTGAAACCCTCCAGAGGGTTCGACCGCTTCAGAAGATGCTTCAACGGGAGATTGCTCTACTCTTGCTTCCTCATCGCACTCTCGCAGGTGAACTTTGGCATGGACCTGGGTGCGTTCGGAGGCACTCAGGCAATGCCGGCGTTCAAGAAACAGTTTGGCAAATACAACCCGGTCAAAGACGTTTATGTCCTGGAATCCTCTTACCTGTCACTCCTCAACAGTCTGACCTATATCGGGTTCGGCTTCGGTGTGTTGAGCGGTAGCTTCATCAGCAATCGATTCGGTCGACGCAAAGCTCTCTTCACCATGTGTTTCTGGGCGATCGCCGGTGCCGCCATCATGATCACCTCAAGAGTCAAACAACAGATGATGGCCGGACGCATAATAGCATACGTTTACATTGGAATGGAGCTGGCCCTGGTACCGGTGTTCCAGTCAGAGTTGGTCCCTGCCGAGATTCGAGGATTTGCCGTCGGCACATACGCATCTGGACTCTTGGTACGCACAATAATACTGCCACTTGAACCGATTGAATGGCGAAAACTGACAGCAATATTTCTCTCTCCTTAGACGGGCCAATTGATCCAGAACATCATCGCCCGAGCCACCAGCGGGTTAGAGGGCAACAAGTCATGGCAAATTCCAATTGGACTGTTGTTTGTCATGCCTGTCCTCATGCTTGCTGGAGTCAAACTCATTCCAGAGGTACGGAGTACAACACCCTTCCATCTCCCCCCTTTTTTCTTCCCCGTGCGAGACCCGAGATCTATTTCTTGGTACTAACCTCACACAGTCACCTCGTTGGCTTCTAGTCAAGAATCGTCGTGAAGAAGCCCTGATTTCTCTGAGACTGGTGCGAGAAGGGCCATATACGGAAGCCCAGATTCAGGCGGAATTCAGATCTCTACAGAGTACTATCGACCTCACGGTGGAAAAGGGGAGGTTCATTGAAATCTTCCAGAAAAGTACGTTTCCGACGTCCTTACCTGGGACCCCCCCCCTCGAAGACAGACCTTTTTCCTTTGGTTTTTGTCTTGCTGATACCTTTGACAATATAGTCAACCTCAAGCGAACTCTTATAGTCATTGGAACGAACATCGTAGTCCAAGCCACCGGTCAGAATCTCTGGACTCAGTACGGCACTCTATACATACAATCCTTGGGTGTCATCAATCCATTCACCATGACGACCGTCAACACTGCCATCGCCATTGCCATGGTTCTCCTGGGACAATACCTCACAGATCTTACAGGCCGAGTGTGAGTTGCCTACCGGGAACTTTTCTGACGCACCTCCACTAATCTGCATTTTTTTTCCTTTTGCTAGACCGCTGCTGATGATCAGCTCTACTTTGCAAATCGGCATCTTCGCCGCCATGGGTGCACTGGGGACGGTCCACGATCCATCTCGAGCCGTGAGGACGGGAGCGACCGTCATGCTGACCCTGTTCGGGGCGTGCCTCCAGTTCTCTTGGTCACCTCTGTTTCACGCCGTCGTCGCGGAAGTGCCCACCCAGAGACTCCGCGATCAGACCTACGCCGTCGGGTGTCTCTTCAACGTCCTGACGCAGTGGACCATCTCCTTCAGCTTGCCATACCTGCTCTTCGAGCCACGGAACCTCGGACCACAAGTCGGATTCATCTTTTGTTTCACCTCGGTCGTGTCGCTGATTTTTGCCTACTTTTGCATCCCCGAATGTTTCGGCAAGACCCTGGAAGAGGTCGACCAACTCTTTTTGGAGCGCGTACCGATCCGGAAGTTCAGAAACGCCCGTCCCACCATCCTCGACGACATGCGAGCGGCGGCAGCGGCGGAAAAATTGGATGTCGTCGAAACTAGTGTGGTGATTCACGAGGAGAATGCCACGTTACCCAAGGGTTTGACAAATTGATATATATGTATATATATATATATATATATATTTGTCCTCTGCACCGATACATAGCCAACCGTAGTCTTGAAAAAACTGAACTTGAGCATACTTGCTTTCATATCCCTTACATATGCGTCCCCAAACGATTTTGCAACTGTATTTCCTCCAAGGACGACTCCTTGTCCAGCCCGCATCATCATCCCATCCACTTGATTACCGTGTTGCCGTCTTTTCTCTGTCTACTGTCCTCGTTCGTCTCGTCAAAACACACCTCAACCCTTCCTGCCTCACGAACCAATAATCGTGTAGGGTCCATTCAGCTTTGGGGTCAGCAAGTTGAACATGATACCGTCTGAGAAGTTGAGGTACTAATTTTGACATTTCCATCAATGAAATGTTTTTACCCAGACATGTTCTGGCACCAGCACCGAACTGGAATACACAAAAGTGTCAGTAAAACTGGAACTGCAATCGTCGTCCGAATTTTTGTCAAGGTGGTCACCTACAGCCAGCCAATTCCTATCCATGAGTTTTAGGGTCGCCTCATCAGCCTCCAACCATCGTTCCGGTCGAAACTTGTCGGCATCTCCACCATAGACATTTTTGTCTCTGGCGGCCACCCATGGGTTCATGCCTACCACGGTCCCACCGGGTAAGAAATGACCGGATACCGTGGCACCTTCTACGGGGACGATCCTCTCCAACAATTGTCCCACGGCAGGATGCATCCGGAGTGCCTCCCTCATGCAAGCCTGGAAGTAAGGCATCCGTTGTGCCTCGGCGTAAGTGACGTACTCTGACAGTTCATTTTTAGCGTCAAACATCAATACCTCGTCCACGAGTTTGTCGTAGGTCGACGGGTTCTTGCAAAGGTAATAAAACATGGCCCTCAACGAAATGGCGGTCGTGTCACTACCGGCGAATCTGGGAATTTTTGTTCAGTCTTCTTTCCAATTTCGTGATGTCTCCAAGCAAAGAGATGTTCAAAACAAAAGGGTGAGGACAAAACGTACACATTCGAAGAAGCATGACCCAATAGTTCTTTATCCGTAATGACCTGTTCCCCCCCTTCTTTACTCCTCTTGAATCGAGCGACGATGTCTTTTTTACCGTGCTCCGCCGCGGCGGTTTGTCTTCGAGATAGTTGTGCGGCGGCAAAATTGACAATGTACCTTGCCGAATTCAGTCGGGCCAGAGAAGGTATCAAGTCCGCCAATCTCGATATCAGGCTGTTTCCCAACAGGAACTTGTGCATGTTGGGAACCTGACCGACGATCGAGTTGTAGACCAGCCTTCCCTCGATGGCCGAGATGATGCCCTGGACGTCTCGTTCCCTCTCCAAAAACCCGATCGAGTTTGAGAAAGTGATGTAGGTGATGACGTCGAAAGCGTACCAATGGAGCCAGGTGCCCAAATCAATATTTTGACCTTCCAACCCGTCGAGTTTGCGTTGAAGGATGGCCGTGCACTCGTCCGCCAGAGGTTCCAGATCCAACAAAGCACTCAATGCGAAGGCCGCGCCGACGGGTCTCTTGAGGTCCCTATGTCCTTGAGGGTCCGTGATTGAAAAGACGGTGGGGATATTTCCGACCGGTGATTTGGCATGGAAGAGTGTGTAGAAATTGCTCTACAGCCATACAGAGACCCCGAAAATCATATCAGAAAGAGAAGTTTCAAGAGTTAGGGGTCACCAATGTTTTTGGGATGATACTGTTTACTTACCTTGTTGAATTTGGATGTAATGTTATAAATCACAGATATTTGATCGGAATCGGAAAACGAGACATGGTTGGGCCCTACTCGAACAACCGGACCGTACTTCTCATGGTATGCCAAATGTTTCTCGAATTGGTGACCGGAGTATGTCGTCAGGATTCGGTCGAGAGGTAAAACGCTGGCGACAAATGGACCGGGTATATCTCTTAGACCCCTTTTGTATCGAGTGATGCCGAGTAAGACGAACAGTAAACATGGTACCGAGAGGAAAAAGATTGCCGCCGATATAAAAGTGTGTGAGTATGAGTGGGAATAATCAATCAACTCTGGGGTTTTGAGAGACATTTTCTTTTGTGACCTATTCTCTCTTGACTTGACAATATGAGTGTCGGTGTCGATGAATTACTGAGGTGATAGTTGTACTCCGGGTCTCGTTAGGATAGAATGATGCCGTGGAGTGAAGGATCGACTGATTTGTTGTATCAAGATGTCTATGTGGAGTAATTGACATTGATATCTCTCAGAGTCGCTCAATTTAATGAATCGAGCAAAGTAAGAATATCCCTCTCGACGATCTTATCCCGGGGTAGAAATCGACATTCTCCTCTGTGGTCTTCTGTGGGGGTTGAAATACAGAGTTAATAAGATGTACGGAGTAAGAATAAGATATTCGTAGAAAGTGCCGATGTTGCCGTCATATCCCCGACTTCAGATCAACATATTAATCATCTACAAGTTCATTCGGCTTCGGCAGTTGGTCTTCGTTCTACAACAACTTTGTCTTTGATGGGTAATTCTTCTACCTGATTTCCGTTCACGTTCCACGCAAAGATGTAAGACGGAAGACGTCAATATGAAATGGTATCATCTAACCACGTCCCCTTCCCCCTTTCTCCCATCCATGCATACATTATTCGTCCCTCGTGCCACATGCCTCGTACCTCACTCATATGTCGCATCATAATCACTGTGCAGCTTGAGCCGCCGAATCCCAATCAAAAACGCTGCCTCTAGGTTCAAACTGCCTCTTTGATGAAGCCGCGGCCGTCAAGAGTGAAGTCTTCTCCGCGACGACATCCTCGACAGAGGCAGGCGCACCCCAAGCACCACCTCCGGGGGAATTAATGACAAGTCTCTCTCCAGGTTGCATACTCAATTCCATCTTCCCACCGATATTGATCGTGCGTTCCGTCCCGTCGTGTTCCGTTTTGATGTACAGGTTCAACCCAACTTGCCCGGGTCCTCCACCTGCCATGCCATAGGGGGGATACACCCTCCTCTCACTCAACATGGACGCGGAAAGGGGGATCCTGAACTCGATCTCACGCGTCACGCCGTCGCCGCCGTTGAACTGACCTTTTCCACCCGAACCTTTACGGAGCGAAAACTGTCGCAAGATGATCGGATACCGCAACTCATAAACCTCGACGTCGGTGATGCGAGTGTTGGTCATGTGCACGTGGACGCCCGACGTCCCGTGCCAGAACGGTCCCGCGCCCGAACCGCCGCATATCGTCTCGCCCACGCCGAAGCCCGCGACTTCGTTGCCCTCGGCATCTTTCCCTCCTCCCATACCAAAGGAGATAATGTTGCAGTCGCCCTGCGACGCCGCGCAGGCTCCAAACGCACCCAGGATCGTGTCCGTGATGCGCTGGCTCGTGATCGGGTTGCCCGCACATACGGCCGCGTAGCCCGATGGATTCAACAGTGTCCCTTCGGGGATGATGACCTTACACGGCGCCAGACAACCTTCGTTGAGCGGGATGTCGACGTTGATCAGGCACCGGAGTGAGTATATGATGGCCGAGTGCGTGATGGCCTTGGGCGCGTTCAGACAGTTGAACGTTTCTCGTCCAGTGCCCGTGAAATCAAACTCGGCGCCTCCTGTTGCGGCGTCGATGCGGATCTCGAGCTTGATAGGGCTGCCGTCGTCCATGTAGTCGATGAACCTGAGGGGTTTGCCAGCCGTCTCCTTGCTGACCTTCTTGAGGTATTCCCGCACCGCGACTTCCGCGTTCGCTTTGATCGCGTCCATGTAAAAGTGCACCGTCTGCAGGCCGAACGCATCGATCATTTCCTGTATGAGGTCCGCACCACGTTGATTGGCGGCGATGGCGGCCTTGAGGTCGGAAACGTTGTCCTTGTACGTGCGCGTGGCGCTGCAGTTGGGGAACGAGGCCGGTTCGTCACACAAGAACTTTCGGACTCTTTCTTCGTCGAAGTGGTCGGCCGAGACGATCTTGAAACCCATGGTCATGGCACCTTCTTCGTACAGCATCTTGCTGTCTGAGGGCATCGAGCCGGGACGCGTGCCGCCGATCTCGGCGTGGTGGCCACGAGACGCGACGTAGAAAATGATGTTCTCGCCCTTTTGGTCCCACACAGGGCTGATGATGGTGATGTCGGGAAGGTGAGTGCCGCCGGCCAAGGGGTGGTTGGTGAGGATGTGATCGCCCGGCTTCAACGGTGAACCGGTGATGTGCAGCTGATGTTGATAGCGGACTGCGTATTCCATGGAGCCCAGGTGCACGGGGACATGTGGAGCGTTGGCGACGAGTTTGCCGTCCGGAGAGAACATGGCGCATGAAAAATCCAATCGCTCTTTGATGTTGGTCGACACTGACGTCTTTTGGAACATGCGACCCATTTGTTCGGCCACGGACATGAAGCGGTGTCCGAAGATGGACAGACGGATAGGGTCGACGACGTGGGTCTGTTCCGACACTGCCTTGGTGGCTGGGATGTCAATCACCACGTGCCGCGGGAGGATACGTGCTGTGGCATTTGGCTCGACGATGATGGTCTGCGTCTTGTCCAGAATGACTGCTGGTCCGGGGATCAGGCTGCCAGGAGTCGTTTTACCAAGGAAGAAGACAGGCGAACGGAGCCAACCTGCACCACCAAAATACATTGATGTCTCGTCGTCTGCTTGGTCTGTTGTCAGAGACGAGAATGAAAGCTTTTCAAGAGCGTCATAGGGAGTCTCTGGTGGAAGAGCAAGGGATTTGCCAACGCCCCGAACTCGCAACGTCTCGATCAGGACATCGCGATTCTCGAATGTGAATGTGAATTCGCGTCGGTGTTCTGCAATGAAAGCCTGCTTGAAATCTCCATCTGCGGGTTCAAGCACCATCAGATAATTGTCTGTCCCGGCATATCTGAGATTGAGGTATACTTCATACTGAATCGTTGCTTCGGGGATGCCATCATCCGTGAGCTCTCGCCGGACTTTTTCCTTGAGGCCATCAATGCGATGCTTGATCTCGGGAGTGTTCTTCTCGTTCAAGGTCATTGACGCAGGCTCGGCCGCTTCGTGGACGACATCTGCAAGTGCCATACCGTACGCCGAGAGGATCGAGGAATACCGGTGGATGATGACGGTCTTGATGGACAGAGACGAGGCAATGGCACAAGCATGCTGCCCTCCTGCTCCACCGAAAGAAGCAAGATGATGTGTTGACGTGTCAAAGCCTCTCGCTTGAGTGAGCGCTCGAATAGGCTTTGCCATCGACTCGTTGGCTACTTCGAGAAAACCGAGTGCCACTTCCTCCGCCGTCTTAGCTTGTCCGATCTCCTTGGATATCTGATCAGCCAGGGCCTCAAACTTCTGCCGGGTGATTTCCAGGTCAAGGGGTTCGTTTTCCTTTGGCCCAAAGATTTTTGGAAAGTATTGAGGCAACAATCTCCCAAGGAAGAGATTGGCGTCAGTCACAGTGAGAGGTCCGCCCTTTCTGTAGCACGCAGGTCCCGGGTGTGCTCCTGCGGACTCTGGGCCAACTACGAACAGTCCGTAGCGCCAGAACAGGATAGAGCCTCCTCCGGCAGCCACTGTGTTGATGTCCAATTGCGGTGCCATGACGGTGATGCCGGCAGTGGTGTTCTCGAATGTTTGGTCAAATGTCCCGTCGAAACGTGATACGTCGGTGGATGTCCCTCCCATGTCGAATCTGCATGGCAAAGTCAGCATGTCAACTAGCGGATTCAACCAACATCTCCCCAGACTGACCCGATGATTGGAACATTGACCCTGGGGTCAAAGGAGGTGCGAGCATGCCCTACAACGCCACCAGCAGGTCCGGAAAGAATTGCGCGTAGACCGGAGAACCTGTGAAATTCCTTGGTCAACCAACGTCACCATCGTTAACTCAATGAATATGTACTCACTTGTCAAATGTGACGAGGCCACCGTCACTCTGCATGAATTCGCAGCGCGTATTGCTAGAGCTGAGCCCGTCTTCGAAACCAGCGCGGAAACCTTCAATGTACTTCTTGACGATGGGTGTCAAGTAAGCGTCCACCGTGGCAGATGCACCTCGGGATGTCAGTTTGATCATCGGCAGCAGTTGACTGGACAGCGAGATCTGGGTGAACCCAACCGACTCGGCGATCCTTCTGACGGCCAGCTCATGTTCTTGAAAGGTGTAAGAATGTGCCAAGCAGACTGCGATGGATCTGTAGCCTTGGTCGTAAAGACCTTGAAGGTCTCTACGGGTCTTGTCCTCGTCCAGTTTCTGTAGAACGCGAATCACGTCTCCGCTGACTCCCTTCACGAGCTCGGGGTCACTTTCAAGCGCCTTCAAAAGAGCTTCGTGGTCCGGCTGGGGATTTTGTTGGTAGTCTTCGACAGTCACACGCTCATCGATCTCGATGACATCCTTGAACAAAACCTCGGGCCGTTCGATATTCAGAGCGAAGAGTTTGGGGCGGGATTGATTGCCGATGATCAATGCGTCTTTGAATCCCTTGGTGATGCATAGTGCGATCCGTTCTCCTTTCCGTTCAAGCAACGCATTCGTGGCGACGGTGGTGCCCATTCGAACACTGAAGTCGGAGAAGCTGCTGATGTCGAGTTTTCGACTCCGGGGAAACGATCGGCCAGTGGCCTCCTCCAGAATTCTTCGGATACCCTCAATAGGTGCATCTTGGTAGTTACCAGGATCTTGGGATAAGAGTTTGACAACGATATCATCGCTGCGACCTTCAACGATCCCCAAACAATCGGTAAATGTGCCTCCACGATCTATGCACCGGGTGTCAGAAAGAATCGTTATTCCTCCGAGCCTTTCAATGGTAGAAAACCTCTTTGGCATACATACCAATGGCAATCTTTATCTTGAGTCCATCGACCTCGAGGTCGACTTTGTGAGGCGACATGATCTGTCATCCAGACTCGAGATTCCGCGAGTCAGATTTTCAGAGATGGAAACAGCAGCCTGGATTGCTGCTCCAGAGGTTCAGAAATCGGGGCTTGTGACAGGAGAGGCAATTCTTCTCATCAGGCACAGTGCTTTTGTATGCCCGAGACTGGCCTTGGATCGCTGGTTTCGTCTGAGAGCATCGGTGTTCGTCTCCATGCCATCCGATTGTGATAGGACAATCCAGAATGCCCACAATTGTTTTGGCATCAGCACCCGGAGTAACTCGTATGGGATTTTGTCTTTTGTCGTTGGCGCGCGCGCACAGGGACCAACGGCCAAATCCGATCCAAGCGTTGATAGTGCCTATCTTGCAATGGGTTCCCGGTGAAGAGGGTAGTCCGGTGTCTAATGAAGGGACGAATAGGACCGACCTTCCCTCCCATGAGTTTCGGATCATTTCCCATGGGTTGCCAATGTTGATCCTCCACCACAACCATCTCTGTTATTGGCCAACATACCAAATTCCCCCCTGTAACCTTGACGTCGCCTTTCCAATGTGGCGTTTAACGGGCAACTCTGTGGGTGGCCCTAAATCTCCGGCTAAGGTCGGGGTATTCGTGCGAAGCACTGCAGGGAATAGATGACTTTGCATGCTAAGCCGAAAGGTCCCCTTGGTATCCGTATCCTTTTTGCTATGATAACACAACCCCTCCCCTTTGATAACGACGCGTTCGCTTAAGCCCAGAGAGCCTCGAACTATCCCATCCCGCTGGCCTGGTAAGAAGTGATAAATACATACAAGGTTGTCATGGCTCCCCTCGTGTTCGGTAGACACCAGGTCACACCTCACCAGTGAATCCTTCAGACTGTTGAAAAAGCTCGAAAGCTCGTTCTTGCACTTCGACCTTGCTCTAGGGATTAACTACTATTTGTTCTCTCCTCTACTGTTTGCCGGGCAATATCACTCGAGTGACCGAAAATGGCCGACGAAAAGCCTCCCAATACCAATACCTCTCACGAGCCGGTGGACAAGTCCAGCGATGTCGAAGTCGCTGGTGGCGATGATGCCGTGATCGATTCTCGTGACGCCGATGTCGCCGCCGTCTTCCTGGCCAAACTGGACCGGTCCATCATCGACAACCCCGTCAGTCACCAAGAGGCCCGCAAGGTGCTCTGGAAAATCGACCTCATCATCCTCCCTCTCATGGCGGCCACCATCATTCTGGCCGCCGTCGACAAGGTCATCATTTCCAATGCCGCCATCTACGGCATGCTCGAGGACGCCCACCTCACCAGCGGCGAGTATTCGTGGACGGGCTCCATCTTCTACTTTGGCTATCTCGCCTTCGAGTACCCGAGCGCCATATTGATACAAAAGTTCCCCGTGGGGAAGTTGCTGGCGGGTGCGTGTTTCGCCTGGGCGGTCATCATGATGTGCATGGCCGCCACCCACAACTTTGGTGGTCTCGCCGCCTGCCGCTTCATCATGGGCATGTGCGAGGCCATGCTGTTCCCCATCATCAGCATCGTGACCGTCATGTGGTGGACGAACAAGGAGCAGCCGATTCGAGTTGCTTTCTGGTTCAACCAAGGCTCCTCCATCTTTTCCGGCATCGTCAGCTACGGCATCGGACACACCCACACCAGCATCGCACCCTGGCGCCTGCTCTTCCTCGTCCTGGGAGGCTTTTCGATGCTGTGGGCCGTGGTGATTTGGTTCTTCTTCCCCGATTCCCCCGTGACCTGCAACTGGTTGAGCGACCGGGAAAAGTTCATCAGCCTGGTCCGCGTCAAGGACAACAAGACGGGGATCGAGGACCGAAAGATCAAGTGGTACCAAGTACGAGAGTGCCTCGCCGACCCCAAGACGTGGGCGCTCGCCGTTTTCGCCGTGGCTCAGAACATCCCCAACGGCGGCCTGATCACCTTCGCGGCCATCATCGTCTCTGGCCTGGGCTACTCGAGACTGAACACCACTCTGCTCGGGATCCCGACGGGTGTCCTCGCCACCGTGTGGCAGCTGATCCTCGCCTTCATCTGCGCCAAGGTCGAGAACATTCGCTGCCTCACCATCGCGGTCAGCAACATCGTCCCCATGATCTGCGCGATCTTGATGTGGAAGCTGCCTCGGTCGAACCAGCACGGTCTTCTGGCCAGCTATTACTGCTTCTACACATACTGGGCGCCGTACGTCCTGTCGACCTCCCTTCCCATGGCCAATACTTCCGGCCACTCGAAGAAGGTCACGATGAATGCAATCTTCTTCCTAAGCTACTGCCTGGGCAACATTCTAGGCCCCCAGGTCTTTCGTTCGAGCGATGCTCCGGCGTACTCGCACGGGTACATTGGACTACTCTGCTGCATCGTCGTGGCCATCGTGTCCATAGGAGTCTACGCTCTACTCTGCATCTCGGAGAACAGGCGTAGAGCTTCGCAGGTGGAGCAGAGTGAGCAAGTGGCAGACGGCACGGATGGAAATATGGTCGCTGCCTTCCAGGACTTGACTGACAAGGAAAAGAAGACGTTTGTCTACATCTACTGATGGGCATGGCTTTCAGCTAGCGACAGCCGGAGAGAGAAGCTACGTTTTGAAGGGAATAAGCTAGCCTCTAGGGACAAGTTGGATAGCAAAGCGCACCATGACAGATGTTGCCCCAGATAGTTCAATCGACATCATGAGTTACAATAATCGCCCCAGAGAAATAGGCGAGCTCGTGGTCCATGATGGGATATGCACCAATTCTAGATCAAAGACATGTCCCACCCGCCCCCTGCGGCATGCCTGACAGACTCCGACTCATGCTTCATTTTGTGCAAAGGTTATGCTAGCACCTGTAGAACCAGAAGGTCTTTCCGCGCCCAGGCCCTGTCTCCATCACCGGTCCCGGTCTCGGGGACAAGCACGGGACAAAACTCTAGATTTGACACGGGTATAGCACGATAGACCATCTTGGGGAAGCCATACCCGCACCCAAATTTTGAGGAAGGTCGGTACGCTGCTGGAGGCGTGGAGAAGGCTCACATCTCCGAAAACTAACCAAGAGTGTGGATTGCGGATCGACCTTCCCTGGACCCGGTTCTTGATCAATCATGATATTGAGTGGCATGCACTGTAAGTTCTGGTAGGGCGTAGGAGATCTTCAGTTGGTAGGTATGTAATGGTTTAAGGCGGTCAAGGCGACATTCTGAATAGATTGCTGAGTAGCACCGGTACCTGCACGAGACAACCAACGCCTTTGGGAAGCAGGTTGTGTGGCTTTCCAGCGACAAATTGCTACCTGTCTATGCCAGGAGTTCGTTGACTTTGCGAAGGGGAGCTGATGAATCAATAAATCCTCATCCCCAATTCCACGCAGGTACTTTGTACGCCATGGTTGATTTCAATAGTCGCATCTTGATTGTGGGCGCCGGAGCATTTGGGACATCGACTGCCTACCACTTGGCTCAGCGAGGCTACAAATCTATCAGAGTACTCGACCGATATGAGTACCCTTCCATCGATGCGGCATCCACAGATATCAGCAAGATTATTCGCTTCGACTACAACGAGCCACTGTATGCCCGTCTAGGGCTAGAATCGATTGAAGCATGGAAATCTGAGCTCTTCGATGGACTTTATCATGTTCCCGGATGGGTTTTGAGCGCCATGGACTTATCTGTGCCCTTCGTCAAGGGGTCGATTGAGGTGTCCGAGCAATTGGGCGTCAGCGGTCTCGAGATCATGACAACAGATCAAATGAGACAACGATTTCCCCAAGTGAAAGGGAAATTGGATGGATGGAATATCAATGTCTGGAATCCTACTGCAGGATGGGTTGCTTCAGGCGAGGCTGTGGTACGGCTAGTTGAGGATGCTCGCGCTAAAGGGGTCGAATACATCAGCGGTCGCCGTGGCTTCGCACAAGAGGTGATCACATCCCAGAGCGGAGAATGTACTGGTGTCCGGACACTCGACGGTACTATTCACAGTGCTGATGTGGTTGTGCTGGCTGCTGGTGCTTGGCTCCCTTCGCTCATTGATATGGAGGGTCAGCTTACAGCCAAAGGGCATAGTGTCGCCCATATCCAACTTTCGGCTGAGGAGACGAAGCACTACGCCCCGATACCGATCATGGACAATCTAGAACTTGGCTACTTCTTCCCACCAACCACGAATGGTATCTTCAAGATGGCGCATAGCAAGTTCATCACAAATCACGTCCCGATTGGCAGGAACGGCTCTGTTATTTCCAAGCCACATACTTTCGTGGAGAATCCTCAGGACGGACTTCCAAAGGACATAGAAGCTACTATGCGTCGAAATCTCGAGCGGGTATTTCCTGAATTGGCGAATAGGCCGTTCTCTTTCACACGACTTTGCTGGGATGCCGATACAGCAGACCGGCACTTCTTGATTACTCCGCACCCAGAACATAAGGGGCTTTTCGTTGCGGCGGGTGGTTCCGCACACGGCTTCAAGTTCATGCCAGTGCTGGGCAAGTACATCGCCGATATGCTGGAGGGAAAGCTAGACGCCGACATTGCAGAGAGCTGGAGATGGCGGCCGGGCCAGGACGTCTCCGGGAAAAACTTAGCACATATGGATCCTGAGATGGAGCTGTGTGACCTGCCAGGCTGGCAGGGAAGAAATAGAGCTCAATTCAAGAGCCGAGAGGCAAGGTTATAACGAGTCTTTGCGCCACGGACTCGCATCATGGTGAGGGAAGCTTTGCTGGGGGGGATCTCAGCATGAGAACACCCAATCTCCTTGCAGAGCAATAGATTATTCGTCACCGGCGATACCAATCATGTGAGACTGATCTTCCATCCACCTAGTTGATCAAGGATCCTTTCCCATTCATATGAAACATATGAACCCTCATGTCTGAATTTCGCTGTCGATGCTCGTTTCTGCTTCATGGGTTGTATCGGCTCATCGGACTTGAGATCTTGTTGGCGCCATAATGCTTTGAGTGTCATTCGAGCAGGTATGACATTTCCGAACCGGCATTGCATCTCGGTATGTTCAAAAATTTGTAGGACCTTGACTCGATCACTCTCCTTTGTAGCGCAACAGCCTGCAAGGAAGAGGGGCCAAAGCGGCATGGTAGCGACCGCACAGATTGTCGACACATTCGAGCTAACTATGTCCAGAATGCCAGACATGTAGACATCTCTTTCGTCCGGTGTGAACACACGCTTGTGATACGGGAATGCTAAGTCCGGATTGGAAAGGACTTCGTGCAAGAACAGAAGGGCACCGAGGCGATAAACCTCAGCGATTGCAATAATGATAGACCCTTCATCGATCAAACCGCAGGAGTTGCCAATCTCGGAATCGCGCTCTTTCAAGTTCTCAATACTAGCCTTGATTCGGTGTGCACGAGTTAACAGGTCCAGATTGTGCTGGGTGGAATTATCACTGCAACCAGCCTTTGTTAGACTCGTTATTTCGTCAATGAGCAACAACAAGGAATTACTGAAGCCCATGTATAGGTCAATATCATCAAGGCGAGGCTGTGAGGACATGACATGTGGCTCAGCTATAGGTAGAGGCAGTATCTCTTCTAGTGAGGTAGGAAGTATGCTGTTCGAAGTGGAGGTAATATTGGTTGTTGAAAAAAGAAAATCTGAAATGAGTATATTGCCAAATTCCGTGTTTGGATCGTGGAATGTCGCCTTTGCCAGGACGAGGTGGAATATGAAGTACTGATGGGCAAACTTCTGTAATCGTTGACTCAGCAGTGATGTTTGCATATTGGTGTTTTCCCGTCGACGTAGGAGAAGCCCGTGGAATCCAACAAGGTGTTTAACCCAAGATGAGCGGCATCGATCGGAGATATCGTACCAGCAAAGCATGAGGATCAATCCAAGAATCTCGTCCATGGTTCTGGAATCGCTTTCTTCCTGATTAATCAACTGAATCAAAGCCTGAAGCGCCTGCTGTCGATGTTCAAGAGCGATGACCGCAAATTTGGGTTCCCTTAAATGCAAAGTGTAGGCGGATATTGCCAAGGTTGCGTGAAAGAGACCTGGAGAGTTGAACGCCATTGGTAACAGAACGTGCCGATAAGGATTGTGTTGTTCGTCGTCGAGTAATGTTCGTGAGGCACAGATCACCATGTCATAGTAGGAAAGGAGAACCGAATCATCAGGACGATTCTGAACCGGAAATGTTGATAGACTATGCCGAAGCATATTCATCGAGTTGTGCACCTGGCGTTCGGCCACAGGCCGTCTTTGCTCGACGCTTCCTCGTGTGTCAAGCTCGGCAGCTGATACCGATCCATTTTCGGCAGCGTCGTCATCGTCGGCCTGCGCGTTGGAATCAACCCCGTAGTACAGAGCCATGTCTTGGAAAGTGGTGTTCAAGAAGTAGAGGCTCTCCCAGTTAGGAGATCGATATTCTTCTGAGAATGGCACAGAGAATTCCTCGGCGACTTCAGGAAGTTCTTTGCCATGCTTCCTCCAAATGCCTTGTCGCCCATGTGACACACCTCGTGCTTCACTATCATCCTGCCAGGTCAATTGAAGTCCCCCGTAGTGGCAAGTGATGTTAAGTTTTTGGCATCTTTGGCACGCCGGTTGCGCCTCTACTCACGGTGAGTACGTGAACTTGTGGGATCTAGAGGACATGAGTAGACAGTCTTACCATTACACTTGATTCTCCGCGAACGACAGGCCAAACAACCCCTACGACTTCTGGTAATCTTTGACACACTCATATCAGGAGACTTGGCGGCGGCGGCGACGCCTCGCAACCACCTACATCATCAGAAACTTTCAAGGATCCTTTGGACAGACGTGTAAGTGTACGGCAAAATTCAGTCCGAGTCAGATGATGAAGAAAGGTGTGAAGTCGCTGTAGCCAACCTCGGCGAGCGCCTCTAAGTGATAAAGCAGCGTCCGGGGATAAGTCTCTAGCCTAAAGAAGCTAGTATTGATTGCCCGGGGTTTTGTGCCGATAATCCGACGCCGCCCAATGATGAATCCTCTCCTATCAAATCACTCACCCCAACGACTCACAGAGGATCGAGATATTCACCAGCATTGTATATGGGTTGAGATAGGACTATCCACGGCCCAGATGCTAAATGTGCTTAAATGTCAATGCTTAAGGCAATAATCTGGCGAGATATAGGACCTTGAGGCACAATATGACCAGCTTTAGCACCAGTCACGACAGCCGCCGGGCATCCTCCGAAGGGCGTCGTCAATACGACGACACTGCCCGCCATGAGGATTTCGACGAGAGGCCATCTCTCATGCTCACCCGCACAAGGTCCCAGGAATTTAGCATGACAGAGAGTATTGCGATCCAAGAGACTCTACCTCCCGAGAGACCTAAACACTCCCAAGATGGCACGGAGGATGGTGAACCTGTCTGGCCTCACTCGATCAGATACCTTGTCCAACTGTGCGCATTCCTAACAAGTCTAAGCTTTGGTGTCACTCAAGTACCATTACTATACGTCTTTAGACTCATGACTTGCGATGCCTACTACAAGGATCGTTCAGCTCCTCCCCCATCTTCAGTCCCGGCTTCGGGCCCCTCTTCACATATCCTTCCCATGCTGGCCTACACTTTCGACAACAGCGGCAAGGACAAACCAGACAGGTGTTCTATCCACGCAATTGAAAGCTCAACTGCGCTGTCTGTGTCTCTCCTCGGCGCGAGCACCACGATATTCGGCTTGCTCAACCTCTTTTTGACAGGCAGCCTGATCAAGCGTATCGGCGTGAAGCGGACTCTCTTCATCCAGGTTTTATTTCCTGCTCTACGACTGCTGGTGCAGACTATCGGCGTCGAAGTATGGGGTAGTACAGGTATCATCATTATCCAGTGCAGCCAGATTGTCAGTATCTTGGGAGGACCGAGCGGCTACTTGCTTGCGCTGAACACCTTCATCACAGAGGTGGTGGAGTACGAGGGCCGAACTGCTGCTTTGGGACGGCTGACAGGGGCTATGATGTTCGGGTCCGCCATTGGATTTCTTGTCGGAGGTGTTGTCGCTGAGATATTCGGAGTAAAGGCGCCCTTTCGACTTACGTTCTTACTCTTCATGAGCGCCTGTGCCTATGTCGCAATTTTCCTTCCATACGTCGCTCCTGATACCCGGGAGTCGTCCCAACCTCAATCCGCAAAGGGCAGACCCAGCACAAAGACGGGCTTGAAGCGATTCTTTGGACCATTGGGTGTGTTTGCACCGCGCAAGTTTATTGGCCTGGACGGCGTTGTACGTACGGAATATGGTGCTTTCTTATTGGCATGTGGTGTATTTCTGGCCATCTTAGCCACCGGTAGGCGACTACTTGCTGCTTAACCTGTGTGCTTCCCAGCTGACAGATTACTCCAAGGATACCTCCCCACGCTTCTCCAGCTCTACGCCACCGATGTATTTGCATTCGGCACCCAGCAGAACGGCTGGCTGATCTTCATGTACTCGATGCTCCGTGGTGTATTTTTGACCTTTGCTTTTCCCAAGGCCATCTCTCTAGGTCGAGCATTCACCACAGCTCGCCAGGCGCGGATACGTAAACGCAACGCGTTGGAACAGACAGAGTCCAACAGCGATACGACCGAGCGAGATCCTCTGCTGGGTCGCACGAGCAAGAAGAATAATAATGCCACTGCCAGACAAGTGGACACCAACAGCGACCGTGCCGCGAGCAAGAAACAGACAACGTTCACTTTCGACCTCACATATACACGAGGGTACGTAAGATATACCGTCGTGCTCTCGTTCATCCTCTTCTTCACTGTGACTTGCAACATCCCGTGTCTAACCTTTGTGTGAAACAATCAGCTCCCTCATCGCCGACGGTCTACTCACGCTCCTCTGCTCCTTTGTCCGGCAGGGATGGCAAATGTACCTCGTCGCCGCCGTCCTTCCGTTCGCAGCGGGTACGGGGTCGGCGTCAAAAGGCACGATATTGCAGATGGTCGGCAGCGGCGCCAGCAGTTCTGAGCGCACCGACGCTCTCGCCGGTGTGAGTCTGGTGGAGAATATGGCGAGACTTTCTACCAGTACGTCAATTGACATTACCCCCTCCCTCCTGATCGTTCCACCCCAGCTCGTACACCGGACCAATCTGCTAATTTAACCGCCGACAGCGTTCGTGTTCGGTATGGTCTTTGCCGGGTTCACGAGCATAGGACGGACAGAGTTGGTGTTTACTGTCAATGCGGTATGTTCTCCCCTTATTCCTCACATCCAATCAGGCCCCCCTCTCAAAGATGACCGGCCGATCGATACTTATACATGTATTGGTGACGAAGGCCGTGGCGATAGTCGGGTTCGTTGTGCTCTTATTCGCGCGGTTTCCTCTTGAAGGAAGTGTACCGATTGATTCGCTCGAGGTCGACGATGACGATGACGAAGCAGATGAAGACGATTGATTCCCTTCACGTGGGGGGATCGGCACGGTCTTGTAGGCCGACGGCTTGATCTACTTTCCACGACAAGAAAGACAAAAAGTTGCATCTTATTCAGGACGGATTTAATACCATCTAAACGACAGGCATCAAGCACTCAATGGCGAAAAAGAATAGATTTGGGAAAGATTGAAACGATTTTTTGGAAAAGGCAAACATCAAGGACATTGGTATCATTATTCTTCGAGCCAGAATTTCTAAGTGATCTTACTCCCTCTGCCTCTGTTTCTCTTACTGCGCTGTGCTGGGACATTCTACGCTAAAGAAGGAAAATCTCGACCTCCAGTTCGCCACTGATGGACATGTGAAGATGAATGGAATGTTGTAGTGATCTGTTGAAGACCTTTTGGGCGTCCAATACGGCTCTTCACACGTCCCATGATTGAGGCACATGAATTATGACGGGGGAGTGGTCGCCTCATTCATATATCCACATCGATCCTATCCAAGATGGCCTTCACTTCGGCACCCTTGCCCGAGCCGGCATCCAATTCGGTAATCAATTCGGCGGCTTTGGTCTTCAGCTCCTTGACCACTTTCCGCGTGTACTCGAAACTGCCAGTGCTCTCCATGTAGCTCACGGCGTACATCTTGACGCCCTCGTCGGTCGTCTTTTGTTTGAGGATGTTGATCAGCTGCAAGTTGGCCGGGTTACTCCGTATCGAATGGATGACGGGGAACGAGAACTTGCCCTCCGTCAGGTCCTCACAGAGACCTTTGTTCTTGGTGTACGTGCCCGACGAGAGGTTGAGATAGTCGTCGCACACTTGAAACACCAAACCCATCAGGTTGACCAGCGGCACGCAATCTATGCGACCCCTCTCGGGAGACTCGGCCTGCATCAGTTGGACGGCAAGGCGAAACAGGCCACCCGTCTTGTTCTGCACCATCTCGAGGTAGTCGTCCTCCGTCGGGCAGGTGAGGGTGTCTCGCCAGTAGAGATCCATCCCTTGGCCGCGGTGCAGGTTCAGGAGTTCCGTGGTGAAGATCTCCATGGCCTCGTCCTTGTTGTCGAGCTTTTGGAGTTCCTGCAGCGCCAGGAAGTAGACGTAGTTTGCGCTGTTGATAGTCTGCGCGACGCCAAAGATGTTGTGCGCGACCGGGATGCCCCTCCGGAGTTGACTGCCGTCCTGGACGTCGTCGATGAGCAGCGACGAGGTGTGCAGCATGCCCACGACCTTCGTTATGATCTCGAGCGACCGTGGCGGGACGCTGAGAAACGCGTTGAAGGCCTTGATCAAGGCGGAGCGTATGTCCTTGCCCGGGTGCGCAAAGAGATAGTCGTAGGGACCCATTATGATCTTCTCTTTCTGTGGCGTCCATTCACTCAGCCGCCTCGGGGCGATGGTCTCCGAGGTGGACTTTCTCTTCGTGTATCTCATCTTGTTGGCCTGGTCGATAAGAGGTAAAGGAGGGCTCAGTGGGGGCATGGAGTTGTGTTTGTTAGATATCCAGGTGTCTTCCGCGAGAGGTTTGAGGACGGACTTGGAGGGTTGATGCTGGACTCCGTCGCGGACACCGGCCGAGCTATAACGGACCGGTATGGCGTTGGGAGAGGTCGGGTTCTCTGTGACGGTCGACATGGTGCCTGGTTCGCGTGCAGGTGAAGAGGGGCATGTGAGATTCGAGAAGAGTGGTGGTGACAGACGTACGGCTTTGGTACAGATGTGCAGCCGGAATAAATTTCTCTACGCAAGACAGTGAGGAGACGTCATGCACAAAGGTGGATGGAAGCGCTGGCAAGTGAATGCATGAGAGAGAAAGCCTCAAGTATGCGATTGTTGTCGGGACGAGATCATACGGAGAGGAGGAGGATGGTGGACGAGGTGGTGGTGGTCCTCATGCGAATACACGCATCACCAGCAGGCATCATGATATCCGCCGAGGCGCATGACGAAACACATGGCGAGGCTTGACTGGGGCCGTCAATATATCGATCTTCATGATGCAGCTTGGACTTGTGACTAGAGGCATTTGGGGCCTAGAGATGTCGTACTCGTAGGCGCCAACGGAGAGGCCTGTGGGGGGCATGAGTTCGCTGTGAGAATCCCAGTGTACGGAGTACAGGCACCGGGATCAACGGAAGCCACGGGCCCAGAGACCCCGTAAGACTTGATTACTGGGGCTGTTCAGACTGTTCGTACTCGTACTCGTAAAGGTGGTGGCAGAATTTCGGTCCCCGGCTTGTTTGGATCTAACGCCATCCGGCCATGACAACGGGCCTCACCTGTACTGCTGGATTACTCTCAAGCGACTGCGCTTCATGCCTGTTGTGCCTACTCTATCACACCTCTAGACAAACCCTTCATTCAAAGTATCTTGACGCCATAAACACAAGCCTGAGGCCCTTCACTGTCGTCAATAATGGAAACCCTTCTCTCCCACTCGTTCGACTACCTCTCCTCGCCGTCCCCGCAGAAGATTAGGAAAGGACTGCGTCAGGTCGAAGGCCTCCTCGCCCAACTATGCCTCTCCAAAACCTCGATAACCAACAAACGACAATCGATGCTCTTACTCGGCTCGAATCCTCCAACGGGAAAGAAACTCACAGAATTGCCTGAAGACCCGGCCTTTCGAGAATTCTTCAAACTCCAACAATCATTCCAATGGAACATAGCAATGCGGCTGGTATCTTGTCTCGAGCGACTCCTCGGCAAGGAAAGCAACGGCACCAACGATATCCTCATCATACAAACACTCGATCTGATCCAGGGAATTTTACTTTTACATCCTCCTTCACGAGCTCTATTCTCACAAGAGATATACATGAATGTAAGTCTTGTTCCGGCCGTTTCTCCTTGTCTCTCACACTAACAAGTCCTCGCCAGCTCTTCCTCGACCTTCTCGACCCGTCCAACTGTCCCGCAATCCAATCATCCACCATCATGGCTCTAGTCACATCATTACTCGACCAACCCCAGAACGCACGAACGTTTGAAACAATCGACGGCTTGCTCGTGGTGACGTCCCTGTTCAAATCCCGGAGCACGTCGCGCGAAGTCAAGCTGAAACTCGTCGAGTTTTTGTATTTCTACCTGATGCCCGAAACGCCAGCCACGAAGTTATGCACATCCACATCCGCCACCAACACCGCGATCTTAGGAGGTCGAGGGAAAGAACTCATGGCGGCATTCGATCGACGAAGAGAGACGGTCAACGGTCCCGAGACGGCAAAGAGTTCGACTGCTAATATCAGGACGACAGAAGAGAAACAAAACTTGCTAGGCAAGCATTTGAGTAATGTACAAGATCTCGTTGAGGATTTGAGGGAGGGTGGAGGAGTGTTTGGCGTCGGTGCCATATAGGAGGAAAGAGGGGGGAGAGAGAGTCTAGAGTGTAACAACAACAACATCATCATCATCATCATCAGCATCATGGTCACCACTTTTTTATGGCGGATGACAAAGCAACGTGTGCACAATGCATCGAAGCGCGGCGTAAGGGGGAATGAACACTCCAAGGTACCTCTTGAAATAAATACAAAGGTACCCATGTAGAACAATATTTGTTATATGTACGAAATATGGCTTTCTGAGAGACGAGAGAATGATCCCCCAATTGCTCAAACATGGACTTGGGAGGATGTGTTTTTGACTTTGGAGACGACGATTCTTTTTTAGTTTTTTTTTGCAGTGACACGAACCGGCCGAAGCATGCAACACGGTCGAATACTACCTTGCGTAGGTGGTGAGTAACGTACGGAGTAGGTATGGATGTTTTGCGTCCGTGACTCATTCCCTCGTGTTCAGGGATTTTTGACAGCCTCAGTGCATGGGGATATCGGGTCCAGGGATCTATCTATATTCTTGTTACAACAACGCCCCCTATTTGACCCTCCCTACTCACACATCCATCAATCAGATCCTCACCACAACTTGGACTCCTATTCTACCCGTTCTTTTTTTGCTTCGGATCGAAAGAGGCTGTTCCTTATCGGTCATCATTTTTTCGTACATTTTCAAATCGAACGAAATCCCAGGTATACAATTACTGCGTACACAGTATATTTCTACACATTGAAAGGCGATTTCCACCTCTGCGGCAATCTCTATCCAGACCCCAGCCTATCTACTATACAAAGCTCAACTGTACAAAACCGTCGATATGACGGCCAAAGCGATACCTCAGTCAACAGACCCAACAGTCCGCTACCTCTCGACATCTCAAGCTTACGATCTTTGGGCCGCAGTGTACGACACAGACGGGAATTTCCTGCAAGCTCTGGACACAATTGAAATGAAAACTCTCATACCACGCTTACTCAGTCTCCTTGAAGCATCATGCCTATCTCGCCCGTGGAAACTGGTTGACCTAGGATGCGGGACCGGTCGGAATACAGCTGCGTTACTCGAGGTCGATGGTGCCACTGTAGTCGGACTTGATGTGAGCCCTGGTATGCTTGAGGTAGCTAAGCGGCGGCTAGAGGACAGTGCTGCCAAAGGCAAGTTGAGTCTCGGGGTGTTTGACATGATTGAGCAGGATTCGGCGTCTGAAATGGCGTTGAATGCCGATGCCATTGTATCGACGCTAGTTCTCGAACATATCCCTGTCGAGGTCTTCTTCAAGCACGTGGCAAAAATGCTCAAACCAGGTGGCTATTTATTGTTGACCAACATGCACTCGGAGATGGGTGGTATCAGTCAGGCTGGATTTGTAGATCCTGATACCGGAGAAAAGATTCGACCCACAAGTTATGCTCACACTGTTGCTGAAGTCGAGGCCGAGGCAGCAAAAAATGGCTTCGAGACCGTCGGAGGCAACATGAAGGAGAGATCCGTAGACCAGTCTCTAGTGCCTCGTCTCGGTGAAAGATCTGCGAAATGGTTGGGAGTGAAGGTCTGGTTTGGAGGAATCTTTTGCAAAAAGAGCTGATATGTAACTCTCACTCATCCATGGAGTGAACACTTGGTGTCCGGCCGGAGAAGAAGCCACGAACCAATCGAGCTCGATGTTGTACAAGATTCTCATACTTTTGCAAAGCCGTCTTCAACACCGGCGTGCGCCAATCGAGGTCATCATCTAGGATGATCTGGGTATATGCAAATAAACTTGCGTCAAAGAGCCCGGGAGTTGTCTGACCAAAGAAAAATTTCTGTTCCCCCAAGAGAGTCGAGAGTGCTTGGAATGCTTCATCCGCTTTATCGTACAGTGCTTGTTGGTCGATCAAAGTACTCGTCTTCAGCAGTTCGTCTCGAGCAGCGTTGCGAAGTTGGCGTGCAAGCTCCGTCTGCACGGCCCATGAAGAGGATGCAGACGCAACGTACATTGGCCATGCCACGGCGTGGAAGTTCTGGTCATCCAAATACAAATAGTATAGCCAGGCACTTCGAATGTTGTGATCGATGAGCGCCGTGTATGCATCTTGCCGCATGTGTACAGCCTCCTCTTTGCCTCCTTGCGATATGACCCATCTTGCTAGACGATTGGCAGGCACGGGAGACGGTGGTCGCTGGTTTTCTTGAGACGCTGGCAGGAGGAAAGGCAGCGAGCCAGTGGGAGAGGCATGATTGTTCGACGGCCTCGTGCGTAGAGGGATGCCATGGAACTTGAGATATGCTTGCCACTTCAGACAGGACGGATTAAAGGAGGGCGCATCTCGACTGGGTGGTTCCTCGGATTGGAAAATGTAGAGAATGTTTTCATTCCGGCGTCTCGGTGCTCTTTGCGGGAGCACATTTGCAGGGTAGACGATCAGGGGGAAGCGGTCGAATATTCGCTTGAGGGGCTGCGGGAGCGAGAACCACGAAGATTGAGAAGCTTCTTGAGTTTTCGGTTTTGAGGAATTCCTGGGTACACGCGTCGAGGCGTCGGTTGTGGTCTTTGTGTCGTCGTTCATCTCCAACCCCATGCTCCTGCTCGTACCTTCCCACCTCCTCGAGGATCGCTGCTATCAAACTTGAAAGGAAATGGACATGAACTCGTATTGGCGCAGGAATGACATGAAGCAAAGGCTCGAAATGACGGCAAGCTTTGATGGTCCACGAACTCGGTGTCTCGGTTTCCATCCACTCACCAAACGCCATGTACCCACTAAGGGCGATTTTATCACGGCCTTTCACAGGCGAAGTTATTATACTACTGAACGCGACTGAAGGGCTTCGTCTCAAGACATACAGCATTCGCTCAGTGTCATTCAACTCACTAACTAATATACCTCAGCCTATGTATGCCTATGTATGCCTACCTAGGTAAGGCCAGAGAGGTATCCTACGTGGCCCTGGTAGAAGCGTTCTTTGACACGGACTCGCCCCTTCGAAATCCCACTCTAACAATTAAGCTAGTGTTGAGTGATTGATCCTGACAGTACCATAGTATGAGCGTATCAACCAGTCGATCGGCATGTACTGGCTATGGCGTCTGGATCTCATTATCCACCTCGCCGCCACACGTGCCTCCCTTCATATCAAGGGTGCATGCGTCAAATCCAAGGGGTCAACCGTTAGAGTAATGAACGACCGAAGAGTTTGATGATGTCTTGGACCAAGGATTTTATAAATATCAAGGGAGCGACAGGTAAGGCTCCGCGCGAGAGTACTTTCATGTGGTCTGCTCTCGTTTTCAAGGTCGACCTGCAACCCATCCTGCCTCAGTCACAGCGAGCAGTCTCTCGGATCTCTCTTGACCATGGATATAATACCCGCTGAAGCGCCCAGCAGAGAACCGAGATGGGCTCTGCTCTCGGAGAAATACGAGGTACCCAAGTCTTGGAAGCAGTACCTGTTACCCGCCCTACCTCGATTCATGCAGCCAGGAGGACTACCAAGTAGAAAGATAGGGCCAACGTCCTACTTGGATGCCCTCAGGGGCTATGCAGCTCTTATTGTCGTCTTCTTTCACATCTTTCCGACGCCTGACATCGAATCCGGCGGGTGGCGACGTCAGCCATTCCTTAACCTCCTCGACTCGGGAAAAGGCATGGTGATTATATTTTTCATCATCTCGGGTTACGCTCTCGGATATCGACTTCTCATCCTGACCAGACAAGGAGATACCGATGGCCTTTTGAACGCGCTGTCTTCATCTGCTTTTCGGCGATGGTTCAGACTCTATCTCAGTAGTGCGGCGGCCTGCATTTTGGCCTTTCCTTTTGTCCGCATGGGGTGGTTCAACGGCCTGCACGGCCTGTACAAACCGAGGCTCATTGACCAGATAATCGACTTTACCATTAAGACCGGCGCGTTTATGAATCCCTTCGGAGCGCCGTCGACCAACGAGTACCTGTATCAACTCTGGACCATTCCCATCGAATATCGCGGCAGTATGGTCCTCTTCTTATTCATACTTGCTACATGCAAGTTGAGCACCAGAGGTCGAATGGCCATTACATGGATCATGATATTGGCCTGTTATGTGTGGGAGGTCCATTTCCAGGCAGAGTTCTTGGCCGGTTTCTTCATTGCCGATCTCTCTATGAGTCGACGACCTGAACGTGTGGACAGGCGACCCTCAGCTCTCGGCCAGCGGGCAGACGTTGGCAAGATCGTCTGGCCCGTTCTTCTGGTTGTTGGATTGTTCCTAGTGGCAAGACCGAAAGTTGGTAATCAGCTGGGGTTCTTGGGGTCGTTTCCTTGGGGGTTTCTCAATTCCCTCGTGCCTTCGTGGTATAAGACAGACGCTCAGTTTGTATTCTGGATGTCACCCGGGGCTTTTATGGTCGTCCTAGCCATCGAATCGTACCCTATTTTGCAAACGCCATTCCACTGGCGCATCTCTCAATACATGGGCGACTTATCTTTCGGTTTGTACGCCATTCATCCACCTCTCGGCCATACAATTAGACGACACTGGACGGATCCATTCAGACACAGATTCTTGGGCGATTCATTTCTGGCTAAAATTCCAGGCTTCATTGTGGTAATGCTTGTGATATTTATTGCCGCGGACTATTTTGAGAGGATAGATAAGAGAGCTGTACAATTTACTCGATGGCTTCAAAAGAAAGTCTTTGTCTAGAAGTGGGACGCAGGGGACTTGCAAAAAGACCATGGGAGATGGGTGGTGGCACGATGATTTTATATATTTCTAGACAAGAAGGGGTGAAGTTGACATTGAGATACCCAAGTACCATATGCAATATACGAGTCTGGAGTTTTGTGTTCTCTTCTTTTTCAAACAAAAAAAAGCAAAAAACGATTGACTCTGACCGAAGTAAGACAATTATCTGTGCTGTAACCCCGTACAGTATGCTGTGGCTGAAAGAATAACTTGCTCTTCGTGACCCTGAGATGTGCGCTTTCCCTTTTTCTACAAGTCTAACCGCATTGGCATTTGTACTGTACCGTACTGTACGAGTACGAGGTACGAGTGAGAGGCTCACCCGAGAACCCTCCACCAAAATCTCTCCCGTTCACACTATCTCGATCCCCTGTTGCAAGTGTCACATTCCCCTGGGTGGCTGTAAGCAGAGACGCTAAATTTATCTGGCAGCAACCTACGGAGCATTTTCTTAGGGGCCGTATCCCCCCAATCCCTTGTCGTCCTCCCCACGCACGCCACGCCCGAGTCCCTGGTCGAACATCTGAAGATCTCTGCTTGTTCCCCTCCACCAAATGTTGCAAATCAAATCACCCAACCGCCGCAGCGCATGGTAACTCCTGAAGACTGTTCCTCGACCTCGGGTTTCAGCACCGTGAATACAACGAAAACGAGTTGTTGTCTTCCAGACGTCCTTTCCCTTCCTCGGGTCCAACGACCATTTTACACAACATCTCCTAACACTCTGAATGATTCGACACAATGCAGGAACGCTCCGGTGAGAAAGTATCCAGCCCGCCAAAGACTGGTAGAGTTGAGGACGGTAAAATCCGCAAGATACGTACCGCCAACCGCACCGAAATCACACCGATTCAACACTTCAATGGAAAAACATATGCTTGTGAATCGTGTAAGAGGGGGCATCGCGTGAACAAATGTGATCATGGAAGGACAAGGCCTATCTCGGAAACGAATCAACCAGGCCGACCGTCTGCTGGTCAGAGGAGAGGATGCCACTGCCCAAGGAATTGCGCTTGCACGACCAAAACATGCAAATGTCAAAGAGATTGTGCCTGCACTCAAGAAATGTACCTGGTCGTCAGAGTCGACGGACCTCAAATCATCAATCGAGAAGCAACGTCTAGTCCCAAGCCCGTGTGGGAGGATGCTAATGGCAATAAAATGACCTTGAAAAAGGTGTGGGCAGACGCAAATGGAAAGGAGCTCAACGATGAAGAGTATCACGATCGAAAAAGACGGATGAGAGAGAGACAAGGAGGCGTCTCGACAACACCCGAGGCTACCACATCAAGTTGTTGCGGCTCGAAAAAGGTCAAAGAAGAACCTCAGTCCCCTCAGCCGCTCTCTACCGGCGGTTGTCGACACCGACAGAATATCGAGAAGCAACCGGATTCAGCGAGCCTTACTGCGACTCCGGCAGTCCCCAGCGCATCTATGAGTCAATCGTGGAAAGCAGCTTGTTCTTGTGGTTCGGGTTGCTCTTGTCTATATTGTCCTGATCACCCCAATAATGCCACTTCCATCAACCATACGCAGCAACAAGTGAAGAACTTGGCGGAGCAAGCATATTCGGAATTCGACGGTTTGATGCCAGTTTCGTTTATGCAAGAAAATGACTCGACATCTTGTATGGGTGGCCGGCCGACGTTCTTCCTCTCGCGAACTCCCAATGTTTCTCAACAACAATTAGAACAGTACTTCCCTGAAAGTTCCGATCCAAACGCCATATACCTCAGATATCCTATCTCACAACACTCTTGGACCAATCAACCGGCCAGCTCCCACTGTTCCCACATTCCGTCCCCGACTACGGTCATGGCTATGACACCCGACCCGAGCGAATCTTACGTTGAGCCATTGCCTGACTTGTCGCAACAGTCGCTGGACTATGACTTTCTGCCCAACGATACTAACGGTACTTGGGACTTTTCAGGTGGTCAATTCGGTGGCTCCTCTTTCAGTTGGATGGACTTTGACGCTTCTCGAGGCACCGATTATAATATCGGTCAAGCCACTGTTGCTTCCGCTATGGATGGTGGTATCTTTTCGATTTCGCAGGCCCTACCAGGTCAGCAAATTCCTGAAATCAGCGTCAACGTGGATGCAATGATGAGTCCAGCACATTTGAACGGTCTTCCTGTGACTCTAGAAAACAGCCAGTACCCAGTCTCGTCAACACCTTTCGATCCGCAAAACTCCTTTGTGGACTTTACTTCGGCAGACGGACAAACGAACCAGGCAAACTTTGCAAAGTCGAACGGCGCCGTCCCACAAGGACAGTCGGAACAAGCTCTTTTTGATACCGGGTCGATGAACATGACACATCAAACTGCCCAATCTCTCAGAGCACCACAGTCTCAGCTCAATACTGGACTTGTCGGTTCTCACTATTCAACACCGATATCTTGGGATCAGTTTGACTCACTCAACGAGGACCCAACCAATGGCAACCTTGCAACGACATCCATGGCTAGTTCACCTCAACTTGTTAGTCGAGTGTAGCATACTCTTGAGCTATTGAGAGATGAAGAGACCTGGAATAGGAGTGTAAATGCATCGTGTACATGAGGAAAAAGACGAGACATGAACTTTTATTGGTATTAACGATCACAGACCCACGCATTATGGGTATGAATATATGCATAGAGAGAGAGAGAGAGAGAGAGAGAGAGAGAGAGAGATCTCTTTTTGTTTCAAGAGTGATGATGGTAGTAAAAACAAGACATTGTACTCGGACTTTCCATCCTGACCTGTTGTACGGAGTAATTTCAGTACTGATAGTGTTTTGTTTTACAGTCACTTCGACGTACTTTAAACAAATATGAAGTTACAAGATAGGTTGCAGATTGCAACATTTGGTAACTTTGTACAACGCTTCGAGGGGAAGATTGAATCGCTCCTAATTTGGCAGTTTTTGGTGCTCAATCTTCTGTACTATACTTTCTCTCTCTCTCTCTCTGTCTGTGTGTGTGTGTGTGAAATTGATGCAACTGTAGAATAAGCTAGAGAGAACAGAAAAGAGTGTCACCTGTCTCTCGAGGCGGGAAAGGGGGGGGGGGGGGGGTTGAGAGTAAAAAAATAAATGAATCGATCTCAAAAGTTCTGCAGAAGTATAAAGGTATTCTTGACTGTCTACTTGTTCGTCTCCTCGGGAATGGTGATTTTCCCTCCCCACCTTGTTTTGAGATGTAACAGAGCGCGCGCTGGGGTTCACTCGTTCATTCGTCCTTTTCTTTTTTTGCCAACGAGAATAGAAAGAAGCATTCGTTTCCCTCTCCTCAAGCTTGAACAGATATAGCCGCCGTCGTGGATCCGGTGGATCCCAACGGTGCCATCATGGTCGTCGAACTCACCGGTCTCACCGATCCCGCCATGCGGTCGTGGACGTGAAGTTGATTACACGGGTGTCGAGTATGACTGTGAGGTAGAGTCCGAGGATGAATTTGATGAGTTTGGTCGTGGTGTTGGTCTTGTTGTTGTTGTTGTTGCTGTTTGTGGGGTTGAGTCTGAGATTGAGTTGAAATGTGACCGGGAGTCTTGATCTGAGTCTGAGTCCGAGTCTGGTCCTGATTCTGAATCTGATTCCGAGTGTTCTTCGACTGATTCTGTCTTCGTCTTGATCTTCTTGATTCATCATCATCATCAACTCTAGCTTTCAAACTTATCACATTGACAAATTCAACACCATCAACCAACATGATACCATTCTCGTCCATGGATATCGTACTCGCCCCTTTTGACGTTTTGTGATTGTTAGTACTCCTCGACGACGACGGTAACTTGGGTCGACGAGAAAGGGTAAAAGATGCTCTTCTAGACGGTTGAGATAATGTTGTTGTTGTTGTTGTCGTGGTTGTGCCGGATGGATGTGGAGAAAATGAAAGTGTCCTTCTTTTCGTTTGGTCAGAAAAAATTTGAGCATGACCAGAAGAAGATGGCAAACCCGGCTTCTCCTCTTTTGAATCTTCATCTTTCTCATTCTTGTAATGATGGTGACGTGCGTGACGTGTAGCAGACAACGAGACTGCCGAATCAGGTCTATAGTGTGTAGACGACGACGGCTGAGTAAATGTCTGACTTTGATCCTGAGTTGATGTCGCAGTTTGTGGACGGATCTGTGTTTGTGAAGATGAACGTATAGGCGTTGCTGTCTGTGGTCTCACTTGTGAGACGATAGGTGTCGTCGTCTTGTTCTTTTTCGACGTAGACCTCCTCACAAGACTGGAAAGCGATCGTTTCCTTCCGTTTGGACTTGTGCTTGCACTCCCACCAGCCGTCACTCCTTCACCACTGGAGTCATTCGTGACCTTAGCATGAGCGTCATCATCATCACCGTCCATCCGGGTCATACGAGGATGATGATCCCTCGCCTTCGCAGACAACGACTTTGATCTTCCCAACATGCCTACCTTGGAAGCCAAACCTAAACTCAAACTACGGCCAAGGCTGCTGCTCTTTCGAGGCCCAGGCACGTCCTCCCCAAAATCTCCCTCGGCTCTCGTCAGGGACGCCACTGATTTTGACCTTTGATGCTTGTCATGGCTCGAACTCCGACTGGCACTTCTCGATCTAGGTCGATGAAGACTCGCTTTGGATCCTGGGCGAGCAGACGCAGACGCATACAAGGCTTGGTTGAGGAGTGCTTCGTCCCGCGACTTGGGAATGTCTGGGCCCGGACACGCTCCCAGACATTCCGACGAGTAACTTCGACTCAATGACCGGGCACTTGATCTCGATCTTGACCGTGGATTACGGAGTTGAGTTGTCGTGGTGGTGGTTGTCGAAGGACCGGCATTTCCTCCATTGACTAGAATCGAACGGAGAGGGGCAGGTGACGCTGTTCGTGATCCGATCCGAGGCAGAGACAACGCCGACGAGGAGCACGTGTTGTGGTACAAGTCCTGAAGTTCTGTGTGGTCGCGAGAATTCAACATGCGGTGACACCAACGTACTTCCCAACCTGGTTTCGATCGCGACGAGGATGACGATGATGACAACGAGGATGATGATGATCCGGCAGCATGACTAGTCTCTCTCGATGATGACCGCGTTCCCGATCCTGGTCGTGGAGGTGACGAGTTCGAACTTGACCCCAACTTGTGCATCACCTTGGAACTCGACTGATTCATGCTGCTGCCGCCATCCCTATAGACAAAGAGGAATTCACCTCCATTGACGTACCAATCTCCTCCGTCCAGAGCGTCCCCATTCCCCACACGTTTGACAATCTGCCACGCCGACTTGACCGCGCCGCTGACGAGGTTGTGCTGGATGTACTCGGGCTGTTTGCCCCCCATCGATAAAGTCTTGTGCATGCCCAGCATGTCGTACAACTGCGTCGACGGGTCAGCGTAGACAGGGTACGCACATTGTGTCAGGGCCGCATAGGAGGAGAGCAAGCTCGGCGACCCTGGTCCAATAACGACCACGGACGGGGGAGGGTGAGTGTTTGGTTTGGAAAAGTCGAGGTGAACCCGTCGTCGAGTAGGGTGGAAAGGAGACGCCGGCGAGGACAATCGACGGATATATTCCTGGCAGTTACCACAAAAGAAATGACGGATGAAGACCACGAGGACGTTGTTTGCGGTAGTAGCTGCTTTGTCGTCGGTATCGTGATGCTGAAATAGGGATCCAAATGGTCGAGGGACCCCGTCGGGAGTATAAATGTCCAACTCAAAGGCCTGTTTGAGGGTATGTCCAGTCGGGATATTGTCTATCGCCATACTGATTGACTACTGTCGGTAGTCTTTTATTTCCCTTCTTCTCTTTTCTTTTTTTTTCTCTCGAAACGCCCCACGAGGGAACCCCTTTATGAATGTTGAAAAGTGAACGTGTCTGTCGTGTCGTGATAAAAGAAATCCACCGAAAAAAAGACGCAACCAGGCGACGTGAAGTGAGTGAGTGAGGGAGTGACTTGTGCCTAGCACACACACACACAACACTCTTTCTCTCGGCCAGCCGATGCGAAATATATCATAAATGAGGAAAGGGAACAAGAAAAAGAAACAAAATGAAAAATGGGACCAAAACAGAAACATCAGCAGGAAAGAGAGAGGGAATGTACCCCGTATTCGTAGAGAAGAAACCTACCACATTGATACTTACCTAAGGAGTACCCTTTCCGAGAGAGCGTATTACTAGGACAGTATCAGCCATTGTTGGCAATGCGTCGCCCGTGTCTCGACTGCCGAACGTTGGAAAAAGAAAACAAGATGGAACCACGTCTGTCTGAAAACACCCATGTTTCGAAACTTGCTACTTTGCGTAAAAAGTACCGAGTAACAAATCCTTGGCCCGATCTTCGTTGCCAGCTGGGACCGGTCGAAAAGGGTCTAGAACGGGGAAAAGAGAAGTAAAGACGGAGTACGCAGTACGGAGTACGGATCAAGGAGTGAACAATCGACAAAGGAGACAACTAAAGAGATGCCAAGATGGGAACGGTGTCGAATGATGTCCAACCCAAACAGAGTATGTGCGATGAATCGATAACGTGGCGCATGGAGGTCCGAAGGTGCCACTTTGTTGGTGTTTCAGGGGGCCAACAGTTCCGGACGATGTTACTTCTTAGTGGTCGACGACGAACAATCCTGAAACCTCGTCAGAGAAGAGAACGATCCAACAAATCTCCATGTCCGGATCAAATGGAGTCTCTTTGGGCGACAACAGCAAAGTGAAGAGCCCAGGATGCAACATCGGAACTTCCATACTCATACGGATTAGATCATCACTCCTTACATACATACCGAGTGCTCCATCAGATACATACTCACGATAGGACACTCAGATCTGTGGAGACATCTGTACAGTAGATTGGAAGGGGTCCTGCAAGATAGACGAGATATACGGAGTAGTAAAGAGTTACAGACATACATATCCCGGACTACGCGAGGGCCATCACTCCTTACCTAGGTAGAGTACTCCATATAATGTAAAACATATTGGGTACGGAGCAAGGGCCATCACTCCTATTGTAGGAACTCATACTCCGTACAAAACAGCTACCGATCACTACAAGGCACAGGCACGTGTACTCCTACCAGAAGCAGATAGAATGAATGACTTTGTTGAGTTCAAACGAGTGTATATGGGTCGGTCTGAGAAAAAGGTAGCAGCAACAACAACAACGGTACTAATCTCACAACATCAATGTCAATTTGATTCCACTTTTCACCCCTTCAACTTTCTTTGCACTACTAGTCCCCAGTGTTCTCCTGTCCTGCTTGCTTTGCACACCTCCCATCTCTCTTCACACTCGTACACACACACACACACACACACACACACACACACACACACACACTCCCTTTCTTCCACGATGCGACCCCAACTGTATCGATAAATGACTGTCGAGTTTTACCTTCTCGCAGAACCCGTGGCTATCGGCAGATGGCGTACGGCTCGGACGAACCAGTATGCAGTCATCACTTGCCAACAAATATCACATGCTGGGAAAGGTCGAGCCTCTTCCGAAGGTGCAAGACCGTGAGCCGACCTGGATAATAATAATCACAGGTTCAAATGCTCAACATTGTCCAGTGTCGCTGACTAGAGCAGCTCTGCATTTTTCTTTTCTTGGGTACGACGCTGTAGACGGCCAAGATCGGTGCCGATGACGGGTCTTCTCGCTTGAAGATACGATGTAAGAACTGCATCAAAAAACAGTATGGCTCTGTTGAGCGCTCAAGAGTAGTTTCAAATGAATCATCGTTCGTCTCCGTCCTCTAAGATCAGTCGTAGCCGCCTCCGACTTGGCTGGCGAATGCCGTCGAAACACTCTGAGCGTCCTCGTCCTGGTGCATACCCTTGCCGAGTCTAGAGTTGCCCATGTAGCCGGCATTGGGAACGCCGCCTTCGACATATCGCTTCAATCGATCCGCCTGGTTGTAACTGGCGTGCCTGTTGACGTCGTGAATAGACAGCTGATCAAGACTGACCCCGCCTTGGTCAATGACACTACCAGTGACATCAGACTCCGTCGCAACAGTCGACTCACCCGCGACACTACCCGGGACTCCTCTGGGTTTGACCCCATTCGATCGACGACCATTTGCATTCTGGAGAGAGGGCCAGGTGTCGGCGGTGAAGCCTTGGAACATTGGTGGGTAACCAGATGGGACACCAACGCCACCCATAGCTGATGAGTGAATAGATGAAACATCGTCGGGAATATAGCCGACAACCGAGCCACTGTCGCGAGGACCACCTCGACCATTCATCATTCCGCTGGCCATGTGGTTAGCATGGTTGTATGCCATCTGGTAACGTTGGGGACCGCGATACGATTGCTTAGGTCGACTGAACTGGTGGAGCGAGATCTGAAGGTTGGTCAAAGGTCCTTCGACGAGGCAGTTACGTTCCTTGAAATGCAGCAACAAGTAATGCCACAGAGGGTGTTTGGACAACACCTTGGGGTTTCCGAGAATGACGAGACCATACTTGGCTCGGGTCATGGCGACGTTGAGACGACGAGGGTCGCTCAAGAAACCAATACCTTGGTGATCATTGGATCTGACGCAAGACAGGATAATGTAGTCCTTCTCTCGTCCTTGGAAGGCATCGACCGAGGCAACTTCGATTTCCTTGTACAATTCCTTCTTGAAAGTGCCGTTGGCTTGCATCGAGCTGACAATGTAGCTACGTTGGCCTTCGTATGGAGTAATGACACCAATATCGGCTGGCTTGACTCCGGCCTTGAAGAAACGCGTGACAATCTTTTCGACGTTCGCGGCCTCGGTTCGGTTGAGGTAGGATGTGCCAGAAGCCGAAATTTCTTCGTTGCCAAGGTTGGACCAGAACATCATGGGACTCTGAATCACGGGCCACGGGAAGTCGATCTCGCGACGAGTGCGGTGCTCGGCTGTAACTCCGTTCTGCAAAGATCCTTCGTAGAACATGTTCGAGGGAAAGTCCGACAAGCAAGGATGCATACGATACTGGACATTGAGACGAATAGGTGCACAGCCAAGGATGACCAGACGTTCGAACAAGGACTGATTGAGACCTGCTTTGGCCGCCTTCTTGTTCATGATGACAGGGCCAAGCTGCTGATGATCACCGACAAGCACGACTTGCTTGCAACCAAGAACCAAGGGAATCATGCATTCGGGTTCGGCCGATTGAGTTGATTCGTCAATCAGGACGGTTCGGAATTTGAACTTTGCCAGTCTTGGGTCTCCAGCACCAACACAAGTACAGCAAACGACATCGGCGTTCTGTAGGATCTCTCGCTCAGCTGAACGTGTCAGGGACTTGTACTTCTTCTCGTCCTGACTAGACAATTCACCCAATTCAGACTTGAGCTGATTGAGCTTGCTGAGTTCGACGTTGCTGTCATTCATACGGACCTGTTCGTGCAAGGAGAGGAAACGCACGGGAGATTCGACATCTTCTCGCGACTTGGCCGTGACACGAACGACCTTGAGCCCGGTGCGGTGAATGCGCTCACAGAGCTGGTCAACGGCTACGTTGGATGGTGCGCAAACCAGCACTTGGCCACCGTTTATCTTAGAAAGGTGGTAAATGATGGTTGCCGAGGTGACTGTCTTACCCGTACCGGGAGGTCCCTGGATCAAGCTCAGTGGTTTCTGTATGACTGACTTGACAGCATTGATCTGGCTGCTATTGAGTTCGGGCAATCCGGGAACGCTGAACTTCTTGGGCATCTGGGTCTTCATGGGCGCTGCTGCAACTTCGTGGCCGAGGAGACGGTGGAAAATATAGCCAGAAACACTCATTTCGTCGACGGCGAAAGTTTTCATAGCAAGCTGCATTCGGTCGAAGGACGTGGCTTTCCAGACGTAGTCGGCCGTGAAGTTGTGAGTACACTCGGTCGGCACTGATTTGTGATCTCCTTTGGCTCGCAGTTCGAGAGTGACTTCGTCGGACTGATTGTTCGGGATCTTGTAAACGTAGCCAACTCCCTCCCACGCGGGACGCAGATCGCCGGTATACTTCAGGCGCATCTCGTCGCCGACGGCCAGTTTGACATCGCCCAGCTCGAGTTTGGGGAGAATGAAACTGGCCAAGTGCTTGTTGTTGAGACCCAAGTCCCAGCGCACGATCAAATTGTCTTGCGACTGGCTCTCCTTCAATTTACGGTCATAGTCGGCTTCGATCTTGACCAGAGGTCCAAAAACGTTCTGGTACTGGTACGCGTCGTCGTACCGGAGCAGAACCGGCGCAGGTTCGTCATCGATGTTCGATGCCTTTTCGAGGTCCGTGATGGTGGCGGCCGAGTTTTCCTTCCACAGTTCCTCCAGTTTTGCAATCATCTGCGGGCTCAAATGTCGGGCGCGGAGCTGTTCCTGGTCGGTCGGTTGTGCGACGAGCCACGACAAGAAAGACCGGTCCTCGATCAAGGGTTGCCACCTGGAAGTGTCCCAATTCATGTCCTTGGACGAAGGCATGGCCGCGCACGGTTGTCGACAGAGCAGGACGACCACGGTGTCTGACTTTGCCGGGATGAAGCCCAACAGAAATACATTCTTGGTTCCACAGTTGTAGCACTCCAGAACGGTGTCGCCCAACGAACTGCTCGGATGCAGCTGGACTTCCTTGTGGCGTGCCCGAACCAAATGATTGACGATGTGAGAGGACGAAGTGTTTCCGCGAGCGCTGCAGAACCACTTGCTACAAGTCAGGCATCGGACGACGCTGCTGGGGTTGTGAATGCCACAATACCTACGATATCAGATACGTATGTCAGTAGAGAGTCCTGGAACCAAAACGCAAAACGCAAAAAACAGAACTTTTCTCTTCCTGAACGTACGCGCACGCATGTGGTGGTAATTCCTTCTCCTCCTCAGCCTTGGTGGACTGTTTCTTGCCGTCCACCGCTGCACTGGCTAGGCTTTCCAAGTCGTCTTCCTCGACACTCTCGGACTCGTCATCGTCGTGTTGTCGTCTTCTAGGACCCTTGGCGAGGCTGAGGATACTTTCGTCTGGGTCGACCGTTGAAATGTCGTCGCTGGCGTTTATTGCGGCTGCGGAGTTGGAAACCAAATGGTTTCCCATATTACTAAAGGCCTCCATATCTGTCGATGTTCCGACGAAAGGCACTCCTCAAAGAGAGAGAGCCTTTTAGAACGTAACGTCCCGTCCGTTCGCGGTACAGAAGTATAGAGAGAAGTTGTGAAGGTTTATGGTATTGGGGGCGCAGTTTGAGAGGGTGAGCGAGAGAGTCTTTTAGTGACAACTGCTACCATTTGTATCACACCGACACCACGATTCCACACCCCTCCAAATGTCTCCAGAATGTCGTACGCGCTATGGAGGACACGCGCGAGAGGAGTAGAGGGTAGAGAGAGTTCTTGTATGGGAGGTGGGTGGAGGGGCGAAGAGGGAGCGAAAGCGCAAATGAAGGGCAAATGGTGGTTTGCAGTGGGCGGAGTTTATTATGTGCAAAAGTCCTGGGCGAATTTTCCACTAAATTTTGTGACATCCGTACGTGATACGAAAACCATCATCGCCATAATACATTCTCTGGTTCTTTTCCCTCCACACAACACGCCACCATGTTGCGTAGACAGGCCAGAGAGCGTAGAGACTACATCTACCGTCGCGCCCTTCAACTTCGCGATGCCAGCATTGCGGAAAAACGAGCCCTGTTGAAAAAGTCCCTCGCAACGGGCAAACCTCTCGACCCGTCTGTCGCAAACGACAAAACCCTCCGCAAAGACTTCAAGTACGATGAATCCCTCGACCCAGAGACCGCGGCGGCCCAGGAGTCCATCGACGACGAATACGCCATGCTCTCAGGGCTCGCCGACCCCAGGCCTCTCGTCACCACGTCCCGCAGTCCCTCGACTCGACTGGCGACATTCTCCAAAGAGATCAGACTCCTCCTGCCCACCTCGATACGACTGAATCGAGGCAACCTGATCCTTCCAAACTTGCTGGCGAGTGCAAAAGCCGCCGCCTTGACAGATATCATCCTCCTCCACGAACATCGAGGCACTCCGACTGCCATGACCATCTCCCATCTCCCTCACGGTCCCACGGCCTCCTTCTCCCTCCACAACGTCGTCCTTCGCGCGGACATACCGGATGCTTCGACGGGAACCGTGTCAGAGTCGTACCCGCACCTGATCTTCGAGGGCTTCACCACCCGACTGGGAAAGAGAGTGGTTCAGATACTCAAGCACATCTTTCCTCCACGAGACGGCCCGCACAAGGTCGGCAACAGAGTGGTTACATTCAAGAATGTGGAGGACAGCATCGAGGTTCGACATCATGTTTTTGTTCAGACTGGCTATAGAGACGTTGAGCTGGCTGAAGTAGGCCCGAGAATGACCATGAGATGTTTCGAAATCAGAGGAGGAACGCTGGAGAAAGACTCCGGTGGTGAGGTTGAATGGGCTCTGACCCAGTATACACGCACAGGACGCAAGAAAGACTATCTGTGAGGTAATGCATTACAACCAAATGCCCGAATGTTCGACTATTCTGAGGGTGCAAATGTCCAAAGAAGCCCCCAGCAAAACTATGGCATAAGTGCGCCTGCACCATGCCATATCCAAGCAAAAGCAAAAGCAAAAGCAAGCCCCATGGCGGAGACGACCAAATCAAACCAAATTAAGCCTTCGTGGCACAGCGCCGCTAGGCCTCTGTCAGCTTTCAACTCGCTGTGTGGCTATTGCCCTTGAGACCGATATCACGCAGTGTTTGCAGCTCATATCCCAGGGTCAGCAACTCCATCTCTTCACCAGCCTCCTTCAGGTGTCATGGCTCTGGCCTCTACCTCATCCATCGGTTGGTTCTCGGCCGGGTTTACCAGAATGGTTACACTGGGCTTACGCACCCGATCTTCGACACCCTTGACCTCCCCCTCCCCAAGCTGATCCATGCCATTGTCTTTCATCACTCTTGGACCAAAGAACTTGAATAGGCGACCATCCGAAGTACCATCACTCTGGAGTGCTATTTTGTCTTCGGATCTGTTCGCCTGTGCCATCTCCCGAAGACTTTCACGGTCGTCCCAGCTGACACCAACTCTTTTCTGGAAGAACTTGTTGAACATGGTGAACGCAAAGTCGAATGTACTTCCCGGAGGCGCAAGCTGGGTGACATATCGATGTCCGGGACGGACGTAGATGCTGTAACATGCATACGACTTGATTCTTGGGATCTCAGCGTTGAGACCTGCGACGGAGTCTGTGTGTGTTCTCGTCGTGAATCGCAAGTTTGGATCGAATTCGAAAAGCTGCAAACTCTGAGCCCATGGGTTCGGAATATGAACCTTCAAATTCGGATTGGATGGCTGCAGGGATCGTGGTAGACTGCTTGCGATGACAGGGTACTTGCAAAAGGGGAAAGGCTTGGGAAAATGATACAACGGTACAGGACAGTAAGGAAGTGATGGTATGAAATTTGCCACCGAGTACGACGGCATGTATGCCTTTGGTACGGCAATAGTCTCATGGCCATCCACAATGTTCGTTTGAGAAGGTTCCGAGACTCGCAGATGTTCATGGATCCTGCGCACCTCTTCGTTGGAGAGCTTCGACCAATCTTGAGGTTCTTGGTTGGTCAGGGGGTACGTTGTTGATGGTGTCGGGTTTGTGACGCAATCGCCCGATGATGTGGATGACAAGACAGAGCAAGAAGATGACGATGAGACGGAAGAGACACAAGATGCATAACGCACCTTGAGTCTATGCTTTTCGAGTCGGTTCTGGAGAATGTCCTTCCTCACGAGCGTGAGAAGGTAGATAAACCCTTTGGAATCGATGAAAGGACGGTATCCGTCTATGTATGTCATTGTCAGTCTATGACACACCTTCATTCGGGATGGACATAAGAGAAGCAGGCAGGTGACACTTACTAGTACCCATCTCCCTGACGAATTCATCGCACTCAGCCTCGTATTCCCTCGCTGTGTTTCTTGTCAGTCTTCGTACTTCGAACGATCAATCGACAAATGGGCTCTCAATTGTGCAAGCGACGCAAAACGTACCGGTCATCTCGACACGCTGGTCCTTTGGACAATGCACCTCTCCCGCCTTTCGATCCTTCTCTCCTCCCCCGCGTGAACGTTGCTCCTGTTGCTGCTTCTTTTTCTTCTTCGGAGTCAGTTGTGTCGTGCTTCCACTGTCGATCTGCGTGCAATCTCGCTTTCTCACCACGAGACTGACTCCTCCCGTGGCATCATCATCATCATCGTCGTCATCTTCGTCCTTGGTCCTGTCCAAGTCGTCGCGTTCGCTGCCCTGTACTCGCGATGTCCTGGCGGCGGTAGTGGAGCTGTCCTTCTTTGCGCGAGCTCGTTTCCGCGGCACCTTGGGCACCTTGACGATCTTCCCCTTCTTCTCATAGCAATACCTTGTCTCGTTGAGGGGTCTGCGCGATTTCGTCATGGTCAAACTATCTTCCAACCAGTCGAGGCTGACGATGTGTATGGTTTTCAGGCGGCGGGCGGCTTGAACTGTGATAAGTCACAACCGTTAGGTAAGGCCTAGATCGGGATGTAAGGTGCAAGGGGAAAATATCTCCATCAATCGGTGCTTGTCATAAAAAGGGTGCTGTACAAGGATACAGGGGAACAACTGCGGATGGAACATTGGTTGGTGATTGGCATGGAGCAAACAACCATCCACTGCAAACAGACCGTCTGGGTCAGGTAGGAAAGCAAGCCCTGCATGAGCCACAGCAATGACGACCGGGCGGTTTGCTGGAAGCCTGCAAAAGAAGGAAGGAGGAGAACTTACCCATGGGATGATACCTCTTCCACGCCTTCTTGCTGGTGACAAGATGAGTGACGCTCGGTGTGACATCCTTGGAGAACGTGCCACCGGCATGCTCGACCCAGTTCTTGATCTTGTCTGTCTTGTCGCCAAAGTCGCCAGTCGAGGCGACTGTGATGTTGCGAAATGCTTTGCCCATGTTGAATTTAATAGGATAAACTATGGTCTTGGGGGGAAAGACAACAACGGATCATGGATTGAGGCTAGCCGAGCAAACAGAAGAGCAAGGTTTATGGCCTCCGTGAAGTTATGACCTCAAATGGGGAGAGAGAAGAGCAGAGAGGACGAATTGAAGGACTCTGGTCAAGCAGGATTGAATCGAGAAAGAAGAAGGCCTCGAAAGAAACCAAGACGTCATCTCAGAAATGGTAGAGGAACGTCAAGATATAAGAGGTGATAAGAAAGAACTCAACATAGAAAATGGTTGGTCGAGTGAGTAGCAGCAATAAAGCAATTCAGATATAAGTAGATCCAACCTACCTACCTAGGTGAGCTTTAGTAAGATCGAAATGTGAAATGGAGAGATATGTGAAATAAAATGGAATGCAATGAAAGGTCTGTGTACCAGAGGAAGCAGTGAGAGAGGACCGTCGAATGTGACATATAGTAGACAAGGTACTCTGATATCCAAGTGAGGCTGCAAGATCCAGGCTGAAATGCCCCCTGACTGAGCTTGGTGTATATTGTCAGAGGCGGTCATCGGAGAAACACATCGAAGGAAAAGTCGCAACCGAACAGAAATGTAGCTGAAGCATGTCCGCACACGCTTCAAAGACCATCGAAGATTGGTAGATTCTATATGTCCGCCTCTAGTCTAAACCCTTGACAGCCTTGACGAACGCCGATATTTTTGAGAGATCTTGCTTCCCATTCGTTTCGACTCCGCTACTAACATCGACACCAGCGATATTGGCACGATACGGACCCAAGGATTTAAGTACTGACTCAACATTGTCGGGGTTCAATCCACCAGCAAATATGATCTTGACTCCCGGATCCTTATCGAAGAAGGTTTTGACTTCGTCAAGATTGAGCTGCTCGCCAGTACCTCCAGCCCCGACATCTAACAAGGGAAGGGCATGATACCCTCTGGCGGAGATACCATGGTCCAGAGGGGAGAACTTGTGAACAACAGGGACAGGAATACTCCGAGCATACTCAATAGGTTCTGATCCATGGAGCTGAACAACATCAAGGTCTAGTTTGTAGACTTGCTCGATAACGTGCTCCAAAGGAGAGTCAAGGAAAACACCCACCAACTGAGCACGATCCGGTCGAACAAGCATTCTCGAGGAATGGTCGAAGAAATCGGTAGAGCCAACATCCGGAGCATGTACAATCTTCCTTGACGGTTTCGGCGTAGTTTTGACGACTTTGGCGATTTGGAGAGCAACCTCGTCCGAGACCAGTCGTGATCGTCCAGGAACCAAGATGATCCCCACAGAATCTGCTCCAGCCTCTACGGCAGCTTTGGCAGCTTCTGGAGTTCTTGTTCCGCAAATCTTAACTGACAATGGAGCTCGAGTCTTTTTCGTGGGCTCTACACCGGGATCTCCCACAAGCTTGGAAATGAAATGCACTGTATTAGCCGCCCTCATCAAAGCCTCTCCAACAAGTACGCCTTTGACACCATCCTTCCGGTAAGCTTGAACATCCTGAGGTCCAGAGATCCCGGATAAAGCACACACGATGGTATCCTTTGGCACGATGTCCATCAATCGGCTTGTCGTGCCAAGGTCAACTTCAAAGTTGGTCAGGTCTCGGTTGTTGACTCCGATGACTTCTGCTCCGATATCGACAGCGATCTTCATCTCATCTGCTGTGTTAACTTCGACTAAAGGCTCCATTCCTAGAGATTTGGAGTAATTGTAAAGCCTCGTCAAGGTCTCCACATCGAGCATCTTCACTATCAGCAGAACTGTGTCAGCACCGGCAAGACGAGCTTCTAGTATTTGATATTCCTCGAAGATGAACTCTTTGCGCAGAACGGCAGGTCGGTTTGGCATACTGTCGAGACTCTGTCGAACGGCCCGCATATCTTCCAGGCTACCCTTAAACCATTCAGGCTCAGTGAGCACTGAGATGACACTTGCCCCAGCCGTAGCATACTTTCGTGCCTGGGCAGGAGCACAAGTGCCCAGGGAGATAATGCCTTTGGAGGGAGATGCCCTTTTGATCTCAGCCAAGAGTGCCACTGGATAAGCCGATTCTCGAAGTCGTTTGGGGAAGGAAATCTGAGGAGGGGCAAGACCAAGTTCGTAAGTGGCCTGAAGGTCCTCTGGCCTTTGAGAAGGAATAAGTTTCTGCGCAGCGACAGCTTGCCGTCTGTGAGTGTAGATCTTTTCCAGGATAGACTCCTTTTTCCCAGACGGCCGCCCATTTGCGACACTAGTGGTGGCTGCTGTGGGAGCAGCAACTTGAAGATTTTCTGACCACTTTCCTCCAGTCATCCGGAGGAAGTTCTTGAACATGACCCTGCCGTTCTCGGTCAAGATACTCTCGGGGTGGAATTGTACACCTTCGATGACATATTCCTTGTGACGCACTCCCATGATCACGCCTTTTCCACTGTCGGGTCCTTTTGCAATCCAAGAAGACACCTCCAACGACTTAGGAAGTGTTGGATGTGTTCCTGCCAATGAGTGGTATCTAGTGACTGGTAAATCTTGTGGTAGTGTAGTATAACATCCTTTGCCATCATGTCTTAAAGGCGAAGTCTTTCCGTGCAGGATCTCTCCTGTGACGTCTACCTTGCCTCCAAAGACGGATATGATGCACTGTTGTCCCATACAGACACCCATGATTGGGATCTTCCCCGCAAAGTATTTAATGGCATCTTTGCTGACACCTGCATCGGTGTCTGGATGACCGGGCCCGGGACTGATGACCAGTTGCGTAGGATTTTTGGCGATCAATTCGTCCAGCGTCACCTTGTCATTCCGGTAGACGGTAACGGTAGCGCCCTCGAGGACAAGGTACTGGTATACATTCCAGGTGAAGGAGTCATAATTGTCTATGAGAACAAGATTCCTCGCAGAGGCCAATTTCTCCGCCGCGACGGGCTGGTGGGGAGAGTGATCGATCAGACCGGAAGATATCATGGTGAAAGCTTCAGGCAAGTGAGAAAGCAACGGAGAGTCCAGCTATGTATACTGGTATAGCCTGGCATGGCGTTGTGGAAGTTGTATGAGTCGACAATTGACCGCAGTCTGACGCTCGGGCTACTTGCCAATTGTGACTCTGGAGGGACTCGACTGCAGTTGCGCAGACGGACGAATTGAAACATGGGACGCTAACATGGTGGAGAGCTTATGTAATAGAGCCCAGCCCACCAAACGCGTTCTGATAGGCCAGGTGCAATGCGTGTCAGACGAAAACTTGCACCGCTCGGAATCAAAATCTTCCAGCAGATGCGATTGTAATGACTCAATGTATGGCATATGGTATCCCGGCTCAACACACTGGCGGTTTTCAGGACTGGCTATTTGACCCAGATGCGTCCTACTTCGTACTGGTAACTAAATATATTCCACCTCAGAAGACCAAGATCTGGTATGTAATGCCGGCAACACCAGTATCTCTGGCTACTACTACCGGCCAATATTTCAGGGCCATTGGCCCAAACAGTCCACGTCATGGTTCGATGGCCAAGAAATGACAAGCAGGAGGCTTGGCCTCTTGAACAGCTTGTTTTCCTAAGCTGGAGACGAGACACGAATTTGAGACATCACAAGGCTGACCTTGGGCGGGGGTACGGCCGGGAACCGGTTCAGGCCTGAAATTGAGATATGCTCGACAAAATCACTTGGTGGATTACCAATATATGCGTCCGTGGTGAATCGAGGTAGTCTGCGACGAGAGGACACCATCGCCGATAATTGATACTAAATTCAGATACGGACGATGCCGAGCACCCGTGAAGTGTATGATATTAACCCGATCATTTAGTGGGCAGGACGGGATGACGGTGATTGTTTCAGATGTCGACCAAAGATGAGCCTCAAAAAGTTAGAAAATCAGAGGACGTTTGAGTTCCCAGAGTACCAAGGTCAGTATTCTGCTCTTCCGAGACAGTCAAATATTCGTAAAAGGAATCGCTTGTTTGGAATAAGGAGATCATACGTACAGTATCTTGCCAAGCCAAGATCTTCTACGACCGGTGTGAGCGTCCTGTGTCCTTTTAATTGGACGCGCGGCCTGTTCATGTTACAGTGCTCCCTCTCTGGATCCGGGGGATACAGATACCATAAAAGTTAGTGCCATTGTGGGATTGGGGGCTAGCTTCACGAGACATAGCTTCGCGAGGCGGCCCTTCACATTAATCTGAGAATGACAGCCAGCGCCAGGTCCAAGCGTCAAGGGTTAATAGTGTGCTCCGTATGAGTGCTTTTCTCGAAACGGCGCATGCCTGGATCCTCTTAATTGGCCAGCCCCATGGCGGAATACGACAAGTATGGTGTCTATGAGCCTGGCCGAGCCAAGCACTAGACACCCGTGTCGCATAGCCTCCCCATAGCATCCCAACTGACACAGGCAGCAACGATCAGGAGATCCGTTTTTCCGTTGACTGCTCGTATTCTATGTCGAGTAAACATGGACTCGGAAGTGGAAGCGACATCTGGAGAAAAGCTTGTACGGGTATCACTGCCTCCTTTGGAGATGCTTGGCCCGGTGAAGGTACGAAGTACGGAGTACGAATGAAGATATATATATTGTCGAGATGTGAAAACACTTCCGCCACAAAAGAAATTTCCTCCCACCTTTCCCACATCTTGCAATTAAATGATCTCGAATCCAAGTGATACCCATAGGACCGCCGACCAATGCATATCCATCCTTTCAGGGAACAGGCGATGACACAACCGGAGGCTCGACCATACCGCCGGAGGCCAATAACATGGTATCGAGATGGCTTCATCGTCACAGACGACGTCTCCTCCGCCGACTTTGAAAAGGTCAGGGCCACTTTGGCTCCCTCATCTCCAAAGGATAGGACTGAATCCCTGGATCCAAACACGAAATACCTTGTTCTACTTACTCCAACCCCTCTCGAAGGAGATGCAAGCATGTATATCGGCTATATCTGCTTCAGACCTGACACACCAGCTGGAAGGTTTACCATGATTGATACGGCGTTGAATCGGAGTTGGCGAAATCAGGGGCTTGAGAATTGGATGTCACAATGTGCCCGTGAATGGTCAGAACGTCAAGAACCGGCAGGAGGCAAAAAGCCTCGATGACTTTGAGAGTGTGAACGTGTCGGGCAATCCCAAAAGAGATTCGTTCAGAAGACGACAACCAGCTTGGTCACATATGATGGGTGGTGACTTCCTGAAGACACTTCGTCCCGAGGGAAACTGGAACACAAAATCAGAGCTGTCCGTCCAAGGCAACTGTGGCACCTCCATATTTGTTCAAATATTCATCTTTCAGCCCACTTATATCTGCCGGCAAGAAAGGAGCGAATGTGTCATGTAGCCAGCCTTTGCGATGGCTTGCTAGATTTAGATCTCCCAACAATCGGTCCATCTGATGATGGTAATCAACGGCGTAAAAATTCCCGTACCGCCCGTACGCAGGGAATCGCATGCGAAGATATGTAGCCACGTACGCCACGTCCTTCTTCATGTCTTCTTCACTTGGAAGCTTCAACAACCTGTCGAGATAGGCAGTTGTCCAGATTGCGGATACCTCAGAAGCAAGACTCATATTCGGAAGTGATCCAAACCCCACGAAGGCGATGTTGTGGTTAGTATCACTAACAGGTACAATATTGCGGTACAATCTGTAAGGAGTGTCTGTACGTATGATGTCCCCCAGCTGGTCTGGTACAGGCGGAGGCGGGCTTACCGAATAGTATCGTTGTCGCACTACCTTTTCGGCCTCGGCGTCCAGCTTGCGCCATTCCTCAGACATGTCCGCTGTATCCCATTCGTCAGGATGAACAAGGCCAAGATTCATTTGGTCCTTTTGTGAGAAGAAGGAGCACCCCTCGCGGAACCCGGTACCGCAAATGATGGCGTCGACTTCCACTTGGTCTCCATTCTTAAATTCTATCGTCGACCCGTCAAGCCTGGCAATGTCTTCATTGTACACATCGACATTTGGCGCAATCGTGTCCCAGAAATCATCATACGAGAGACAACCGAAAGGGACATCGAAGGCCAGCCCGTGAACCTTGGTCTGCAACTTTGAGAAAGACGGTTTTGACCCAGGACGGCTATCGTACTGTGCTGCGTCATTGGCCTGTTGAATGACGGATTTCTCCAGCTTGCCGTAAAGCCATTGCCCAAGCCTTGTACTAAACATGAACGTCTGCCACCAGCCCCACGAGGCCAAGCTTGGGGCAAAAAATATTGCATTAAGAAAACGACTGTTAACAAGTTCGACGACATTTTGCCAAATGCTGCTACCAATGCCAATCTTGACTGGTGTGAACGCTCCGGGGCCTTTGCCTGATTTGCGTATGATCCACTGAACCTCTTTGCCAGCTTTGACGGCTTGATAGGCATGGTCGGCTGCGGACTTGCCTCCGCCAATAATTGCGATTCGTCGGATGTCTTCTCGCCGGAGAACTTTGGATTGTGCTAGATTGAATGTGTGAATGATGGGTCCTTTGAAGGTCTCGCGGCCTTGAAATTCGGGGAGATTCGCTTCCGAGGTCGTTCCCGAAGCTACGATGAGCTTTCTAGCATTGAAGCTTTGTCGTCCTGACGGGGCGCTACAATGGAGGCGCCATCCCCCGGGCGTCCTCTCGGCACTAGCGACTTCGACGCCAAATCTAATACGGTCGCGCAGGGTCTGGCCAGAGTAGACGTGATTGTCGACGTACTCGTCGAGGTAAGTTGTCATTGACTCGGCCTTGTACATATGCATCTCATCAACTTGGTCTGGCTTGGGAGTGAACGGCACATCGGAGAAGCCGCTCATACGGACGCTCTGTTGTGATTTGAAGCCTGGATATACTCGTTCTATTTATTGTCAGTACCCTTTCGAATGGGGCAATTTCGACAATGACCTTGATTCCATACTCCTCCAACAGAATGGTCTCTTTCGAGTATGCCGACTTTGGCATCGGGATGAATATCGAGGTAGAATCTTGCCGACACAATACCTGATTGTCCTGCACCAACCACCACCAAATCATAAATGTCTGAGTTTGCCATCGTGGCGAGGCTGGACTCATCAGTATTTGACTTTCGGCTTGGCTTGTTGGTGCAAGAATAAAGCAAATGGGGTTCGTCAAAGTCAAAGAGGTGTTATGTTGCAAAGAAAGAATAGCTTCAACATCTAGAGGGACATCTCAGACGCTGAGGCTGATCGGACGGATCAGATCAAGCAAGGTAATATGATGAGGTGATCCTTGAATTGACTCGATCAGAATAAGACGAGAGGTAGCTTTGCATTCTATTATATCATCTGGTTGGTGGTTTGTTGGAAACGACTATCTTCTTTGTCAGCGCTAGATCAAAGTGGTCGGTTCCAGTAAGCGAAGGACAGCTGAGAACCTGAACATGGTCAAGATGTTATGAACTGGGCAATAGAGCTGTTGTGAGCAGCGTGATTACGGAAGGGGGACTATCCATTGACCTTGGTGACATACGCAGAGCCATTCAAGTAATACAATAGGTGAACAAAGACATCCCGAAAGCCGCAATTCTCACTCTGGTGTGGTTACAGTATTATCAAGACTGAGGTCGTCTATTTGGGATCCGGGAGAATAGAAGGGAGAATGGTGGGTATTATACAATATGGCGATACAAAAGTATAGTTGACGAAGTGTGTGATGGGAGGGACGGATGCCACATCTTTCTCACACAGACATTACTCTCGCGACACCCTCGCGGAACAGCAACATGGCGTAGAACTCGTGAAAGGCACGAAATTTATCCAGTCCGACTAACGTATTCGACGATGGATTACATGCGACACATGAATTTGTGATCGTGACCGTCTCAGAAGAAGAATTGGCAGTGCTGTCGGAGAGCCGGTCTCGATGTATGGAAAACCGGTGAAAGCCCGAAAAGTATGACGTGTCGGAGCCGAATGCGAAGTCGACGTAGCTCGTCTCATCAGACAGACCAGGGTCCTGGGCGGTATTAGTTGTTGTTGGGATGTGATAGTCGACGACTCGGAAGGCCCCAAAGAGAGTCGAGTGTAACGAAGGAAGTTTGCTTTGAGAGAGATCATTGCATGACCAGATTTGGCCGTGCTGGGGGTCGTCCTGGATCGCTATGTGATTCGTGAGTTTTGATTGCAGTTTATACCAGGAGATCATGGTATGGCTCACCGCTGAACCCGACCAGTTGACGACGTAAAAGGCAGTCGACAAGGCCCAAAAGTCTACGTTCTGGTGTGAAGACCCAGCCGCCAAAGTAGCCTTGGACGAACGTCGCCAGAATTTGTTCGTCGGACCATGATCTTCGAGAAGGGGGGAGCTTGAAAGTGATGGACCGTGAGTCGGTCAGACCTCTGTGGTCTCGCGGGTTGACGACGGCAAGATGGGTTTTGGATTTGAGGAAACTTGACGGCGCTGCTCCCGTCCTCATGTCGCTGGTCGGTACGCTGGAGATGGAGCGAGAGGCGTTGTAGAAGTAGTAAGGTGCTGTGATGGCTATCGTCGCCCCGACGAGACGTGAGGCAGTGTTCATGTTTTGATGGTGTTTATCCTTCCAGATTTGCTGTCGGGAAGAAGATGTATCTATTCTGAGCTCGGATGCTCAAAATGGTTGAAGTGACATTGTCGACGGAGGTATTGATAGTAAACAACAGGTAAATAGAGCAGCTTTCGAGGGAGAAGGCAAAGAATACAATACGGAATCTCCTACGTGGTCGAGCCCGGAGATCACGCGCTCGACAGCACGAGAATTGCTTAAGGCCGTAAGACTATAAAGTGGCTGTCGATGCACAATCGAGCTATTTGATTATTAGTTTGAGTGATAAATTCAGATCTTAACATAAGACTCTAGAGTCTGAATGATTTAATAGAATAAAAGGTTCGTATTGTTTTCAAGCTAGCTGTAATCTTGAACTGTCTGTGTGCTTGGAGTACTTCAGATGAACTGGGCAACGACTTTCTCCACCCCAGCCTCGTCGAGAAGAGGCACTCCAAGAGTCTCGTTCTCGGTTGAAACGAATTCACCACCGTATCCTTCGCCGAGTACGGCGCTCAGGATGAAATTCAGCATCGCACCCATAATTTGCTCGGATTTCCCACTCGAGAGAACCTCGAATGCTTGGCTCTTCAACTCTTCCGTATCGGCAGCCTGGTACGTCCATTCTGCGGGATCCAAACGTTGAGCAATGTCAATGACCTTTTTCTGGGTGATGACGGTTTCGTGGACGCGAATTGTGCGGTTTTTCGTTTCTTCGGGATGAGCAAAGATGCCCACGACTGCTTTGCCGACGCCAGCCAGCGTCGTGGTACTAAACCTACGATCTCCGCCATTGTACAGAGTCGCCGTGTGCTTCTTCAGGTCAATTCCAAAGAATCCGACCATCAAGCACCAGTCGAAAAAGGGACCGTTCATGAGGGTCGTGTAGCTCCAGCTAGGGTTCTTCGCGGCGACCTCTGCGAGTTTCGCTTGAGTGGCGACCTTGTCGCCATAGACTGGAAGGGTCTTGGATTTGGGATTGGTCGTATCCGACCCGAACTCTGAGGGTATGAAGCGCGACACGCCAGCCTGGACAGATGCCTCTATCAGCGGAGTCTGCGCGCCTACGGATGTTGTAGTCAAGGTGGAAACGACACCGTAATGTCCTTCGAGAGCTCTCTTCATGGAACTGACAGAAGTATAGTCAACCATGGCATATTCAACATTGGCGCCTGCTGGGATGCCTTCTTTCTTGGTGTTGGCAGAGCGAGTCAGGATGGTGACGGAGTATCCAGCTTGGAGAAGAGCCAGGACGATAGGAAGACCTAAAGAGCCCACGCCGGCAACGGCGATTCGTTTTGAAGAGCTGGCAGAAGACATTGCTGTGTTGTGCTGGGATTTATTGTGAGCTTTTCTGGATAGATCGCTTGAAGACATGAATGAAGCACAACAAGATCACAGGAAGGGGAACAAGTTTTATAGTCGAGAGACTCCTGTACTTTCAACCTCGCAATTCCGCTGTTGGAAGTACATCCGACATGGCGAAAGAAGGGAGACTCGAGCCAGTGCTGGCCAGCAAGGCCGCTTAACAAATCATAGCCTCGTCGGCAGGGAACGTTTTGGGCCGGTCAAAGCGTGCCGGAAGAACTCAAAGCCGAGCGCTCAGGAGAAAGTCGCCGAGGATTAGGTCACAGACACCACTTAAATGAAAATCGTAGAATAACAAAGAGATGATAATGTCCACACATGATGCTGTTGCCGTCTTCATTGTAGCACGGAATCAAGTAGGAAGGCCTGAGTCAGAGGTTCCAGTAGTGGTTGAATGTGAGTCGGGTAAAACAAGGACCTCCCTTGGCCGTCCAAGAGGCTGCTGGTTATTTGCAGGGACATCGCCATGTCCAACTTACAGGTGTTAATCACACAAGAAAGATAGATCTGCTTTTTCAAAGTGTCAACTCATTCGGTTCCGTGCATCTAGACAAAATGGGCTTCAGGGACTGAGTACAGAACTTTTCATCGAAGAGGCGAGGGTTGTGGTTGTCATTGGTGTCAGACACTGGCAAACAAGAGTTACAAACATGCCAAGATCAATCCTTATTACGGTGAAGCAAAAAGACCGCGTCTGCGCAATATCTATGAGAACGAGTAAATAATTCATAGAACAAGAACTTGTAGACAACCATATGCTGACGAGCGACTGAGGCCTTTTTAAACATGGCGCCCGGCTCACTGAGCCCCGTGTATCTCCCAGACTTGGGCAGATGTCTCGCCGGCGACCTGCTGCTTCCGTGGGTACCCTCTTTAAGGATGAAGAACGACTATTGACTTGTTTAGATCTTGGGATGACCTTCTTGACGGCCTACTTTCCCACGACGATATACGATCAAGTCTTGCAGTAGAGATACTTTCCGGCGATCGCCCCAAGAAGATTTTGTCCCAGCCATACCCATCCTTTCCAAAGCCCTCTTCCACTTCCAAGACTGCCTTCGATACCTCTAGCGCGGGGATCAAGCCATCCTCGGACTCTCTTTACGATGTTGAGGAAATCAAAGCTGATGCCTTGTGGCTCAGCAAGCAAGTGGACATTGATGAATTGGAAGCGTTTCGTCTCGCGATCCTGGAATGGCAGTATAGAGCCGAGTCTCGCCTGCAAGAAGGCTACTCTGAGGCCGAACTTGCTAGTCTCAGAAATGCTCTGGGAGGCGCCTTTGTGGACAAACACTTTCAAGGCCTTCGATCGCAGAGCGAGGATGTCTTCAACAGCCAAGATTCTCGCCGATCGAGGCTGGCGCGCAGGTTTCTGCAAGAGAAGGTTACCATACTACGCCTGCGCAGAGAGCTTTTAGATACCAGTCTCATGCCCGAGGCTGCAGATCCGTCTGCTTCTCAGCTGCGGAGTCTTGCCGCCGACTTACCTTCAGCACCGCAAGAATCTATCGGTGACGAAGTTGAGTCTGCTATTGCCGCTATCCGCGACCGATTGAAAGACCTGGAGAGTGGAAGACCTTGGGGCCTTGATGAATCAAGCGTGCTGGTGCTGCGTGATCGTTCTGACACTTCATCTTTGGAGACTATCGAGGTTGTACTGGAGATCCTGCTGCTGCGTGTACGACAGTCAAACACAACTGTGCCTTCAGTTGCCCTCATTCACTGGCTAGAACTGATGTCCTCGGTCGGATTCTTTTCAACGTTCACGTCACAAGTCAGCATGCAGCTGGCTGCGATACGAAGAATCCAATCACTTGGCTCGTTTGTGTCAGCTGCTCTTCTCAATCTTGCAGCGACAATAGCAAGCTTGAATGAAACAGCGACCTCACCTCAGTCAAGACACCAAAGCAGGGTCAGTGGATATTTCCACGAAATTGAGTCCATCCATGAGTACAATGAGATATTGGTCAACTATGCAACCCTTGGGAATGTCCAGGCTGGTCCAGCAATCCTGGCCTGGGCGATCATCGTCCACGAACTATGGACTTTGGGTAACACGATAAAAGAGGCTCGAGAAAGCCATCATGCCCAGAAAGCCATCGAAGGGGTGTCTACGCTCGATACCGCGACAGGTCGACGGAGTTCTGGGAGCAGTGTTTCCATACAGCAAAGCATTTTCGAAGACCTTCTGGACCGCATTTCCATGGGTACCTCCCAAGAAGACCCTTCTAGTCCACTGCTTGACGCGGCCATCGACCAATGTCACGTCTTTGACTATGTCACGCACCTTAGCGGCTCGAAAGATGCCCCTTTAAGCATTCTCTCTGCGTATAAATTGCAGATCCTACAAGAGTTGATCACCGTTTCTCAGTCATTTCTTGGTTACACACCAGAATTGGTATCAGCACAATTAGGTCTCTTGTCTAACACTTCAAGCGAATATTCAAAGAAACGACCATACGACCCAGCAGTTGATTTTGTTGAGGATAAGTTTCTGCTGGCGGGATTTTATGATATCTCGGCAGCTCGCTTTCCATACGAATGCTTGCCTTTCCTGCAGTTCTCACGAGCTCTAGCCAAAGCAGACATCTTTAGCGATCATGGTTTGCATTATGTGGAGTTCCGCCTACGCAACCTTACGACATTTACCCAGGCAGCTGTCAAGGGTGTGCAATACAAAATAATACGAGAGGACGAGAGCGACAGCTTTGTCGCGCTGGAGAAGCCTGTCAATATGCTCGACCTGACGCAGAATAGAATGCTCACATATTCTAGCCGCGACACAACTTCGCTATCTATTCTCCCTGCGGACACTGTTGGACAAGTCATCTCTGATCCTGACGCTCCGGTCAAGATCATCAAATGGGACTTGAACTATTCTTGTCTATCTTATATTGGACAACTGCTAGAGTTGCGGTACCTGAAATCACTCCAATCCTGTCTTTCTCCACTCGATGACCAACAAGCAGTGGTGTCAGAAAGTATAGGTCTCATTGCAGACCTTTTGTCCAGTACCCTTCGGAATGCCGCTGAAGGGGAGGCTTCTGAAGATGTGCGGCAACATTGTATCGCCATCCTTGAAGAATCGAGCACTCATTTACAATCCGCTGGAGGTATTGAATCCCTTGTCTTCGAGATCCTGGAGCAAGAGCTTCAAGCCTTCCGTCAGCGTTCAGTTGCGACCTTCAACTGTGACATCTTACTGTCTTGTTTAGACTTCATTATTGTACTGAGCAAGATCCAGCCTCACATCGTGTGGTCTGGAATCAATCGGACGAGCCTTCTTGGCCGTCATTCCTCCTCAACATACATCCTGGGGATCGTCTCTGCGGTGGAAGTACCTACACGAGCATTTTCGTTTCTAGCAAAGTGCGCAGAGTTGTATCAATCTTTGGTGCAGCTCACCTTGCGAAGTCATCAATACGATTCCAGCATGAGCGGTGCAGCTACTTCAATCAGAAGACGCTCGATGTTACCCACAACACTGCGCACGCAAACGTCGATTTTGTCAACGTCAACCGAGATTATGTTCAATGCCTTCCAAGAGATGTCGGAATGGTTTTTCCAATCCGCGGAGCAACGGAACTCTATTAGCAGTCTTATTCTGAACACATTCTCTGATATCATCCGCTACGCCTTTGATGTCGGGCAGGGGCTTAATTCGAACACAGCAGTCACGAATCCCTTCATTGAACCAGCCAAATTCATCATTTCATCCTTTCGAGATCCGAGCTTCGGCAATGCCGCAATTTCACCAGTTGTTCGTTGTTTGGTCAGCGGACGCCATCATCAAGCACCTTCTGCCTCCCATGTGGACGTTTCAGATCCGCATCTCGAGTCTGCCTTATCTTTGGCAACGCTTCTTATCCGCTTTGGAGATCTAGAGGACGCCCAGTTGACATCTGCTGAATTACATATTTTCAACTCCGTCCCTTCCTTGCTACGACTTCTGCTGACGAGAAAATTGTCACGGAAACACTGTCTGCGCCTGATGCGCGCTATCTTGACATCGATCGAACGACAGAAACCAACTTCCTTGCTCGGGCATTTGGGCTCTGCATCCTGTATCGATCTGCTACATGTCATTAGGCATATTGATCAGGAGTCTCAATCTTCCGAGGAACGCTCCGAGCTTTGGAAACTTCTCACTTTGCTCGTTAATGACTCTCAACAATGGCTAGCAACGGTCATCGTAACTGGTACTGCACCGGATGGCCCAAAGCGGACAAAACAAGAAGAGATACGAACAAGACAATTCCGCGGGAGGACATTCTTGAGTATTGCCCTGGAGGAACTCACAAACGTTCGTAACCTGTCTCAGGTGGTTGCCATCCCCATGCTGGACTTCGTCCTAGAAGCTCAGCAGAACTGGTCTTGGGTCACGGAAGATGTGGAGTCTTCTTCAGGACTCGTGTCGAAGCTAAGCTCATTCGTTGCCCAAAGTGCGTGGGGCCAGTCCGATGAAACAGAGCTCGCGAGATGGACTTTAATAGCCGCTCGAGTTACAGATATCTCGAATCACCACTTACATCATGCAAGAGCGGCAAGAAATGTCAACGACGTGAAAGCTTTTATCCCTCTGCTTGAGTGGCTCACGTCGAATGCAGTCGAAGTCTCGCTCTACAAGTCTTCCCTCCATGCGAACCTGAAGAAGAATTTCTCGTCGAAATATACCGGCTTGTCGACTCTGGATATCAAGAGGAAGGGCCTTACTGAGCAAGAGTATGGACCCAATTTCTACTATGACATTGATTATGCGGACAAATTGCTCGCAATTGATCCACACTGGCGAGGGAAAAAGGTTCAATCCTCCGACCAGTCATTTACTGCGGAATTCCGTAAGGCAAACACAAACCTGTCTGTCGTTGACTCTGAGTTGAAACTACTAGCAAGTCTGCAGCGTCTTTGCGTGGATCACTGCAGGTCCTTTGCCCGAGAAAGAGAGTGTCAGAAAGTCATGGCTCGTCTGGTTCAGGTTTGTCTGCAGTCGAATGCAAGAGTGTACCCCTCGGAGAGCATTTTCGACTCACTCTTCCAGACACGACTTGACCTGTCAGTGGCACTTTTGGGCGAGCTTCTGTCGGCTGGGGCAAAAGGTGAAGAATTTTACGAACTACTGGAGCCTGCTTGGGATGCTGTGAGGTTTCGGAACGGATCATACGAGCAAGCAATCATCAACAACGACTTGCTGTATTGGCGTTCTACGCTCTACACCCTCTTTATGGCCATGCAGTTCCACGTAAGGAGAAAGATCAAGGCGACGACGATTCCGGGGACAAGCAATGCGATTATCCCGATAGCATCGACTAACACGACATTCCTCGAAGTTACGACTGACATCGTCGCTAAAGGATTTGAATCGGTTGTCGGAGCTCTTCAGGACCAGAAGCTCAACAAGAACAGAAACAGCAGTGATGACAACAACATTGTTGGGCCACGCGACGTCACTCTGCTATTGATGCTTGCGCAAGCCATCCTGAGATTACCCAGCCTCCCTCAGTTTGCTGCTGAGATGTCATCTAGGATTGTCAACTCTGGACTCTTGTCCTCATGTTTGCTGCTGTATTCGTGGTCGCATCTACTCACTAGGCCAGATCTCGACAACCAGCCACGCTATGCAGATTTCTGTGTTCAATTTCTTGCATCGCTCTCCTCTCTGCCATCCGTAGCAGAGCACCTAGCTGTTGAGGGGGTTCTAAGCCGGTTGATGACCTCGAAAACAACCGAGTCCTTACAACGAGTTCCCGGAGGTTTATCCCATGTTGATGCGAGACCTGGTGGAGCATTTCTCTACCGTGTATGGGCCCTGGGAATGTTACCGTTGTGCTTGAATCTACTTCATGGTGTTGGTGGTGCCATAGCTGGAGAGATCTCAATTTTCCTCAACCAATTTCCCAACCAACTTGCCCGTGCTAGCACCAGCTTTATGCTCGCTCCTCAGACCAGAGCTGAAGGTACAGATGCGCTGACCTTGACTGTGGCAAGTGAGGCGGCAACACTTGCTCTCATATCATACATCTTGTCGTCGTATCGAGATGCTGGTGCTTCTGCAGCTGTCGATCCAACAACAGTACTACCTCTAAAAGGTTACGATGAGCACCGGAAGGCCATTGCAGAGGATATACGAGATGTGCTCGCCTTGAAGGCAGACGTTAGACGCAAAATGACGGTACCTGCCGACGAAAGAGAATCAAGCTGGCAAAACTCAAGTGGAGGAGATAAATTGGATGAAAAAGTCGTGACTGAATTGAAAATGGCGCTGACAGCCCTGGGAAGAAATGACGATGATGATGACGATAAGTGAGTGAAATGTAAACTGCCAGGGAACGCTGGATCTGCTGTAAGAACTGCAGGAGTGTTTCAACTATTATTGTAACCAAAAATAATTCCGACTCTCAGTTTCTTCATTGTCTCTTGGATTTTCTCGATCTGATCTAGCTCTTGCGTGAGCTCAGCGATGGCCTTATGACCCGAAATGATTACTTTGATGGAAAGAAGTACGGAGTATGAATTGACTGACTTCAAGGTCGCCTGAACGCTATGAGTGTATGTCTGTTGTTATGCAAGATCCGACGTTTCCTCTTCTAGCCCGTCTATACCACAAGCTCTGGGTCGACCTTCTTGAGAACCTCTACAATCTCTCCCCATAACTTTTGTCTTGTTCTGATGCCTTCGTCACCAGTCACCATGGGTCCGGGACTGAGAAGGTGAGTATGTTAGCATTCTGGATTTTGAGTCCCACATCGGCCCGCCACACGTGTGCGGTCCTTGTGAAGGTCGGGGAGAAACTTACTCGGCAATCACTTGGTTCTCAAGAAACTTCCCGTGAGACTCTGGACCCTTGAGCGCGGCGTCGATGTACGCGACGGACCCTTCGACGACGTTCCGAGCCAACAGCCACTGCATGATCCGCAACATCAGGGGCGCCTTTTCACCTCTCGCGGGCGAGACGAGATCAGACTTGCAGAACCCGGGCGTGACATAGTTGACCACCACCTGCTTGGTTTGTGAGGTGTTTGTCGAAGGCGACGCTGCCTCCGCCACACGAGCGACTTCGATGGCAATGTATATGTCCAACAACTTGCTCACGGCGTACCGCTCCGCCGGGTTTGCGGCCTGGCCCTTTTCGAAGCCTCGTTTGTCGTTGAGAGCCTGTAAAACGTTTTCCGCGAGGCGTTCCTGGAAACTGGTTTTGTAGTTGAGCATGAGGTGGATGTCGCTGGCCACGATGACCAAGTGAGGATTGCAGTCCCGGTTTTGGGCATTGGCACTGGCCCGCTCGAGCAGCGGGACAAGTTTGAGACTCAACAACGCCGTCGACAGATTATTGACTTGTAATGTCTTCTCCCAACCGTCGGGTGTCGTCGCCCATTTCCCCGTGGCCATGCCGGCGTTGAGGATGGCCACGTCCAGACGGCCACCTGCGCCGACGTGCTGCTCTAACCGACGTGCAAAGGACTTGACGCTCTCGAACGATTCCATGTCGAGCGGCCAAACCTCGACGGTGGCGTCGTCTTCTTTGCCGGCTGTTGTCCTTGTGGTGCTCGCCAAGATGTCTCGTTTGGCTTCTTCACCCTTGGACACCGTCCTCACCCCCATGATCACTTTGGACGCCCCGAGTTGGAGTGCATGGCGGCACGCTTCGCGACCCACACCGGTGTTGGATCCGGTGCAGAGGACGGTCTGCCCTGCGAAGGAGGCCCCGGGCGGGATTTTGAGCTTGTGGAAAGGTAGAGCTAGGGTGTGGAGCATGGTTTTGTTGATTTTTTTCGCAGGAGAGGAAATGTACACGAAGCAATAACTTGCCAAAGGGGGGGAAAGACGGTAATTTGTATAGGGCAGCTCAATATCGTAGATTGAGCTGTAGAAGAGGTGAACAGGGAGGTATTTGTGACTTGGTAATTGTGTGAATTGCAGTGCGATTATGGGTATCGTTGGCGGTTGTATCGATCTGATCAGAGTGAAAGCCAGACTCGTGAGGTGGGGAGACTCTTTGTATATTTCTAATTCTCCATTCTACCTGCGGCGAACACATTATATATCTACCCATCCTGCATCGTCTCATGCGTCATGCCTCCTAGCACGAGTTAACAAAGGTTGAAGTATTTGCCCGAATAAACATAGATTTCCCCCTTGGGATAGCCTCGTCGGACGGGCATTGTTCCGGCCCGGACTAAACATCGTCACTTGATTGGTCCACACTAACGACCCTGTGGCCCAATCGGGCAATGCCCAGCGAGTCGGCACAACGTCGTACCCAATCACAATGGCCGAGGCTTCCGGACTTTGGGGGCGAGGCTGGCCAAGTCTTGCGGCTCGTTTGACTTGGGGTTGGCACTTCAGCAGCCCAGACTCACATGGGGAGGTGTTGCCTGGGCACTCCGTACTTTGTAAGCCATTGCTGGATGTATCTGATTGGTTTCCCCTCCAGCAGACGACCATGACTCGGGTGATGTGCTTGGTCGCGACGATCTTCAAACTACTCACCGAGTCACCGCTACGACAGAGATCGTCCGAGACATTCCGAGCAGATCATCCGGCCAAGTGCATCTGTACCCCGACCGGACGATGTCTATTGATGAGGCTCAAACAAAGATAGATACGATGCAAATCTCTCGACAGGCTCTCTCTCGTCACGGTGACTACTACCTACCACTCTCCCCCAGCGCTTGCTCTCGAACCGAGGCTGAGTGGTATCGAATGTAGCACCCAGTGTTCGAGGACGACGAGAACGGCATGAGAAAGGAGAAGAGAAGAAAAAATCACTGTTGTGACGGTGGTGTCTGGTCTGCTGTTGCGAGTTTGCGCCGAGCACCGTAGTACACCTCATGGTACTTTGGCAAGCCGAGTCCTGTTTTTGGCGCTACTATTTTCGAGCGTTCAAAGTTACCAGTCCATTGGAACTCGTCAAGAGACCGTTCGAGACCCTGGGGATCTAAGAAAGACCCTGAAACGTTCCGGACGCTCCAAAAGCCACGTGGTGGCTTCAACCTGTAGCGAGATAAGAGGAAGGTACAAGTTCAGAGGTTAACTCAGCCACGGGAGCAAAAGCGAGCATAGGGTACGACTTCTATATTAGTTCAGAGGTCTGTCGAAACTGTATGTGAAAGTCGCGCAAAGCACAGGCCTGCTGCTTCAGCTTCACCCTTTACTTTCCTGTCTTGGTATGAATAGGAGGTAACGAGGGGTTAGCGCGAGGCCCAAAGCAGATCACGTTGCTTTCTTCCCGTGAATTGAGGTGGAAACCTGCGACGGAGAATACTTGCGCATTTCCTCCGCTATGCTCTCGTGCTGCTTCGCTGGGTCTGCAAGAAGACCCAAGCGCCAGAGCGTGCCACGTGGCGGGATGGTCTCGAAAGGTCCCGGAGGTGAGGTCGAGGGCATGTTCCGAGGGTCGGAGGGAATTATTTTCCTACGCTTCGGCAGGATAAACGGGATGTTACCGCCTTTGGTCACACGTGGCTGAGCTCTGAAACTTTCCGAGGGGACCTTTCTGGAATACCTGAATGCGTCACATCGCCGGTACTTGTGCCAATCCGATGACTTCTGATCTGTAGAGGTGGCTCGAGCTTAGCTTCAAGCGTCCACAGCCCGGCCTTGTGCAAAACATCTCTATTGTCGTTTTGTGCCGCGATTTGGCTGATGCCTATCCTTGCTCAAGTCGTAGCAACCGGGGAGTTCGCAAGCCACACCGGGGTTCTGGATCATTTGAACGGCCTCTATAGACGCCGCCGACAGAACCCCAAGATGATATTACAACGACAACTCACCTAGAAGACATTCAAATCTTTCTTTCGACCTACCACTGTCTTGAAAATCGCTAGCTGAGTCCATGACATGATGTATCGGCATGACGCACGACGCCATATGAACTGACGGCTTCAACATCGTCACCCACGAAAATTTTTCTCACCCGCAATCATGCGGGCGAGACTAGAAGGCGGCCCATGGTGTTTGGTGAACGTGCATTTGTTCGCTTATCTGCAACTACGGCGCGCACTGTTCGTTTTGCGGTCTGATAAACAGCCCCGGAGGCGCGGAACCCAATGATTTTTGTTCTTTCCAGATTCCACTCACCATGGCAAAATGCCATTCCCCGTCACCTTTATTTTCCTGCATAACGAATTGCCGGACTTTGCCCAAATCGACACTTTCAAGCCCATCATTTGTCACCCTCTTTTATGCATGGCCAGAAAGTCGGGGCAGCTAGTTGTGCTCGGACTAAGTTCACCACGTGGTGAACACGGCTGAGCTATGACCATCTGGAGAGCAAACAAGCTCAACCTTTGAACTTCAAACTTCGCTAGGTCATCGTCATATACTCAGGGTTGAGATATGACAAAGCAAGTTGATGTGGCTCGGACACGGCTCGGAGGTATGTCGCTGTTTGAAAGAACGATGATGCTGTGAGGAATGATGATATATCGTGAAGTTATAATTAAAACTTTTGAGCAGATAAATGTTGCTCGTGTGGCAAAACGATGCGTTCTCCAGAATTGCCCACCTGGCCTGTATGTTCGGCACAGAAGGCATCCGCTCGTAGGGATGGCGTTCCGATGCCAAGCATGGAGAATGACGGACAGGACTAGAACAGTCCTAGAGCAAACGGAAGCAATGCATGACATCCCACTTGGTTTGCCAACGGGACAATGGCTGAAAAATCTTTGATGGTCCATCCGTAAGGTGCGAAGCAACCTGAGCGAGAATTAGCGAATTGTAAAGACGTCAGAGAGCCAACCACTTGTGCCTGATTGCACTGAGCAGTCGCAATGGTGAAGCTTACCCAAGTAGATCATGCCTGCGGTAAGCACAATAATAATTAGGTACATCCATTTGAAGTCTCGAACGATTCGATCTAGTCCGATTCGAAAGCCTCCGTTGTATTCTTTGGCCGTGCTATTGTCTTGTCAATATCGGACTTCTCGAAGATAGGTCTTTGTTTGGGTTCAACTTACGTCGTCCATTCCATCTTAATACTGAAGAAGTGACACAAGAGGGCTTTCATCAGGTGAAAGGAAACACCACCGAAGAAAAGCAGGAACATGGGCGTCCATTTGATAGTGTCCCATAGGGACCGGAAGAAAGTCGTCTTCCCCATTCGGTGTCGGAGCATTGCGTACCCTATGGGTGACAGGACGTTGAACACAATCATCATCCCAACCCAAACTTTCCAGGAGGTCAAGTAGAATTGATCGATCTCATTGGCAAACCATCCAACGATGAGGTAGTTTGCCAAAGACAGAGGCAAGGCTGAAGCGACAGCGTAGTATGTTCCAATGTATGCCAAGATTGTAATTTTGCTCTACAGGCGGAGTTTTAGTCAGGTTCTTGAGAGGGCTGGGTGGTGGTGAAAACTCACAGTGATTTTGATGTTGCTGAACAAGAAGCGCCAAAATAGACGAGTGATAGGACCTTTGTAAGGCCACTTGTAGAGAGGGTTGAAGACCAGTTCGTTACAACCGTATGCATACTTCTCCCATCGAGCCAGTTCGTCGTATACGGTAAGACTCACACCTTCCTTGAAGCCACCTTCATGATAGGTAGCAAGACGGACCACAAAGTTGTTCATCTGTAGACGCAAGCTGACGTCGAAATCTTCACTGACATGGCTGTCGCTCCAGAATTTGGTGCACTTGTCTTCTTCGTCGAACCATGCTATGGACTGTAAAGCGTCCCAGCGAATGAAGGTATTGTGGCCGACAAATGGTGCGCAATCTCCCATACCAACGGCAAAAGAAATCGAAGTGTAGATCAAGTTAGTGAAGTAGGTAATGCCGTTCTCGAAAGCATTGTGCACCACCTGCATAATTCCAGAGGCATGTTGTATCAATGCCACTTCAGGACTCTCGTGCATTTCCAGGGCACCATAAAGCAGGCAATTTTCGGGCACTCGTGTATCGGAGTCAATGATGAGAATGATAGATCCCACTCGGACGTCTCCAGCAGCCCAGGTGCGTCCATTGTCGTTTGCAACAACGTGGTCGCGTGCTTGTTGGTAGATTCGATTTCCTTCTTCAGGGTCCAACTGTTCTGGTGTGCATCCGCGCTCCTGACAGATTGTATCCACCATTGCAAGGTATTGGTCTTCAACGCGAAGAGAAAAGTCCAAGCAATAATTCATGTTACTAGCCTTTTTAAACTGACCTTTGCGTAGGAAATATGATGTGCTGGTTTCGGCTTCTTCATCGTTGGTCTTTTCAGCTTTCCTTCCCCAGGATTTCTTCTTGCCCTTTTCTTTGTGGGGAGGTCGGGCACACCAGCCAATATTGTTGATTTCATAGTAAGCTTTGCGTGCATCTGCCAAATCTTGGCTGACAAGCTGCATCCCATCATCGTTTACAAAGATCGAGGCGCTCCCACCCTGAGCCTCGTAGTATTTTACAGCTTGCATGACTGATGTGATTGTTGGAATGATGACTCCTTGAAGGCCTTCCTTGTACACTGGCATCTGAATGGTAATATGGGGCAGTTCAAGATCTGGGTATCGGCCCGGCTTCGGAGCGATAGCCGAGTAGTACTTGCTGTTCTGCTTCAGCGAAGACAGAGGTCCAAAGATCTGCCAAAGAGAGCCGCATACCACAATCATGAAGAAGAGAGAGAAGAGAGCAAACATCGGCACCAAACAGAGAAGTGCGAATCTGGTATAGTTGCGATCCAGCTGAACCTCGGTTACCATCTTGGCAATGCAAGCCATTTCCACAACCACGACCAAGATCATCGCGATTGAGACCATGACAGCATGACGCAGGAGTAGCTTTCGTTTGGGTGCTTCCTGTCCCTCCTTTTCTGGATCGAAAAGCTGGTCGCCATGTACCTCTTTGTCTAGTGCGGCTTGAATGACGTTGATTTTCTCTTTCATGGTAGGATCTTCGAGAGCGGCTTCTGGTACGTAAGGGAGGACTTCGGTGTTAGGTCGTCGTTGGTCTTGTACTCTGTGGTTGGAGTGCTCTGTATGACTTCTTGAATCTGTGCGAGAGGTTTGAGGATAGCCGTCAAGCCCCTGATTACCATAGATATGCTCGATGAGCAAGTCTTCCACATACCATCCTCGCTTCAGCAATACTTGATGATGGTCAACGAGAATAAAAATCATGCTTTCTTTCTTGCAGAGAAACAGACAAGTGTCAAGCCGTAGTCCAGAAGCGAAGTTGGCGATGTCAGCGACAGTCGACACAATATGCAAGTCGACCCCGGAGCTGCCGAGCTCCAAGTGGGTGTCTTCGAAAGAGATCTGGTCAAGGAGTTCTAGGACTGCGCCAGATCTCATACACAGCCCTGCTGAGGCGTTCAAGTGGCTAGCCGCTCGCACGCATGCGTTGTTTATGCTGGCAGGTTCGCAGTAGTATGTGCCGTCCTCCGCTCTCAGAATGACGCCGACGTGGTCAGAGGTTGAGACATCACTGAGCTCTTGATCGTGGGCCTCAAACCATTTTTGCTGATCACACTTTCTGAATAGGTATTTTGCAAGCTGCAACGGTTAGATAGGCAACGAAATGAATCCAAGTCAACTTACTATCTCTGTCTTTCTCCCAGATGCTCTGGGCGATATGCTAGATGAGCAACGAGATACTGCTCGACTCGGTGTACTGCTGTATGATGAGGAAGGGGACGAAGAAGGGTAATCGAACACATGAAGGTGTTCTTGAGAAGGGATCTCCATGACTCTGGATCTGAATGGAGTTGAGGCCGAGTCTTGATCTTGGTATGGAAGGGATGATCATACAAGAAATGTGAAAGTGCAAGGAAAATCTCCAAGCATCAGGGTAGGGTCGATGGGAATGCTTTATACTAGCATCTTGCCATCTTTAGCCCCGGGGTCTTAAAGCAGATCTCCTTACCTGAATGAGACGAGCATACCCGACCATCTGCCTTGAATGGTGGGAATATGTGCCTTGAGGTGAGAGCTCAAGGTTTCGGACGGTAAACCCTGCGGTACCAGAACTCTGGAACCGAAGCGATGGTACCGTCTCCATCACGAAGCTTCCCGGACTGGAAAGCCCGTTCCAGACGGTGGCAGATCGCTCCAAGTAGCATCGGGGACGACGAGCTCTATTGAGATCTTTGCAAAGAGCCTCATCAAACCAACGCAACTGTGACCCACCTTCTTGCTCCGGAATATGATATCGCTGACCTGAAAGCACCAGAGCTGAGACAGCACTCCGAACAAAGCCGAACGGAGATAATGCATGTCCCATGGTGAATGTGAATAGAGGTGCACAAAATCCCATGTGAATGTGCACATGAACTTTTCGGAAGCACTTACCACTTCGAACCTACAGGGTATTCACGCTGGAAGGAGACGGAGTCTGCCACTGTCATGCCGTGTCTATGGTCACTCCGGTGCAGGTCTCGCTCTGCAAATGGCTAAGTGAGCCGCATACTTACAGAGACCCAGAACCCATTGCAAATCCACCTTATTCTCGCGCGTTATTCGGGAGTTTGTATGCAGGTCGCGGCCGCGGCTGGTTGTGGTGTTGAAAATGAATGGAGTTGACGTGAACAAAAAGCTTCTTTAGAATTCGCTCTAAAGTAGAGGCTAGTCCTCTTTGGATTTCTGCCAAAGTGGTCTAATATTCAAAGAGGAAGGCTAGGCGAGCGCCGAGCTATCGCGAATCTGGCGCTTTGCAAAACTCAATCTGTATGCTCGTGTGTCCTCAGGTGAGGTCCGTGTCAAGCGATGTAATCGGGACCCGACACAGCTCCGGTTTTGTCATGGGCAGAAAAGAGACACGGCGCGGCAGAACTCCCTCGGCCTGCTCTTTTCCATGCCTAAGTCGTCATGGCTCTCAGGGCACTCGCTCAAGATGCCGCTTTCGATCGCCCGCACTTCTTCTAGAGCGTCTTGGATCGAATGTCCGTGCTCTCCTACAGACGACACAGTGCGAAGCTATTCTGAAGCATGGGAATTCTCAGCCCACCTTGAGAAATTCACTCACCATGTACAGCCGGAAATACCGCATCCTCATACCTAATTCAGCGATGACCTGAACGAGTGACTCGCCTACCATTTCGCTAATAAACATTCGAGCCTCTAAAGTTTATATCATATGTTACTTTGGTTGGTTGCGCAATACCTGCAGAAGGCTTGCAGCCATGGCAATGATTCCCGTGCGCTGTCAGGCTTAGTGTTGTCGATCAGACTGTTAGATAGCCTTTGGCTTCCACGATTTTGACATATTTGACAGAGCAACGCCATCTTCGTCCTTTTTTCTGATGCAGCCAGCAAACTTCACAAGAGCCGTCATGAGTGTCACCGTTTCTCGTTCGACATCTTACTCTTCACGTTCAAATCCATTCACAAGCTCTCGCAATGAGATCAAAACGCCGAGTACACAGTCAAGCCTAACAAACCTTCAGACGAATGGACCTGCTTTCACAAGGAGGAAGTTCAAGTCGTCGCGGTTCACAGGGCCAGATTACCCAAAACCCTGGTTAGAAGAAAAGGAGCCTCGTCGACGGTGGGAGCGGGTCATTTTCTGGGTCTCCGTCTTGATCGGCATCATCATAGGAGGAGTCATCTGCTACTTTAGCTACAAATCAGTCTCCAACTTTCAATATTGTCTCGTCCTCGAAGATGACTTCCAGACCCTAGACAAGAGTATCTGGAACTTTGAGATTCAACGAGGAGGCTTCGGCAGCGGGTCATTTGAATGGACGACCGACGATCCCCAAAACGCATATGTCGATGCTGAGGGGCTTCATATCGTGCCTACATTGACGACAGAGAGCACTGATATTACCCCAGCAGAGCTCAACAATAATTATGTGCTCAACCTGACTACAGCTGGAACCTGCACGGCGGTCTCGGGTAACCCCAATGACTGCTCGATCCGCAGCAATGATACGTCCGGGACAATCATCAACCCCGTCAGGAGTGCCCGACTGAATACTTCCAAGCGCAAGAACATCACCTATGGCCGCGTAGAAGTCGTGGCAAAGGCACCCGCTGGAGACTGGCTCTGGCCTGCGATCTGGATGATGCCAGAGCCTCAAGGCAAGCATGGAGCCGGGGCATACGGACAGTGGCCCGCCAGTGGCGAGATCGATATCGCAGAGTTCAGAGGCAATCCCGGGTCCCAATACCCCGACGGTCGAGACAGCGTTTCCAGCAGTCTCCATTGGGGCCCCATCCCGGCTGCGGATGCGTGGTGGAAAACCTCTGGTAAGCATAACTTGCGTCGTACCGACTATTCAGAGGCTTTCCATACCTATGGCCTGGAGTGGTCGGAAAAGTATCTGTTCATGTACGTGGACACACGACTGGTGGTATGTATATCTGATCTTCCCCCAAAGGTATGACAGCCCAACGCTGACACGGACTTTAGCAAGTTATGTTCACCAAATTCACGTCACACAAGAACATGTGGGACTTTGGCGACTTTGGAGCCGCGCTGGTCAACAACTCGGCCCTGTACAACCCGTGGGCCGGCACAGGACGTAGAAATACACCGTTCGATCAACCGTTCTACCTCATCCTGAACGTGGCCGTCGGGAGTACCAATGGATTTTTCAAGGACGGCGTGGCCAACAAACCATGGGGCGACAAAAGCCTCACTGCTCCACGAGAGTTCTGGGATGCTCGGACGACCTGGCTACCGACCTGGGGAGAGGGTGCTGCTCGTGGCCTGACAGTACGGTCTGTCAAGATGTGGAGTCAAGGCGGCTGTACGGCACCAAAATAACGACCAGTTGTACTTGGCTGAATATTTTTTTGCTTTCGCGCTGGGACAGAGCTCGGGTTCGCGTGTAGAAGTTGTGCAAATGATTTATGTACTGTATATGGATATTAACTTTCAATAATACGAGGCTGTGACTTTCCGACACGAAAGCCTAACCCAGGTCTAGAAGCGAGGGGATGATGTGCCGCAAGGTTTCTCCAGAGCCATCGAAATCTGCTTTGGTTCGAGGCTGTCGGAGCCTTGCGGAAGATCACGTGATGATTTTCAAAGACACTACTCACGTGACTGGGCTGGGATGATGATTTTCGTGCTCTTCGTCTTCCTGGTGTTTTCTATCTCGTCGACCAGGACTGAGTAGCAAGACATGACGCTCGAGGCGCGGACCATATTCACTACACACTTTTGAGTCTCACTCCCATTCTCATTTTGAATGTATCACGTTCGTCGGTATCACTCAAGGTCAAAGTAACGCAGTACTGTTACATCTCTGGCTTATTTGACATCCTTTCTGTGGGTTCGCAACTGGATTCTTTCTCTTGCTTCATCATTGCAAAGCCGAGCAACTATTGCGACGCCCACTGCTGCTGCTGCTGCCGCTGCTACTATTTCTACATTTTCAATCATAATAGTTCGCCACTTTTAATCCTTTGAAATCGAAAGATGTTCCCTCCCTCTTGGTCAGGACAGTCTTATGGTGGACATCCTTGACACGAGCTCGCACATACTCTGTACCAGTTGGAACCTCCCTGGTCTCATCCTTGTCCTCATCGGTAAGAAGACCCAGGCGATCCAAAAGCGGAGATGGCACAGTCTTCATGGGTGTATGTGCGCCTGGTCGGCTAAAGTACAGCAAACCAAGACGTGGGATGTTGATCTGGTCCTTAGGTGGTGTCACGACCCGATGGATGGTGGATTTAATGAAACCTGTTGCCCCCGAAAATTGATCAGTTACCATATGTCTTTCTTTTTTTTGTTCTTTATTCGAGGCACACATTTAGACTTACCTTTTGTGAGGAATGTTAAAGTATCAGCAGCATTACAAGTGATACCCCCTTCAACAGGTTGAACCCACTTCCATTCTCCTTCGGGGGTTCGAATTTGCAGGCCAGCGACATGCTGCGAGAACAACAGGGTCAAACTTCCAAAGTCGGTGTGGCCGCCTTTGGTGTAGCCTTGGGCACGATCCCACTCATCTTGAGTTCTAACATTGTATATCATATATCTAAGATGGTCGTCCGACTCCCTGTCGTAGGCGTGGGCATCGACCAAGTAATTTTCAGGGAGCTCGAGAATTATGGCGATCAGAACGAAAAGTTTTCGGAGCACCTTGTCGTACAGTTCTCGATGGAAACTGGCAATCTCGTCATAATGTTGTTTAATTATCCTGTTTTTGGGAACATTTTCATAGGCTGAAATGGCCTTTGGGATGTTAAGCTAAGACAGGAATGTTAGTGAAAGGGTCGACAGAGCTAACGGGAACACCTCAAAGACACACCATCTCGATATTGTCCTTGACTCCAGTGTCACCAATCCAGCGGCTATTCTCTCGGTATCCAAAGTACTCCCCTTCGGCAAAGTTACAAGGAAATCTACGCTTCTCCTCCAAGGGTTCCTTAAAGAAGGTATTTCCAATGCTGAATTGGCGAAGAACTCGTTCATCGTCGATACCTGAATTGATGACGGTCCAGAAACCAACTCGAGTGACGGCGTCATAGAGATCTTTGGCTAGTTGCTGCTTTCCACCAGGTTCGTCGAAGCGGGAGAGATCGATCGTGGTCAACGGAGCCCAATCAAGCTTCTCTTTGGTGGGCGCTGGACGGCTCCATGGCTTCTCGAGGATTGAACCTGTAGCCGCTTGGGACACGGGAGTTTCAACAGCTGATGGTGCCATATCTGTGGCTTCTGAATTCTTCTTCAATACTCTTGAACTATTGTCTTGAAGGATGAGTCAAAGGATGAATTTCCGACCCGGATATGGGACAATGTTAGTCCTTTATGGAGGGTGTATGAAGTGCGGGGTCCATCAAAAGGCAGCGTACTGTACATCGATGAGGTGGGAAACAGGCCTTACTGTAAATCCCGAGACAAGACCCCGATACAAGACCTCGGGCCTGTGATGGGAGAATGGCATCATCACCCACGTTGATGAGGTGCTTTGTCACGATGATCCTTTGTCAAAAACACCTTGCGGGGCTTGCATATGGTTGGCATCCAACCCCCACACTCCGGGGGGGGATGCGGAGAACGAGGTATAGGATGCATTGCTTCTATGGACGTTGCTCTGGGGAAACAACGGGAAGCCAAGCCATGTGTGGAAGCCGCTGCTATCACGGACACCCCGAAAGCCAGTTCAGACCAATACCAGAGATGGAGTCTCGCTGTCTGTGTCAATTCGGACCCGTTGGACCCGGAGGCAAGAGTTACCAGCCGACATGACGGCCTTGTTCTCGTCGATGCAGTGATGAAGAAGCCGTCATATCGTTTTTTGGTTGAACAGAAGGAGTGCGGCTCAGGACACAATTTATGTACTTGTCTCCAAGAGATGAATAGGTCAGTCCGTGGCACGCTGAAGTTGGACTGGCGCTCACTTGAGCTCATTCCCCGGGACAGCTGAATTTGTTTCGTCATAAAATCGACTGAAAAGACAGTCGGAAATACTTTCACCCCCAACGACCCTATTTTGCCTCTGACAGCCAGACTGATATGTCGACGAAGATCGCTGTGATGCCGACTTTGAGGTGAAAGTCAAAGTTCGAGGTCGAATTCTGGCTTGTTGGATTCTATTCAACAGTTTATCGATTCATCGAACCAAAAGCTACACCCGGAGAGGTTGGTCCAAGAGTCCTTTCGGTCATTGATGAATGCCCGTCAAGATACACCAACAAGGCAAAGTCATCTGCATACCTTGCGGGGTAGTTCATCAGACTATCCAGTCGTTTCATCTATGCTGAAACCAAGCTGTCACGGAAAATATCGTGGTGAGCATTTCGGTTGACGCGGCAAGTTAGCAACTTATCAAGCTTGTTAGACGACAAATCGACGGGCGTCGGGAGATTGCTATACACATAGCTGGGGGGAGAAGCAGCCAATCGCCCACTCAGCCCGGTGTACGGGAACCTTGATAGACACCGAAGGCGACTAAGATCAATATCATCGCTGCCTCGGTTTCGAACGGAAGCAAGGGTATTCACAATGTCCACGACACCGCCGTCCCCTCATAGAAGGATGATGGTCTACTTCAGTCCCACAACGGCAGATGGAGAGGAACAAGGTGGTCGCCAACTCGGTGACAGGATTTGGCAGACCTGGTTGTATGAGTGGTGTGCTTGATCTCGCGGCGGTCTAGGAAGAGTTTGAGCGTCTCATCATAGTATGGCTGAACTTGAACATGGTACGGGCATCAAGAAGGAAGAACACCAAACAATCGATATGTGGGCATGGACGTTTTCCATGATGTTGTACAGTTATTCTAGCCCAATAATGGGCTGCTGTTAAAAGACCTTCCAACCCAGAATTTTCATCCTCGCTACCGCTTGGGATATATATGCCTGCTCATCAAGCATCAGTTCAGACTTTTCAGGGGATGAGATGATCTGTACTGTTCTCGTCGCTATCAGGGCAGCCCTCAAGCTGATTCCGCAAGACTTTGTGAATTTATCTAACTTTCCCTGATACCGCAAGGATAACATCTCAGCTGTCAGAGCCGACGACCAAAAATAGTAGTACCCTACCGTTCGGAAGGACAGAAACAGGGCTGGGGTGAGTGAAGAAGCGGAAACGCAGGAAGGCCTTGATTGAGGATTTTGCTTATATAGATATGAGTCCTGAAATTCTGCTACTCTGTCTCACCCTGATCCGGATATGGATATGCTACCGCTCTGCAATTTATGGTCAACGCAATTCATGTCCATAGCCTGGATCCTGCATTTGTTGCCCCAATACTCCTCCGTATCCATCACCCACCAATCACGAATTGTGGATCCCGACGAGGCTGCGGATCAATTATTCCCGATTCGCTTCCCAGCCATCATTCTTCATCCGTGATAATATTCCAGACTTTCTTGAGAGCAAGACCATATGCGCATCTCTGCTTTCGTATTGTCCATCGCGACTTCTCAAAAAGAATACGGTGCTGAGACTGAGGTGTGGCCGAGTTCAATAAACACTAGTCATTTCCAAATAAAGAGTCCGCCTTCCAATATTTCATTGGTCGTGGTGCCAGTTGACGATCCAAGCTTCCACCTGCTATCGACCTCACGAACCACCCCGCAAAGTTCCATTCTACTCCGACGAACTCGACCGACCACGATGTATCTGGCAGCAGTTGATTCTTACCATCTTGGTCCGCAGGTCGTGAGACTTCGATCTTTTTGGGTCGGGCGAAGCAACTCGCTAAGCCTGACAAAGGTCCCGTCTCGAAGCCACGGCCAATATATCGATGCTTCGCTAAGTATGCTACTATGAAGCTTCAGGCGCGCCTCGTGAAGCCATTCACATCATCTTTTCCATTTCTAGCCTCTTAGGAGAGACTTGCAAAGATCGTACCCGACAGGGTCGAGAGTGGTCTAGCATCGCACCAAAGTTCGAGTCTATACTCTCAAGCCTTCCTCAACACGGTCAAAGGGTTTTGCATTCCCAAAGAAGTCAATGGCGGCGTCTTGAGAGCAAGCTGAGTAAAATCAATCGTTCTAGACTATTGAGTCCGATGCACCACGTGGAATAGTATTTGTTCTTCTTGATCTCCCTATTCCATCTCTTTTTGTTTGCGGTGAGGTTTATTTTCTTTTTTTCTGCCTTGTCTTGTGTGTTACACGAGAGCAAAAAATCTCCCCGACAAGTGTTACGCATACGAACACACATCGCTACCATTGTGTCTTGATTACGAATTCCCCTGTCCTGTGGACCACGATCACAATGTACTTCTCATCCTTGTTGGCCATCTTGGCCTTGTCGACGACAATCTCGGCCATACCTCACCCCTTGCTCCCACGGGCGGCCAACGACACTCACAAATTCCTGACCAACAAAACTCGACCGTACTCCGTCGACGGGGCCAACTTGCCCGACATCCCCTTCGACATCGGCGAGAGTTATTCCGGTCTGATACCCATCGGAGACAAAGCGGGTGGTCAAGAACTCTTTTTCTGGTTCGTCCCGTCTGAGAACGAGGCCGCGGACGACGAGATCGTCATCTGGTTGAACGGCGGACCGGGATGTTCGTCTCTTATGGGGTTTTTGCAGGAAAACGGTCCCATCAGTTGGCAGAGTGGACAACTCGCACCGATCCGGAACGTTTATTCGTGGACGAACTTGACCAACGTCATTTGGGTCGAACAACCTGCCGGGACCGCCTTTTCGAGTGCCCATGGTGGTATGTATTCTCTTCTTCTGAGACCGACTGTGCTCTTTGCTTGCTGCGATTCTTTTTTTTGGGAGAGGCTTGCTAATTCTTGTTGTTGTATTATAGATGGCGACAATCAAGACGAACTGGGAGTGGCTCAACAGTTTCTGGGATTCTGGAAGAATTTCATTGATACATTCGATATGAAAGGTCGAAAAATTTCCATCACAGGTGAAAGTTATGCTGGCAATTATGTACGATCCAGTTTCCTTTTGACCCTCTTCAGAAATCTGGGACTCTTCACCCTTCTACTTTTCACGCTCGACGAAGATCTCTTTTTCTAACCTGGTGGAAAACATGCAGGTCCCATACATCGCCGAAGCAATGCTCAACACTACCGGGAAAAATGCTTCCGATTATTACAACGTCACTGGCATCTTGATTTATGATCCAATCCTAGGTGACAGGACTTTGGGAGACAATGCTCCAGTTATCGAATTTGTCAATGCTAATAAGAATTTGTACGTACCGACTACACTTGACACGCACTCCTCTTGTCCTGTTTCGCCGCTCTCGTACAAAGTACACTAATCAATCTCATCCTCACAGATTCCCATTCGAAGAAGATGTTTTCGAGCAACTGAACGAATATGCCGATCAATGCGGCTTCACCGATTTGATGGAACAAACAAACACGTTCCCACCGAAAGGACCCATCAAGGTTCCCGAAATTCTACAACTCAACGCAACGTCAACCACGTTGAGTAGTTTCGGAAACGACAGTTGTTATTTGCAATACTTTGTTCAAGCTTGTATGTATTTTTGTGATCTATCCCTTTTCCTTTTTTTTCGGTTTCCCTCACCACTCTCTCTCTCTCTCACACACACACACAACGCTCACTGATTTTTTCTTTTCTTTTCTTGGTAATAGACATCAGCCAACTCAACCCATGTTTCAACATTTACTACGTCGGTCAACCTTGTCAGTACCCCAGCGACATCATAGGTGACCCGTACCACACCAACGCCCCCGGATCTCCCGCCGGGTACTTCACGCGCCCGGACGTCCAAAAGGCCATCCACGCGCCCACGGCGAAAAACGGGTCGGCCTTTGAATGGGACATTTGTTCACCAAGGACCCAAGTCTTCGCCGGCGGGATCGACAGGTCCCCCCCTTCGGCCAACAACGGTGGACCCCTGGGGAAGGTGATCGAACGTACCAACAACGTCATCGTCGGTCACGGGACTCTCGACATGGTGTTGATGGTGAACGGCTCGTTGATGGCCCTCCAGAACCTCACCTGGAACGGCGCCCAGGGGTTCTCGAAACCCCTCGAGAACGACATGGTCGTCCCGTACTACCCTCAAGGTGTGGTGGCTCAATCCGGCAACGGGACCCTGGGAAAATGGACCGAAGACCGAGGATTGATCTTTTGTACCGTCGAACTCTCCGGTCACGAGGTCCCCGGGTATCAACCCGGGGTGGCCCTGAGGCACCTCGAGAAGTTGCTGGGTAGGATCGACAGCTTGGACGACGACGCCGGGTTCAGTACTCAGGACACGTACTTCGCCGGCGGGTTCGACTACGTGCCACTGACCGAGGATCAGATCGACCATCAGTTGGTGAGGAGGGCTCAGATGCTGCCGTGACCTAGCTGGAAACAAGGTAAGATGGGAGACCAAGAAAGTCGGAAACGGTCCAACTGGAGGAGACTCCAGAGGAGAAAAACAGGAGACACAAAGTGGTGCTGAATACAGTACAGTCTGACACTCTCTTTTCATCTTTTTCATCTATCATAGGTAAACCTAGATAGATACCCTAGATAATAGTATATACCGTGGTCTCTCTTTACCGACCTCTTGAGGCACCTTGATGCATCCAAAACACTCCAAAAAAGCCGAGCCTGAGAGTGTATATATATATATATATATACATACACACATCTAGACGGTGAATCAGATGCACTATAATCTCGCACCCTCTTTCCGTAACCTCTCCTTCGCGGCGTCCCTGATCTGTCTCCTCAAGATCTTCCCGCTGGGGTTCTTTGGTATGGCATCGACAAACTCCACGCCGCCCTTCAAAAACTTGTACCTCACCACTTTGCCCTCGATGAACTTCTTGACCTCGTTCTCGGTCACGTCCCTCCCGGACTGCCTCACCACGAACGCGCGGGGGACCTCGTCGCCGTCCTGGGTCGGCATGCCGATGACGGCGGCGTCGGCGATGGCGTCGTGCTCGAGCAGCAGGGCCTCCAGTTCGGCGGGGGCCACCTGGTTCCCCTTCACCTTGATGAGTTCCTTTTTGCGGTCGACGATGTGGAACATGCCCGCCTCGTCGACGTACGCGATGTCGCCCGTCTTCAACCACCCGTCGGGCGTGAGCGTCTCGGCCGTGGCCTTGGGGTTGCGCCAGTAGCCCTTCATGACGTTCGGCCCGCGGCACCACAGTTCCCCGACGTGCCGGGGACCCCGGGACGCGATTTCCTGCCCCCCGTCCTCCGACACGATCATGGCCGTGCAGTTGGCGTTGGGTTCGCCGACGGCCGCAGAGGTCGAGGTCGCCATGACGTCCCAACCTAGGAGGGAACATGTGCATCTGTAGATGGTCAAGTCGCACGGCGGTCAGCGATCGATCCAAATGTAGTACTGGTAGTATGACCAAACCACGCGTGTACAGGGTACGGACACGGGAAATACTCACTCAGTCATCCCCCACCCTTGTTTCACGTTAATCCCTCTCCCCAACCTCTTCTCAATCTGCACACACACGTCCCTACCCAAGGGCGCCGCACCACACCCGACGTTCTCCACACTGCTCAAATCGTACTTTTCCACGGCGGGGTGTTTGGCCAACAGGACCGCGATGGGAGGTACGAGGGCGAGATCCGTCACCCGGAAGCGCTGGATGTACTCTAGCATCTTCTCAAAGTCGAACTTGGGCATGACGTACACGGGGACTTGACGGTTGAAGGCCCCCGCGACGAAATACGTCTGCCCGTACGCGTGGTACAGGGGCAGGAAACAGAGCCAGCTCGCCCGGGCGTTGCGAGCCTCGTAGTCCGGATGCTGCTGCGATATCAGGGCCACTTGGACCGTGTTGGAAATGTAGTTCCGGTGCGTGATCTCGACACCTTTGGGCACGCCGGTGGTGCCGGAGGAGTAGTTGAGTGCGAGGGTGGTGTCACATTCCCCCGGACCTTTGAGGTCGTCCCACGCAAAACCCTTGGCGTCGTCGGCGGACGCGATCAGATCACCCCAGTACCGACATCCCTTGAGCGGCGGTTGCGGACCGTCGTAGATTCGCGCATTGTACACGAACACGCGGTCGGAACCGAGACCGGCAAGCTTGGCGGCTTCGATGCCCGTGTCGATACTTCCGTCGGCGCAGAGGAGGTAGGTGGCTCCCGAGTCGCGAAGTTGATGGGCCAGTTCGCGAGGTGTGAAGGTCGGATTTGCGCCGGAGAAGATGCCCCCCGCACACAAAACGCCCATGAACACGACCGGGACGAACATGTCGTTGCCGCTGAATAGGAGAACCCGATCGCCCTTTTGGAAATGTGGTGACCGGCGAAGACCAAGCCCGAACCGCTGCGACCAGAGACGGAACGACTCCCGAGTCAGATAGTGCGTCTCTGGACGGGCTGCTTCCGAGAAACATCGTTTCGAACCTAGTGGTGCAGAGGGAGATTCGAATAGAAATGTCGGTAGAGAACACTCGGGGACGTCGACGGTCCAACGAGATTTGTATGGCATTTTGGCGGTAGTAGTGCTTGCTTGTAGATCTGTGTGTATGTGTCCGTGTGTAGGGTTTTATGCGGTGGGATCGAGACTGTTTAGTATTTACAGTAAATTTTCTAGATATTATGAGTGTAGGTTTCGTCAGTAAAGGGAAGAAGAACAAAGTGATGCGTCGTCGGAGGCAGCAGAAGTTCGATATAAAACCAGGTACCAAGTTCCGAGTACGTGTGTAATATATTCCTGTGTCAATCTTTGTGTATGAATGTGCAATGCATAGGAAGACGGAATAAATAGACCGAGGGCCGACGACTATATGAGTTCCTCGTCGACGCGACAGCGGTAGTTGTAGCGAGACCTACAGTACACAACAGAAAGGTAGAACCTCGTAGTGGCAGTGCCGGATGATTTGAATCCACCGACGGCTCTGATATCAGCCTATCAATTGGCACATCGTCGAGGGGGAAAGTGATGAAGCTGGAGTCATTTCTCTGGGGGAGAGAAAGTTGGGAAAAGTACCGAGGCTCAATTTTTAACCGAGGAGGAAGGTTTGGCGAGAGGATCTGAGTGTCGTCGTACCCGTATCCGTACTCGTATTCAATTGACATTGACATGCATGAGCAAAGAGTTACCAGCAACCAGCAACCAACAACAACCAACTATTACCTGGGTTGTACTCCGTCATTAAAATTCCCATCGCTATGCTTGTCATTGTTCATGACTACCTAACTGAACTGACCTCAATATTACTATATATTCATGGATCATTACCTTTCCTTGTCAATCCTTTTTACTCAATCATCTCACCACATCCACAACAGTGCAAAGTACAACCATCAAGCAACCATGACATCCCCTTCCTTGACTTTATACTGATCATACAACTGCGTGGGGTCTCTTCCCAATCTCCCGGCGCTACTCCTCAACTTGCCTCTCCTCGCGTCCATCAGAGGCGAAATCCACTCATCGTCGACATTGCCACCGATCATCTTGTCTCCCTTTCTCAGATACGTCGTCGCGCCCAGCAGGGTAGGTTGGAAGTTGACGTAAATGCCCTCCCAGTGTTTCTTGTCCACCTCGAAGATTTCGTGGTTGATGCCGATGTGGTCGACCTCCTTGATTACCTTGTTCCACCAGTCCCAAGCCTCGCGGTGCACGGGACCGTACGCGAACTTGTGAATGTCCTCGGTCGACCGCCAGTACGTGACGATCAAGTTTTCGGGTGCTCCGTTGGCGGCCTGGTTCTGCCACGACGATCCACCGTAGTAACCGGACCCCGGGGAATTCTTCTCGAGATCCTTGATCATCTTGTTAAAGTAGCTTCCGACCGTCGTGGCTTTTGGGGTCAGAAAACCCATGGGGTGGTTCGACTTGAACCCCAACAGGAACACGACCACTTTTTCGGCCGACGATTCTTGGTGAAAGTTACCGTCTTCGTCCGGGATCTGAGGCGAGGTTCGTCCGTGGATGGACCCCTTGAGGTACGGATTCTCCTTGAGTCCGTACGTGATGGCGAGGGTGTTGACGAGACGTCCGCCCAGGATGAGGATCGAAGGCAGCATGGCGTAGAAGCGGGGGATGATAAAGACGACGAGGGATTGTAACAGCGCTCCCGCCAGAAGCCATGTCGAGATGGAAAATGTGTTGCGGATCATCTTTTTTTGGTCACGGTCAGTATTGCGCACACATCCCAGAAATGGCAGTGTTTGGAGTGGAGGAAGTACGTACATAAAATAATGCTTCGTTCCCTGGTTGTTGGCGAAGTTGAGACTTGGGACGCTTGGTCGATCCAGGCAGTTCACTTTGAAAACCCATGTTTGCGAGATGTGGTGTTGCTTCCTGGTGAGAACGCAAGGGTAACGTAATTCTTTTTTGCTTTTGTTGATTTATTTCTTCCTTACCACGAGAGGGTCACGGGATACAGTGTACAAGAAGAATGATTCAATTTGTGCCATGCAACACGAGGAAAACGACAGCATACTTATATACGCAATATGAAAGTACCCCGGTGTGGAAGTCGGCCGCAGATCATCGCTTCATCCCAACAATTACGGAGCAATGTCGTGGAAAGACTTTAGCTGTATGAGGTTAGGAGCGCGAAGTCCTGGGCATTCTTTCTCCATGGAGGTCCTCCGTACAGATACTCGTAGATGTTCCTTATGGCCGAAGTTCTTCTACATATGCAAGTCGACTTGTGTCGGGAGAATTTTCGCCCTGTTCAGAACTATTCGAGGGGCGATGTTGTTGCAACGTGCGTACTACGGAGAAGTGTTTAGGGAGCGGGCGGCGGAGAGAGGCTGAGCGAGAGCTGACTGATTCGAATATGGCTGTACACTGAGTGGTCCATTGAGATCATGGCTGACTCCCTCCAGTCGGCTAAAAGACAATTCCGAATAATAGTGAGGAGGTTATGGCCGTAACTCCCCCCCGACGCTTTGGTGGCTATACTACCTCTTTTGTACCTAGACACGTACGGACGACACCGCCTGAGGCAGGTACTTTGTTAGAACACCCGAACACTACGCCACAAATATCGACTCGACGGTCTTGCATTTGACTAGATGCCGGCTATGAACAATTGCTCCTCAGATCACGAGGCTCATCAAACCCCTACCTAGTCAGTCCTCACATTCATTCGGCCGCATGGAAGTGTCTCCTCGGATCGAATACGAGTCCTTGATCACAAGAATCTCTTCGAGTAGAACCGCAAATCAAACATCCAGTATCATCGTACTCGTACTCGTATTCCGCAAAAAGGTCTCGAACAAGTGATAGCCTTGTACCAGGGGCAGCATTGAATCCCTCCAATGTTGTTGGCCCACGTCGATCAAGGAAGATACAGTACGTGCCTGATGGAGTAGAAATGATGCAAAGGCCGCGTACTTGTACAGCAGCCCGGATCTAACCATCCGAGACATTCATTAGGTAGACTTATGAGTCTTCGTACTCTTGTAGATTTCACATCTGGTACTCTGTTCTCCTGTACTAATTATGCTCAACTCTCTCCAGACGTGAAAACCTCGGACTCGGGCTCGTACTCGAACAAAGGTACTTCTCTTTGATTCTCATTCTTTTACGTTACTCCATACGGGTACGGTCTTTTATCATACTATGGACAGGTTTGGGATATCTTGTCTATCTGTCGTCTTTCTCTTTTTGTCGGTCTAAAAGTTCTCGCTGATGTTCTACTCAAGCCACTTTGTGGAATCAGTCCAAAAGGCAACACCAATTAACCCCTCCCTTCCCTGTCAATCATAATTCAGAGCATAAAAACTCCAGAGCGGAATGCAGTCATAATCAAAAGCAGCTCAGGTTGAGGCAGCTTTCTGGAGTTTGGCAGGTGGCAGACCCAGCCCATTTCGGTTGCGGAAGAACATGACACCAGCCTCATCGCCAGTGGTTCCCTCCAAGGGTTCAACCCACTGGCACCATCTCATCGAGTTCCACATGCTCTTGATGAACCCAACAGGTCCACCGCGGGTGTCGCTGCGATAGTGACGGCCCATGACCTTCTTGATGGCCTCGCTGGCCTCGTCGGCATGGTAGAAAGGAATCACGCTGACATAGTGATGCAGGACGTGGGTCTCGATGATGCCGTGGAAGAGTTGACGTCCGATGAAGCCAAATTCACGGTCGATGGTTGCGGCCGCACCACGAGTGTAGGTCCAGGAAGTGGGTGTGTAGTGTGGGAGCGATGGATCGGTGTGTTGCAAGAATGTAATCGCCACTTGAGATCTTGTCAGCCTAAAATTCCATGTTCATGCTTGCACATTTCAAAACTTACCCAACCAGTGGTTCACCCAGAGGTACGGAGCCAGGTACCACACGAAAAGGTTCGAGAATCCATACGTCTTGCCGACCCAGAAAAGAATCGCTCCGGTGATCAAAAGACCCAGGTCGCTGAGGAGGATCAACTTGGCATCCTTTGCTTCGTACAAGGGGCTGTTGGGATCGAAATGGTTGACACCACCGCCAAAGCCATTTTGCTTGCCGACACCACGTCCTTCACGTTGGACCTCATGCTTGTTGTGACCAGTGACATTGGTCAGCAGGTACATGGGCCAGCCTCCCAATTGCTGGGAGATCAGGGTGTAGGCGGTGTTGAGAGGAGTCTCTTCGGTAAGTTCATCAAGCTGGTGAAGCAGGTAGCCTTTCCTCGTGGCCCACTCTTGCCTGGTGGATGGAACGAAGACCATATCTCGTTCCATGTGACCAGTTGCTTTGTGGTGCTTGCCGTGAGAGATCTTCCACGAGAAATACGGCACCAACAGCGCCGAGTGACAAAACCAGCCCACAGTATCGTTCAGAACCTTGCTCTTGGAGAAGGATTGGTGACCACATTCGTGGGCCAACACCCACAAGCCAGTACCGAAGAGACCTTGCACAACGGTGTACAAAAACCAGAGACCAGCTCTCAACGGGGTCGATGGGACCGTTTCTGGCGTGACGAATCGGTTGAAGAGGTAGAAGGTGGTCGCCAGAGAGACGATGTCTCGTGCAACATAGTAGAGACCAGTGGCCGCAGACCGGTCGAAACAACGCTTGGGGATGGCATCGTGAATGTCTTTGATGGTGTAATCTGGGATCTCGAAGGTGTTGCCATAGGTGTCAACCAGCTGCTTCTTTTCCAAGACAGGCTTCTTCTGCTCAAGGGCATCCTCCGACGCAAGAGAGGACAACGAGGTTGACGAGGGAGAGGATCTCGGACTATCGAGAGGAGAGATGTTGGTCGAGGACATGGGGGTGGATTCGGTGGTTCCCATTCGGCGCAGAGCCATCTCTGCGGGCAACGCGGTCGTTGTCATCTTTCTGGTCAGAGTCTAGGTGACCCAGGGAAGCGTAGGACGGCAGAGGCGGGTGAAGGTGAGAGCTTGAGAATTTGTTGGGACGCAGGTGTCGTGGTCGGGAACGAACACCAGGAGAGAAGCTCTTCTAGAGGACAACCGGTCACAACGACAGGAAATCAAAGAGAGGGGGAGAGATAGACAAACAAGGTGAGCGTCGTAACAAACAACCCAGGAGTACAAGATGTAGAGAGAGGATGGGAGCTTCGACTCAAGATAAAAATGCGGGAAGAAGTAACGGTTTAGTAGGGGCAATTGTAGTGGACAGGACTCCGATGTCAAGGGTTCAAATTTGGTACGAGTGCTAAGGAGAGAGGCATTTCTGGTGGAGGCATGTTTGGAGTACGAGTATCGTATTGGCTACAGGTACAACGACTGGGCTGATAGCAGAACTGTGGGCAGAAAAAGATTCAAATTTTTGTGGACAGGCGAGCGACAAGAAGCTGAAGCTGCGGGCAAATCTCAACGAATTCTGAAAGAGGACCAGCACTAAATTCAGGGCAACCCTTGGCCTGGCCACTCACATTGCGCCCGGGGTTCTAGGCGGTCAGGACTGCCGAAGTTGCCCCTCACAAACCACCGAGCAGCCCCCCAAGAAGGGTTCCTTACGTGGTGCTCCTGGGGCTTCACCTTGGTCCCTTCACCCATAGTGAACCCACTACGACTGCTTAACGAAGTCCCCGACGAGATCGTGTGCACAAGGGTTCCCATGTTCATCATTCCAACCAAACCCCGGTAATATCGTACGTACCTAGGCAAAAAAGTGGGAGGCTCGAGGTATTCTAGGTGGGGGGTCCCTGGCGGCGGGAACAGAAAATTTTCTTCTATACCGCATCTACAGTACGAGTATGGTGATCGCCAAGGTTGTCTCATGAGTAGTCATGTCATTCATCATCATGCCCAACATCCGTCAGACAAGTCTCCTGTCGTACAATACGAGGGCACTAAAGTATCAATTACACGGGCCAGGCCACTTTCCTCCTGCCATCGGTAGAGGGACGAGCCTTGCTTGATCCAACAAACTGAAAATATCGGTGTAGAAGACCAGAGAGGCAAATGCTATTCCTCACCATATTCGTACTCGCTTTGTTCCTCGATGTGACTCTGACTACCATGCCTTTGCGATGCTCTGGACTGAACTCTTTCTGGCCGTTCTGCCATGTCAGCATCAAACGCCGGGTGGTGTTTGCTCATATCGGCGCTTTCTTTGTGGACGGTCTTTCGAACGGACCCGCAAACTATCGCCATCGTGGAGCTCGTGGTGGTACGGGTGCCCGTCGTAGCTGGCCAAGAACAGCTCGCATCGAGTCACTGAGAGCAATCATCTCGAGCACATGCTGCTCAGAGTGTTGAAAGATGCTGAGCGAGGACGGTCGACCGAGGCTAGAAGACATGTACAGTCTTTCACATGTTGGCAGAAGAAATCTTAATCGCTAGGATCGTAGAATGCTCGTATCGCTCGATACTGTGCCGGATAAAGCTTCAGGCGAATCTACTCGTATAGCATCCTGTTAGATTTGAGATAGGACCCAGGGGCTGTCAAGATCAATGACGATTCGTGCAGGCCGAGGGCGGTCTGTTCGTTCGAGCAAAGGGATTGTCAGGTGGATTCGGACCTGCCACGAAAACAGTTTTGTTGGGGATTCGAGACTTGGAGGTGGGATGCGAGTGGCCCTGAGTGGCCCTGAGTGGCCCCTGGAGCTTGTCCAGATCCCGCCCTTGCCCCTGTATACGGCTAATCGATTTGCAGTCTAGATGCTCGGTTCGTGCCGCGGCCCTTGTTACTTTCAGGGATAGCGTCGCTGCGAAATGGTGCCTGTAGATCCTAGTGAGTTTATACGAGTTTGGAGGATGCTCTTCGCTGGTTGCAGACCACACAAACAAAATCTTGCTCGGTCTAATATCGATGTTCTAGAATCCTACTCTTCATTTTCATCTTCTCATCCAAATGCTTGATGCCCTTGGCTCGATATCAGTCGCCCATTTCCGTCAGTTGGCGTGTCTCCAAAAACCTCGACCGTCGTGCTTCGCAGATCAGGAATGATCTGAATACAACGTCCCTGCATTGGATTATGCACATCACTCGGCAGATCTGTCCACACCTCATCGCCACCGCTACTTTTGTTCTGCTTTCGACATTTGACTGTGATGGTTGGTAGGAGTGCATGTCCCATATGTTGAGGGACCAATACCACGGAAATTTGACTTGCTTTTCTGCTTAATTGCACATGGCCTTTGCGTCTTCCACCCACCAGCCATGACTCTGAGTTAGTAACTTCGAACAGCGCATCCACCACATCTTCTTTCGAATTTGAAAGATGCATAACAAGGTCCGCTAACATAGCTTGTCCCACAATTGCGGTCTGCCCCTCTGACCCGACACCGTGGATCTCCAGACACGCCATAACAAGCACGGGATGCGGTGCGATGTCAACATGCAACTTCAATTGCCTTGTTGGAGCTTCGCCGGCGAGAAATTTGATAGGCTTTGTTTGCGCGTGCCAGACTTGTAGCCACTTCTCGACCTCGACCTTGGTGTTTGAATCAAGGGCACACAGAACAGAGGACCAATCCATATCCTCCATGTTCCAGATCTCAATCTCTTCAGTCAGGGCAGCCACTTCCAAGTCTTGTTCCGTCCATGAGGTTCGAACACGATTCCTCAGGTGTCCTGCCAAGAGTCTTGTCGTGCCATGGTGAGGGGTTTTGGAAAATTCGGAAATGAAGTTATCTTCGAGGCTGGATAGGATGAGCTCGTCAACCGCTTGGAAATCGACACACAGTGTCAGTTTCTGTGTGGCGCTGATGACGGCGGGTTCTGATGGCACAAGCCTGGTGGTCCAGCTAGCCGGCTGCTTGGGGAACACCATTTCTGGTTGGTCGAAACCGCCACTATCAACCGGACAGTATGCCTCATTTCTTTCCAGTTGACAACGTAACAACCGCAATGGTACTAATGTTGAAGGGCTGATACTGAAACGTGAATACATACAGGCATCTCTGAAGATATCTTGGACATTGACAGTGATTGGAAGAATCACATTGACAGACGCCGTTTCGTACAACTCAAAGGATCCTCCATCAGTCTGATAGTTGACCTCAACACGGATGACTACCGATGGTTCGGTTTGCACCTCCATCGAGTATGGGATCTCGACTGAGCTTTCCGAATATGGCTTCAAGTCATCGATGAACGTCATAAGAGCATCGCCTTCTCGGGCTGTACGTAAAGATTCAAGCCGTTGGCCATTTCCATGAGCTTTTGCTTCGTGGATGTTAAGTCTCAGGCCCGCTGTCGCTGTTTTAAAACGCAGTCTGCACTGGCTTACGTTATTGTGGCCTGGCATAAGATTGACGAGTAGCTTCCGCGTCTCCGCCAGATGTATGACTGGTGCATGAACGATACTGACGTCCATGGATTGCTGACAAGGGTAAACCAGGACCGGAACTGCCATGGGCTGATCAAGCAGCGGATCATCAACCGGGACGCTCTCGTCATGTTGGGTTGGTCGAAAATGTTGTAAAAGTCTTAGCTTACCGATGCTGACTTCGAGTTCACTAGGCATATACCAACCTTGGGCCATGACAGTAGTTTGTAGCAAAAGATCTGTTCCGTCCTCTCCGATCACGACACCTTCAGATAATTTGAGAGATATGAACCGTGGTTCAACGGCCTGTGAGGCTAGCCGCAATTTGACTTCTCTAATGAGTGGAGTGGTCATAGGAGATAATGGCCGAAGACGTAATCTCAAAGCAAAGCCATCTTGGTTGACAAGATGGGTGATGACCTTTGAAACACTAGGAGCCATGAATAAGGTGGACATTGGAAGCGTCGTTGCATCAATTCTTGGTACAGTCTCAAAGAGCTGGTCCACATAACCGGCGGCATGTACGGCACTAGGTTTCCCAGTAGAGCCACCATATAAACCGCAATGCAGGCAGGCAACGAGACAGCGGCCATATTCGGTCGGCTTATCAAGGTGTCTTAGGCAGTCAGCATAAATGCGTAACAGGTGGCTGTCGGACGGTTTGTAGGTAGTCTTGGGAAGTGGTCCAAGAATGCTGTGAAGGTACCGCGCGCTTCGGCCATAGTTTCCTTGCGCATATTCTAGCTCGACTAGGTCGATCAAGGCTTGTTGTGCAGTAGAATGACTGTTTGTGTCTGCAACTACTCGATAGGCGAGGACGGACAACATTGCGAAGAGGTCGAGAAAGGTCGACTTTGAGGATGCAGCTGCTGTCAATGTATTTGAGTCGAGACCAGCCACCGAGTCGGACTTGTCGTTGGCCAAGCCATCATCCTTTGCTTCAGAGAGCGACGCTCTTTGTGCTGTCCCGTTGGTCATGTTTGTTTTTGTGTTTGAGTCATAGTGCAATGCGGCACGTTTCATTTCTACCAACCATGGCTGTACTGCCTCCAGATTCGATACTGCACGTCTTGCCATGATAATAAGTCTAGAAATCCAAACCGCAAGCCTCTCCGCGCCAGGGCGTGAGAAGACAACCTGGCGTGTAGTAGCTTCCTCCGGGATGACAGATACCCTCTTGTGGTGAGGTCCCTGAGATCGTTCACGCGAAGGAGACCGAGAGTCGGCAGCCAACGACATTCTGTTCGAGCGATTGCGTGTTTCTTGAATTTGGGATGACTTCTTGTCCATGATTCGGAAGAGTTCGACAGAGTCAAGTGAAAGCCAACCTGTACCATATTCGACATCCAGCTCCAGAGGCGGTAGCACCTTACTGATGATTTGCATGACCGCTCGCCACTCAAACGTTGAGACGATGTTGCCTGTGACAGCACGTTGCGTAGATAACTCCTGAGCGCTGAGCCCTTCTTGACCTCCCCAGGCGCTATAAAGCTCCATCCGGAGGCTGCGGGCCGCCAGGTTGATGAACTCATTAGCACGCTCTGCAAGGTCCGCAAAAATGTGAAGATTGATACTGGATTTTGAACCGGGAGAGTTCTTGGACGCCTCCGACAGCGCTTGCCTTAGCAAGATGTCCATTTCGCGGGCAAACAAGTATATTCGCAGATCAAGTGCAGAGACATCATTTGTCAGAATCAGGTCTTGATAATTTCTCCTTTCGGCGTCGAACGGGAATTGCTCACGATCAACTGTTAATATATCCCGGAGGTCAAGGGTCCTTTGGGAGGTGCCATTGCTGGTCGAATAATTTTCATCCTCAAGGGCAGCACGGAGAAGAGCTTTCGATTCTTTGGAAACGCTTAGAAGAGCACCGCTATCGTCACTATCGCCTTTCCGGAACTGATCCTGCACCAGGTTATCCAGACCAAGCGAAAGTTCATCATAGACGGCTAAAGCATCCTCAAGAAGCCCAACACTTTCGAAGCCTTTGGCCAGGCCTTCTTTCAGGACGAAGAAAGTGCAAAAGTTCCATCCTGGAAGAGTCCTCTGACCATCTCTTTCCCTTATGTCTGATTCGTACTGCGCAACTCGTGCATCGAAAGAGCGTAGTATACAAGCTTTGATACCTTCAATGAGATCCTGCCATTGCTCCTCGAGATCTGCAGGGCTCAGCGGCGTACCCTTGTCGTGTGGATTTAAGAGTCTGACTTGGGCGACACGATTGAACGCGGACTTGGACCCGCTATTGAAGTCCGCCCGTAGCTTATCAAAGATGGTGGATGAGCTCTTACCGGACCATTTCGACTTGCTGTTAACACTATCGGTGCTCTCCGTTGTGTCCAGAGATATGTGTTTCGAGGATCGCGGTTGGCTCGCGGCCGGTGTGTTGGCCAGCACCACGTGAACTATCAGCCACTCGAAGGCGTCATGGTCCTCCTGGTTCTTGTTTGATTTCCCGTCTCCAGCAGATGTCTGCGACTTGACCCATTGGCGCACTTCTCTTCTTGCTTTCTCCTTGTACGTCTCCTTGTCATCGCAACGGAGCAGATATAGTTTTACATAGGGTGTCTCCCTTAAACCTGGGATTTGATGCCTGCGAACATTCGAAGCCGTTCCAGTAGACTTGTCCTCTCTCGAAAGGGTAATGTTCAGGGCGGGTATAGATCGTAGTGGACGAGTGGGTGACTTCCAATGTAGATTGCGCAAAGGGCTCCGCTGGGAAATACGAGGCTCGAGGCTGTCGTAGAGGTTGTGAGGGTCGACACATTGTACAATCACCTTTGAACTCGCCGGTGACTCTTTTGCGTCCATGGTAGAGGGAGGTTGTGCGCGGGGTCGAACACAGAATGGGACATCATCGTGCTGTCGAGGCTTGAACAACGGCTTTGTGCATGAGTTTCATAATCGAGCAGACGACGTTGCCTCGAAGGCGGCACATGCAGAGGATGGTCTTATGTACCGTGATTGTATGTCTGTCACTGTCCAGGAGATACGGCATTCCAAGGCCCGCAAACTTCGCCGTACTTTGATATGATGTCAGTGGAACAACGGCGGATCATATGTGACCATGGGCATTGCAACCTCCAGTAAGTCAACAAGCATCGCGACTACCTCGAGTTGTGGCCTGCAATTGTGGCCTACGAGAACCAAGAGTCACATCACTAGAGAATCCATGTTTTACGACCTTCATCATCACTCTCACGACTTGCATTAACTCAGGAAGCGTTCCTTCAGGTCTTCTGCCTAGCTTTCATGAGGTATAAGTACAGACACATTTTCATTGAGCTTTCTTTGCTTCCGTGTAAACATCCTCTTCCTTCAAGCATCTAGCTTATTCCTTCACTGTACTGTTGATCTTTCACTACAGGTGCATCAGGTGCATCTCAGTTGTTCTATAGGACTGCCTTTTGCTACCATGTCCTCTTCCGTTGTGACAGACACTCTCCATTCCGTAACGTCTACCAAGATTGAGGAACTGAAGAGGCAGCATGAGCTATTTGAACGCTTCAAGAGCCAAACGCTGCGTAAGTTGGAAGTGAATGACAACAAACTCGACCGTACCAGAGAGTTGCTCTACGACGCTTGTCGAGATGACGGAATTCGATTGATCGAAGATGATGCTCTCTCGAAAGTAAACCCAACTAGGCGTCAAAATCAGCAATTACTGTTACGCCAGGCGGAAAAGGACACGGCCATTCCAGCTCATGTAATCGAAGACATTCACACTGATGTCCTGAAACATTTTGACCACAAAAGTTTACGATACGAACATGCACAATTCTTCTCGAAGCTGGTCACCGAGTGGATATCTTGTTCGGAAGGCTCCTCTGCCAATCTCTCTAGCGAAGACATCATAGGAGAATCATCCTTTCAGACGGTGGGAAGAAGAGAGATGCATGAACAACGGGAGCAATGGGAGTCTATCGTCTTCGAAAATTCTGCCATAGATACGTCGAGGGTCACCAGCTATCTTCATGGGCTGTTCAATTCCAACAAAGTGGTGTCTAATGCCTTCAAAGGGTTTGAAAGTGCTACGCGAGAGAAAGCCGACGTATTCTGGCGCAGCACTAGACTCTTTGACCCAGAAACCCTCAAACGAGACATTGAAGGCCTGCTTAGGACAGATTTGCTGTCAGAAGAGAAAGCTGCCACTCTCAAATCCTTCCAAAGCAACAAGGACGTTCTTCAAGAGGTCAGCGATGTTCTGACAATGCGGATGGAATCACTCGACATGTGGCAATGGACTACAGTTGAAGGTGCGATTCCCGTACAACAGCGCCGGCAACTCAATGGCAAATACCGAGTTTTCATGGACGAGGATATCCTGGACGCCCTCTTGCTTCATATCATTGGAATGAAATGGGCAGTGTATTTTCGGCACCAGTTCGTCGCATTCTTTCGGTCCCATGCCTGGAAAACAACTGGACTTACAATACCTAAAGCCGACCAGGATCGTCGGAACTTCTACCTTGGCAAGGACTCTTCCGGCTCTGCTACTATAGCAGCTATTAGGCTTCAACAGTATGCAGATGATTATTTCGCTACTCAACTGCCCATGAATGAACACGAAGGCACAAGAGGCTATGGAGACGAGGACGACGAAGAAAATAGTTCATCACGCAAGAGCCCTATGGAGATTAAACAAAGTCTTCTTCATCTAGTGATTACCGAGGCTGTTGTCGCACGCCACCTTCATCCTGGTAAATCTCATGCTGTCATACGATCAGACTTTCACTGGTTTGGTCCATCACTTCCCCATGATACAATCTTCACCGTTCTGGAGTATTTCGGAATGTCGGACAAGTGGCTGAAATTCTTCAGAAAATTCCTTCAGGCACCAACGCGCTTCGTTCAGGACGGCTTGCAAGGCGAGGTAAAGGTCCGTCGGGCAGGTGTTCCTATGTCACATGTTCTCAGCGACGTTTTCGGAGAACTTATTCTCTTCGTGATGGATTTTGCGGTGAACCAAGCTACGAAGGGTGGCAACCTTTATCGGCTGCACGATGACTTCTGGTTCTGGGGAAGCGAAGATCTCTGCGTCCGTGGATGGGAAACAATGACCGAGTTTGCTTCGATAATGGGTGTCAAGTTCAATGATGATAAAACAGGCTCCGTCGTCTTCCCTCATGACCAAGCCGAGCTAGGTTCGGATTACTTATCATCAGACGAGGACGAGATTCGGTCAGCCGACAAGGTCCAACGTCTGCCAGCTGGTGAAGTGAGATGGGGCTTCCTGCGTCTTGATGGAAAATCGGCCCGATTTGTGATCGATCAAGACTTGGTGAGCGATCATATCACTGAACTCAAGCTACAGTTGGCGCATTGTAAATCAATATTTTCGTGGGTCCAAGCGTATAATGCATACCTAGCTCGATTCTTCAACAACAACTTCGGCAAGCCTTCCTACGCTTTTGGCCGGCAGCACGTTGACGATATGATTGACACATTTGCAAGGGTTCAGGCATCACTCTTTCCTGAGGAGAATGTGTCTCACTATCTCTCTCGAATTGCGCAAGAGCGGTTCAAAACTGGGGACATTCCAGACGGGGTATGGTACTGGCCTGCACGTATGGGCGGCCTCGAGCTTCGCAACCCGATGGTACGGCTATATGGCATGAGGGAAACGCTTCGCAGAACTCCTGGAAAGATAATGGCGACGAGCCTTGAAGAAGAAGAGCTCCTCTACGAAACCACAAAGGCTCAGTTCGAGCAGAAAACTAGCTTGGAACTCCGTCATGCCTGTATGGCAGCAGGTCTCAATCCGGCTACGTTGGATGAACACTTCATGACAAAGGCAGAATTCCTTAAGTATCGAGAAGAATGCTCGAAGCCTCTCGGTGACGCCTATAAGACTCTGCTGTCCAGTCCGGAACAGTTCGAGATTCAGGCAACAGCAGAGATGATTTCGTGGTTGCGTGATCTTCCCATCTCCTCTCGAAGCTCGAAGGCAACTTCAGGCATTACAAGGTACTTTGGCAAGATGGACCCTTACTGGAAATGGGTGCTTGCAGTCTATGGCTCTGATATTGTCAAGAAATATGGCAGTCTGCAAATCGTGAACGAGAAACAGGTTCCTCTTGGAGTCGTCAGTCTCATGCAGTCGGGCAAGGTGCGATGGCAAGGCTGAAACTGGAGTCGGCATGTATTCCACAAGTGGAAATTGAGTAGACAGTATGACTTGTCATGAACGTATCAAATTGAATCAAACTGCACTCGAACATCAAAAAAAAGCGCTTTGCATAGTTTTTGTTTTTGTTTTTGTTTTTGTATCTCGAGGCTCGCCGTGCAAGGCTGAGATAGAAGAGATACGAGTATTCTATGCCGTAGTTCAGCCTCGTTCATCAGCGCCACCAATAACAAGTTCCTATCCATGATACCATGGTTTCTCGACCGACATTACCATGACTGCGATCGAATCATGCAACTTCGGAGTCAAATAGACGCGAGACATAACTCGACAGAAAGTCACCACCTGATTTTGATGCTCCCGTTGCGTCCTTAGCTACGTATCGACAATACAAACCAACGAACCACCGATGGGATCAAGAAAGACTCAATGTCCAAATCACCACCGCTATCTCAAATCACTTTGATTTTTAATTCTCTCGCATCTATATCTCGGAAATGTGAGACAGAGACGCATGCGTCATCATTGTCCACCACCGCCACCGCCATCGAGGGGTTGCATGCAGACGACGACCACGACCACGACCACGACGGCCGAGCCCGCTCGCTCTTCCTGACACTACACGTCCTTTTCCCTCACGAGCTTCTACCCGCTTTGGACTTGCTAGACCGTGGTTTGGTGACGCGGATGTGGATCGGGGACGCTGGACCAGTCGAGGAGTCCTCGAATCCCTTTGGGTCCGATGCCGTTGGACCCAACGCACGACAACAATATCGGCCGTCAAAACAAGCCGAATCTGAAACTGAATCCACCTACGCGGGTAACAACGAAGTATTCTACGTACAATCTTCCAGCTCATCTACATCAAATCGTCACCACCATCACCGCAAACAGACAAACACTACCAGTACACCCTTTTACGAAGTACGTCTGGACAGTTGGAACTGTACCTGTCCGGCGTTCAGCGTGGCGGCTTTCCAAAGCATAAACACTACTACTGACAATGGTGTCCACCACGACCACGACGAGCCCGGGACAGAGCCAGAGCTCGAACCTCAAGCTCGGGGAAGAAGGTTGATCGATGATGGTGGTTCCCCCACGTGGAGGTTCGGAGGTGTAGCGACCAACACAACGACAACGACAAATGGACGCCCCCCTTCTTGCAAGCATGTTCTAGCTGCCGTTCTGTCAAAGGTTGCTCCACGTTTGTTCGGCCACGGCATCACCTCCAAGGTCGTCAATCGTGATGAGGTTGCAGGTTGGGGGGCGGGTTGGGGTGAGTTTCCAGGTGGATGAAAGAGACACAAGACGGAAAGAAAGTCGAGGCGCCACAGAGTCAACTCCTCTGGGTGGGCGTCTTGATCATGCTCACATCCCTCCTTGTGTCTAGACTCCTGGACGTCACATGTATGATATGAGGGCTCTGTATCGTAAGAAACTTTCAGGCACACCCACCGTGATGCGCACACCGGACGAGTTCCATTGGAGGGCGTTTCGACAACGAGTTGAGCGTAAAATCACGAAAAGAAACGCACCTTCATCACGGAACGAAAGGCAGTCAACTCGAGATCACAAACACCTTTTGGCAGAAAAGGGACCACCAATCACTGATGGACACAATCAGCCAGGCAGATGGTTAACGGCCGTGCTAAAGTCCAGAGTAGCAAAACTCTACCCGATTTGAGCACGGCAAAGCCGGTATAGGATATTCAGACTTTTGAACATGGCATCCCATTCATAATAGGGTCTTTCTGATACTGTATTGTACAAAGGCGACCCCTTTTTTGGCCATGCATACCGACTGCAGTAGGATTCTAGCTAGAGGTACCATCCAAACGCCATGCTAAGTGCCCGGATGCGATGCTGTCCATTTCGCTGGGCTTCATCTAGCTCTTCTTCTTACCCTTGCCTTTGTCTTCGGTTTCCTTCTTGCTGCCATTCACGGCGGCGCCCTTTTTCTCATCCTTCTCCTTCTCCTTTTCGCCCTCCTTCTCCGCACCATCCTTGTTGGCCTCTTTCTCTTCTTGTTGCTGTCGGTTTTTGTTCTTGTTGTCGATGAGATCATGGAAGGCGGTAATGGCTCGTACCAGAGAGCTCAGATAGATCGTCATTAATTGATCATTGGTCTTGATGCTCATGGACCGGGCCAGCTCGCTGTTCTCGACCTGGTTCTTGCCATTTGGTCGTGATGCCGGAGGCGTGGTCAGGTTGGGGAGAAGATTGAAAATGTCTTGGATATCCCCTAGGATGGCGTGGTTGAGCGGAAGGTCTCCATCAAGGACCTTTTGAAGATATGTGCCAATGTCTCTTAACCGCAAATGTAGACCTTGCAGAGACTGGAGCTGTTGGGTGATTCGTGCCGATAGAGTTCCCACTGCGACATCCCGAATATCTCTCAGAAGGTGTTCAACTCCAATCTCTTCAGCCTCCTCGGCCTCGATTATGGAGGGGGTGTGGACAAATGTCTTTGACGTGGTCGTGCCATCATCTTTGATTTCCTCAATCGCAAAGTACGCATCCGTCGGCACTCCAACCTCTTTCGGCTGGACATCGACGATGACGAGTAGTGGGTTTGGTGTGTATCTCTTGAAGAGCTCGTTGATCTCCAGATCAGAAGCTCGCAACCTCGGGCCAGAGTGATACCAGCCTATCAGCTTCTCTCGAGCATTGACTTTCTTGAACATTTCTCGCATCGATTCGACGTAGTTGTGGTCCAGGAACCATACTGATGGGTCCTTTTCGTCTTCTTCGAAGGGCACTACGACTTGTCAGTTGCGCAACATAGTCACGAGCTGGCCGGACCAACCTGCGAAACTATTTGAAACCCGAACATTCTTGCCATCATTTTGCCCCAAGAGCACACCAACTACTCGCTTCCGCGTGCCTTTGGCAGAACGACCATAGTGATCGGCTGCTGAAAGAAGCACCAGTGGCGCGACTGATACCTGTCGGTTCACAAGCGAAAGGGTTTCTGCCGTCGTGGCAGGCATGCTGATAAAGTGCGGACTGAGGTGAGGGAAAGTGGTCAAGATGGTGATGAGGAAGTAGAATGCTCTACCAGGTGAAGGAGTAGATTATTTGCTGCGCCCAGTAATCTATCACAACAAGAGCTTCACGATTGAAAATTAGTTGGAAATAGAGATGTTTCAATTGTGACGGGTTGTTCTCTGGGGATTTGAGCAACGCAGGCAGTCGGAGACACGACAACATTAACCGTCATTAACGACATTGAAGTCTTATACTTTGCCGTATAGACTTGGGTGGAGTATTCACTCAAAACACCATCATTGACTTGGATTTACCAATTATCGTTCTAGAGCATCCTCGTCAACTCTCAACAAGACCTCTTATGAAGTGTTCCATGATACATTGAGGCCAAGTGCCATATTATCATACAACGCTAGTCACCACGGTTTGTACTCCTAATGACATTTTCCCAATTCTCCAACAATTGAAGTGTTTCCTCGCACTTTGCCTTCATCTCATCGAAGCAATCTACTCCCAGAGGGAGCCGAAGTGGCACGTCTCGATTTGCAGCGGCACCTTCCTGCCTGACAAGATCCAGAATGATCTCTACCAATTTCACCGGGTCACCTGGTTGATTTTGATCCTCGTTGCCCAAACCACTCAACAAGGTTTCTGAAAACTCTTGATAATCTGGAATCGAAGATGCCACAGATTTGATATTCCCGCTGGAAAGCAATTTCGTGCGAAATCTGCCGGGCTCTATGAGCAGTGTCTTGAGCCCCAGATGGGCAGTCTCACGCGATAGACTTTCCACGAGTCCTTTCAAGCCATGAATGTCAGCGGTTGGTTTTCGGAAAAAACAAGAGACTGTCCCTACCTTCAAGAGCAAACTTGGAGCCCGCATATGCACCACATCCAGCATGCCCAACCCAGCCTGATAAGGAGCCTATGAATACCATGGTCCCTGATCGTCGTTCTCGAAAATGCGGAAGAAGAGCCCGAGTTACCTTTATCGTTCCAAAGACATTGGTGTCGAATTCCGCAAGGAAGTCTTCGTACCTGTTACATGTGAGGTAAGGAAAAAGATATGTCTCAAACGCGGCATAAGACACGTACTCGAGATCCTCCCATGTCCCGATCGCGATATAAGCCGCATTGTTGACCAGTACATCAACTCTGCCATGTATCTTTGTCGCCGCCGCTATTGCATCTCGAATTTGCTGTTGCTTGTCGGTGATATCGAGTTGCAGAATCGTGGCTCCTGCTTGCTGCAGGTGCTGAATCTTTTCAATTTTGCGAGCTGTAGCAATGACCTTGTCCCCACGGGCTAGGATGCTGTGGACAAATTGTTCACCAAAGCCCGACGAACACCCAGTGATTAGCCAAACGAGCTGAGACATTTTTTCCATCTCACTTTGATCTTTGCACTCGAGGTGTACTTTTGACTCCGTTTGCAGACCCCTAGGTGCAGCATGTTGGCTTCCCAATGGACCTATTTATACGTAGACCTATTTTATCTGACGATGTCAATATCTCGGAAGCTTCCGAATTGCTTCAAAGCAGGCATCAATGTTGAATAAGCTTGGGCCACTACAACACATCGACGTCACACCAAGAATCACCATCAAAGAAACGATTGTACTCCCATAATTGACATTAATGGGTGGAAGGCGATGAATCACGCGGAGTCTGGCACGCTCTATTTCCTATCCCCGCAAAGCGAGAACGAATATTTTTGTGTTATAATCGTGCGCCATTGACTCGATTTTGCGGATTTTACAGGCAAGCCAGATACGACCGCATGCCGTGAACTATCAGCACAGACTCAAGAGCCTCAAGTTGTGACTCATACTCTTCGCATGGAGATTGGTTATATTCTTGACTTGCTTTGTAGCACATTGATGACAGTGATGGATGGACGTCTTCTACCGATGCCCCCCTCCCACACAAGAGACCAGCCACAGGGATTATTGCCAATCCCCCAAAAACAGCCATGTCGAGTCTTGCAGCGTAGCAGCGTACTCGACAGTTGTCAGGTCGAGAAAGATGATACGAACAACCAATGACGCATGTGCTCAGAACAGCCTTCAAATATCGCACACCAGACCACCCTACATATAGCCCGTTCAGCACGAAAATCGCCTAGAACTGGTAGATCTGAAACCACCACCGCTGTGACATGTTGGAAGTCAAGTCGAGCGACGAGTCGTCTTCAATCAAACTCTGTCTGTCTGTCTGTCAAGCCGGACAAATATCTAGCCGATACAAGGCCCTTACATGACATATGGCAACGAGGTCTACCCGAGCCCGCATTTTTGTCAGAATATAACGTGCTGCATTAGGCGCCCCCCTTCAACATGCTAGGTTCTTATTGTAGCTCACGAGCCAAATAGTTGCCATTGCTCGTTTCCGGTAAGGAACAAGTTTAGAAATCTGTCACCTACATTTCAGCAGAGCCATCATCGCCTGATATCGTGGTGTTTGTAAGCTATTTTAACCCAGGAGGTGGTGGATAAGTAATCTCATTACAAAGGCATTTGCATTGCATAAAAAGAGGCCATGACTATTTAACAATAGCTTTACCTTTATATCAACAGGATGTTCCCGCCTAGCGAACAGACATAGGTTGTCTCAATCCTTTCGCGGGCCAGTAACCGAACCAGCTCGACAAAAGAAAGTTGACCATGGCAGCAATCAAAAAAGTCATACTCATAGGTGTAAGATCACCCTTGCCTTGTCTTGCGTCGGTGTTTCCAAAACAAACTTCTCACTGACTCTCGATCAGGCAGGAGGAAACGTTGGACCATGGATCTTGAAAGCACTCGATGAGGATCCGGACTTTGAAGTCTCCATCCTTGCGAGAAAGAGTTCCAAGTCGACGTACCCGTCGAACGTCATGGTGCACCATGTCGACGACTCGTACCCAGACGACCAGGTCTCGGAAGCCTTTCAAGGCCAAGACGCGGTAGTTTGCTCCATGAACACAAGCCAGGTCATGCGACAAATCAACTTCATCGACCTCGCCGTCAAAGCTGGCGTCAAGTGGTTCGTCCCCGCAGAGTTCGGTGGGAACAAGGCGAAATCGCACCTCGGCGTCAAGACTCCAATGTTTGACGCCAAAGAGTCGGTCCACAAACATTTGATGGAAATGGAAAAGAGTGGGTTGTGTTGGACGGCAGTCGCAACCGGTGCATTTCTTGATTGGTGAGATGATTTTTCCCTTCCGCTTCGCAATGACGGGGGGTACATGGATGGGCGGTAGTACTGACCCTGACAACGAAAATACGTACAGGGGTCTTTCAAATGGCTTTCTTGGGTTCGACATCGAAGCCAGACGGGCAAAGGTATATGACAGTGGCGACGAACATTGGACGGGGACAAAACTACCTACCATCGGTCTCGCAGTTGCGCGCTTGTTCAAAACCCCCGAAAAGGTCAAGAATCGATTCATATACATATACTCGACTCGGACGAGCCAGAATGAGATCTTACGGGCTTTTGAGACTGCGACCGGAAAGAAATGGGACGTTGAGCACGTCAAATTTGATGACGAGGTAGCCGCGGGACAAGAGTTGATGAAGCAAGGCAACAGACTTGGAATCGTCCCCTTGATCTTGTCTAGTTTCTTCCGCGAGAAGATGGGAGCAGACTTCACAAGGGCCACGGAAGCTGATAACGATATCTTAGGTCTTCCCGTCGAGAATGTAGAAGATGTTGTCAGAGAAGTCTTAGCTTGGCCCGAGAGTATGATTGAGTCTGCGAGACTGGTATAGTGTATGGTAGATCGGGGCCATCGGATATATCGGAGAGTACTTAGGTAGTATAGATGATCTTGGTCAATATTTGAAATGTAAAATGTCGGTAGTATCGAACAAGGCTCTATGATAGGAGGCAACCTCACAAGGTCTTGGCACGGGCATAATTTCTGTATAATTAGTAACCAGCCTCATTGACGCCGCCAACAATATTTCTCATAAATTAGTACAAGATGTTTCACCACCGTCATGGCAAAATAAGTCATTTTGCTTTCATTTCTCGGCTTTGGGTGGTTGTACAGCGTACCGCGTACCATATTTCGGCATAGGCTCTCATCTCTTTCTTTCTGCGACGGCACCGCTGGAGTCTCACCCAAGTGCATGATACTCTCGAATCAGGTATCGTTTTGACTGCCACTAGGAGATAAAAATGACAGAGGGAGCCAAACGTGGTCGTCCCAGGATCGATTCAAAATTCGACAACTGGTTCTGGGTAAAAGATGCGCGGGAACGAAAGCGGATCCAGGACAGACTGGCGCAGCGAGCGCGGCGTAAGGATTGGCCTGACAAGTCTGCCCAATTGTGAGTCTGGGTGGGTTCTGACATATTCATAGGCAGTCGAGTAGTGGCACGGCAGGATGGAAGCAAAAAGGTCAAGGCTGAGACCAGGCGTACTCGTAGAAGCGAAACTCGTCTTGAGGAGCCGATCAAACAAGATGCAGAGCCCTCGGATGTCCTGGAGACATTCACATCGAAGCAGAACGAAGAGCATTCAAATAATAACCAGTCGCTTGCTCTCGTACCTGCATCTAGAGAGGTACTTCCCGGGTTCGCTGTCAAGATTGTGGACCTACCTGACTAACGTAACATCAAGGAGAACACCCTATCTGCAGTTACTTCTCTTCCAGTGAGTGACTCGAGTCGATGGCGTCGCTGCGCATATGTACTTGGCCGTGATGATCAGTTCCTCTGCTGGCAATCATGGCCTATTTATTGGGCACTGTCTCATCACGGCGAGATGCAGGGCACGGGATGTCCAGACGCTGAGACAAAGGCTAGGTCGCCTCCAGAATACCTGGACTTGCCCGAATACCTCAAACCCACTCCGCTGCAAATGGCCGTGCCGCATGTTAGATGGATCGACAGGTTTCCGTTCCCTCGGTTGCGAGACAATATGATTTTGCTCGATGGACTTATCGATCTGGATGACTTCGTTCGAGATCTTTGGGCAATGGCGAGCTTGATCCTGCGCCCTCAGGCCCAAAGAGCCACGTGGGATCCATTGTGTTGGACAATGGGTGCTGAATTCTCATCCAAATGGGGTTATCTTTTCATATGATCAACATGGTCAATTAGAATTGTGAATTTTTACCGAAGGATGTCTGGTTATAGGTCCTCGGTTGGGGGTTCACGACGGCAATCTTGCCTAGGAGATAGTTGTAGGCATCGTCTCGAGAGCAATGACGCTATTTAGGAGGGATGCCAGGTATGAGGACGAGTAACAAAGCATGTACCGGACCAAGTTCGGGCAGAGTAGGAGAATGCAGCATGATTTCCTTTGGTCCAGAGAGTGACAAAAGGCCGAGGGAAAAACGTAAAAGCGAAAACGTGACTTTCTTGGCTGACAAGTGCGAGTCTTTTGGCTGCGAACTGGAGCTCGGTACAGCGGAGAACACGAAGACCCGTTTAAGAGCTTCCTCAACTACCCTGAACTGGTACCAATTAATTCAACTCAACAGATCGAGTACACTGTGTTCCTACGTATTCCCTCATACTAACCACTCTCCGTCGAGCTCGTACTTCCACTTTCGTGCTATTTCTCTCCCATCCTATCTGACCTACGAATAGCCCGACCTTGGTCAGGTCTCTTCTCTACAACCGTTCACGCACAATGGCACCAATCACCGACGACATAGTTTCAAACTTGAAAGACCAAGTGCACAAGCTGGAATCCAGAATATGGGAACTCGAACAGCGGCTAGAAGCTGGCGGCAGCAAGCAGCCCAAAGCCGAGTCGATGCGAATGATTCTCATGGGACCTCCGGGCGCAGGCAAGTTTCCGACATCTCCATGCGCCTCTACGCGCCAACTGACTAATTCTGGACAGGCAAAGGAACGCAGGCCCCCCGAATCAAGGACAAGTACTGCATCTGCCATCTGGTGCGTAAATTTTCGGGTCCCGACGTCTGAGATGACTACTCACATGGAATGTAGGCCACCGGCGACATGCTCCGAGCTCAAGTAGCTAAGAAGACGGCTCTGGGACGCGAAGCCAAGAAGATCATGGATCAGGGAGGTCTGGTCAGCGACGACATTATGATCAACATGATCAAGAGCGAGCTGGAGACGAACAGGGAATGCGCCAACGGGTAAAACTGACACGAGCTATACAAGACGTGATTTGTGCTGACTAGTAAAAGCTTCATTCTCGATGGCTTCCCACGTACCGTCGCACAGGCCGAGGGTCTCGACAATATGCTTGAAAGCGAGAAGAAGCCTCTCAAGCATGCCATCGAGCTACAAATCGATGATGGCCTGCTGGTTTCGCGTATTACTGGCCGCCTAATCCACCCTGCCTCCGGACGGTCGTACCACAAAGTCTTCAACCCACCCAAGGAAGCTATGAAGGACGACATCACCGGCGAGCCCCTGATCCAAAGAACCGATGACAATGCGGAAACTCTTAAGAAGAGACTGGGGACATATCATCAACAAACCACCCCGGTCGTCGGCTACTACAAGACCAAGGGCATCTGGTCGGGAGTGGATGCCAGTCAAGATCCTGAGCACGTATGGAAGAGCCTCCTCGGCATTTTTGGAGACTCCAAGACTTCAGGTAGCAGCATCCTGAACAAGATCGGACTTGCACGATAGACGACCTCATCCGGAAACTTCGGGAGCAAGACAAAAAAGTGGTTTTTTGTTATTGCATTGGGGACTTCTCTGCCCCTGGAACGGTGGCTGGAAATGACATATGAAAACCCTCGACGCTAGAGCCATGTTTGCAAACGTGTACAAGATATGGGGAGATTTTTTCTTGGAGCTTCAAGGGAAAAAAGCTCGAGGTTTTGGTGAATTAAGGGAATGCGCACAAACGTCCTAGCTTTGAGAATCAACACCTCCTAATTCAGAACATCAATCTTTGCACACCAGGAAAATGATTTGACGGTCCTTATGGCTTCCATCCCAGTGAATTCAATTATTGATGGCATCTAAGAAACGCGTACTCCGTACATCGTATCCCCGTTACCCAGGAAAATAATTCCAGGGCCGCAGACCGGCATCACCGGCATCGAGGCCGATGATTGACCCAACAGGGCACCATTTTGACTCGTTGAAACAACATCAATGATCCATCACTTATGACCCTCTGATTCTGCAAGCGGCTGGCTTCATATCAGGCTGAATTATTTATTGCGCATGATGGTCTGTCACTCTTGCAGCGGCTGAAGTTATTGTTCAATGACGTTGAGTGACTGACGACCATCCACGGCCTTTTCCCCGCGATGTTTTCTCCCCCCAATAAAGAACCATGTATATACCTTGGCTAGGTACTCTTCAGTTGTGTTGTTTACAATTGACCTCTTGACCAGAGAACGTTTGCGTGCAAGTGAAATTCGTTGAAAGACTACTTGTCAATAGGTGCGGATATAGCTTGAAACATGGCAGCACCAAAACAGGTTCGGTGGGGGATGATGGGTGAGTTGCCCGTGGCTTCAAAAGCCCTGCGATCTCAGGTCAACTAATTTACCTCTTTCCTCACTACAGCCACGGGCGGTATCGTACGTACCTTTGCCAAAGATATCCTCCTCGACCCATCGACTCGAAATGTCGTGGACATCAAACATGTCATCACCGCCGTCGCATCCTCTTCGTCCCTGTCATCAGCCCAAAAGTTCATCTCGGAAGTCGTGGCTCCCGTCCAATCTACTCCCTCTTGCACACCCTACGGGTCCTACGAGGACCTGGTGAAGGACCCCAACGTCGACATCATCTACATTGGCACGCCGCATTCTCACCACTTTCAGAACGCCATGCTTGCACTGCAGCACAATAAACCCGTGCTTTGCGAAAAGGCCCTGACGGTGAATGTGGCTCAGGCGAAAAAGTTATACCAGACCGCGAAAGAGAAGGGTCTGTTTTTCATGGAGGCCGTGTGGACGCGGTACTTTCCCATCAGCAAGACCATCAGGAAACACATCATGGACAACGACATTGGCGAGGTCGTCAGGGTGAGCTCGGACATGAGTATAGGTGCCGTCCCGGAGGACTCGTTCGCCGTGGACCACCGCATGGTCAACCTCGATCTGGCCGGAGGTTGTTTGCTGGACCTGGGTGTGTACTCCCTCACGTGGGCGTTTCAGACGTTGTACCATACATTGTCACCGTCGTTGCGGGAACAAGACCGGCCCAAGGTCGTGGGCGCGACCATGACGTTCGAACCACGCACGCACGCCGACGAGTCGACCATCATCCTGCTCGAGTTCCCCAAGTCGACACCCAGCGGCAAGACAAAGGCTCACGCGGTTGCGACGACGGCCATGCGCGTGAGTGACGACCCAGCAAGAGGGAGAGGTCCCGAAGTCGAGGTGCCCACGGTCCGCGTTCAGGGCGAAAAGGGGGAGATTCAGGTTTGGGGTCCCATATACAGACCGACGAGGTACAGGCTCGTGCCCAAGGATAAGGGGCAAGAGGTCATTGATAAGACGTTTACTTTTGAGGCTGGAGCACACGGAATGATGGTATGTTAATGCACAATGTTTTTGATGACCAAAAGAAAAGTTACTGACTGTTCAAAATAGTACGAGGCTGACGCGGCCGCCAAAGCCTGGCTGGAAGGAAAACTCGAATCCGAGTCGATGACGTGGCAAGAGAGTATCCTGATCATGGAGGTAATGGACGAAGTCAGAAGAAAGGCTGGGCTCAAGTATCCCGATGACATTGAGACGACCGAATACCCTGTCAAATTGAAGGGTAGATAAGGTAAGATTCTGTTAGGAATTGGGGATTCCAAAGTAGGTACTCAGGTAGTGAAAGAATCTCAACCAAGATACTCTTGGACACTGTGCCTGACTTCTTGAGAATTTGAATTGGGGGATTTCTGTTCCTTTAGATTTTCTCTTAGGAATGTTTCATATTTTGGCCAGCGCCAGATCTTGAATGATTGATTTGATGTATGGCACTTGGTATGTTCAAACGAGCTCTTGCAATTCGGTGCGATTTGGTACTCGACATTGACATTAAACTTCTCGACATCTTTCTTTTGCTTTAGAGCACAGCCCGCTGCCTGTCCAAGAACAAACCCAATACTAAAAGATTCATCTCGAATCACTTCTCTTTATGTCGTGGTGTCTGCTGTGCGTGTGCGATGACAACCCTGACAAGAAAAAGAGATCATACCCAATTCTCATTGCTCAATGTGCTGTGCAATTGCAGATTGGCCACCATAAGATGTAAGGCGCACAAAATATGCACCTGCTTACTCCTCGGGCCCCTGCGTTGGAGGCTGTTCTTGATCATCCCTTCGTCTCCACGTGCCCGGTCCAGCCGACCTTCTCTCTCCGGTGGTACCACTGTTGCTGCCGGTCACCCCTTGCTCCCGGGTGACTTTTCTCTCTCCTCCCCTCGCGCGACTAACGCGTAGAGGACCACCCCAGCTACCTTCCTTGCCGGCGAGTTGGTCGATCACGACATCGACGTCCTCGACCCTCGGCACGTCGACGAAGCAGTAGTAATGGTTTCCCGGTTCGGTGGCCTTGCTGGGGTGAGGCGAGATCAACTTGGACACGGCCGACGGGGTCACGTCGGTCGTGGAGAAAAGCACCTGGATCTCCTCGTCGAGCGCCGACTGGGGCTCGATGCGAGGCAGTCCCCCGACGTACAACCTCCTTCCTTCGTTCTGGGGTGCCTGCCAGTGTGAACTGGCGTCGGTGCGGGACCCCCGGTCGAACGATGGTTTGTAATCGCCGCCTTTTTTCGTGATAAATTAGTACACATGATACTTCAAACAAGTGGAGAGATTCGACGCCATGAAACGAGTTGCGAAAGTGATCAACACAAAACAAAGAAAAAACTTACTTCTTTCTTCTCTGACATCTCTTGCATATCCACGATCATAAGTCTTCGTACGGACTTCTCTACCGGCACCTCCGCCGAGGCCGGAACCGTTCTGACCACCCTGTGCCGATCCACGCTTGGCCACTCCGGGACTCACTTTCAACACGCGTCCAAGGACATCGACACCGTTGAGCTCGGCGATGGCGCGTTGAGCTTCCTCGGGAGAGTCCAGGTCGACAAAGCAGTAGCTCGGGTTCCGTCCCGTGAACGGGTCGGTCGAGATGCTCACGCCGACGACGGTGAAGCCACGCTCGGCAAACAGGGACTCGATGTCGGTCCTTTGGGCCGTGTAGAGCAAATTCCCCACGTACAGCCTCGTGCCGGGGTTGGCGGCGTTGTTGCTGTTGTTGTCTTCAGCGGCACCACCATTCTGTTGACGAGGCGTGTTGGTCCGGCTGTTTCGTGACTGTTGCGGTTCGACGCGAGGTGAATCGTCCTTGACGCGCCAGTTCATCGACGCCGCGGAACGAAAGTTGGCATATTGACGCGGCGTCGAGGGTGATGCTGCCGAATCCTCCATTTTGGAATGGGCTGGTGGGGGAAGGCTGTCTGGTTTTTTTTTTAGTTTCTTCGGTGGCGGAGGGGTTGCCAAAAGGGGGGAGAGAGGGGAGATGAAAACGGAAGACGAAAGATCGTAAGGTGATAACCGACAAGATGAGATGCTTTGCGAGGTTGAGGACCCTGTTCGTCACGAGGCTTCGTTGTCTATCTCTCGCTCGCTCGATCTCGACCGTGGGAAATTTTGTCACCGCGAGTTTCTACGCGCCAAGAAACGTGCTGTTGATTAGCATGTTTTTCCAACCACTCTGGGCTTAGCGCCGCCGGTTGAGATATTCGCTTTAAGCTGCGAGCGGCTCCAAAAAGTGTCATGTAGACCGGATCATGGCAACAGGGGAATGGGCTCAATGTTGATGGTATGCTATTGTCTCGGCGTTCGAGTGAATATTCTGTCCAAAACGTCTAATTGCTTTACTATATCTTTTCTGTGGAGCGCGATTTCTGGTCCATCTGTGCAGATCACCGGATATGACCTTCCGGGGAGGGCGAATCTTTGACTTATTAGTTGAATCGCTCTCCGCAAACCCCACGTCCTTTTGGGTTGATCTTGAGATCTCACCATCATCAGCAGATGAGATGTGATCTTGAATCCTTTCTTTTTGATGTATCCAGAGTAAAGACTACGACCCTATGCTGCAAACGTTTGGATGCTCTATCGTTCTAGTTCCAAATCAAGTCTTGCTGCCCTCTCCGCGAGGACTGACTATCGTCACATCCTCCCCCTCAATCGATATGACAAGATCCTGAGGCCGTGTTGGGAAGGCTGTTCAGATATGAGTGACACCGCAGGTTCCAGAGATGGACCAGAGACATCGACGTTTACAATCCTCCTACTAGGTGATCTGATGATCGGACGGCTCGTCGATGCTCTCTTACCGACCAGTATTGCGCGTGAACAACCGGCATCTTGCCCAGAACATGCTGCGCAGACGGTCGACAAGTACATCATACCAAAGAACCCTCAACTAAAGTCGTACGACTATCTCTCGCCCTGGGGCAACGCCGGCCACCTCATTCGCAGTTCTGATGGTGTGGTAGTCAACCTCGAGACTGCATTGACCACGACCACCGTACCGTGGCCGGGCAAGGTGTTCAATTACCGAAGTCATCCGGGTAATGTGAGATGTCTGGTGGATGTGGGCTTAGGCGGCGGCTCGCAGAGAGCCAGTGTTTGTCTTGCAAATAATCATACCCTTGATTGGAATAGGGAGGGGTTGCTTGAAACGGTACAAACACTCACCGAAGCGGGCATCGAGTTTGCCGGGGCAGGAAGAACAAAGGAAGAGGCGAGTCAGCCGGGCACCATCAAGCTCGGGAATGGGAGCTGGTTAGTCAAGTGCTGGAGCTTTTCAGATCACCCTGCCGACTGGAGAGGTGAGGAGTGTTTCAACCTGATTGACTATACGCGCACGAGTCGAGACCTCATGAGGAGGCAGATTACGACCGAAGATGAAAATCAACGATCCGGGCAAAAGCGTTCAACGCTGAAAGTTGTCTCCGTGCACTGGGGTCCGAATTATCGGTGGCAGCCGTCGCAAGAAATTGTTTCAACCGCACACTGGCTGATCGACGAGTGCGACGTGGACATTATCCATGGCCACAGTAGTCATCACATCCAAGGTGTCGAGGTGTACAAGGGCAAGCTGATCGTCTACGGGTGCGGCGATTTCGTGGACGATTATGCGGTCGATTCCGCCTGGCGGAACGACCTGAGTGCCGCATGGAGGGTTACAGTCGGTGAGACGACGGCGGACAGGCTGGCCGTGAAGAAATTGGAAGTCTTCCCCAATCGGATACAGAAATTTCAGGCCCGTCTACTCGAGGCTGAAGATGAAGATCATAAGTGGGTTGAGACAAAGTTCAGGGAGCTTTGCGCAACGTTCCATACCGTGGTCGATGACGATTTGGGTCCGGAGGCGCAGCTGGTGATCGGTATGGAAAAGCAAAGACAGAGTTGAAGGATGAGCTCCCCCCTTGTTTGGTCTTGTTGTTGGTTGCTGTCGGGCCCCCCTTTGATGCATGCAAGTAGCATTTCCCTCACCGCATCGCAACCGATTTGACACAGAAAAGATCTCGCCACCCGTCCATCAATTTTTCCTTGGCCATGAATTTCGGATTCGGATAGAAACATCGCATGTGAGGTCAAAAAGTGAGAGGGCGCGTCACGGTGGCGGACAGTGACGCGGCCAAAGGGGAGTATCTCAGGTGCATACCGAGGATGAGGGTCAACATTCCAAAATCCAAAAACAGCTCTAGTTTTTTCTTATTTCTTTTTTCGGCCCCCGTGAGGCTGTCATCAACAAGCAAAACCCCAGAGTTGCATTCTGGGAGATGATGCTTACACAGGCGAGATTTCTGACACGTACCGCGTCCCACGTTTGGGGGTTTCTCACGGAGCCCGGATAGAACCAGTGGCCATGGAAGAAGCCGAAAGGAATTGTGCACATTCTATCCATAACGATCAATTCAGGCATATCCTCCGTGCGACATCTACGACTACGGGCGCCGGGACGCATGGCTCCATTGGAAATGGCTAACCTAGGTATCCTCCCAGTACCTCAATGTACATAGGAAGTCAAGTCATCGGGCACGGATTTCTTATTATTGTACCAGTACCCCCCCCCAAAGAGTTACTAATACTTTTGGGCGTCGAATCCACAGACGTGTGGATATCATAAAAATTCGACCCTCAGTGTCCTCTCGGAGGTCGATGCTTGTTAGATCCCGAGGCACGAGTACTCCGTATTCCGTATCCTGGTTTCTCGGAAATCGAACCTCGACTCTTTTGCAGGTGAAACTTCGGCTTTTGAACGGGCAGATTACGGCAGATGTACCTGAAATGATGATCCATTGGGTGTTGCTGGGGCTTGTAAAATGAGAAAACACGACGAGAGGAAAGCCAGGCATGAAGGTTGTAGAGCTGGTCCAATCTTCTCCTCTACCGCGGATATTGGAGCTCGTAAGTAGCAGCCATGGTAGGCGATCCGATGGAGTGGTGCTCCGTGCTGTGCACGCCGCGTGATTGTGGTAGAATTGGGAGCGGAACAACGAGGGCTACAGCGAGAACAAGCCTCTCGACTCCGTAGTCTGATCCCAATCAGGTACTCGGTAGAATTCCTCCCTGTCGTTCGACGGCACCTGTTTCCCTTTTCTGTCCCAAAGCTTGTCAACTTTTGCACAGCCACCACCAGCCTAAAGGGGCAGGTCGCGAACTAGTCATTCGATTCGAGCGTGGGCTGGGCGTCCATTTTCTCCCTACCACCACCCAGCAATCTGGCCAATTGGCAGGAGAGGAAGTCAATTTCGTAGTGAAGGCAGAAGAAGTTGTGCCGAACAATGAAAATCGGTACATTTTTTGGGTTCGCACTTTGACAGAAAGGTGGCCAGGGAGCCGATGAAACACGTCTCGCGGCGTTGATCTCGTGAGTGTAAGGAAATTTGCGGTCCATCTCGATGCCAGTACTCCCTTTGTTTGTTCTGTTTCCGACCCTGGTACATGAGTGCGACGCGGTCACTTTTATTGGTAGCTATCTGTGCGAGTAGTATCTGTTGTGTAACAATAAGCTGCTTGTCATCGGTATATTTTCCGGAGGTACTTTTGCGAATGGCCTCGCCTAGTATAGTGGGAATTACCTTGCCTAGTACAATAGTTTGGTGATCAGCATACCCGTACATACGTACAGTCCCTGGAAGTGGGAGGGAGGAATTGATGGATCGGGGGCCACCACGCTTACCAGACTCCCCCTCCCTCCTTTCGCTGGTGCGTTGGCCATTATACGGAGTAGATGAATCATAGTTGACCCCGAAAGATGATCTAAGTGGGAAGGTGGAATTGCAAGAGGCCGCGCTGACTCGGATGGTGCGAGAGAGAGAAGTTGAGGCGGCTTGTGCCCCTCCTCCTTGTCAAAAGAACACCCCCCCAACCCCCCCTGTTTGCATGGCCGACAGGGAATTAATGGGTGAATCACCCATCACCACCCATCAACATTCCACTGCCATCCGCCACTCATCGCATCCGACATGGCTCTCGAGAAAAGATCCTGGACTGTGGCGTTTGACTTGACACTTCCGAAGTGATCATTTTACATCGGCGACCACCAGACGCAAACACTGTCTACTTGACTTTTACCCTTCGTTGTTTCTCACTGCCGGTGCACACGCCAATCCCCGGGCCAGACGCCCCCAAAGCTTCCTCGTACAGACTGACTGACCTACCGAGACTCCGAGAGGACCCATATTGCCTGGCTTCCAGAACATTACTTCGCCTTTTTTGTGTCCACCCCACGCCGGCCTATCCATCACGCACCTTTCTACCGCCTGAAACGTGCCTTCTCACCTTTTTCAAAAGTACCTCAAGCGCCTGCTCCTTTGTCTCTCTTGTTGCCTGGTCAAATACGCTGGCGAAGAGCTACGGCAGATCGAGTCAATCAATTCAGGCTTCCATCGCCTCAGGGAATCAAGAATCCTCCAGGCCAGCTCAATCCCGGCTATTCAGTAGCTGTTTCGGCCCCTTCTCACCGCATGACCAACCACAGTGCCATAGTCCGTTCGACGATCCTCGGCCTCATTCAATCTATCCGTCCAGATGATGCAGTAATCAACCGGTGAGAGACGACTCAGGCCTGGTCGGAGGGAAAGTCCACATCATGGCTTCGGCCGAGCCGACCTTTGTTGATCCCGACCGCAAAGGCAAGGTTTCGAAACGCTCGTCCAACTCCTACACCAGCGAAGAGTGGCGAAGACACCGGCCTTTAATCACCCAGCTTTATTTCGAAGAGGGTCGTACTTTAAAAGATGTGGCCGAACACCTGAAAAAGGAATTCGATTTTACTCCCACGTAGGTACTTTTGTTGTTTTTGTTGTAGGTCTATCCGCTAACCCGATCCGAAGGGAGCGTATGTACAAAAGTCGCCTCCACACATGGGGTCTAGACAAGAAGAAGAAAGAGCATGAAATGCTTGATTTGGTCCGTCAAGGCTTACAGCAGAAAGGAGATGACAAGGATAAAGTCTTCCTCGTACGGGGGAGGCAAGTTAGCCTGGCCGACGCGCTTCACTACTTCAATCGTAAAGGTATCAAAGATCCATCCAGTCTGTTGGAGCCTCAAGCGGATGGATCTGGCGACTTGTCCTCCCCCGAAGAGGCCGAGGCCAAGACACCTCTCTCCTTCGACGACGACATGCTCGAGCCACCGCTTGAGACTTCCGAGTATGAGCTCTCACGCAGTCCTATGGAGATCGACGGTCACAACAAGTCGATCATGCCTCTGGCTATCAACCCATCCGATATTGCAGACAAGCGACTAGCATCGCTGCAGCAAGCCTTGAATATTCCACATCTCAATCCTATGCCACCCTTCAGGACGTTGGCGGTCGAGTCGACTGTGGTGCAGCAGCCTAACGTGACCGCGGCCGACCAACGGTATTTGGACACCATATTTCAAAACATGCAAAAACATTATATGAGTCTCTTCACTGCGAGAAATCTGTCGGTCCGCAACACTACCGGTACATGGACCGCCACTTCCGATGACGCTCTCGCGGATCGTTTCTACTATTCCATGTACCATGGCTACTCGTTTTTGTGGAATGGGCAAAGAGATCGAGCATTCGACAATTTCTACAAGGCCTTTGCTCTCATCGAGGGTCTCCTCAAGGATGATCATGTTGGGTTCATGATTTACATCTTCGATCTGATCATCCGACACGATGGAACAGGGTACGAGGAGCCACTGCTCATGTTGTTACAGCATCTTGCAGACATGGCCAAAGCTGTCTTTGAGTCAGAGGAGCACCCCATTTTCCTCATTGCTAATTACATGAACCATTCCACGGTGTCTCGGGCATGGTTGGCCGAATCTACGTTGCGAAGGTTACTGGATTTCTTCCAGGATAGCATAGGATACTTTCACCCCGAGACGATTGCGTTGTTGCAGACCTTTGCCACCGGCTTGATGAACCGACAGCGATATTCGGAGGCGGCGGTGCGATTTCAACAACTGGTTGATGCATTCGAAACCACGATGAGCAAGCACTGCTACGAGGTGTGTTACGCATTGCGATCGACATCCGAAGCATATTTCCACATGGAGCAGTATGAAAAGTCATTACAGGCCCTCAAAGCAGCACTGGACCGGGCCGAATGCTTGCCGCGACCGGAAGAACGAGAGATCTACGTGCGATGCTTGAGAGGAATGGCCGAAATTTTCAATAAATTAGGTCGGAAAGACGAAGCTGTCGAAACCATGCAGCATGTTGTTGATATATGCCGGGATTCCTTTGGTCCAGAGCACCCATTCACCAATCGAGCTAGGATGCATCTGAAGTCAATATCAAAGGGAGAAAGCACGAGCGAAGCGGCCATTCCACCCATGGTGTATAGACTAGGTCGAGGCGGGAGTGCGGCCAAATACATCTGGATCTCGAGGTCCAGTCCTACCCGGCTGCAGGCTTGAAGGCGAACTTTTTGCGCAGCTGCTTTACGATCTACACGACTAATGACCATGACACAATTCCCGTGTTTGCGACGGCCGAATACCTGGGTATCAAAACATTGTATACCTTAAGGCGGCCTATTCGATCATCCATTTAGCGTCCGGGGTGAATAATCAATGGAAACAGGATTGTTACCGAGGCGTAAGGCTTCCCATGTCCGACCTGACCTGTCACTTTAGCAATGAGTACCTCGTATCTCAAATTGTTTGGCAGTCGGAATGAGGAATGAGTTGCTGCCGAGTGACTGTCCCGCTGGGACCAATTTGTACGAGGCCAAGCAACGGATCCTGGGGGAACAAATTCAGCAAGGCGTCGCCTAGCCGGGCATCTTGTCATGCGAAGATGGACAGAATAATGTGCTCTAGATGCGCACTTCATTGTCCAGACATGAGCTGGGGCTATTTTGGTATCCCTCATGGCGAGATTGGCACTCCGATGTGCCAATGACGAGCGCCAATCTTCAGGGTGTCTCCCGGGGCTAAATACTGCTTATGGGGTCCGGTTGACAGCCTTTGAGCTCCGTAGCTTCTTTGATGACTTATCGACCTGGAGAGGCTTCACAGACTCAAAAGGGTTCCCAGCAAACAACATGCAGCCTCACCAGGCCAGATGCTGTATTGTACGGAGTACCTACTTTGACTCTACGGAACACAGTAGGTTTGACATTTCATACAATTGATACTCCATAGTCAATGCCTCCTTAGATGGCCGCAGTCAGCATAGGACAGTTATTTACGGAGTTGGTTCTGCAAACCACCTGCAACATGACTGCAGTGTTGCATTTCGATGTTGATACAGAGTAGTGCACCGGACGATCCTGGGGATGCCCTGGTCAGTCAGTGTCCCTTCTATAACTCTACCGCAACAGCGTCAGAGTGAGCGTCTATATACTCCGGACCAAGTAAATACCGGGCGCCCACAGTCATGACGAAATGCAGCTAGGGAAACACCCACTGCTATCTGCTTAATACTCTCTGCTCCCTGCCCAAGGGAAGTACTGTAACCAAGGCCTGAAAATTCGCTCCCTCACGAACACCCGAGACAAGTCAGGCAATGCCCCACCAACCTTGACAGTCCGCGCTCGTTTCGTACAACACAAACAAGGCGGCCCGCATCAACTCGGCTTCGGCTCGAATTGGACCGTCGTCTGGATGGTTTGTGTGTTGACTCGCCAGTCTGAACTCCCTGCTATAAATCCTCTTCTGTACTTTATACACCATACTGTAACCCTCTTCATTGTCCACTCTCGTCACCTGTAACATCCTACGTCTGCGGACGCTCCTCAGTTGCCCACCATGGCCGCCGAAAAGTACTACATCAAGGACGCAATCACGAAAACTGCCGTTCACCACGAGTCTTTTGAGAAATTGTGGGAGACAAAATGGAAGGCTCCAGTGCGTGGATGGATAAACACAGCGGACACATGAGACCAGGGTTGACAACAGTGTAGTGCGCCATGGGTGTGTACCCTTTCATGTTTGGTAGCATCAAAGACTTTGAGCCCGTTGCGCAGGACATTATCAAGGTATGGCTAGCCAGACATGGGGGTGCTTTGGGCGCGTGCTGAATCTGGAGCAGAAAGGTCTGAAGGAACCCTACGACTGGGACGAGTATGCCCGCATGTTCTTCCCCAAAGCTGAAGAGCTGGCAAAAATTGCGGTGGAGGCGGAGAAAGCTGGTGAGAAAGAGAAGGCTTCTGAATACTACCTGTCAGTACCATTTTCTGTCGCGAAACAGGAGCATCACTCACACCATGCAGGCGAAGCTCAGCAGTGTATCGTATCTCACGGTTCCCCACTCCTCGATCGGAACAGCAAAAATATGCTTGGACAAAGGGCAAGGAAGTCTTCTACAAAGGCGCAGGGTCAGCATACCGTGAACCCTTGGTCCGATAGCTAGGCACTGACGTATCCCAGGCTCATGGAGTATCCCATCACCGAAGTCCAGGTCCCTCACTCGCACGGGATCGAAGGTGAAGGCCAGACGGTGCCCATCAATTTCCTCCTTCCTCCCGGGGCGTCCGCTGAAAACCCCGTCCCTTGCGTGTTCATCATCACTGGCCTGGATGGGTACCGGACAGAATTGGCGGTGTGGCAACAGGGCTGGCGGTCAAAGGGTGTGGCCTCCATCATTGCCGAGATTCCTGGTACCGGCGACTCGCCTGCGCTGCGGTCGGATCCCACTTCACCAGATCGTCAATGGAGTAGTGTCCTGGATTGGCTGGCCACACAAAAAGCAATCGACTCCAAGAAGGTCGTGGTCTGGGGCTTCTCAACGGGAGGCTACTACTCCCTCAGATTGGCGCATACCCACCACGACCGGCTGCTGGCTTGTATCAGCTTGGGTGGAGGAGCACACCACATGTTTGATCGAGAATGGCTCGAGAATACCAACAAGCTGGAATACCCTTTCGACCTCGCAAGCACCTTGACTTACAAGTTCGGTTACCCTGACCTCGAGTCGTTTATCAAGGAGGCGGGCAAGTTTTCCCTCCTGAATGACGGAACCTTGGAGAAGCCGTGCACAAAGGTTCTGCTGGTCAATGGCAACGACGACGAGATTTTCCCCATTGATGATATGTTTGTGTCCCTCGAGCACGGTCAGCCCAAGTTGGCTAGAATGGTGAAGGGCAAGAAGCATATGGGTGAACCAGACAGCTTCTTCATCATCCTCAAGTTTATCCATTCACTGCTTGGTCTGGATGGCAATTTCATGGACCAGATGAAGATGCTACCTAGCCGGCCTCAGTATTAGATGTCAAGAGGAACAAGTTGGGAGGGTTTGGATTTGTTGCACTGTCCGGGTGTACATTGTTTGCAGGCTGCTATTCATGCATAGCAAGCGAGGCGATAAGTTGTTGGATCGACAAAAAACAGGGGCATCAGTACTTCATATAGCCACAAGCGAATTCGAATACTCTTTCACAAAGCCTTTTTGGGGGCTTTCTTGTAGAGCATAGCATCCACATAAAATCAGAAACAAAAAGACTCAGGACGATGTTGCCGCTGGCTCTCTGTATCAGGCACAATATGTACCCTGTAAAGTACATATGTCGGAGAGCTTTCGATAACGCCATGCCTAGATGAGGCCTAGACTCGAGATAAGCAATGCCTTTACACGTTATCTTAGGGCATCCGAGCGCCCGGAGGGTCATAGCGATCTGTGACGTTGAAAGCCGCATGATTGCAAGGTCTCACCACACTCCTTCGGTTCCTACTTACAGTCCCAATGAAACTCTGTTTAACAAGGAGAAACACAGCCGGCGAAGAGGACGGGCGTCCAAGTACTCTTCTGGTATTTTTATCGTTGCTGTACCTTGCATATTTGCTTGTTCATCTCGACTCCTGATCGAAATAAATACTACGCGTCCGGGGCCTCGGCTGAAGCAAGTTTCATTATCATCCTCATCCTCCCTGCAATCGCGACATCACGACATTGGGCTTTACGTCCCTCCTAATCGTTACTCTCTCTATCTAATGTCAAGTATCTGCGTGGCTGGCCACCACCACCACTACCACCATCACCACAATGGTCACTGTACCCGGTGTTCTGCGACGGTCTAGCACCGTCAACATTGTCGAGAATGGAGGAGGGTCCAGCGGAGAGTCGTCCCGACGTCCTTCTCTCGCAGACGCACCCGCCCCTCGACGGCCTAGCTTAGCTGGTCTAAGTCTACGGCTCTCCTCACGGTCGAAGCGATCAGGGTCAGGGTCTGTCAAGGAGATGAACGCAATGGCTGAAATGGCAGCGTCAGTAGTCCACCCCCAGTCGTCCGCCCGACAAATGACAATGTCTCTTGTCCGTGAGGGAAAGAGGATATGCTAACACACACGTGCCCACATGTATCACAGTCAAAAGCTGGGTCGAGCCTTCTTCTCCTTGCCGGACGAAATCATCATACAGATCTTGTGCTACCTCGGCCAGAGTGATGTGTTCGCACTTCGACTCACCTCTCGCTCGATGAATTCGTTCCTGAACGCCCACGCCTGTCCGATAACGCGATCGATCCTCTTTCGGTGCGCCCGCGAGAGGACGGCGGATGACACCGCGGAAGATGAGGTGGTCGAGCGGAAAGCACAATACACCTACAACTACATGCAGACATTGTATCCGCAGCCCACGCCGTGTCCGTCGCTGGAATATATGCTGCAGATGTTGAGACGGCAGGCTCAGATTGACAAGATGCTGTCCGTGACCATGAGCTTCGTGCAGATGAGGGTCTATATGATGCCGAGTTGTCCACGGTTCTCGGACTTTCGGCCCTACAGGGACAAGCTCACCCGGCGCATGCATTTGGCCGCGTGGACGATATCTCATTTTCTCGAAAAGTACAGGGACCTCCTGATTCACGTTCATCCTCACCACGAGAGACTCGAAGAGAACAGTAACCACCCGGCCACGTCCCCGACCGATGAAGCAGCCTTGCCGAGCTTGTCACCTTGCCCAGAGTGCAACGAGGGTCTCAAGTCGTTGCTGCGATCGTACCCGGGCACCGAGATCATCCCGGCGTACCACTTCTACGATCTCTGCCGACAACATCTGCGGGCCCTGAGTCGAGCACCGACTTACGCTGGGACCATCGAGCGGCGGTTGCGAGGATGGAGCCGCAAATCTCCCACGGAGGCGGATCTGGCCATCTTTGTGATATTCGGTGGCATTTCGGAACTGTCCAAGTTGAGCATGCTCAAAGGCAGCTACACGCAGCGCATCAACATGATTGGCTCTTTCTGGGACAGGGTCATGCTCGCTGTGAGCTCAAGTGGCATCCTCGACTACAGTCCTTCTTCGTCTTCCCCGTCGTCGTATGCGCAAACGGCGGATACGTCCGACGAGTTACTGCCTGGGTCTCTGAACTCGACATTCAAGAACATCTCGCAAGACAGTCTCTTGGCGGTACCGATCTTTGATCGCTTCATCAGTGCATCCGACGAGTGGATTACCAGGATGTATGAGGTCGTGAGACCCGGCGATCAATTGGCGACGGCTTTTGGGTTCGTACAGAATGTTCTAGCTGGGAAGAAAGAACCGCCTCCTGGTCTCGACACGATCGGTGGTTTTGACTCTGATACCGAGTCCGGGTCCATCTCTGGATCCGAAGGTGCAGTGAATCAAGGACAGAGCAACAGCGACTTTGACTTTCTTGCCCCAGTCAAGGGATTTGATGACTATTGAATATCAGTGGTCCCCTGGAAGCTCGATGGCGGTGATGACTGGTCTCGATGTGCAGTGAGTTCTTGTTATTATCCACCCTCTCTCACTGCAAAACCCGGTTCCACACAAAACTTTTTGATGAAGATGGAGAAAGAAAATGTACCATTACTTCCTACCGAGTATTAAGTAAAAGTGTATCAGTAACGACACCTAGGTAAAGCATTTTTATTTTACGGTTTCATGTACCAATATTATGAGACATTTTCTGAGACATTTTCCGAAACATTCTGCGGCTTTTGGTTCCCATTCATGGTTCCCAATCATGATTCTTATTCATTACCTTCATTACCTACACTGTTGCCTCCTGAAGACTCGAGGACAAGGTTTGTTTTCACCTTTGGTACGGCGTGAAATCTCTCATTGTGTGAATTTTTCCTTTCTTGCTGCTGCCTAGAGGGTTCGAGAACCAGCCGGGGAGGTATAAGTATGTGGTGTTTCCCCCTCTCTGGCCTCGAATTTCCTTTCCTCCTTCGTTGCTGAGGACCATTCAGAGACAGCGTTCTAGAGTTCCTTTTCTCTTGTGTCCTTTTTGTTGTATATATATATACACACATTCGTGGATCTTATCACTCGATCCATCCATATTTGCAACCCCAACATTCGAAAAAACAAGATCCTGGGGTTTGGTTTTGTCTTTGGGAACTTCGATTCTTCAACACAACCTTGTATCCTCCATCACCACCATCACAGACCAACCAATTGATTACTATGTGATATTATGCCGTTGCCTCTTTTTCGACATGTCGACAGTTCAAGGATATGTTTCAAAAAGAGTCCTTCCTATTGAGAGCCGTTTAGGCAAAGACGAAACACTGCAAAGACAAAAGATTCGACAAGTATCATGACACAAATTGGGATACCAAAGTCATTGGCGAGGATAACAGCGACGAGGAAACCTTCGACGACGACAGGTATTACGAGTACGACTCCAAGAGAGATGGCCTCGAGGCTATTCACTCCAATATATCTCGTTGATCGCGACCGGCTATTTGAAGAGATGCGCAAACGACCTGCGCGGGTTTCCGATGTATTGAACCCGATCGAACGCTTACGCGTAATCAGTCTTCCCTCGCAGGTTATCTCAACCTACGGGATACCCACGAACTCTTGGAAACCGTCGAAACTCTCCTAGAAGAAAAGCGTGGATTTGTCGTGGGCGGGTGCAAGTTATCGTCGACCTTCCGTAAGGAGGCACAACCTTATCGACTTGGCGCCGGCGATGAAGAGGTCTCGAACCAGCGTCCAGTGCCATTTCCCCTGCCACACTCCACTCCTTCATTCAAACTCCGCCACACCCTTATCGACAAGCTCAAGGCACATCAGATCGAGGGTGTCAACTTTCTCTGGAGTAAGACCGCTTCACAGTCGACGGAGAAGTCTGGAACTTTGCACGGCGACGACAAGGGGCTGGGAAAGACCGTCCACCGGTCGTCGCTTTCCTTCTGACTGTCTGCCTCAACCCCACAAGGGTCTCTAGTTCTGGTGTCAAACTTTTCGCGTCGTGATGGTCTGTCCCATCCACAGTGATAACATCGGGCTCGGGTGCAATGATCTAGGGAGCGTCCTCGTCCAGACCATGGGAAGTGAAGGAGATCCCTCTTCATAAATGGTGAGCTTGCCACCGGTACCTGCGTCGCCGTACTGGGCATCATGAATATGACGGCATGCGTACCGTAGCTTTGGGGACTACCCGACGAGACACTCTGCTGCATTCAGCCGATTGAGATAGTTGGGTGCTGTCTCATCGGTTCTTGTCATGTAGAAGTAGGTTGAGAATCCGGCATCATCAGTCGCCTCTGTCAGTTGCTGGGCGATCTGGGCCTTGGCTGAGTGGGACCGTGTTCAAATTATCAAACCGCATGTCGGTACAAGAGAGGAACAGGAGTCTATGCACAGCCATATCTCTCAACCCCTTGGTCGATGGGGTTGGCGGTCCGGCCGAGGCGGCGGGGGCCGCTGGACGAGGCGGATTCAGGTACTTGGCCCATTTCTTCCAGATGCCCTTGTACACGTGCTTCTCAATGGCTCTGGGTTCCACTTCCACAGCACATATGTTGTACATCGGGACCGCATCACCTGGGCGAATGAAACCTTCTCCCACCTTGATCTGACTAGCCATGGTCCATCGAAGTTGACAGCGGCCAAGGATGGCGTTCAGAACAGTCTTGGTGGTGTGGCCACCATCCAACATGTCTTTGGCGTCCAGGGATGCGAAGGCCTTTGGGTCGAAGATGAACATTGGCCATCCCTGGTACTTGGTGAAAGTGAGTACTTGGAATCGTGGGCGTCGAAAGAGGGCGTTACTGATGAAGGATTAGCCACCGTCTATGCTAAAGACAACGACGCCAGCGTTGCTTTGAAGGATGATGCGAACCCGAATTCCCAGTTGGGCGAGGACTTTGACTCCTCTGAGGCCGAAGGTTAGAAAGCCAATGTCATGTGTCCTTGCCGCCGCATTCGTGTTCTCCTTGGTGGACAATCAACAATTCCCTATCCGCTTGGGGTGTGAGTCGAACCTAAGAACGCGGAAGATTTGCAAGACAGTCATTAAGGGATCGGATATGACGCCCAGCTCCCATCGGATCGGATCTGATCTAGGGACTTCGACCACAGCGCCCAATGTGTTAATGCCATTTAGCACAAAAATCCAGGCAGCAATAGATTCGACGTTTTACGCCAATTACCATCCAAAGGGACTGGTACAAGCCATATATATATGTGTGTTCTTTCGAACAATGGTCATTGAGGCTCGATACGGCAATGTATCTTGCGAGCCTCTGGTACACGGCTAAGAACCGTAAGGCCAGCCCCTGGTCAGATGGAAGATCTTTTACGGCTTTCAGATGAAGCAGCAGCAGGACAACTGTCATCGAGATGGAAAAAAGAAAAAAAGACTGTACTATCAAAGTGGACAAACTGATGACTTGAGCCTCGTGTACGATTAGACTCATCACCACACTACAACCTTGAGTCGTTGGGGTATATGGCACCTTTCTTCATTCAAGGCTCACTTCTTTGACAGGGCATAATGATACCTAATTGGACGTCAAGGAATCAACTTATGTTTGTTTGAGGCAACGCCAGGTCCATGATGATCAACGCAAAGCTTCTCAATGTGGCACTATCACGAGCCAAAGACGGCTTGTATATCGTTGACCACTGGCCTTCTATCATGCAGCTTCCAGCGAGCCAACTTCTACGTCAAGTTTTGACACATATGGAATTCAGATTCCCTCGGTTTGTGATCAACGCTGGTAGATCGCCCATCTACACAAAATTCGAAACTGAACTCAATCAGGCTGTACCAAGACTCATTCGAGCAAACGCAATTGCAGGGCGGCGTGAGGAGCAATACATCGCCAGACGAAGTCTCCTTCAAGCTGAGCTCGACCACATCAAAGGTGACTAGGTATGGTACATGGACAGCAGACACGGATTTCCTCGCTGGGTGGGAGCTCGCCGCCGATTTCAAGCAAACTTGTTCTGTGGCGTCAAGCGAAAGAGGGCTATATTTGGAACCCAGCGCCAGCATTTTTTCTAAAGAAGGCGCTTGTAGCTGCTATCCTAATCAACAACATAGTACGCGACACTGGTCACGCCAATGATGAACCCTTTTCTCACGCTAGGTCCGTCAGACCGTTTGCAAAGTCAGTCGGGACCAGATCACTCAACCCAACATTATTGGGTGGTGGGAAGCCGACCTTGATCTCGACAGTGAAGTCCATCCTCCTGGTCAACAGCGACGTTAACAAGCGCAGAGACGAGTCAATCCTCGGACAAGAAGACGAAGTCTGGGTACTGTTTTCAGCGGGCGAGAGCGGCTGTGACATGGTCATCAAGACGACAGCGGGTCACAGCGACGTCGACGAGGGCCGAGCACATTGCGCAATGCAATGCGACTAAGGAGGCTATCTATCTCAAACAGCTCGTGAAGGAGCTGAGACGGACCATTGACGGGCCAATGGAGGATTAACTCGTCTCTGCGCTGGTTGACGTCGCTGTTGACCAGGAGGATCGACTTCAGACAGAGCAATAAGAATCTAAAGTTGAATACAAGTATCATTCCCCGAGACAGAATTGCGTGCAGAATGAGTTCGAGTTTCGATTCTCGACGATTCTAGTGTGCAAGTCACGGTGCCAATCGCCATCATTGGATCTGTGTGGAGAGAGATTCTCGATCGGCTTCGAGCGCCTCCTTGGGTCGGTAAGTCTCACTGTGTTCCTATCCTTTCATGCTCTCCGTGTGTTTCCGTGACTGATGGTTATCACACAGGCCGACGACGTACCAGCACATCGGCCTCACAGGCACGGAAGACTACCATCAAGAACTTGGAAGACGAAGCAGAAGCTTACTAGAATAGCGCAGGGATGGGACCAGACCAAGTCAGCGAGCGGTTTGATGCTAGCAAGCCTATCGACCCAGAAACTATCGACGCACTGATCGACGATGACGACCTGATCTCAATGAGAATCAAACAGCTTACTAATAAAACCCCGAAGAAGAAAGGACAGAACGGTGGGTGTTGAATCGAGTTCTTTGTGGGATATTGAGAAACATGACTCTCGAGTATCACGCGTCTTCTCCGAGATATTTGCAGCCAGAATCTCGGCAGGTTCATTCGAGAAGCGAGACATATCATATTTCGTCAGGTGTCATACCGACCTATGGACGTTTCCTTCCCTCACAACTCCTACCTCTACCACGTGGGAATATCGACTGGCAATGGCTAGAGATAGACCGTTCATACCCTCAGAGTACTTCGTACCATACGACAAGAGCAGTCATGCCAAGGGAAGCATTATGGAAGTTCGTTTGGCGGCATCGAAGGAGGTTTTGGAGGTGAAAGTTCCAGCATGGAAAGGTGATGGTGAACGGATGGAGCTTGGTCAAGGGCTGATTGGTTTGGGCACCAGCATCCTTGCAGGCCAACCTCTTCCTGCAAGTCCATCGTTCACGACTCGACGGCTGTCCTCGACGCATGCTCGCAAACACTCGCGAGAGGTTGTCGTCGGGGCGCAAAGACAGTCTGCATGAATGGCACTGCAGCAAGCTTTCACGACTTGACCGAGGCGACCAGCGATAGCGAATTCTCGACCTATTCTCATCCAACTAATAGTGCTAATGAAACTCTGCCTAATTATCTGCATCGCATAAACGCCGCCTGGTGCCTAGTCGGGCAGTTGCCAAAGCTCGGATACGCCTGCTGACACATCTTCGACGCTTGTTTTCCTCCTTCTTCCTTTCTATCACGAGATTCTGGTGAACAAGAACACTCTTTGAGAGAGAGCGAAGTCTGCAAAGGCACGACAAGAGTATCAACCAACTGGATACGTTGTCGTGTCTGAATCCTCAAATCCATCAACATCGCAATAAAATTTGATCCCAGTCATTGTCATCGGACTCTGGCAACTTAAAAACATTCCTGGCAGTCTATGTCAACCCAAACACCTCCAACAAAGAAATGGCGAGATACATCGCGGCGACTGTCAACGGCTGGTATCTTCAGGAGTCATATCCAAACCATGAGCCTCTTGAGGCTATCAGAACTCTCGCGATCAAGTCCACAATCAGCATAAAAGCCAAGATCATGAATGATCCTGTGAAAACCTTTGAGGTGTCTACGTTCCCGGCATTCGAAGGTGATATATATTCGATGCACCGAGTCCCAGGCTCGTGCTCACGCCTTTTTTTTTAAATCTGAAGATGACAGTACGCGACAGGGCATGCCAAACACTCCGTCGTCCGCAGGCTTACAACGTCGTCCCGCTGCTCCTGTTCTCGACGAAATCCAGTCTTTCTCACCACCTTCTTCTGCTGCGCTCCTTGAATGGGAAGGATTCAGCCAAAATGGTCGGGATTTTCCTTGATTCTGCCATCCCAATACACGGGCTGTGTTATGGATGCTTCTTCTACACAACATGGCGTATCCGATATACAGGAAACCACATCATCATCAGAGTATCCCCCCAAAATTATGGGCAACCTGCTCGCATTCTGGAACGCACTGTGTTCCGGGACCTTCGGAAAGATGACAACATGTGTTTCTGTTTCTGTCGTTGACGATATCAAATGGACTGAAAAATCACTCACCCTTGTGGTAAGGCTACGAGAGCGATCCCCAGAACAAGGCCACTCTGAAAACCACTCAAGCATACATGACGACACAAGTTGACTCGTAATCTGGTTGGTGTTATGTGTATGGAGAGTAACCATAAAGACTTTTTGGTGTATACTATACACAGTAAACAGTAGCTCTGTATTATTGTATCAATCCAAAACATCATATCTCTCTCATTTATATCTGCATGATCAAACTCAGGCATGTGTCCATGATACATGACAATGATTGACTACCTTGCACCCGTTGGTCATCAGATGCTATGATACAGCTCTCTGATTCGTTGAATCTCGTCACGAACGACTTCATGTCGTAACATTTGAGCTAGAAGCCCCTCGAGGTAGTTTCCTCTGTGAATTCTCAGACAATACATATCCGTCGATACACAGTAGTCTATCGCCCTCCGTGTCCTGTGATCCATCATTTCCGAGCTCGGAGGATGAATGTACCACCAGAACTGCATATCGTACCAGTTCTTACATGAGTCCGACAGGGTCTGTTTGTGAAAAGAAGGTCAACGCTGACCTCTTCTCGACCTAAAAGGCTCCTCGGTCTCCCGATCGCGTCCTACATCGTCAAACTCGAGGTCCCAGCCCCAGACCGACGGGTTGGGAAGGGGAGTCGCAAACTCGTGCCGCCTCGTCGCCGGGGTTCCACCTTCCGTAGGGTACGTCGGCGCGTTGGGTTCTGGCTCGTCGGGCTGAAAAATGGGTTGATGAGGGGCAGGAGGTTCTTCCAACTCCGAGTACCTCGGCCGTCTGACTGACGGGTCCCTGCCGTATCGACTATGACTTTGACTCGTGGAGAAGCCAGGACCGTAGCTCGAGTAGGTGTTGTCTCGAGTATAAGACGAGCGAGACGTCGAACTTCCATATGCTGGTCGACTACTCGATCCCGTATATCGATCAGATCCAGATCGGGATCCGGATTGAGTTGTATCTCTCGAGTAAGAAGAGTGACTGGGCCTTGTATTTTGATTACCTCGGCCAGTGCCACTGAAACCGGAAGTGTTGCGACCTGAGGAAGATGAACAGTATCCTGACGGCATGTTGCTTGAACAATAGTCAGTTGCAAGATGGGTGCTTGATATGATATAACGGATATGAGTAAAACCTCTTGTCGTTGCCGACACTGTTTTGAAGATTTTGGACCGCCGAAAACTTTTTGGAAACGACCAAAGAAGTCTGGAACGGGAAATATACCAAGGGAGAAACGATAGCATCAAATCCATCTCTCTCTCTCTATGTATATATATCATCCTCGTCCAACCAGACCTGAGACTGTTGGCACCGTCACTTGCTCTGACACACTAGGCAGGCTGGTCCGTTGGACACGCGGGTTTACCAAAGCACCCACCCCTTTTCAAAGTTCAAACAAAACTCCGATCGTCATCGTCGACGAGAGGCTCAGGACCTCACGACACTCGCGTCCGTCATGAACCCGATCCCGGCCTTGATGATTTCGATCAACGTGTCCACCTCGTCGTCACTCCTGGCGGAATAGAGCAAGACGTAATTCGCCGGGACGACTTTCTTGCCCAAGAACGACACGCCCGAGAGGGCGTGGAGCTGGCCCCAACCGGCCCGGATCACCTTGGCCGCGTCCTTGGGCGACAGTACCACGTGGGCCGAGTAGTCCGTGTTCGTGTGGACGTGGGAGACTTCTCGCGTGTGGCCACTCCCCAGGGCGTAGACCGGACAGGAGTCCGCCACCCACATGGCGTCGGTGTGCCGTTCGTACTGGGAGAGTTTGAACTGGACCAAGTCCGGGTTCTGTTTGACCAGGGAAACGAAGTCGGACAAGAATTTCTGTTCGTGGGGACCCTCGGTTATTATCAACGTGACACGACGCCCCTCTTGAGACCATGACCGAGAAAAAAAAAGAATCAAATGTTGACCACGCCACTGTGTGGACATACCTGTTGAACTTCCTTGGGACCGTGTTGGTCAAGTTGTCTCTGTGGGATCGGATGTGGACCGACAGATGGCCTCGAACCGTCCCTTGACTTCTGCGCCTTCGTGGGCTCCCATTCCTCCCCCAGCCACGATCTTTGATCGGCGTCCTCCTCGGCCTTGCTCACGTCCGTCATGTCGATCCCCATCAACCGCAATATGTTGGTGGCTGTCCATCCAAACACGTTTGACGGGAGACCCCCTGGGCCGTAGCTGAGGAACAGTCTGTAGTCTTTCCACGCGATTCGGCCAAGCATCAACGAAGCCAGGGCCGCGACGGCGATCGCTGAATATTGCTTTCTCGGGTCATGGCGAACGCTGTTTACAAAGCCCAGGGCGAGGTCGTGTGCTCTTTGTGCCATTTTTAAGAACGTTACCCGTTGTTGTAAGCGAGATGGAAACGTCTTGTATATTAAAACAACGTTCAGATGCTTCGAAGCTCGTCGTCAGATTTAAGGACCCGTCGTTTTAGAAACACGGAATTCAAAGCCGAATTCCGAGTGGAGAGGGAAATACTTTCGGCGTCTACCTGGGTCCCCTATCTCGGCCGAAACTGACAGCGAGGTTTCGTGGTGTGATGATGTATACCGAGTACCAACCAAAAGAACTATCTGATTGTATTCATTGATTGATTGATTGATTGATTGATGATCGACATAAACTTTGGTTACGGCCGTTTGGAAAACAGCTCGTCCTTAAAACTATACCGAACACCGTTGTAAGCCAGTGGGGATATAAATGCTTTGCCAGAATGTTAGGTCAATCCCATGAAATCACGCACCCATCACCAATGTTGAGTCTAGAAAATGAAAATGGAAAGGCAATACTTGACGACCGTCCTCACCAACTCCGCTGTCCATCTTCAGGCCTCCATCTTCCGACCACGTCCACTCTCACGTTGCCCAACTTCTCGAGTGCGTCCACATCTAGGACACCCCTGCCATCAAACACCCACTTGGGTTCCCTCATGTTATATACAATTCTCGCCCATTCAACAGGTTCTTTGGTGATAGGACTGCTGGATCGCGACTTGCAGTCAGGGCAATCCTTTGGGCACACAGGAATAGGCTTGAGTTCGACGCGAAGACCAGCCACAGAATCGATGCCTTGTAGAGATTGACTTCCCCTTTCACTGATAAGTGATAAAGCCCCAAGCTCTGAAATGCACTCGTCCGAGAATGTCCTGTCAAGCTTTGAGGCTGCTGCAATGGCACTGTCCATCCGCGGCTCCCGCATTGTGTTTCGAAATTGATCGCAGTCGTTGATAACCAGGACCGCATTGGCGTCGGCGCAGGCTTGATATGGATCTGAATAAATTTTAACCCGAGATGGTGTGCTCGCATCGTCCGCTGTTCCGCAGTTGCTGATTTCCCTCAAAATATCTTCTTCGTTGCAGTATGGGTCGAAGATTGCAATCTCCGCGGGCTGCTCGTCAAGAAGATTCTTGATGACATCCACAGCGGGAGACTCTCTAGCATCGCCTGTATTCTTCTTGAAGGCAAACCCAAGCATGACAATCTTTTTGCCTGCCAGATTCTCATTGTATCGCCTCAAGATTCTTCTCGCAAAACGCCGCCGTTGAGAGACATTGAGCGAATTGACTTGGCTCCAGTACTCGGCCACCTCGTCTAGTCCCAGGGATTCCGCTAGATATGTGAGGCTGGCAATATCCTTTCTGAAGCAAGACCCTCCGAAGCCTATGCCAGCCTTGAGGAATTGCGGCCCGATTCGGGCGTCCAGGCCGATAGACTTGGCCACTTCGTTGACGTTTGCTCCTGTCGCTTCGCAAATAGCACTGATAGAGTTGATGCTGCTAATGCGTTGAGCCAACATCGCGTTAGCGACCAGCTTCGAAAGCTCAGACGACCAAGCGTTGATCTGGAGTATCTGATTCCGGGGAATCCATGCAGTGTAGAGGTTTGCGAGCAGATCAGCCGCGACTTGCCCAGACGAAGATTCTGCCGAACCAATTATGACACGGTCCGGGTTCAAGAGGTCTTTGATAGCTGTTCCCTCGGAGAGAAATTCGGGGTTCGAAAGGATCTCGAAAGAAACGCCAGGCCTCAGGGATCCAAGCTAGATAGCAGATGTCAATCGAATGATACACCAAAGGCGACTACGCCCATCTCATGCGTGTAATCCTACCGTTTGCCTGATTCGTTGAGCAGTTCCGCATGGTACCGTGCTCTTTTCGACGATAACGGCTCCGGCTTTGGCATAGAGCGCAACATCTTTCACAGCACCGTCCAAGGCAGTCATGTTCGTTGCCCTTCCAGCGCCCACTCCAGACTTCTTCGTAGGCGTGTTGACTGCCAACAAGATCATGTCCGCGGCGCCTATGCTACCAGCGGTGTCAGATGTGAAGAAAAGATTAGGATCGCGTCTCGAAATGAGGTTTGATCCCGCCGCTGGGTCATTTGTAAGAGCGCCGTCTCTTGTCAATCGGACAATATCATTAAGACCAGGCTCATGGATCGGTAGATGACCAGAGTTCCATCTCGTGATACGGCCTTGGTCTTTGTCCAAAACCTCCACGCGAACGGATGGATTATGCAAGGCCAACACTGCGGCAGTAGGTCCGCCTGTGGTCGAACCGCACGGTCAGCTTCGACTTTCCGCTGCTAGAAGGCTCCTAAGAGACGTACCCACGTAGCCAGCTCCGATCACGCATATTCGACTGATGCAAGGGTTCTCTGGCGAGACGGTTCTGGGGGCTTCCCCGGTGTCACACCGGTTAGTGGTCGCTGGTATTTCCTGCTGACAATCATTGAGGATCTGTGCAATGTGCGTAGGGAAAGCATCTTTGGGATGAGAAGGACGAAATAACGGACTGCTCTCTGGGGTTAAGAGGCCAAAGGAGGAGTTAGAAGAGCTGTCATCAGCGAGAGAAGGTACCAAGTCCATCTTGGCCACCACAGCGTAGATGCAGAGATTGTAGGAAAGCGAAGGCACACAGCATCGTAAAAGGACAGGTTTTAAAGATAACGGCAGGGCGATCGCGAGGGCAAACAAAAAGTCACGGCCGTGATACGAGCGCGTCGCAATGGCTGCTCACATGGTCTCTTGCTGAGTTGACATCAGGATGAAGCGTGCACGCGCATTCAAAGACGCGGTGTGAATGGACAGAAGAGAAAACGATGGGAAATGCAGGGAATATAGAAGAGCCTTGGGATATTGATGTTCCACCCACGTGGTGGCAGTGAGCACATATAACGCGCTGAAACTGAGAATGGGAAAATTGCCACTAGAGGATTCATCATGAGAACACGTCGACATCCCGAACTTCGAATGAGAGGGGCATTGAAGGTCATAAGAGTGGCACTTTGGAACTTTTACCTGAGAGACAAATGTAACTGCAAGGATTCGACCACGAAAAGAGTGAAGAGGGAAGAGGAAGAGGAAGGATTCTGTTCGTCTACTGTACAGCACCCAATACCGCGCACCATCAAGAGCCAATAGCCAAGAGCGCAGTCTATTTACCCCTCGCTTTCTCCTTATCGATAACACCTCCGGCATTCGGCGAATCGTTGATGCGACTGCGACAGCCACTAGTGGTTTCCGCTTCCTCACGATGATGGCAAAGCAGTTGTCGCAGCCACAGCCATTAAATTTGGAACTGGCAGCATCTCATAGCGACCAACATGGCACCAAATGCGAGGATGGGTTTCCCGCAATTCTGCAAGGCAAGAGACTCCTGCTCGCGACGGAGTCCCTTGGTCCGGTCAACGGTGTGAGTCGCACCACTCTCAGCCTCGTCGAGTACCTGCGACGCAATGGTGTTCAACTCGCGATTGTTGCTCCTCATTCCAAGGAAACAAGACTGCGACCCAAGGACAGCAATATCCCGGAGCTGCGACTTCCTGGGTACCCACTCCCTTACAACCCTGACTTGACAGTTGTCTATCCCTTTCAGCTCGAAGATGTTTACAAGCGCACCTTCAAACCTGACATCGTGTACCTGGCCAGTCCGGCATCTACTGGATTCCAGTTCTTGCTTCAAATCCGACAGCTTCAGGACCCTCCTGTTGTGTTATTGAATTTTCAGACAGACCTCTCGGCATACAGCGAGATTCTTTTCCCTGGCCCCGTTGCACGATTTTCTGTCTGGTTACTGGGAGTGGTACAAGGCTTTCTTTTCAGCCACCGCAGCGTCCATACAATCTTTTATCCTTCGTCAGGTATTCGCCGATATCTCCTCAAAGCAGGTGCTCCCAGTAGTAGGCTGGTGCAGCTTGGACGTGGAGTAGACACTGCCCTGTTCCATCCTTCTCGGCGTGATGAGTCATATCGCAAGGAGCTTGCTCCCAACGGAGAATTGATCCTTGTCTGCGTTTGCCGGTTGGCGCCGGAAAAGGGGTTTGAGTTTTTGGCGCAAGTCGCCTCCAAGTTGATGGAACAGGACTTTCCTTTCAAACTGGTCATTGTGGGTGGCAACCTCAATCCCGCCGTTGAGAACGACGTTCGTCAGCTGTTCAATTCGACCAAGGAGCATGTTGTGTTCACTGGACTCTTAACAGGCACCAGCCTCGCCCGTGCCTACGCTTCTGCCGATGTCTTTCTTCATTGCTCCATTACGGAGACCTTTGGATTGGTAGTCCTCGAAGGCATGGCGAGTGGCGTGCCTGTAATCGCACGGGACGAAGGAGGCCCGTCCGATATTGTTCAGCATGCAAAGACGGGTTATCTAGTCGCCCCTCACGATCTGGACACATTCGTTGAACGGGTTCGAGGATTTTCTGACGCAACTCTTCTGGCGAGCATGGCAGAAAACGCCAGGGAGTTCGCCCTTGAAACAACCTGGGATAAGATCAACAGAAGGGTCGCTTGGCAACTTGCTGAAGGGTTGCAGGAGCATTTGCGAATTCAACAACGGAAAAGGCCCATTCGGAATTGGTTGGTTAATCGATACTATGACTTCAAGTCAGAGGTAGTGGTACCCTGGGTGGTAGCTTTTCGACTCCATATCGCTATCATGCTGGTGTACATTGTTTGGATGATGGCTGCGGCCGTTTTGTTGCTTTATGGAAACAAGCTGATTCCCAAAAATTGGCATTTCCTGCAGAACATGCCTGTGGTGATACGACAAGGGTTCCGTCGATGTTCAAAACAAGGATTACGAGAATTGTTGCAACAGCTCTCGATATGAGGATTATGGGCATTCAAGCCGCAAATGGGTCACGAAACTGCGGTGCGCTTGAAACCCCATGGCGGGCGGTGTAACATCACCGAACACGATCAGAAGACCCAAAGTCTACGAGCAACGAGCTCTTTTCACTCGCAAGAGTGTTCAGACTGTCCACACGCACCTCACTGACCAAAAGCGATCACAGATGGACTTGTACTGCATCCATGAGTCAGTCAAACCGCACGCAGCGGTCATGGTCAGCATTTATAATGCACTCTCATATCTTGTCATATACTTCCAAGATTGTCGTTCCCAGGTCATGCGTATCCGTATCAATCGCCCCTTCGATGGAACGGGCATATACCCATAGCTTCACTCATTTCACGCATGACTCGAGGCGCTCCTTCAATGTGGCGGCGAATGCCTTCAAAATCATGTTCGGGCATCTCTGCAGTGACCATGTGAGGTCGCGATTTGGGATCTTTATTCCGGTGCAGGAGAAACTCTCTTCGCCGCATTGCTGCTTCCCAAACCGTCTTCCAATGCGCTCCAATATCATTCGTCCAAAAGAAGCCACATAGGATTTTGTTTAGGCGACGCCAGTCTCGGGCTTCTGGGAACAGGTCAAGCACATGATCGAAGACAGCATGACTAGAAGGCATCGGTGCCACTCTCAATGCCAGAACACCCGCAACGGCCATGCTTGCCCAGATAAACGCATGCTGCTCCTCAACACAGGTTGGCTTCGGCTGAGCAGGGAGTGTCGCGATGAACCTGCGAAGAATTGGGTCGTAGAATAGGTTAAGTGGGGTCAATGACCGAAGTTGGAACATGTACGAGATAAGTCCAGAAGTGAGACTGAGCTCGACGGGAACGACCGAGGTCAAGGACATTCGTTGCAAGGATGATAATAGCGCCTGAACCATAGATTGTTGACGTCGGACGTCGAACAGGCAGTCATCAGAGGAAGATAAGGGGACCGAGACACCGTCAAGGAGGCTCTTTGTGCCTAATAAGGTTGTTGCTCCTGCGACCGCTCCTAGCATCATGATCATTTGAACAGAAATGCGACATTTCAAACAGACATCCGACAGGCCTGGAGGTAGCCGAGACAGTATGGTGCAAAGGTCTGGATCGAAAGGTGGTTCGGGGTAGGCGAGCGGCTTGTCGAGGGACAGTTCTTCGAAGGTTTCCTTTAGATACCCAATAGACTCGGGCGGTATATCAGGCGGTCTACCTGTGACGAACGATCCAAGTGCCTTGTAGCCGGTCAGCCCGTGCCTGACAAATTTCGCCCAGTCGGTTTCCTTGCCCTCCTGGCCAAGAGGTCCTCGAAGCTGTAGCATCTTCTCCAGGCCTTCGCAATGCATCTGGACCGCAGAATGGTTTCCCATTAGATACTCGAGCGTCATGAGCATGGTGGCGGTCAACAGAGCGTCGTCGTCGGTGCACTGGTTGGTCCTGATTTTGGTGTTGAGTCCCGCGATGGCGTTTCCGCGGTGCTGGATGAAGGCGGCATCTTCGAGCGCGGGACGGTCCAGCGAGAGCAAGACCGAGGCGCGGCACACGGCGATCATCGACTCGAACAGTATCGGGTGTTTCAGCGCGTACGGGAGCAGCAACGAGAGGTGAGGGTTCACGGGGCCCGGGACGGACGAATCTTCGGGGAAACCGCTGCAGATGGTGATGAAGTAGTCCATCGTGTCCCGCACACAGTCGGTGGCCTTGATCGGAAAGTACATGAACGGATCGACTCGCGTGCCGTTCAGGGGAAGAGGTTGGAGCGGAGATGCCATTGTGATTGCCTGGTGGCACCACGGTGAGGCGGTGTTGTCTTTGCCTTTGTCGCAACCTCCTTTGCAGGGCGAGGGTTTCCTTTCCGGGTCGTCGTCGCCGTCACCGTCTGTTTGTCCAGTGGGCGGCGTCCATAATACAAACTGATTACTCCTACTTTCCAGTCGTCGCTTCTTGGGGTCGTATTTTTTCCATCGGATCTTTTTGTACTTGGATAGTCCCGTCGAGACGTCCTTGGGACCGATGTTCGATGCCGGTGTCGATTGGTCAGAGGGCGTGGGCAACGCCGACTCTGCAATAGCCATGAGTGCCGGAGATATTGTCCCTCAAGTGGGAAGGAAGATCTCCTTTGCGATGCACGGGGAGAAGGGCCCACACACTTTGTCTAGATGCCACCCCTCTCTCTCAAGATACGTACAAGATTGTCTTCTGGTAGAAGTAGGTAAATAAGAGAAGCCTAATTAATTTAGTCGTCGAGATGACTAGACCCTGATTCAAGGACGGAAAAATGTCAAGCGGTCAGACGGAGAAACGAGGGCGAAAGTTATGCTTTGAATTTGTCGTCAGACAACGAATATCGGACTTTCTCCCAACAGCTGACTAATGAGGTACCGAGTGACGGCGAAAATACATCGAGAAACGGAGTCACATTGGCCGGTAAGAGGCACGAGGTATAACGATTCTTTTCTTTTGCCTTAGCAATTTCCAATCCAACACAGGTATCATAATGCTACACGACAATCCCTCCTGAGACACAGAATATCGAGTGCCTCGACTAGAACTGTTTTGTCAGGGCTCTTGATCTTCTCCCTCTGGCTCCTCGTCTTCGTCTTCTTCGTCAGCTTCGTCTTGTTCTTCATCGCCGTCTTCCGGCTCTTCATAACCTTCAGGAACATCAGGCTCTTCGGACAGCGGCGTCTGCCCAGCTTCAAGATAGCTTGACGTCGTTTTGCGCTTTGATTTGCTCAGTCGACCTTTTCCACTACCACCAGATGTTGGGAGTGAGCCAGCGGTGGTTCGACAGAGGGATCGGTAAGCTGCAGCCCACTCGAGCTCTTTCTTGGAGGCATCCTTGCCCAAGAATCCCATAGACGTCCTGATCTGATCGCTAGAGTCGGCCATACCCATTCCTTCCCAGTAATCCGGTAGAGTCAAGAAGTTCCGCATGGCTGCTGGGTCCAAGGTCTCGTGGCTTATAAGGGCATCCGATTTGGCTTTTAGTGCGATTCGAATCTTCGCCATGGTCCCATTGCTATACCAGCCGAAGTATCTGAGCTCACATTCATGTCGAAGATTGATCTCCGGCGTATCAACCAAAGGTTTCAGATCGGGATCCTCCAGATCACACAGCTGCCAGAGTTTGCCGTCGGTCGGGTACGGCGGCTTGCCTGTGAAAACGTGGGAAGACCTGTCCTTGCTTCTTGCCCATGAGCGGTCGAATCCTTCTCCGCTGTGCAAAAGCTGCATCATGACCGTCTGGTATTTGCGGTAAGAGGGGTCTTTTCGCGGGTCTAGACCAAATTTGCAGAACGTGTCTCTCCAGGGTCCCGAGCGAAGGGCGTACGCGACGTAGGAGATTATATAGCGGGCGGCAAACACAGGGGCGTCGTCCGGAAACTGGTTTATAAGAGCTCGCCGGGTCCAAATAGGCCGCTGATCGAACAGCCTTTGAATGAGTCCGTACAACTGGATGTGACTGTCCGGAAAGTCTTGGAGAGGAGGGCAGTCGGGGTTTGGCTGATCTGGGTATTTTTCGTCGTTCCACTGACACTGATAGGTGAAGAGCCGTTGGGGTGCCTGAGTGTTGAAGAGTGACCTCTTACCGGTTGCCGGGTCGGATACAGTCTTTACAGCCGGATTTTGTCGATACGTGTAGTTTGAAGACAGAGTCTGGGTGGACAGTACAGCAGGTGGAAATATTTCGGTATCTTGCAGTCCGTACGACTCAGGTAGAGACCATTGCTTGACGAGCGGGTAATCCTGTGGCATGATTTTCGACTGCACTTCGCGGAGGAATTGCGAGTCTCTGGTTGAGTACACTAAATCCGGCATCGTGCGCCAGATATGCGTGGAGCTGATTTTGCCCACAACTTCTGCCTCATACCTTTTCGAATTGTCATGGAGAGAGCGTAGTAGGTAAGCTACATCTTTTCGATTGTCCTCTTGTGAGTGCTCAACAAACTCGTCTTCTGAGCCACGCTTCCTCTTTCTGCCTGTCCTCTTAGGCAGTGTGAGCTTGAGGAGTAGATTATCAGTCTTCTTATTGTATGAGATAACAGTTCGACTGTCCGGGTTGTCCAACTGGAATCTGAGCCCTAGGGTTTTTTCACCGTCGATATTGAGAGCCTGGGCAATTTCGCTGGGACCTCCCACCATCTGGACAGCCTTCTGCGAGTTTTGTACGATGCATGGATGCTCAAGAGAGAGCACAGGCGTGGATGGCACTCGATACCTCCGGGTTGACGATGAGTCCATCATCAAAAGAGACATGTCCAGCACCGGAAAGTGGATGTGAGAGAGTGGAAGATCTCAGAATTCTTTGCAGATTGTAGTTGACCCGCAAGCATGCGGCTCTCGCCCATTGGTTTTGTTCTGGGAGGAGTTTCACCTGGAATTCACGCACTCATCCTCGAACTTCATAGTGCAGCACTGGAGTGAACGAATATTGGCCTCATTACCTGTGGAGATCTCGAGTCATGACCGAGTCTTAGCAGAGGAGTACCTCATCACAACCCATAGGCAATCCTGATGATTGATTGTTTAGACTTGAAGCCTGCATCTCATCAACATACAGAATCCAGCCGTGGCGTGTTTGACATTGATATATATGTCTTGGCAGATTGTATGTGGTCATCAGCTTATTAGCGGCTCTAGCAACAACGCTCCGACCTCTAAGAAGCCCATCTTGTTGTCGCTTGTAATTGAGAAGCCCCCACTGACCCAAAGCCAGCCTGCGCTCCTCTCCTGGCACTCTATGGACCGTTCATCTTGAACTCGCAAATACACCACCACCTTCCTGTAGCGACGTTCCCATACAATACGCAAATGGACGTTCATGTACTGTATCTGCATTGATCAGCCATACGTCAATTCAACTCGACCAAGCCACAGCCATTTCTTCGACCATTGTTGGCCCACGAACACACACCACACGTCAACACACTCCTATTGCACTCCGTATGTCGCCTCAAAACGCCTTCTGCAGGTCTTTGCTAATTCCATTCCACCTCCACAGTCCAACGTTGTTATTGTCGCCCGAATTGTTACCCAGCGACTCGCTTTCCTACAATGAGGAATTGACATAATCTCTCTGACGCCGCATTCCCACACAATCGGACTCTTCCCATCCAGACCCTCGTGCCCATCATCTTCGGCATCCACCTAGCCTCATACGGATGAAACAGTAACAGCTTGTTTCGTTTGTGTCAAAAGAGGTGGCGCGATATTGCGACATTTCTGTTGACGCCATCAGTCGAGTGACAAGTCTAGGGCTCTCTAGACAACATGAAAGGCTTCAGGCAAAGAGTGGTACGTATCTCCGACGTTGTTTTTCCCGATCAACCCAGCTTCTCCGGCCTGCTTTTCCCCCGCTCCAGTGCTCCAGCTCACTGATGTCCAGCACGAGCAGTTATCGAGAGCGAAAGATTCGAATAAATCCTCCAAGAAGAAAGACTCGTCTTCAGGCACCGCGTCTCCTCTCTCCTCCTCGACGACGCTTCCCGGCGCCGACTCCCGATCCCCAAACGCCTCCAACGCGGCAACGCCCAACTCATCCTCAACAAATGTCAGTGACATCCGAGGGAAAGGGCCCAATAACGAAGGCGGGTTGAGCACCCATGGTAATACGCTACATCACACTGGACACGGTCAAGGAACAGGTGTTGGAAGTCAACATTTTATGTCCCAGGGTGCTAGTCATGGCCCTGGTGGGCCAAACACACCTGGACGCCAGGGAGGTCACATTGCGCCCAGCGTGATAATCAGCCCGAGCGCTCCTCACATCCCTGGACCAGGTGCTACTGAAACGATGCCTGGTGACCTCGCTCCGCCGAAGGCAGGCCAGAAGTCATTGCTCTTCGACCGATTACAGACTACACCGAAGGACGTCCCAGAAGGCGTACGAACCCCCAAGCGACAACATTCTTCACGCTTCGACGTTTCCGACCAAAGAGCACGAGACCTTGAGAAACTACCGGGCTTCCATGAAGTTCCTCCGAACCGGCGGCAGGAATTGTTCATGCAGAAGATAGATCAGTGCAACATCATATTCGACTTCAATGATCAGACTGCGGACATGAAGTCGAAAGAGATCAAGCGACTCGCCCTCCATGAGCTCCTGGATTACGTCGCCAACAACAGGTCTGTCATCACGGAGCCTATGTACCCTAAAGTGGTCGAAATGTTCAGCAAGAATCTCTTTCGCCCAGTGCCACCGCCAGTCAACCCACAAGGAGAAGCGTTTGACCCAGAAGAGGACGAGCCTGTCCTCGAAGTGGCATGGCCCCATATTCAGGTGGTTTATGAGTTCTTCTTACGATTCATCGAAAGCCAAGATTTCAATACAAATATCGCGAAGGCATACATTGACCATCACTTTGTCCTTCAGCTACTTGAACTATTCGACTCGGAGGATCCCCGAGAAAGGGACTTTCTCAAAACCACACTGCACCGCATCTACGGCAAATTTTTAAACCTTCGATCTTATATCAGAAGGTCTATCAATAATGTCTTTTTCCAGTTTACGTACGAGACAGAGAGGTTCAACGGCATAGCCGAGTTACTCGAAATTCTGGGTTCAATCATCAACGGCTTTGCTCTACCCCTCAAAGAAGAACATAAGCTGTTCCTAACAAGGGTTCTTCTTCCCATGCACAAGGTCAAAAGCCTAAGCATGTACCATCCACAATTGGCATACTGTATTGTCCAGTTTTTGGAGAAGGATGCGGCCTTGACAGAAGAGGTATTGTCTACATGTCGAAGACCCATTCACCGTTATTGACGATGTCCCAGGTTGTTCTCGGTCTCCTTCGTTATTGGCCCAAGACCAATAGTACTAAGGAGGTCATGTTCTTGAACGAAGTAGAAGACATTTTTGAGGTTATGGATCCTCAGGAATTCGCCAAAGTCCAAGAACCGCTCTTCAATCAACTAGCCAAATCCGTGGCTAGCCCCCATTTCCAAGTAGGACCAATACTGTTCTGAGTGAATAAGTAACTTACAGCTTCTAGGTGGCAGAACGTGCATTGTACTTCTGGAATAACGAGTACTTCTGCAACCTCGTCAGCGACAATGTCGAGACCATCCTGCCTATCATGTTTGCACCTCTTTATGAGAACTCTAAAGGTCACTGGAATCGGTATGTCATGGTCACCCCGATGATATGTACGTCTTCTAATTATACATAGGACGATTCATGGCATGGTCTACAATGCTATGAAACTGTTCATGGAGATCAATCCTCAGTTGTTTGATGAATGTTCTCACGGGTACAGCGAAATGCAGAACACTGCCGACGACCGTGAAAAGGCTCGTCAAGCAAAGTGGGATAAACTCACTGAGCAAGCCAACAAAATGAAATCGGGAACTGAGAAGCCAATCTCAGCTGCAACTACTACAAAGGAGGTCGAAACAGATGCCACACAAGACAACCAAGAGAGACTCGACGCTCTCAAGTTGCACGATGAATCTTCAGCAACAAAAACATCATCGGTACGTGGATCAAACTAGCTTCGACCAGACAGCATGCAAACTCGTCCCCTGCTTCCACTTCCCATACTATCCTTCCATTGGCTAAGAGACCATCGTCTTATTTTAGTGACCTTGATGGCTGTTTCTAACAAGCACTCGAGTAATCAGAGACGCCGAGCAGATTCACATGGAGGGCAATCCAAGTCTCGGAGGTCTAACAGTGGTTCGGAAAACAAACCACGACGGCATCGGACTCATTCGAGCGGGTCGGTCGATATTCATCACCGAACAGTACATCATGCCGCGCGACACGGAAGCACGCTGTCCCATTGATTTTGCTATGAGCCGGGGTCACGCTTTGACATTTTGACGACCTGTTTGGATCTTGAAATGCCAATGTGAGCAAGCGTTGACTTTCATAGAGTTTTGTGTACATCTCGCGCAATCAGTCGCCGATGACTGGTACAATGTCTGATGATGCGGATATTCTGCGTTGGCTTTTGGGAATAGTGGTTGCAAAGTAATAGAGTAGGAGGCCTGCATAGTTGCCTCTTCGGAATGAAGATAACGAGCAATGCAGTCAAAGGACGAGTTCTAAAGCCAATGCATCCTGGATGAGGTGGACGGTGTTTGATTGAGATGGAGACTATTCCACTATGACTTTCTGCTATTTCCTGGAGTTTCATGGGTGCACTCACCGCTTCTCGGTCCTACCATGTGAAATCATACTTCCAAAGAGGGAGGAGAGATTTGCACGACGCCTATCACGAAAGCTATCTTCTTGTTACCAACGATTCCTATCCTCGCTGAATACCTGTGACCAACGTCAAGTGGGGTGCGATCACACTGTCACACTCTTTGCCCTTTGTGAAAACTCCCAGTTGCAGCTTTCCATGTACGATCCTCCCTAGAACAATGGCCTTTGCGTTCCCTTGGCGACGTTTATAGTCTCTAGTATCGTGTCGATGGTATGCCAGTGTCCAATTTTAAAATATAAGTCACCGCACGTGAAGTCCAATATCTTTTTTAGACTACACCGGACAGCGCTCTGCAGTGATCAACCGAAATCTTTCTTGTCATCTCGAATACTTTCGGGCTTTCATTTGGCTCGTGCGTACCAGGGAATTGTGGTCAACAAGCGCGAGGAGGATGGAAAGTACGGAGTACACAGGTAAGCATAGGAGAAAATGATTGTCTGACAACTCAATCCGTCACTGTCGTAGTGATACACTGTCTCTGGTTGGTCAATTGGAACAAGTAAATGTCAGACAACTCTGCTTTCTGGGAGACCTGAATGGCTGAAAGTAAGTGACTGATGTTCACGCTATTCCCTTTCAAGATATAGCGTCATTTGGATTTGGCTCGCGACTCTCCCGCATTCGCGATTGCGATTCTTCCTCTCGGTCTCCAATTGTGCAAAAGAACCAGACAATATCAAAGGCTCCCTTCAAGCCACGAGGCACTTCGCCCATTTCTACCCTTTCTTTCTTCCTAAAGTGCATAGAAGTTGGCCGAGGGCAGTTTCTACATAATCTTATTCTTGCACTTCGACGTTCTCTACCCAATTGATACGCCGACCATTTTCTTCCTCTTCCAAATGCCAATGGGTCTTTTGAGTCTCGAGCCCTTATGAAGACGCCTCAGGATCCTGGCGCAGTCCATACTCGATCTCTCTCCTACCTGGTGTAGTCAGAGTGGCCATCGGGATCATCTTGCAACATGGACGCCTCCCAGAAAATTGAATTTTATGCTACGAGGCTTTCAGATCCAAAGACAGGCAAGTTGTCTTCTTGGGCGGCTTCACGTACGACTATACTAACTCGCATGCTTTGACAGACACGAAAGTAAAGGCCAATGTAGCCACTGATCTACGCGATTCCATCGAGACTTTGTGCTCTCCTCCAGCGGTTTTCACGAAGTTCCTGTCCAAACTTTGGCCTGTGTTCAAGAAGATACTCGAAGGCAAGCCAGACTTCAACCCTACCTCCTTTGAACACATCCTACGGAACCAGATCCTTGAGATCCTCCATAGACTCCAGCATGGCCCGCCTGAAGTTGAACCTTATGCGCTGGACATGGTTGATACATTGATGGAACTGGTGCGGGTTGAGAATGAGGACAACGCAGTTCTGTGTTTGAAGACAATCATGGATCTAGAGCGTCACCAGCAGCAAGCGACAGTCTCTAAAGTTCAACCATTTCTGGATCTGATTCAAGAGATGTTTGAGATGATGGATCAGGTTGTTCGTGACACCTTCGACTCACCGCCGCCTCATTCCCAGGGTTCCTCCTCTACGCCCAATCCCCCCGGCCAGAACCTACAGTCCCCAAGACCTGGGTCTCCAGCGACCACTGTGTCAGATCCAGGCACTGAAAAAAGAGAACATCATCCATTGGCGAAGGGCATGCATTCTTTCAAAGTCCTCTCGGAGTGTCCCATTATCGTGGTTTCGATATTCCAAGCCCACCGAAATTCAGTTCCAGCCAATGTCAAAAAATTCGTCCCATCTATAAAGGGAATTCTTCTACTACAGGCGAAACCACAGGAAAGAGCACATGCTGAAGCTGCGGCAAACAAGACCATATTCACAGGAGTTTGCAAGGAGATCAAGAATAGAGCTGCGTATGGGGACTTCATCACGGCGCAGGTCAAAACTATGAGTTTCCTGGCATACCTCTTGAGAGTCTACGCGAATCAATTGACGGATTTCCTACCCTCCCTCCCCGCCATCGTGGTTCGCCTGCTTAAGGATTGCCCGCGTGAGAAGTCCGGAGCCCGGAAGGAATTACTTGTTGCGATACGTCACATCATCAACTTCAACTATCGCAAGGTCTTCTTGAACAAGATAGACGAGCTGCTGGATGAACGTATTCTGATTGGCACCGGTCTAACAGTGTACGAAACTATGCGACCTTTAGCATACAGTATGCTTGCCGACCTTATTCACCATGTCCGGGATTCGCTCGATCGCAATCAGATCCGCAAAACGATTGAGGTCTACACGAAGAACCTTCATGACAACTTCCCTGGCACGAGCTTTCAGACTATGAGCGCCAAGTTGCTTCTCAACATGGCTGAGAGCATCACTAAATTGGACAACAAGGAAGATGCGCGCTATTTCCTCATAATGATCCTTGATGCCATAGGCGACAAGTTTGCGGCGATGAACTATCAGTATAACAATGCTGTCAAGTTGAGCAAGCAATACATCGAGAAATCAAAGGACATACAGCCAGAAATGTATATGGATGACAAAAACGAAGTGCCAGACTGGGACGAGGTAGACATTTTCTACGCTGCGCCCATCAAAACATCCAACCCACGTGATCGTGGCGCTGAACCCGTTGTCGACAACAAGTTCTTGTTCAAGAACCTTGTTAATGGGCTCAAGAACATGTTCTACCAATTGAAGACTTGTAATCCTCCTGGGCTCAATGTCGACGCAGCGAGCATTCCCATGAACTGGGCCGAAGTTTCTTTTGGCTACAATGCTGAGGAGACACGCGTGATCACGAAGCTTTTTCACGAGGGTGCTCGAGTCTTTCGTTACTACAGTGCCGAAGCCCCAACGCCTGATCTACAGTACTCTTCCCCTGTCGACTTCATGGCGAGTCATTCCATGGCTCAAATGACTCGTGAGGAAAAGGAATTGTTGGAGAGCTTCGGTACTGTGTTTCATTGTATTGACCCTGCGACATTCCACGAGGTGTTCCAAGCTGAAATCCCGTATTTACACGATCTGATGTTCGAACATACTGCATTACTTCACCTACCCCAATTTTTCCTGGCCAGCGAAGCAACTTCTCCCGCATTTGCCGGGATGGTTTTGCAGTACCTCATGGACAAACTTCCCGAGGTCGGATCTTCCGATATAGTCCGCTCGTCGATACTGTTGCGAATGTTCAAGTTATCCTTCATGGCAGTCACGCTCTTTTCGACGCATAATGAGCAAGTCCTCTTGCCTCATATCACTAAGATCATCACACAATGTGTACAGCTGAGCGTGACAGCTGAAAAGCCGATTCATTACTTTATCCTGTTGCGTTCCCTCTTCAGGAGCATTGGTGGTGGTCGATTTGAACTTCTGTACAAGGAGATTCTTCCCTTGCTAGAAATGCTGTTGGAAACATTCAATCACCTGCTGCAGGGTGCAAGAGATCCTCATGATAGGGATTTATACGTCGAGCTTACGCTTACTGTGCCCGCGAGACTCAGTCACCTGTTACCGCATCTCAATCACCTAATGAGACCTCTTGTGGTTGCACTTCGGGCGGGTCCCGATCTTGTTGGCCAAGGTTTACGCACACTGGAGCTCTGTGTTGATAATCTCACCGCAGATTACCTTGATCCCATCATGGCGCCAATCATGGATGAACTGATGGCGGCTTTGTTTGAGCACCTTCAGCCACAACCCTATCAGCACTTCCATTCTCATACTACCATGAGAATACTTGGAAAACTTGGTGGCCGAAACAGGAAGTTTCTTAACCATCCTCATGAGCTTGCTTACAAACGGTATACCGACGACGACCCTAGTTTCGATATCAGACTTATTGAGACCAGCCGTGATCGCGCCTTTCCCCTCGAAACTGGGGTCGATCTCGCAATCCGAAGACTCAGCGAGACCGCCAAGAATCCCTCAAAGAAATCTCTGGATCTTTATTACAAGCAGCAATCGTTCAAGCTAATCAGCAATCAGGTCAAGCTCTTGATTGGATTTGACAACCTTCCTGATGATTTTGCAGCCTTGCTTCGTCTTGAAGCCAATGATCTTGTCTCTCGACGCTTCTCTACCTACACTCACATGCTGACTCACAATGACCTTGGCAAATCAGTCCATAAACGTCGAGAACAGGAAGAAAGCCTGAAGAAATTGCTGAAGGCTTGTTTCGCTGCTACCACCATACCCGACTTGAAATCTCAAGCTGACTCTTTCATCACTAATGTGTCTCGTCACTTCACAATCGTCGAATTAGGACAATCCTTGTGTGATGCAGGTCGAAAGATGAAAGAGTTCGATGTCAATTCAGGGGAAGGGGCGGTACATCTCAGCACTCGAACACTGGCTGATGTGATATGCCACTGTCTGGCATCGGACAACGTCACTATCCGGGAAGCTGCAGAGACGTCTCTGCTTGCAGTTGTCGACACTGCTCGAACCATATTTGGTAGTGAAGAGAGGGCTGCTAGATTGCCATTCTTCTCGCATCTAATTTCGACCTTCTGTCACAGATGTCGTGAGGTCGAATGGTTCACCAAGGCCGGTGCGACTCTCGGCATCCAGCTGGTGATCACCAAATTGGCACTAGGCAATGCCTTTTTACACAGCAAGCAGCTTGAGATTATCAGGGCTCTCTTGTTTGTCATCAAAGATACTCCACAGGAATTTCCCGCCAGTACTCGCATCATGGCCCAAGAAACGCTCGAGTTCATTCTGCGCAAAGTCTGCGTTGGACAGACCCGAGAAATGTTGGTCAATGAGAAGAGCACGATCCATGCACTTTCTGTGACGTTCAGTGTTGAACTTTCGCACATGAATAAGCATGCCCGAGAAACCGCACAACGCGCTTTCTCGACCATGGCCGAAGTGGTAGGCGTGGACGTCCACGAGTTGATCGCTCCGGTCAAAGAAAGACTTCTGCAACCCATATTCAACAAGCCGCTTAGAGCGCTGCCGTTCTTGTCACAAACTGGGTTCATCGATGCGATAACCTACTGCCTCGGGCTCGGACACGATTTTGTCCCCTTGAACGATCAGTTGAACCGTCTGATGATGGAGTCTTTGGCCCTTGCGGATGCTGATGCCGAAATCCTACATCCTAAACCTGATGAGTACAACAATGCCCAGCTTATTGTCAATCTCCGGGTTTCGTGTCTCAAACTCCTGTCATTGGCCATGAGTTTGCCGGACTTTGCTACCGGGCCACAGAACACGAGTCGAGCTAGAATCATCACTGTGTTCTTCAAACTGCTCTACTCGAAATCCCCCGAAATCATCGATGCTGCCAACGCGGGACTGGAGAAGGTCCTAGTTCAGACCGCCAAATTGCCAAAAGATCTTTTGCAGAATGGTTTGAGACCGATTCTGATGAATTTGCAAGATTCAAAGCGACTTACTGTTGCCGGCCTCGAAGGTCTCGCTCGCTTGTTAACCTTGTTGACGAACTACTTCAAAGTCGAAATAGGTGCACGACTCCTCGAACACATGAAAGTCATCGCCGAAGAGCAGCTCCTCCAAAAGGTCTCATTTGGTCTAATTGAGCAGAATCCACAGATGAAGATTGTGACTGCGATTTTCAACATCTTTCATCTTCTCCCTTCGGCTGCTACGAGCTTTATGGCAGATCTCGTGGACAGCGTTTTAGATTTAGAGTCAAAGCTGCGCCGCACAGTGGCCAGTCCGTTTCGCCAGCCTCTTATTCTTTACCTGGACAAGTATCCCCAAGAGACATGGGCCTTCTTTCAATCACGCTTACAGGAAGAGAAATATGGAAGATTTTTCGGGCAGATACTTGCCTCCGACTTGAGTGCGAATCTACGCAAATTCGTCATGAACGAATCCGAAGCCTTGGTCAAGGCCGCCTTCGAGGCAGAAGAAGGCCAGGACGGAGATACCGCAGCAATCAATGGTATCTATGTCATCCATTCAATCTGCTCTTCTGATGCTGCTAAAGACTGGTTGAGCGAACAGCCACAGCTTCGCGCAAAGGTGCTATCCGCAGGCCAAGAGCTAGAGGGTCGACTACGTGCGGACACTTTGCAACCTCAACAGCGACTGCGAGTTGAACAAACAGGTGACCGGGTAATGGACATTCTGACTTCTTATCTTTCATCCGCGCCGGAAGATCTCGACTTCATGATGGAGTTCTTCTCTGCGTCAGCACAAGGAGAAATCAAGACCCCACTCAAATTATCGCAATATCTATTCAACTCCATCATCACTGATGACTCGACCCAGCGACGGTTTAACATCATTGAAAGATGCCTCGAAATTTACGCACAGAAAGCAGGATCGCAGAAAGTCAAAACATTCCTCCTGCACAACGTGGTCAACCCAATAATGGCACGAGACATTCAGAATACTCGGCGTGAGAACAATCAAGCCGGCAGCATCAGCGACACGAAACTGTTCAACTTGTTCCTGGAGCGTTTGTGGAAGCCTGCAGCTTCCGAAGTAGGCGACGATTCATCACAGCCGGGCATTGATCACTCTCGGATGGAAGCACTACAACTTTCTTCTTTCGTTCTGAAGTATCACAAAGACGAAGTATCTGAAGATCGTAAGGATATCATCAAATACTCGTGGGGTCACATTAAACTGGAAGACGTCATCAACAAATATGCTGCATACGTGCTCATTTGCTATTTTATTCGATCCTACGACACGCCTCAAAGAGTTGCTGTACAAATCTACAACCAACTGCTAAAAGCCCACCAGAACGAAGGCAAAACCTTGGTAACACAAGCACTGGAAGTTCTCGCTCCAGTCTTACCTGCCAGGATGGGAGCCAACGCGCCTGGTGACAAGAGATCTCCCCATTGGGCCCGTCTACCACGGAAGATCTTGAACGAGGAAACCGGCAACCTTCAGCAAGTTCAGAGCATCTTCAACTTTATCGTCCGCCAACCCGACCTCTTTTATGAATCACGAGAATTCTTCATCCCCACTATCGTTCAAATGTTGCACAAGATCGCTCCACCTCCTAACCCATCAAATGAGAACAAAAAGCTCGCGTTGTCCCTTATTGGCTTGATACAGCAGTGGGAGTCGAGGCGAGTTTCTGCGGGATCTCCGTTGCAGTCCACCGCTGAGCTTACACCCTCACGGAAGCGAGACTCTTCAGGCACTCCCGTTCTAGCACCTCCATCGACGAAGGAAAGGACTGAGTATCTGATTCCAATAGAGCATCGCACTCTTGTTGTGAAATACATGATTACCTTCATCACATCCTTACCCGAACGATATCCTGTTCCGGCGTCCGAACTTAAGGCTAAATCAATGCAAAAAGCTCAACAACAGCCTCTGCCGAACGAGATGTGCAAGAAAGCTGTGCAGCTGCTCCGAGATCTCCTGGCTCCGAATCTTTGGGCCGATGTCGATGTCGGCCTTTACGAAAAGCTTCTTGATCCACTCCTGAGCAGCGAAAAGGCGGACAAAGCAGATGAAAAGCAATTGACATGCATGATCAACGCGTTACAGGTCATGCGTATCTTAGTGAGCACCAAGACAGACGAATGGATCGTCGACCACATGGAAAAAGTCCAAAAACTGTTAGAAAAGCCTCTGAAAATGGATGACCCAGAGGTTCAGGATTGCTTACATTTTGTCACCGACGACGACAAAACCCCTCCCTTGGTTCGTCGAGTTCTTGAGGCCATCCCCACACAGCGAAGCGATGACGAAGACGCCATGGAGCTGGATTCAACCCCAACAGATTTCCCTACACGTTATTCGAAGGTGCTTATTGGGGAAGGTCTCTCGTCTGGCAATTACACATCGGCCATCAACAATTTATGGACCCTCTCCGTGGTGCGGCCTGCTGAGGTTGATGATCATATCCCTGGTGCTATGAAAGCACTGCAACAAAAGCTTGCCAAGGATCATATCAATGCCTACATCATACCACCAGGACCTCCGCCGCCGGGCTGGCGCATGGGTGAACCGCTCATGGATCCTTACGAATTCGCCCTTGGCGTGGACTTGATCAAGAAGACCATCGATATCCTCTCCTCCCGCATGGGGGACCTCAATGAACAGAGACGGCCTTTTTTGAGCGTGCTTGCTTCGCTTGTTGAGAAATCCTTCAACGTTGAAATGTGTGGTAAGGTCCTGGATATGGTTGAAAAATGGGTGTTCAACTCGACGGAACCGTGGCCAACATTGAAGGAAAAGACTGCGGTGCTCCACAAGATGCTTATCTTTGAGAAGTGGCAGAATCAGACCCTTCTTGAACGCTTCCTGGAACTGGTGATCAAGATTTATGAAGATCCCACAGTGACCAGAACAGAATTGACTGTTCGTTTGGAGCATGCCTTCCTAATTGGAACACGAGCAACAGATGTGGATATGCGCAACCGATTCATGAATATCTTCAACCGGGCTTTGTCAAAGACGGCCAGTTATCGGTTGAACTATGTCTTGACTCTGCAAAATTGGGACACATTAGCAGACTCATTCTGGTTGAAGCAGGCTTCACATCTCATCATGGGCTCTGTGGAAATGTCGATGCCTGCGCGACTTCATCCCGAGGATGTTCGCGTGTGCCCAATGTCAAGTCTATTCATGCCTGGCCTTGTAAATCCAGAACAAGGCAAAGACGATCTCCTGATTGAGGATAGTCTAGAAGCTCTCGTTGTGGCGCAACGTCGTTTCAACCAGGACATTCAAGAAGTTAAAGTACGTGATCTCCTTGACCCGATCACCCAGCTTCAGCACACAGATGACAGTATGGCTTATGACGTCTGGGTCAAACTCTTCCCGCTGTGCTGGTCGGCACTAAGCAGAGACGAGCGCCTCGACCTAGAGAAGGGCATGGTTACGCTTCTTACTAGGGAGCACCACCAAAGACAGCTCAATCTACGTCCCAATGTGGTGCAGGCGCTGCTGGAAGGTGCCATTCGAGCAAGGCCGCGCTTTAAGGTGCCACCGCACGTCCTCAAATTCCTGGGCCGAACGTATGATGCTTGGTATACTGCCCTCATCTCATTGGAAGAGTCGACCGTGGACCCTCTTATTGATACGCCCCAAGTTCGGGAGAGCAATCTGGATGCCTTGGTCGAGGTCTATGCGGGCCTTCAAGAAGATGACCTGTTCTATGGTACTTGGCGACGTAGGTGCAAGTTCATGGAGACCAACGCAGCCTTATCTTACGAACAACATGGAATGTGGGAAAAGGCACAACAACTTTGGGAGGCTGCGCAGGTCAAAGCAAGAACCGGTGTTGTCCCGTTCTCCCAAGGCGAGTATTACCTATGGGAAGATCATTGGATTATCTGTGGGCAAAAACTGCAGCAATGGGATATACTGGGAGAATTTGCAAAGCACGAAAATTTCGGCGACCTCCTCTTGGAATCGGCCTGGAGAAATTACGAAGCTTGGGCAGGAGACGAGAATCGCAACCAGCTGGATTCGATGATCAAGTCCGTCTCAGATGCCCCAACTCCAAGACGTACATTCTTCCAAGGCTTCATGGCGTTGCTACGGTACAATTCAAAGCAAGTCTCCCGCGCCGAGTTCCAGCATGTTTGTGATGAAGCCATTCAATTGTCCATCCGGAAATGGCACCAGCTCCCGAGACGACTTACAGGCGCCCACATACCCATACTCCAGAATTTCCAGCAACTGGTTGAACTTCACGATGCTAGTGTTATCTGCGATAGCTTGATGTCTACGAACGAACGTAATCTTGACAACAAGTCACAAGAAGTCAAACTCCTCCTGCAGGCGTGGAGAGACCGTTTACCAAATATCTGGGACGACATCAACGCATGGCAAGATCTCGTCACCTGGCGCCAGCATGTTTTTCAACTTGTGAATTCGACATATCTCCCACTTTTGCCACAAGGCGGTAACAACGTCGGCAACAATTCCTATGCGTTCCGGGGATACCACGAGACTGCCTGGATTATCAACAAGTTCGCACATGTGGCACGAAAACACCAGATGCCAGAAGTCTGTATCAACCAGTTGGGAAAGATCTACACTTTGCCCAACATCGAAATTCAGGAGGCGTTCCTCAAACTTCGGGAACAGGCAAAATGTCATTACCAGAACAAGAGCGAACTGAACAACGGTCTGGACGTTATTAATAACACTAACCTCAATTATTTTGGGGCACAACAGAAAGCCGAGTTCTACACGCTCAAAGGTATGTTTCTGGCCAAGCTCCAACATGCTGAAGAGGCGAATGAGGCCTTTGGCGTAGCATTGTATTACGATCTACGCCTGCCAAAGGCATGGGCAGAATGGGGTCAGTACTCGGATCGCAAATTCAAAGAAAATCCTAGCCTCATCGAAGCTGCGAGCAACGCTGTTAGTTGCTATCTCGAAGCTGCCGGTCTTTACAAGAGTGCGAAGTCCCGCAAGATGCTGAGTCGGGTCCTATGGTTGCTGAGTCTCGATGACGAAGAAGGGCACATTGCTAAAGCATTCGAAGACTTCAAGGGCGAGACTCCAGTCTGGTATTGGACGACATTTGTGCCTCAACTGCTTGGTAGTCTCGAGCATAAGGAGGCGCGTCTTGCGAAATCAGTCTTGGTGAAGATTGCCAAGGCATTCCCGCAAGCCCTTTTCTACAACTTGCGCGCGACCAGAGAGGAGTTCTTGACCAAGAAGAAACAATTCGAGGCTCAGAAACGACAACAGAAAGCCATACAAGACAAACTTGAGAAGTCTGAAAGTGGTTCCCGACCTGGCACTGCAAATGGTGAAGCCACAACTCGAGGATCAACCTCTCCAAAACCGAAGCAAGAACCTAAGCAGGAACCTAATGGCGAGACTCAGGCCAATGGGACCAACGTGAATGGTGTAACCGAAGCCGAGACTAAAGAAGAGCCGAAGAAACCATGGGACCATACAGACGAGATTATGGCAGGCTTGAAGACCGCTTTCCCATTGCTTGCTCTATCAATGGAAACCATGACTGACCAACTATCCAAGCACTTCAAGTGCCCACCGGACGAGGATGCGCATCGACTCATTGTGGCACTGCTTAACGACGGTTTAGCCTACATCAGCAGGGCTCCGATCACTTACGCTGAAGGTGCCAAATTGCCACCTTCCACGGAAGCAAACATTGCCCGTTTTGTGACTTCTGTCCTTCCTGCTCACATCCGCAAGTCGTTTGAAGCCGATTTCGTGCAGACCAAGCCAACAATGTACGAGTACATCCACAAGCTGCGACGGTGGAGAGACAAATTCGAACAGAAGCTCGACCATCGTCAACAATGGGCAGCGCTTGAGGCCTACAGTCATCATTTGAGCGAGTTCAAGTTTCTCAAATTCGACGATTCGGTCGAGGTGCCAGGTCAATATCAACAACACAAAGACAAGAACACCGACTTTGTCCGCATCGAGCGCTTTATGCCTACAGTTGAGCTTGTTCGAGGAAACAGCATCTGCCATCGGCGACTCACCATTCGTGGCCATGATGGTTCGCTACATCCGTTCGCTGTGCAGCACCCCACTGGTGGCAAGGTCCGACGAGAAGAACGCATTGTCCAGCTCTTCCGTATCTTTAACCAGACGCTGGCCAAGCGGAAGGAGTCTCGCCGGCGCAATTTGTACTTCCACCTGCCAATATTTGTGCCTATCGCGCCCTATATCCGGCTTGTTCAGGACGATGCTTCATATGTGACCTTGCAGTCCGTCTATGAGGACTTTGTTCGTCAAGCGCCAGGCATGTCACGAGACGACCCGATGTTGTTCCTCCTCGAAAAGTCACGCACGATTGCCGAACAACAAAAGACTCAGCCACGCACTCACGATCAAGTGGCAGTGATGAAAACCGAGATCTTCAACACCATTCAAGAGCGTTGGGTGCCGAACACTATTGCGCTGCGATACTTCCAGGACATTTACCCGAGTTTCGCGGACTTTTGGCTTTTCCGGCGACAATTCGCATATCAATTTGCCGCGACCACATTCATGACTTACATTATGCACATGTCGGCACGGTACCCCATGAAGTTCTCCATCTCTCGCTCGACAGGCGACATCTGGGCCAGCGACCTGCTCCCTAACCTGAACTCGGGACGAGCGTACTTTTACAATCCTGAAGCCGTGCCATTCAGACTTAGTCCCAACATTCAAACACTCATGGGTCCATTGGCGGTCGAAGGCATCTTCACCGCTTCACTCATGGCAATTGCGCGATGTCTGGCAGAGCAGGATCAAGGATACGAAATGGAACAGCAATTGAGCATCTTTGTCCGAGATGAAATGTACAATTGGGCTGCCGGTCGGTCGCACAACTCGAATGACGCCAAGATGGAAGGGCAGCACCTTCGAGAACTCGTGGCACAGAATGCCGAATTCATCGTGCGCCGGGCTCTTGCATTGTCCAAGACGCAAGGAAGTGTAGGCGCTGCGAATGGCGAAGGTAGTGGCGCTACAGGAGTCTTGCCTGCCTGCCAGAATGTGGTGGACCTCGTGAGTCGAGCTACCGATCCCATGAAGCTCAGTTCTATGGATGGGTTGTGGATGCCATGGCTTTGATTTTGGGCCAGTAATTGTAATTACAGGTTTGGGGCATTTCAAAGAATGCTGGGAAATTACGCCCTCGAATATGGTATGAGTGGCCCTTGTTCTCGGAAAACAAGGCACCAAGTGATGATGATGTTGCTCTTGCAGCTTTGTGAGATGAACAGGCGTTTGTTTATGGGCGGGAAGGAAAGGAAGGGGGGGTTCGAAGAGGGAAAGGCAGCGGGGATTCTCTTTTTTTTCTCTTCTTGTATTTTTTATCTAGTCCCTTTTTTTGACATTTCTCATCTTGAGGGGGAGGAAAATGATGAGCGATGATGATTTTTCTTGTCTTTTTTTTGTTCTTGGTTTTGAACCGTGTTCCTTGCCATGTGGCAAATATGACATGGCAATCAAATTGTACAGAGTTGTGAACAAGAAAGAAAACAAACACCCGGTGTTTTGTATCTGAATTGGGGTGGAATTGCACTGCTACGTACTCCTACTATATACATAGGAGTGACCAGTCACCTTTTTACCTGGAGTTTGTCACACATCACCTAGAAGAGGTGTTAGATGAAATGAAGACAAAACCCGATCAACGAGCACCTGAAATTACCTGATCGTGTGTGTGTACCCGAGGTATGTTGGTCAGAGTCTTAAGAGTAAGAACGCGTTTACTCACTCCATCCGACATTGAGAACCAGTATTACTCCGTGTCCCTAGGTCAGTACTGTGTATATATATAATCAGCCCCGAGATTTACCACCACGTCCTTTTGCAAGTACTACTCCCCGTACCAACAACAGACCACAAACCTAGGAAGACTACTGAAAGCTTGTACAAAAAGCCCGTCGCTCGTCATTCACATTCACAACCTCTGGAACCCGGCGGACAATTGAACAACTACATATGGAGGCACTCGGTGTAATGGTGATGTTTACCCTCTTGTAAGTCGCACTCTGTCAATGATGGATGGTGTATGTGCAGTATTTCTTATGCTTACAATCATCGATTCAATATCGTTCGATCATACATACTGTGGCATGGCTCCCTCACATTCAACGGCGAGGAGTCTACACCCGTAGTCTACAGAGTAAAAAACTCCCAGTTGACGGTTTTTGGACGTCTCTGGATGCTCGGAACGCTCCGTCGTCAGGAATGTTACAGCCACCGTCTTCAACAGCCCAAGGCACCATATCCTGAAGGCACCGACGGGAAGACGTTGGCAAACTGCCACTACCCCCTTTTTGAATATTCAAAAGGAACATCTTCGATTTCTTGCTGATTATCCAATTGTTGCAGCTCGAATCCAAAGTTTTTGAACCATCGGTCCTCAACAGTGACCTGTGGCGGCAAGATTTGGTCATGCGAACAGATCTTCATCGTACAGTTCCTAGAGCGGCATCGAGCATGTCATCTGCATCACCATCCATTCTTTGCTCGATCAAGCGCTCGTTGCTCAATCCCTTTGTGGATGCGGAGGGCCTGGTAGAAACAACTTCCTTGCCCTTTCGTTTTGAAGATCTCAGACTCCCTCTGGCAGCCACGACAGACCCCGCTTGTGAGGCAGAATCTTCATCGTCCATTTCAAGATCCTCTTCGAGAGCCCAGTACTCCATGGCTCGAGAAAGCAGTGTTCCTGCAACTCCACCGCCACCAGCGTCACCGCCGAGGACTCGGACGGCTTCATGTAAGGCCATAACGGCCTCTCTTGTCCGCCCGCCCATGCTGAGAAGGACCAAGCCTCTACTCGTGTGTATGCTTCCAATGAGGTTTCGCTCATCGTAACCACTGGCTGCTCCGCTCGGAGTGAGACCCATGCCTGTGCCATTCAGGCTAAGATTTGCAAAAGCGGTCATACCCCTACCAGGCTCAAAGGCTGAGGCTGGAGCCGCTCCTCCCGTCGCTGTTCTCAAACACTCGTCGAATTCAGCCAGCGACTCTTCGAATCGACCCAACCGGCGTAAAGTGTGCGCCAGATTAGCCCTGCTTGCGACCCACGCAGTCATATTACATCCTAATTCAGAAGCTAGTTCCAAGGATTTATGGAATAGTTTTGCGGCGGCAGGCAGGTTGGCCTGGTGGTATAAGATGACACCAATCTCATTCAGGACTAAAGGGTCGCCTCCTAGATTAGTCGTACCGTTGAAGATGCCATTGGAGAATTCCTCTTCTGTGCCACTTTGAATGGTGCCGCTACTCATTTCAAACGCTGCTAAGCAGTACTCCCACGCTAGCTGCATGTTGTTCAGGGCAAGATGTTGCATTCCGAGGAAAAGCTGCGGAAGGTGGCTACCCTGAAACAGTCGCGCGGCAGTAGAGTAGGCAGCTATTGCTTGATCATGTTCACCTTCTGCAGCAAAGGTGTGCGCGAAGCCAATCCAAGCTGGTGCGGAGTGAGGGTCCATTAAAGATGCTTTCGAGAAGAAACGGCGCGCTTCGGCTATTCGAAAGGTTGACAGGTAATAGGTTCCAATAGCAAGATATGTGTAGGCTTCGTGGGGGGCATGAGTTGACAGTGTGTGAGAAAGGTGGAACAATGTATTGTTCGCTCCTGTTTCGAAGAGAAGGGCAAGGTGAAGAGGGTACAGACGTGGACTGTGACCAAGAGAAGCATTCGTATTTTTCGAGTAAGCATCTAGGGAGCTTGTTGAGCTGTCTTGCGAGTTCAGAATACTTGTCGTGATTGCAAGAGCGTCGTAGAACCGACATTGGGTGTACAATGTTTCGGCTCTGGTGAGGAGGAGGTCGGGATTAGAGGCAAGGTTATAATGAGTCGAGAGGGTCTCGGTAGCGTTTGCCAGCGTGGCCGGTGAAGAGTACTTGGACAATCTCGTAGTGTAGAGGAGTTTCGTGAAATGGGCGGCTTCCTGGGCCAGAGACTGATCATCAATGCGTATTGAGTCGAAATCCAGCTCATCCAAAAAAGCCAGCTCCTCCGCAGGCGACAGCATCGAGTTCTTCATGAGTTGATCAAATGCCTCGAAGCACTGGACATCTATCCGTACGGCATCTTTGTAACACTCTCTGGCTCTGTCAAAGGCATTCCGCTTAGCGAAGCACACGCCTCGCAGATAACACATGCCTGCCTGGAACTTTAATTCTTTCTCCGATTCTCGGTCTCTTTCTCGTTCCTCGCTAAGCTCAATCCGATCTCTTTGAGCCCTGATCCCTCTGTGCGTAACGTTCCTTGAGGCATGTCCGTTGATGTGGGCCAGTTTCCTCCGAGCATTGTGAGAAGTTGTCACCAAATGGGTTGGGTTGTCTTCGCCCAGAATATCGAGAGCCTGTTCATATCGTCCTTGTTTTATGTAACAGTGTGCAGCCAAGTAGCGACAAGACAGGCTCCGATCTATGAGATCTTTCCTGGACAGCAGACCGAGGGCGCGTGTAAAGTTGTTATTGCCAAAATGAACCTGTGCCAGCCAGAATGCATCGGAATCATTGTCTTGGTACAAGTCAACATTGAGTCCGGATCAGAATGTCCAACACTCACATACTCGTCAAGGCGAGGACCTTGTCACCAATATAGATGGCCGCATCGTTCTGGCCCTTGTTCAGGGCGTCTTGTCTCCAAGTCCTCAGGTATTTGTCCATGTCGTCGAAGCCGAGAGGGTGAGGTTGGTTAAGTAAGATTGTATGCTGTATCCATGACCAGAAGCAAAGTCAAGCCAGGGTATTGAGGTCTTTGGCTACACAGTGGGCGGTATTGAATATGAATATCTCATGTTCAATGTTGACATGGGTTTGTTGTTGATTCCGGGCGCGACTGCGATTTATTTAGTGAGAGGCGAAAATGTGGGGGAAACTGCGGCGTGGATCATTTGACGTACTCGCCATTAAATAATCTAGATTGAAAAAGTACCAGGCAACATTTCTCTTTATCCAACTCCATCTTCTCTTTCTATACTCTACCTACTGCCCTTGACGCTGTCTTCTCATCGGCCTTTATTTCACTTCGCCCAATCCCTTCTCACTTATCTACTCCCCAGTCTACGCAGTCCTTCCCTCACCATGTCAGAACGAAAAGTGCTTACAAAGTACTACCCACCCGACTTTGACCCTTCAAAGATCGGTCGCACTCCAAAACACCTACGACCTACAGGTCCGAAGACTATTCCTGTTCGACTGATGGCTCCTTTCAGTATGAAGTGTACCTCTTGCGGCGAGTACATCTACAAAGGCCGCAAGTTCAACGCTCGAAAAGAAACGACTGACGAAAAATATCTCAACATCACCATCTACCGCTTCTACATTCGATGTACACGCTGCAGCTCCGAAATTACGTTCAAGACCGATCCAAAGAACATGGACTACACCTGCGAAAGAGGAGCTAAGCGAAACTTCGAATCGTGGCGAAACCCGGAGAGCACAGAGTTGAAAGAAACAGATGAAGAGCGGCTGGACAGGCTCGAGAGGGAAGAAGCCGAGGAGGCAGAGAACGCCGAAAGAAATGCCATGGAGGAGCTTGAAGAGAAAATGGAAGAGAGCAAGCGTGAAATGCAGGTCGCTGATGCCTTGGATGAAATCATGCAAAGAAACGCCCGAATCGAGAGAGGAGAGAAAGGGAGCAAAGAAGAAGATATTCTCGTTCAGGTTCGGGATCTGGCGCGAGAGCAGAGAGAAGCGCAGGAGCGAGAGGATGCTGAAGCTGCCCGCTTAGCTTTCGAAAGTACCAAAGTTGCTCAGGCCCGACTAGAGCAAGCGACCGAGGCCCAGGCACAGAATTCGAAACAGATCGACGAAGATGCTACGCCGCAGCCTCCACCTTCATTCGAAAAGGTTAAAAAAGCAAAGAAGCCTTTAGTACCTGGACTCGTACGAAAGACCCAGCCAACGGCGGCGGCAGCAGCAGCAGCAGCAGCAGCATCACCAGTTCCCACGACAACAACAGCGTCGACAAAACCTATTGGCTTGAATTTAGGTGACTATGATTCGGATGATGATTGATCCAGCTTCAATTGTTCGCAGGGATTATCCGTGTATCTTCGTTCTGATCTGAAACTATTCGGTAATACAGCAACACGACTATTGATTTCGATGCCACCTTGGCAGCCGCAGAGAAGCTTTTGGCTGTGAATGAACATTAGCTCTTCCAGAATGCTGTACTCAGCGTGGTGTAACGGAGAGGGTCTAGGTGGAAGATCATAACTAAGTCACCATTGGCCATTTTGACCGAGCTGAAGGAATGTGCTGGAACTCAGTCCCCATTCACAATCGTGCCTCCGACTTGTCTCTCCTACGGTCAACAGCGCCTTGCGGAAGATTCAAGCGAACTTGCAAAAAGGATGATTCCATCTACAACAAGGACAATTTGGTAAGCCTAATTGTCAATCGAAATCGATGCTGCCCGAGAACATCCACCGCTCGGCCGATGCGGCTATTGCAGCGCAGGATCGACTCCGTATCATCTGGCCTCTCGTCACAGTATCGGCACGTGCTGCTAAACACGTGCAGTCTGATTCTTATGTGTGTGGACGAGACTAAAAGGCATGTATGCATATGGGAGTGCAGCATGATCTTCAGGTAGGTGTGGATCAAAGCAAAGTTTGTAACACAACCTGTTGAGAGTCACCAGATCGCTTGGGTCTTCGCAGAGAGAGTTCAACATTTGTTCCCTCGTAAGACGATGCTTATTGGCTAATCCTTGACATGCCTCACCAGCACAGAACATGAAGCGCGATAGAAGAGGATCAGCACAATGGGTGAATGAGCCTGTTTAGGGACTTGTTGGAGGGAAATGTCTGAACGCGGTTTTGATTGGACAGATAAATCAGATATGCGCCGAACTAGAGCGTTTCGAATTAGTCGCTTGTAATTGCTCTAATGTCCTCTTCTCTCACTTTCTCCTTCGATTCATCCGCCATCCTCATCACTGGTGGCTGTTCTTTGCTATTTTCATCTTCAAGCGCCCAGCGACCCGCTTAAGAGCATTCTCACCCCATGGCACTATATGGATCTCCGAGTCGACCCCAGAACTCAACCATTCAGGTATCGTACGCACGCGCCACGTCCCGTGTTGCAGACCTAGCCAGGTACCGAATTCAGCATGTCCCAGGACTCTGGTTCAGGAGTCCTGCATGGGCCTGAATTCCTCCTATCTTGGCCCGTAGGTTCTGTCCTCTAAGCGCAGAGTGAGTGTATCAATGCAAGGTCGGGCCAATAGAACCGGACTCTCATCAAACGCCATGTTAGATATCTCATGTCTAGGAGATCTACGTTGCAGCTTTTGGTCTTCTAAATTGGGGCCATATCATGGCAATATCCCCTCTTGGTGCTTATTCCACGCCTGTCTTTTGTCTTGAAATCTCAAGGTTCATGGCTTCAAATCAGTGACATTTGTGCCTGCGCGAGCTGTCGTTAACTCACTCTTCACGCTTATCTGAAAGGACTTTTTCACCACACAAGATCGTACCCGTCAAACAACTTCGGACATGTCTCTTTCAAGTGAATCTCCTAGTTCCTCATCAGCAGATGATTTGCCTCCTTCCTCCTTCGATGGAAGCCACCTGCCATGGAGTGCGTTTCGACAAGAAGTACTTGTCTCCCACGGCGTCCGAATCCTCGACAGCCCACCCAAGGAGTGTCTCCCGACTTCATTCCTCAAAATTGTCGAAGCAGCACACGAGGGCACACCGCGATTCGACAACGAAAAGTCTTCATTCTGGGACCAGGTGATGACTGGTCGAGGATTTGGCCCGTCACCATTGTTTCCGCCAACTCTACTTCCACCGCTTGAGAAAGTATCACGCCTAGCTCGGTGCATGGTACCGTCTTTCAGCCGAGAGGCAATGCCCGAGAGGGTCGTTCACCAACTTGGACCCCTTTACGAACTATCCGTCCCACGTCCTGGACTCGGATGCGGCTTTTCAACACATGCTTTCACAACAAAGGAATTGGCTTCTCTGCCTCACTGGCTCCAGGCAACTGGCACTACAGTGCATTTCGATACTGGTTTTGTGTCTCCAGGAGCTACAATGTACTGTCCATTTCTTACGTTTGAACGAGCATATGGCAACAAACAACACCAGGTCGAGTCTGCAAACAATCACTGTGCTGTTGCGGGTGCGTTCAGTGCTCGCGCGCTCCAGATGCTCTATGCAATGGCGTGGAAAGGTGATATGATGCCGGAATTGCCGGTAGCCTTCTCATGTACGATCGACAACAGCTTCGCCCTGCTCAATCTCCATTGGATCGACCACGGACAAGCATACTGTATGGCGCCCGTGTGTCAGTTCGACCTCAGCAAGCAAGCTCACTTCGATAAGTTCTTGGCCTGGATCCAAGGCATTGGTGAATGGGCGCTTGGCCACGTCTTGCCTCTCGTCAAACAAGCAATTACTCGTCTCCAGACAGCCAAGAGCATTCCACCTACCCCGGGGGTGCCCATCAGGCTGAGGATAGATACAAAGATGAACAGCAACGAGCTCATCATGTCATCGTTAAAGACCGCATTTGACAACATCCCATGGCGATTTGACGACGAAGACTATACACCAAGCTGCAGCAGTACGGCTAGTTGGGGAAGCCCCATGGTGTCGGAGGAGACTTTTCAGACCCTGAGTTATCCGGCAGTTCACCCACCACGAAGCAACACTAGGGAGCCGCCAGCTCCTGCTCGTAGAGGCGGCGCAAAGACCAACCCTAGCCCTGCTACTCCGCCGCCCTCGTATCTGCAGAATCAGGACATTGTATGGCAGAAGCGCTTTGGTCACGCGATGGATGAGATTCGAGAACTCCAACAGCAAATTTCGACATTGAAAAGGGATTTTGATTCGGCCATGATCATGCTCCGTGATCAGATTACTTCCATCAAACGTAGCAGCAAGGACAGTTCACCGTCAACTCCGAAGGGTGGACCCTCCACTCGGGTGACGGATCATTCGATAAACTCGTGTCCCCTTACGCCCTCCTAAAGGCTGTGGTTGTTCTGATTTCATGATAGCAGACTGTTTGGACTGTGCGCACAGGGTCAGTGATCGAATATGCTCGAGATGAACGCTAAGGCCAAAAGCTTAGAATGGGTAAGAACATCTTTTTGGTGAGGTTTTGGTATTGTAGAATCTGGTATCACGCTGCAAGTTGTCTCCGGCCTTGTCCCTGGCCTCGTTACATTAACGCCAATAAATGCTTGACCGGTATTTGAACATCCTCTACCGTCTTGCAGTTCTTATACACTTTTTGTTTCCGCCATATGATATCGATCTCCTTTGTATATTGACAGAGCAGATCGCGATTTTAAGGAAGGCATATATAGCACTCGTAAGGATGATGATGTTGTACACGAACCCTCGGGGATAGCTCTATTTGTTCTTGGACATCTTGTATGTGAATCGTTTTCTCGTCCTGAAAGCGAGCTTGTCAGATTCAAAGGTCCTGATTGATGTCGAAAGCTGCGGCAGAACTGGGCACTACTCACGGGACAAACTCTCCCAGTTTCCTTCCCACCATCTCCTCTGTGATGTAGACTTCCTGGTAGTTCTTCCCGTTGTGAACGGCAAACCGTAATCCGACGAAGGCGGGCAATATGGAGGCCGCTCGGGCTTGGGTTTTGATGACGGGAGGAGTCTTGCCGGCGACGGCAGGTTTGAGGTTTGCGAACGGTACGACGTTCGGTCCTGTATTTGTCAAAAATCTCAGCGGCCTGGAATCAATCGATACAATGGACTCGTGTCGACAAACCTTTCCAAGCGGAGCGCTTGAACAGCGCCAGTGATGCTCGCATGGTCACCGTGCTATCATATCCTCTCAGTCAGAAGCAAAGGTCGATTTCCTAGATGGGATGAACGAATTCGCAGAGATCGCAGCGAAAGCCTCGAGCGCAGCCAATGGGCGTCGTTGATGGTTTTGGGCGGGCCGGCCTTTTGTGGCTTTTTAAGGTCTCCTAGTACTTCGGACGGAGTAGGTGAGGGTCACGATACCCGGACGAGGGTCATTCCGGTGGACTCTGACTTGTTATTATTGTGCAGAGATCATATAACTGTTGAAAATGCAGTCATTGGAGGCGAGAGGAAATAACTGTTACTCCAGTAGATACCTAGATATTACGGCAACAAGTGTCCGTCCAACTACATCGTACTCGTAGTGGTTGTGACATCGAAAGTCCACCACATCCACCCGCATCGCATCTCGACCGCAGTTGCCGTTGGGCTTTAATTTCGTGCCTGACCCTGAAATCCAAACTGCTGTTTGTCCTCAGGAGTTATTTTCCTCCCTCCTTATTCTACTTCATGCTATAATATTTTATTCTTTGTTCATGAATGTCATGACTTTACGATAAGAACATCCCTTCCCCGAAGCCGACTCCCCAACAATTTCTGTTTGATCACCTTCCGTCAGTTGCGTCGAGAAAACCCCGTCATAAACAACCATCAAAGATGGCGCAAAGCGCTGTAGGGTCGTATTCGAACCCTTTGAAGAAGTTCAAGTCTGTATATGCCTCGAGAGCATGGCCAGATGTCGATTACTGACCCTTTGTCACCAGACTCGTCTTCCTGGGCGAACAGAGTGGTATGGCTTTAACCCGATTCCTCCCAACACCGTATTTCACACGCTCACTTTGAATCTACAGTCGGCAAGACCTCTCTAATCACACGATTCATGTACGATTCCTTCGACACGACATACCAAGCAACCATCGGCATCGACTTCCTCTCCAAGACCATGTACCTTGAAGACCGCACCGTCCGACTACAACTTTGGGACACGGCCGGCCAAGAGAGATTCCGCTCCCTCATTCCATCGTATATCCGAGACTCGTCGGTCGCCGTTGTGGTCTATGATATTTCCTCCAAAAGGACGTTTGAACAGACGCGGAAATGGATCGATGATGTTCGGGGTGAACGAGGCAACGACGTGATCGTTGTGTTGGTCGGGAACAAGACGGATTTGGGTGACAGCAAACGAGAGGTTACCACGCAGCAAGGTGAAGAGGAGGCCAAAAGAGCAGGCGCCATCTTTATGGAAACGAGCGCAAAGCTCGGACACAACGTCAAGGCCCTATTTAGGAGAATTGCTCAGGCTTTGCCTGGGATGGAGGGTGAAGATCAGACTCAGCCTAACCCACAAGGTAAGGATTGCAACAAGCCAGGTTGAGCCGCAAAGTACTGATTGCTTGCTTTTAGTCATTGATGTCGCGGTCAACAGCCAGAAGCCGGCGGATGATGGTTGCGCGTGTTGACGCTCATACGCTTTTACGAGCTCCAACTTTTGGTGACGGTTTCTTGGACTAGTCCCTTCGTATCGGAATCTACAACCCCGCCCGAGTGTTGAGGTATGCTTTGGTGGCCTTTTTGGAAGCTACATTCCTACGCTGCTCAGGGGAGCTGGAATGTCGGATGTCGAAGGGCAATAGGATTGTGGACAGGAGGCACTTTCCAGGAAGCGCATATGCCTAAAATATCAAAAGGTTGGAATTATGTGTAGGAAGATGTGATTGTGCATAGCAAGGCGTTCCAGGCTACCCAAATGGAAGGAGGGATGTGTTCAACTAACCCGTGCGTGGGGTATATGTACAGAAGCAGGGGCGGGCGAGACTCTATCGAGATGGACCAGTACAAAACAAAGTCCCGACAAAGTCATTAATGATACTGCCTGTACAAAATAGCCCGCTTTTTATGCGCCTTTGTAATGTAATAGTTGGCTGGGTACGGGGTATATTAGATACCTAGCATTGATGATTCGTTTCTACGCAAACGTGAAGGTTTATCATTGCTTCAACCAATCCGCCACCTCCTTGTACAGTACGACGAGGTGCCCGCGCCTCTTCTTTTCTTCTTCGACATCCTTCAGGGGCATGTGCGTCCAGCTGTGCGTCACGTCGGGGACCATGCGCCACCTGACGCCGTTTTGCTCCCAGTGGCTTCCCCTGCCGCCCGTGCCAGCACCGGGGGTCCAGGTGATGGTGGCGTAGTCGTCGAAACCGGCGAGCTTTCGGGCCATGACCTCGGCCTCATGGCAGAGATAATCGTACTCTGCCGTGACGAAGAAGATGCGTTGTGGTAGTCGGGACCTGGTGGCGAATACGGGAGACAACAGAGGGTCGGTCAGGTCGGTGCCTGGGTTGATGTAGGCCCAGTCGAATAAAGGACCCAAGTTCTTGAGCATGTCCGGGGTTGGTTTTGTAGTCGACGTCCCGTCGGGCGCGGTGACGGCAGGTCTGTCGCGATATTCCCCCTTGTAAAGTCCGGTGAAATCGACGACTGGATAAAAAGGGACGACCGAACGGATCTTGTCCTTGACGTCTGGTAGTTGGGCGACGGCGAGTGCCAGGTTCCCTCCAGCTGAAAAGCCAGCGACAGTGACTCCTCTCGACGCGTCCACTGGCAGACCAGGGTCCTCGATGACCGACGACACGACGGCCCCCGCGTCGTGTACCGTCTCGGGGAAGTAGACGGCGGGGGATTTTTGGTAATCGACACTCACGACGACAAAGGAGTGAAGGTCGGCGAAATGACGATTGATTTCGTCGTCGATGGTGGGGTCACAAAGTGCAAAACCACCACCGTGGATGGTGATCAATAGGGGATATTTTTGAGGACTGAGATTGGAGGTGGTGGTGGTGGTGGTGTTGTTACGAGGAATAAAGATTCGATTTTCAAGATGAGGTCTAACGTCGTACCTCTTTGTATAATCCGGTAAGAACGGACGTAGTTTACGACGGTTCGCGAGTCGCATAACCTTGAAAAGTAGAGTGGTCATACTCTTCATTAGCCATATCTTGATCCAAAATCGGAATCGGGTCAAGAGAGGTCTCCTTTGGGATGTACGTCTTGTTGTTGTGGATGATGATGGTGGTGGTTGTGGTGTGCCATTGGGATCTGTGGCTGAAGCGAGGACGGTGTTTGGGATTGTGTCTGTGGTGGACATGGTGATTGATTTTTACACCTACTCCGTATGTAGCTGTTGTAACTACCTACCTATAGATATCCGTACGCAAGTGTTTCAAGTAGAACAAGTTCGGTGTCGGTAGATTAAACAAGTCGTTTGCGGAGGGTATGTCTGATGTTCACGCTATGTATGCCACTTGTATGCGGAAGTTAAGCCATTTGCCGAATTGAGAGTGAAAATGCGGAGTTGGTTGTTGTTCAAGTCGACAATGGGACACCCAGAGTCTGTGGTTGATCTCGTACTCAGGTACGAAGGCGAGTAGTAGGTAATCATGAATAGCCGAGTCCTTTTAATTCTTCCTCTGTACATACTGTACCTGCCTACCTACTTGGTATCTTCTCTTGTCTGATTGCCTGGCTGTCCTTCCCTTACCCATCTAGGCATCTATACTTATTTCAGGTACATACTTTTTGTGCTTATCTGCATCAAGTAACTCCCTCGAGGGCGTTTTGTACCCTTCTGTTCTTCTGGTTGTGGACGTGGCCGAGGACGAGGACGATCCGTATCAAAGAATAGCTAGGGGTGTTTGTACTGCTTGGGGACCTAGACAATGAACTGATGGTATCATGGAAATAAAATGTATGTCACGAGTATATCACGAATATGTCATCGACAATTACATAGAGGACAGGTCTGTACGGAGTACAGTATGGGCTTTTGTTATTAATCTCCTTCCGAATGTCCGTGATATGTGGAAACTTTTGAGCTTGCGAGCCTAACGAAAAGAGCTTCGCCCGGGGAGCAAAAGCAGCTTCCAGGGAGTCTCCATCCTGCAGTCATCAACGGCTCCCGGGGGGCCACGAGCCCGAATGATCGCTGCGCCAATTATACAGCTTGTCCTCGGAAATCGTATGGTGGAAATCCCTCATCTTCCCGATGCACCATCTCCTTCTACGGGTCTGGAGGCTGTAATTCTACCATGTGAATGGCTACGATGGCTTCCTAACTCTTCCTTTTGCTCTTTCTACCACCTACCGTAGGGGTCTGTCGTCCACCTGACATTCCAGGCATCCTCCATCGTCACCACCGGAACACGCTTCCAATTTACTCCGCCAGGCACTAGGCACGATCTTTTTACGAGTACGAACGAGAACACCGAATAACAGATATTTCACCTACACGCCTCTCTCAACACCTTCATTGAATCGTTCTTTCTTCTCCTATCAGCACATCATTCGAAGTGAACGACAAAAGACACTCCACTCCGAGTGTCTACAAACACCATCATTTCCCTTCACCATTCATCATTGCCTCCTAGGCCCGCGCGTTCGTTTGGCGGCCCTCGAGTCCGTCAAATGAACCTGCCTTAAGTCACCTTCGTTCCTCTCTTCACAACTTACCCTCTTCCTCTTGAAGAGGCCTCTATTCGTATCTTCCTAAATGCCTTTCAAGCCCTTCGCACATCTTGCAAGAGTCAGCTTTGCAAAGGGAATCGCCCATACTTATGCTCCTTCCGTCGTTGCTGCTGGTCAGTCGATAGGAAACTTTCAGAACTACCCCGTCGCGAAATTCTCAAAGACTGCCCAACTACAAAATGCCTTCTCGAGTCCATCAGGATCGGGTGCCGGTGCAAAGGCTGGCTACAATTCTCAGTCGTCCGGCGGTGATGCTGGGTTAGCCCAGTATTACGCAGCCTGGCAGCATGCGCAACAGACGGGTGATGACTCCGAATGGAAGCAACATCAGTTTGCCAGACGGATCGGATGGAAAGAGCAAGAGAAGACCGGGCCTACAAAATACCAACGGCTCGATTCATCCCGTGCCGTCGACGTCCTCCGTCCATCTGTGCGATTGAACGTGACTCGTACCACCAGCGACCGTACCGCCCAGCAGACTACAGAGGCGGATGAGGTCTTTGCGGAAGTCGAAGCATTGGCCCAGGTGGATGAAGCCATCGCGAAGGAGATTCAAGATGTCAAAGCTACACAACAGCTCGAAGCCGCTCCTGCTCCGGAGGAGGACGTCGGCAGCCCGGTTGTGAGCACGCGAGCAGTTTCCCCTGTCAATCTCGAACCTACTGCGACCGACGTGGACTCTACCTCCACCTCTTTTGAGCACACCTTGTCCACCGACGTCACTTCGCTTGCTTCTGAGGAGTCTGTTCTATCTGACCAGATCGTTCGCCTTGGACAGCAACAGCGGTATGCCGAGATTCCCGCCCTGTTTGAAGCGATCATCAAGGATGGCCAAGTCCCTACGGTTGAAGCCTACAATCATATTTTGTTGTCCGCCATCAATCTGAGCAATGGATATCAACCGTGGCCAAGAGCACTAGAGGTCTATGGAGACATGACCAAGCGCTCTGTCCAACTCGATGCTACTTCTTACACCATCCTCCTCAACTTTCTCGCATCTCGAAGTCTCGAGGCCTACCAAGTCCAGAAACATCTCGGTGAAAGAGCTGTTCGATATGGCAGCGAAGGCGCTCTGGTCTTCCCGTCCGCTACTCGACAACTGGAAGCTTATGCTGCCGATACTTCGCTCATGTTCGCCACCAAGCTGTACAATATCGCACGCGCAACCCTCCCCGGCTTCCATCTCTCTGCACCACTATACAACGCCTTGGTCGAGGCTTGTGCTCAGGCCGGAATGGTCGAGCCGATGCAAGTCCTTTTGACTGACATGAGGGCTGAGAATCTTCGTCTTGACTCCCGCTTGTATACCCTCGTTATCGATGCACACGCCTCGGCACAAGACGTTCACTCGGCGCATGAAGTATACGAACAATATCGCGACATTGCTATCAGCAGAGCTGTCAACGACCCACTCGACATGCATGTGTATGCTTCTTTGATCAAGGCATACTATGCTGCTGGACTGGCGGAGACTGGCCTTCGATTTTACGAAAGGATTCTACAATCATTCAAGGACTCTGCGAGCCAACAGCCGCTCTCCGATGATTTGACAGCTGCTTTCGTTCTCAAAGCCCTGGTTCAGTATCACATCGACAACAATGCCTTTTCCGTTGCACTTTCAGAGATCAACGCGTTCACGCTGCAGCCAGCTATCCGCGATCAAGCACTCTCCAAAATCGGCACTGCTGCGGCTGATGCTGGAAACACATACGAAGCCATTGCCGCCCTCGACGCCATCTCGGTCGCCAACTTGACCGCCGAGCCCGTAATGGCGGTCACGGCTATGCATATCAGAGATGGTGACATGGCCAAGGCCAAGGCAACCTGGACCAAGGCCAATGCTCTAGCACTCACTCCAAGCACCGACTTTGCTACCATGTACGCACTAGCTATGATCAAGGATGGTTCTATCGAAGCAGCTGTAGCCGAGGCTCGATCAATGTTCTATCGTATCCGCAACTCCGCGACATCGGAGGCTAGCCGCCAACTTGCAATCGCAGAAATCGATGAAGCAATTCTGCTTTTGGGCGATGCTCTTGGAACTGCCCAGACACCCATCTCTTCCCAGACAAGCATCCTCATGCTCCGAGCGATGATTGAGAATGGCGGTCTCGTCTCACCTGTTGCCCAACATGCCATTGCAAGCTTGGGACCGGACTGCGTTCATCAGCTTGATGCACAAGACATTGCTCTCGCCTTGCACGTCCAGGCACAGATGCTTCTTACGGAGAGCACTCTTGACATCGCCCATCAGGCCAGATTCTCGCACCTGTTCGAGACGGTCCTCAACCGTGGTATCCTCATGGACCCATCCACTGTGCACGTTGTCAGCGAGAGTCTCCCCAAAATTGCTACTGCTCGTCCCGACCTTCTGCAACGGTGGCAAGAACTACTCCAACCTGCCCCTCCGACTCCCGTCTCACTGCAAGCTTCTCCAGCCTCTCCTCACGTACCTTTCTCCGGCCATGTCTCCGAGGCGGATTCCTACGATCCTTATGCACATACTACCGACTACCGTGCCTCCAAGGCAATCTCGGAGTTGGTCGAGAGCACCACCGGACGTATTGAGAATCATCTGAGTGATGCTATGTCTCGCCTCAGAAATATCCGTCGTGCTGGTCGAAACCTTCACTATTCCGCTTACGCCAAGCTTATCACTGCGGCTGGAAAGGCAAAGCAAGCGAACTTGATGAACGAGGTTTTGAGCATGGCTCATTCTGATGTCCCGATGTCGTTGCAGATCCCCTCTGTCCGAGCGGGCTGGGTTTCAATTCTGGACTCCATGATCGCAGCCTCCTTGACGCTTGGTGACCGACAACAGGCAGCTAAAATCCACCAGGAACTTCTCGACATGGGTGCTGCTCCATCAGCCAACACCTTCGGCATCTACATCACTACACTTGAAGGGACGTTTGATGAAGCCACCGAAGCTGTCAAAATCTTTCAACGTGCCTTGTCTGAGGGCGTCGCTCCCAGTGTATTCCTGTACAATGCGGTGATCGGCAAACTTGGAAAAGCTCGCCGCATCGACGATTGCCTCCGCTATTTTGGCGACATGGAAGGCCGAGGTATCCGACCATCTTCAGTAACTTATGGCACATTGGTCAATGCTCTGTGCAGAACTAGCGAAGAACGTTTTGCAGTTGACATGTTTGATGAGATGGAGGCAGCACCCAATTATCGACCTCGTCCTGCCCCTTACAATTCTATCATCCAATACTTCCTCAACACCAAACGCGATCGAAGCAAAGTCCTTCAATACTACGAACGCATGAAGTCCAAGAACATCAAGCCTACTTCGCACACGTACAAACTGTTGATTGAGGCTCACGCGTCCCTTGAACCTGTCAACCTCCCAGCAGCCGAAGCCATTCTTGCCGAGATGAAGCAATTTGGTGTCCAGCCTGAAGCGGTTCACTACGGTGCTCTGATTCATGCCAAAGGTTGTGTCATGCATGACATGTCTGGTGCCCGAGCTACCTTTGACACTGTCTTGAAAGAACGCAATATTCGACCCACTGATACTCTGTATCAGAATTTGTTGGAAGCAATGGTTGCCAATCATGAGGTCGCCAATACTCCAGAGGTGCTTGCTGATATGTCTCGCCGGGGTGTCATGATGACTCCTTACATTGCCAATACTCTCATACATGGTTGGGCCAGTGAAGGTGACATTGTCAAGGCTAAATCCATCTACAATGAGCTTGGCAACGACAAGCGTGAACCAAGCACTTATGAAGCCATGACTCGGGCCTATCTTGCTGCCGAGGATCGTGCTAGTGCAAATGCGGTTGTGGAAGAAATGCTCCGCAAAGGATATCCTGCGGCGGTCACCGAGAAAGTCATGGCATTGATGGGCGGTGTTGTTGCTTGATTTGATTTCCCAAAAAAAGAAAAATTTATATCACCGAGTGTGGCGATGTATCTTCGCTTGCCTCTGTCTATTTTCTCCTTTGTTATGTGTCAACGATACCCAGAACACAAAAGGCATGAACAATTGTGGTTCTACGGCCTTGGCGTTTCTGGTTCGGTTCAGCGGTCATTTGTAACAGCGTGTGTACATACGAGATGGGCATGGCATTGGCGTTTTTCAGGATCGAAAATGGTTCGGCTACTTCACTGGCGGAGGCGCTGAATGGAGGCAGCAATTGAGCCATTTGTTTTCGACGGAGCTTTGGAAAAACAGGCGGGAATTGGGATTTTGCCATGTACCAACAGAAGATAAACTCTCCACTCAATCTAATTAGAAGGGATCTAGGTTAGGGATGACGTCTGGATCCGATGGGAAAGGGTCCTCGAAATGGCGGACATTACAGACAAGCTTGCCAGCAAGAGCTGAGCAGCCGCATCAGACGAGCAAAGGGGGCAAGGACTGATGAAGAAGAAAATTCAACTTCTATATGTTGAAAACACCAACCTAGGCTGTGTTCCTTTTTTGTGGTTCTATGTGATGTCGTCTTATGAAGTGACTTGATAGACGTATCTGCCCGCCATACGTATCTGCAAGAATGCAACAACAATGCAATGCCAGCTGGAGCCGTCGGTCTTCGTGTATTGGTATTGTTGTCTACAGTATGATTGAAGGTTTCACGGACTCAACCTTTCAATCTTCCACTCGCCGCCGTCGTCTTGTCTCGTGTAGACAAATCTATCATGCAACCTACTCTCCCTCCCTTGCCAAAATTCGATCTTGTCTGGAATGATTCTCAAACCACCCCAGAAAGGTGGGACTGGGATTTGTTCTTGACCCTCGAATTTGCGTGCCATTTCTTCGACTTGATTTTCCAATTCGAGCCTACCGTCGTCGTCGTCGTCGTCGTCGTCGCCGTCGTTTTGGGGTTGTGTTTTGGTTCGATCTTGCATTTGCTGCGGATGGAGTACGCTGGTCTGTCGACTGGCCCAAGCTCCTATCCTGCTCCCCCTCGCCCTCGTGTCGAAATAAACCTGGCTCTCCTCGCGGGCGAGACGTTCACAGACGCCCTCGACTCGGACCTGCCGTTCCAACGGTTTCCACCAGAAACACAGGCTGGCGTGGGGGTTGGTGGCGACGTCGGCCGCCTTTCGACTCGTCCCAAAGTTGGAATACACGACGAACCCTCGACCGTCGAGTTCCTTCAGGTAGACGATTCGGGAACTCACTCGACCGGAAGGTAAAGAGGCCGTGGACAGGGTCACGGTTTCGGGCACGGTCCCGAGGAGTCGAGGGTGCGTGAACCAGGAGTGGAATTGGACAAAAGGGTCGGGGGACAAATCCGACCGGTGAAGCCGGGAGAGCTTGAACTGGGCTGCTTGTGACGGGCCGGTCGTGGTCGACGAGGACGAGTTCGTAGGTGCCCCAGAGTCGGGTGGTGCTTCACCCGGGGCGACTTTTTTGGGGGGGGGAATTGTCAGTAGACTGTACTTCACCGAGAAAAACAAAAGTGTCGTGCTCAAAAGAGGGAGGACATTATTGGCGTCATCCAAAAGAGAAAAAAAACAACTTACATATCAACTTGTTGTGATTCTTCTGGGGTTGAGACGACTCTGGACCTGATTTGGTCGACCTGGCTTGGTGTAACATTGTGGCGGTCCTTGTACCTGTACTCGTCTGGATGGTTGTTCTCGACTTGGGAGCTGTATATCGAGGAGAGGAATGTAAACGGATGGATCGGGAAATTGTCAAAGGTGCTGTCCTTGACATGTATATCTTCTCAAAAAATATTCGTTCTGATCGAGAAGTCTCAAGGTCGTCTCTTATGAGATCAAATATATTTTTGACAAGGGTGTGGTGATTATTTCTGAATGAGTGAATTATTTGGGAGAAGAACAGGAATTGTTCATGCGAGGATCTAAAACACAATGTCGTGTTGTTGAATCAGTGGTTACTTTGTTGTGTTTTTTCCCTTCTCTGCCCACCCAAAGTCTTTGCTGGCTCATCTCATGATACTTGTTGATCTCTAGATGGATCCCCCGGCAGTGAGTTGGCAAGTAATGAGTAATGACTCCCTTGTTGACAAGGGAGATGGCGTCATTTGAAAACGAGTGGTTGATATCACGTGTCCCCCGTATTCGCCCTCGTATTTCCTTATCGGGGATGGGTTGATGATGCGATCCGCCAGAGCACGTGACTTGGCCTGAAGCCAGCAGCTCGTCTTGTCTTTGCTGTCATACTCCGTACCAAAGTTCCCTCGCATTGAGCCCCTCTTTTCAGGACACTTTGGTATCTGGGGCGTGAACCTCAGGACTTGGAATTTCCTCATGCTCTGTACGGAGAACTTACGGTAAAGATAACTCGTTACTTTACGGAATCCCAACCTATCTCGACCCAAATCCACGAATACGGGATCGTCACTACGGATACAAGTAACGAATTACCCTACCAGAACTCCATAGAGACCAACCAGTTCTTTCGGTCCTCAGCGCTCCCCCCCCGCCTTACCTTTCTTCAATCAATTCCAATCCTCATCTCCATTTCGTTCCATCAGTTCAACCCCCCAGAGTTTGCAGCCCACTTAAATCACAGAAGAAAATAATCTGTACTCTGTCAAGGTATCCAAGTACCTTTGATCATCTTACAGACTACTCCGTACAGCCCTCGACCCTCCCAGATTCCTTTCGGCGTCACCGCATACGTAACACAGCACGCGACGTCTTGGCGAATCTCAAACCGCCAGCACACCAAAACCAAGACACCCAAACACACACACATACCTACACATCACACCCTGCAGGAACCCAACAAGCCTCTAACCAGCCAAAGACGAGCGCGTGCGCGAGAGAGAAAGCCACCCGACTCCAGAACATCCCCCCCCCTTCCAGGCACCAGTCCACGTCTCACACAAAACGAACTCGTGTGCACTAGCCCTTCAGCCTCACCGGGCCCCTGACCTTGACTGGGGTACACTTATCGCAGCAGCAGCGCGTGTGATATATATCTTTCGGCCTACAATAACCTGGTTTTTGTTTCTTTTCCCCCCGCTTTCCTTTTCGCCATGCCTCCCACAGTTCCTCAGATCGATACCAAGACTTCCTCCAGTGCACCCAAGCCTCGAACCACCATGGTATGTCACTTCTTCACACGCCCTGCATGATGACCCAATTTATTTCTTCACCTGTTCCCCGCCATTGTTCCTCCCCAATGTCTCAATGACGGCATCGGGCTAACCGCCAGCGCGCCTTACGGGGCGATTGTCTGTCTTATTCTAGACCCCAACTTCTGCTCAACCGCTGGCCGAGGATGAAATCAAGGCTTTCAAGGATGTCTTTGCATTGTTTGTAAGTTGATCAGGATCACGAGCATGTGGTCTCATCTTTGTCAAATTTCGTATCATGGGCTCACGATCCGCCATAGGACAAGGATAACAGTGGTAAGTGGTCGATTATATGTGGACTGGCTTTCCCTTGATTGCGATCCGTCGCCTCTCGGTCAACACCTCTTTACTATTTACCTTCTTATATGTCCGTCAATTTGTTGTCATGTACAACGTTTTTACTCACACGCGAGGTGCGATTTAGGAACCATCACCGCCTCGGAACTGGGCGAAATCATGCGATCTCTAGGCCAGAACCCATCAGACTCTGAATTGCAAGACATGGTAAGTGGAAACTGTTTTCTTCCCAAGAGAAATTCATACAGCCTGAACGATAAGTTACTGACGGCTCGAACCTCTATCTAGATCAACGAAGTCGACATTGACAATTCAGGCGCCATAGATTTTGACGGTGCGTCAATGACCCTTCCTTTCATGTCCAGATCCTGCCCCCCGGGGGGGGGTTTCCTCCTCTGATCCATACTGACCATACGTCTTGTTGGTCATTGCAGAATTCATCAAAATGATGTCGACCACCGTCAAAGCCCATCATTTCGCCGACGAGACCCGCGCCGCCTTCAACGTGTTCGACAAGGACGGCAGCGGCACCATCTCGGCCGACGAGTTGCGCCAAGTCATGAAATCGATTGGTGAAAACCTCACCGACGCCGAAATCGACGAGATGATCCGCGAGGCCGACAAGGATCACAATGGCTCGATAGATTGTGCGTTCCTTCCCTTTCTCCTGATCTGGTCCACTCGCCCCGACCATCGTGTCCTGGACGTCCTTTGATCCACCGTCGCGGCGGCATCCGTTTCTTTTTCTCCTGCCCTGCTGTCATGGATCCTGATACTGACATGTTTCTTGTTTCTCGGTCTCGTCCAGACGAAGAGTTTGTCCAACTCCTTTCTCCGAAGCCTTGAAAAAAAGAAAACCTTTCCCACCATACACTTTTTGGTCCATATTCAATCCCGGATCGATCGATTGGCCCGGTACGACGAGCCCAGCACGGTCCGTCCCCGGGAGATACTCACTCGTACGGGGATGACGGACGGGACATCTTCAGCACACGATCCTCCCCTCTACGGGTACCACAGCTCCCTTTTTGTTTCTTATACCCAAATCTTGTTCGTCTTTGTCACACGACGCTTCCATACGGAGAATACACAATTGAGCATCACATTTATAAAACCAATTCACACGTCAAGGAACAAAAAACACCCCCCCCCCAATCACTTTCCCCGCGCAGGTCAATCAAAAATGCTTTCTTGAAACCTTTTTTCCTTTTTCAGGACCAATCTTGACGGAGGAAGGATTCCGGTTTGGTACATCCTCGAATTGAATCCAAAAGGGACACACAAATTTTTCCATGTCCATCTGTCCACTTGCCTGTTCAACATACCTGCCTACCTGGGATAGAGTAGTCTGGATAGCTTTGGAAATACAATAATGGTGAAAACGAGGAAAAAAAGACCCAAACCCCCCCCCACCCCCGAGAAGAAGAGAAAGAAAAGCGCAAAGTGAACGTGACACGATAGACTGCGGTAGTAAGGATAACATTTCAAAGGGTCAAGTCCCTTGTCTTTTTCATTTGTTTGCTCGAGCATCCGTAGGTCAGGTAGGGGGTTACCTAGGTAGGTAGACAGTGAACGAGGAACCCGCCATTAATCGGGGGCTTACTCAGACACACGAAAACGACAGCATCGAACCCGACCATTCCTTTCACTAATGCTTAGATGATACAAATGGACCAGGCCCTGGCTTTGCTTTGGTTTGACTTTTCAGAGCCCGTCCATTCCAGTCCTCTGATGAACGATTTGACCGGAATCGACAAGAAAAAAAAATGACAGACTCCCCACAAATAACCCATGTTTACTATCCCACCGCCGGCCATCTTCCGAACCGTTCCATGTTGTGACAAGGTCGGAAATAAAAAATTAGAGGACGAAACCCATACTAGAAGCCCAAGTGTGCTGTGTTGGAAGGAAAAACAGGGCTCGCGCGGCATTGTTTGGTTTGTTCAATGTCTGAAATATGAACATGAAGCATGGAATACACGAAACATGGACGATGAGGCGTCTGCTTCTGCCGAATGGGCGTGTGATAATATATCATCAAGTCCCCATTCCACAAAATATTGTTGTAACAATTGCAATGGCCCGTAGTCTCACCTTGAAACTCCCACTTCTTTTCTCCAAAGGTACTCTTGGAGTACATTTCAGTGTGCTTTGGATGCTTGTCGAGTCCGGGGTCCATCTCGATTTCTACCGCGCTTTCCAGGGTGTGAAGTCGTGTTGGAATTTCCACCAGTTCGGTGTTGGGATCTGCTGCCACTATTTGTTGGTGCGCTCTTCACTGGAATATCTTTTCTGGTGGGTTTCGTTTGCCCTGGGAGGCGAATCAAGGCGTACTGTTGTTTCGATGGGCCGTGCCATTCCCGCAGATTGTTCACCATGAAGGCGTGTCTGGAGACCGGATCGACGGGCGCCGGAGCAATTCTCGAGGCAAATGACGGTGCCCACTGCAATGGAGGTGTTCCGGTGGGCAATTCAATGATTGGCAGAGACCCTGGTTCTCGATCCTCAAAGAGGTCATCCTCGCTTTCTACATCCTTCGTCGCTATTGACGTTTCTGTCACGAGAACACCAGCATCGACACTGACCGGCATGGACACCGACGCCGCAGGTACGAGCACATGTTGCACATCGAGTGGCTCTCTGGAAGAAGGGGCAATCGCTAGAACCGCTCCAGCAGGATGAGCAGTTTCTGGGACCGGAGAAGACTTCTTGCCCAGCAGTCCATTGAACCTCTCTTGCCAAGATGGGTTCTGTACTATCGGAGTGGACGCAGATCTGAACGATTGCGGTGGGGCCGAGACCGGTAGAGACACCCTCGCGGCCCAAGTCAGCGGTGTGTATGACGCATCAGCTGGCTGGACTGGGGTCGGACTTGGGGGTGTAGGCGGCAGGGCTGGGGGGAGTCTGACTACCGCCTTTGCTGGCGGGAAGTGCACCTTGGGGCTTCGTGAGTCTCCATCAAAAGCAGGATGGAAACTTGAGTATTCTTCCGCTGGGGGTGGTGATGGTGATCGCGGTGGCTCGGGATGGCTGTAAGTAAACGCTCGTCGGTCGTGTGGCGAAACCCCAATTGGTTGTGGAAAGAAGCGAGACCCTCGTCCTCCAGGCCCACTCATCATTCGTGATCCCATCTCTGTGCCTGACATGCTGCCTACTGCACCGAACAGGTTGGACGCAGGCACGGCTGACTCTGCAATATTGGCGACATGCCGCTGTCCAGCCTGTTCACCGACATGTACTTGCTTCCAAGTCTCGTTGAAGGTGTACTGAGGGCCTTGTCGGACTCCAGTGCGCAGCTCTTCTTCTCGCCGAGACACCAATTCACGTTGCAGTCTCTCATTCTCGGCGCGCTCTTGTTGTCCCGCAACATGATGGAAATTCGCCCACGCGTCAACACCATGAGCCTTAGGACCATTGTGGAAGCCGTAGGCAGATCCAGGAGCGTGGGCTTGTTGAGAATGAGGAGGGGCGATAGGGGCAGGCTTGGTAGTCGGGAAGAGTGAGTCAGCCTCGCTGTCAGCGGCCAATGGGCCTTGATCAGGTGAGGCAATAGGCTGATAAGAGAACGATCGACTTTCAGGTACTGTGTGATTCACGTACTGGGTCTGTGGTGATCGACCAGCATGCGGTGTCCTCCCATTTATCCAGCCTTGTGCCGAAGAAGATGTTCTGGACAGATCTTGTGGAGCATAGCCCGCCAGTCCTTGGTCGAAAGTGCCGTTTCCAAGGGCTGACTTACTGGGAATACCCCATAGGTTAGCTCCCTGTGGCGAACGGTGGTCAGGGCGCAAATCTCCCCATCCACTTCTTGCATCATTCCCTGAGGAGCTGGGCTTGGGTAATTTCGGACTCGGCTCCGAAGGCGCGACCGGCTCTTGGCCACTCGACCTTCGCAACTCTGGAACAGATCGAACGCCATTTGCCACGGGAGAAGGCATATGTAAGATTTCATGTGTAGAGTCCTCCAAACCAGCAGGATCCAGCTTGGCTCGAGTAGTCGTTTTCTGGGAATCCTGCTGCCGAGATAATGAACCTCCAAGCTTCTTGACCGAGTCCAGAGGATGGACCTTCATCATACCGTATTGCTGGGGCTCGCCAGAGGCTAGAGGTTGCGGAGGTTTTGGAGGTGAATGAGTGTTAGCTTGCCCCGTAGACGCTGTCGTCTCTTCAGTAGTTTTCTTGGATTCCTTTCCTGCAGCCACATCTTCTTCTGCATGTTTCTTCGTCAACTTGGGGTCGGGACCAAGAGTGGCCAATTTCAGCTTGATGCGTTCCTGTTTCTCAGCTTCCAGTCGTTGCTCTTCTTCAATCTTGCGTCGTCTCGCGCGCTCGATATTCTCCTTCATCAAAGCTCTCTGCTGGACGCGTTGCGCCTCGAGATCGGCATCACTTGCTGGAACAGGGCCTGCAGGCATCTGTTCCGTTACGCCACGCGACTGGTAAGTCGGAAACTGCATCTGTGATGAGGGACCATCCTTAGAGCTGGGTCGAACGAGGGACTCAATATCACTCTTGGACGGTCCAAAGACTGAAGTTGGTGTTTCGCCAGATTTGAAGGACATTCGCCGCCCAAACGAGCCACTGCCACCAGAAACGGTAGAAGATGCTCTTCGTCGTGCTTGATCTGCGCTTGTGCGATGTGTCTGGAACGCCGCGGAAGGCTCGGCAGGAGCATGTGGATCTCCCTGACTGGGCCTTTGAAGTACAGCAGGAGCTCGGAAGCCTTGGTCATTCCTGGACATTCGTCTGCGACCCTCTGGAACGGCCTCGTATCGTCCCGAGGTCGGTACAAACAACTCGCGTGGTGGACCAGGAGCTGCGTCCCGCCAAGCACGATTAAAGTCATCGGCCGAGATTTCCGTGGCAGGAGATGGTGCTGAGAGGCCTGTCGGTGGTTGTACGTAGGTGTTGGAAGAGAAACGGCCTTGGGGTGGTAATACAGGTTGCGGATTGATCGCAATGGGAGATACCTTGTCAACGGGAGGCAAGGTTGCCCATGGTGATTTGGCTGGTGCTACAGCAGGAGTCGACTTCGAAGAACCCATCGAGCCTTTCTCTGCCTGAGCCCTTGTTTGTAGACTGGCGACCTTCTGGGAATGCTGTCTTTCGGCGTTGGCACCAAGTTTTAGTACTGTAGCATTGGGGCCGACAGAGCTTATGAAGTGCGGTGCTGGGGGCTTGGAAGGCGCAACCTGCTTGGGCTTCTCGTCAGCGTCTGAAGTGGGTGCGGACTTCTGCTTCGCCTGCGGAACGACTTCGATGGGTGTCAATGTGCTCTTTGTGCCGTCATTCCATTCGATCGTTTCCGGTGCCCAGTCATCCTCATCGTCATCAATATCTGCCCATTTTGCCTCCTTCCCCTCACCATCTGCCTGAATCCGCGAGGTCAAATGGATGCCATACTGCTGCTTAAGCTCTTCATCTGTGAGATGTTTCGTTGAAGGTTGGGGCGTGACTGCGTGGTTGTTAGTAAACGAGTCAAAATGTCGGTGGAACGACAGACCTCTATTTTTGTTCCACACTTGCATAGGGTCCGGTGTAGCAGTCTTGTATGGCTTGCCCTGTGTTTGCAGAGCACTGGTGGTTTTTGCGACCAAACGTGGTCGGCCAGAGGCAGTGAGTGATGAAGCGGACGACGTGGGAGTAGCAACTAAGAATACGACGTTAGCCTGGTCACGCGAGGTAAAGGTGAATGTATACCTTTCTCCGTGCCTTTGGCAGCAGCATTCGCGGCAACAACTTTGGGTACTGAGTACTTTGCGAAGCTCACAGGTTTAGCAGTGAATTTCTTGAGTGTTTTCAGCTCCGCAGATTTGTCTCCGGCTACACTGCCATCGGCTCGGCTGGTGTCGGTATCAGAGCGTCCTGACGCATCTTCCAAGTCGTCCATCTTGAGATTCGCAAGGGTGTGTGTTCCATTCTCTTTCGGCGCAACCTCCCCAACACCAATTTCGTCCCCAGAAACTTTGATATCAGGTGTGGATGTGGTCGCAGGTGCGTCGGAGGACGAAACGTTGTCGCCCGCCGACTGAGATTGGTTTACCACATCTTGTGCACTCTGCTGTGCCATAACCTCCTTGGAACTATGCGGTAGATGTCAGACTCTGGACAAGAGGACAGGCAGTAACAGCCCACAGGGTAAGTTTACTGTTAAAGACTGGAGTGTGCCACGATTGCCGGCCTGGAGTCGGAGGGTCGGATGACGCACAGGGGCGCCGAAGGATCGCAATCGCTTCGGGAGAAAAGGAGTAGAGGGCGTCAAGGATGAGCGTGCTCTCCGGACTAGGAAGAAGAAAGCAAACGCGAAGGCGAATTGGTGGTGATTGAGTGAGTCTGAGATAGGGAGGCTGCGCAAGTCATAGTCCCAAAATGCGCAGCGTACCTAGGCTTGGCGGAGACTGGACCTGCTTAGCTAAGGCAACTCCGGGTTAGAGACACTAGTGAAGTCTCACTTGAACTATTGGCCGCTCCTTCCACCACCAACACTGCCAACTCTTTCGATACGGCTCAATTCTACGCTCAAGCACAATATTGACGATATGAAGACAATGACCTCATGTTTTCTTCAGAGGTTCAAGTCTAGATTCCAAAGTCTCAACAACCCTTCCATCAGATGGATTGGTACGAGTACAATCAACTCAAAAATCCTGTTCAGAAGTCTCACGTCACGCGTTTCCTTGATGAAGTGACTGGGCGTTCCATTATTTGAGTCATTTTCAGATCTGCTATGGCCAAACACCTTTGGGTAAACAGGCGCACTGATGCGGCACGATTGGACTGGCATTACGATATCTGGAAAGCAGCATTGGTTGTAGGTGCCATACGGTTACGGCGTTTCACGACGAATGAACAGTGACTCGGCTTCCCCCATACGTGCTGACCGTGGTACTTACAGCCGAAGATCGTCAAGTCACACGTCGAGTAAGTTTCCTGGCAAGTCGTGGTGCTAATCAGAGTTGTCGGCGCCCAACAAACCATAGAAAGCCTTGATGACATGCCATTCGAAGTAGGCTGCATGATTCGGATTCGGCTTAGACGGTGAAATGACGACGAGTAAACAGATGCATTGTCGAAGACGGATCGCTTTTCGATATCTCATCGTGAAATTGGAGTAGCAGAACATCAATTCTCCGGAGAACCCGAATAACTCTTTAATTTTGGTTTATGTACAGGCGATTCCAGAACTCTAGTCCACCATGCGAATGACTTAATGAGCATTGTTCTTGTGATGTCCTGAGTAAACATTAGCCACTTCATTCTCCGACCATTAAAGCACTGTAACCTACTCAGGTGGAAGTAGTACTCCATGCTGTAACCCAGGGTCATGATGCCAAAAATAACGTGCCAGATTGCTGTTTCCTTATCAGTATCTCTTGATTTTCTCGAAGTGTCTTTCTTCACATACGGGCTGCAGATGGGTTCTTGCCAAAGTATTTCGCTTGATACCAGCCCAATGGACCACTAGGTGCTCTCTGAGGCGCAGGTCCTTTTGGTAATTGTTCGTAAAACTTGGCTATTTTGGCCATGCGCTGTGCGTTTGCGGCAGCTCCGAGCCCCTAAGTTTGCAGTCAGAGGTTCGTTCGTGATGGTTTCGATGGTAGCGTAAGTGAATTGAATTTTCGGGAGAAATCGCTTTGCTCGACCTGAGTAGGGAACGGAATTTTCATGACGGTACTGGGAGATTATAGGATTTTCGAACTTACAGATGGGTTTGCGACCTGTTGTTACAGGATGTCAGTACGGTCACAGGCGAGCTGGGGGAAGATTTGAACTTGCCTTAGGAGGGACCAAGGTTGACACACCTCGGCGGATGACGAACGACATTTTGAGCTGGGAGAATCGGTCAGTAAGTTTAGGGAGGAGACAAGTCAAGCCATGCGTACGGAAGACTCAAAAGCGATGTTGGGCTGTTTTCAATGGTTGACCGAAGCTGTTGCATCAATGAAGTCCTGATCGAAGCTCCAGCTTTGGCCTCCGTTCCGTCGCAGCCAAGACTCAAAGCTTGTCCACATCAGGCAAGTATGCCGTGTCGCGTTGACTTAGGTAATCAACATCTCCTTGACTCGTGAAGTACATTTATCTCGCGCAGACAGTGACACACCACATCATTTAATCAAAACCTATAGATTTTCTGAATACACTATGACATACAGCCAGCCGAAACTCAAACATTACCCTCGAACGAGCTCAACATGTTTCTCACGATCCTTCCCGAAGAGATATGAACCTCCTACGTCGAATTCGCTTGCACTCGTATGGTACCATCCGGGAACACCTGAGTTCTTGTGTCTGCAGAATAGGAACCTTCCCTCGGCGCAGATCCCATAGCCCAATCTCTCGGAACCGGTGTGGCCACTGCCCGTCGCTGTGCGCCCAAAAACCGCTCATTATGCTCTTTCGGGAGTCAGCATGGGCGCCCCTATTGAGTAGGTGCTGCTGGGCTGGGGCAGAAAGCATTTTCCAAGCTGCTCTCTCCGTTTGCGAACAGCCCAGGATTTGTACTGCATGTGGAGGTCTGCAGGGGCAAAACGAGGCTGTTATCAACCGCATTGATTTTCGCTGAGAGAACGAGAGTACGGCCCTCGCCAGAATTGCTCGTCCCGGACGACCCTGACTCTTGACCTGTTCCCGGCCTCGATGGGAATAGCTTAGGAAACAGCCTCTGCAAGGGTGTGCGAAGCATTGGTAAGTTTGCGCAGATAATACCTAAGCCGGCCTCGATGGTCGTCCATATGGTTGAAACAAACGACCCGGCAGTAGCGTCCGAGCCATAAGCTGAAGAGTACAGCGTTGTGAGGCGCGAGATCGACGCTACACAGACGATAATTCCCAGGCCAAAGATGCAAACCAGCGCGAATTTCTGCCGCGCCGGCATTTTAAGGCTGAGGACAACGGGAGGTACCATGAGAACAATTGTAACGTCTGTCAGAATATTGTATATGGCGTTGCTGTACCAAAGCGCATATAAGTTGACGCAGATGAATTTGCCTTTCCAACGCTCCCAAGCTCCATTGATCGGGTTACATTGCAGTAATGTTGCTGTGGTGAAGGAAATGCCCGCGCATACCACCACCAATATCAATGCCAAGCACAGCCGAGAAAACCAAACACGATCTGTGAAGATGCGTCGGTAGAGGAACAAGATCGATATCTTTGTGCAGTTGATGGTGAGCTTGTAAAATATCTGGAGGAGAAAGAAACACTTTTTTTATGTCACATCAGTGACATTCTGAGCCTGGGATCAAACCGAAATCTCACCTTTAGTGCCTGAGAGGCTTGTTGCGTGGTAAGCATTTCCAAAGGCCTTCCATATCCATAATTCACCGCAGCAATAGTTGCGCCACATTGAGTCATGAAGAATACCTTGAGATTGTCAGCGGACATCGAGAATGGATGGATTATCTACTTGCCACAGCACATAAGGTTGAATAGTCGTCTGGCCCCAGTCTGCCCAGCATGTTTAAACGCCAGAAGATTCGGTTAAGCACGAGAAAAAAAGCCACCGTAGGTATAACCATCGACGGAACTGCTAACTGCATTCCGCGTCCTGCTATCCCGAAATTTTCGACAGTGCAACGCTGACATTGCGCCTCAGTCATGTTGGCAAGTGAAGATATGTGATCAAGACTATTGTACGGCAATAGATATAAGGGCAGAGTGCATCATAACATATGAAAATCAACAGGTGAGAGGGGTCCAGGAAAAGCAGGCGATGTAAATGTCAGTATTACGTTCAGAGACCCGGATCTCAACAGAACGGGACACTTCCCATCATATTTGCTCTGCTTCTGGTCTGCCAACGTCCTTCAGAGTTGATTTCGTCGCCCTCTCGCCGTCGAACAGGGATAATTTGCTGTGCATTGCAGCTACAGTCGAGCCATGAATTCTCAGGACAGCGGCAGCATGGCCGACCCTCGAAGTGCATGATACATCATATTGAAGCGTGATGTATCCAACGAAATAGACGTAAATAAAATATAGTATGGATCATAGAACTTGATCAAGCAGATTTGGACGATCAATGACTTTGCAACTGCGATAAGATTTTGATATCGGCTCAGATCATTGTGGGACAATAGACGAGTCATACAGATTTCGGTACCTTCGGCGAGGGTAGACGGATGATTCGGCCAGGGAGGCAATGGACTCGAGGTGATTACACCCGTAGTGCGGTCCAGTCTAGTGTTCTATGCAGGTTGCCTCGATCGGTGTGACTGCGCGTTGGACATCAGACCATATCCAAGTTCCCATCTCCATTCAGCCCCCGGAAACTAGCTGACATCTGAGTCTCATTCACATCTTGCAGGACTGTCGGTAATTCTTGCGGAGATTTGGACAGCACACATTGGTGAAGACAAATGTCGAGGTGTTGTTTATCAGGTTACAAATTAATTAGTGTTGTTGAGGTCTTGCTTCTCGTCCTCGTTATGTAAGCACTGTAAATAGCTTAGCGCAGCTTCACAACCTATCAGACACTTCAAGCTTCGATACGGAGTACAATGCAACGAGATGTTCTCATAGACATCATTCATGATTGCGCTGTCCCGCAAAACCACTGAGGGGAGTTGAGATGCACTATCTGCCCCTTCTATCAACGCTGGCCAACGACCGGCAAGATGAGACAAAGCTTCAAGCAACAAAGCAAGCCAACGGCTTCTCTGTCTTCGAACAATTTCTCAGATCATAAACTCGACACGGCCGACCTTTGCAATCCAGGGAACTTGGTTGGACGAACAAAGTTCATCCACAGCAATTGGTGTGTCCGAAGGCCCTACGCCGGCTCTTGACTGCAATATATATCTGTATGGACTTTCCACAGCGGACGCAATGCCCAACTCGACCTTGGCTAAACCTGTGTCGATCCTGTTAATTTCCTGCTCCACCGGGACAAAGATAGGTACCAGACAGTCAGCAGCCAAAGAGGTTCTTTGACCCGTCTACTCAGCTCAGATGTACTCCTGTGCTCCGATCATTTCCAGCCAGTAGTGTCACAATATTGCTCGTACCGAACATCGGAGAAGTCAACTCTCAAAATCCTTACAACGTCTCGAAGAGGAAGCGGTGCGATCCTTGTTTGCCGATCAGATCATGATCACTTCAGGGCCGATTGTCCCATGGCAATGATCGTTTGCTGCGTCTCTCAACTCGGATTCCAGACACACAAATCGCACAGCGAGATGGTGCCCAAGCGCGATGGGTATATATATATACATACAACTCCTGGAACCGACTCTCTTGACTTGATGGATCATAATCAATCTCATACACATCCTAGGTCGATGCTTCGAAGCACGAAGGTATGTCTGAATGGACCAACAGCCTTCGAGTATGAAGAATGGTGGGAATCCCGTCGCAGATAGGGCGCCACACCATGTGGCAACCTGGTAGCCTGGTGGTTACTTCGACTTATCCAGGTATTCACGTCCAGGGATATGCACTGATTCTTGGGAGATGTTGTAACATGCCAACATGCTCTGCTGCCTTGATTATGTGAATGGCCCCTACGAGCTGGCGGCAGTGATATTCAAAAGCTGTTTACCATTATTTCCCCTGCAACATCTTCGCCCTTCTCATCAAACAACCTCTCAGAGTTTCAAACGGTTGCTGTACTGAGAATCGCTATTGTTTCACATCGTTCCTTGAAGGTCCTGTGATTGCTGAGAAGTCATCTCCGCTGGACTGTGTACTCCGTTTACAAGGAGGACGAAAGGATCCTTTTTTTAACCTTTCAAAGAACAGCAGAATTTGGGACGAATAGACTCCACTCGAGAGCTTTCTGGCTACCAAAATAACTTGACGCAGCAGGTCCTTACTGCTCTAACACGCTTTCAGATACTGGTCCTCAGGAGGATTTGACCCTTTCCTCATATTGCGACGAGAGACTTCAACCTCCGACATTTTCAACCCTTCCTTCCAAAACATGAATCCTCATGCTGTTGAATTCTTGCCGGGAATTTGGGAACACAATCAGAGACAAATCTTGAACCCACGAGCACCTATGTTTGTGCCCAGAGCATCTTCTACCAGTAGCTTGGAGGGTTTTCAACAACTATCCGAACCATCTCAGGCATGCTCTCCAGAATCTCCTCTTCATACGCCACCTGAGACACAAGAAGGTGCTCAAGCGAGTCGACCAGAGCGTACATTTGAACGAAGACTCGCCTGGATTGTCGACTGCAGCGATGTGTTTGATTATAATAGCCCAGTACCTACGGGCATGTCGCCCACACATGAGCCGAGACCGTTCTGGGAAAAGGGTGAGCAATGGTGGACCAAGTCCAAAGACTGGGTCCATCACGTCAACTTCTTCGGTGAAGTAGTATATACAAAGTCGGCCACCAATCCTGCCACGACAATTGCAGTTTTGAAGACGTCGTCGAAGTGGATCGCGAAACATGATCCCTTCAAGTCGCAGAACCATTTCGTGGTCACCAAGGCATCTCGTCTCTTAGATCCGGTCATGTACTACGGCAACCCGGATTTGCTCAACAGTCTTCGTGGAACTGCGCTCGAAACCGCCTGCATCGGACAGTGTGTCAATTTTTACGCTGGGGTCGGCTTGTGGCTGGAGGACGACTATGATGAGTCCGAGCACGAACCACACATCGACAGGCTCGACCCGAAGACATATCCGGATGGCCAGACCATCATCAACGGCTGCACCCCTGGGTTCCCAAGCCGCACGGATATCCTCAGTGCCGGGACTGAGGAACAATTGGCCATGGACAAAGCCCGACAAGCCGCGATGAAGAGTCGTATCGCGCGAGGCCCGGTCAAGTCAAGGTTGTCCGAGTGTTGCATCTCCTTCGATGATGTGGACTACTTACCAGACGCTGTCGTCTGCAGGAATGTGTACCCGCAACATGGGTCAGTACGTCCCAGCGATGTCCAAGGAACAAATGCGCCAGCTGTACCAGCTTAATTCGTCCCCGCTAGTCAATCACCCTCGACTCAAAATACGGATATGTCGAGGGAAGAGTTCCATCGCAGGCTCGACGCCTTTGGACCGCCCTTAGCAACATGGGCAGATGAGGAGGAGGAGGAGGAGGAGGAGGAGGAGGAGGACGAGTACGACGAAGATCCGTTAACCGAGCGGGAAGCCTTCCTTCGGCGACTGGCAGACCTCGGAGACGAAACCTTGGGAGATTGGGCGGACGAAGTCGAGGAAGAAGCTGTAGAGCTAGTGGCTGTAGCTGCTGCAGAGTCGTCCTCCACGGAGATGACTGATTCTATACCTGTGCAGGCTACCTCCTCACAACCAATGCGAGACTCTGCAGAAGACAACACCGCTCGACCAAGGGCTGTCTTCCCTTCTTCCACTCCGACAATCCTTGTGGAGCCGACCACAGAGCAAATTGGGTCTGCTGGAGCTCTTATTGGTGATGGCAGTCTCGATGCCGAAGAGGATCCCGGTCACAATCGAGGAGGGTCTTCCGAATCGACCACCTCTACGATCTCCGGCCCTTCTTCTTGTTCCTCAGGCGGTAGTCAAGATACCTCCACTCCACCAACGTCAGTGGCAGGTTCGGACGAGGACGTCGACGATGAGTTTGGGGCGGACATATACGAAAGCGACGCAGCGAGACAACAGCAACATGACCTTACTGGCCTTGCTCCAGAGCGATCTGACGAAGAGATATTTGGAGAGATGACGATCGAAGAGGAATATGAACTCCTTCATGGTTCACCAATACCGTCATCCTCACAAATCATCACGGCCTCTCGATCCCCAACGAGCGCCACTCTGCTTTGGAAGGTCATTGTCAAACTCCTCGTCCTAGGCCCACGCAGAGCCCCTTCAGTGGTCACGGTGGTTGACATCCGGCCACTGCAGTCAAGAGCAATACTGTGTGCCTTCTTCCACACGACGCTGTTGCGCCCACTTGCCAATGTACAACTTGCCCATCAGGAGAACATCACTACAAACGTGATGCAACCTGTTGTTGTCCACATGGTGCCGACCATACCCACCGTGTCGAGTCTATACTCTGGCCTTGCGCTTGGCCTCGAAGACCAACGCATCATTGAGGTGGCTTCTGGTGATGCAGGCGCCATCGTCCGTTCAGACGATAGCTCTGCTCCGGAAGGCGACAACATTTCGCCATCGACACTGCAACCGGCGGTCTCCTCCAACTCCGACGACCAACCGACCGATTCGGCAGTTGGGGCACCACAGTCCTGTATTCGTCGTGTCGGACAACGAGGCAACCATCGAGTCCGGTTTGCGCTGCCCGATACACCATGCACGTCGATGGTGTCGACGGCCGCTTCAAACACGACGTTGGGTCGCAGCGACGTTGCGACAATCGAGTCTCCAGACCTGTGTCCCAGCCAGTCAAGCTCCGACCCTTGGGCAGACTTCTCGGGCATCCATCACTGGTCACCGTTGCCCTTGGTGTCTCGATGCGGAGCTCGCGCGTCCGAATGCGAAGACGACGACAGCGACGACGTCTTGGCACCGATGCCTCCCATGCCACGCTTCCAGAGAGTGCGAAGGAACAGAAGACGGTCTGGACTGGGTCTGCTGAGATCAGCAGTCTCAGAAGCCACGAGAGTTGGGCGCCGCGCGACCAAGGACGCCGCCAGCAGGACGAAGGGTTGGGCCAAGAGCGGGTGGAAAAAGCTGAATGGTGTCTTTAACAAGGGGGATTAAAGGCACCATATCATCGTCTACGAATGCCGCAACGCAAGGACACGAGTGTCAAGAGGACAAAAGCTACGGAAAAGACGAGCCTCGGAAGAGACGGCGGGTAAAAACAGAACTGGCAACATGAGACCACGAAGGAATATGATGATACGATCGAAATTAGACGATAGAATAGACACACGAAGCAACGAAGACATGATAGCGTGAAAAATTTTGGGAAACTGCAATGACAGATGGTCCGTCGAGTGTTGGAATAATGTGTTTGTACTACAAATGAGGAGGATAAAGGCTGTTTCGAACAAAGATACTGAAAGGACATTTACTTCAATAATGAAGAAATAGGCGCTTATTAAATTTTAAGCCTTACATTATGATTCAGGGGATGAGGACAATAAAGCATAGTCCGCACAGTGAATGCATTTCTTTGTAGTAGATTCCTAATCAGCGACGTAGTCTTGCCTAACATTTCCCAGAACGGTGTTCTGACGGAAACCATGATGAAGGAATCCTCGCTTCGAGACATCTCGTGTCAACGCCGTCGTACACAGAAGTCTTCGGATAGAAACAAGATATGCAAGATGTTGTCCATGCATCTTCGGAAAGAATATTTCTTCAGACCAATGCTATCATTCATCGATGTCAGCCACCATTCTATGCGACACATCCAGAAAGAGCGTATGCAAGTGCGAAGATTCATGCTACTTAGTACCTGCATTCAAGCAAGATCTGTCAGTTTGACATCAATTCTGCATGAGTGATGCAGTGGGCTTGAATTCAAAACCCCAAAAGATGAAATGTAACGACGATCAGCATTGCTCGGATGTATGTACTGTACGAAAGAAAAGCTCAGAGCGGCGAACTTTGGTGGATGGTAAGACGATAACGAAGCTAGAATGACGGCTCGCCAGGACGATCTTGAACGTGAAGAGCATGGCCCTGATGTCGACATGCATGGCACCCAGATGGTGTCGGAGAAAAAATGAGTGGTTGATCGAGCAGACTCCGGCAAGAGAGAGATTCTCCAGAAGCGAGCAAGAGAGATGAATGGTCGGTTTAGTCTCAGAAATGGACCAGGATAGCGCGATACTGGCGTGTGTGGCTTCGAGCCATGCAATCTCCCGCCCAGCGGACTATCCACCTACATCACCGAACTGAAATCTCATCCAGTCTCAGACAAGAGCGTGACGGCGGGAGAGGAGGTCTCGGTTCGGTGGGTAACATGTACAATAGGTACACGGTGGTAGTCCGTAGAGAAGATCCCAACATGGAGGGTGGTAGACGCAGGGAAAAGCATCATGGCAGACTCGAGGACGCGCATTCGGACGTGGACTCGGACTCGAACTCTGTCAGCACTGAATCTCGTTTCGCAGATACAAGACAAGACACAGACAACAAAGATACCGGACAAGGGTATCCATATGTACAAATCTCGTAGTGGTGTTTCAGAGATGGAAACAAAGAGGAGAGGCAAGCTGTGCATGAGACTGAGGCAGGACCGTCGAAGGTGAAGCGAGAGTGCGAAATTGCGAAATGAAAGAAAGAGAAATAGCGTAAGATTAGTTCGCTTACCTCACCTTAGGCAGGTACTAGGCGGTGATGCTCCAGGCCTTCCGGGCGCTGGCTTTGAAGGTAGTTGGGCGCTTCAGGTGATGGCTCTGTGGCTAAAGGTGGTTAGAGACGATCCCCGAAGCCACCTAAAGCCACCTAAAAGCCACTTGAAGTATAGTGGCCACTATGGGCCTGAGAAGGTCTAGCTACTGCACTGTATCTCGCTCCCTGCTTCATTGGACTTGTTCACCTGGTCGACGAAGTCCTGTTTACCAACTTTTCTCAGAGTGATTTAGCTTGACTTGAACAGCCTGGTAAAGGAGCGACATGACTCCGTAAAGCTAGGTATCTACGAGTAGGAAGACAGGGATGTTGTGTTGTCGCATGAAGAGAAAGCGCAGTCTCTTGCAGTACCTTACAGGAGGAGTCGGTGCTTGGAACGGCACCTGCCACCCTCCACCACGTACACCCAATACCCACACTCCATACGAGACTTCCTCCTCCCCAATCACGCTCTCTTCCTCATCCTCCCCTACGATCTGCTCTTCCCGTCTTCCCTTTCACTTCTTTGGCAGCTCACTCTTTGTTGTTACAATCCCATTCGCCGCCCATTCAAGGGTCTTTGGACCTTCAGTCGCTCGTTTACTTAACTTTACACTCTTTTGCTCTTCTCAATTCGCGCGCCGGGTACTGCTGCACCTTTTCCACAACGCAGTCGTCTCTCCTATCGGTCTCGCGCACTGACCTAGAAACGTCAAAGCTTCTCGGCCCCGGAAAAGCCCTGCCACCCTCATCTACACGTCCGCGGTCTTGCCTGGCAGCGAGATCGCGAGTGCACAAGACACCAGGGCTGGGAGGAGGATGAGTTCAGCATGAGCTTGGGAAAGTTGGATACTCTGTGCATATCTGGATTGGAAACCAACAATTGATTGCACTGCTGCCCCTGTTACGACTGGTCCGACTCTCTGAATTCCCGGAGGGCATGTCGAAATACCTCGCGTTGGGCGCACTGGCCTTGCTGGCACCCGTGGCGTTTGCGCAAAGCTGCATATCGTTGGCCAGTTCCCAGGCCTGTTCGGCCTTCAATGCCTCTTCGATCTCTACAGACTCCGACTTGGTTAATTTATAGTGAGTCGCATGGGATCAGGACTAACTCGAGGGTATGCTGACCTGTTGTAGTCCGTTTCTTGCCTATGTTAAGACGGTACAAGACTTCGACACGCAGATAAACCAATATGTTTCCCAGCAGTATGTTCAGACCAAATATGAGAACATCTTTGGTTGCGACAACGTCACCCTGACCAACACCTCCTCGTACTATGCGAGATATACACGAAGTTTCATATGCAATGGCATTATACAAAACTCGAAGCAGCCTTGCGGCCTGTCCAATACCGATTCGAGGCCGTTATGCGCCGACTCTTGCGCCGAATTCGCCCTCAGCGAGGAAGAGATCGTGTCGAGCAGCTTGTGTATGGGCCGAAACAATGACTATGCCGACGAACTCAGAGCAGACTTCACCAATTGCGCCTTGCCAGCCAACTCTATTAGCGGCAGCTGCATCTCAGGCGAAACGAACGAACCCAACAATTGTGGATTCGGCGACAACTTGATGAGTCTCTGCAACTTCTGTCGATCGAGCACCGAAAATGGTACCGATTCCTGCTGCTTCACCTCCAATGCCCAAGGTCTGTGCCAGGATGTCACTCTCCCCGTCTTCTCGACAATATCAGGCCTACTTTCCTCGACAGCCAGTCCCACTTCTTCGCCCACCAGCAGCGCGAGCGCGGGTGCTGCCGCTTCCAAGTCCCACGGCCTCAGCGGTGGCGCCATTGCTGGGATTGTTGTAGGATCGGTCATAGGATTTCTGCTCCTCTGCGCCTTCATTGCTCTCGTCGTCATCTGTATGCGCCGCCAACGGAACCAAAGCACCGCTGGCAGTCTCCTCAACCAACCATCTCCGCACAGGAAAGGTGGCCCAGGCTCGTCGTCATACCATCAGCCAATGACCCAGCCAGGCTATGAAGTTCTTCCCGGTGGTCGAGTTGCCCGCATGTCTGCGCTACAAGACGATCAGGCACCCGTGATAGGACCACGCCACAATTACACGTCGCACACCGATGTCTACGGTGACAGCCCAGGATCTCGCGGGAAGGGACTCGTCGCAGTCAAGCATGACGGTTCGCCCGGTAGCGATTCTCAGAACGGCAGTTCTCCTGATTTTTCATCCCCTGAAGGTGTGGCTAGTGGTCAATCGGAGCAACTGCCTTTCTTCAAGGATTACTATTCGAACGATGATATTCACCCAGGCGACAAGGTGTCCGTGCTTTGGGCTTATCAACCTCGCGCTGGTGACGAATTCGAGCTTGAAAGAGGTGACATGCTGAAAGTGGTCGGTATTTGGGACGACGGCTGGGCGACCGGAGTACGTATCAACGACCGGGCCGAGGACTACGATGGCAAACACAAGGTGCAACGAGACAGTGGTGTCTCCAACGGTTCGACAAATCGAGAAGAATCACCTACACCAACGGGGGAAATCAAGGCCTTCCCGTTGGTCTGCGTGTGCCTGCCCGAGGCATGGAAGAAGACAGTAGAGGGCGACACCGGCACAGAAGGTGGCTCAGGTCTCCCTCCGGCATGAAGCTCGATTGGTTACGGTCATGCTGTGTTTTTATGACGACATGCAGTTAGCACCGGAGTTTTTCGGTTTGATGGTTATCGAGCGATTGAGAGAAAAGCCCAAAGAGAAATACAGTACCTCGATAATACCAGTAATATCACGAACGCAACCCCTTTTTTCATGTCGCAAGGCATCCAAAAACCGTCTTCAAATGGCCTGGCATCGACGAACATCGTACTCATTGTTCATTGTTCACAGCCATAATTCTACTCGCCTGATGGAGTTGGTTCCATTTTTTTCTGGTGGCACGTTCTGCTTCCCCTGGTTGGATTCTATGATACCCCCGTTTATGTACATTTGTTTTTGGCATGATGCTTGAGTAAGAAGTGGAGATTTGCCTGATGGATTGATGTTGGACAAGCAAAGAGATGAGAGATGGAGACCGGCCGGTGTGGTCGGTGTGAAGGAGACGTTTCAATCGTGGCTGGTAGAAAGCGGGCCACGACTTTAGCTGTCTGTAGTAGTTATGGCTGAGGCTTTTACATCTTATGAGCAACCAAGCAAACAAAAAAAGTGTTGGCCCTCGTCAAGAGGTTGAGAGGGAGCCAGTAGATGTTTCTTAGCTCGACGTGGACAGGATTTGATAGAGGTAATGCATTTTACGGTAACAAGGAAACACTCTAGCTCTTTCTCTCTCCCTCCCTCCCTCCCTCTCTTCTCAATATTTTGTCGTAGTTGCGGTTGACGTAGTAGGAGGAGCCGAGAGGATGGGAAGAGGTGGGAAAAGAGGCAAGATTGTGTATTGTTGTATTGTATTAAGTGAGTACCTACGGAGCTGATATAGGTTGTTGTTGATTATGACTGCCGGTACTGATGTAGCAGAGTATCTGAACGCCAGGGCTGCATCCTCCCTCCAAAACACCCCATTTTCCCATGCAACAAAATCCAAGTTTACTAGATGATGTATACGCGCCTGTTGTTATGAGAGGAAAAAGGAAAACATTCCATCCGACGACCTTTTTTTTTTCTCCTTTGACTTTTTTTGGGGTCATGCATTTCGCTCGCTAAGGGGGGGGGGAGGAGGAGAGGGGTATATATTATATAACTGCTTTTCGATTCTCAATTCTCAATTCTCAATTCTCGTGTTGTGCCGTGTATTTGTCGTGTGTCGTGTGTCGTTTGTCGTTTCGTGTCGTAGCGTATCGTTGTCGTGTCGTGTCGTTGCGTAACTTTTTTTTGTATCATTTCCCATCATGTCCTTTTCCGTCTCGTAGGTCAAGCTAAGCAAAACCTATGACCCCGTTGTTACAGGCCGTCCCCGGCGCGACGGGGCCCATGTCGATCAGTCCTCCCTGGTCGCACATGTAGAAAGCGTTGGAACCGTTGCAAAAGATTTGACCGTTGGGCGTGCAGGGACCGTCGTTCTGACGGATGATGGAGCCGGCGACGCACTGCATCCCCGCGGCCACCGAACCCATGTAGATGTAGGTCGTCGTCGTGGAACCCGTGGCGACGCACTGAGAAAAGGTCGAGATGGAATTGCATTCGAACGTTCCCGGTGTGCAGGCCGTCGGTTGGGAAGGTGGCGTCGTCGTCGTCGTCGTCGTCGTGGTAGCGGTAGTGGGTATTGTTGTTGTGGTGGTGATGGTGGTGGTGGTCAAAAGTGTCGTGGTTGTTGAAACCGACGTGGTTGTGGTTGTTGTGGTGGCCGTTGCCGAAACCGAAAATGACGACGAAGACGAGGACGACGAAGTCGTCGAGGAGGAGGAGGAGGAGGAGGATGACGATGGGACGGTACTAGTAAAAGTACTACTACTAGAAGCAGTGGAAGTTGTGGTACTGGTAGTGGTACTGGTCTGTGTAAATCCAAATCCTGAAGTTGTTGAAGAACTCGAGGACGAGGATGATGATGACGACGAAGCTGAAGTAATCGTAGAAGACGAACTTGTCGACATCGAAGTCGTCGTACCGATGATGGTAATATAAGACGACGTTGAAGTCCACGAGCTCGAACTACTCGCAGCAGTACTGCTCATGGTGGATGAAGAAGAGCTAGGAGATGTTGACAATGTCGATGATGAGGATGATGACGATGTTGCAATCGGACCGACACTGCTCATCGTAGAGGTACTGCTACTAGCCATCGTGGACGTACTTGAGCTTAGACTAGAACTCAAACTCGAGCCAGTGCTCGAAGAAGCGCTCGTTGTAGAGGAGGTATAAGGGTCACCTATAATTGCGATTAGTGTATCGTTAGTAGGGGGGAGTCCAGATCCAGATGATAAGAATCCAGTGGTTGTCGTGGTTCCATTGGTCAAGGGAAAGGGAGGGGATGTCGTTGTTGCCAGAGTGCTCGTGGTGGTTGGTGTGGTGTAGAACTGGGCCGGGGTAGTAACAGAAAGTTGCGTAGACCCAGTAGTCCCCAGAGAAGAACCAGTCGTACTGCTAGGACCATATGCCGCGGAAGTTGTCGATGTAGTGACAGGAGAACCAGATGATGTTGTTGTCGCAGAGGATCCAGATCCAGCAGCGCTGGTTGTCGAAGAAGACGAGGACCCCGAAGTCGAGAATCCAGGTCCTGGGTCCGCGGCAACTAGATCCTGACCGTATACGACATCGTTTCCGGGATCTGGAAAGACCACTTCACTCCCTTCGATGGTCGTACAGCCATTGTCCACGTTACACACAAACATATCCGGGAGTTGGGAGATTGACGACTGCCTCTTCCACACGCCTCGTCGGTACTTTTGACTTGGATTGCTGGCGATCTTGACCCGGGCACAGTTCTGATACATCTCCCTGTTGCCGGCGAGGTTGAACCAGGTCCAAGAGAACAAGACCGAGTCCGAGGTCGGGGCGAAGCTGGGAATGGTGAAGTCGTACATCAACGTGACGGGACACCCACCGATCATCGACTTGATGACTTTGAAGGTTTCTCCATTGTCATAAGACAGGGACAATTGGCAGGAGCCTCCGTTGTGAGGTACCGTCCCTGCGATGGTCATGTTGTACGTGTTTCCTGCATAGTAGGTGGCCTTGGTCACATTCGCCTGGTCGTACGTGTTCGTCGACTGGTAGTGTTTGCAGGAGAAGTCGGACCCGTCGGCCAGAAGGGGCGAAGTCATGGAATAGTCCTTGTCGTAGTAGGGAAGGGCCGGGTCCAGAGGGCTTCTGAGAGGGTAGGGCCAACTCATTTGCATGTGCGCGTTAGTGAGGAGGGGGAGACATGTTAGTAAGGAGGAGAGGATGAGTGCTGAACCTAGAGGTGGTGACATGGTTCGAGAAGGTGTCTTTAGGAGGAGATGGATGGGAAAAGGTGGCTCAGTTTGTGTGAAGTTATCAGTAGAATCAGGTAGGATAAGGTAGTAGGTAGTAGATAGGAGGAGGTAGGGAGTAGAAAAACAAGATGATCTTCTCAACGTAATAGATGAATACTACAAGACAGTTGGGATTGTAATCCCTTGAAAAACTGTTCCTTTGTAGAGGACAAAATATAATAGGAAAGCTTGAGAACAAGCGAAAATCCAGACGTCTCTGTGGCTTCTGGTGACATGAAGCTTTCTTTTCTATTTTCAGTCGAACATCAACAAACCCACAAAAGACTGGCGTCACAGCCAGGCCATTGTCTCCTCAGTGGTACACTGGATATTTCGCACACTCTACTACCAGGTATGTTACGTGGTAGAAGCTCAGTCCGTTTTGTTATGTTGGTCTGGATACATAGCTGAGCTGTCTGAGGATGGGGCCCGAGAATGGTCTGAGCGAGACGTCGCCGTTCCTTGCGGTCCGGAGAATTGGTCAACTCTGAGTCCAAGCTCAGCAGTCACCGGGCAATGTCGACTTCGCCATTGCCTGGAATTGTAGACGCAAGGACCAAAGCCGCGGACACCAAAGGAGCCTCACCTGGGTGACGGTTTTACTACCGGTCGATCATGGAAGCTTGGCTTATGGCTTTCTCGAAGCTTTCGTCGCGAAAAACGAACAGAAGGTGATCGGAAGATACTGGCGTCATCGATCGACGCACACAGTAGTCATTGAAAATTTTAGCTAATTTCTAGCAATGTAAATCTCCGGACAGATCGTCTGCATATCATGGAGAAGTTACATAAAAGGCTGATGAGAATGAGTCGAAATGGTGGAGAGTTGTTGATTCTGGGACAACACGCCAAACATGCCAAACACAGCCTCGTTGACGAGCGGATCAGTGCACGTGACGACGTGACGAGGCTGAGTCAACCCGTCTTGATCGACTATGCATTGGAATCTCGAGTGACTTTTTGCGACTCACACATACAGAAATGAGTACCTGTTGCTATCGCATGTCGGCAAGCTGCCTTCGAGGTATCACATCCTCATCCGGACTGTCTATGAGCTCCCTATCCCACGCCCAGGACTTGGCAAATTCATCATCTTCCCAACCCTTCGGGTCCAGCATCATTCGCACCGTGAACTCGCCCAACACCGGTAGGAACTTCCAGGCATGTCCTGACCCAGCTGTTGCTATGTACAGGTTCTCACAACGTGGATGGGGCGTGACGAACCAACTTTCGTCCGGAGCCAAGGGTTCCCTGAGAATTGATTGTCATTAGGAAGTACCGCGGTCACGAGGGCAGGATTTGGTGGTTCAGACAAAGACAAATCAAAGTACTTACCAGCAGAGTCTCAAGTGCTGCGGTATCAATTCCTGTGCCGCGTCAGGACCGAAAATACCCCCAATAACAGTCGTCATCTCGTCCTGTAGGACTTCTGGTAGGTTCTCCCGAGCAGTCCACTCGGTGCCCTCGGCGTTTGGGGGTGCGACGGAGATGCGTGTCTTGGAGGCAGCATGAACCAAAGTGTTGGCAAGTGGAATGTCTCGGATGAATTTCAGATAACCGTCCGGGGTCGGCGGCATGGTCTCCCCTGAACAACACACGAATTATGCTTTTAGTCTTCTTTCTTTCCTTAGGGGCTTTTCATCCCGAGGCAAGCAGCTAGCTAGCTTTTCGATGATGACTTACCTCGAGCAGGGTCTGCATCCCACAGCACGGCGGGCGTAGCTTTGTATCTTTCCAACTGCTCCGAGGTCAATTTCACCTTTGCCTCTATGATGGCGCCGGCCACGAAGCGCGGTCCGGCGTGCAGACCCGGGTCTTGGGGGGCACTCTCGGCGAGAATTCGAGCCGTGTCGGCTCCAGCACACAGTAAGACCTTGCTGGCGTAGTGTTTTGAGCCGTCGGTGAGCTCGACACCTTGACAGCATCGACCCTCGACGACGATCAGTTTCGAGACGGCATTGGAGACGTACGATACGCCATTGTCGACCGCCGCCTGCATGATGGCCGCAAGGGCATTGGCCGCTTCTGCCCAACCGGCGTTGGGTTCCCACAGGAACTCCTCGACCTTGTTGAAGTTGGCGCGCTCGAACACGCCATTGAACATGGTCTTGACCTCTTCGGGCGTCACGACCTTGGCGTCCTCGTTGATGCCCAAACGCTTGAAATTCTCCAACATTGCACGCGCTCCGCCCTTGTAGGGTCGGATCGAGAGCATCCCGGCCTCATGGTAGAACTTGTTCAGTAACCGATCGTTTCGCCAGATGTCGTGGCTCCTCGCCGCCAGACGACAATAGTTGAGGTCCGAATATGCCGCTCGCACGATCTTGCTGATGTCGGTCGAGGCCGCGCTGGGTGACGGGAACGGCGAGCGGTCGAACACGGTTATACCGTACGATGGATACCGACGTGAAAGGTGTAAGGCGGTAGAGGCACCAAAGACGCCGGCGCCTACAATGATGATGGAGGACGGGTTCAGGTCATGGTGGTGGTGGTGATGCTGCTGGTGCTGCATCGTCATCTCCGCAGCGACGCCCGACTATAGTTGCTGGGGGACAAATCACTGGTAGAGGGGGTGGCGGGGGACGGGGGTCGTGGTACAGCAAAACCCTCTTGGATTGCCCTGATATATCTCTCGCAAACCAAAGAACTTGCTCGAAGAACAAGGGCATCGGGACATGATTGGTTCACGAGACTTGTTTTCTCATCTTTTCTCTTTTGAAACCTTTTTTATGCAAGGGACGCCCAATCACGTTGCCCCCATTCCCGACAAGCCAGTCAACGCCATTTGGTTCACAGCGGTGAAAGCTCCAAGAACTGTCAAAGGTTGTATGCATTTTTCCTAATCCAATCCTGATGTTCGAGACATGCATGATGCTGCCACGGCGGTGACAAAAAGGTCAGGGTCGCATTCACCTTCGCCGTTTGCTGTTTGGAACTTTTGGACGTGTCTTGTTCTGTAACTGTGGTCCGCCACATGCCAGAAAACGAGGCTGGGGTGACACAGCAGGTAGGTAGATCAGCAGCAAGTCCCCGTGTACGGAGTATTACCGAACGTACTTCACAAGCGTTGTTTTCTCGTTCTTGTCACAAAATCAAACAGACTGGGGGTTTGGGCAGCTGATTGAGAGTCCGTGAGTTCCGTGGCACACACTTGCATATCCGGGGGTTTTGGCTGACGTGTCGCATCTGGCTTTCTTTCGTGGCTTGCCAGAGCCATACACCACTCTGTGCGCTTGTACTCAGCTGAAACAAAGTAGGTCATAGTCTGTAAAGAGTAACGAGTACGAATGTTTGGGCCAGAGTCCTGTCGGGAGACAGTCAACCCCCCCAACCTTCTCCGTAACACTGGGCCCACCTGAAGATACTCCATACCTTGAAAGCCTCAGTAGACAACGTGCACCACCAACACCTGCGCTCTTCTTACCATTGAATGACTGGTCACACGAGCAACAAAGCTGGCATACAAACGCCATACAGACGGTTCGAAGGCCCAAGTGAATTACCTAAGTACTTATCCTAGTACTCCGTACCTGTCATTCCCGTTATAAGAAAAGGGGGCCGGAATTCGTTGGTGACATCTAAAACTCCAACCATCCTGAAGCCCCATAACGTATCCCGTATGCTGTCAGGCTGCATTCACTCGAGCCAGCTGTGAATCAACCTCTGATGTGTAGCACCGCCAATCCACTGCATGTCCTATAACGTCCAACCAGAACTTGTCTCAAACGACAATGGCCAGTCATCTCTGCCCAAACACCCAAATATAAGCCGTACTACTCCTACTCCTACTCCGTATAGCGCTGTCAGTTGTCACCAAGATTTTCGCAATGCTCGACTTCCCATGTTGCAAAGTCTAGTGGAGATATGAAGCAGTCATTGGTCCAAGTACCGACCTCGAGAAGAAGTTCATCCACGGTACTTCCCTCCTGCACTGACACCCTTGAATCTTGCCCAGCTTGCTCGAGAAAGCAGCCGGTGTCCGGGTTGAAGGCCTTTGTTGCATGGTCCACACACAGCCTGGGATGGCCATACATAAAGTGCTCATCATCATGCACAAAGCGATTCATGCTGTAGGCAAGGTTCTCCGAAACGTTGTCCAAGAAGTCGTCACGAGGAGGCCTCCTTGTGCTGGCTTTGGACGATCGAGGACTTGCTGCGGATGATGTGTACTTCCCAAGTAACGCCATTGACGTGCTATACCTGCTCTGTGGCTTGCTAGAGCGTAGAGATGGCACAGAAGAAATGGAAGGCACCGTTGAGGTAATGTTTCCTTTTGATTCATGACACCTCAGGCCCGAGCAGTGGATATGGAGGTGGAGCTGCCACGGACTACCTCTGGACTTCAGCTGTTGTGCGGTGATGATGCTCCGGCTGCTGCGGGAGGAAATCCCGTCTCCCTGGTGTCTCATGCCTCTCTCTTTGACGAAAATGACATGGCCATCATTGAGGTGTTTATGTCTGATGTCGAGTTCGCAGTGCTGCATCTTGATATGAGCTAGGGCTTTGTCTGGAGGATGTGGGTAGACGTTTGCAGGAACCTGAGTCGGACTGCCAGTCGATCCAAGCAACAAGGCGGTTAGTTCGGAGGTTTTTGGAGCAGTCCAGCAGATTCTTTCTTGAGATTTTAACCCAAGATTGCGTGGCAGACGTCAGGTGTATGAAAGCAGAAGCACCAGAAGACTTTTTGACAATACGGTCTCTTTTTTGGTGAGGCTCGTGTGGTCATCAAGGTGGGTGTCGACTAGATATACTTCGTTGTTCAGGTCCGGGGCCGTCGTCCAACAACGTCACTACCTAGCTCCCTTTCGGAACTTTCAAGGCATCCTGCTTGACCATGGCAGGCTGATACTCTCCCCCCGCAGTCCCATTTCGACGCCTTACATGACCGGAAACCGCGTGTGAACATCTGGATGACTTGCTCAGTGCAAGGCCCGAGAATTTGATATGGAATATTGTTTGGAGAAAACAACGCCAAATCCATTCCAGGTAAGGGCAAAGTGGCTAGGAGAGAGGTTAGCTGTAGATCCTTGTTCCTGGAAGGAGAAAACAAGCAGGGATTGGTGGGTAACCAGAGGGGGACGTTGCACCTGAGACAGTACAGTCCGGATAGACCAGCTTATCCTACCACGACATCAGCTATACGAGAAGGCACGGGGGACTCCGGAATGGTAGGTTCCTCGCAAACCGAAGTACCCTGCAGGGGCAGTTATCGTGGGCGCGAGCCAATTACACGTTAAGTACGTTCTATGTCACTCAGAGGGTGAGGCTCGAGGCCATGGCAAGTATGCCCTCATTGAGTTGCCGCCTACTTTACCATTTCACCGAACCTGCTTTGAGACAACTTGTGACGGACTTTATAGGGAATATCACTTTATTAGCCTGCTCAAAGCTTCCCGAGACTTTAGATTCTCAGCCATCTTGCTTCAAAGCGCTCGAATAATCCCCTTTATTCGTTGAATACCAAATCCTTCAGTAAAGGTTGAACTGGAGACCCGCTAGCGGCGAACATATGTCCTTCACGAGTGATTATCGTGCCACTTGATGTCTAACATTCTGCTGATGACGCTCGAGCTGATCAACCCTGGCAAATCCAGTCGTATTGGGGCAACCTGGAATATTACATTTGTACTTCCTCTCGTGTTTTGCCATGTGCGCTCTGTGATGGTAGAGCATTAGTAATGATAGGGATTATGCAATTTGTGATATCCAAGGCGCAAGCCATGAAATGGAAAAGGGGTAGATGGCCCGGAAAGTTGACATCACTCACCTAAAAGCCGAATTGCGCTCAAACACTACCAATGACCTATCATCACGGAGGCCGCCTTTGTCACACTGATGTCCATAAGGGCAGACATGCTTCCCTTTGCCTCGTGCCAACAACTCTTTCGAGTCACTGGAGTAATATGATGGTGTTCCAGCATACGCGGGTGTATAGGCACCTGGCATGGTTCCCAGTTGTGGAGATTGGTAGGTTGGGGCTGGCTGGAAGTCAGATGGTGCAGGAGTCTGAACTTGTGATGTTTGATGGGAAGGCAGTTTCCACTCCGGTTTCTGTAATGGCCGGTTTGACCAGATCTCTTCACAGTGGTTGCTGACCTTACCGAGCTCGGTTGACAAGACTCTGGGGACTATCAGCGCACACGTCGAGGCAAAATGGTCTGCAATCCATACTGCAATAAGTGATGCTTTTGATCAAGAAATGTCACGACGGATGTGTCTGAGAAATCATCGTCTTTGGTCACACTTTTTATATAGCTTTCGACGTAGTCGGAAATGTGCGGACCGTTGGTCAGAGAAACCGCAACTTGAGACAGCACCCCAATCACCTGAGTGAGAAAGGTGCCGAGGGCTTCAAGGAGACAACTGCATGGGTCAGACTCGGAACTGGTCCAAAACAAATCTGCAGTGGCCGCGTTTAAGTGGACATGCGAGATACTGTCCGGGAGAACATGACTCTGGCTCGCTGACTTGGCCTCAATAAGAGCCTTTAGCAGCTGCAATTGTACAGCAGGACCGAGCTCGGAGAGATTGTTTCCAGTTGTGTTGGGACTGTTGGACGCGTGGAAACAAGTCCGCCGATGCGTCTCCTCAGACATCGTCTCGGGGGTTGTCGATGGAGAAACAGACTGTGGGTTAGACACCACGGCGATTGAGCTGTTGCATCGGGATGACTTGGTAGAGAGAAAAGAGAGAAGAGAAAAGAAGGCTAAACTCAACGAGGCGGATGAGTGAAGCGGATGGCAAGGCAGGGCTGGTAGGCATGGTGATGCATGCAGCGTATGATTTCCCTATGTTGTGCTGCCCAATCTACTACTGCGGCCCCAAGACATGTTCCGATGATGTGCAAGACCTCACAGTACCAGCTCTGAGTCTAAGTCGCCTATTGGCGACGACAAGGGTATGCGCAATTTGAGGACAACAGGCATAAGGGCGGCTGACGCTTCTGGTAGTGAGGCGAAGGTCACTGGGCTGGAGGTCAAGGTGCTTTCTTCTTCTGTGACCCCTCACTTTGACCCATGGGCTCTCTAAGCCACAAGGCTGTCGAGGTGACAGTGGCCCCCTCGGACGTCCGTACTCTCCCGTACTCGCCAGGAACAAGACAGGCGATCATCCAGCCTGTTCGAATTCGTTGGGCATCACTTTGTGTTCTGTCGAATTGATTCGAGATCCAGTCTGCAAACGCGTGGTTGCCTTCACACTGGAGTAGCTGGCAGTGCGAACAAGGTGCCGACTTCCCTGTTAAGTACTAAGTCGCCCAACTACTGTATCCCGGGGGCGGCCCGGAGCCCCATCCACTTCGGCCCGCTGCGAGTCTGGAGCCCTTTATACTCTACTGTAGGTCCACCTCGACCCAAACACCAAAAGACCTACTTCAGGAGACTTCGCCGACTCTTAACTAGTGGAAAGATGGCTCCGTTTTCTCCTGTCAAGAGACCCAGACGCAACAGTCTGCCCAACAACTCACTTGCACAGACTTTGCTTGATCAACACAACGACTTCGACAAAGATGACTTTTGGGAAACAGCACGGCTGTTCACCGTTCTGGACGAGGATGGTCACATCTCCGGTTCCGCTCCGGCTACCACTTCCCATAAGCGGAAGCGAGACGACAGCAGTCCTGGTTAGTATGATGTCTGACTTGTTCTGGGTACAGGCTCTGACAAGAAGTCCAGACGAGGTACAAGCGTTTTCGGATGGCAGTCACGGGTCAACCCCCCTCGAGGAGCTCTTTCCTGGGTCTTCTCCTTCATTGCCATCTCCAGAGGACAGAATTGTCGAGTTGGCACTTGCAAATCCCTTCATTACGTACCATTCCTTGAAATTGTCAGAGCATCCTCGTCTCACATCGGTCTTTGACCCTGTCAAGATCCCGACCCAGGTACGAGTCAATGGTTTAGTCAAGTTTCATCTTCAGTTCAGCGATCCAAATATGCCTTCGAGTACCAAGGAGGTCCTGTCCAAGTACCGGCAGGAGTACAACGACCAGATGAAGTCCAAGGTCGGAGACCTTCCACTCCTTCCAGCTGACTTCGGCCGAGGTTTGCGCCTCAATCCGATGGATTTGAGGCTATTCAAGTTTTGTACGTCGGCATCCTCAGCTTGATGACACTGACCTAACAAGACATAGACGTCGTTGCATATTGTGCTGGACGGACACTCTTGCCTGCCTCCAACGTTTGGCTGACAGGGGTACCAGCCATTGCCGAGAAGTCTGCCTGTGTCAGGCACGCCATGCTTTCATGCGCCGCGGGCTACGTCCTTGATTATGCTCCTTCAGAAAAGCTCAAACAGCGAGCCAGCTTTCATCACAAGCGCGCCATCACGTTGCTGAGCAAAGAGCTCAACAAGAAAGAAAACTATGAGCCAGGCAAGGAGGAACCCCTTTTGATGGCACTGTCGCTTCTAAACCACGAGGACATCGTCAACTGGGAGACCAGAGAATCTACCAAGAGAGTGCCAAAGTGGTATCAAGGCGACCTGGCAGTCAAATACCTTCTCGATAAATCAGACCCAGGTTATCGATACAACCATCCTGTCAACGTGCAGAGCACCAACAATCGCTACGTCATGAGCCACTATCAAATGAAGAGTCTCATCCTCAGCGACACTTGTGCACCTCTCAAGCCAGACACCGAAGACCATGCCTACAGCTGGTTGCTGGAAGGCAATGAAAAAGAGGTGAGACGGGTGACGGGACTGGCAGGCTGCTGCGCAAAGATCTTGCATATCTTCACGCAGATCACCCGTCTTTGCTGGCGACTACGGGAGAATCCAGACTCCGTTCCCATCCAGAAGGCGGGCGAAGTCATCTTGCAGTCGTTGACCAATTTTCAACAATGGTCGAACATTGTCACCCGTCCCTACGCAACTGCAGAGGAACTCGGTGAAGCCTGTGATGCAGACAAGGACGAGCATGGGAAGATCTGTACGGACGCTCTGAGTGTCGCCCTGAACGCCGACTCGTACGTTCTTGCGGCTCAGATCTACATCCTGTGCCGGCTGTTTCGGAAACCCCGGCGGCACCCCGACGTCCAGAGCAGACTGCGCACCTTGATCCGGTGGACGGACTATCTTCCGCTAGACGGGCCACTCTACACTGCCCAGGACTCTTTGTACGGGCTTGCCATAGCGGGCTTCATCGCCATTGAGCCGGAACACCGTGACGTTGTGGAAGGACAATTCTGTCCTTTGCTCATGGGACCACGAGGGAATGACCCGCCGGTGTGGAGAGTGACGGAAGCGCTCTGGCGCTGGCTCGACGAGGCGGGAATCGAAGATGACCCAACCGAGACGGACAATATTACTCTGTCGCAGAGGAAGCCTTGGTGGGAGGACATGGTGGCTTGGATCATGGACACGCAAGGAAGATTGAGTCTTTCTTGAATTTGAATTTACGTTTAATGGCGGTTTTTTTTGGAAAGGTGGATGGATGACAGGATGTTACGAACTACTGGAGGGGATATGGATACGGTACCCTTTGTGAGGAATATTCGACAAAAAACTTATTGATGTGACGACCAGACCAGGAGACCAAAGAAAAGCGACACGATTCGCCATCATAGCTTGACAGATTGTCACGAAGTAACCGACAGTAACAGGAGTACATGGAACAGCCATAACGACGACGACACGAATATAGGGCGACATACAGGGTACAAAGACAATTCATACGAAGCAATACGAAACATGGGATCTGCAAAAGGGGGGAATCATAGGCAGGGACAAAAGGGTCTCAACACGCCGGGCGGAAGGGGATTGATGGGGCACCAGCTAGTGATAAGTCAGAGAGGCTCACTCGGCAGTCAATCGAGCATGATCAGGCAGATGATGCTCTTGATTTCTAGTTATATTATGCCCTCTATCTTTCTAGAATTACATTCATTCCTCATCATCCCCCTCGGCATAGTTCACATACTTTCTCTTCGCGCTCCTCCTGCTCGTCGTGCGCGTCGGAGCCGCCCTTTTAGTCTTCAGCACGGGCGTAGCAACAACGGCTTCCTCGGCATCAGTCAAATCAGGCATGTCGACATCGCTTCCTCCACCGCCGTCGTCATCGTTGCTCAACTCTGACAAGTCGCTCTCGCTGGGCGTGGGCGTGGGGACCGACTTGGCGCTCTTCTTTGTCAGCATCTTCCCAACAGGAGCTGCAGCGGCACGAGGTGCCCTTGCCGGTTTCTTGCCCTTTGCGACGTCATAAACAGATTTCGTCTTTCCAAGATCGAGATTGAAACTCGCGGTGTCACCACTTGCGACTTGTGACGGGGACGTGGTTGTTGAAGCACTGCCACCAGCAGCAGCAGCAGCGGCATTTCCAGCCTCTTGTGTTGCCTGCCACGCCGCCTTCTCCGCCCTGCGGGCCGCGGCTCGCTCTGCTGTCGTCTTGGCCTTTTCCGGGTCGCGAGGCTTGACTTCGCGTTTCTTCGGACGCAGCCACTCCTCCATGCCTGGCGGCCAGTACACTCGACCCTCTGGTCCGCCCATACCGACTTCTTCGTCCGGAACGATTGGCGGTGGCTGTGGTTCAGGTTCAACATCTGCAGCATCATCAGGCTCATCGTCGTCAACTTGGTCTTCTGCGGACTTTGCTTTCTTCTTTTTTGGCGTCTTCTTCGCGGTCTTCTTTGGTGGTCTCCAAGGCTTGTTCTCGTCATTGCGAACATGTGGGATGATGTCGTTGAACGTGTCAAAGCCCGGCAACTTGAATGTCCGCATGAGTTCAAACACCGCCTGTTCTTTGTCCTTGGCTTCGATCATCAGGTCCATATCAGGATCACAGGGGGGCAGTGTCAGGACGCGCGGGTTGTGTTTGCGGCGTTGACGAGCAGTGATCGCCGGCGGCGTAGGTTCCGAATAGTGCATTTTCTGCGTTATACCCTTTCGAGTCCAGGTCGCCTTGATGCGAGGGTACAAGTCCATGATGTCCAAGGTTCCTTCGCGGATTTTGTCTGCATCGAAGACGATGTTGTGGTGGTGGTAGTCGAGAACAAGTGGAATGTTGAGCTCCTCGCATACCGGGAGCAGGTCGTGAACGCTATAGCAGACATCGTCATTCTCAAGAACAAGACGGCCCCTAACCTTCTGCGGAAGCTTCTTGTAGTTCTCTTTGAATCTCTCTATGGTGGCACCTTTGTCACCGAAGATCCCACCCATGTGGAGAATCATTACAGCATCCCGGTCTTGTTGTTCTGGCAACTTGAGAAGATCAAGTAACTCACAGTGGTACTCAAGATCGCGGAAAGATGCAGTAATGACTTCTTTTCGAGGCGAGCCGAGTTGAGTGAATTGGCCGGGGTGTGTCGTCAGACGGTGACCTAGCTCGGCTGCCACGCGACCGGCTTCCGCTAATGCTTCCGAGGCAAATGGAGCGAGTTTGTACCCGTAGACATCGTGGCTAGCAAAAGGGAACATTTCTGACGACAATCGCATAAACTTAATACCATATTTGTGGTTCCACCGAAGCATTTTGGAGATGTCCTTGGCATTAGCTAGACCGAGGGCTTCCACATAGGCTTGACCTCGGGCTATGTCTGCAGGTTGTTCTTTGTCTGGCCGATTCTTGGTCGCATGCTCCGGTTGCGAAGGGTCTTTTAGCGGATGACGATGTTCAAGAATGGATGCAATGCGACATGTTCTTGATGAGAAGACTGGAGGATTGGAAGCTCGGAGATAGGTGTTTAAGCATGCATAGCCTAACCGTCCTTTCCATGGTAGAGGCAGGTAACCACTGTTGACAGGGGGCGGTCGCGAAATGGCTTCTTTGAGTTCCTCAGGATCTGCTTCATCTTCTTCCTCGCCTTCTGGATCCCCTCTGCTTAAGCTGTCATCCTGTTTTGGGGCTTCCATTGAAGGTGTGGCAGGTTTCGACGACACAACTTCTGTGTCGTCTAGCTCCGTTTTAACCTGCGTCAGGGAAGTCTTTGTCTTCTTTCTTCTTCCTTGACTTGGCTCCTCTGAGTCTGGAGATGCTCGGAGAGCATCTTTGCCATCCTTGATCAACTCATTTGTCAGGGGATTCGTGTCGATGTGGGCTGGAGCGACCTGGTTGGATGCTCGACGTGAGCTCATTCGGCGAACAGGTGTAGGGGGCACCATTCCAGAGGCTACAGAAGTCACATTCGTCGGCAACGTCGTGGGAGAAGGGATTATGCCCTGCACATTGGCTATAGATGACCTCTTGCGTTTGGCCATGGTGATCAGGGGCAAGGAAGCGATCTGTTGGTAAGGGAGACGTAGAAGTAGGAGGCGTCCGGCACTTAGTACATTCCGCTTCAAGGACACAACAGACAGCAAAAGCGCAGGCAAAGAGATCATCCGATTTCTAATTCCACAGCAAACAGCAGCAGCATGGGCACTTGCACCTGGGACTTACAGAGGAAATGAGACAAACCCATATCGAATATTGGCAGCCTTTGTTTGGAATTTTGCTCCTTGAAGGCTCGTGCTGTCATCGACGTCATGGACTTTTGCAGTGAATCACAGAATTTCCAAAATGTCGATGGCATTTCTCGATTTCAGCCTTGGCTAGAAGCGGTTTAAATTGCTTGCTGCTTTTGATACGACCCTCTGCAGGAACTTATTCACTGCTGGCTGCTTTTATGGCCACCTTCTTCTCCATATGTCTCGCCCTCTTCATCTTCGTCCTTCTTTCTCGTCTTCCATGCCAACGCCAACAATCACAAAAGAAACCAATCTATCTGATGTACACAAAGGAAATAAGTCTATCTAAGGTATCTCGGTCTTTCTCGTCTAAGTGTCCCCTCTTTTATCACGCTGATGTTATGAACCGACTTTTCCTCCGAAGTAAATGGCCATATCTGAAGAGTATCCAAGGAATAGGAAGCAGGGCCAGAGACAAAAAGCCAAACACACTTCCCGACCAGTGAACACCCAGTTCCTCGTACATCTGAATGGTGAACAGAGGGAATACAGCACCGAGAAGGTATCGAAAGGCGCCGTTTGCTGCGACAGCTGTTCTGGAATAAGTCTCAAAGTGTATGTTTGTAGAAGCTAGGGATGCTTACCTGACGCGGCAGCACCCGCCCCGTAAGCCTCGATGAGGTAGCTGATTGAGGACAGCTTTGGAGAAAATGAGCCCCATTAGGAAATTTTGTCTTTCACAATGGAGAAAGAACACTCACGAATAGAACAAAGGAGCCAAAACCAAATGGGATGCCGCTCGCCACAAGTGCTGCCCAGTGGCCACCTCGATGAGCTTCCCATGCGTACCTAGAGTTGCCAGGTAAGAACATTAGCCTCGTGCTGACCATCGAATCCAGCCCTCTGCAGGGAAATACCGAACGCACCAGAATAGCCCGATGGGCAAGAAAACGCTCCCAGCCATCGCGGTATACAGTCGGTGTTCTGGGGCTGGATGGCCATCGGGTGCTTCCCGCACCGCTCGAGCATAAAGTGTCTTCTGAACTATGACATACGTGACAGCGGCCACAAAATATCCAATGACCACACTGATGAAAGAGAGTCCAATCTGTCGACTGTTGAAATCATAGTCTAGGGTGTAGACATAAACGGCGCTTGAAAAGAAGCTGAAGACCACTGCATATCCATATCCTGTGTACAGAGTCAGCGAGAATGCAATAGCCTCAGTGAAAAGTATGCTCATTGCTCGGAGCACCGAGACTTTGAGTATTGACAAGGCCAACGCCACAAAGCGAAAGCGACCAGAGTGTTTAGTCGTATGCTGGATCCGAACATCAGAAGTTTCCTTCATGAAAAGGATCAAAATCCATATGGGCGCTCCAATCAAGGCCACTACCCACTGCGTCCATCTCCAATCGCCATGGTGGTCGTGCATGACATATGCCCCTACCAACGGGCCCAAGGTAGGTCCCAAGAAAGGACCCATGATAAAAAGAAGCCTTGCTAGCCCTCCAGCTTCTCCCATTCCCCAGATATCAAGTATTGTTCCTGCACCGATAGCAATTCCAGCCGATCCCAAAAATCCACAGAGGAAGCGGCAGATCAAAAGTGTGGCAAAATTTTGTGCAGCTCCAGAACCTGATGCGAAAGCAACTATGCTTGATGAGGTGACGAGGTATAACCAACGGCGACCGACGAACTCTGACAGGGGCGCCATAATCAGTGGGCCGAATGATAAGCCCACCATGTACACGGTTCCTGGGAGGAGGGCTTGGGTACGATTGATGTCGAACTCGGCCATGAGCGCGGAGGTGGCCGGAGATGTGACAGAGGAGGAGAATGTGCTTTGGTTAGTTGGAACTTGGTCAGCAGGAGTATATGATATGGTTCAGATGTTCTGGGTGTTTCAAGACCTACATCAAGAACGCCAGGAAGCATGGAATAGTAGTATGATAGAGCTTCAGTCCCGTACTCCAGTTGTTCGCATTTATGGACTTGTGAGGATGGTCGTGCCCACTCCCTGAGCTCCCCAGAGATTCCGGTTTGCTCTTATTTTCGTCGACCTCGTCTGTGGTTTCAACGGTCGACATGGTGCAAGGCTCTAGGATTTGAGTTCTATTGATGAGTGCTCAACTCGAAGAAATGTTAAGGTATGAAAACGCAACTCAATGCCTGACACGAACAGTATTTGAGAGAGATATATACCTATAGCTAGAGTCATTTGTGCTGTGCGTACTCCGTACGCTACCTGGCATATGGCTCCTAGGAGTATCGTGTGGACCACTATGAAGAGGAGTGCTGAACTGTGATTGGCCAATTCGGAGGCTGCGGCGCCGAAAACACCGGGATTTGGGCTTGGCGTCATTCCCCTCTAGGGTTAGTGCGATTGCGGACTAAGAGGCTCCGAGAAACCGAAGAGACTCTTCACCAACATCACCTTCACCATCGCCACGAATTGGTAAACGCTCTTGTAAAGGATCTTCCGGATCAATGTCCAACCTTGAGTTGCTGGATATCTGGCATGTCATCCCCATCCCGAGATGTATCTCCTCAGGTATACAAACAAAGCGTCCGATCCTGTCGAGCCTGTCACCAGCGCAAGATCCGCTGTGACCGTGGGATGCCTTGCAACAATTGTTCGAGATATAGAATAGCCTGTGTCTATCCCACAAAATCATCGGACGTTGCACGGAAAAGTCCCTCTCTACAGACAATCTCCAGCCGCCTAGAACGACTGGAAGTTTTACTATCACGGTTGACTGACAGTCCTCAGTCCAGCGCAGGAACTACGCCAGTTTATAGCGGCAGTGGTAGCCAGCCCCAGATTCAAATCCAGGCTCGTCCTAGTGCAAATGTCAATACCATTGGAATCACAAATCAACAACCATCTGAGAAGCGCCCTAGCAAACTAACCTGGGAGCTATTATTGAATGATGAACCGGCTGTCCAGGCTGAAGATACTTCGAACATCGAAAGTCTACCACAAAATGTCAGTCTCGGTTTCTCGTCATCTCTGAATTTCACATTCGCACTACAGACTCATCATATTCGCAACACCCAAGCTAACATTCAGCATGTGACAGGGAGGGAATATCATACCTACCCAATCGACAGGCTCTGAGCCAGCAGATTCGCATCTTCAAAAGAGCACAAAAGTTCACGACGCACCTCGGTCGCAACTAGGTGCTTGCCTACCTTCAGACCTGGGCTCAGATGTGCTGGACTTCTATCCTGATGCCCAGCTAGCCCTTCACTTATGGAATGTATACATCAAGTCGGTCGATCCGGTCCTCAAATTATTGCACGTACCAACTGTCCAGTCGACTGTTGTTGCAACCATTTTGAACCCAAGATCTGCGCAGTCTTCAACAGTGGCGTTGACATTCGCCATCTACTATGCCGCCACCACGGCACTTTGTCATGATGATGATCACGAACCCATTAATCTACCCTGCGAGAAGTTGGCGCTTTTGAGCCGCTACAAGCTCTGCCTGGACCGACTTCTCGTAGTACCAGATCTGATGGCTCACCCAGAATTAGCTTCATTGCAGGCTCTGGCAATCTACGCAGTGAGTACTGAGGGTGGTCCCTATTCGTCGATGCGACCTTGCTTTGTTCACTTTCTAATTGACCTGATTTGACCATAGACGTGTTTACGAGCCAACGAAGTTAGCCGAAATGTATGGGTCCTCAATGGGCTTGCCATCCGGCTCGCCCAATCCGTTGGCATGCACCGAGACGGTGCCTCCCTCCGACTGAGCCCTTTTGAGACGGAAATGCGCCTTCGTCTCTGGTGGCATCTGTGTATCCTTGAATCCCGTGCCCCGGAAGATCAAGGATTTCAGCCTACCGTCGATGTCACGAACCGGGAGCTGCGGTTACCTTTGAATGTGAATGACAACCAAATCTATCCCGACATGACACAATTTCCCACAGAGTCGGACGGTTGGACGGAAATGTCTTTCTTCCTGATTCAGACCGAGTCGTGCCGGCTCCTACATCCGGTTCTCGATACCCAAGGGCAACATTCTCCAGACGCCTTTCTTGACATCACGGAAAAGCGGAAGATCATCCAGCAGCGACGTCAATACCTGGCGGCCAAATGTTCAGGAACACGCACTCATCTGTCACGCCTCGCAGTCCAGCACGGGACGACCGCGTATAGGAAGATGGAGTTTGTGCTGCAACTACGGGAGGAGATCAGCCTGCGAAAGCAAAACCGGCCACAAGAGGATCCGACTCCTGACGTGCTCAAGCCGTCGTTCAAATTGGCCTGTGAGGGACTGGAGAGCAATCAGGTCTTGTCGAACGGGGCGTTTGGGAGCAGATTCAAGTGGTTCTTCAACATCTACACCCCCTGGTACGCCATTGCTTACGTCCTGCGCTGTCTCTGTCATAGTCCCTATGGATTCGAGACTGAACGCGCCTTGGCGTTGGTCGAAGAGGTCTTCTCTCGCGCAATGAGTCTCCACGTTGGTCACGCGGCCGGGGTCGTTGGTGACTACGGGCACGACAGCCTCTGGAGATATATCAACTTGCTCCGACATCGAGCTTTATCGTCGAGGCACCGGCGTCTTCCACCGCCTGTGGAACCTACCGATGACGGTAGAGTTCCATCGTCCATCACTGGTCGAGATCGCACAAAGACGAGCCAGCTTCTCTCAGATATCGATATGCCGGACACGACAGCGACGACGGATGGAGAAACCCCGTTCCCCAACACGGGCCAAGAATATATCCCTGATTCCAGTCAAATTATCTTTTCACCTCTGGACCTGTCGATGCCGGAAATACCGTTCTTGCCGGACTGGAATGCTGTCATCAATGGCTGTCTGAACGATGATGTCTACGACACAAATCCATCTTTCTTGGATAATTTCCCTGATGACTCTACACAATTCCGAAATTAGAGAGTTGATTGTATGAGAATTTCCATCTTGACGATACGAATATAATTATACAGTATATATGTATGGAGTACTCCGTACGGTAATGCCAAATCTCGAACCTCGAAGCCTCGGTTATTTCAAGGCCGATCAAAGACCCATGTCAAAGATCATCTACTGTACTGTAAATGAATAAATAGCCTAGACCCATCAGAAACCCCCCTCCCTTCGGCGGGCCATCAGCTAGCTACGATGTACTGGTCAGCGGTGGTGCCCCTCTTCTCGGCTGGAAACACCACCATCACCATCTACCTCGTCCTACTGTACTCTTCCTCTTTGCTCCCCCGCTCTAGAAGTCAGAGGAAGGTTTTTGAGTGATAGATGAACGGGAAGACTTGTTACCCGGATGTGGCAAAATGGGGGGGTTTTGCAGACCATAAGTCATGCACTGCACCATTCTTACCTTTGTTTGTTTCTTATCACACACACATCCATCTCATGGTGCTCGGGCGTTTTGTTTTGTTGTTCCGTTTTACCTGACAGTAGTACCTACATGACCCCATAGCGGTTCACAAAAGATAAGATTAAAAACCCTATCCATCTTATGGGTCTTGTCAGATGCCGTTGATTTAAATCGCTCTGTATCATGAGATGATGATGATGATGATAGCATTGACCATTTGAACAAAAGCCATCCTTACTGTCACACACACCCTTTTCCCCCTCCTCTTCTCCGACCCCTCAAGCCACCACGCCATACGAGTTCCATTGCACTCTTGGTGTTGGTGCTTGGATACCTAAACGAAATCAAGCTCTACACCATCGGAAGTCTTGTCACCGGGAATCAAGTAGCTTGGCTCTACCTAACAACTTGATTCGTGTCATCATCGCCGCCTAAACAACCATGCCGATTTTCGAAAGAGTCCGAAGAAAGTTATCACGCTCCAAATCTACCGGTGGCGGTTCCTCAGGCATTATTACCAAACCAATCCCTGACAATAACGACCACGCCGAGGGACAAATTCGTATCGACCCATCGTGGCCCACCACAGCATTATCATTGACACCATCCGACGAGAACCTCGTGTCCAAACTCGCCTTTTCACCAGACACTGAATTCATCGAAAGGCCACCACGACTTCGTACCCCGTCGGTGGCGGCCACACAGTTTTCCGAACGGACCGTCTTCAACAATGTCGAGTCCGGGTTCTTGTCGTTACCGACCGAGTTGTTGCTGTTCTTACAGCCTTACCTGACCCCGAGTAGCGAAGTGGCACTCCGACACACCTGTTCTCGGTTTTTCCACCTCTACACCCTACCTTCGTTCGTCCTCAAGGGCAAGGACCTTTTTGATTTCTTGTGCATGACCGAGAGAGATCAGGACCCGGCCGACCTGGACAGACTCGTCTGCGGCCGGTGTCAGGAGCTCCACGTCAAGACTACCTTTCCCGCGTCCGAAGTCACTCGACCCCCGACGGCTCGAGACTGTAGGACCGTCTGGTTGTGCGCCCACCGGACCTTGGGTTACGCGAAGACGATCCGGAACGTCAAACCGGGTGTCGATTCACCCTTTCGGGTCGAAACCTTGGATCCATGCTCGAGGTGCCGCAACTTCATCCGCACCCGGTCTGTCGCCGAACGTCCGGAAAAGGGGACCTCCCAGACCGACCTCGAATCCCCCAAAACCCAGTCCTTGTTGATCACCAAGGTCGCCCTCCTGCAGGCTCCCTCTCCACTCCCGTACGGCACCCGCCGCGAACGGTCATCGTCCTCGGGCGTCGTCGGCGGCGGCGGCGGCGGCGGTGGAAGTACCGGTGGCACCAGCAGCGGCGTCTACAAGGAATTGTTTTCGGCCAAGGACGTATCCGACGCCTTGTCGGCCCTGGACTTTCGTCTCTGTCCTCACATGAAACTGGGGGACCCCTACATCCTCAGCAAGTTTTGCCGTGCGTGCATCAACACGCAACGTCTACCGGTCGGGGTCAAGGGTCCGCCGTGTATTAACGATTGGAAAAAGAAGAGCAACGATCTCGACGACCTCGTCAGCGGCATCAACAACAGTATCCACAATTACATGTACGATAACAACAACAGAAACAACCACAGGAAGAGATCTTCTCGACGAGGCACAGGAGGAGGAGGAGGAGAAAGGAGGAGGATGACGACGACGACGACGACGGAGGGAAACAGGTGCAAAGGATCGTGTTACACCCGAGGTTGCAAGACACAGTTCATGTTCCAGACCCGGGAATCCTTGTCGCCCGATTCCTCCGGCCGGAGGCAAGTCTGGCTCATCATCGCGGTCTATCGATGGTTGGGACCTCTGCAGACCGAACTGAGGGACCCCACCTGGACGGACCACGCCGTCGACCACCGGGAACGGAGGGACATGAGGGCGAGATGGGCCGAGTGGGAGAGGCAGAGCCGAGGGCCGACCGGGAGGCAGCAGTGCATGCCCAACTGGAGTATCTGTCTGCTGCACCCGGAGGATTCGAATCTGAGATGACCACGGGCGCGACGAGTCGTGACGGAGTGTGATATCACCGGAGATGTCGACGGGTTTGGGTGTACTCCGTTACCGACATGAAAATGAAGACAAACCCAGAAAAAATTGTGGTGAAATGACGCGAAATGTATCCATACGACCGGTTGAAACTGGTCGATTGTTACGACCTGTCCGTAGGTATCTACCAGGTTCACAGGTCGACAAAAGAAGGAACAAAAAGTCGGAGATCATCATGTCCACAAGTACCGTGGTAAATACGGAGCAAGAGGTCAATACTCCAGACATAAATAGGTATATGTAAAACCCTTCCACCATCGAAAAGAGCAAAAAGTCCTCCTACTACTTCTATACATCTTCAGCTTCCTGTCCCACTCCCATCAATCCCCATCTCTCTGTCACCCGACAATATGGACTACAAAACCATACCTGGTTGCATAGATGAATTAATGTTGCACCGAGGCATTGCATTGGACTCAGCACCATCCAAAAAGAGAAAAAGAAATGGTTCAACAAGAAATGAAAAAGTAAACAATCTTCGTCACATCGTCACATATATCCTAAGACGGCAAAAAGCTTTTCTGCTCTGGTCAAAACCAAACAATAATTGTACTTCGCTCACACGCGCACACATTATCTCCCTTTTTTCGTCTTCTCGCTGACGCTTGCAAAGATGGCAAATAGGCAAAAAACCAACCCAGACCGACACCCAATCAGAAAAAGCATACCTACCGACAAAAGAGATTGTATATGACTTGCTCCTTGATCACTCAATATTCCTCCGTGACAGATCGATCGCGAATACTACTCGATCGATCTGGAACCATGTGGTAAGGAATAAATGCCGAGGCACTGCTCGTCTGACTCCGTTGACTTGTTTTGCGTCGCAGTACACGGCTCCCATCACTGCTTTGTTGTGAATGAGACCTATACTGGCTGCCGATGCTTTTGATGGGGTCCGTTGAATCAGCTCTTGTCGTGTCCGAGGAAATAGTGGGTCTCGGCGAGGATACTGGAAGCGGGAAACTCGAAAGGGACACTTCTCCAGGACTCGGTGGGACAGGTTGTCTGTCCAGTTGCTGGAACCGGCGACCATTGATATGCAGTGGTGGGGGTAGTGGAAGGGGGTTTGTCTCCTCTTGTTCCAGAGCGACTATGGATGGGCCAGGACCATCGAGATCCGGATGATTGCCTTGTCTGTTCCTCTTTCGTCCGTCAACATTATCTACGTGGTAATTCCGACGTCTTTCGTGAGCATCCGGTACAGTGGTCATGCTATGATAAGATCTCGGTTTTGGCCTTTCATATCTATCCTCCCCAGTCGATATGTCAGCCGAGAACTTTGTTTTCGCCAGGGCGGGTGGAGAGTTTCTGACCTGAGCGAAAATTGTAGACGGGGCGACAGGCTTTCCGTCGCTATAGGAGAACGCATGTTTTGGCGCCGTTGGCCTCGACGATCGTGCAGCCACAGTAGGTTGCGTGAGGAAATTTTCGTTAAGACTTTCTTGCAGTCTAATCAGCGCTGCACGTGCATCGGCTTGTTTCTGGGCAAAGTCGTCCTCGTTGAACGTCGATTCATACAAAGAGAATTTGAGTTGATCAGTTTCGTTCAATGGCGTCCTTCCGGCATTTGGATCGTGGCTTGCTGACCTATATCGAGTATTCTTGGCATGGTGAGCTCTACTGTCACCGCTTGACTCAGTGTCTTCAGGTACACTCGTGAGGCCAGGCTTAGGCAGAGTACTTGCAAAATCTCGAGATTGTACTCCGAAGCTTTCGCCAGCGCCAGGGTCAACGTAGTCAACAGGTGCGACTATTTCCGGAGTGGTTTGAGCATATGTTTGCGAAGGTGGAACCTCCTCTCTGTGAGATTGTTTTGCATGGTCTGCTCGTGGACGATTCGACTTGGAATCGATGCCATCTTGCAGCCTTGCCTCCTCAATAGTCCTCAAGACACCAATTTCTGCAGCTTCATCCCGAGGCTCCTCATGTGTTTGCTTGCTGTGATGAGTATCGACTTCTGTATCCGCAAGGTAACTATTGCTTGTTGGATGGTCCTGCGAACCACTGGTTGATTGTTCCACGGGCTCATTCCGGATGGGAAACTCTTGGGCGAGAGTGTGAGCCTTGTTGAAACCAGAAGCACCAATTGTTTCCTTTGGCTGAATTAAGACACTGGTGTGGGGTGCCGAGGATGCCAAAGTACTGATGGAAGAAAGTTCGCTGCTTGTAGGAACTTTCGTCGGTGTAGACCGTACAGTGAATTCTGAAACCGATGGTACAGGTGATTGATTTTGCGAAAACTCCCCAGGCACATACATGCGCAAGTCTGCAGGCACGCTAGGACTTGTCCTCAAGTCGACTGGATCTGATCGGGAAGGCCGATCTTCGATTGTGCTTTCATACATTGGCCGCATTTGGTCGATCTTTGCCTGTCCCGTGACGGGAGCTGAGCCATAGGTTGGATCACTCTCTCGCTCGGAAAAGACATCAGAATCAGTGCCTGTCAGGTCCATGATGGTACGGTGGGGTAGGTTGATGGCTCGCTTTACCGATGTGTTGCTCATGCTCGAGTGCGAGCGGAGAGGATGTTCATTGCGGCGTGTGCCACTGGCCATAGATATCGCGGTACCCGGTCGCGAAGACGGTGGCCGACTCGCTTGTATCACTTCTGCTGCTGAAAGTTGGTAATTGCGGAAAACCTCGCTTTGATCTAGTCGCCCGGAGATGCCAGCGGATCTGGCTGCGACCATCCTGTCGTGTAGGTTCTCGGTCGAGGGTTTGACATGATGAACATGATGTGCAAGCAGAGGACCAGGAGACCCCTGCGCCAGGGTAGGCAATTCACGCATCGGAGAGCGTTGTTGCCAGGAGGGCTGGCTCGATTGACGCGAATGCATATCTTGCGACCTCGGCAAGGGCTGAAATCTTGACCATTCTGGGTGTCCTGACACTGCTGATCCTGAAAGGTAATCACTCACTCTGCTGGAAAGATCTCTAGATAATTCCGACCGAGCATTCTCATCAAAGGGCCGGCGAGGACTTGAGAGGGAGGTATTCCTGCTCCTATTATCCTGCAGCGGTGGGTAAGCATTCCGCGCTGCAACTTCTTCGGCATATTTCGATGACGGAGATGTTTGATCGTGGGTGCCCTCCAGTGCCACGCGGGTCACATCCAAGTTTCTCTCAGCAACATCTTCGTTGTATCCAGGCATTGGATTTGTACCATTGGCCTTGGAAAGCGAAAAGATGTCGATGTATCGAGGCCCCTTCTGTTGACGGTGGGCCCGGAAGGAATGGTCTGTAGATTGGCGGTACTCTTGTTCTGCTCTGACTCCGGCGTCTGTAGCTGCGCGGTTGACTGCACTCATAAGACTCCCACTCTCAGACGTGCCGGGTCGTGATGGCGAAGTAGTCGGTCTTGACACACCAAGTAGCATGGGGTGTTTTTTGCTGCTTGATACAGGTTCGACAGAGCTATGCGTAGTTATCGGACTCAAAAACTGAGCCCCTTGCTCATTCGGCGTGTTTCGTCCATGCCTGTCGTTTGTAGATAGGCCAACCAAGTCGGTGCTTTGGCTCTTTCTGAGGCTGCCTCTTCCCGTCTCTTGTCTGACATCTCGACCTTTGCTCTTCCGCCGTGTCCATAATCGTTTCAAGCCACTCTCCATGTTGCTATCCGAAGGTAACAGCCTGCGGCGTCCCGAAATCCGACCGAAATTGGTTCATGCACAGTTATCGACCCCGATAGTGCCGTCTATCTGCGCACATGGTCATCGCATTGCGGAGGAGCATTCAGCTTCTGGCAACACTGCCCATGGAAGCTAGATCTGTTGGCGAAATACTCGCGGAGGAAAATATGGGAGAGGGTAGGTCGCGTCAGGCCGTGAAATGGTAAGTTTGTCACCAGAGAGAGTCTCAAAGGAATCGTACGTGTGCAATGTAGGAGAAATGATATGCGAAAAGTGGACTCGATGGAGCAGGGAAGGAGGTTGGTGGCTTCGCCCGGAATGACGATGACCAGCGTCGATAATAGCTCTTTTTGGGCGTTGGCGTTTGTAGAGGATATGTGGAGGAGGCACAAGGGGGAGAGTGTCGAGCACGAATGGAAGGTTGTCGTCTGGTGGCCAGGGGGCCCAGAGGCGCCATTCCAGGTGCAGGACAGAGCCTACATAAGCAGCCCGCAACTGTGGGACGTTCTCTAGGTACTGTAGGCGGAGAGAGGCAGAGACCCGCGCTGCAAGTTGTAGGCGCCGGGTTGTTTGTTCTCGGTATGGCCATGATCTCTAGCCTGCGAATCCATGGCCAACGACAAGCGCTAGGCTGACCAGGGCGTCTGTTGTGGGTTAGTGGTGCCCAGAGAAGGGACGATCAACCGCCCAGCGATGCACCCGCTCGCTTGGTCTGAAGGCCTCGTACCCATCTTCTGTTCGTTGCAGTGGCTGGTCATGTTTTCTGACGAGAGATCCCACTGCGCGGCGCGCGGCGTCAGGCCACCTCTCACATTTTTCCTTTCGGATTGAACTGTTTGTTTGATTGCTGGGAAATTTGGTTCTTTTGAAGGCCTGTCATCTCATGGGCAATAATATCCCTGACAGGAGACCGTTGGCTGGCCGAGCATGGGCCGTAGATGACACATAACGTGAATTGTCTGGAGCTCGATCGGGCTCCCACTATGGATTACGGGGGTTAAAAGTGGCAGATCCGAAAGCACCACACAACCCGGCGTTAAACAACACACTAATAAGAAGCTGAACATAAGATCCAGCTAAAGGAGGATTCCGACCGCAGGAGACGCGACTTGGCCGACAGCTGCAGGGCATTCCTCGTCCCCTGCAACCAGCATTTCCGGCTGCAGCACGGGAGCAGGTTTTTCCTCCTTCGAGAAACAAAGCAATCACAACCACTGGATAGAACTGCCGGGACCCAGGATGATCGCGACAGCCCGGCGTTGGGCGACCAGTAAAAGGAGCATTTCAGTCGCCCTTGACTTGCATCAAATGGCAAGTACTCCGTACTGAAGCCTTAGAATGTTTTTGGCAAGTGAATACAGATGGATACACTACCATACGTGGGACACAGAGGCTGTCAATCGTGCGCACTAACATATTGACATTGTCCATCTCTCCAGAGTCTACAGAGTATCTGATAGTGGGCACTGCTGGGGACACCCCTGGTTCGCCGATGAGGTCTACAACGTACATTTCCGGAGAACCAGTTGCACGACATGCCGCATCTTCTGACAGGACAGTTCGTATCACAACAAGCGCCCTGGCAATGCTGTTTGCGTCCACGGTACTCATGATCGGCATTCCCAATGTACGCATCTGCAAATTGACAACACAGACATCCTCAAGTGTGTCTGTCTGTTCGTCCTCGAAGTCTTATTGTCTAGCCAGGGATGCGTATCCCACCACCCGCCGTGCCGACTTTTCCAGATCTCTGTATCCAACCGAGGCTTACATCAATCGATCAGTTTCGAGCACCGAACGCCTTGTCGTAGTCGGTCAAGGTGAACCTGTATCGGATCTTGTTCTTGGACACCCTCGTTACAGCCTCTTTGCAGCCCTCCTCAGAAATGGGTAGGGTCTCAACCATAGGGAACAGTTTCTTCTCTGCGGCCAGCTTAAGCATGGCCAAGCATTCGGGTCTGTTGCCAATGTGGCTGGCACCGATCGAGCTGCCGTTGCTCATGAACATCTGTGGCTTGATGGCTGGCAGCGCCTCATCCGGAAGACCGACTTGATGGAAGGGTGCGTTGACCTTGCACATGGACAGATACTGGCCAATGTCAAAGGTGTGTGTCATATCGGCGGTGTTGAGAATGAAGTCAAAGGCAAAAGCGTATGGCTTCTCCCATCCTTCCTTGTCGTTGACGACGAAGTTCTTTGCGCCCAGCTTCAGAGCATCTTCTTTCTTGTTTGGCGAGTGTGAGATGACAGTGACTTCGGCACCTAGGGCGTTGGCCCAGATGACCCCGAAATGTCCCAGGCCACCGAGACCAACAACAGCGACCTTCTTGCCAGGACCGACTCCTGCCCGCACCAATGGTGAGTATGTGGTCAGACCAGCGCACAGCATAGGTGCAGCCAGGTGGGAGGGGATCTCATCAGGGATGGGGAACGTGAAGTATTCGTGGCTTCGAATGTGAGAGGCATATCCACCCTGGGAGATGGCATCGCCGTAGGGGGCTCCGTAGGTATCAACCCCGTGAGGGCAGTAGTTCTCATTGTCGCTCTTGCAGTTTTGGCACTCGAGGCAGGCCGAGATCTGGGCGCCGACACCGACACGGTCTCCAACCTTGACGGTCTTGACTGCGGAGCCGACCTTGACGGCATGGCCAACGACTTCGTGGCCTACACAGATGGGAAGAGGAACCTCACCCCAGCCGCCATTGATGCTGTGTACATCTGAGCCGCAAACACCACAGCATTCGATCTTGATGTCGATATCGTGGTCACCAAATTTTTTGGGAGTGAACTGGACTAGAAGTCAGTATGATGTTGGGACAGAGGAAGTGCCAGCTGGGTCAATCCGAGCTCCCTCACCTCTTGCTTCTTGAATTCAGTCCATTTCTTCTGGTCTGAAATCATGAAACCTTCAAACTTGTCTGGGTAACCCATGATGGCGATGTGTGATGGAGGACGAGTGTTGTTGGTGGGTTCAATACTGGAATCCGTACTGGTAATTACCTCTTGTTTACCTGGTAAGCAATGGGAAGAAAATGTAGAGGAGAGAAGAAAAAGGATTGAACGTGAGATTTATCCAGACGTGGAGGGCAGAGCGGTTTCTGATTGAGAGAGAATGAGTGAATACTACTCGTACACTAACGTTGCAGTGAGAGGCGCGCAGGACATACGCGGGGCACGGTTTTTGTCTACTTGAAAATAGGCACAAATACCCAAGTAAACTCGTAGCCGATGATGCTGATTGAAAAAAATTAATTCTGGGTCGGTGTTGACATGGTGACGTATCAAAACTGATGATGGACGAGAGAGAGACGAGTTGAATGGTGTCGATTCTCCATCTCTCAACGGGACTTGTACCCGTTTGCCTCCAGAAGAAGACATTCTCTCTCAAAAAAGGGCCATGTCATGGGTCGGGCTATCGCGGTCAAAATCCCGGCGCATACGGGAGTACGTACGTGGCGAATAGAGAAAGACTACGCCGTCACTGATACATCGATTCTTCTTGATGGCGGGGTATTGATAGCCCGTGCGAGTACGAGTACAAAATCAATGGAGGGGTACGATGGGTACTTGAACGATTACACGGGTTTGAAATGGCCCGTAGCTACTCCGTACCTAAGCCCGCTCGAGCCACCCCGAGCTTTTTCTTTTATTACTAGTTGTAGAGATTCTCGACGAGGCTTTCCCTGTGCTTTGGTCGGCGGCGGGCTGCTAGCAGTATTTTATAATTACCCGAAGGATATTTCACCGGGGGGGGGGGTCCTCGCAAAAAGCATGACCACACGGATAAAAACAACCTTCCGGACAAACAGCCACAGAGACACACCCAGTCGTCACAAGTTGTATAATTCCTATCCAATGCTCGCTCTGTTCTCCGTACAAAACAATCACAGCCGTAATCTAGATTCAATGATGAACCATCGTAAGTGTTATCCCCGTGGCTATCGTGATTCCATTGTAAAATCTAGGCAAACATAGTTACATTTTAACCATGGTTTTTTCCCTCGAGACTCTTGGCTTTCATTTCCCAAGGCCCCAGACTTTCATCCAGCCATCATTCGTCCTGATATATCCTCTCTCGGTGCGACCTTCTTCGACGCCACGTCCGCTTTCCACAACCTCATCTTCCCCGGGAAGACGCAGCCACTCGTCCACGACCGGAGGTATTTCTTCCTTGACATGAGAGACAACAACGAGGGCCTGGGTGGGCGTCAGACCCTGGAACTCGGGGGTCTTCAAGCCGTGCTCGAGAAACTCCATGGCCTTGTCTCTCGTTTCGGCAGAAAGACCGGAGAACGCCTCATCCAAAACCACAATGTCGGGTTCCTTGATGATCGCACGAAGTAATAGAAGGAGTCGTTGTGCGCTGAATGGAAGCTTGCCGAATGCGTGGGTATTTTTATCGCTCGCCCAGTCTAGACTGCTATCGTTGTCACCGGACACCCTGTCCTGACGCAGCTCCGATTGCCAGAATCTAAGAAATGCATCGACTTTGCTGTTTCTTTCGGCATCAAGTGTTGGCTTTCCAGCGTAGGTGTCGGCCCAGGCGGATTCAAGGACCCGCCTGACAGACAGGTTTTTAGGGAAAAAGGCGTGAACCTCAGGAGCAGAGTGCCCGATGCGTGCTTGAATCTCCCATAGTGACAAACCAGGCGTACCGGGAGATGGGAGACGTGAACGTCCAAAGAATTGGATTGGGAGACTGTACGATTGAGGATGGTCTGAGGTCAACAAGGACAGTAGAGTTGTCTTGCCTGACCCGTTAGGCCCAAGCAGCGCAAGACGTGTTCCTTGTCTGATGGTGTATGTGAGGCCAGGCCCGTGGCCCAGAACGACCTTGGATCCATACTTGACTGTTACAGCTTGAAGTTCGATGAGCGGAGAACCAAGTTCCCTGGATTGAGGGGAGGGAGAAGGACTCGTAGAAGTGCCAGTCGGCTCGATTTGAGCAGAAGGTGAGACGCTTGTTGCGGCTTGTGGAATCATCTTTTCGGACGCCCGTACGAGTAAGTCGACGAGATGAACGTCTTTGCTTTCTGTGCCTGGTCGCGCCCTCATAGCTTTGCGCCACGAATTTTCAAAGGCTGGAGTAGCCTCCGACGAGAATTCCTTGGAGGAAGAAATGCCCTCCGCAGTGAGTTTCATACCTATGCCAGATGGCGGACGGCCGTACCGTTCCACAATTCTCCTTATGTCCTCATCATTGCTCACCTCCCCGGGCGACTCTCCCGATGGCGCATTCGAAACTAGATCTTGCCAGCGACGTACACCGTGTAGAACGTTCTTCTTCGACCCTATTAGGGAAACAGTATGGTCCTGTCCTAATACGGCGAGACGGTTGACCCATACCGGGATGGGATCTTGAGGTCGCAACCCCAGGAGAATGACTGGATCCGCTCGTCGACTAAGTTCCAAAAGCATATTGGAAAGACTGACCAAGGTTGGTGGATCAAGTCCCATGAACGGTTCGTCGAGAAGTAAGAGCTTTGGTTTCTTGAGCAAGGCCTTTGCGATCCTCGCCCGTCTCGTTTGGCCATTACTTAGATTGCTCACTGGCATGTCAAGTAGTTTCTGCAACCGCAGATCCTTTATGGCCTTTTTGAGTGTTTTCTTATCGACTTGGTTCTCCCTCGCCGGCCGAGTGGGATTCAACTCGGTCTCACCCTTGAGATATTGCAACAGTGACCAATCCGTCTCTTCCCTGCGACTCTCGTACCGTGCACTTAGATATGCCCCCGTTATACCTCCCCTTGACGCCTGTCCCTGTCCGTCATTGAACCCGACATACTGTATGGCCCGTGAAGGGATCCGAAGCTGGTGGTCTTTGCTGTCGTCGATGTAGCTCGAGGCCAGGTAGGGATAGGATCTTGCCTCGGGAGGGAAGCACAGGTGTGAGCCTCTCAGGATCTCCAGAAAAGTCGTGCAGGCAGAGGTTCCAATCACGGCCCAATGGGCTTGGTTCCTCGCGCGAGATCTCCCTTGGGGCTGAGATATGTATCCGGCGGGAATATTGATGGTCAGGTTCGGAAACAGAGGTGGATTCACAGAGGGTGATGTATGAGCAGGATGTTCTTTGTAAAAAGTGCCATTGCGAATGTCGACCAGATTGAGGCGAACATTCCTGCTGCAAGAGAAGAGCAGCACCGGTGTTCTTTTCATGACCCTGAGCAAACCATGAAAGCAGGGTGCCCTCGACTGCTCCTACAATACTCGAACTGAGAAATTGGGGTAATAACTACTTTGATATACGCCGTAATCCACGCTTGATCTCCGCACACACCAAGCCAAGTCAGGACTTTTATACGGAGGACGAATTCACGAAACGGGGAGACGAAACCAACTCCGGAAGAAAATGATTGGGAAGATGATTGCTTTAGAATCATCATGTCATTTGCATTTCATGCTTCATGTCATAGCTAGCTCTATTCCTAGCCGTTCCAATAGTGTACACTGTGCCGCCTGCGATGTTCTTCCATGCACGCCATCGCTATGCCGAAGAGTGTGCGATTCTCAAGTGGCGAAAGGCTCCAAGCTCATTGATCCCAAGATGTATTATTCTCGTAAGAACGTTTCCACTACAAGAAGTATTCGTTGCGGCCGCCTCTCGAGGGCGGAACGTGTCGTAACTCGTCTTTGACGGCACTGAATAATTTGAATGTGGGCTTCATGTCTTCACCAATCTCGCAGACTGATGCAAGGTTGCCACAACGGTAGCAGTAATTTGGTGCACTCCAGACTGTGACCACGTCTTGACTCTTGAAGTGATACTTGTACCCTTCGTTGACCAATTGATGCGCTCTGGCGATAAGATTGAGTCCATTGACATGGCAGAATTCCTGGCTGACTCGGTCTCCAAACAGCCAACCAGCGCCACGAGGAGATACTGCCCAAGTTTCGACATCTTCTGGATCTGACCACACCAAGTCGCAGAAGGCACCCTCGTGAGGGATTTCTTGTGCTCGAGCAACGACTCTGACTTGGTCTAGGGTGCGAATTTCTGGAGATAAGCCGCCATGAACACACAAGACTTTGCCGTCAACTATGGCTCCAAGTGTCATGAAATCGAATACCTGGCAACATGCCTTCCATACTGAGGTATTTCCGTATTTCTGCACGCATTCTTCGTAAAAGCCATAGACTTGAGTAATTTGACGACTCTCATGGTTTCCTCGGACTAAGGTGATCTTTTCGGGGTACTTGGCCTTCAGGCATAAGAGTAAGGTGAGGGTTTCGAGAGAAAAGTATCCACGATCGACGTAGTCTCCGAGGAAAATGAAGTTGGCATTTTGTCGGTTTGAAATGACATTTCCTGATTCTGACCGTTCGTCTTCAACTTCGGACTGTTGTGATGAGGGTATCTCTTCAGCATCACTAATCTCGCTGCTCTTTTCACTTTGTGTGTCTGGATGTTCTGCACCGCCAAGTTTCAGTTTCTTCTTCAGTTTCGGATTTGTAATGGTAGTGGGGGGTTCGATGTCGGCAGATGTGATAATGTTTGCAGGTGTGACAGGAGTTTCTGGCGCTGATTCATTTGGCATGCCTCCTGCTACTCTGAATAGCTCGAGGAGATCGTAGAATTGGCCATGAATATCACCACAGATGGTAACTGGCGTAGAAACAGGTTGAATATTTGACTCTTCCATCATGTACTCTTTGACAATCTCGCAGAGTTGTTTCATGTGGTATTCTGAGAGGTATTTGCAGTTTTTTGCTGCTTCGAGCCACTCATCTGGTCCAGCGGAGCGCTTGAGGCGTGCTGGTCCTGGCACCGGGACCGTGACTGAGCCCATGGCGCAGTTTCGAGGACAGGAGAGGAGAGGGTGGTGGTGAGATTGAATGAAGTCGAAATTGGTGCTTCTGCACCCTGTCTGCCAGACTGAGAGAAAGGAGGGAGGAAGGGAGGGGTTCGCAGGCACTTGACGTATTCGACGTAGTCGAAGACTTTGGCCTTTGGGAGGCTGAGAAACACAGCGCGGTCGAGATTGGTCACTTGGCGCGACCGGCGCCGGGGAGGAGAAGGAGGAGGAGGGGGAGATGAAGAGGTCGAAACCTCAGAGGTGTCTTCCTCGAAGACCGGGAATGCCTCTGCAGTAGCCACCTGGTTTAAGGCAGCAGAGGGAAGGGCACGGGAGGCGTCTGTCGTGGTGGTGGAGGAGGCTCTTTCTGGCTCGGTCGATGCCATTGCGGCGCACGTCGTTGAGGTGCGGAAACGTGATCAAGATCGGTGGCCGGGAAAAAGAAAATCCGAAGCCGATAAGAGTGGGAGATATTTGTGGTTATGACAGACTACTCAACTCACTCTTCTTCACTACAACATTCACTACACACGAGTTACTCTTGTCTCTCATTGGTGACTGATATCTATTGATGATGTCGTCGATCACAATGACAACTGCATGAATCACGGCTGAGGCGCGAGTGCGAGCCAAGTGAACTGTTGAACAGACATTTTGTCCCCACCACTTCTACAACAACTACAACAAAACCTCAATGTCTGGTCAGTCGAAAGCACGCTCTGGTGGCGTCCTTCCTGTGAATGCTGCAACCAGGAAGAGTGCAGCGGCGCAGTCCAACTCTAAGGCGCCTCCAAGAACTCCAGCCCCAAAACTCAGACTGGTCATTCGGCGACTCCCACCAGGACTCAGCGAGAGTGAATTCTGGACCGTTATTGGAGACGACTGGAAAGTAGGATCAGGGAAAGTAGATTGGGCAGCTTTCAAAGATGGGAAAGTCTCAAAAGAGTAGGGTGATTCTAGGGCTTGTCGTTCTTCACGCTGACTCAACTTACAGCCCTGCGAAGCCCTCACGGCCTGCACGGGCATACATCAAAGTCAAAGAACAGTCATTGCTTGAAGTCTTGTCTGCGCAAATAAGAACCTTGACTTTCCAGGATGCCAAAAACACTACGAAGGACCCTTGTCTGCTTGGACCACCATCCCTGGAATTTGCACCTTTCAATAAGATCCCCAGCGGACGCAACAGAAACGATGCACGGCAAGGCACGATCGATCAGGACCAGGAGTTTATTGACTTCTTGCAAAGCTTGACCGAGCCTATCACTAGGTCAGGCGCGAATGGAACCGAATCTGCCGACTCCAAACAAGACAAAGTAGCAACCACTCCTCTCGTCCAGTATATAAAGGAGAAAAAGGCCAACAAAGCGAAAGAAAAAGAAGCCAACCAGGCTAAAGCTGCTGCAAAGGCGCGCGAAAAACAAGATGTCAAACCATCTAAGCCTGAGACTCCTCGATCGACCGTCGTTATTAAAGGTAAGGCTGCACCATCTGAGGAGAAGCAGCGAGTTCAGAAAGCTACGGAAGAGGCAGTCAAAGCAATCAACAAATCTGTGGCTTCTATGCAAAACAAGCAGCAACAGCATCAGGCGTCACCGAAAAGTGATGGTAAACAGTCTGCGAAAGACACAAATCCGAAAACCCCTACGGTCCCGGCGCAAGCGAGCCCAGCTAAGCGCGAGCGAGAAAGATCAAATGCAAGTGCTGCCGCACGTATGCTGCAACGTGATCTTGGCCTGCTGCCGAAAGACAAGACTCAACGTGCGACAAAGGCTTCGACCTCTGGTTCAAATACGGTGACCGAGTCTACAGCATCTCCAGCCAAAAAAGGGTCCTCCGAATCGATACAAAAGCCCGCGCCCCCTGCCGAACAGAAACAGGCAGCGCAAAGAACGTCAACTCCCACGCCAACAGCGCCCACTGGACCGCGAGCATCACGTACGCCTAACGCTTCTGCACCCAAAGCATCCTCGGCGTCTACAGCAAAGCCTACAAAGCAGGCCCCTCAACCTTCTGCAAATGCAAAGTCCGCATTCCTGAAGCACGCCAACCCCTCACAGGGCATCACTGAGGAACTTCTGCAGGCGGCATTCAACGAGTTTGGATCGATCGTGAAATGTGAAATAGACAAGAAGAAGGGTCTGGGATACATTGATTTCAGCGACACAGATGGGCTGAGGAAAGCGATGGCCGCAAGTCCGGTCAAGGTCGCCAATGGGCAAGTGGTCGTTCTGGAGAACAAGAGTCCATATGTGAAGCGTGGTCAATCAACCACTGAGAAGAGTACAGCAAATGCAAGTGCTACAAAAGGTGCCGCTTCTCCGTCCGCAAATGCAAATGCACCAGCTCGAGCTGGAACCCCCTCTACAGCGACTACATCAAAGCCTGGTGATTTATCCAAGCCCAGTCCCTCGGCGACAAGCACAAGAGCGGGTAAAAATGCATCTCCATCACCGAGTACACCGACCGCCGCTGATGCAAGCGGATCAGATCAAGCAGCACCTGCAGGTACAGTAAGCACAGCAACTCCTCCGACAGCACCCCGGGGCACGCCACGAAGTGGAGGTGGTAATCGTGGTGGTCGGGGGGGCGCTGCGGGTTCGGGGAGAGGGAGCTCACGTAGTGGTGGCGGTCAAGGCGGAAGACAAGGCAATAGAGCTGGACGTGGTGGGAAGAGAGGAAATGCTGCAGGTGCCAATGGCTCTTCTAATGCGGGCGAGACTGGTCAGGCTCCGGCGACTGCTACATCTACTGCACCCACTACTGCTCCTGCAGGTAAGGATGAGACAAAGAAGTGAACCCCAAAAACAAGCACAAGCCAATCACTTGGAGTCGAAAGTCGAAGAGGACCAATGCGATGCGATGCTGTGCAAATCGGTCCCTAGGCGAAGATGGGGAACGGACGGAACGTGGCTGCATATTATTTTTTGTTGGGTTCATTACTTCAATACTGAAGGGCTAGTCAAAGGTAGCTACTTGATGATTCTATCGTGGCCTCATTCCCTAGATAGCACTGATACTCGTGTCACAATGCAATGAGAACCTGGTTAGGATTGTATCGTACAATGTTCGGTCCCCCGCATGCCGTTGCGGACCCAGCTTCGGGTTTCTTGTGTCGATGTGAATTTACCGCCTCCTCCTCGAGGGGGGCATCGACGCAGGCATTGACTCGAACGCGTCCTCGTCGTCGTCGTCATCCTCGATCTCGATGCTTTGTTCTCTGGTGCCGCCGATAATACTGTTCTGTGACGCTGTGAAATTCAAAGTGCTCTGCTTCGCGACTCTCGCTGCAGCTGTGCGTGCAGGTGTCTTTTTCACGGGCGACGCAGCTTTCCTCCCTCTTGTACTGGTGCTCGCTGTGGCGCGGGTCCTCGCATTGCTCCCAGAGGAGGATGCGGCGGTGGTTCCGTTTCTGCGCTTTTCGGGAATGAAGAGGGCCTGCGAGTCTTCGTCTTCGTCGTCTTCTTGAACAACATCCTCATCCTCTTCCTCATCGACCATGACGACATCGTCGCCGTCGTCATCCTCGTCATCCTCGGACACAGCTCTCTTTTTACCCCTGGTCGTTGTAGCGGGCTTCTTGGCAACCGCGGCGCGTTTCCCTCTTGTGGCTGCTGTTGATGCACCCCGCCCGCCACGACCACGGCCACGACCCCTTCCCCTGGTCGTCGCTCGGGGCGCCGGTGTACTGCCTTCTTCCTCTTCCTCGCCGTTGCTACCTTGGTCGTGGGACTCCTCTCCGTCGTCAAGGATTCGAGCCGCAGGCTGATCCTCCCATGGGCCCATTATGTCGCTGTTCCAGTGTTCTGGTGCAGGCTTGTATTTGATCTTACGCGTCGAGTTTGCCTCTTTGAGGAGCCCCTCCGTGAACAATTCCTCCATCCTCGCACGTTGTTCTTTGATCTGCTCAGCGAGGTCGTCCTCATCGTCATTTTCGTTCGTATCTGTCTGTAGCTTTACGAGACTCCGGATCTGGGTCGCAAGGCTGTCGTTTACGAAATACTCCATGGCGTGCTTGTCGTCCTTGACGATATACTGGCTGACCACGTCACCGAACTGGTTTTGCGGCAGAATAGTGAGTGATTGGGCTTCTAAGAATTCCCTGACGAGCTGTTCGACCTTGACGCTATCGATGCCCTGAAACTTCTCGAGGATTTCCTTCTCGACGGCTTCGTCGCGAGCGGCACGTGCCGCTGCATTCTTCTTCTTCACGTGGAACGACACTACGTCTTCGGTGTTGGCAACCCTATCGATGAATCTGTGCGAGAAGCGCTGGGCGTTTTCAATTTGAAATTTTCCCACACCGTCCGCAGAAGTCGTTTCTATCCGAAGACGGATCAGGGGTAGTGGGCATTCTTCGACTTCGTCGGGATAGACTTCGCGCTCGCCTTGAGCTTCTTGCCATTCTTGTTTGGCCTGTTTGATCAATCCTTCGACGATCTTGATGAGGTACTGGGTCAGCTGCGTACCATGATCCTCTTTGCTCTTGGCTATCTTGATGGCTTCTTTGTCGGTCTTGAGCGCGATGTCTTTGTACACAAATGGTCGGACTGTGGTGAGGCGAATGGGCTCGCTCTTCATCTCTCGACCTGTTATGGACACAATGGCGACGTGTTTTGGAACCGCTTCGCCTGGAATGAGCGACGTCGCAACGGATGAGCCAGGCTGCATGACTTGGAAATTCATTTCAGGGTTTTCGCGGGGATCAATAAGACATTCATGCTCGTGGCCCCAGATCACCAAGTCGAGGAAGTCGGGTAAGAAGTTCTCGGGGAGATATGATGTTTCGGTGTGGGCGTGATGGTTTTGATGCACGCATATCAAGTTGTACCAGTCTCCCATCTGGATGCTTGGACGGTGGAATTGGACTTTATGGTCTCGAAACGTTCGGTATAAACGTTCATCTCGGACATTGGACAAGCCGTACAGAGCAAGTTTAGTGCGCCCCTTCTGGATAAGGACAGGCTTGACCACGATATTGTCGCTTTGAGGTGTCTTGCCGTAGTAGTTGATAAGGCCTGAGACCGCAAGCAGGTCTAGTGCGGCATAATGGCCGTCTCCTGTTGGATCATCGTGATTGCCGTGTATCGAGAAGACAGGAATGGCGACGTTGATGTTTTGATCTTCATAATTGACATGGTCGAAGGTTTCATCGAAATGTTCGGATTCATCGCTCAGCATTTCCAGCTCGCATGGCTTGTCGCCTAAGCAGTTGAGGCGTAGTGAACGCATGACGTTGTACATGGACTTTCGAGATGGCTTGTTTTCGTGAAATAAATCTCCTGCCAGCAGGACCATATCGACATCATGTTCTTTGGCTAGACACATGATTTCATGAAACGTCTTCCACGAATCGTCACCCCTTATGGGATCTCGTTCATGGGCGCCCACATGATTATCTGTTGCCACCAGGATCTTGATTGTGTCTGCCATGTTTATTCCACACCTGGAAGAATAGGAGGGAGAGGATCTCAAGAAATCATCGAAGCAAAGCGAAATACAGAGCACCTAGACTTGATTCAATGAGTGTCCAATTTGGATCTAGCGTGTTTGCTGCCTGCTTGACGACGATGGCAAAATGCCATTAATACGGACGCAGCAAAGGAGCGGATAGCACCGAGAGTGCCAGTGTTGGAATGAAAAGATCCTGAAGGTGAATGGTAAGTTATCTTGGACTAGGTCGCGGCGTCTACGTCTGGACGAGTTCATGGGATCAAGAACTCGAGGTAGAAACTCCGTTCTGTATGTAGGAGAGTCAAAGTGAATGAGATGACTAAGCTAGTAATGATGATTGAATTTTTCCTCGTTAGGCTTAGTGTATATTGACCTCAGGGCATTGGAATCTCGGATAGACTCATCTCATTCTTTTCATCTTCCCTTCATTTGCCCTGCTACGATAACCACCAGACACGCGCGACCACTTTCAATTGACTCCTACACTGCATTTTCAGACTGGTCCATAGGTTGGCTCAGTCTTGACGTCCTTTCCTAACTTTCTACAAGCCCTTTTATGCAACCTGCGCGTCCTGAAGTCTCCCAAAACGCGACTTTAGTAGACCAGCCCCGAAATCCCTCGCCTTCCACACAATATGGACAACCAGTCAATGACCGGCCGGCATCTGGCGGCATGCTTCACAGAAGCAGCCCTGGAGTATCATCGGCAATCTCGGACGACCTTGACAGCGTCTCGATCAGCTCTGGAGATACTCAGCGCGGCCGATCTTTCAACGCCGGGCGGATAAGCAGTCGGAACGATTCTTCTCAGAGTAGCTCCCCTGGCAGTCGTATCGACGAGTATGAGAAAGCACATGCATCACATCGCAAACGCTCAAAGGGGTTGATCTTCCAGGTCATTCCATCTTCAAGAGATAAGGCTCAGAGCGTGTCACTCGAGAGTTTCCCAAATGGTACGGCACGATTTGTTCCATTCTGCTGCTATATCTAACAACACGCAGAGGTTTTGACCCATATTCTCTCGCATCTCCCACCCGAGACACTCTCCTCAATGAGCTTGGTTTCCCAACGATTTCATAGACTTGTTACCACTCCTCCAGCCTGGCGCATTGCTTTTGCCCGATTTTTCCCTGGGGCCGATGCACTCGATGCAGACCTCGTCAAATCCAGCCGAGAATCTGCTTCCGACTCCGATAGAGCCCAGCGACGATCTTTTACACGACTATCAGCACTCGCGTCCTGGAGAAGTGAATACATTCTGCGGACGCGCTTGCTTCGATCCCTGGGAAGAGGAAGGCCTGCTTTAGAGGCGATTTCACGATCCACCTCATCTCGTCATGCGAGTAGTGCTTCAGCTGCAGCCGTTACCACCTATCCGTCCGGCTTGTACTATCCGGTCAGCCACATCCATGCTACTTTCGGCATAGGATTGAACAAGAGACAGCCTCTGTTTATGCATGGCGCCGTCGAACAGGGTGGAGTTTCTATAAGTGAGCCAGGCACCGGGAAACCAGGCGCTTGGGGCTTGGCCGACTTTGAGGGTTTCAAGCATTTTGCTGACCAATTTTCCGGTGAGCTGCCGTACGGCTTGGGCCCTGGAAATGTGGTTGGCATGGAGAACGTCATGGATATCAGCCAGCAATATGGCAAATTGTACGGAGAAGCCTGCCCTGGTGGACGGCTTTACTACACCTCGACTAGCGAACAACGTGGACGTTTTGTCCCCATCGCCTCACCTGCCAACCACGCCTGCGGAATTCCTGAAGTGACCATGATTGGATGCGCTGTCTGCTCAGTCTACATTGCCAAATCCGAGTCGCTTCTTGGGGTCACCAGCGGCATGTTCGGCTTTCTCGCTGGATTTTCAAATGGTGTACTTGCTGCCTATGCTCTTGGTGTCAACCCTGTGCACGATCGCCGCTTGGACAAGGGCGAACCTACTGCGAAGTGGGTGCTTTGCCCTGGAGTTCCCGTCGTACAAATTTGCATTGACGAGAAAGTTTCTCCTCGGAGAGTCAACTCTCATAGGATTTGGGCTGTTGTCGTCAATGCGCTTGGGGAGGTCTTTTACCTCTCAGAGACACCAGTGAGGCCAGACTCATCAGGCAGGCTCTCGCCTTCCGACATCGATCGTCTTGCCTGGCAGACGGGAAGAAGCGTGGAATGGACACTTGTAGAATCCACAAGACGACAAGCCAAACCTGACCCTTTCGGCACAGCTCAAGTGGATGGCAGTTACACACCTCGGACCTCTAGCGATCGATGCGGATTGAGTCAAGAACAGATCATTGCCGAGACGAAGGAAGTCGAGCGGTTCTTACTTCATAAACCCAAGCATTTTCAGGCCATATGTGAAGGTTGGGACATGAGACGTACAATCGTTCTCGACTTTGCTGGCGATGACCACCATGGCGGCGGAGAATCAATTTTCATTATCGAGCGTGGAATGGATGCTGGGCGTCCAATGGCAATCCGTCGATACACTCGTTGTAGGACGAAGATTGCTATAGACTTCGACTCCGAAAAGTGGCCAGCTATACCAGCAACGACGGCTCGATCTTCGATCTTTGGAAGCGGGCTCACTTCCCAGCCGCAATCTCATACCTCTCCTGCTTCGAGAAGCACGTTGAGATCTCGTACATCCAGTCAAGATGACTTTGCGGATACAAAGTTTCGTGAAGATTGGCATATTTCACACATGTCTTTCGCCGACCATCGGAACGTCGCCATTTCCGCAGTCGCGTCTGATGATTCAGACTTTGCAACGTTGACGGTCAACGAGGATCCTCTCCTTGGGATGTCGGGAGGTTCGGATAGTTCATCTCCCATTGCTTCGCCAATGGGTCATATGCAGCCAGCCACCTCAGCTGCGGAGATACCTGGTCATCGTGCTCGACTTTTTGGGATCGGCACAATGTCTGGCATCGTTATGCTATGGAACATGCGGGCCACCATCGCCTCTAGCCCAGACGTCGTCAACACGATTCCACCCGTCAGGGTCATCTACACGAAGAGTCCCCAGATTGCATCGCTTGCAATGACTTCTCTGTATGTGGTGCATGGAGGAAATGATGGTTTGGTACAGGCTTGGGATCCGCTTGCATCTACCAATGAGGCGATCAGAACTTTGAATTCCCGTTTCTCTGATCGAGCGAGGCGACGTATCGCTCAGGCCGAAGCATCTGTGCAAGGTGTGGGCAATAATTATTATGCTGCGGGCGCAATTGTTCTCGACCCTGATCCTACCGCCCTACGTGGAATGGTCTCCTTGGGAGCATATTTGCGCTATTGGTCATACAGCTCAACTGCAGCTGATGCGTACAAAAGTCGCAAGCGTGGGCAGCTCCGTCGCCGTTCTGAACGTGGCAGCAATTCTACACCAGCCAGTCAAAAGGTCAGTGCCACTGGCCGCGGTCTCCTCAAAGACTACATTAGCAACGAACGATTCGAAATGGAGAGGGAGAAAGTGGCCAGGCACAAGGAAAACGAACGTTTGAGTGGCCGCTTCGGCACAAATCTGCTTGGTGAAGGTGCAAGCGAGGAGGAAATACTTGCATACGCCACCATGCTCAGTGAGGAAGCTTTCTCGAACGATGAAATAAAGAGAAAGGCCAGTGAACGTTCAAGTTCCTATGCTTCGCCGAGTTTTGCTCCAGAGCACAAGAGCACTGATATTGACGATGATCTTGACGAGGCCATCCGTCTGAGCTTACTCGGCAGCACCCCGGGCTCCTCGTCTCCTCTTACGACAGAATTTGACATCCCTATTCGCTACGCCAAAGGTTCCAAGCACGGCACACCCTACCGCAACACTCAAGCTGGCAGCAGCAAAGTCCCTGACGCGACCAGCAATGAGGACGAAGATTTGGAGTTTGCGTTGCAGCTCAGTCTCGCAGAGGAACAGAGCAGGAAGATTATAGAAGACGAATTTCCAGCACTGACCCCTTCGTCTAGTCCAGGCTCCGATGGCAGTGGGAAAGGGAAGGGCAAGTCACGACGTCGACATTAGGTGAATTTGTTTATTGGACACTTCAGTTCTTGTGCTGCTGTTTTGTTGATGAAGGGCTCTTTCACTTTTCTTTTCAGAGCTACTTTTTCTTGGTACGCTTTCGTGAGGAAGGCGGCCAATTAGTATTTTAGTGTTGTTGTGAGTTGAAGAATAGTAATAATGATGCCAAGGACGAACCTCGGCTAGCTTCGGTTCCGTAGTTTCCCCTGCATTCTTCCTGTAGCTCGCAATCTTCATCTCCCACAGCTCCAGCTTTTCCCCGAGCTTCGTGCAGGCAGCTTACAGTTGGTCTGTACTGTACCTCGGGCAGCACTCCGCACCGAGTCCGCCCATTCAACCTCGACTACGTTTACATGCACGTCTCGCTGCGCTGTTGAGAATGCTTCACTTGAAGTGTGCACAGCAGAGATGACTGCGATTCTGGTGTCTTCCGCTTTCAAGCGGACTACTTCACGACTTTCATCAACCACGAGGCACTTTTCTTGCTCAGCAAGCAGAGATGCATCATGGGGCTTTATTGGCTTGGGTGCCATGGGTTCGTACATTTACTTGCTGAACGAGAATGGGTCTAACTGGTCTCTCAGGATATCCCATGGCAAAGAATCTCCGAGCAAAGATGCCAGAAGGTGACACCCTGACGGTGTTCGACGTCAACCAAACCTCGCTAGACAGATTCTCACAAGAAGCGGTGCCAAGTGGGATTACTATCGCAAAGAGTCCCAGAGAAGTGGTCGAAAATGCTGTATGTGGACAATCTGTTTGTTTTGCCTGCACCTTCACATGATGAGCCTATTGTTCTATCTATGATCTAAGTTGGGGACTTCCTCTTGGTTGTCCTTGCCATGATTCTCCAAACTAAAGCCAATCCTCTGAAATGTTTCTCGATACTCTCTTTTTGTCATTTCGGAAGCTGGTTTTGAAATTCTTCTGATTCTTGTCACTATTAGGACACAATCGTCTCTGCCTTGCCAGAACCTCGACACGTGAAGGGGGTTTTCGAGGAAGTGCTAGCGTCAGCTTTGCCTGCTGCTCCTACACAGAGCTCAAGACTCTTCGTGGATTGCTCAACTATCGACCCCACTACCTCGCGAGCGGTTGCGAAAATGGTACAAGACAAGGCCGGAGCCAAATTTGTGGACGCCCCAATGTCAGGCGGTGTAGTTGGAGCTAGAGCTGGCACCCTGACCTTCATGGTCGGAGCAGAAAAGGAGGACATGCCCAAGATAACAGAAGTGTTACTTCTCATGGGAAGGAAGGTTTGGCACATGGGACCTCAAGGCACTGGCCTCAGCGGCAAGTTGGCCAATAACTACGCACTGGCTATCAACAACATTGCTTGTGCCGAAGCAATGAACCTAGGATTGAAGTGGGGTATTGAAGGCAAGGCACTGGCCGATCTGCTGAACTCAGCAACAGGGAGAAGTTGGCCGAGTGAGATCAACAATCCAGTACCTGGTGTGATTGAGACGGCCCCCGCCAGCAAGGAGTACGAAGGAGGCTTTGGAGTCAGCCTGATGAACAAGGATTTGCGGCTTGCTATTTCAGCAGCATCAGAAGCTGGCGCTAAACTGGTGCTCGCTAAGACGGCTAAGGATGTATATGATGAGACCGAGAAAGCGTACAAGGGAAAGGATTTCTCAGTCGTATACCGATGGCTTGGTGGGAAGGAATAATCATAGAGAAAATATGAAAACCACTACTACGTACTCGTATGTCAATGATATCGATGCCTAGCGTATTGCATGCAACTCATGTCGTGACTCCGCGTTCGAATCTATATAAATCAAGGTACCCGGGACGTTTGCATAAATAATGGCGCGTGCTGAACTCCATTCTTTGACTGACGAAGCGCCGCATCTCGATTCCCCACATCCACATAGTGATGACCAAATACACTCATCCTGCTTAGCCTGCCCATTGGGAAAGATAAGTATTCTGCCTTGATCCATATACTCATTGCCTTGGGATGTTAGGGTGTTCTTAAGATCTCAGGTATCCCTGACGCAACTCTCCAAGCGTCATGAACAGCTGGTGCGGAGGACTATCTGCAACTTGAAGGCGATCGCGTTGTTGAAGGCGCCAAAATGTCCTACATTGTCCCAATCCACCGGCCGAGCGGTGTGAGGCATGCGATCAAGCTCAGTTTTCTAGAACCGGGCGTGGACACTCTGGTCATCGCGTTAGTACAATCCTCGGGCTCATCACAGGTTCAACAACTGACCCATGACACAGGAAGGCCAATCGCCTAGAAATCTACGAGCAGGGAGCCGAAGGCCTCACTCTCCTGTACGCAAAGACAGTGTTCGGATACATCACGATCCTCGAGAAATTCAGACCATCCTCTTCTACAACGGACCACCTCTTTGTCGGTACCGACCGCTATCAATACTTCACGTGTTCATGGGATTCCGATATAAAGCAGTTACACACCGAGCAGAGCTATGTCGACCTGGCAGATAAAGTTCTACGAGACTCAAGAGAATTGGATAGATGCCATATTGACCCGACAGGACGATTCATGACCCTGGAACTCTACGATGGTGTGGTCACCGTATTACCTTTTGTACAGCCTTCTACTAAACGAGTGAAGAGGGAGAGTGCTTCGAACACTGTTGGAAAACTAGGGGAACCAGTTCAAGTGAGGATCGAAGAGCTGTTGACTAGATCGTCTGCCTTTCTGGAAGCCGATCCTGACAGCAAAGAAAACCCAAAGTTGGCTATACTATGGGAGGACAACCAGGAGAATCCACAGCTGAAGATTCGAGAACTCAAATACTATCCTGGCGGCGAACAGGCGACGGCTGATCTGGATACGTTGGCTGAATTGAATAGCGACCAGCTCGACAAAGGGGTCAGTCATTTGATTCCCGTTGCCGCCCCGTATGGAGGTTTTCTCATCCTCGGAGATCATGCAATCCGTTTCGTTGATCGTCATATGAACAATGTCATTACACAGCCATTGGACGATAACGCCACGATATGGACATGCTGGACGAAGATCGACGAGCAGAGATTCCTGCTAGCAGACGACTTTGGACGATTATTCTTCCTCATGATCGAAGTGAGCGACTTTGAAGTCTCATCTTGGCGGCTGGATCCTGTCGGCGAGGCTTCCAAGGCTGCGTGCCTCGTCTATCTGGATGAGGGATATGTCTTTGTCGGTTCACATTCAGGTGACTCACAGGTTGTGCATATCGAAGAGGGTGGAGTCCGAGTTGTGCAAACCTTTTCCAATATTGCACCCATTCTAGACTTTACAATTATGGATCTCGGCCGGGGCTCCGAAGGCTCTCAGTCACTTGAATTCTCTTCTGGTCAAGCACGAATCGTGGCCGCATCTGGTGCATGGCAGGATGGCACAATACGTAGCGTTCGGAGTGGTGTTGGTATGGAGGAGCTCGGCACCATTGGTGAGCTGGCTCATGTCACAGATCTTTGGGGCTTGAATTCAACCGGTCTGAGCGAGGCACACGATACTCTTCTTGTTTCTTTCGTCACAGAAACGCGGATTTTCAGATTCGATGGCGAAGCATCAGTGGAGGAAGTGGACGAACTTCACCATCTCGACTTCACACAACCTACACTTTTTGCGACAAATCTACCCGACCGCAAACTCGCGCAGGTCTGTGAAGGCGGACTACGGATTACAGATCTGGAGTCTAGTATGCTTACGCTTGAGTGGCAACCCCTCGATGCGGCGGCCAAGATCACGGCTGCATGTGCAAATTCAGTCCACTTGCTTGTGGTTGAGGGTGGTCATACACTGCACGTCTTCCACACGGCAAACAGCGACTCAAAACCGACAGTATCAAAGACGCTTCCTCATGATTCACAGATATCTAGCGTCACAGTACCTGATTCACAGAGCAACGTATGTATTGTGTCCTTTTGGCAGACGGCGACCGTGGCAGTACTTGATCTCCATTCCCTCGAAGTTCTATACACTCAAAGCGTCGGCACGCCTGGAAGAGATATCCCACGTTCGGTACTTGTTGCAAACGTTCTTCCCGATGCTGCCCCGACTTTATTCGTCGCGATGGCGGACGGCACTGTCCTGACATATTCTTTCGACACCGGCAGGAATTCCCTTGCCGGTATGACGAGGATACTTCTGGGAACCGAACCTGTGTTTTTCAAAAAACTCCCGAAAGATCCCGAATCAGGATCAGGGTTATCAAATGTCTTCGCCTCGTGCGAACAGCCATCACTCATCTACAGTTCCGAGGGCCGCATAGTGTACTCGGCAGTCAACGCAGAGAGTGCGTCGAGGGTATGCGATTTCAACAGTGAGGCATACCCTGGGGCCATTGCGATTGCAACGCCGAACGAGCTCAAGCTGGCCATGATAGGACGAGAACGTACGACGCAATTGCAGACACTACATATTGGCGAGACGGTCCGCTGTCTCACGTACGGTGCTAATGCCAAGCTGTTTGCGATGGGATGTGTACGCAGAATTATGGAGAGCGGCACGGAAGCGCTACTCTCGGCAGTCAAGATCGCGGATGAAGTAAGTTTCCGCGAGTTGGACTCGGTCGAGTTGCAGGATCGAGAATTGGTCGAGTGCATTGTCTCGACTGGCAGCTTTGACACCGAAGACACGGGCCTTGGTGAGATGTTCGTCGTCGGCACGAGTATACTCGAAGAAGATGGCCTCGGTGGTGAGGACGTCATGAGAGGACGGATAATCGTGTACGAGGTCAACAAGGAAAAGAAGTTGAAATTGGTCACGCAGATCAACTTGAAGGGAGCTTGCCGCAGTCTAGCCATGTGCGATGGTAAGATTGTGGCAGGTCTGGTCAAGACTGTAAGTTTTGTACTCGTGTCCTTTTTGATGATCAACCCTGATGTTATTGTCTCGCTGACATTTTGATTTCCACTGAAAAAAGGTTGTCCTTTACGGCCTCGTACCTTCGTCGAGTAGAGGCGGCAGTTCGCTGGAGTTGTCAAAGTTGGCGACATATCGCACGTCGACGAACCCGTTGTCACTGGCCGTCACTCCAGCCACGAATGATGCACCCGCTCAGATTGCGGTGGCAGATCTGATGAAGTCGCTTTCGATCTTGCAAGTTATTCCTCCGAACCCTGACAATTTCGAGTACAGTCTTCGCGAGACGGGGAGACACTTTGCGACTTTGTGGTCGTCGGCGACGGCGGTGATTGCGGAAAATGAATGGCTCGTGGCGGACATGGAAGGTAACCTCATAACGCTCCGTCAAGGGTCGTCGTCACAACAGCAACAACAGGACACAGAGGGAGGAGGGGCAGACTCCTCCTCCTCCTCATCATCATCACGCCGACGGCTCGAGGTGACTGGCGAGTTCCGATTGGGCGAGGTGGTCAACAAGATTGTGCCAATCTCGTCGACTCCCGCACATGTACAGAAGGAGTCTGCGAAAGGCAAGGCGAATGGTGATGATAATAGCGACCCCGCAACGTCATCATCGGCAAGAACCAAAAGCGGTCTGGACAAGTTACCAAGGACAGGCCCCATCGTCACCCCTCGAGCCTTTTTGGCGACGGTCGAAGGGGCAATCTACATGCTCGCCACCGTCAACCCGGCCTTCGTGAATGTCATGCTGCTGTTGCAGTCGGCGTTGGCCGGCCGGGTCCAGGCCCCCGGGTACATGCCCTGGACAAAGTTTCGGGCGTGGAAGACCGAGGTCGCGGAGAAGGACGAGCCCTTCCGCGTGGTGGACGGGGAAATGGTCGAGCAAGGTCTGTCGGCCCTCACGGACGATGAGCTCGAGGTGGTCTTGAGGGAAGGTGGACTCTCGGACGAAAACGTCCACGTGACCGTCGAGGAAGCAAGAGCTTGGAGCGACGAGTTGAGGAGGTTGTACTGAGGTAATACTGTCTTTATGTCTCAAACTTTGAATACCCACCTGCATATAGGTGGGTATGGAATACTTACTGATACAGGTAGAATGACATGAAGATGAAATGGCTCTTATCCTATCTAGGTAGTAAGAATCGAGTAGAAAACAAGGAGCCAAAAAAAGTCAGCCGGCCGACTTTGTCCCGTATCACTGCTGAAGATCTAACTTGGCATACTACGGGGGGTCTATGATAGTACTGTCCATACTTTTCGGTCACAAGGGGTTTTGTTCTCAAAAGTGTAATGAGACATGACGTGCGTCAAGGGGGTGCCCTTTTATAGTGGAGGAAAGATATCTCCTCCCTGGCGAGTTCCCCTTGGTAGTCGTAAGAGCACTATGGCGGTTCTTGTCGTTTCGATTCAACTTCTAATAATATATCCTTCTGCTCCGTATAATGTCAAATGCTTGCAAAGTTGGGGGGGTTATCGAAGTTGACTTCACTCTGTACGAGTATGAGGAGTGGATCGTTTGCTTGGAGTGCATATCGATGAATGCATTCTCTCACAGTTCTTGTCTTGATAGAAATGGTTCCAAACCGAGTCAAGCAAGTATGTCTTGTCAGTTCCGTGCGTGACAGAGGCACTTGTAGCAGTAACCAAGCAACATTGTATTGCTCTCCTTCAAGATGGTCTCGTCGGGTCGCCGTCGGGTCGCGGTGGTCGCGGGGGACACTGGTCTGTTCTGACTCGGACGGTTGACTTTTTTTTTGTGGTCATGTATTCGCATATTGTGCTGTTACGGTAGTATCCCGTACTGACTTTCTCAAGCCTTCTTCTTGGACTTTCCTTTCTTCCCCTTCCCAGCACCAGCACCAGCACCGCCGGGGCTGTTTGTACTTCTCGGTGACGGACCATCCACGGCCGCACCCTGTGCCTTCAACATTTCGGCCTCCTCGGGAGTCACCAGTTTGAGGACTTTGCCCTCTTTATTGAGGACTGGAATCTTGCCACCGAACATGGCCATGGCCTCTGATTTTTCTTTTTGCCGTTGCAAAAATTCCAACCTCGCCTTGATCTCTTCCTGTCTCTTGTCGGGCGTCCCGGTGATTTTCCGAAAGATACTCTCCAAGTGTGGTCGGAAGAGGAGGTAAGTGGCTATGATGACCACTATTCGTAAAAAAGATTGTAGGTTGGTGTGTGTGAGGTAAGGTTGAACCTGAAGAGGGAGGGAGGTTTTGATCGAGTCGAGTGTCTGTTGGAACGTTGTACTACTAGACATGGTGGTGCAGAGGCTGTGAAGTAGGGATTAGAAATGTCGTGGGAGGTGAATGAGGTGGTTATTGTACAGTCTGCAAGAGGTGAACTGTTATGCGCCAGGCATGAATAGTTACAGTTCAAGGAGAGATCTTGGGTATTGGTGTAAAGTGAAGTTCCTTGAGATAATGAAGTTGATACTCCGCAGATATTCGACATTGATACTCCGAAATAAAGGAAAGTTTCCCCGATACGATTCCGCCAGCTCCGGAAGCTACAAAATGTCTACTTCAACAACACTTTCCAGCCTGTTTCACCATCTCAATTGTGACAATATGCTCTTACCATGGCAGATCTGTTATCCAAGCATAGGTCCTGTCCTTACGACTTCTTCATGCTCGCTCCAAATCAATCTGAATTTCAACCAAGACACCGGCATGCCATATCCCCGTTACGATCCCTTAGCAGGTCCGAATGCGCATGTCTTTAATTAAGCTGGCGTTGATCATAATTCAAGTTCCGAGCCCAAATTTCGTGTGGCTATGAGATACACCTTGTACAAGGCCAAGCATGTCAAGTCTCTCACTTTGGCCGTGAAAGAATCTAAAAACTTGTGTAAGGATTGGGAACTTCCTCTCCGTCGAACTCCTTGTCACTTTGGTCTTCTCAATGGATGTGCCTCGGTGTTCAGAACATAATCATCTAGACTGATGAGCTCGGGTGGTGAGAAAATAAGGTAAAGATACTTGAGCGTTTCGGCAAACCAGAAGCTCTAAAAAAACATCAGCGGGAGTAAAACCCGTTACTGAGCAATTCTTACCTCCATTGAATCTCTTTGTGATGGCTTACCACTTGTAGTCACATCATTGATGGCAGCATTAGCATATTCTGTTTCAGTCGCGGCTTGAATGGATTTGAACATCTTCCATGCTGCATTCTGTAGCTCCGCGTCCCCAGTTGTACGGTAAAGGATGAATACACTTTCGAGAGCCTCTGGACGAAGAGAATAAGATGGATCAAGGACTGCTGCGAAGCCCTCTGGCAGTGTTTCAAAAGCCTCGTCCGGTTCCCACTGGCATGCTTCGAACGACGGACATGGTCGCATCCGAAAGATTTCCGGCATGATACCAGTGGGGAATGCATTGTATGCATAGATACAACCGCGTGTCAACCTTGCGCCAATGTCGACATGCTCCGGTATGGAGAGCAATTTTCCTCCCAGGATGAACATTCCGCCTGTAAAACAGCTCAAGTGTTGTCCTTCCGGATTGAGGGTAGATCTGCCAGATGCAACCGTGGCTGACCCAGCCACCAAGACGTTCGTGTCATTTGGCAGCATCGGTCTGAACAGTAAGCTTTTGGCCGCCGTCGCCATGGAATTTCTGTAAGCCCGTTGGTATGCCGGTTCTAGGCCGCCCAACAGATAGTGCATCTTTGGCAAGTACTCGTACAGAGAATCCGCTAACGCGCCCAGGGTGAAGTCGCTGTCCAAAAAGATCTGATCCCGGGCATTGATGTGTGTCGGCCACATACCCGGCAACTGTGTGGTGTCTTGGTGGTCAAAAAAGACCGACATTACTCGGGCAATCGCATCGTAGTATTTGGGGTCTTTGGTGATTTGAGAAAGCCGGGTGAATTCGAGGCCGAATGAGCCTACGGCTGCCGATATTTGGTGGTCTTCTGCTACCAATTGACCGGCTTTGGCTTTTTGAAAATCGAGCCAAAAGGGCGGCATGTGATTTGGAGTATCGAAACCAGCATAGAGCATATCACCGAGTTCGACAGCCTTGGCCAAAAGAGCAGGCTCATGGCTCAGATCGTACGCCGCCAGCAGTCCACCCAGATGCCTTATGTTGGTCTCGAACATGTTGCAAGCGGTGTCGGTGGTGTTTGCCCAGTCGATACTTACAGCCGCCTTTACAGCTTCCGTGAATTCTCTTTTGAGCCCCATTATCCACAGTGTGTCCAGAGAGTCGACCAATGTGGCAGCCCACCCACCAAATGTCTGCTTGCCGTGGCCTGATATGGGTTGCAGCTCATCTTGCATCCAGGCATAGGCTTTGTAGTTCTGCCAACCCTTCTTGAAAGTATCCAACACCGCTTGTTGGCGTGCTTTGCGCTGGATAGCTGCAGGTTTTGACTCCGGTCGGAACTTGTGCTGGATTGGCGGGAAGGTGTGAGGCTTGCCCGAGGGAAGGGAGGCAATGGAATTTATGGGATGGTGGTATCGGTATGTAGACCAGTCGTAACTGCTTTTCACGACCGGGTTTGAGGCCGATGAAGCAAGAAGTGGTCGAAGTAGCAGGAATCCCACAATCGCAATTATAAATACAAGCAACATTTGGATGAAACGCCGTGAATAAAATCTCAGCACATCTTCCTTCGCAAGGGTTGAATAGAATCCCCTTGAAGGAGCGAATCGCCCTGAAAGCCAGGAAAGCAAGCTGTTCATGTCGAAGAATTCCACTCTGCATACAGATGTCGAAAAGGGCGCTTTGTACTCCGATCCCTTTCCTGTCGGTCCAAACAAAGCGAGCATTCCCAAGATGACTGGCCAACTAGGCCTCGAAAGGAACTCGAAAGTTATATGGCGCAACCATACTTGACTTGACGTCTAGGGAGTGCGAGAAAAGTGAAACGACGGTGACAATGCTGAGGGACAAGGAGCCAAGGGATGTGGTTGTTCTGGCTGGCCCCCTTTGCTGGAATGGATCTGATACACCAGATTGTGAGTAGGTACTCCGTATGGACTGTGGTACGGAGTACAGAGTTACAGTACAGGAAAGTTACCGCCCGGGAGCTAAGCGAAGCTTCCCTGCCGCCTCGTGCCTCACTAAATAGTTAAGCAGACCCTCCCCTAACCTTACATGGATAGGCGCCGCTCGGGCCCCATATTTGGCCACTATCGCCAATCTGACATGATAACGCAGGCTCATTACTACCGAGTGCCTACTCAGTACAGTACAGCACAGTATTAACCCACAAGATACTCAGTATGGAGAGTCTCATTTCATCCGCCTGTATGTATCATCATGCCCCTGTATGCTTTTACAACAGGAATCTAATAGACGCCATACAGGGACTTGGCCACCGTCCTTTGCATATAAACCATTTCGACGCAGATCTGTGCCTACTGTACAAGGAGCGACTCAAGTTTGGTCAGTGCCATCTTATCTACTCCGATGCTGATGTTAAAGTTGCAATGTCGCTTTTATGTGGTGGCTGTTATCTTGTTTTTGTTTTTCCTATCCTTCTTCCTCGACACAGATTCAGAACTCAACTTGCCTCTTGCGTTCCGCCAAAACCCCCAAGCATGGATCTACTCAGGCCCCGAAGCCGAAGACAAGGCTGTGATTATAGCGAAGATTCAGAGCGACGATGTGAGCTGGGTATTTGAGCATCTCCCAGAGTATGTGCCTCCAGAACCTTTTCTGTCGCGACTCCGGCGTTTATAACCATGGCTACCCAGTTGGAAGCAAGCTATCTACTACATGACCGAACCCACTGAAGGGAAGCTTCATCCGCCCCTTAACAAGGGTCGGGAAGCCATGGCATATCTCACGTTCTTAATTGACCACTACAATCAGCTTCCAGCTTACATGGTCTTTGTCCATCCACATCTGGAAGGTTGGCCTAAAGCATGGCATACGGACAGCCCCGATCACAATCAAGTACTTTCGATCCGATCTTTGAGGTTGGAATATCTTGAACAGCAGGGCTATGTCAACATGCGATGTATCCATGACCCAGGCTGTCCCGCTGAGATACAGGTCGATCGACAAGAGGACCACCGCACCACTGAGCACGCCATGAGGGATGCGTGGCCTTATATGTTTGGAGGCAACTATACAGACATACCCAAGATTATCGCTGAACCATGTTGTTCACAATTTGCCGTTTCGAAAAAGCAAGTCCTCAAACGCACCAAGTCAGAGTACGAGCACTATCGACAGTGGCTACTGGACACGCCGTTGGATGATGATACAACTGGACGGGTCTTTGAGTATCTGTGGCACGTCATCTTTGGAAGGGAAGCCGTGCACTGCCCCCCTGTTGAGCAATGCTGGTGTGAGCAATTTGGTCGATGTTGACCTCAGAATGCGACGTGGCGTCGGACCCATGAAAGAGTTCAGTGCATTTCTCAACTTTCTGGGTACACAGACCAAGGGAATCCGCGTAACTTCATGCATGCCCCTGGGCTAGAATCAGAACCTGTATTACAAGAGACCTATTTCCGCCTCGTTGTAAGACTATCTGTGCCTTGTTGCAGGACTAGTTCCGCCTCATTGCAGAAACTACCGTCTGCACAGCTGCAAGAAGAGACACGCTACCTAGAGCACAAGACAAGGGTACGGTACTCGCACGGTACAGGGCAGTACGCTCGGCTACGGCGGCAGTCTTATTATGGTTTCATTTCCTGTTCCACGCGAGCTGCAAGCTCATTTCGATGCCCTTTCCTAGTGACCTTGGCCCTGCGACCAACGTGGCTCGTAACGTCCCATTGAAGAACGCTAGGTTATCTTTACCAATGAAAGAAATATCTAGTCGCTGGTGGATTGATGATAGTGGATTCCCTAGCCGAAGCCCCAACCCAATGACGATGGCGCTTGATAGGTACGAGAATCGAGGCTGCAGAAACCGGGGTCAGGGGACAAAACAGCAAGTACAGAGTTACATTGAACAAGACGAAGGTATACCGTACTTCGTAACAAGATACAGCTCTTGAGAACGAGACCGACTGATGTTTCGGCCTCTTGGGCTATTCCAGAATCCAGAGTATGGAGTGGTCCAATTTCCACCCACACCGGTCCGGTTGCACTCGTTCCCTCCGACTTCTAGTCCATTTGGACATGGGCAATACGCCTTATAACTTTTTGCCTTGCCGCTCTGCCAGAATCCTTTCTTTGGCAGGATGCACGCACGATAGGTCAACACAATAAGAGAGTACTCGTACGTACGTATACTCCCAAATCCGTGCTCTCCCTTCTCCTCCCACCATGGCATTCGTATTCCCACCTCCAGCTCCAGCGGAAGACGCAGCGGCCAATTTTGCATCGTATGGCATTGGGTCGAGCCTGGCCATATCTTGGACGGGTACCAATTCGACCTGGTCGAACGCGAGCTTGGTGTTGATGAAGAATGATGCCAACTATACCTGCGATCTTTTGAACCTCGGAGCGGCCTATTGTCAAGCGATACAACGTAGGTCATCACCTCGGAGCTTCATCCCCCCTCTCATGATCCCAAAAGGGGATGTCGCTCCCCGTTCGTTCTGGATACCGAACTCACCGCCGTCACAGCCTCGTTCAGTGCCACCGAATCCCACGGGTTTTCCTGGAGGATCACCACGTACGACTACCCCGAGTACCCCGTAGACGCCAACCCATCCTATTACCTGATCATGGGGGCATTCGACACGAGTGGCGTCGTGGACAAGTTCTACTCTCACGGTTTCTTCATCTATCCACAAGACAGTGTACCGAGTGTCACGTACGACGGTGCATCCACCGCCTCGTCGACGACCTCCGTCTCCACGCCCGACTCGTCGTCAACCGCCTCCGCTACCTCGTCCTCGAACGGCCCGCAGTCGTCAGTTTCCTCAACGGCGGCTTCGTCCAGCCCGACCGCAGGAGCCTCGTCCGGCGGACTCGACGCGGCCACGAAGATCGCCACCGGCGTCGCGGTGGGACTCGGCGTCCCTCTCACCTTCGCCCTGATATTCGTCGCCTTTTTCTTCTACAAGAAGAGACAAAAGAAACCACATCCGCCCGGCCAAGCTCCGGGGACATCGCCCCAGGGGTCCGAAGTGCGAGAACCTTCAGAGTTGGCTTCGGCCCGGACACCGATGCCACCTCAGTATAGTTGGCAGTCTTTGAAGACCCGGCCACATCTGTCTGAACTCTCCGGAGATGTGGACTCTGTGCGATGACCAATGCTCAACTAATGGATTTGGTCATTGAGAGAGTAAACATGGCGTCGTGCTTGTTTTGTGGTTCTGCCTTTTTGCGTTCTTGGGGTTTGGCCATCTGATACCCCCCCCCCATTTGTGCCTGCTGGAGGCGCCGACTTATGTACATGTATGGAACTGTATGACGTGTGATGTTATGTACTGTATTACCAAAGTCAGATCTTCTCTTACTCAACCTCTTGGGGCACCCTTGGGCCTCTGAAAAATGTAAAGTAACCTCATATTGAAGGGCAGTGGAGTACATTGACGAATGGGTTACCTTCCCGACTTGCACATATTAGGTCTATAATCAATTAAGTGATTCCACCAGTTATTCGTGGCCTATATATCATAAAAGTGAGGTTTTCTTCAACAATTGATTTGCCTTGATGGCCCAACTACCAAGACTCACCGCGTCGCAATGTGACCTTTGTTACATAACTTGGTTTGGAGGCTGGGCTTATCCTTGGAAACCAAGCTTTAGTTGGGATTAAACTGGGAGTCGGGCATGGTTTCCATGACCACTTGCAGCAATCTTCTCTTCCAACAAATGGGGAGATGCGAATGGTGGTCATAGTCGGGATAAGTAATAGAAGAGCCTGGGGGTTCGAACGTCCAAACTTTTTGTTTCCCCGGCAGGAATGTTTTTTCTTTTCTTTTCTGTTTTTGTAACATTCACTGACCACTTTAGGTATGACAGGTGAAGTGTACTACAAGATCTCAAGTCCACTGATCTGGTCAGACCACGCGTATCTTGGACACGCGTCACGGTGGAGTGAAGAAGAGTAAGCCTCTGAGAGTGTGAAGAAAAAATAGGAACAGACAGCCAGGACTCGTGCTCACCTGGACTTTCTATTTCGCCATCTCGAGGTCAGTTGAATACCTGAAATTGTCTTCACAAGTACTCCGTATCATTAATGCTCTTCTTCCCTGTAAACGACGAATCTAATTTATATTGGCCAAGTACGTCCGAAGTTCAAGAATGTCATACTCGAGGCCCGCTTCTTTCGTCGATCGGGCCGAACCCGCACCCGAATCTGTATCGTCCCTCTCACGACGTAAGTGCTTCTTACTATTAGAAACTCTGGGAGATAAAAAATTATTTGGCCCTAGGCAGAAAATACGTGTGACGTTGAAGTTAGTCCAAGTCAAGTCAGCACTGGACGCCTTGAATAATCTTCAATCTTGGTATGTACGTCGACTCCGGAGTCTGGAGAACAGTGGCTCAAGACCCACACACTCAACTCCACATTGTCCAAACGATCGATCGACCGCACTTGTATACGAGGACCCAATTAAAGGTGCTGAGTAAAAAGCACCACCTTTTACTTCTCGCAGGGCATTAAAGTTCTTTACAGAATAAAATAAGCACTGTGTCGCCTCTCTCTCTCTCTCTCTCTCACACACACACACATCCCTTCTCTGCCCTCTTTCTTTACACTGCCCTCGTTGTTTGTGTGTGCGCGCGTATCGTCAAGACACCATGTCCACTCTACCGATAATATACATTGTCCACGGATCGTGGCACAGCCCGATCTTTTTCGACCCGGTCAAGACCCGTCTCGAAAGTCGAGGGTACCAGGTCATCTGTCCCCAATTGCCGTCCATGACCGGCGAACTCCCCGCCGTCAAAACCATGTACGACGACGCCGACCCGGTCCGTCGCGACCTGGAGAATCTGATTGAAGACCAAGGTCAGGACGTCTTGTTGGTCATGCACTCGTACGGTGGGATTGTTGGTACACAAGCGGCTGCGGGACTAGGAAAGGCCGAGAGGCGAGCGGCGGCTGTCGAAAGTCAGCAGCAGCAAGGTTCCAGTAGTGGTGGTGGTGGCGGCGGCGGTGTGATTCGCTTACTATACGTCTGCTCCTTCATTTTGACCGAGGATGAACATCTCTGTCAACCACTTGGAGGTGAACCGGCACCGTTTCTCAAGATAGAGGTGAGTAAAATCCCCTCGACCCAAAACCCGACACCCGATACCTTCGCAGTGAGAACCAAAAAGCGAAAGACGAAGAAAAAAAGAAACTGTAGACGTTGATTCGAAACGTTCATTGATTCTTTTGTGTAAAGGAAAACGGAATCTGTATCCCAGTCAACCCCGAACAAGTCTTTTACCAAGACTTGCCGGTCGACGAACAAAAGTACTGGGCCACCCAGGTCAAACCTCAACCGCTGATAACTCAGTTCAACCCGATGACAAAAGTCGCATACAAAAACATCCCAGTCAGTTATCTGTACTGCGAAAACGACCAGGCTTTGCCCTGCAGCATACAAAAGTTCTTCGTCGAGAGGTGCCGCACGACGGTCGACGTGACCACCTTTACTTGTACTGCTGGACATTCTCCTTTTTTGAGTCAACCGGATTTCTTTGCCGACCTTGTCGTCAAAGTGTCGGCCATGGAATAGACTTGATCTAGGTTTCACAAGACTTACATGATGACACTGAGAATACATCATGACAAGAGAGACATATCACACATGCTTGCATGCCTTTTGGAAAAGGATATGAAATCAAGTCGAGGTCAATAAAGTGACATTCCAATGGCACCTATCTTGAGACGACTATACAGCCATCCATTCTCCGTTATCTGTTCCTCCCTCAATGACCTCAATGGCTCGTCAAACACTAGAAAATCATCCTGTAAATGCGGCGACCTAGACTCAATGACTTTTCTTGTTGTTTCGCCTCCAACTCTTCCGTGGGTCTTCGGCCGACGTCAATGTCCGCGAGTATCTTACCCATGGGTACATACAAGGACCAGTCCTTTTTCCAGACCTTGTAGAATACGTAGAACGGTATCATGACAGGAGCTCCCAAGTAGCTCTCGAAAAAGGTTTCTGCATCCGGTGGTGACCCGATGGGGAAGAGGGAGACGTAGAATGTGGCGATCAAAGCTAGAACGATCAGAGTCAATCCGATGTAGGACCCAATAATCCCAAAGGAAGATTTGAAAGGGAGTTCGTCCGTCGTCCGACCAAGCTTTTTCCAAGCACCGCGGAAGCGAATGTGGCAAGCACATATTGAACCCCACGCGAAGAGTTGACTCGGACCCCCCAGTGCCAGGAGCCACGTGAACACAACGTCTCCCTGGGCAGACTCATTGATGAATGCAAGGAGACCAGCCGCAAGCTGAATGAGGACACACCACACGGGGCGACCTTTCTCGTCGACGTATTGAAGCCATTTAGGACCCATGCCGGCCTGGGCCATGGCTTGCATCGTCCGGGTCGAAGCATAAGTGCAAGAGTTGGCGACCGAGATGACCGAGATGGTGATGACAGTGTTGAAAACCGACGGAAGGCCTTTGACGCCGGCATATTTCATGGCGAGAACAAAGGGAGACGCCTTTGTGTTGGCGCCACTTGAACCAAGTAAATCCTTCGAGTTGTTCGGGACGATTATGCCGAGTATGAGAAGAGAGATGATGTAGAAGCACGCTATTCTCCAAAACACTTGCTTCGTCGCCTTTGGAATCGCCTGGTAAGGGTTGGCCGCCTCGGCCGCTGCAAGGCCTACCAATTCCGTTCCGCCGAAGCTGAATGCTGCAAGGACAAAGACCGAACAGAAGCCTTTGAAGCCTATATCTAGATGTCAACACAGTCCTCTCTGGAACTAATCCTTGACGTACCGTTGCGAAAGGCATAGTTGCCGTTCTCGCCGTTCCAGAAGCGGAAACCAATGTATCCTCGATCGTCGGTAGGCACACCACCCGTGTTGACGACGATTCCAAAAATGATGAACCCAATAATTGCAGCAATCTTGACGCAACTGAGGACAAATTCCACTACACAGGGGAAAAATAGTAGTGTCAGAATTGCAAATACATAGGTGTTAGAGCTGCTAACCTTCTCCATATCCTCTAACACCGAAATAATTGATGATCGATAATAACGTCAAGAACACGGCGATCCAGATGCCAATATTGTATTCGTGCCAGAAGCTTATGGTGATACCAGCGGCGGTAATCTCGAATGGGAGGAGCAATAGCCACCCGATTGCGTAGTTCCAGCCCAATGCGAAGGCCCTAGAGTTCCAAGTTAAAAGCCACATCGAAGAATGCGCGAGTTCACTTCAACCTTACCATGCCGGATCCAAGAATCTGTATGCGTAGAGAAAGAATGCACCATTGACTGGGTATAGCACTGCCATTTCACCCAAGGACATGACAGTACACAAGACCATGACACCAGTGATAGCGTAACATAGTACGAGCGAGGCAGGCCCTCCAGACTGTAGGGCTGAGCCAGAGCCGACAAATAGTCCTGCTCCAATGGCACCACCTGTAACATGTAAGCATGGTCGGATTATAGCTAATGCAAGACGCAGATCGAGACTCACCAATTGCGATCATTTGCATATGCCTTCCTTGTAAATGGCGTTTGAGGGGCGCAGCCGTACCATGGCCCTCCTCAACATCGTGTCTCGTGTCATGGTCGGGCTTTTCACTAGTATTCTCGTGTAAGCCCTTCGAAGCATCACCAAATGTCGCGAGAGTCGTGTTTTCTGACGCCATGGCGATGGGTTGTGAATAACGGGAAGTAGAGTCCAAGACGAGATGGTCAAATGAAGAGACGAACCGATGCACATCCTCATTAATAAGATAGAAAGGCCGTGGCAATCTACTCGAGGTCGGTCCATGATGCCGATAGACTCGCTCAAGTCCTGTCAACTAGCTTGTTCGTGGGGATGTATTACCCCATAGTAACGGTCAATCGTGGAACAAAATCAAGAACGATGTCAAGAGCTATACCCTCGCCAGCCATGCGCGGGCTCCCTCTTAGGACAATCTGCCGGCTTATCCAGACTCTGGAGGATACCTGCCGTTTCAAGTCTCCTGTATATCCTGCAAATATGCGGAGTAGGTACCCACATAGTCGTTGTCTGGATTGAGCATCGAAATGTAGAATAGTGTCATTTTGTGCCGTAAAGTGGGCAACTTGAAATTCTAACGCTGATCACCACGAGCAATCGTGCTGAGGGACCAGAACCACAGTGCCATCGAAACATAAGCGTATAAGTACTCAGCAGACACTAATGTCGAAGCTCTCGCAAGCCATTTGGCTGTGAATTAGCTGTCAACTTCCGAATACTTTGGAGCGTGGCTTTCGAAGAAGGGGGATAGCCGATGGCAAGTCCAGAGTACACTTGTTATAGCCGAACTTAGCGATAGACCAAAGACCTGGTGGTGTAAGAGTGTGTGATTGGCTTTCTGGACAAAGCCGGGATGTGAATTACTCCATATAGCGGGCTTGGTGGCTAGAGGTGGATGCATGGAGAAGAGCGCTGGCTTTACGGAGTTCTGTGGTCCTATTGATATCGCGGAAAGCCGCCTATCGGTTGTCGGCAGCAGCCTTTGGGAGTGGTAAGAGGATCGGGTTCGGTGATTCCCTAATGCCCCAGCATGTTCGGAGGGCTCGCGACTCTTTGTGATGAGAGAATGTGTGCCTTTAGAGATCACGGAAGCTTGTTGTGGACTTGGCAGATATCCCATGTACGGAAGGTACAGCCGAAAAAAAACTTCGCTTTGGTCCAACGGCCAGATCAACGACGAGTGTTACGATAGTGGCTTTTGGTGGCCTTTACAGACTTGCTTCCGTTGTTTTGATATGCTAGAAATCAGGCTTTAGGGAAGCGTGTCAAGAATATCGTTAGCAAACTCCAGAGTCGTCAACGACTTGCCGTTGACATTACAAGATGGCATTTCCTCACCCACAGCCCATGACGTCCTACTGGCTTTCTGCAGCTGCGGACCTGGCCAACCATCGGACGACAGAATCTCTGCCCACGGAAGCAGATGTTGTAATAATAGGGTCTGGATTTTCAGGCTCGGCGGCGGCGTATTTTCTTGCGACCCAGAGCAGGACCGGCAACGTCAAATGTCCCTCGACGGTGATTTTAGAAGCTCGTCAGGTCTGTTCTGGAGCCACTGGGCGAAACAGAGGCCATATGAAACCAGACACCTACTACTCTGCAGCAGAGGCTTATCGAAATTACGGTCCCAAAGTTGCTGATGAGCTAATCCAATTTGAGACTCAACAAATGTTCGACGTGAAGCGACTTGTGGATGCAGAGAGGATTGATTGTGACTTCGAAATGACGAGAGCCTTCGACGTTTTCACGGATCAGCAGACTGCCGACTCGGTACTGCAAACACATAAAGAAATGAAGTCGAAAGGATTCTCCTTTCCTGATGACCTCCACGTCATAACTGACCCCAAGCGGGCAGAACAGATTTCTGGTGTGCGTGGGGCGAAAGCTGCACTCTCATTCACTGCTGGATCCGTGTGGCCATATAAGATGGTCACTCATCTCCTCCGCCGCAGCATAGAAGAGGGCGTCAATTTGCAGACGACCACTCCCGTGCAGCAGATTCTGGGAAACAAAGCGGATGGCAGGTGGACGGTGAAGACGAACAGAGGAAATATTGTGGCAAAGAAAATCATTATGGCGTCCAATGCATATACAGCCGCATTGTTCCCCGAGTTCAAGGAAAAGATCGTTCCTGTAAGAGGAGTGGTATGCCGAATCTCTGTACCCGAAGGGACAGGGAAAAGAGCACCACATCTGAACAACACCTATGCCCTTCGATTCAATCCCGAGCACTTTGACTATCTCATCTCCAGAAGTGATGGCAGCATCGTTGTCGGTGGCGCAGATCGATGTGCTGTGGAGAAGCAGGATTACTGGTACGGCAACACCGACGATTCGCAGCTGATCCCTGAGACCGAGAAATACTTCACGAGATACATGCAAAGAATGTTCAATGGGTGGGAAGACTCGAAAGCACATATCACCGACATCTGGTCCGGCATCATGGGTTGGTCAAGCGATTCCATGCCGTTTGTTGGGAAACTACCAGGAAAGCCTGGAATTTTTATAACAGCAGGGTTCACTGGTCACGGCATGCCTCGTATCCTGGGCTGTTCAAAGGCTTTGGTGGAGCTGGTGCAGTCAGATGGTGAGACAATCGACATGAACACCAAGAATGGGATCCCAACACCATACTTGTTAACGGAAGCAAGGCTCGAAGACAAGACCAACAACATTATCTCATATGCTCGAAACGTTACGTCCAATCTGAAGTCGAGACTGTGAGATCGACAGGGTTTGGGAGAAATAGACTTGTCGCATTGTCGACCGCGCGCCAATGTTGGTGCTGCACATGCCACTGACAAGACATTAAAGAAGCGAACATGTTAGAAACCTGTCAGAAGACGTGTTTCCCAGTGTAGCCTTACCCTGTACCGGGATACATGGTACAAGATATTCCCAGGTTACTTCGGTAGTCGCGAGCGAAAAACCTGTCGTCGCTCTTCTCTTTTTGATTAGCCGCCCGCCGCTTTGCTCACCCTCGGCTCACCTGCCGCTCCCTGAGCGATCCCGGAGCGCTCCCTGAGGACTGCCTGAGCACTTGGACTTCTTTCTTCCTCTTCATTCACAACACCAACTTTCGTCAACTTTAGACGATGGGACCCGTTTGGGATACTGGGGGATCCCAATCCGGCCCCCGATCTAATGCGCTCGAACTGCTCAGTCGTGCGCCTCCTGCGCTGCTCTCTTGCGTGGCAATGATGGATCGCCGCCCACTTCGTTCGAACGCCTGGTGGAAAGCCGGCCTTGTGGTGGTCCTCTGGGACATAAGTACAACCCCTTCGCTCGCTACCTGTTCCCCTTCCACTTAGTAGTTGAGCCTGGAATTTTTGCCAGAAAGTTGGGTTTGCAGTCGTCACTACGGCGTTCACGCCCTCTGTATTTCCATTTCAAGGCTCTCATCGATTGTCCTTCTTCCTAAGCGTGTTTTCCCCCAACGAGTTTCCGTTCGCTCTCAGCCGTACTATTTCTGCGCCCGATGGCGAAAGGTCGGAAGGGCTTCTTCGACCGAGCAGAACAACGAGGTTCGGAGTTGGACAAGACGGGGATCGATGGCAAACCTGTCCATAAGTCTCTTGAAGATGGAACGAAGAGACGATACAAAGATGCTATGAACATATGGGCTGAGTATGGTCTTCCGGTGTCACCTTTCACTCCAGCTCTCCCGGTCTCATTCCTCTACGTATACTAACTGTACGCGCCTCGAATGTACAGCTATTGTACTAAAACCTACAAAGACCCCGTTAAAGCCGCTTACGATCTGAAAACTCTCAAACACTTTACCAAAGGAATTGTCTGGGGCCTTGATGGCTGTGAGGGAGAAAATGATCTACCCTCGGCAAAATCCGCCAGACAAGTGTGGAAAGACTTTACGGCCCAGTTCCGCCGGCAGAATGACCCCATTCCTCGCAATACGACGCTTTCTGTTACGAATGTATGTCCCGCCAGATAAGTTCCCTCTCCCTCATTCTCTCTTAACATGGGCAGAACTCATTAAGTGTAGTGGATCAAAGAGCAAATTAAAAAACGTGGTCTGCCTGCTTCGAAGCGGCCTCGCCGTTACGCGTCGGATAACCACTTGGTTCATCTAGGGACCCAGCTCTGGGAGCGCGACTGGTTTGAATATAAGCGTCCTGGGATCCGGGTATCGACATGGTCTGAGACTCTCGATTACGGCTTTACCTCTGCACGGGTGGGGGAGTATCTCGAGTCAACTGCCCGTGCCAATTCCGGGCGTGGACTATACCATCGGGTGAGTGGTTCTGGACTGCGTTTTGACATCTCGCGCCCCGTCCCCTCTGGTAGGACTTGCAATATTTTAACCATGACATATACTTAGGACATTATCTTCATCGTCTTCCGGAACGAGCATGGAAAGCCCGAGTTTGCTGCCCAGCTTACGCGGGACGCAAAGGGCATGACGTGGACACCAGACAAAAGGTAAGTTTCCCAGTCATCCAGGATTCAAGGCTCCCCCATGGTCCTACTAGGGTCTTTATTAACATTGTGGACCGTCAAAACAGGCCAGAACAGGCGATCCACGAAGGCTCGGAGCCACGACCTTTCCTCTTAAACCCGATTCTCCCGAAACTGGCAATGTGTCTGGCGCGAGGTGCCTTCCGAGACTATAAAACGATAGACGACGTCTTCAATATTCCGGCGCCACCCGAAAAAGAAGTCTATCAACTTTTCTGGGAACCCAGCATTTGCAACTGTCCTTTCTATGAAGGCGCTACAACCGAGATTGAGAAGGCAAACTCGTATAGTACGCGACTGAACGATTTAGGTCGGCGTGCAGACTATGTAAAGCCGCCCACGATCCATGACTTTCGAGCTGAAGGGCTTCATCTCATCGGTGGGTCCCCTTCCCCGGGCTGCGATATGAGGCCATGTTAGCGTTGTGGTGACTACTTCTAATGAAACCAACTAGATTCGCTTTATTCAACAGCACAGAGAATGGGCCACGGGGGGCAATGGAACGAACGCACTCACCGCCAGCATTACCAGCCTAATAACCCCGGTACCGATGGCCAAGATGCGTACCTTAGAGGGAAGATTCGGACCATTGTGGCTGACCTGTTTCGTGGTATGACGGTAGCTCGCAACCCTGATCTCTTTCACTGTCTACCGGCGGAGAAGAAGGCGGAGTTGGAAGCGAGCCCCGAATTTACCTCGATGGACAGCGAACTCAAATTCTTGAAAACGCAGCCTCCGTCACAGGACCGCGACCGACGCCGCCGTGAGATCTACAGGGACAGGCAGAAAATGAGAAAAAAGGGACTTCGTCACGCGCAGAAGGCTCAACCATGTGAACGACCCTGGGAAGCCAAGGCTGAAATCCGATCCATCGGGGGCTACCGGTCCCGCTTCCAGCGTATCCGCCACCTGATGCCCGAACGAAGCCGCTTGGCGAAGAGCATGTTCGAGGTTAGCTGTCTGAGGAGCTCCGAAGGCCATCAGGTTCTTCAAGACATGATCGTCCTCTACAAACAGGAGAAGGAGGTGACCGTCAGACTGGGGTTGGAACCGGACAAGTGTCATTGCCACCCGACTGAGTTGAGCGTGGAGCCAGCTAAGTCTGTCACCCCAAAGAGACCTGGCCCGCACAAGGGGTTTCGGCGTTGGCCAAGTAAAGCTGGCTTGGGGGTGGCTCTGTCTTCTACTCCAAATTCGACCACACCGAGCTGGAAACACATATATATGTGTCACAAGCAATATCTTTCGGGATCGAACGGCTTTGCAGAGTTGTGCTCCCTCTGTAACCGCTGGATCGTCGGCTTGGATGTATGGGAGCAGCATTGTCAAAGCCACCTCATCGCGCCTCAGACAATCCCCATCCAATGTGACCCGCTCATTTATGGCGGTACCCTGGGCGCTTTCGGTTATTGCCCGATCTGCCTGGGCAACACGGAGCTGTTGGCGAGAGATCGAATGCAACAATTTACAAGACTGGATTATTGGATGTCTCATGTGACCAAATGCACCGAAGAGCTGGATCGGGGAAGCGCGGCAGGTTGCTCAATTCCTTGGTGTGACATCCCATGCGAGAATGCACTGAGTCGGCGATATCACCTCCAGGATGTCCACTGCGCGCAGTTCAACAAGGGGTTCAAGCGATCGTCTCAGGATGTGACGGCAGAAGATGTCGACGAAATACCCTCCTGTAAACGCGGCCGTAAGACTCTCAATAACAAACTCACCGCTGGCCCTGTCGACCCTTCGATCCCTACCGAGAAATATCAATTTATCGATGAGACACCAGAAACCACCAAACCGCCAAACTCGACTGCAGTCCATTCGCGCGCAATAGGAAAGCTACGAAAGAAGCAGAGCTCTGCTAAGCAGCCCAATTCCCTCGTTCTCACTGTGGTCCCTCCGCCGCCCCTTGCCAACTGTCCGACAGATGTCAAAGATGATATCGCGCCGCCAACGATCTCAAATAAGGTCTTTTCCGAGGTGGTTGCGGCTCCTGTGGAGTTAGCTCCCATCAAGCCGGTAAGACCCGTGTCTAGCTCGCCGACCCTACCGCATTCAAAGGACACCGAAGTCACTCGAGACCCCACTGAAGAGTTTGATGCCGTTCCTCTACGAATACTCACGTCGCCTATGATTGAGAGTTCGACGCCACCCTCTGACCTTCGCACTGGAACGGCTCAAGAATGCTCGGGCGAGCATTTTCTTTCAACCTCAGCCCAGGCTGATTGGTCAGGTCCCAATGTCTCCTTTTCTGTAGAGGAATCATCGGACCTCGATCCTGACGTTCAATGTCTAGACCTCAAAGTCGTGGAGCTAAAGGTGGAACTGCCAATTTCCTATAGTCCGCATGGACCTATTCTTGTATCAGACAGTGATTCAGAAGCCACTACAACCTTGGATCGATGCGTCAATACATCGTATCAACGGCCCTACCGCGAAGCTAAAGCATCTTTGCCGCCGCGACGACAGCTCGAGGGTATGAATTTGCTGCACCAAAATGCTTTCTCCGAGATACACAAGCACCAAGCTGAGCTGCATCATGCAGCGGAACTGGAGTGGGTCAGGCGTGGATATCCTCGCATCGGTTGGCGGAGACTAGATGCCCGCATTCGAAAATTTCTTCCAGCTCTTGACGGTATATTGGACGGAGAGATCTCGTCACCATTTCTCGCTCAAACGAAGTTGGCCAGAAAACGAAAGGTCCCTCAAACAATTGGCAATGGAAATGGTGAAGCTGGCTATTATGGTCCCCGGGGATCGCAAATCATGTAAGTGAATTCTGAATTGGATTCCAGAGATGCGTCTAGCCGAATTGCTTTGACGTACTTGAGACACGCAGTCGGCGATCTGCTGACACCATCCAGGAGAGCCCAGATTATTCGAGAATTCGAGTCTCAATTTCCAAGACGAAGACGTCGAAACCAGGCCTTGCGCCGCACCGGGTTCACGGACTTCGTCAGTAAGGTTTTGGTTCCGGAGCTGGCTGCCAAGTTAATAGAGGAAGATATGGGAGTGGACGGTGGGAAGGCGCGCGAAATTCTTCGTGAGAGTGTTGCCCTCGGAGGTATTGTACATAAGCTTCATTGATACCATCTCATCAGTACTCCGTATACAGTTCTCCGACACTTTTAGGTGGGTGGAATAAAGGGGGCTGTTGTTAACAGACTTAGAGATGAAGACTCACGGAGCTTGATGTCGTGGCAATCATCTTGGGAAGGCTGGCAGAGTTTCCGCGCCATCGCGAAAGAAGGAAGCCATTGTATATACTCAATTAACACCAGTCTCCAAGTTGCTTGCTGTTAACTGAAGGCAGAGATAATTATCACGTTCTAGACCAAAGCGACAAGATGTGCGATGTACTGTAATCCGAATAAAGCATATATCCCCTACATGTGACTCGCACGACCGACTACGTATTGTGCAATGCTGTAATTAAGACCTCGACACCTTTACCAAATGGGAACAGTATTGACCAAGACTTAACAGTCCACCAAACGACACTCCAAGTCCCTTTCGTCCTTTACAGGGTCAACTGCTTGAACGGGGCCATTTCGAGCTCTTTGCTTGATTTGCCTCCTCGATCTCCCGCACGCTCCCATTCCTCAGGGGCCCTTTTTGGACGCCATTGCTCTCATTGATCTCACACGTTCAGCGAAGGCTAGTGCCTTACTGGATACACCACTTCGTCCATGTTAAAAAGGCACTCTACAGTCCTACTTTTCCACCATCGGCAAGATCTCAGGTAGATAGCAGCCTTCGACATGGCTGGCTTGGCACGACTCGTCTTTGCCTTGACATTGTTCCATATCTCTTCCGTTACTTGTGTCGGGACCGCTTCTATCGAGAACCAGTGTGACGTCGACGTCTATGTTTGGAGCGTCGCAAATGTCCCTAACAACACAGCTAGTTATCTGGAGCCAAATATTGGTACCTATAACGAGGCCTATCGAGTGAACCCGGATCCGAACGGAGGCATCTCATTAAAAATTGCCACGGTTCCTGACGATAGCTTCATCACCCAGTTCGAGTACACTTATCACCCCGACAATCCGAGAGTTTATTACGACATCTCGAATATTAATGGGTACCCATTCGAAATATGGGGCCTCTATCTCTCGCCATCTTCTGGAGACTGCTCCACGATCACCTGCGACCCTGGTGTGGCTATCTGCCCAGAAGCTTACAACCAGCCAAATGATAACTTTGCCGTACAAAACTGTGAGGTGTCGGCCGATCTGACTCTCACTTTGTGTCCTCCTCAAACCACGTCATTAGAGGCGGCCACAGTAACTGTGACGACGACCGACTCCGGAGGCGATGCCACCCTAACTACTCTCGCGACGACCATTACTTCGGTTAGACCCGTGACTACATCTCAAGGCACACTACCCGAAACTGTTACCGTGGACTCAGAAAGCTCTTCCACGACCGCGACAACGACAAATCTAGAACCTGTTGTCGTGACTTTAATGACAACAGACACCGCCGGCGATCCTACGTTGACCACTCTGACGACGACCATTACGTCGGTCGGGCCGGTGGTCACCTCTCAAGATACAGCATCAGAAATTGGCACTACGGACCCGGCCACTACGAGCATGATCACTATCAGTTCAGAAACCATACTTAGAGCCTCAGAGACGACGGACGCTGCTGGTCAACTTTCGCTGACCACACTCACCACAGTAATTGCAGTTACTACCCTGGATTAATGGGAATCTGAGGATATTATCTAAAGGTTATCATCTGTCATTAGCGGAACACATAGCGTGAAACTAGGAACATTCACAAATTTGAAGGCAACCAGGTCGGTGGGGTGGGCGGCGCTGCTCCGGGGTATATAGCTGCTGAACGGGTACGAACCTCTTGCGTTCTGCACACATAGAGTCTTTATCGGTAGCTATGCAGTAAATATTGGCTAATTCGCACTACTTTTCAACCATTCTTAGCGCCTCTGTTCATGGCAGGAACCGTGAGCCTAACACTTCGCTATAAATAGTGTCGTCTCGACAGACGACACGGGCAAAGAGAACAGAGTAATTTAGAGTTCATTTGCAACTTAATTTTTAGTACAGTATACTGCAGCAGCTCTCCACGGCCTAAAATTTCAGATCCAAACCATTTGTTAGGGCCCATTTCGTCACCCGAATAAATTGAAGATGGAGTCTGTAAACGGCTCTTGATGAGTAGTGAGAACCAGATCCGGCACCCCCCAGGAGCCGCATATAGATCCTCTTTTCACATTAAGCCTTAGAGAAACTGCAAGTATATAGTACTTTGCTCAGCTTCAATGTCTATCTAAGGAAGATAATGTCAAGGAAACAATGAGCTCCTCATCACGATCCCTGCCGTTGATGGAATTCCCTAAGAATTCTCCGCCTTCCGCACCCGCTGCTGAGGTGAAACAGACTCCAGTATCCGAAGCGCATATGCAGCAAGCAACATATTCTCAAAAACGATATGTGACCATTCTCCCTCCAAAGTTGAGGGAACAGCCGTCTCGTCCAGAGTCCAAGTTTCCACAGGCTCCTCTCCCACTGCCTTCGTTTCAGAGAAATGAGGCTCGTCTCCCCAGGCCACTTTCGACGAACCCGCCACGCTCACAATCTCGATATGTGGCGATGCTCTTAGAGCTTGATGAGATTCCACGTCGCCACAACTTCTATGCCGGCTTGTTTACGTGGTTGATCCTGGCTGGATATATTGTATTCCCGGGCACGTTTACCTCTCTCAAAAGCTCCAATTCGGTGGAAGAAGCGGCAAGCAAGACTCCTGCCGGAAAAATTATTCTACACACCGTTCAGAATGCCTCGCTCCTCTGGGTAGCAGGAGCTTGCTGCCTATTTGGAGTCGTTGGCATCGCTCTGCTCTGGAAAAGATGGAAGAGGAACTACATTTGGTTGGTAAATCGAATATTCTTGTAATGACTACCTAGCCGGCAGCTGAAAGCAGACACTGACCTTTTGATATCAGGCCAACTTTGCTTAATGCCATTCTCGGTCTCGTCAATACACTGATCAATGTGTACACCGCTAAGGACGGGAACTGGTCTGTGACGGCGACCATCACGGTTACAATAACGAGTGCGTGTGCAGGGATCAGCTTGATTTTGTTTCTGGTCTACAATAATTGGCTATTGTATAAAGTCAAAAAGGACCACGATACTCAGATGGGTAATGAGCGTGGAACAGAGGCGTCATCACGACCGGGATAACGGGCTCGAAATCTTCATTATCTAAAAGCGATGCTGCACGGTGGAGGCTACTTTGGGACTATGACATGTTTCTTCGAAAATTGAAACGTACCTGGCGCAGTAGATGGTCGAACTGCTCATGGCATCTTAATTATTTAGGGGGGAATAGCCTTCAGATCCCCAGCTTCGAACAAATAGATCAAAAAATCATTCTTCACAGTCTTGAATACAACAGTCGACCCAAGTGTGAAATCCTTTGTAAAGTTCCAGAAAACTCATCATCGTGCTTCAGCTGTCGTTGCATACACACTGGAGATGCCTCTGAAACCAAGGAAGATATTTCATGGACAACTATTTGCACACAAAACCACCAAAGCTTTCGAGCATTTCCTCAAACGGGGTTTCTTTCTCCACGCAAACGTCGTGCGAGCTGTATATCTTTTGATTCTAAAGACGTTAACCAAGAATTTCCTCTCGTAGGAAGCAGAAACTCGCTCACGAATAGTAACTCGTTTTGCGTGGATAGCGCAGAGATTAGAATCTTCGAAGAGGCTCACAAGATATAACTCGAGAGCCTCTTGCAGAGCTTCAATTGCCGTCGACTGGAATCGAAAACCATCCCCTTGCCATTTCATCTGGGGGGTTCTCAGATCGTCTGCAATTTCACGGACAAGCCGTTGAAATGGACGTTTACGAATAAGCAACTCTGTAGATTTCTGATAGCGACGAATCTCTCTCAGAGCAACCGTTCCTAGTCACCGTCAATCACAATTTCACTTACTCAAATACAAGACAATAGAAGAGCAGAGGAAAACCCTACCTGGCTTGTATCGATGCGGTTTCTTTACGAGGCCCGTGCTGTCAGGGAGGCGTTTTCCTGAGAGCTGATCTTTCGCAAGGCTTCTTAGGTTCCTCCTTGGGGCGACACCCCCAGTGCTCTTTCCTGTATGTCATCCTCAACACAAATCAGGGACAATAATCAAGGACAAGCTTACGTGCGGTCTGTTTCGTCCTCGCCATGAGGGGACACTCGATAATGGACCCCAAAGCAATTTGCCGGATGAGGATTTATTTAACCGTCATCAAAGGGTCCTGATCTGGCTCGCTCGTGTGACATTAACCTTTTTCGTCCCTTTTGAACTACTGGGACCGAATTGAGCTCCCAGAGCCCTTTTGCGCTCTATCAACTGTTTAGCTTAAATGTGAGCATCTCACCTCTGGTGTCTGACCCCAGGTGAATCACCATTCATCTTTTGTTAGCAAGAGTGTCATCTAAACCGAAGTCCCTCGTGTCTCGCCCAAGCTCTCTCCCTACGGGTCTCTTCTCTTTGAAAATTTCTTCTTCGATTGACACGATGTTCTCCAGCTCTATTGGCAAGACTGTCGTGGTTCTTCTTTGGTTGCAACGAATGTCCGTTGGACGAGCTATCCCACCCTTACCCGACAACCACGAGTTAGCATCGAACAATACCGCAACAGGTCTTGAGCCTCAGCGGAGGAGTGAGGATTGGCCAGTGAATGTCGCATTTACTGCTGGCACGCAGACGCTTGGCCTTGAGCTCCCACGAGATGGACAGGTGCACGACTTGGGCTCTATCGAATGTCTCGCACTTCCTTCGTACTCCATCGGCGACTGCAACGACATTAGTGTCTCTCAGATTGGTGTCACGTCAGGGACAGCACCATGCACATTCATGGGTATCGATGGGTTCCAAATCACCATTACGGCCAATGATAAGGGGTACATAGACGTTACTCCCCCGCAAAATATCGTCTCCGGTTCTTGTGGTTAAATGCAGAGGAGGAGAAGCTTGTGGCAGAAGGGTGATTCGAGTTCGCAGGCAGTTGAAGGAGGCTGAACGTGCCAACACTCACGACGAGACGAAGCGTTAAGTAGATTCCTGGCAATATAATCTCGTTTACATGCAATCTGATTCCCTTCGAAAAACCGTATAGGGAAAGGAGGAAGAGATGCCCACAGCCACTCCAAATGGCGGCTTCGGCCACTCTTCACACATCCTTCAATGAGTCTTCATGTGCTGTAACCTGCCTGCGAAGTAGAGTGCAGAAATATATTTGGAATTTAGCTGATGACGAAACGGTCTAATCCCATGCCTACATGAGCTTCCTGGAGAAGGGGAAACAGGAAAG